CAAACGCAGGGCGAGTACTTTGGACGGACTCGCAAAAGAAAGAAAAGAAAGGAAAAAAATTAGGTCGGGCAGGCATCGGGGGCCCACTCCGGGTACGACCCGCGTGCGTGGTCATTACGTGAGCGCGTCGTCGTCGTCGTCGACACTCGTGCGTGGTGACGGCGCTTCGTAGATGCAGCCGGGTAACATGGGGCCTGGAATCTTTTTTCAAGAATGAGAGGAGACCCCTGGCCTGGCCGTTTGAAACACGTTGACGCGACTTATTTTCTTTTTTTGTTCTTTTTAAGGCACAAACGCGTAAAAATCAAGGTTCGGCTCAGCGAGTCCGTATGCCCAGGTTGCTTTCGATGGCAGCAGTCTGGAACAAACTGGCTGTCCAGATGAACTAACATCTTTGGTGGTGTCTGATGAGCGTGTATTCCGGCACCTTAACTCTACGTTCGGTTCATCCCGCATCGCCAGTTCTGCTTACCAAAAATGGACCACTGAAAGCTCTTCGTTCAAATGTCCACGTTCAATCAAGCACCAAGGACTACTTACATATTCAAAGTTTGAGAAAACTGTAGGGAAAAGGATGAATGGAGAGATCTGGGCTCAGCATGGCGAGCCGCATACATTGTGAAGAAACTCAATGTACAGGTGATCCCAACGTAAGGCCCCGGACTAGCAAATCATGTTCAATCGCGAACAATAAGCGACGATTAGGAAGCGCTAATTGCTGCTAGGAGGGTCAATATTCCTACAGGAGAGGTATCTCGGTAGACTTGTTATATATACTTAGGTACCTCGGTAGACTCGCCATATATATTCAGGTACCTCAGATCCATTACTGGCGGTTGTCTTCTCGGCGCTTAGCTTACCCTTGTGGCATCGAGGGGACTTTTTCGATAAGCTTGTGTGTGAAGATCGCCGTGGGGAAGCGCAAACACTCAAGGATTGTGATTCGCAGATGCCTCAAGATTACTGCGTTTTGGCAAACATTCGAGGAGGAATGATGCTCAGAAACGGTTTTCGTAGTCTAAATAACTTGTTCTGTCTTCCGATGCGCATCAATCATCCATAGTCTAGCGGGCCTTCAGCCAGCATATGGACCTCCGTAAGCATAGATGCATTGTTAATTAGTCTTGATCCGGGTTCCGCAAGTCGGAATGGAACGAAAGAGCTATTCGAAGGTCGAAATTCATTCTTCACTCCACCAACACCCCAGAATTCCCCTACATTCCATGTACAAACCAGTTCCCTGAATTTGTGAGACTATAATGCTTACAAACGACGGCCGTGATTGATTGACTACAGATAATGTTCTTGCTCTTTAATTCCTGTTTCAAAACATATGCCCACAGTTAAGTCCCATGCGTATAGTCTTATCGACAGTGCGTTACTTAACTTCGTAGCTCATTGGCTCGCTATTAGACGATGTCTCACTTTCTCCCGTTTATTTATTCTCCCCTTTAAGTTAATGTTGTGTAACTTAGACACTGTTTTCGCTATATCTCTTGATCTAACAAATAACGGAGCAAGCGCCCAAGACAGCTCGAGGCACAAAAAAACCATATAATCAAACATAATCCTGTATCTAATTTTTAAATAAATAACTTCCTTCCTGTCACATTACCAGTGGCGGCTGACTCGAAGTTATTCGGAATAATTGCTTCTCTGCCTGATTTAACGGGCCGCAACTTCGCAAACCCCCCCAAAACATCTAGCTTTAATGTAGTCAGTGAACCACGTACACACAACTTCAAGCAACAGCAAGTTTAGCCTGGCTCAAAAACGTGAAGCTGCTCAACGACCACTCGCATGATAATTCTGAAAACAACTGAGAAAGAGTAATCGTTTAAGTTCCTTATGACTGCCTTACAAGATAGATTTTACCTTTGACTGAAGCCAGTTCAACTCATCATAGTTAGCTTCGTCTTCAATCAAGTGAAAGGCATACGCAAAACGAGATTTATTGGATGTGTTCGTCCCACTTTTGTGCAGAACGGAACCGTGTATTAATACAAGTTGTCCCGCCTTACACTCTACACTCTTCCACGCAACGTTTTCATCTCTTGATAGATTTTTCTCAATTTCTTCGCCGTTTTCGAAGTACTGGAATTCAGTACCGTTTAGTGCATCCCCGGAGTCTTTATCAAATCTCCTCACGAACCGTTTGGTTATTGGGTGGGTCAAATGAGAACCAGGCGAGAAGCTGAGACATCCATTTTCAATCGTTGCATCTTCCAGCGGAATCCAGAATCCTATTGCACTTTCGGGATCCGTGTATAGGAAGACACTGTCTTGATGTGATGGAACGGCACCACCAATTTCTGGTTGTTTGCATAAAACCATTGATTGCAACGCCCTGGGCTTGTGGAACCCTAAGCTTTTTGCTATTTCTCGGACCCTGCGACTCTCTGTAGTGATTTCAGCAAAATCTGGATCGCACAAGTGCAAGCCATGCCCAAACTTGTTGACAGCTTTCTCCTTTGGTTTGATTAACTGCTTTTGACCGTCAATGTCTGCGAACGCGCTTGGTTCGAAGAAAAAAGACACATTATCAGATGAATTCAAAAAGTACTCATCACCAAGGTCTCCTTTGTCGCTTGTGGTAAATTGTGTTAATGGGTGATTCGTGAGATCAAAATCTCCAAGATATTTATGCGATCTGGTCAGGAGTTCCTCGCACTTTGATTTGGATAGGAAATTTGGTATTACTAGAAACCCGTTTTTGTTGAAGGACTCTAACTCCTCTGGGGACATCATCTCCGAGTTGATTTTGCACCTCGAGTTTGGCCTTTGTTTAACACTGTCCCTTAAACTCAAATGCAGATGATAAGATGCCAAAAAAAGTTCACGTGTTGAAAAGCTTCACTATGGCACATCAAGATTTCAATACTGTTGAAGACATCTTGTTCAGAAAGCTATTTGATTAATGGTTTCAACTAGAGAAAGTGACCTGAACTATTCTTTGATATCATAGTACTCGATCTCAAAAGCCTAAAAGAATGTAAAAGTATTTCGTAGGAGATCGAGAGTACTATTACGTATATTGTCTACTTCACATAAAAGACGATGGCAGCTGCCAAGGTCAAGACCATTGTAAGGGCCATGTTAAATTGGTACTCCTCATCCGTTTGCTTTGGAGCGACTTTAGCGTCATAAGTGCTCCTTTGTTGCACCTTTTTGTAGATAGTAGTCTCCTTAGGTGCGACTCCCGCGGGCAATTGCTCTTGGTACATCTCCTCGATGTATTGTTCTATTTTGCCAATCTTGATGTTTATCTTTAGATAATTGGGGTCGTCCACGGGCAAGCGTTTCTTGATGTCACGCAGGTAGTATTGGAAAATTTCCACGCAACCGCGCAAAGTTCTGGATTTCAAGATCAAGTAGCAAGTGGTGCCCTTTCTGATTTTCACATTCTCGTGTAGCACTACTGGGTTGTTGAAGACCATGGCCAAGGTAGCAATAGCCATCACTTGGGGAATGGCACAAAACTGGAATGACGATTGTTCGTGTACGGAACTCAAAAAGAGTAGAACGTCTTCAATATGGCCCAAGGCGTTCAGCACCAGATGATTTATACAATGAACACCTGCTTGGGTATGTTCAGGCTTTGAAAAATCGACCAGCTTGTTGGCGTAAAGTGACCAGATTTCCTGAGGCCAAAATGAACGACCATCTTCTAAATCCTCGGCATAATCTCTGATGATGTTTGTTTTTTGCAAAAACAAACCCATGCTCTCGAATGTTTGCGCAGACTCAGTGTACAGATCTTGGCTACCGAAATTTGCGAGCACGATCAGTTGCGTTAGCCCGTCGCCAACAAGTCCCGCGACGTAATGGCAATAAAGGTTGTAGTCCTTGATCGTCGAAACACCATTCAAATTAAAGTTTTCATCCAGAATGTACGAAGCCATACCATTTCCCATCTTGTGGGTGATTTCCTTGATGACTTTTTGATATTCTGGCTTCAACTTGTGTAATTCCTTCAAAATGCAAGGAAACTCCACCAACACACAACGGTCCTTTTCCGTTGGCGCATTTCCGTCGAACGACCAGTCCTCGAGATCTAGCTTGGAGTCGAACTCACGCAAAAGTGGTACTTTGACTTGCGAGTCTATTGTCATATCGTCTTCGACAGTGTCCAGGGCTCTTAGGATAAGGTAGAATAGCATGATGGCGTTGCGCAACTCGGGATGCAATTCCATTATAACAGCGGCAAACGAACGTGACGTCTTAGTTAGCAATTGGTAGCATCTCTTCAATTCGGGGGTTTCTTTAGTATCCTCTAGAGAATATAACGGCTTTCTAATAAATTTTAGCTTCAAGGCGGCCTTCAACTCTACAGGATGCAGCAAAAGCTGTGTCACTTTTCCCATTGTTGTTGATTAAGTTTAAAGTAAAGTGATTCGAAGTAGGAGGCAGTAACTAAACTGGTCAATCTCTCAACATTCGAAGTATTTTTGGTATACGATATTTATTTCACGGTTTTTTTTTCCTCGTACGATTGCAGAGCGAGAGAGAGAGGAAACACACTTAACGGGAGATGAGTGACGATTAAGGGAATTCAAGCATGGGCGTTCATCTGTATGATAATCACGAGGGTACCTCATTATTGGCGTACTTGGTATGCACAAGTTAACGCTTACCAAAAAATAAGGTCTTACCCGGATTCGAACCGGGGTTGTCCGGATCAAAACCGAACGTGATAACCACTACACTATAAAACCATGTTGTTAAAACGTGTAAAACACTAGACGTTATAAGCCAAGTAGTTGATCTTCTGACACTCTATGAGTGAAGACTTGGATGCTCAGCATGTATACTTCAGCAAGTGTACTTACTCTTCTGTATCCTTAACTATAGACTGTTTCATAGCGTCCCGCCATTCAATGATGTAAGTGGCTTCAATTATTCATTATAGTTTATTTCAAAGTGAGCATAATATGTTGTCCTGTTTAAGACACAAAAGCTCACGATATATCTCACTGTGAAGAAGGCGATTGGTACTATGCACGATGGTGTCAACTGGATATTATATTAGGGTTTATTTAGATTATCTTTCCGAACTTGATTGCCGCAGCGGATTTGAGACGTTCAGTCTTGAACTGGCCCCCAACTGGTCCTCCCGTCGTTCACTTTAATAGCGTCTCTATGTGGTTTAAGGCGGTAGGTAAACTCTGAGTAGCGATTATTGCCATCTCTTCTTTCGGAAACTTCGACAGCACATATCGAGCCACAGTCTCCGAGTCTCTTTCATTGGGTCTCCCAACTCCAACTGCCAATCTATAAAAACCATCCCCAAATCGCTTCGTAATGTCCTTCAGCCCATTATGGCCTCTTACACTAGTTCCCGGTTTCCGCAACTGTATCTTACCTAGAGGAAGGCTCAGCTCATCATGAACCACTATATGTCTGACATCTGATCCTAACTTGTTCCATAGAGGGACAACCGTCTTTCCGCTCAGATTTATATAGTCACCGTCAACTCGAAGAAACATCAGCTCGCCCAACTGGCATCTTTTCACCTTCTTGCTGGCATTACAAGGCATATATGGTTTTGGCGAATTTGAAAGCTGATCTTTAAGCAAGTCTAACATCAAAAGACCGGCATTGTGGCGACTGAAAGCATACTGAGGCTCAGGGTTTCCAATCCCAGTGATACAGGTGCTCAAGCGCCTTAAAGCGCCAGGTCCTGCACTTCTTATCAAGGGTCTCGTGATCATTGATTCCTGATGTAAATGTTGGTTAGTTCGTTAATAAATTAATCAGGTACTCTATATAATCTAACCATCTTGCATAATCGGCGATAAGTCAAGGAAAGCATACTTCAGTCACAAATAGCATGTCCTCAAACAACCGCAAAAAGCTACTTTTGATGGGCCGGTCCGGTTCTGGGAAGTCCTCAATGAGGTCTATCATTTTCAGCAATTACTCTGCATTCGATACCAGAAGGTTAGGGGCCACTATCGATGTTGAGCACTCGCATCTAAGATTTTTAGGAAATATGACGCTTAATCTGTGGGACTGTGGAGGTCAAGATGTTTTCATGGAGAACTATTTCTCACAACAAAAGGATCATATTTTTCAAATGGTCCAAGTTCTAATTCATGTGTTCGACGTTGAGTCTCAAGAGGTGATCAAAGATATCGAAATTTTTACGAAGGCTCTCAACCAACTCAAGAAGTATTCACCAGACGCCAAAATATTTGTCCTGCTTCACAAAATGGACTTGGTACAGCGAGACAAAAGACAAGAACTTTTCCAAATAATGATGAGCAAATTACAAGAGACCTCAGCGGCCTATGGTTTCCCTAGCTTGGTTGGATTTCCAACATCTATATGGGACGAAAGTCTCTACAAGGCATGGTCTCAAATCATATGTTCTCTAATCCCCAACATGGCCACTTACCAATCGAATTTAAAGAAGCTGAAAAGTGTTATGAACGCCCGAGAAATTATCTTATTCGAGCGAGCAACATTCTTGGTAATTTGCTCAAGTAACACGGCATCAGGCGAACTTCTTGATCCCAAGCGTTTCGAAAAGATTTCAAATATCATGAAGAATTTCAAGCAAAGCAGTATGAAATTGAAAAGTTCTTTCAAGACATTAGTTCTTGACAACACCATCTTTGTTAGTGAGCTTTCTCCTAATATGATGTGCTTCATTGTACTGAATAAGTCTGATAGCCCGCAAGAACTAATACTGGAAAATATAAAAAAAGTCAAAGTTCACTTTCAGTGAATAAAGAAAATTGAATACTCCGAAAACTATTGAGGATATATAACGGGAAAGGAGGCGCGTTCCGGGTTCCTCTGATACATCTATCTGAGGCGCGGCTGCCAGCCTTAATGAAGAAAAACGGCAGGAATGGACAATATCGAGAATGGATAATTGTCATTAATATGAGTGTTGATAGCCTCAGAGCATTATATGCGTTCGCAACTCGAATAGAATATCTGAATTTCAGTTTAAATACACGATTTCGATAATAAATACTATGATGAGATTTAGTTCAGTTTTTTTTCATAAAAAAAACCATACCTCAAATGTTTGTTTGCCGTTGAATGTTAGTTATGACAAGAGATATAATGAGCGCAATTCATTCTCTAATTTTACAATTTTTAAAATGTTCTCTTTGATGTTTCCTCCAATTTTTCTGTTTAAATCATTAAAATCATTTACAATTCTTTGAAACAGTCTCTTTTGAAAATAGCCAGCTTGAACCAATCAGCGATAACCTTATATCTAGATCTGGCCGATAGGATCATCATGGCATACAGCACTCTCCATACGTAGAAAGTCAACACACCACCACCTGTGTAGAAAGAACGCTTACCGTAAGTAATATTAGCGATGGCCTTTTCAGCACCTAAGTATGCCAAAGCACCGTAGTGAATGTAATCAAATGGCTTGATACCCTGTTCTTCGAAAAATAGGTCTACCTTTTCGGTTCTCTTGGCCAATTCGGCGTGGAAGTTTGGATTTTTGGCCATCTTCGCGAAGACCTTTGCTAGGTACTCTGCTTGTTGGTGAGCAACTTGAGCAGTTGGTGGTAAACCGGAGAAAGCATTGTCGCCGATGGCAAAAATGTCGTTGGTACCTTTAACCAACATGTTGCTGTTAACGGCCAAACCTCTTCTAGATTCATTTTGTTGCGGGATCTTTTTGAAAAGGTCGGTAACAATGCTTAGAGGTTTGTTACCGGTAGCCCAGATTAAAGTGCCGTATGGAATGGTTTGTTCTGTAACAGCACCGTCTTCGGCTTTGGTTTTGGCGATTAAATGATCCTTTTCAACTTTAGAAACGGCTGTTCTCAAGTGAACTTTGATGGAGGTTTTTTGTAGAACGTCTTGAGCATAAGACGTTAGCTTACGTTCGAACATATTTAAAACGACGGGCAAGGCCTCGACCAAGTGAATCTGGACCTCTTCGGCAACGGAAGGCATAAATCTTTTGAGATCTTGATCGATGTAGTCCTGCAGTTCACCAGCAGTTTCGACACCAGTTGGACCACCTCCGACGACCACAATGGTCAAAAGACGCTTACGTTCTGGGTCGCCCTTTGGAAGTAAGTTGGCCTTTTCGATGTTGGACAAGAACCGCTTGCGGATCTCCAAAGAGTGTGGGATTTCTTTCAAGAAGTTACCGTGTTCTTGAACACCGGGAATGCCAAAAGTGTTAGGTTCGGCACCCACGGCGGAGACCAAATAGTCGTATTTGATTTCTGCCTCGTCATTTTGGTTCAACCCCAAGTGGTTATCGGGCTGGGCCAATTGGGCCACGGTGGACACGGCCTGGATCGTGACGGTTTTTCTCTCAGTGTTGATGGAGGTAGCCTTGGCCTCGTAGTACGAGATGTTACCCTTTTTCTTGAGCGCGAAGTTGACGACGGGCTCGATGATCGATTTCTCGTCCACGGTGCCGACAGGGGTCGAGGGAAGCAGCGGCGTGAACAGAAAGTAGTTGCGGGGCGACACCATCGTCACGTTGTACTTCCGGGCGTCGATGTTCTGCAGCAGCGAGATAGCACCCCAGCCGGAGCCCAGCACCACCACGTTGGGCTTGTTGCCGAGCGTGTTTTCGATCACTTTACAGGTCTTGAATGACGACACTCCACCCGCGTTCGCCTTGGCCACGCCGAGCGTTCCGGATGCCTGTCTGACGAATCGGCGGGCCGCGTTGAGCGCGGAAGCGCGTGCATTGTTGCGCGAAGCGAAGTTCGAGAGCATGTGTATGGATATTCTCGAAGGATGGGGCGTACTAGATACCGCGATTTGTCGACCAAGCACTAATTGTCGATATTTGATATTTACTAATGTCTTTTAGCGATACAACTTCAAGATCAAAGCTCTGGGGTTTATATCTTTTTTTCCCTCCTTTTGACTTTTCCGATATTTTTTCTTAAAAGCCCTCCAATCACTTTTTCGTAACTGAGCTTGTTAATTCTTCACTTTTGATAAAGGTTGACTAAAAGATTTCGTCAAAGAATCTCTAGTCTTTAGTGAACATGTTTAATGGGGACCATTTGAGTTGAATTACAGTAGCAGACTTGCCTTATATATAAATAAATACACTTGTGTCGCCGCCCCGGCTTTTGTTCATCCGACACGAGATGTCGCAGTTTGCAGGTCTTAGAATGTTTCCGGATCGCAGGTTTGCCGGTCCTGGCTCCGCTAGATGCTTTGGTTGGTTGGAAATGCTTGACCGTTGGCTAGGGAGGGACATATTAAGATTTCCGAGCTGCGATGACGTGGGTGGGCGTGAGTGTGCGGGTCAGAAAAAACTTGCAATGTGATTGGCGGAAGAATGTTGAACAACAAGTACGAGTGATAGCGAGGTCATTGTGGAAGGGCAGGTGGTGAGAGTGTGTGAAGAGCAGCTCTGGATGGCGAAGAATAAGATTTGCTGAAGTTTTTAAAGTGCAATAGTTTGTAGATTGGTTTTTGCAAGGAATAGGCTCTTCTTGGTCAGTGACTCTTAGAGCTTCAAAAGCCAGCGATTGAAGTGGTGGAGTGTCGTAACTACAACGCTCCCAACTCACTGGGCTGTAGATAAATAATTCTGGAATGATACACTATGTAGCGCCTGCGGAGAGCTCTGTTACGCGCTTGCCAGTCAACTTTGCTTGAGCGCAGAGGGCTATATATGTGTGCCTGTGAGCGACGGACTGCGCTTGCATAATCAGGCTCGACTCAACTAGCCCTCGGCGTATTTCAGGTGTCCTATTTGATGCAATCGCATCATCGTAGCATCTAAGCTAGTTCGTAATTGGGCTACCTGAATAGCTATGAGCTTCGAAATGTCGCTTTTATAGCTGGAGGTGGTTATTCTACACCACACAACGCAGTGTAACAAAAGTGCCGATTAATAACGTATGCACGGCGTACCGAGACAAAGAGTACCTACTGTTCACCGCCGGCTAGCTGTGTTTCGCTTCTGGTACACAGTGTTTCTATGATCCTGCGTGTCATTATAGTACATAGTGACATACGAGCGCCATGCCCATGCCAGCTTCTTTCAGCAGGTCTAGATCCGGTTCATATCACCATGAGTCCTGCTAGTGTCAGAGGGGTTTTCATATCGTAGTACCATGATTGAAGGTATTCGGGCTGCCATTGAACTAAAAAATTACATCACAAAATTACTAATAGTAAAAGGATTTTTACTTTCGTATCCATGGTATACTGCTTACCTTGAAAAATCGAGTATGGAAGGCGAGAAAAGCAGTGCTAAGAAACTACTAATATATTAGAGTTTTGGGTATCGCTCTGCGTTTCTCCCGGCTGAAACGCTAAACAGATGCTATCTCGCGGTTAGAAATGCCGCAGTCAAGATAACCACTACCGCGGTTGGGGAAATCTCTACCGCGTTTTAGTCGGCTGTAAACTGGGTTGTTGTGTTTTTGCCGACCTTTGTCTATGACACGCTCGAATAAAATGACAAAAACGTGGAGTCCTAGGCGTTGATTTACCATATTCACACTGCGTCGTAGAAAGCTTCGATTGATAATCCAGTCAAGATCATTCTATATGATCAGAATACGTTGACAAAAATAAGTTTATGAGTACCTATGGCATGCTGAAGTTCTGCTCTTCACATATGGAGAAAGAGATAGGTACATCGGCAAGTTCATATTACAATGATAATCTATCATGTAATACAAAATTCCCATTGTCGCAAGGGCCAAGCTCAAGACTCTGATACTAGGCGACAGAGCACCAGATGACCAGTACTTTCAGAATGATCTTGTTCAAACGTGAGCGATGGTAGCGCCTAGTTGCATAATGACAAAACAGTACAAAGTGATATGAAATAGAGCACCTGATGACATCTGGCAGACGCTCACCAAGTTATCTAGACGGGAAAACCACGGAGAGATATTTGCAACCCTCTATTACGAATCGACTTGCCCAACCAATCATGGAAGAACTATTCAAAGACATCGTGATGTCTTTTATTGCATAATCTGACCGCCTCAGTACTCAGGGAAGAGCGCAACGAAGATGTTACAAGACTTAAATTGCTAAATCAGACTCCCCTCGGTAATAACGAAAAAGCTCGGCAAAGCTACTAGCAAGACTTCGCTTGCGGAATCAAACTCGCCCGAATAATCCCCGGGCGTCGGAGCCATGTCATCTTCTACTATCGCGACGCTGTTTTTATTCGCGGGGTATTTGCCAAATCGAGCGACAGAAGTACGTATTCAAAGGCTCACACGCACCAAACTACACTATCCCGTCTCCCACAATTTCGCATAGTCAGTTTCTTCACAATTTCGAATTTATTTTGTTCACTCCGACTATCTCTGAAAAACGACAACGAAATATTCGATAACTTGCTCTCCCCCTACAATTTCCAGCCTTCTCTAATACCTTACAACTCTTAAACTCTACCTAAAATTCCGACCTCAATTTTATATCACAGTGTAGAAAACCCGCGACTTTATGAATTTTAAGCTCTCTTCTACACAAAGCCATTTTCTGAACCACTACAACCCTGAAAGCGTAACCACTACTCCATGAAATTCGCTCACGATCGATTTCCCCGTCTTATTACTCAACTCTTCCTACTTCTTTCTTGGATTTTCCAGAGCTTTCCAGATGTAACCCGCCCTGTAGTCTATATCAAAAAATTTTTCCCACAATTCATGTCAAAAAAGACTCAAAAGACAATTACCAGAAAACATCTTACTTTGAAAGAGATCGTTAAACACTTGGGTAACAAGCTAGTTTTCAACGCTCCACAACCATAAACATAGCCTGAAATGCTCAGTGCCAAGTCAGCTTTGCGCAATTCTGCGAACCCGCTGCGCCAATTTGTGCGCATGAACTCCAACAAAGTTCAGGGCCAAGTCATTGGTATCGATTTGGGTACCACGAACTCTGCGGTGGCAATCATGGAGGGCAAAGTGCCCAAGATCATTGAGAACGCCGAAGGTGCCAGAACCACACCCTCTGTGGTCGCTTTCACCAAGGACGGCGAACGTTTGGTCGGAATTCCAGCCAAGCGTCAGGCCGTTGTCAACCCCGAGAACACTTTGTTCGCCACCAAGCGTTTGATCGGCCGTCGTTTTGAAGACATCGAAGTCCAGAGAGACATCAAGCAAGTGCCATACAAGATCGTCAAGCACTCTAACGGTGACGCATGGCTCGAGGCCAGAGGCCAGACCTACTCGCCTTCCCAGATTGGTGGTTTCGTGCTTAACAAGATGAAGGAAACTGCCGAGGCCTACCTCGGAAAGAACGTCAAGAACGCTGTCGTCACTGTCCCAGCCTACTTCAACGATTCCCAGAGACAAGCCACTAAAGACGCCGGTCAAATTGTCGGTTTGAACGTGCTACGTGTTGTCAACGAACCTACCGCCGCCGCCTTGGCTTACGGTTTGGAGAAGTCCGACACCAAGGTTGTCGCCGTCTTCGACTTGGGTGGTGGTACTTTTGATATCTCTATCTTGGATATTGACAACGGTGTTTTCGAAGTCAAGTCCACCAACGGTGACACCCACTTGGGTGGTGAAGATTTCGATATCCTCATGCTAAGAGAAATTGTTGCCAACTTCAAGAAGGAGACTGGTATCAACTTGGAAAATGACCGCATGGCCATTCAAAGAATCAGAGAAGCCGCTGAAAAGGCTAAGATTGAATTGTCCTCTACTGTTTCCACCGAGGTCAACTTGCCTTTCATTACTGCCGACGCTTCTGGTCCTAAGCACATCAACATGAAATTCACCAGAGCCCAATTCGAATCTTTGACCGAACCTTTGATCAAGAGAACTGTCGACCCTGTCAAGAAAGCTTTGAAGGACGCCGCTTTGAGCACCTCCGATGTTTCCGACGTTCTACTTGTCGGTGGTATGTCCAGAATGCCAAAGGTTGTCGAGACCGTCAAATCCCTTTTCGGTAAGGAGCCTTCCAAGGCTGTCAACCCTGATGAAGCCGTTGCCATTGGTGCTGCCATTCAAGGTGCCGTTTTGGCCGGTGAAGTCACAGATGTCTTGTTGCTAGATGTGACTCCACTATCTTTGGGTATTGAGACTTTGGGTGGTGTTTTCACCAGATTGATCCCAAGAAACACTACTATTCCAACCAAGAAATCTCAAATCTTCTCCACCGCTGCTGCTGGTCAAACCTCGGTCGAAATCAGAGTGTTCCAAGGTGAAAGAGAATTGGTCAGAGACAACAAATTGATTGGTAACTTCACTTTATCTGGTATTCCTCCAGCTCCAAAGGGTGTTCCACAAATCGAAGTTTCTTTCGACCTAGATGCTGATGGAATTATCAACGTCTCTGCCAGAGACAAGGCTTCTAACAAGGATGCTTCCATCACCGTTGCTGGTTCTTCTGGTCTATCTGACTCCGAAATTGAGCAAATGGTTAACGACGCCGAGAAATACAGAGAGCAAGACGAAGTCAAGAAGAAGTCTATCGAAACCGCCAACAAGGCCGATCAACTCGCCAACGACACCGAGTCCTCTTTGAAGGAATTCGAAGCCAAGATCGACAAGGCTGAAGCACAAAAGGTCCAGGACCAGATCACTTCTCTAAGAGAAATCGTCGCCAGAGTGCAAGCCGGCGAGGAAGTCGATGCCGAGAGTTTGAAGACCAAGACCGAAGAATTACAAACCGCCTCCATGAAGCTGTTCGAACAAATGTACAAGAACGATGCTTCCAACAACAGCGGTAACACTGAGGGCGGTGAGCCTAAGCAATAAATGAGATGAGTTTCATGTAACCACATGCTCGCATTTATCTTCCCCAGAGAATCCTTCTTGAAGTTTTCTGATTCATTACTACTCAAACATTTTACTCCTAATTTTATTGACTACAATAGTATGAAAACCCTACTTGTATAAGCTTGTATATAGATATCACAATATCATGCCGGTGGTTTTTCTTAATCGCACATATCTCAGTCAGCTAATAATGCTCCATTGTCATTAATTCCGATATCGCGCTTCACGAAGAAAGCCAGTCCAGAGAGTATCAATTAAGTGAGCTTTCTTATAATTAGGATCACCTTTAATAATTCAATTCAACTGGTGCCCTTAAAGATAACGAAGGTCAAGGTCAGACAATGGGCTTGAAGGTATCCCCATTAACAAAAATAATCTCTTTGTCCGGATTTCTGGCATTGGGATTTCTCCTGGTCATTTTGAGTTGTGCTTTATTCCACAATTACTACCCTCTCTTCGATAGTATGTCATCATGAATGCAAGAACACAGTTCCCACAGACGTAAAGGCTGTGTTAGCAGAGAAAAAGCTTTGTTATTAACGTTTATTCGCAGTTCTCCTTTTCTTGATAGCTCCAATCCCAAATGCGCTCTTTAGTAAGCGTAATTTCGAGTCCAGTGATTTTATGAGCGAGTCAAATAGTAACGTGGAAGATGTGGGTAATTTCTTTACAGGTTTACTAGTTACAAGCGGGCTTGCTTTGCCCACTGTGTTTTACCATTGCCATTTGATCAATCAGTTAAGTTGCATCATGAGCACCATTGGTGGTATTGTCATCTACCTAAGCATTGTTGTATTCTCGTGGTTTTTTAATGCCGGATGGGAAGAGGAAGATGATGGCTTGTTTGGATACTAAATAGGAAGCATTTGCAATAAAAGATGCCGGTTTCGAGATCAATCAATTCTACTTTTTATTTTTTAACTTGTTGAGTAAGGCCTGCGTAGAGACACAGCTCAGATTAAGTACCAAAGCCAGGCTTACGAGACTTGAGTTTTGTCGGTTTTGCCAAGGATTCTGGTCCTTGGAGAGCAATTCGGCGGAGCCAGTGTAACAAAAAAGGTCTTACCCGGATTCGAACCGGGGTTGTCCGGATCAAAACCGAACGTGATAACCACTACACTATAAAACCGTTAATTATTAGTATAACAAACTTGAATAGATATTAGCAAGTGGGAAGAGCACAAGGATATTGCTAATTCTGACTATATATACTCTTGTTCGATGGTGTATGGAGAATTGTGATTAGATCAAGCCACTCGATACAACGCTTTTTTGGCGCTAGGGCTCCACGAGGATATGCCAATTTTGACCAGCACCTGTCAAAATATTTTTGGTGTCTCAGGAGTTAAGTGTATGGCACTAGACGAAGAACATCAAATTCAGTAACAGGCGAACGAGACCAACTCAACTTACCAGCAAGCGAACAGATCGACCTGAGAATATCTACAAGGCATGGAGTTGAAACATAGAGTCATTAATCACGGGGATTGCCGCCCATGCTCACAATTTAATAGTATTAAAACGTGCTCATAAGAAGAAGCATCTGAAAGAAGAACACACAGTGAGAAAGAGAGCGACGTTAGAAAAGAGAGATGGTCACAACGACGCTTGCATATTCATGAATCACTTCGAAAATCTATGTATTTATCTTGCAAAGAAAGTACCGAAGTGCAGCGGTCGTTATTTCCAGAACGGTTTATAACTTTGGAGTTCCGACCAGCAGACTTGTGAAGGGATCGCACTTGCTTAATTGTAAGCTTAGTCGCAGTACCGGCCAGCAAATGTTCCTGAGATCTCAAAACGAGATTTGCAAGATCTGTACGCAGTATGAGGCGCGCACACAACCTCGATGTTTTATAGTAAGGTCACAAAGCTTACCAAGAATTTGAGGTCTTGTCCCACACATGTGCAATCGAATCTTTAAAATTTGGTGGACTGGTCGAGTTTACATGAGTCCTGATTTTGTCGCCAACAGGGATAATAATTTAGAAATGGCAGACTACCACACTGGAAACTAAGATGCTTCAGAAAGCACAGACGTGTATCGGCGTCAAATACTTCAAGACCATCTCACTTGGTATAAATGTTGGAGTTTTCAAATGGTGGAAACTATGATCATCTTTACAATGTGCTGAACTATGATCATCTTCACAATATGCTGAACAGTAGAGGCGCTATTTGTTTAAACGAGCAGAGATCTGTAAAAAGGTTGTTGTGGGTATAACCAATAAAAAGTTCTTCGAATACAGACCGCACACGGTTGATCTATGGTCAACTGTAATCATATTCGTCCTGAGATGAGGGATCTGTATAGTCATGGCAGCGATGATTTCATTCCCAGATATCATAACGTACGAATAAAAGAGATATTCAACTCCTCGTGAAACGAACCCCATCTACCGCATCGCATACCTAGTTTCAGAGGGCAAGGCCACTGGGAGATCCTTGAAAAGAGGCCTCGTGGATCTACGGGTTATAAAGATTAATTAAAGCCTGTGGGCCTCGCGAGCACTCTTTCAAATTTCTCGTAAGATCTGTTATTTGAGATGCCTGGCCCGGAGTTCGTAAACTCATTTGCGGAATGGCAGACAGACGACTTGGTCCACAACTGTTTGAATTGCCAGACAAAGTTCACTTTTATGGTGAGAAAACATCACTGCCGGTGCTGTGGGGGGATATTTTGCGCGAACTGTAGCGACAAGTTTCTTTGGTACAACAAGCGCAAGGTCAAGGTCGTTCGCCGAAAAGACGAGTTTGAAGCAATCGAGTTTCCACCTCACAGAACCTGCGCATCGTGTTATGAGAACTTGACGGAAATGCATCTTGTAGTTACCAAGTGGGGCGACAAGAGGGGTCTGCAAGCAGTCAGCAGTGGTGCTACTGCAAGATCTAATAGAGGTTCTGGTATTGGAGAACGCAACTCAGAACTTACAAATAGCCTCCCAACATCCTCATCAGCATCGTCATTTCAAGCTAACGAAGTTGCTAAGAAAAGCATCGTTGCTGATACTCCTGGTGAGGTAGATTTAGACGCCAATCGGTGCCCCATTTGTAATGCAGATCTCTCCAAAGTAGCAGAGCCACTTTCCATTGAACACATCCAAAAATGTGTTCACAACGCAGAAATGACTCAGCAACATCATAAGCAGCAACAAGGAACGTCAAGCTCTGCTAATAACCCATTCCTACAAAACAGAATGCTAGTTTATGTCATTCAGCCAAGTTCAATCGTGCCGCCACTCTCGAGTACCCTCGAGTGCCCCGAGTGCCCTATTTGTTTTGAAGAAATGAGAGATGGCGATAAGGTGGGAAGATTAGAATGCTTATGTGTTTTCCATTATGATTGCATAAAAAGCTGGTTCAAGAAGAAATCTCAGAAGGTCAAAGCCAGTTCTGCTAAATGTGCTAGTAAGAACTTTTGCCCACTGCACGACGCGGTGTTTTAATTTCTACCAAAGTATAAAGGTGTTTATTTGTTAATTGTGAATTTATATTGATGTTTATTAGTGCTTGACTCGCACCGAGCATCTTCGCTCTCAACGTGGCGGCGCATCCTTAAACAGAATAAAAATTCAGTACTGAGCTAATATACATAAAAAGTGGGGTTGCTCTATATGATCCAAATGCCAGAATTTTTCAGTCCATTTCAACATCACTGTATAGATCACTATCCAGATCCTCAGGTACATCATCATAATTTTCGTCTTCGCTGCTTGATGAGTCCGAGGATTCATCGACTTTCTGAGTGGGCTCTTTACCTTCTGCGACCTCTTGCTCTTGCTCTTGTTCTCTGAGCTTTCTTCTTTCTAATTTACGTTGTTTCTTTGCGTCCTTAACTTCTCTCTTTCTACTCAGATTAGCTTCTTGTTCCTTGCGTCTCTCTTCCTTCAGCTTCATACGTTGTGCGTGTTTTTTCTCCAAAGCTTTAATTTCAGCGCTAGTCTTTTTGACGTAGTTATGGTGCAATATTTTACCAGAGCATATCCCTTCTTCAATTTTCACAAGTTTGAGTGTTAATCTTGGTCCCACTTCCGTTAGCTTGATAGCTTTCTTGCGAGGTGCAGAATGATCTAGGGGCTCTTCAGGACGTTCTGGTGCATCTCCCGTGCCCGAAGCTGCATCAGGCACACTTGCGGGCGCCACTTTAGCCGATTTCTGATTTTTTTCCATTACTTTGACAATAGCTTCTTCATCTGCTTCACTTTCTGACGTGTAAGCACCGACATCGTGGTCTAGGATCAACGATGCGATGTCGTCTTTTTGGTGAAGGTTCGGCACAGCCTTGTTAAGCTTGTTTTTCGAGCGGTAGAGCCTTTTAAGATTTCTAGAAATGTCTACCTCACGAATGTCAATGACATAATGACGCATGCTGACTTCGCCGGAGGCGGGATCTTTGTTAATCATAAATACCCTGTTAATAGCACCGAGTTGAGTCTTGGCTGGGTTTAATGGTGGAAAGATGTTCTGAAACATAGAGATTACTACTTTTTCAACATTAGCACGTTCAGCAGCATCACTGGTAGATTCTGCATCGTTTTCCCCACTGGCGGGAGGCTTGACACCAAAACCGTTCAAAACAAGCAAAGGTGGGTTCATTGCGTCTTCTTTACCCATAGAGCGGGGACGTTTCATGAAACGTTTGATATCCTTTCCAAGGGAGTAGTCCAGCACCTGGTACGTGATTGTTGGACCATGTGGCGCTCTGGCCATCTTGAGCGAGACATTACCGGTTTTTTCACTCTGTGTGAACATAAACAAATGCGAGACGCCGAGGGGACCGCACATCACAACGAAGTCTTTCAGCTTGTTAGACTTGCGTTCTTTTAACTTGATAGCTGTGTGAGGTTGCATGATTTGACGGAAATCCTTGACTAGTTGATTCAAAGAGTGGTTTGCCATGGACGTTTGACCTACACGGATCACCATGGACTTTGGAATTTTCTTCACGTCCTCCACATCCGCTTTAACATGCGTTCTAGTCTTTTGTCTACGCTTAGCCATTTTCTGATGAGTTGGAAGCTGTGCTATGCCTTCTAATTCTATCGATTCAGAGCGATGAGATGCGATGAGCCAGTGCTTCCAATTTTTCACCATAATTTTTTTCACCAAATGTAAAGAGAACTCGAGTACATCTTCGAAGTTAGATGCGGACAGACAATCGACCAATTAACAACAAAAAATGATGTACACGCCCGGATGTGGCAACAATGATCCCTCAATAATTTGTTGGACTACAAGCGATATTGGGAAAATAGTCTCTGTGTCCTGGAACTGTCTCCCGCAATTGTGTCCTGCATGAAGACCTCGCTAGAAAGAGTAGAACTGATTAACTGAAAGGTGAGTACCTCCACCCGACACAGTGCACTGGAGTGAATCATTCAATTATGAGAATGGCTGTCCCGAGGCCCCGATAAGTTTGTAGCACCTATTGAAGTCTAAAAATTTCTTATAGTCGTCTGCTATGTTGAAACCGAAAAAACGAGTAGATGGCGTTAAATCGAAAAAATATCGTGATTGCCAATAAACGTTCCATGCAATACTCTTTTGCAAGGATTGAACCCTTTAACTATTCAAAGCAAGATTAGCATGCAGCGCCACACGACGCAGCTTTGACGTTAGTTCAAAGACAAGAAGGGCATTTGCGGAAGAAGGAGTTATAGAAATAGTAGCTGCAGTAATGCCCCTGAAATTGCCCGAATTCTTACGAGATATCCTTTGCTTGCAGTTCGTTTTGCGAGCATTTTGAAGGGCTGCTGAAACGGACGATATTTCCATGCAACCTAATTAAAATCAATCGTCATTTTAAAGAAAGATATTTGATCACAGGGTTAGGAATGCGTCGCCTATCAAGATAGACAAGTGAATGCTTTTTCTGCCTGTGCGAGCCAAAAAATATAGAGAGTAATATGCAAATCATTTCCAGAATTTTCTCTAGGGCGCTCAAGAATATCGCCTTCGCGAAAAAAAACATCGACTTACGCTCCTCATTCTTATTTTGTTCGCACACGCTGAGCATCACCTTTACAATAATGGCTTAGGTTTTCTAGTGATACCGACCTAGAATCATCTCCCGAATGAACTAAAGCAATAAAATCAAGTCGCTATGTGTGTGTGTGTGTGTGTGTCGGGGGTATTCTAATTATTTACCCAAGCAACAAAAAGCCCTATGATGCCTACTTCCGGTAAGCTTGACGAGGAATCAAATTCATTTTCTACCTTATCACTCAATTTGCAAACATTATGAGGCTACCCCGTCTCTTCGAAGTGCAGTTTTTTATATTAGTCTAGCATAGGTGACATGGAATGCAACTGGCAAAATGTCGCTGTCGAAAGAAACTGAAAGATTCTCAAATAGTATTGTAATCAGCAAGCAAAATGAGGCATGCTCGTAGAAGCTTTGCGAACCGAATGTTGAATTTAGTGTACTTTGTGACCAGAATAAAAAACGATTAACAAGACTTGTTGTAGCTTCAGTACGGGAGCCCGCAGCTTTAAGTAACCTTCTTAAATCTGGCAAGTTACTATGTGAATTTCAAGCGCCGTTCTTCCCATAGCAAAGACCAGTCCGAGGTGACAGAGTGCTCTACTCCGGACCGGCTTAGTAACCTTCGCAACGCTTTCGAACAATTTTTCGATTGCAACTCTCAATTGAAAAAACCAAGCTACTGTCTCCTATTAATACCTTAACATGGTTTCCAGACGTCACAATTATCAATCCTCTTGCTCAAGAGAGATCATCCAGTCAAAAGAGAAGCCGAACATCTTGTCGTTCCTCCACCTGCAGTTGAAAAAATTTGAAAAATTTCTTAAGAGGGTTTATAAAATTTGAGGCGATGAGCCAAGTGCTATGCTGTTGATAACCGCTAACCTCCACTGAAGAAAGTCTCCAATAGACAATAATAGCAGAGATATGGCAGGCAAAGTTGAGAAGATACAAGGTTCAAAGACCGAGTTGAAATCGCTGGCGGAAAAAATACGTCAACGCGCTTTAGAGCGCCAGGCTGAAGATGAAGCACTGAGTCAAGATCAAGGCAACAAAGATGTGGAAGATGCGTCAGATGACAACGAACAGAAACCATCTGGTGAAGAGGATCAAATCGAACACGGAGAGAACCAATTCGAATCATTTTCAGAGCTGAAGCTGGTCCCAGAGCTGCTGGAAGCATGTGCTAATTTAAAATATACCAAACCTACACCAATCCAGGCTGCTGCGATTCCCCCGGCTTTAGAGGGTAAAGATATTATCGGATTGGCACAGACTGGTTCGGGAAAGACCGCAGCGTTTGCAATCCCAATTTTAAACCAGCTTTGGCATGATCAGCAACCGTACTACGCTTGTGTCATGGCGCCCACCAGAGAACTGGCGCAACAAATCAAGGAAACTTTTGACTCTTTGGGAAGTGTGATGGGTGTCAGAACTGTGTGCATCGTTGGAGGTATGAACATGATCGACCAAGCCCGTGACCTCATGCGCAAACCACACATCATCATCGCTACTCCGGGGAGACTGATGGATCATCTTGAAAACACTAAAGGATTTTCGATGCGGAAGCTGCGGTACCTAGTTATGGATGAAGCTGATAGATTATTGGATATGGAGTTCGGCCCCGTCCTAGACAGAATCTTGAAAATTATCCCAACGCAGGGTAGAACAACATATCTGTTTTCTGCCACAATGACCTCAAAGATCGACAAGCTTCAAAGAGCAAGCTTAACAGACCCCGTAAAATGCGCTGTCTCAACTAAATATCAAACCGTGGAAACCTTGATTCAGACTTTGATGGTAGTACCGGGAGGTCTCAAGAATACGTTTTTGATCTATCTGCTCAACGAAAACTTAGGCAAGACTGTTATAGTTTTTACTCGTACAAAGGCAAATGCGGAAAGAATTTCTACATTGTGTAACTTGCTCGAGTTTAGTTCCACGGCATTACACGGAGATTTGAATCAAAATCAGAGAAGCGGCGCCTTGGACTTGTTCAAGGCTGGCAGAAGATCCATTTTGGTCGCGACTGATGTTGCCGCCAGAGGACTGGATATACCTTCGGTTGATATCGTTATCAATTACGATATTCCCGTAGATTCGAAGTCTTACATTCATCGTGTAGGCAGAACAGCTAGAGCGGGACGTTCCGGAAAATCCATCTCTTTAGTTTCGCAATATGACCTAGAGCTCATTCTAAGAATAGAAGATGTCCTGGGCCGCAAGCTACCCAAAGATTCGGTTGACAAAGGTGCTATTATGGCCATGCGAGATACTGTAGATAAAGCAAATGGAGAAGTAGTCATGGAGCTGAATAGAAGAAGTAAAGAAAAGGCGGCAAGAGGTAATGGCAGGACAGGAAGAATGAAATCGAGAGAAAACATGGACAGAGAAGAGCAGTAGATACTTTGTACTATGCAAAAAAAGGAACTCATAAACAGAATAGAACTAAAAATAAATGTCAAACGTTAGATGCATTTGCTTATAAAAACAATCTATAAAAAAGGGACACCTATCCCGTTAAATTTGATGCATCCTTGCCTGCATTAGAAGCGTCGACTTCATCTACGGCTTTTTCGTATTTCAGAATAGCCAAATTTAGTGGCTCAAGTACTGATTTTAAGTATGCCTGGCAATTGTTAACCAGGCCATCCCGTTGAGCATTTTCATTATTTTTGACCTGGTTCAGCAAGTTTGTTATCTTATCCAAACATTGCCTCAAGTAGCTGTAAAGCTTTTTCACAGTTGGCGCCTGTCGGACTTCACCGCTCTGGAAATGAATATAAAAATGCTTCAGAAACTCACAGCATGTTCCATGTAGCACTCGGCAGCTTTCCAGTAGGTCCGGCGGCAGTGGTGAGTTCACTTCCACCGTAGAGGCCACAGTGGCGATGCTGTTCGTAGACCCAGCCACGGCGCTCATGTTTGAGTTTCTAGCTTGTTTGGCGTTGATTTTCACTGCTCGTATTACGATCTGATTCACGGAGTTGTTTATCTCCTTATTGTCATTAGTTACTTTGGTCAGATCAACAGATTTGGTTAGCCCATCGACAACAAGATCAATCTGTTGATCTATATCCTGTTTTCCCACTACTAGTTTTGTTTTTCCGTTAATTTGTCCTAACGCTTCTTTGTCAACAGCTTTTCGTTGTTTGACTGTTATTTCTATGTACTTAGCCTCATCTGCCTCTTCCAAATCGCTGAACATAAGCTCTTCCCGCTCTTCCTTATCTGCATCTTCTGCGAGAAGGTTTGTTCTTGAATACTCGTTCTCCAATGATTTGATCATTTTCTGACTCAGTCGGTTCATGCCTTTCAGGATATCCACTACACCATCAGTATTCCCATTGGGGTCTACGCCAGGAAGCATAGTAAAGTCTGGGTTGTTCCCCTTACGTTCTGGGTCATCCTGATCATTACCTTCGAGATCCAAAAGCTTCTTTACTGAGTGTTGAAGATCGCCATCGTCTTTCCTGTCAAATTCTTGATCCAGCGTGAGGTAACGATCTATAATCATGTCACCGCGATCACTTTGCATGATTCTTTCACCTCTGAGTTTGCGAAACAGCTTGGATGAGAAGAACCTCGCCCAAAATTCTTGTTCCTTGAAGTTTTTAGGAACACTGTCATCGTAGGCCTTTTTCACAATTGGGTATGTTTGAAAAATCGTTAGAATCTTTTCGCGCGAGACGCTAACGTTAACTTTGTTATCTGAAGAAGCAACTGGTTTAATAGTAGAGAGTACATTGTAGGGTCCTGTTCTTTGAGACGTTGTTAGAGCAAATGCACGAAGTAGAGGGACTCTAGTGGACCAAAACTCGTCTGGCGGAAGGCCTGAATTGATGACAGCCTCCTGAAATGTTCTCATCAGGTTTTTGTTTTCTTTGAGCAGAGATTGCTGGAGTTTGAGATTAGTGAGCAGCTTTTCGCGAGACAAAGAATCATCCAGAGTAGACGTATTAATTAAGGGAGCACTTTCAGAAAGTGCGGGCGCCATGCTGGACTCTTTGCGCTTCTTCTCTTCAAACACCTCCTCGTCCTTGTAACGTGCAATGATCAGCTGAAGAGTCTCCTTAATATTGTCCATTACAGTGCGGTTATTGAAGGAAAATACATGACTAGGCAAGTTGGGCTTTACCTCGTTTCCCTCGTTGTCTTTGCGCTTTTTAGACTCATCTATCTTCCCTATGAGCCGCAACATCATTTTTTCGCTCGTTGCGGGTGTCGCTTGCAGCTTGTCAATGGTATTCAGTATTACTTTGTGAGTTTTGTCTCCATCAGTCGATCTCCATAAAAGCTCGGCAGGAGAAGCATCTTCGTTGACCGTTAGGATCCCTGACACTTTCTTAAACACTGCTGCACCCGAATGAGACATTTTGAGATTCTAGAGTGTGGGAACCGAAAGAGTTTAAAGCGATCAGATATAATTGTCCAGTTATTAATTAGATCTAGGGTTCAAGATTTGTACTTTGAAAAATAACCGCAGAAATAAGACAGGTCACAAATGCTAAAAGTGAATTGATCCAAAGTCAGCGCACGTAGGATTGATGGGAAGAAAAGACAAGTTACCAATTTTATGTATTTCATATAACAACTGTTTGTCAGTGGCTTGCCATTAGAGTACTCATGCTTGCCATGAATATTTTCACGAATCATTTCAAACGTTATGTGTTTCTACCTGTCATAAAAATTTTCCAGGCCATCGATCGCGTAACTGCTCAACTATGGGCAAGAAGACAACTTATCAGTGACTATAGCTCCGCATTTTCAACTTCTCAAAAATGTCTCCTATTGTTGGTATTGCTTTCGGTAACACCACATCTTCTATTGCCTATGTCAACCCTAAGAACGACGTAGATGTGATTGCTAATCCAGACGGTGAACGTACGATCCCTTCCGTGCTATCTTACGTCGGAGAAGACGAGTATCATGGTGGACAGGCTCTTCAGCAACTACTCAGAAACTCTAAGAACACTATCATCAATTTCCGTGACTTTTTGGGCCTTTCTTACTCCGAGTGCGATGTCTCTAAGTGCGCTGCGGGTGCTCCAGCTGTGGAAATTGACGGAAAGGCAGGGTTTGTCGTCACTAGAGGCGACGGCAGACAAGAGCAGCTAACGGTCGATGAGGTTGTCTCGAGACACTTGAACAAGTTGAAGCTTGCCGCCGAGGACTACATCGGCCAAAAGCTGTCTGAGACAGTCATCAGTGTACCTACAAACTTCAGCGATGCTCAGAAAAGCGCTTTGCGTGCTGCAGCCAAGAAGGTTGGTCTGAATATCATTCAACTCATTAATGAACCATCAGCAGCTCTTTTGGCTCACACCGAGTCATTTCCATTCAAAGAAGATAGCAACGTTGTCGTTGCCGACTTTGGTGGTATCAGATCAGATGCAGCTGTTATTGCCATTCGTAACGGCATCTACACTTTGCTAGCCACTTCACATGACGCTAATCTCGGTGGTGAGAATTTGGATGAAGAACTAGTCGAATTTTACGCTAAAGACTTCCAAAAAAAGAACCAAACAAACCCTAGAAAAAATGCCAGATCCATGGCGAAACTAAGAGCTAACGCTGAGCTCACCAAGAAGACTCTGTCCAATGTGACCACTGCCACTATCTCGATTGATTCTTTGGCCGACGGTTTCGACTATCACACATCCATCAACAGGCTAAGATATGAGCTTGTTGCCAACAAAGTGCTAAGCAAGTTCGCTCAATTCATTGAAGACGTCATTTCCAAAGCTGAATTAGATCCATTGGACATTAACGCTATCGTTCTGTGTGGTGGTTCCTCCTTCACTCCAAAGCTGAGCTCCAACTTGGAGTTTCTACTTCCAGAATCTGTGGCTGTTTTAGGCCCACAATGCAAAGAAGCATCCAATAACCCCAACGAGCTTTTGGCTTGCGGTGCTGCTTTGCAGGCTCAGTTGTTATCGAATTACGACGCAGACGAATTGGCCCAAGCTTTGGACCCAGTTGTTATCAACACGCAACATTTAAAGAAGGCCATTGGTCTAGTTGATGCAAAGGGTAACTTTGTGCCAGTTCTTTTGGCCGAAACGTCTTTCCCAGCCAAGAAGACCATCACTTTAAAGAAAGCGAAAGGCGATTTCTTAGTTAGTGTTTATGAAGGCGACCACCACATCAAAGAGACTATTGTCGAAGCTAATGCTAAAGCAGAGCAAGATGACGAAAGTGACTGGTCAGACGAGGACGATGAGCCGGAGGTTGTAAGAGAAAAGCACTACACCTTGGCCTCGAAGCTCATGGAACTAGGTATCAAAGGAGCACAAGGTTTGGAATTGTCTTTCAGCCTCAACAACGTCGGTACCTTGACAGTTGCCGCCAGGGATCTAAAGTCCGGCAAAGTTGTGAAGGGTGAATTGTAGGACGATTTTAGAAATACATAGAGTTGTTTTTAACCAGATAAATTTACATTTAGTTCGAAAGGTTTCCGATCGATGGGTCGATACATTAATTAAGATTTGAAAATTTATTTCCGTATTAAATAAAGGGCATTCTATAACCAAGTATAGGAACCATAGTATTGATAATCAGCAGCTGGTGGCATTATAGATAATGACACAACCGCAACCAAAAGTTTTTATACTAGGGTTTGGATCTATTGGAGTGCTCTTGGCTTCTCACTTACAGCGCAATACTCAAATTTCTATCGTGCCGTTACTGAGATCTGAAAAACGATTACAGGATTTCGAGGAGCTACAAAGAAAAGCGAGCATCAAGTCTCTATTCAAAGAAGGCCAGCCGTCTTATGAAAGTGTGTTCTCTGATGCTACATGTCCAGAATTGTTTCCACGGGATTGGAAAATCGATAATTTGATCATAACGACCAAGACTTACCAAACTAAAGACGCGTTGGCACCTTTTATGAAGTTTCTTCATCCTCAAACCAATGTCATGCTTGTACAAAATGGCTTGGGGGTATTTGAGGTTTTGAATGATGAAATCTTCTTGGACTACAAACCCAATTTGTTTCAAGGTGTTATATCGCATGGGATATTCCATGAATCGGGTTTCTCATTCAACCACGCTGGCTTTGGGGATCTTAAAGTCTCTCGGTTACCGAGCAAAGATCCACAAAGCATTGTTCAGACTAAGGAGCTTGTCGAAACAGATCAGAAAAACAACGAACTTGTCAAAGTCTTAAGTCAGCCAGATTTCATTCAAGGTTTGAACGTTAAACATTTGACATATCAAGAAATGCTTCTAGGCCAATTGGAGAAATTTTTGGTCAACGCATGTATTAATCCGATTACGTCGATCGTGGATTGTATAAATGGGGAGCTTAGGGATGTAGCTGGTCCGATCTTCAGTTCCATCATTTCCGAGGCTCTTGATGTCTTGAAAATCGCGTATAAGCCATTGTTTGACTATAAGCCTGAAAATGATAACTTTCCCAACTTGGATGTTGCAGGAGTTTTAAACCGCGACAGGATGTTGGACTTTGTTCTGAAAATTGGGTGCATTGTAAACGGAACCAACAGTTCCTCCATGAGACAAGATGTCGTAAACTTGAGAGAAACAGAAGTGGATTACATCAACGGATATATCGTGAAGTTGTGTGGAAAGCTAGGATTGGGTCCTGATTATTGCAAAACAAACCAAACAATCGAAACTTTGGTAAAATTAAGGCTTGGCCTCAATAGAGGCCGTGCGAAGTATGGAGACCAAAGAAAGAAGGAGTAAGTGCGCTAATACGCGCGTGGGTATGAGCATGAAGACAAAATTCGAATGATTCTCGCGCGGACGGGTGCGTGGTGCACTATAAAGCACACCTCTGAAATGGTGTCTTTAGTCGATAGAATTTGGGAGATAGAGTCATCTTTTGGCAAGCCCACTAGTCGATCTGGGTGGGACGCTCGTCGCTGAGCGCCCTATTTACAGAGACACTAGATGGCAGACAAGGCACACGCAGAACGATACACATATACCATGTGATTAATGACTCGCTCGTATTTAACGATGTTTATACATGTTGAGTTCTTAATTACGCAACTGCAAACAGGATCCAGTGAACATGTAGGGACCAAATAACCAAATGCTTCATCTTGGAATGGAATTAGCGAATTTCCTGCGCTACTGAAAGATAAGCTTCTTTTCTTCACTTCAGAGCTGTCGAAAAAGAAGGGCTCTTCTCTCCTCTTTCACAAGCGTTTGGGATGCCCATCGTAGTATCATAGACACCCTTCAGGACGTCTGAGAAGACCGCCCGCTGGCTGGCAACACTATAGAGGACGCTGTGGACGTTTTCTGGTCTTTTAGTACGGGATTCTCAACAAACTGTCTATCAGCGCATACGTAGCGTTTCAAAAAAGCACCTGCGGCCCATTGTACTTCCTAGTGCTAAGAGACGGAACTGCAGTTGCGTCTCGCTGCTCACCTTCTACTAAAACCCGAACGCTCTCGCCCTTTACTGACACACTAACGACGGGCGCCAGCAGAAAAAGGCAGATCAAAGCTTTTTCGTATATAGTTATCTTCAACGAAATGCGCGTCTCAGGGTTCTGCGGCCCCATATTTAAACTCTTCTAAATTCACTCTACTGAGATCCTGGTCCCTGTCTTGTCGTAGCCGTCTTTACGATGCGTCAGAAATTCTGTGGCATCTCTAAAATCCTACTTATACTGTCACTCACAGACGCCCAGATAACAGTCCAAAAAATCCGTTTCGCGTCGATTTCAAACCCGCACAGGTCTCGTCGGCCTACAGCCATGTGTCAAGTGTGGAAAGCCGGGCCTTTTTAAGCTACTGGGCCCCTGTCCCCTGCCTCTCACCCTGTCTTCCACTTTTTCTTAAAATTTTGTCCAGCGCCAGAAAAAAACACATCAATTTCCCTCTCTCTCGTAATTATACTAAACAATCGCCAAAATAAAGGCTCAAACGCCCTCGAATCTAACGTTACATAGCCTGAAAACCGGTCTAGTGACTTTAACAATTTTTCAAATTACGGCTACCTCTATCAAACCGCCTTTAGAGCTCCGGAACTGCCTACTTTCATTCGCTTTTCTGCCCCTTTTCGCTCTGCCATTTTTTACCGTCTGCATCAAATTTTTTTGTCCTAACGCTGGCAGCAGACACTGAAAGAGAGACGGCGACAGAAACCACGAAAGGTGATCCTGTGAATCTAACTCAGTTACCAGGCGCTCATCTAAACTATTTTTGCAAGTGCCAACTCCCTCTAATCGCTGGGCGTTGAAAATTTAAGCACTGTTTTGTTCGGCCGGACCTACGATGCCAGATACTGCGTCCACGGGTTTTCATTTGGGGTCAGAATTTGATACTGCGGAACCTTTTCAAGAGGCAAGCAACTACAACAACAACAACTACAACAACTACAACAACAACAGCGGCGACAACAGCGGCAGTGGCAGCAACGACAACAACCATACTGCTAAGAACGTCGATACCATCGCACACGTGCATAGCCAGTCCGACCCAGTTTCCCTGCCAGAAACACACGCTACAGTTTCTGAAGACACCAGCACATCTCCGGTCCTCCAGCTCCAGTCGCAGGTCGAAAAGCAGTCTGACGCCATCGCCCTGCTAAACGAAAAGCTCCAGCAGGTAGAGAACTCGACGTGCACCACAGACGAAGGACTCAACGAACTTTTGGGCAACCTTACATCGTCCACCAGAAACCTAGCTTATAACCAAAAAGTTCTCGAGAACAAGCTCGAGGACCTTTTCAAGAACCAAGTGAACACCGATTCATCGGTCAACGCCCTGCTAAACAAACTAGATCTTGTGTCGCAGTCACTCAACAAGGCCGTGAAATCCAACGCATTCGCAGCGCCAGTTCCTCAACACACGCACAGAGGTCCCGGACGACCTCCTAAGACCAGAAACGGACTAGCCTCCGTCGCAGCTACACTTTCGATGACTAGCAAGGATTCTTTGCCTGACAGCAACGTCGGAATTCCCCGTAGCAGACGCATGTTCCAGGATCCAGACTCAGCGCTTTCTAATGAGCAACAAGCTGGAGGCCCTGGACTCACCAGAGCTACCAGACAGCAGCTCCAAGCCGGCGCACCTGCTTCCTCGACATTGGACCAAGGTCTTCCTCCAGTAAAAAAGAGAGGTCCTGGAAGACCTCCAAAGAGAAAACACCACTGGGCCGAGAGAAAACAAGGAGCCTCATCGCAGGCGCAGGAAGCCGATGCGCAGGACACGCCTCACACTGAATCCGAATTTCAACAAGAAGCCGTCCCCGAGGAAGGTCAAGATGTGGAAGAAGAGGAAGTTGACGAAGAGGAAGACTTTGACAACGAAGATGGCGAGTACCGAGGCTCTGATGAACCCAAGCTTGAGGAAGAAGAAGCGTTCATAGCACATTCTTTAGGGGAAAACTCTTCCGTGCAAGTCGATGATTCCTACTATGAACAAAAAGAACCTCGTGGAAGAGGCCGTCCTAGCTCAAAGTCTTCTGAAAAAGCGAGTCCAATGTCAATGGCGCAGGTCAAGATGCAACAAGAACTGGAACGTCGACGTGACGCGCGTGAACAAATGCTTGTGTCCATGAAATACAGTGATCGCAATAAGGCCAAAATATTCATGGAGTCTAACAAAGATCTACTTAGAGCCATGAGAGAAGAAGAAAGACGCAAGAGGATGACTGCATTCCACTATGATACTCACAACCAATCTGGAGGGCCCACTCCTGGTAGTACGACTGGTAATACCCCGTCACCTAATGCCACACCAAGTGGGAGTAGCAGGCGGCCCTCTCAGTTCATGCCTTTGTCTCAAGGAAACGCAGTTAATTCTGCTCATGAGAGTTTTCAAGCCGGAAACTCAGAAACCGGAATTGAGTTAAATGAGGTCGTTCGAGAAGAAGGAGGTGCCAGAACTCCCCACTCTGAATCTACACAGGAGGCTACAGCAACTCCAACGTTAGCTTCGATTGCTGCATCATCTGATTACGCCACACCTGTTCCCTCACTCATCCCAAGAAAAATCGGAATTTTGTCTATGCTCAACGAAGATGAAGGCGAATCGTCGGGCAATAAGCGCAAACTTCCAGAGCTTTACCAGAACGGATTTGTATCTGATTTCCCAAATAAGAAAGAAAAATCTGAAGACGCAGGTAATCGCGATTTCCGGTCCATAATTCCAATGTTACCAGAGAAAAAAGATAATAGAGGTCGTCCCGCCAATAGCAGCAGCAGTGGAGACAACTCAACCGCATTGTTGTTGGCGTCTCCTGTCGAGCTTATATGCCGCGATGGATTTTTCTACCGTAAGTCTGATCCGGGACTGCCTATCACTACCGGGACGTATCTGGAATTTAAATTCAAGTCTAAGGAGGACGATCTAATTCGTTTAAATCTAAGCCAGGCAGATTATGCTGAGCTCACTCGCCAGGACCGGATAAATGCCTACTTCTTAAAGCCGGACATCGAGGCTGAGACAAATTTCGCTTGTCGTCTTTTGAGTAAGATCGTGTTGACAGAGAAATACGTCAACAGTCTAGAGTATTTTATCATGGAGTTTCGTTGGGAAAACAGGCTGGTCGGCTTAGGTCTCAAGCTACGGGAGTCGAAGAGAACATGGCAGAGACGCAAGGCCTTGTTTGCACTCTTTGAGTTCTGGAGGGACAAGTCGCGCGAAAAGAGAGGTTTCAGAGGCTACACAATGATGCACGCCGTCAAAGAAATGGAAAATTATCGGATTTTCATCAATCGGTCTGTCTCGTGGTTCTACAACCACATCACACTGCTCAAGATGATCTTGTATGACTTGTGCGACAACACTGACACCCAATGGAGAGAGTGGATGTTCCCTAGAGGTGAAGAGGTACCTGTCCTAGGTGACTCTTTGACCGAAGACAATTTGAATGAGGCCATTGACCAGGTCTTGGCTCTCGACTTCCTGGAAGACGGCACCGATAATCGTGAAAATAAAGGACTTTCATCGAGTGTTGTACTGGAAGAAAACGCAGTTGTGGAGGAGCCCAAGAGTGAATGAAGGCTTTATCGTGGACTGATAAATTCCATTGATTGATACGACTATAGCTGGAAATCTGTATTATTTTAATTTAACTTTGTTCATGTAGTTCGTGTGTACTCACTCACTCACTCACTCATGCGCAACGAAGCACAGTTTGGCATGGGCCATTTTGAAAAATTTCGATAAGATGAGCTAAATAAGTAATGTAGTGACAGGGCGACTAAGCGAAACCATGCTGGTAGATCTGAACGTTCCATGGCCACAGAACAGCTTCGCTGAATCCGTAAGTGAATCCCAAATCATTACATTGAGATCTACGCTGGAGACATTGCATACTTTAGGATATACCCATGTGGCCCTAAACTTTACAGTAAACCACACTGAAAAATTCCCGACATCGCACAAAGAGCTGAACCCGATAAGAATAGAGGAGTATTTTGGTGACTTAATGAAAACCACAGGCTTGAAACTCTATTCTCGGATAACCTTGGTGATTGAAGATCCATCGAAAGGTCAATCACTATCTAAAGTTTCGCAAGCGTTTGATATCGTCGCTGCTTTGCCCGTCAGTGAAAAGGCTTTGACGCTGATCACTTCCTCGCTGGATGTCGATTTGTTGACTTTTCAATACAGACAGCGTCTCCCTGCTTTTTTGAAACATAAAAGCATATGCAGTTGCGTGGCGCGGGGAGTCAAGCTCGAAGTGGTATATTCTTATGCTCTTCGAGATATGCAGACTAGACGGCAATTCATTCAAAATGTAAAAAGTGTCATCAGAAGCTCACGCTCGCGAGGAATAGTCATAAGTAGTGGCGCTACGAAGCCATTGGAATGTCGAAATGTTCTAGGAGTTACAAGTCTCATCAAGTACCTCGGGCTTGACAGTGACAAATGCATGAAAGCCATGATAGATCTGCCCGCGCTTGTCCTTTTGAATGGAAGGCTGCGCACAAAGAGCCACAAGCAAACGATTGTCATCGGAGGGGGTTCCGATACCGACATCGTCCAAGAGACTGAAAGCATAGACCGCGGAAAACTCATCAAAGTGGTGAAACGCAAGACCTCAATTCCACCGGATGAAGAGCTAGCCAGTAAAAAAGCTCGAGTTTAGGTACAAAAGGAGCTGTTGAAATTTTGTCGTATATAGTGACTGGGCCAAGTGTAGTTTTAATTTTAAAGGTTCGGCGGCTAATGATTCTGATCTTTGTTGATCACTTCTCTAACTCAAAGGCGAGGCAACTCACAAAAGTGGGTAGCTCTCTCAAAGTGTTGGGTACTGTTTCGGGAAGCCAGAACACAGCCAGTCGTGGAAAAGTGCTAAGGAGTACCTATAAACGTTTAACATAAACGTCAGATCGAATGACATTTGAGAGTGTGCGCAGGTTCGGAAAACGAGTCTCCAAAATCTCCATGAGCCGCACGCCCTTTGGGCACAAGAAACATGATAAGAAGAAGGCCAAATCTGCCGCTATGAACAAATCGGTTGCCACCTTGATCGAGCAGGCCGGATCCGACTATGCGAAGGGGGAAACAGACATGGCCATTTATAGGCTCACGCGTGTTTTGTCTAGTATGGAGAAACATTCTGCGCTACCCACCACCCATCCTCCAACCCACATAGTTCAACCAAAGGATTTCCAGCAGGCTTCGAGAAAAGCTCCACCAGCAGAACCCGAAAAGCGTATCAGGAAACTGCTTCTGCACAATGAGCTTGATTATGATTATGATCCGTGGTTTTCACAGCCATACACAGAATTGCCTACAGTATTGAAATTAGCTAAATCCCACGGCACCGTTATCAAGAGTGGGCGTCGCGTTCCTATCGCCTCAAACGAGCACGCTACTGGTATGGACAACACTATGACTGATGCGAATTCTCAGCTATTCGAATTCTCCGACATGATTGAAAGATCATTCAATATGCTTAGCATCGGAGAATCTGTTGTAGGGCTCGACGAGGACACGACGCGTTTTGAGGACCGCGCTTTCTTGCGTAGCCCTGGTCCCGAATCCATTTGGAGTAAGACTTATTACTGACACGCTAGAGCGAAGAGAGGCTCACAAAGTTAGGGGAGTTCTCTGTCGCGTTGGTATCAAAATAGGCAAAATATTATATTTTTTTTATCTTTGCAAGAATTCTGCAGTTTTCGTGATCTTACTTGAAGTGGAAGCGATAAAACACCTCGAAACTGGCACTCGAAATTGGCACTTAAATTTGGCACTCGTTATAAGAAAGAAGTGAGGTTCAAGATCAAAATCTTTAGGCGTTCAAATCTGCAAAATTGCAGGACTTCAACACTAATACTCTGGGCTACGCGGGTAAGGCATTCAACAAGCTATAAACAGAGGAACATAGTAACAGAGGAAATGGCTCTGCAGATGAACTTACCGCAGATGAGTTCGATCTGGATCGACGAAGATCAAGAAGCAGAAAAACTATACGGGTTACAAGTTCAACGTCTGATGGACTCAGACGACGATGATCAAGTGGACATGATGATGATCAACAGCGATAGACCAGTTTTGAACAACAAAGAGCGCATAGAACTTCCACCTTTGATGCCAGCGGCCTACAAGCCCAGCTACTCAAAGAAACCTTTGCAAAACATGTCCAGCTCCAACGCGAGCAGTTCGTCTAAGACCAAGAGAACGACTGACAAGCTCCTCAGATTTTTCAAAGGCAAAGAGCCGCGCTCTGGGACTTCCGGTGCCAAAATTTCCGTGCCTTTCAATTTCCAACACATTTCCCACGCCGATCTCAAAAACGTTTTCGAAGGCGAGGAGCTGCCTTGCAAAGCTCCCATCTCACCTGTCATTCTAAACAGAGCTTTTGTTACAGAAAGCTCCGTCCCATTTCCAAATACCCTAGGCAGAAAATCTTCAAATGGTTCGAAAGCCTCATCTTCGCGCCGCACCACATCAATTGCTTCATCCCAGTACTCCAGCAAAAGTGCAAGAATTGTATCCACATCAACCATGGCTACGTCTGTTCACGACGATTCGTACAGATCGCTCAAAAAGCTAAACCAATTGGAAAAAGTGCACTTGAAGCATAGGTACAACAAGTCTGACGCCAGCAGTGTTTCCGCAGAATTCTTGAAAAACTATAGTTTTCCTACAGTCCTCGAAGATGTCTCGCTGGTAGAAGTCAAGACTCCAGATATGTCTAGGAAAGGCGACAAGTTTACATGGGAGTCGCCACAGAACTGCGAAGCTTTGCTAGAAACGATGCTTCAAAGTAGATCTCCTATCCCTTCCAGCACATGCTCAAGAAGAAAATCAGACTCACAGCTATTGTTCTCTCCAGTCGTGGAGCATCGCGCTTCTTTCTTGGATACACCCAAAACCAGGAAATCTGTTGACGATGTTCTCCTTTGCTACCATCAACCAAGCGAGGCTAGCTCTGAAGCGCGCCCGTCCAGTGAGTTTTCTTTCAGCCAGGGCTCCAATATGGTCAACCGCACCGCTTCTTGGGATAGAGAAAACGAAACATTCATGGAGTAGCCTAAAGTTTCGAATCATTTTCTCACAATTTTCGCTCAAGCAGCCTTCAGCATTTTAAAGAGGAGGTCAACCACTTCACGGTTGCCCTACAGAAAAGGGGCATTCCTTAATCATTCGTTCAGCATGGAACCTCCTCCCCCAGTCATTCTGCATTAAACTTAGTCGTTCACTATCGGGTGTTTTAAATAATCAAATATACGGTCCTTATCTCAATCATGGTTTAAAAGCATCGATCTTTCTCCTGCAATTTACTAGCTCAATTATGAGCCCCAAGCTACCTTTGAAACTACTCTGGCATTGTCTGAGCGAAGAGGGGACGGACAAGGCTCCACCAAACATAAAAATAGGATCACTCAACCTTTCGAGAGTCTTGGCATCTTTCTTTTTGGATATCATTTGATCCTTTCGTTTCCTTAAAGTATCTTCCTGCGCTCCATTCTTGCTTTCTAACTCGACATCTTCATCCTTTTCTTTGAAAGATTCCAAATAATTTGCAAGCGGTTCCTTCCCCATCAAAGCCAGTCCCGATTCGCTAGAAGTCACAAATTGACTTCCCTTGAAAGTTTGATCCCAGTAGTCGCTTCCATACCTACCGCGGATGGAATCTTTGTTATGATAGTTAGCTCTGCTTAAATGATTGAAGCCACTGCTGAAAGTAGCTTCGAGCTGTTCCAGTAGATAATCGTACCGTGCCAGTAACTCTAAAAGTTCAATCGCATGTTCTTCATTTAGCATTGTTTTGAATTGACTTATGTGCGGCAGTCACAGAACCTTCAATTTCTGAAAGTGCCATATTTTCTTAAGAGTTTGAGGACAGGATATTTTCTTCAATTATACTCATACACTTTCTCTCAACGTAAATGAGCTAAAGTGAGCGGCACATCGCGGGAAAGTACCACTCTAGCGGACTGAAGAAATGGCCGACAGATTGACACAGCTACAAGTATGCTTGGACCAAATGGTTGAGCAATTCTGCGCCACGCTCAATTACATAGACAAAAATCACGATTTCGAAGCATCCAAGAACGGCGAAGAAAAGATGACAGATCCCCAAGCAAGCATAGCACCCAAAGAGGACTTTGAAAATACAATTGATGAACTTTCTACAGATTTGATACTAAAAACTAGACAAATAACTAAACTAATAGACTCCCTTCCAGGCGTTGACGTTTCAGCAGAAGAGCAAATGCATCGGATAGAGTCCCTACAGAATCAGCTTGTCAAAATGGAAGACAAAAAGATCGAGGCAATCAAGGAAAAGGAGGAAGTACTGAAGAAGGTTGACGGGATGATTTGTGACTTCACGGTAGGAATTGCCGAAGCACGGAAACCAGTGCAAAAGAGTGATTCGATTGAAGACATGAGTGTATAACGAAAAATCTTTACGATGGATGAAGGCTTCAAATATATCAACTCTCTTGATAATTCACATCCAAACGTATGTCAATATCACAGCAGCAGCGGTAAATGCTATGAGGAGAAAACGGCTGACGCTGTTGTGCCGCCAAAAGAAATTGGCCGTGTGTGCAGCAAGCAGCAAACTGAGAAGGTAACTAGGAAGGTATTGGACCAAATTGAAGTTGTCATGCTCACCCCACGTAAAAATATAATAATGCATAAACCACCCCATAGCGAGCTCTAGACAATTGTCAAGATATAAGTACTTTATGGGATCCAGTTCCGAAGTGGTGTCGGTCCAAGGGTTCCAACGAAACCATCTGCTGAGTTGGACAATCAAATATGTTATCAAACATATCAATGGCGTGAACCACATGAAGTTCACGGCAGCAGAGTCCGCAGACGACCACAACCAGTTTTCCATCTTTATCTCGCTCACCAAATCCTTATTTTTCAAGTAATAGTCATATTTGAACTGCACTTGAACAAATTCCTTAGAAAGCAACAAAAGCCTTTTACCAATCCAATGCTTTGGCTCCGTGAGATAAGCTCCTCGTTCCTTGTAAAGATTTGATCTGTCAATAAAGAAAAGTGATCTTTCTTTATCTGCGGAATCCACACACAAAACTTCTTGTTGTTCGAATCCCCAATCAGGCATTCTCAGGTCATGACTCAGAAGCTTGCAGTTATGACCTTTGTTTTCCAGGCTAAAGTAAATGGTGAAAGGGCACAAAAGATCGTCGTGGACTGTTTTGCCACGTTCGAATCTTATTCTCCAGGACTCATCAGAATCACCCCGATAATCGATATCTCCAGTGCAAGACACCTCATGATCATAATCCTGTTCGCTGATAGGTGGTTTGGCAGATGAAGCCCTCAATAATTTTCCCGTGCTTTTATGCCTCATTTTTACCAAAGCGCCGTTCCTCACTGGTTCAGGGTTGGTTTTATACTCCATTTCATCTGAGTAGGGCTCTAGAGTCCACTCATTGTCGGCATTATTCGAATAGTGAAAGAGTGACACTTGCTGTTCGCCAGAGCCGCCTTTGTAAGTGTGGTTGTGAGAGTGTAGATACCCCCCGAGCGATTGAGCATGTCGAATAAGTAAGCTGCTTCCGTAATATACCACATCGGGTTGTGGCATGGGTTGAGGTAAGAACCAACTTTTGAAGTAGGGTGATACTAAACTTGCATGATCTAGCGTTGCGCTTCTTGAGTTTGAAATGAATAGGAAATATGAGAATAGCAAAGTAATTGGTGGAAGAAGCAGCACTGTCAAACCTCTCCAAAAAACATGTAATAGAAGCTGAGATTTGCTAACTTTTATGTCTCCAACTATCTCCCATACTTGCTTGGCAGCCAAAATCAAAAACCAGGACCAGGTAACGAGCCCTATGAACTTGGTCCCAGCTGAGAGTGATAGGGAAAAAGATAAAAGTGCTAGATGCAACATCCACCCCTTAGAAAAGCTTCTGGACCGTTTTAGTGAGTTCCAATTCAAAACACTGTTCGATAGAAACAGCAATTGCAGTATAGTAGGAGAAAGGTGTTTGCTTTCTTCTGTAAACAACGGCAGATGCGAAACAATTGCTGTCGCTACAATCGAAACAACGCTCACAACGCTAGACACCCTCAAAGCGAGATAGATGTTGGAAACGGTGAGCGCAGCGACGACGAGACTGATTTTTCTTAGCACGTCTGTTGACAAATTCCCAGTCAGTCTGGCGATGAAAGATAGTACTTCCACAATCAACGGCGGAGAAGAAATTATAAAAAACTCGTCATTCCTGTAGTGACCAACTGCTTCCAATAAGTCAAACTCCGTCGGGCTCAATTCCTTATCCAGGCCTGGTCCTCTAATTTGTTGCAGAAAAAATGACAGACCTAATAAAATGGCCACAGCAACATCGATACGTTGAATGTTGGAAGGAAAGAGCTTTCGGTATATGTCACTACCTAGAAAAGGTCTATAGGGACCTTTCTGCAAGGCAGACTGTCTCATCTTGAGCTCGTTCAAATGACCAGTTGAATTTGAAAACCCCACTCAAAAGCTCTCAATCCACCAGTCTTACTGTCGAATGACCGAATGACCCGTTTGAATCAAGTTCTCGGCTTTGTTACGCTACTTTTTCGCTACTAATTCTTCACCAAACTATTCAAATGAATTATACTTCTGCCCGGTCCATGCACGATACATGAGTACTCATTGCAATGACGAGTACTTTTTTGTGACGGAGAAGTGATTTGATGATTCAGTAGTCTAAATCACAGCCTCGAACAAAGATCATGGATCTTCAAAGCCGATGGTTGGCTAAAGATTCATTCTAGTCTTCACTTTCACTTTCCAGATAAAAGTGACAAGAGAACGCCATCATTTGAATGATCAAGGATGTCGAAAAGCGAGAGCATTTTTATTGATTTCTTCACCACCTGAACTATTCATTAGAATTCTCTATCTCATCCGTTTCGCACTCAGAAATCACATCTTTTATGTTCAAAAATGATTTTTTTTTATATACCAATAATGGAACATCTGCAGGGGATCATCTACGGAATAGCTCTTTTGAGAACGTCATCTTGTTGGTCCGTGAATTTCAAACGAGCTGCTCCACACCTCTGCGGGGCAAGCGAACAGAAATCCTTCACGAAAAACTGGGTGAAGTGCCATTCCACAAGAACCTCGAGAAATGTCAAAAAGTATAAATTCAAGCATCTGACGTCTAATTGACACCAAACAACAGTGGAGAACAATTCTACTACTGCTGTACGGTATCTCTCGTGAAAATGTTGGATTAAATGGCACTAATTACTCTGGGTGACGTAGTGTTTTCCTTTGACCTCTGGCGCCCTGAATCGTCATGACCGTTCCACATGCGGCGTTAAACTACTTCATCGTGAGCTGCTAACGTCAATATCGTATGATCGTTTTCCAATTTGCGAGCTTGTGTAAAAAAACTCCTTAATGTCCTTTATTTTTATCTCGGCGGCTAAGTCAGGATTAGTATGCATCTTACACTACCCCAAACCCAACGATTCTCATTGAAAATATTCAATTCCTTTAATCAGAGACAGATTGGTTACAGTATACTAGAGGTTGTGCAATTTTGTATTTCTTCAAGGCACTAAATTGAGGAAATGCACAAAAGCGTTCGATAATTAATTCACCAGTCAGAGGCAAAATTTCAGACAAGTTTGCAATTCTAACCCAGAATTCCATAGGTATTTCCATAGCTGGTGTCTACAATGACATACAATAAACGCAAGGCCAATATGTCCTTAAGTGATTCAATTGTAGGAAACGAGAATTCCCAAGGCTTTCTAGGGAGTTTTGACCACGGACTCAAGAACCGATACTCGAGCAAAAAAAGTGACTCTCTGTTCACACGTCGTGACAGTGAGTATAAAGGTATTAAGGATTCTCTGCTGTTGTATGAAGACCAATCATTTGAATTAGGAAATGCTAAAGCTGCTAACTTTCAACGTAGGCGCATGAGTGGTGCGAAAGATTATTCTGATACAGAGAGCATATATGATAATTTTGCTCGAGGGAAGCATGTGTGGTATCATGATAACAGCGCAAGCAGAAGTTTAAATGTCCCGTCTGAAAACCCTACTCCTAATTCTTTCAATATTCGAGAGGTGATAGAGAATGCGGCACATTCCATAGCTAACAGCAGGAAAGCTTGCTTAGGAATAAAGGAAAGACTATCTAAGTATAGCTCTCCCAATTTTGTTCGTATTCCAGGTAGTTTTTTCGAGGATCAGACCAGAAAGACAGCAGAGAGTAATTCTTATATTGACGACCGAGCAGATTCAAGTGGCAATGAAGTCAAATTGAAGACTTCTGAACCTGTAGTCTATTTGTCAAGGTTTTTGCTTGCTCCAGTCACAATAAAAATAGTCTACTTTTTGCTTGCCCACTGTGCAACCGCTGAAAGCAAAGTTTACTCTTTTACCGATACCTGTTCAATGATTGTTGATGCGGAGCGTTCCGGATTCACACTATCTCAACTGGATACTCTGGTCCTTCAGATCACAGAAATTTGGTTCCTAATTAAAACGATGCCTATCCTCATCAAGATACCTTGGAGATTATACAAAGTTACAGGAGAGTATCGCGCTTGCTCAATTATTGGTGACGATATTTATGAACTACGCAATGATGCTGCCTTCTGTGAGTTTATCAAGCTGTGCAAACGTCATGAGGGACTGGGCTATCGGCTTCACAGAACGAGTTGGATTATACTTTTGGTCTCCCCCATTTTGTTGACATTAGGTCCCTTACTTGGACATACGTTGACTTTCAAGCTCGCCATGTATAATCCCACAATCAACGCGCGATGGCCGGTTTATTCGTCATTCATGGCATTGGTGTTCTCGCCGTCTCAATTCGCCTTGCTTACTTGGTGTTTATGGTGTCAGTATTTCAAAGATGCATTCGAACACTTAGAGAAATATGTGGTCAACCAGCACCAGACTTTTGTAAGAGAAACAGAATTCATTGCCGATCACATTGACCAATCAGGACAAACAGGAATAGAAGATTTAGATGGCGGAACCAAACAGTCCGAAATACCCAAGCAACCGCCTATATCTCTAAAAAAAACCATAATACCTGATCAAAACCTTGAAGACACACACCCCGTCGATAGCCCTAGCTCAAATATTAAACTTCCTTCATTTGCGATGGCTGCATACGAAAGCCCTCTAAAAGGCAAAAAAAAACTAGAAACGCCTCTCCCAACTATTCAACCGGTCTCACCTCTCGCTAACAAATTCCCACATATTGAAGAAAATTTCACATCACCACGCTCATCAAGCTACATTGGACTCGTTGTTAAGATACCATTTTACATTTTGTCGCTCCAATACAGAATTTGTCGCTTTGGTTTCAAAATTGGAGTATATTTTCTCTTTCTCTGCTACTGGATTTTACTTGGGCGGCGTCACATATCAAGATCTGATGTCACGACGTAAGCAACGAATGTTCTCACCTGACAAGAAATGAGAGTCAAATGAGAATTACATTAAAGTACTTACCAGCCTAGAGCTATAGTAGAGTAGCTTATAAAGTCAGCGATACTGACGCACAATGATTTCTTTTGAATTGCTACTCCCTCTCTTAGATGTCACTTTGTTTTAATCCGTCCCACCATGCAGCTATCACTCTCTCTTTCACTGACATTCGCTCTAGATCGTTATGCCTACTTAGTCTTATATTATAAGGCAGGCTCGCGTACACGCTTGAAAAGCTCACAGAGTTTTCATCAGCAATTGATTCATGAGGCTTGATTGAGTAAACGTATATATCAAGCCACTAACGTAGATGAAGCAGACATAGAGTAAGAACGGAGCAACAGCCGAGCGACATCATTCAGCCTCCGTATAGTTCAAATCCAGGAAATCACGAAGTTCACTATTTGCACCAACTTTCGTATAAGCTTGCGGGAGCTAACCTTATGTCTCCATTGAAGACAACGTTTATGAGTGTATACGTTTGAGCAGAAGCTCTGCAGAACCTACACTACTACTTCTAAATATATATGGATTAACATGAGCTCAAAGGCTTTGCAACTTAACCAATATTAATGAATAAGACATCTAGCGATAGGAATGCATAACAAAGTGTTCGAGCTCTATTCAGCGTCCTTGTCAAAAGGCTCTATAATAATGTTAGCCTCCTCTGGAAGCGGTTTCAGTCATGTGCCTGATCTAAATGAATATTAGTTTGCTACTTGCCCCTTACATAACATATAGTTCCGATAGTGTAGTGGTTATCACGTAACCTTCACACGGTTAAGGTCCTGGGTTCGACCCCCAGTCGGAACATTATTTTTTTGATGAATGTTTGGAAGGAAGATCGTTTGCAATGTATCATGTCTGTTTCGGTTACAAGACTAGTGCCTAAATGAGTGGCTCTGCTCAAGGTGATGTGCTCCTCTTTTTACTCTGAAACTTAAGCCTTTTATTATTAAAATTGACTTTGAACAAACTAATTACTAGCGCTACTGATAAAGCAAAAGTTTAATTTTGAAATGTAGCCATCATACTCGGTACACAATCATGGCCAATAAGAGACGTCCCAAGAAGATCAAAGCCCCTTACCGTAAGTATGTTGCCGGCCAAGGTTTCGTGCATACAAGAGGCTTTACCAGCGCTTCAGATGCTGTTGAGAGCATAAGTCGTGGGAACGGTGACATCGTAGAAACTCCTCAGGGCTCCTTTTACTACGATTTGGACACGGAATCCATTGTTCAACTCGAAGTGGCTCCGCAGCTGCCGTCACAAGAAAACAATCAAACGAACGCAGACGGAAAGTACACTGGTGACACTGTCCTTCCTTGGGAAATTTTTGACCGCATGTTGAGATTCTGCGACAAGATCGAGCCGCAATTCTTGCTGGTATGCCGTCGCTGGTACTACATATGTGTACCTCTGCTATATGCCTCGCCAAAGCTTCAAAGCCGCAACTTTAGTCAATTCGTCGACGCAGTTATCAACAATCGCAAGAAGCGCTTAGGAGAAAACGTTTTGGACTTGGACCTGTCGCACATTATCCAGAGTGGTAAAAACTCATATGTATCTAAGCTGCTGCGACGGTGCAGTCCCAAGATGAGGTGTTTTACTGCTCCGCAAACTAGTTTTGGTTATGCTCCATTAATCAGCTTAAAATCGTGCCGACAATTACAATATCTTGATTTGGGGCTGGTCTCTGAAACAGTACAGCTGGGTGAGCTTTTTAGCGCAATTAAAGAGTTCGCGTGCTTGACGCACTTGTCCTTTCCTCGGAGCTCTATAGATTGTGCGGGATTTCGTGATTTCGAATGGCCACCTAATCTGCGATATCTGAAACTAAGTGGAGGAATAACAAACGAGTTTGTGATGGAGAGCAAGTTTCCTCGTACGATTAGGACTTTGGAATTCTCCTTCTGTCCCCAGATTAACGAACATTCTGTGTACATGGTTTTGGCAAGAATTGGGGACTTTTTAAAACACTTATACTTCCATTACCCCATGCCAACACTTCACGAAAGTTCGCTAGATTTTGTTTTTCGATATTGCTCGAATTTGATAACACTACAATTGACAGTTGATTACTGCTCAAAATGGGCTTTCTCGGAGAATATGCTGACACCTTTACCAACTCCGCGCCCGCTACGCACGCTTCTGCTTGAATGTAGCGGCAATTTGGGTCAGTCATTCAAAGTTCATCCAGATGATATTACGATCGCTCTTGCGGAAGAAAGACTGCCAAATCTGAACACTGTGAGAGTATCTTCGAAACTTGGTTGGGATATGAAGGGCTCTGATGTGGGGGATCTTATATCTTGTTTGGAAGATCAGGATGGCAGCTTGTACATAAATTATTAAGCATATAGGCATTGTTGACACTGTCGGTGCGTTGATTGGTACCTATGCTGTCGATATTGAACTCACGTGCATAAATCTTAATTGTCACATTTAATCGAATGTTCAGCATCTGATACTACAACTCGTCCTCTTAGCACAGCCCCTCTAATGAATTCTAACATCTACTTCAGCAAGTTTCTAGTTACAAATCAGGTTTTTTATGTATGTGTAACGGCCGGTAAAATGATTTCCACGATCCATTCTATAATTGTAAAACTAACAAACTAGGGAATGTAGAAGTCTAAGCACTCGTTCGCGCTTGTAAACCTAAAACCTTTAGTTCCTGGTCATGTCCTGGTCGTGCCACTAAGAAGAAGTGTTATAAGCTTGTCAGATCTGACTGCAGATGAGAACGACGATTTTTTCAGAACTGTGCAATTGATTCATCGGTTTATCAAGTTCCAATTCAAAGCTGATTCCCTCAATATTGCCATCCAAGATGGACCCGAGGCTGGTCAAACAGTACCGCACTTGCATACGCATATCATTCCGCGGTACCGTACTAATAACGTTGGAGACAAAATCTACGAGATGATTGACGAATGGACTTTTGACACTTGGAATGAGCGGAGGGAAGAGTATCTGAACTCCGGAGGTCGTGAGGGTAGGAAAGAATTTGCCAAACCAGATGACCAAAGAACAGAAACCACTGAGGCACAAATGGCTTCCGAAGCTCAGAAATTGGCCGAAAGCCTTTCCAAGTATCTAGCCCAAAGTGACCAGCAAATGCGTTGATTTTTATAAAGTTTATTATATACACGATACGCGAATCTACCAGTTATAATGTTCCTTAGGCATTTCGCTGCTCGGCACGCATTTTGGCCACATTCTCCTTGCGATCGCGCTCGCCGCCCAAGAACGACTTCTTGCCTTCTTTGATCTCTCTGATTGGCTCTTTCTTCCGCAGTCTCTCCACCTGGCTCATGATATATTTGCGCTGTTGCGGACCCACTCCTTTCTCCTTCAATATCCTGGTATCCCATGAAAACAAGTTTTCCCACTTATTCTCGAAAAGATCACTATGCTCATCGCATTTCCGGCCGATTTTTCCTAAAAATGCTTCCACTGTTGGGACTTGCTCACTTGGGCTTGGAATTGTACGAGCAGCAGCCTTGTTAGCTCTCAAGACAGTGCTACAGCAGCTAAATAGGCGTCTACTACTTCTGATGCTGTTCATAGCGCCTGAATACTGTAGCGCTTGTCAGAGGTGAGTTCTTTCAATCAATTATTTAATAAACTTGAAAAGTTCACATTTGAATATAGCACTATCAACGGGATATTTGTACATCGTAGTTCTGAAATTTCGGCTCACCAACACTTCAACTATTGAATCCACGTATTGAGGATATAGCCACTGCTTAAGGAAGTTGAAATTAGTCGCGAGACAATGAGCTCTAGTGACGAAGATGAAAAGTTCTTGTATGGGTCTGATGATGAAGGTGCACCGGCCACTGCGAGCGACAAGAAACGGAATATAAGTAAAAGCGAAGAACCCGCAGTAAAGCGAGCTAAGAACAATGAAGCTAAGACAGTAGGGTCGAGCAGTAGTAGCGACGAAGAATCTAGTGATGAGGAAAATTCTGAGGATGAGTCAGATGTTGAGTTCATCATTGGAGTTGGTACAGACAGCTCTAAGTTGGACTCAAAACAGGCTGGGGCTTCAACCTCAACGGCAGGTTCGAAGCCCACAACCATAGCGGCCCCAACACTGGAAGTTGCGACTGCTCTTGAAGAAACTGATGCCCTGACCGCGAATGGCAGCGGTGAAGGACTGGGAGATGAAACTGTAGAAGATACACCCCAAGCTCAGCCCGGCACGGAAAGACATCCCGTACTGGATCTAAACGCTCCTGGTAAACTCGGAGATCAATTAGTGACTGATATCGACCCAGAAGTTCTCAAGGAAAAACCTTGGCGCCAGCCGGGTGCGAATCTCAGCGATTATTTCAACTATGGGTTCAACGAGCAGACATGGATAGAATATCTTCATAAACAGGAAAAACTGCGCGCTGAATATAACCCACACAAATTGCTTGTGGGACTATTAGCGCTGCAACAACAAGGCAAGCTTAATGATTCTGGATCTGATGGAAAGGGCCAAGATAATGGCCCGCCCAGCATGGCTCCGCCTGGTTTTCCTATGGGTATGCCGCCTATGTTTGGAGGCTTTCCCTTCCCTTTTCCTGGCATGATGAACAATATGAACCCACAACAGAAAAAGTAGAGTCACTGAACTCAAGGTCCCTGGTGTATAAATTCGGTGTGTGTATATTAGATATAGTTGTAAATTAAAGGTTAAACACTCAAAAGCCGGTTGTTAAGCACATGTTTAACCCACGGTTGGTGGAACTTATTCAGCTCCACAACGCGAGTAATTATCTCGGTCCACTTTGCTTTCAAATCTGAAGATTCGGCGTCTAAATTGATAATTTCGCCATTCTCGAAGATTAGCTTGAAACATTCGCTGAAGAGCACGATGTCAGTGAAATTTCGCACTTTTTGGACAGTCTCCTCGGTGAGCTGGCCCTCGCCCATAACCCCAACCACTTTGAGTAAATTGATGAGAGCCTGTGGTTTATGAGTGATCTCGTGGTGAGCAATTAGTTGAGTGCCCTTCAAGACGAAATATCGTTTCTGCAGTAGTCCATCAATATCACCACCTTCTTGCCACATGAACCCCTCGAATTTTATTTCTTGTTGTTCTGCAAACTTATCAACAATCTCTTGCGCTAGTTTAAGAGTCTTCGGAAATTTTTCGAAATTAGACGTTCTAGGCAAGAACGACATTTCTACCTCTAGTTCCCCAATTTTATAGGCAGCTTTACGAGGAAGAGAGTGAAGGTCACGTCCTGAACCAGAATTCTCGCTTATCCTTTCCCATTCGTTGTAAAGTGAGAAATCAAACTTTTTGCGTCTGTAGGTTGTTTGCTTTAGAATGTCTGCATTGAGCGACAGGTCGCAGCGGGCAAATGATCCATCCTGTGCAAATTTGTAATCCCAATTGTCAATCTCGACTTTTTTGTTAACGAATTTTCTGTTTAGAGTATACTTCGTCTTTCCAAATGGAAATTTCTTTTTAATCGGTAGATGTTCGGTTACTTCTACTAATTCTGAAGCTGGTCTCGAGTATTTGCATTTCAGAGTAACAATTATTTGAGCTGAAAGTTCTGGGCATTTGTCCTTCATAATTAGCTCATACTCTTGACTCATATCAATGGATTCCCTGTTCAATTGCTTCCATGGCGTCTGAACCACATTAATACCGTTATCAAACTCCATCGCAATTTCGGCTTTATGGCGAGGAATGTCATTTAGCTGAAGGTTTTTTACAGATTTCACCATAATATAAAACTTACCATGATCTTCGAGGTCTGACATTTGGCTACTTTTGAGCGCCTCAGAGCTTTGCACCGAAGATTGATCTGTAACAGCCGCGCTACGTGACATGCTCTCAACTTCACCGTCATATGCATCAGTGGCAGATTCGAGATTTCCACACACATGCTTGGGGTCTTGCTTGAGAGTAACGTTAGCATTCCTTGCTCTCACTGTTTTGAATGGGCTCTCGATGTGCGTTTTTTTGACTGGGGGCGGCGTTTGGTGTGGTTCAAAAAGCTCCCTATTGTGCTCAACTGTCTCACTAGATGCAGATCTGATCACTTCGAACCCTTTGATACTTTCAGCTCGGCATATAGCTACATCGCTATCAGCGTTTTTGAGTATTCCTAAACCCGTCAAAGCGCTGTTATCATTATCCTCGACTTGAAGTTTCGGATCCTCGCTCAAAAGCTTTGTGAGAACTTCGTCATTGAGTCTTTTCTTTGTTTCCGATACGGTATCGTCATCAAGGGAGAAATCAATTCCATTCTGATAATTGTTTTCATCCCAAATGTGGTAAATTGTCGGATCTCTGTCCTTTCTGAAATCTGAATCTTTCAATGACCAGTTGTCGTAATTAACTGCATTTAAAATATCACCAAAGTCCTCTGACATATCGAAATTCCCACCTGATATGTCAGGTAGCTCGAATGAATCATACTTGAGCTTTGATTCATCCTCGTCACTTTCTATTGCTCTTTCACTGGTGATTGTCACGTCAGCGGGCTTTTCGACATCAGCTAACTCAGAGGTCTTAGGACTAGTTTCCCCTGGACTTTCGGCTTCAGATTCAGCTGAGAGTCCAGAGTGTTTCTCCAAAACTGTGTCTTTACTTCCTTCTTTCTCATGGTAATCTAACGCAATGCGGGCAATGGATGGAACCTGAGGCTCGTCTAAAACCTTCCCTGATACATGTGGTAGCACCTTTCGTGTCTCTTGAGAGTAGAGGGGATCGAGGATACTTGAGCTACTCGTTCGGGGGATAAACACCTCGCTTCTCAAGCTCGAATTCTCGGATCTCTTGTGGTGTGGGTAATAAATTTTGCTCCGGCTCACTATTCTGGGTTTTAGTTTAAACTTCAATTGGCCAGGTTGGGAAGAATCGCTTGTTCCATTTGAGCGTTGGGAAAACTGAGAATTCGAAGAGAAACTCGGTGATGGCTTGCTAGTTTCTTCTTGGCAGCGCCAAATTGATAAATAATTTGGCTTGAGGGAATTTATGATATCAACTGAGTCTTGGGATGTGTCATTAACATCGCCGAATATGGCGTCATCGTCAAAAATTTTCGAAAAGTTATCCGAAACCACTCTTGTGTCCGACAAAAGTTCCTTTCCATTCATAGTTTCAGTAATTGATATCTTTCTTTCAGTCATTGATATATTTCTCTCAGTCCTGACTTCCGCTCCATAGCATTGCTCGAGTTGTAGTTCTTTTGATTCTGACGTATCATAACTCATATTTGAATCAGATAGTTTATCTTCAGCATCATTGTCATTTAGTTCCGAGTTGACAGCAGATCCTGCTTCACTGTTTTCGTTCTGAGCAACTGTTGTGTTCCCTTGATCTTTCGCTATAAACGCACTCTCCTCACTTCTGTCTTTCATGTCATTAACTTGTCGCGACGCATAAAATCCAGCCTCCTCGATGTTGGTCTGATTTAAGTTGCTATCTGAAGCGCATGAGCCCAGCTCCTGTAGAGAAGACACACGTACTGTTGAGCTTGAAGTGGACTTGACCACATTGTGTTTTTTGTAACTCGTATCTTCCTGGTGTAGTAATGGTTTATTCTTTGAGTGCAGGGCTGTTGAAAACTCGTCAGGACAAGTTTCGTTATTTTTTATGATTTGATCTATGTTCCTCAAAGTTTCATCTTCTCGTACAAGACCCGCCGATATCTGTAGATCTTCAATAGACTCTAAGTCTTCAGGCCCATATGCAGATGATGAGCATCCGGTACTTTCCTTTGCTGACTGAAATTCGTCCGCGGTGGTTGCCATGCTAAAAACTCTAGAGTCGTTCATGCCTGTATCGTGCAGTATCAAGCTCTTGTTAGAAACTTGATATTCGTGAGCATCAAAAGGGTCGGAAGCTCTTAGCGGCACAGAAGTTCGCAATAGATTAAATTTGTCTTGCTTCATGGTGGTCTCCAAATCTGTAACGCTCTCATCCATAGAGGATCCTGATGAAACTCTGCTTGGTTGTGGAGCATTTAGAGACTCGTCATTGCCTAGTCTATTGATGCGAATAGTACTTGTTGTCGGGATTTTGGATGGTGAATGCCGAACTCGTGGGGGTATTTCCTCTTCTGACTCTTGGGATTGCAAGTCAAACTCCAGCGTTTCTTGCTCGGCACCATTACCAATCAGAGGAGGGGTCGATTCAAAGGTGATCTTCAAAGGCTGTGTTTCTGTGTGCGTTTCCGATGGTGCAAACGCTAATTGATCTATGTCATTGACCATTTCTTTCAGCTTTGGTATATTGGGAGAGCCAGTGTGTCCGTCAAGGACGTGCCCGAGCCTTTCAGGGAGGTTTGTTATCGATTTTTCCAGCAGCTCTGCTTTCGTGAGTTGGAACGAGCTATCGGAACTGCCACTTAAATCTCTATCATCTTGGTCGAGCGCGAACATGAAATCCAGCGTTTTATTTTGAGGCCCTTCAAGTTTTGGCGCTCCTGATAAGCTCCAGGCTACCGGGCTTGTTAGCGTGTCATCCATTGTGGACGATTCCGCGTCAGGGTACTCATGTAGTTCGCAACTGTTGCTGAACATCACGGATTTGCGATTGCGACCCTCTACAAGGGGTTTCTCGGGTTCTGCACCGAGAACCTCCTTTCCCAAACTCGAATTGGACCGCGTATTGTGAGTGACGATAATATCCATGGTTTCGTCTCCAATTTCATGTAACGGGATCTGTCTCTTAGCTACCAACGGAATTTCCTTCTCAATTTCTGAGAGAAGCGAGTCCACTGTAGCCAATTCCTCGCTAACTCGGACATCATCTTTGGAGCCTAGATGGCAACTCATCTAATCGTAACTTTCAGCAAACTATCTTTCCGACCACACCTTCAAAATGAAAGACGACTAGCTAAATGTGTTTTGTTAAGGCGTAGCTTTGCAGATGGATCGACGGGTGCCAAACTGACAGGTTCATCACTTGAGAAGCCCGGGGTCTTTAAATTTCAAGAGCAGGCGGGTATCCGTTGGCTTAACTCGATCTGGAAGAGTGTAAACAAAATAACTTCCTAAATCAGAAATCTAGATCCGAAAGAAGAATATCATGCTCAACCTGGAAATATTTCCTAAACTTTATCTGGTCTCGTGCTATTCACGAGTGTGTTATATTTTGGCCTTTGGTTCTGGAAGAGCGATTAAGGCGCTCTAAACATTATATCCTAGACGAGAGTAAGATTTGAACTCCGAGTGTAGAGCTGTAGTATATGAAGTGTTCTCCTGCCCGGCTTGTATCCTCAAAGTTGTTCAGAAGTGCGCTAATTCACCACACTTAGCAAAAGCTTCTTACTTTCACTCTTAGCTAATTTCTACGTAGTTCGCAATATATGCTAATTACACCACAGAGCCATCATCCCATCTAGCGTACTTCCTCGCGAGTTACTGATAAACTCATCAAATGACTCCTACTTTGTATATTTAGCGAATTTCTTAGACTTTCAACAATAAGAGAGTTTGGCCGAGTGGTTAAGGCGTCAGATTTAGGCTTAACTTTCAGAATAAGTCAGATTCTCTGATATCTTCGGATGCGCGGGTTCGAATCCCGTAGCTCTCATTATTTTTTTGTTTTTGCACTACAGGAATTTGACAAAAAGTCAGAACCGGGGAACATCGTTAGATCGTATTCTTCGTCAAGCAGGGTGATAGATCAAAACCATCAAACGCTAATGTGTTCATACAGTGGCTGCGGAGAGACCAGGAGGCCGAATTCTTAATTAACAATGTTATTCTTCCGCTATCCTCTGACCCTCCACTTACTTGTTTACGTTGTTGAATGGACGAATAAAGGAGTCTTTGTCTATGAAACATCATTACTAGGGCTCTATGTCATCACATTATTTGTGAATGTGTCTATTTTCGCATATCTCGGTAAATCAATATCGGCGGCTAAATTCGTCTGGGGAAAAAGCCCTTCGCATCTGTGGTTTTCTATAGCATTAGCTTTCATTCGTAGTTTTCCAAGACCCAAAATTGAACCTGCTAAGCATGCCAGCGAATACTGCATTTGTAATTGTCGCAAGTCAAGGCCCACGCTGATTTACCTGTGCTTTTCCAGGAGTTCAATGCACTTCATTTGGTCCTGTGTGGAAGTAAAAGAGAGTTCCAGATATAAGTGGCGCAAACGTTCATTTGTAAACGCCAAGCAAACCTTCAGTAGAGGAAAGACCTACTACGAACGCTATAAACATTTTGCTGAAATAATATTTCTCTAATGTTGTACCAACTGTGAACCTTAAGTGCACGCAGGAACCAACCAGACTTGAGAATCGGACACCATTTTCGTAACACGATGTAAATACTATCAACTCTACTTGTTTATCTTTTTAACCCGTGTCTTAGCCAATTAACCCGCTATTGCAACAACTTTTTGTCACATGTAATCTCGTTGTGAATACAATGAAAGCTATAATATGCTCAACAAACATTAAACTATAAAACCGAGACCAAATTTACTAATTATTGATGCAGCAAGGCAAAAATAAGCGTACTATTACTGATGAGCGATGACGAGCAGAAAACCTTTTTCGTCTTTGGCTTTTCAACTGCCGAAATCAAACCTTCCACGCAAGGGACTTATTGAATTTCATCGACTCCGAGCCTGGAAGCTCTCTTTATCTTGACCCTAACGGTGATCCAGATGAAACGGATCAGGCATACGCTCTTGACGAGGAAACTTGTTTCAGAAGCGGCTCAGACCAAGGGAGCATGTGACACGTATGTTTTACGGGCGCAGAGCATGATCTACAATTATATGGGCAGAACTTCGGCGCACGAATCTTGTGATATAACCAGCATCACCATACACTCGAGCAAAATCCACAGTAGACGAAAACTAGCAGATAGATAACTCCTGCTTGCGTTCAAACGAAGAAACTTGAAGAAGCACATCACTGGATACGGTATTGGGTACTGGTAAATATAGACAGACATAATGTTAAGGTGACCGGGTAAGCCAAATAAGTACTCGAGTTGGTACATTGGGATCTATTCCAATGAGCCTACGGATGAAAAGGCTTATACGTATATACGACCAAATGGTTTTATTAAAACACACAACTGCTCTTTTTTGAAAGACACCTGGCTGAACTCGGGCTAAACCAGTAACTTGCCCGTCAGATAAGCCACCCAGTCGCGATGGAAAAAGGGAAATCGTCTCAGAAGCAAAGCCTGATGCAGATCCCGGAGGCTATAGACCCAGGAACTATCTTGCCACTGTACGAAGACGAACTGAATGGCAGTGATCCAAACCAGCCCCAGAAATTGGGTTCTTACCGCGTCAGAGCCGGCAAATTCTCGAACACGCTGAGTAACTTGCTGCCCAGCATTAGCGCTAAGCTCCACCACTCGCGGAAGACGTCCGGAACTCCCAAAAACGCGCCGGAAACGGCTCTCAGCGGGTCTTCAAGCAACAACACCAGCCGGTCCCAAATCAGCGTCTCTGGCCAAATATCACCACCAGAGCTGTCCCAGCCGCTTCCGGAAGAATTCATTGGCCAATCTGATGATTCTATTTTCGCATCTGCTATGCCGCCCCGCAATTCTGGTGAATCGTTCTCTTTCAGTTCCAATGGTCCGAATTTGCATGCTACGAACTCGAATACCGTGTCGAGAACCAGAAACAACACTGTTTCATCTCAGATTACATCGCTTTCCGGGATTCCTCAAACCACTGGCAGTTTGTGGTCAAACAACACTTCGCCTAACGAACCACACGTGATATCTGGCTTGACTGGTGCTTCTTTTGCCACGGTAAGTCCACTCAATGAGTACTCATCAAATGCCTATTTCGATGTTGGAAAGTCAGGCATTTCTGCTAGCCACCAAAATCCTAGCAATCTTACTGTGCCTGGAGCTCAACCGGGAACCGTCCCTGGGACGCTTCCGACCACGACAAACGGCAACGCAGGCAACATATGGAACAATCGTCAGAGGTCGCACTCTAACGCGTCGAGCATTTACACAGACGCTCCGATCTATGATAACATAGCTGTCAACCGGTCCAGAGCATCTACTTTTGGTTTGGGTTTAGAGCAAGCACCTATTGCCGTTAACAATCTGCCTCCTGCAAGACAACAATCCCCAACGTCTCCGGTTGTTACAGACGACATTGATCCCAGATCTATCAACTGGGTCACAACGGATCCATCTGTTCCCGCTATAAATCAGATTTCAACGCTTCTCCCAACAAACACTGTATCAATATCTAACGTCTATTCCTTACAGCAGCAACAGCCACAACTAGCCAACGCCATAAACTTGACAAGTACTAGCTTAGCAACCTTGTGCGTTAAGTTTGGGAATGTGACATCGGCAAGAACCCTAAAACGGATTAACATGGCCATTGTTGAGTTTGATACCGTGGAATCTGCTATGCGTGCTAAGGAGGCTTTGCACGGAAAGGAAGTGTCTCTTGTAGGGGCTCCAAGCTGTGTCTCTTTCGCCAAAGTCCTACCCATGCATCAGCAAGCCATGTCTTCTACTCAATCGCTTGCAAGCAGTTCAACCATTAACGGTCCACAGTCGCTTCTTCAGGAACAATTGTACAGTGGTGCTGTGACATTTCAACAACAAGGAAACGTGTCCATTCCTGTTTTGAATGGACCCACGCATCAACAACAATCCCAGGCTATATCGAATTCACAAGCCCTATCCCAAGCGTCTCAACAGCAGCCCCCACAACAAACAGCGAATTCAAGTTCCAATTCAAACCATCATGCCACACCGTCTCATGGGGGGTCAGATAAAGAACATTGCCCGTTTTCTTTGCCCCCACCCAATGTTTCTCAATATACTCACACACTGGAAGATATTATAAACTCTTTTGGCACAAGCCATGACTCCACGCAAACAAAACATGTTATTGACAACGCTGTATTTTGCAGAGGTACCACCGACACCGCAGATTTTGGCCCTCTGCCCGATCCCTTACCTAATAGGGGATTTGACGCACCAAAGCTTCGCGAAATTCGCAAAGCGATAGATGTCAATTCTATGAGTGAGCTCGAAATCGAACAACTGGCAATTGCCATGTTAGACGAATTGCCTGAATTATGTTCGGACTATTTGGGTAATACTATTGTTCAAAAGCTCTTCGAGCACTCATCATCAGTTGTCAAGGATATTATGTTGAGACGTACAAACACATTTCTAACTTCTATGGGGGTTCACAAGAATGGTACCTGGGCCTGTCAAAAAATCATAACCATGGCAGACACTCCTAGACAGAAGATGTTAGTAGCCAAGGGAGTCGAGAAATATTGCACACCTTTGTTCAACGACCAATTTGGTAATTATGTTATTCAGTGTGTCCTCAAGTTTGGCTTTCCATGGAATGACTTCATATTCGAACACATCATCTCCAATTTTTGGACTATCTCCCAAAACAGGTATGGCGCTAGAGCTGTGAGAGCCTGTCTGGAAGCTCACGATATCATCACAAGAGAGCAATTACTTGTTTTGAGTGGTGTGATTGTCCTTTACACGGAATACTTAGCTACCAACAGTAACGGTGCTCTCTTGGTGACCTGGTTCTTGGATACCTGCACTTTGCCTCACAGACATTCCATATTGGCTCCCAGACTTGTTGCTAATATGGCAGAGCTATGCTGTCACAAACTTGCCTCCCTAACGGTGCTGAAAGTCTTAAATTACAGAGGTGATGAAAAGGCGAAACGACTAATTTTGGAGAGCATTTTTGGAAAGAAAGACACTGGTGCACCCTCACCTCTCTTGTACCAAATATTATGCGATACAAACTATGGGCCTACATTCCTATACAAGGTACTTTCAATGTCACTGCTAGAGGGCGACATCAGAGTGCATGTCGTGCAGCAAGTGCGCAGGGCGCTCATGGAGATAAACCCTACCCAACAACATCGCAGATTAATGGAAGAAGTCGGTCTTGGCGGAACTGCCGTTGTGCCAACAATAGCATCTTCAGTATCTGGTTCTGCTAAACATCGTCCTAGCATATCGCACGTTTTCAATACTGATGGCGTGGGACACATGCGCAACGTATCTGTGGGAAGCAACTTGAGCAACGGTTCCCGCCCACGGGCGCTGTCAAATAGCGGCTTGGGTACAATTCCAGCAGGTGCTGCAATTACTGCCGCAAACGCTCCAGGCTCGGCGCCCCAGAACCAGTTACTAGCTGTGCCTGGCGCTTTTTACAGCTACCCCGGCGTATTTCCCGTGTCGGGAGGTAATAGTCGGGGATACCCTGTCAATGGGGACGACATTGCATCTCAATTCGACATGCTTAACCTGCACAATTCAACGCAGATTTCGCTTCCACAGCTCAGCATGAACAATACCAATTCAAACGCTAATTTAAACAACAACGCCAACCAAAACCATCTCAAGCCAGGAAACAGTAACAATGGCTCTGTTTACGGCATGTACGGCTATTGAGCCGTGCTTTCTCCGTTGCTCCCGCCATGTCCCAAAAAATAAAGATAATCATACAAAAAGGATAACAGTTTTCCAATTTCAGAGCGGTCTATTAAAACTCCACCTGACCGTCTGCGGTATTCTGCCACTAATGAATAATGACATCTTACGCCGCATGAAAACATTTCTTACAGTCAATTTTATCTAATTCATAGAACATATTACTTACTATACGCTGACACTGACGCTAGACGCCCAAAAAAATGTCTAAAACCACTATCGTCCGGAGTGACTCAAATTGATGGCCCACAAAAAAGCTGAACTATACATTACGGATTGAGACTTATAAATCCAGATATTGACCATCAATTCGATCCACAGACAGAGCGCGACGTCAGGCAATCGAGGCATTTCACGGGCCTTTAAGATTGGCGAGATTAAAGTACGGGTGGCTTTTTCTAGCGTTTGATATCTTTTGGTGCAAGCACAAAGCAGAACTCGAACCTTGACTGACTTCGGGAAATTTTTGTGGAAATACGTGTTTTATCGCGATCAGAAACGAGATCGGGAACATAGATCATGAGCAGTGGATTACCAGCAAGCTGGTTTACGACTCAGCTGCCCATCAGGGGTGAGATAGACCAACAAGAACGGGAAAGGTTAAATCAAGAGCATCGCGAGCGAATTTCAAGGATCTCAAGAGCTTCACAGAACGAGCTGGCTTTGCGCGATGTGTTCCGGCTCAACAACGAACCGCGAGTAACGGAATTGCATACTAGTGGCTTGAACGCGAGACGGGCAAGTAGCCAAGACGGCGATGAGAGCGACGAGGATAAAAACCAGGACAAAAGCCCAATTGCTGTGGAAACAAGCACCAACATTGCGAATCATGGCGCTAGTACCGACGAAGATGTCACGATGTCTGAAAGTGATGAAGGTATAAACACAGCTCTCATTCAGCGATTCGAAGAGCAGGCTCACGAAAAGCTGAATGAATGCATAAGAGTAATTGAGGGCAGGCGTGATGGCCTACTTCAATCTTTCGAATCTGACAATGCTCTTCTTCAGCAAATGCAAAGTAATAACCTCGAGAGCACCGATCCCGATTTTCTTTCTAGCATAAACAGGCTTCAGCGAATTCGTTTGCGGGCTATAGAGATGGAAACTTTACAACTGCAACGCGTGAAACTGTACTTCAAGAACAGAATGTCAGAGTTTAGGTCATTGGTACGCAATTATCTTATGGCACAAGCAAGAGGTGAGTACATGGAAAACCCTCTTAAAGTCTCAAGAAGCATGTTCAAGGTATTGAACCCCCATTTGGCCTCTGGCAGGAAGCTAGCGCTAGCGGGCAAAGGAGATGACATAAATCGAATTGACGTCATGGGGTTGCGGGAACGACTTTTATACCCGTTACATCAACCCCCTGCTAAAAAGAAGTTTCCATTGAAACAGTTACCTGCAGAAATTTTGAGTCTAGTTCTGGATAGGCTCTCTCAAAAGTCGGAGGTTGTCAAGTTGTTATCCGTATGCAAGCCTTGGGCGGAAATAATAGTAAAGCTATTATATTACAGGCCGCACATCAATAAGAAGGCTCAGCTTGAATCATTCATGGCTACAATGCAGATGCCGGCTTTTCAAACAACTTTCAACTATCGGGCAATGGTAAAGAGGTTAAACTTCTCATTCGTTGGTGATTACATGACAGATGACCAACTAATACATTTTGTCGGCTGTCCTAATTTGGAGAGGTTGACTCTCGTCTTTTGCAAGCACATCACAAGTTCCTCAATATCTCTTGTCCTTCAAGGCTGTAAGTTTTTGCAGAGCGTTGATATAACGGGCATCAAAGAGGTGTCCGATAGCATTTTCAATACTTTGGCTTACCAGTGCCAGCGTGTACAAGGATTTTACGTCCCACAGGCCAGAGATGTTTCTTTTAGTGCACTGCATATGTTTATTACGCATGCTCCATTACTCAAAAGAGTCAAAATTACTGCCAACGTTAATATGAATGACAATCTTGTTACTCTGTTAGCTACCCTGTGTCCTCTCCTCGTGGAAGTTGATATAACTCTATCACCGAATGTTCACGACCAGAGCCTTGTGACACTGTTTTGCCAGCTAACGCAATTGAGGGAATTCAGAATAACTCATAATTCTAATGTCACGGATAAGTTTTTGAAAGAATTAGAACTCAAGGTTGATCATCTGCCGGCTCTGAGACTCATCGATCTTTGCGACTGTGAGAACATTACTGATAAAACCGTTGAGAGGCTTGTCTCCTTTGCACCAAAGTTACGAAATGTCTTTTTTGGCAAGTGCAGCCGAATCACGGACAACTCGCTCATACATTTAGCGCGCCTAGGCAAAAATCTACAGACCATACATTTTGGGCACTGTTTCAATTTAACTGATAACGGTGTAAGGGTTCTGATTCAGTCGTGCCCACGAATCCAGTACGTTGATTTTGCTTGCTGTACAAATTTGACAAACCGTACACTGTACGAACTGGCAGATCTCACTAAGCTGAAGAGAATCGGATTAGTCAAATGCTCTCAAATGACGGATGAGGGACTGCTAAATATGATAGCTCTTCGAGGGCGCAACGATACGCTGGAAAGGGTTCACTTATCTTATTGTTCGAACTTGACTATTTATCCGATTTACGAGCTTTTGATGGCTTGTCCTAAACTATCGCATCTTTCACTAACCGCCGTTCCTTCCTTTTTACGGTCCGACATCACAGCATTTTGCCGAGCTGCCCCGTCAGACTTTAGTGATAACCAAAGACAGATTTTCTGCGTGTTCTCAGGAAAAGGTGTCCATAAATTGAGACATTACTTAATGAGTTTGACTGCTCCTACCAACGGACCACAAACAAACGTTCGCGAAGTCTTGACCAATTTCATTGTTCTAAAAAGTCTAATAAAAGAAGGTGAAGATTTAGAAGCAGGCATGCGAAGAGTCGCAACTGAACTGAATCAGGAGACTCCTGCAATTTTAGCTGCAACACATAGTCTGACCCCACTTAATGCTATGAATAACAATGACTTCGCGTTTCAAAATATAAATTTTGAGAGACTAGAAGACGTTTTTTTCTCGCTGCAGCGTGTGCCGCAGGATAGAATTTTAGATGAACGTGATGTTGACCGCCTTTTTCCTCTCATTGATGAAGAGTTTTGTGAGGATCCAGATTCGGAACAATACGCAGGTGTAGATGGTTGCGTTGCTCCTGAAGCATCTGAGGATCTCAACAGCGAACTAGCTCAAATGGTGAGGAAGTTTCATGACTTACAGGAGCGCGTGTGCGATTTCGAAGTGAATGTTGCAAGCATGGTTAGAGTCCAGTTTCAGTTTGCGGGCGCATTATTAAACGAAATGACTCATATTTATTTCCAAATGGTGGATCTCAATCGGTGCATATCTCAGATACAATCAAGAGTTTATGACATGGGTGATGAGAAGAACCTGAAGGGGCTCACTATCTGGCGCATAATATGGCAGGAGAAATTTGATCACATGCTCGAGAAGTACGAGCTGACAACTGTTGTCCTCAGACTATATTTGAGAGACAACGTAGCTGCATTAACGCGACAACGAGAACTCTTTTTAGCTAGACAACGAGTACCAGTCGATCAACAAAACAGATTGGAGGGAGGTGAGTCTGCATCTTCACCTCCTGACGCTAATGCCTGGCCTGCTGACCAAGGCGATCGGAGTAACCCTTGGAGAAGATTTGAGATGCGAAATGAAATGCGGATGATTCAATTTGGACTTCGGGGACTTCCTGTTCCACACGACGATTTGCCTCCTATCCAGACCTTTTTCCCAAATACCTTGGGACCCACTGATACTTCACAGGATGAAGATGAATATTTAGAAGATGCATAAATGTAAGTCTGAGAGCATTTTTAGCGTACACGGATTTAACTAATACGAAGTACTCCAGATACTATTGTGATCTTGGACTGTTTGTTGGTATATTGTAAGTTTCGGCCATTTTTAGTAGAAAGTCATCATTGTCTATGTTTTCTAAGTAACTGCGAGCTACTTGAAATTGCCTCTCTAATTTCGCAATTTTCATTTTGTAATCCCTGTCAAACTCTTCTCTCAGCTCAAGCTCCTTTCTGTCAATCCAAGCGGAAAACGTAAGTTCCTTTTCAACCTGAGGCATATGCTTAACGAAAAAGCTTAAGTCTCCATCTATTTCATTCGACAAGGAAGCATCATTCAAGTTGATATACCTGAGCAGCTTACGAAAATAATTACCCAACAATGCACGGCTTTCATCTAACCTGCTGTAAGTAATGTCCCCGCGATCTGTGGAGACATTATCTTCGCGGACTGCCGAAGGATTCAGCGATTTGTCCGTTGTTGATGCATTCCTCGTTTGCTGAGCTTGAACAGCATCTGGCGCTCTAATGACGGCGGTTGATTCCTCAATATGATTGTTTTTAATTTCATTTTCAGAGTTCGATGAAAGTCTTTCGTAGTTCGGTCTTCGTCCTACAAGGATGTTTATGCTATCGCCCGGTAACCTCTCGGTAGCAAGGGAGCTCACACGAAGACTCCTAACCGTACGTTCCTCGGAGGTCTCAGAGGTCTCCTCTAATATTTTATCAGACTTAACCAAAGAACTGTCATTTTTAGCGTTTGCCGAAAGTTCAACTGCGCTATTTGGAGTCGCGTTATTGATTAGCGAGCTGAGTTCAGCAGTAAGCCTATCGGAGAGGTCCATTTTCTCCTGTGCGCCTATAAAAATGGACTTCTTGGGTGGGTTTGAAGGTTTAGAGGCATCTGACCGCGGAACAACATCTTCATCGTCATCGTCCGAGTCTTCACTTATATTCACGTTCATGTCGATATTATCAAGCACTCCGATAGGAGGCTCGTAGCTCTTGGATGCGGGAGACAAATTCACAGCGCCATTATCTAACGATGAACTTTCCTGGTTCTCGGGAGTATCCGAGTGACCAGTGTTTTCTAATTCGGGTGGAAACTGGCGTTTGCTGTTAATTTTCGATTGAAAAGCACTCTCTGGAATAATGAACTCACTATTACCATGTGTACTAAAACTGAATGCGTCGAAACTATCATCTATAATAGGATTCCGGGCTTCATTTTTGCTTTCTGGTGTTCGGTTATTGAAATTTAATACGATGCTTTTTGTAGAATTAACGTCACTATCGACAGGATCCAGAATGTCAGCCGCAGCGACATTTTGATTTTGCCTTATCCTAATTCGTCGCTTTGGGGGAGTTTTATCTCCATCTGCTGGTAACAAAGCTTCATATTCTTTGAGCGGCTCATCGATGTTTTCGCGAGAGGTGTGTTGACTCGTTTGAGCAACGCTTGGCGATTTAGATTGCGGGCGCGCCAGCGGCTCAACAAGAGGCGGCGTTTGAGCCGTTATCGACCCCATCAAATCATTCGAATTAGCTTTAGTAGACGGCGGGGACATGCTGTTTGTTAATTGACCTTGTTCGCCAAGTGATGAAAAGTCCTTGCGCGGCCTCCCTCTGGGTCGCTTTTGTTTGACTACACTGGGATCTTCATCTATAATTTTTTTGGGTCGACCCCGCTTACGTTTTATTGGAGGTGGCCGCTCGACCTCGGAGTCAGGCATAGGGTTGCTGTTGGCGACATCAGGTTCGTCTTCCGTTTGTTTCTCCTTTCGTGGGCGCCCACGCTTCTTCAATTCCCGAGATGGTTCGCTACCATCACGGGATTTCGGTCTACCTCGTTTGATCTGCGATTCTTCAATTGACGTTTGGTCCTCAAACTTCTTTAGTTGTGTTCCAAAAGTTTCATAGTAGTCCAAAGAAGGCAATACGTTTTCATCACTACCAAGGCCTTCAATATCATACTTTGATTTCATTTCTTGAATAAATTGTGTGTCTGCCATGGTCTGAAAAAAGTGACATCGTCCACCATTAGAGCAAACGAAATGTTCCCATACTGGGTCATCGTCCGGTTCCCAAGATCCTATAATCTTACTGCAGTATATGCAGTATGTTGCGTCGGGGTGTTCTTCTTGCAGCTCGGGAGATGACAACCCCAATTCGTAGCGTAGAAGTCCAGCTTTCGCCATTGACTTTGAGGAAATTGATCTTTCGCTTCCATGTATCCAGCCTTCATTAAACGTCCACTGTCGCAGTCTCACCATTTCGTTGCTGTGTGGATCGCCTAAGGACAGTTCTTCTCTCCACTCGATTGGCTTGCTCTTCCAGAAGGATTTGAGAAGCACAAGTTTAAGCGCTGAATGCAAACAACTGGAATGTCTTTGCAAATGTTTTTCTAAGACTTTGGCCAGCGTCGCTGTCAATGGCTTTACCCTGCAATCGTGAAAATCGTAGCTCTTGCCACCACAGAAAGAACAACTTACACAGTCGCGGCTCAAGATGTCGCCATTTATCGTGGGCTGGAATTCAAACCCCATTTGAGCCATAGCTTTCGTAGGGATTACTCGATATGGCCACGAACAACGTTTACCCTCAATGTTATAAATGTGGCAGAAGGAGTTATATCGATCCTGATATCGATGGAAATTTGGAGACATGATAAACAAACGCTAAAGTATCAATCGCCATTGAGCTTTCTTTATTTCCTCGTCGACTGCTTTCAGATCAATGATGTTTATCGCGAACATCAGTATTTTTTCATCAATTATTAAACTTTATGAAAAGGAAAACATTGAACATCCTCATATCGTAGGTAACCAAAAATTTTGGACTATGTACACTTGCATTTGTAGCTTATTTATGAGATCAAACCTGCTTCAATTGCAAAAAACAACCGTGTCTAAATGGGAATTTACTTCTTTGTAGGTGAAATCTATTCGGAATCCTCGTCTTCATCATCAGATTCGGCGGTTTGCAACCAGGTGATGAATGGTTTGGCAGCTCTACGAACCTTTTTGGAGACTTCCTTTGGAACAAATTTCTTCGAGCACTTTGTACCGAACTTAATGATAACTTCTTCCGAGACGACATCATTGTTGTACAGCTGAACCAGGATTTTAGGCAACGCAGGTATCAAAGCCTTGTGTTCCAGACCTAGGAATCTTTCGATACCACCCAAAAACTGATTCTCAAACTCTTCCGAGGTAAACAGTTTCTTGAAGAAAGCAGTGTGTTCGGAGATCTCTTCTACTATGTCCTCGTCAAACAAGGCCTGGGCGAGGACACAAGCAACCTTTGGTTCTTGCAGCAGATCTAGCTCAGAGGCTTTTTTATATAGATCAACATCGGATGGAATTTCCTCTTGTTTGAGGATCCATTCACCATATTCCTCTAAGGCGGATAGTTCCTCGTCTTCACCGTTAGCGGCACGTAATTCCTTGGCACGGGCTCTGATAGCTTCCTCCGACATATCAACGGCCCAATCATCATGATTGATTTCAATTTCTTGCAAAGAAGATGCAGCGGCGTTGATTTGACGAGCTAGTTCATCGTCATCAGAGTCACCTCCAGCTTCGGCGTCGGCCTGAGCGGATGATTGAGAGATACCTTGAGCGATATCACTGATGGAGACACCAGCACCACGAATGTTGGCTGAAGCCGTAGCGGCTTTCTTTTTGTTTTTGCCTTCCATAGACTCAGGAGGGTTTTTTAGAATAAATGATGACAACTTGTGTCTAAGATCCATGGGTGTTCTCTTACCACAAGCCTTACAGTTTCTGATCAAGTCGCCTGTCTTTGTGACGACAATCTCCGTTTCAGGGTTCTTACAACTCCCGCAAAGCACGAAACTGGAAATGAACTTATCCAAAACGTCTTGTAATTTGGCTGGTTCGTGTGCACCGTTAACCAAATATCTATCTTTATCGACTGAAATGCTGGTTTGAGCACCTAGTTCAAACCCGAAGTACTTTACAATGTAAGGAGAGGGTCTGTTCAGGGCACGAGCCACATCTGCGACGTTCAAGACAGCTGTCTTGATACCGTTACCTCTACCTTCTACCTTAGCCTGTAGAGGAGGCATTTTATAACGGTAGAAAGGGTCATTGTTGTCTCTGCAAATGTTGATGGACATGTTGGCACCTAAAATTCAGTCTGGAGAGGCGTTCCTGTGTTACAAATGGGTGGCGATGGTGTGAAATGGCTTACATTTGACGTGCTCAACTTAACAAAATTTTCATCTAATGAGTTAGTACAGAGTGATGTATATGAACCGCGATCAGTCCCGGTATAAAAATGCATATAAGCTGTCACAATAGTTCTGAGTTCACGACAAATTATCAGGTCAGCTCTATTCTGCCCGGTAGTAGGTATTTTTTTTGTACGTGTAACAAATATTACCTATTTTTCTTGATTTTAGAAACTCGATTTAAACACGATCTTGTTCCCTTGCACCAAGCTGAGACACTAGTACCCTAAAAAGTATTTCAATATATACGAACGGCACGTTGATAAGCTCTGATATCAATCCAAATACCGTCTTTGAAATGCGGATAGAGAAATTGAACAATCTGATATACTTTTAGCTGTTCGCAAATTATGAGATCAGGAATAGCCCAGGTGAGACATGCATATAGAATACCTTAATGGCGAGAACACTACAAGATAAAGATGTTTTATTTAGAAGCGCTGAAAGCATTCAAGATCTATTTACAATGCCCTGCTTTCCAACTTTTCTTTGCCTTAAGTCAGCTCTGCTCAAGGGCACTTCAGAAAGACATGCAGAACCTTGTAAAGTCCACCTCACACCCTTAGAAAAAGATTCACTTCAATTCCAGATTGCAAGCGTCTTCGCACAGGCATACGAGGCATACTGCAAGAAGTTCTCCCGTTCAATTATATCTGGCACAGTCCCTTTTGAAGATATTTAGATTCCATACTTTACAACGAATTTTCATTAAGAGATAATACCAAGAAGATCTGTAATAGGTTGTTGGTTTTAACAGGGTCATCAGCACAACCGCCTACGAGCTCCTCCACCATGGATATACTCAAAAATCGCTATTTGGCAATTCACTCTACAAAGCATTATACGCAGATCTCGCCCGAAGAGGTTATCACACTATGGACTCAGCTGAAAGCATTTCTTGGGGCTAGTGATAGCTCAATGACTGAGATTGAGTACATGTCTATGACTCACATGTTATTCGACCTCTCAATCTATGTGAGCAAAGATGTGGAGGCGGAGACAATATACAACACTTTTCGAGACCGGTTTGGTGCTAATTCACCTTACTTATTCGTCATGCGAGCATCATTAATGCAAGTGAACGAGGGTGATCGCAAGGCCGAGGACTACCTCACTAAACTTCTGAGCGAATACCTAGAACTCGAAACAGATATAGTAGGATACCCTTTAGTGAGCAAGAAATTGCTGGCGGTACAGCGGAAATCGTTACCTAGAGAGAAGTATATGGCCAAATTGCTGGATTTGACTGAGAAGTTTCCCGTGGACGCGGAAATATGGTACGCTCTCGCATTAGAGTACGCTACTTTGGGACAACTCGAAGAGGCAGCGTATTGCTTGGAAGAAGTGCTGTGCATCTCTCCCTTTAACTATATCGTCTTTGCACACCTCAGCGAATTGCTCTATTATAGAGCTTCAAAAGATTCCAAAAATAGGGAAGCTTTGCTGCAACAATCGCTTAATAATGCACTAAGAAGTGTAGAGCTTTCTGAAACTTTTGTCAAAGGATGGGCTTTTGCTGGGATGACCTCCAAACTATTGAGTAAATCTAAACTATTAACGCTTTCGAAAGTAAAATTGGAAGAAATTACACGAAGAGGCAACGAAACCGACAAGGCTACAGCAAAAAAAATTTTGGTTCATTTATAGCGTTAGAATCCCTTTAATGAAATCTAACTACTTTCGACACCCTTTTATGTGTCAGATTTATTACAGCTGCAAGAACTCGCACTCTCGTTTTACCAGCGGTAGCTGCTGCGCAACCCAATTACTGTCCCGTAAAATGGCTTTGGGATCTCTACCATGACCAGAGTTTTGTTTGGTCAGAACAGCATTATAATCGTTCTCATGTTCTTTGTATTCCCTTACAACCCTGTTCTCATCAAATTCAACGTAAACTCTTGTGTCATATACCCGAAATAGAACACCGTCGACTCTGAGGAAGAAGCGACTCAATATAAGTGCCCTTTCATTCATAACACGCACCTTGACGTTCACGACACTGATTCCATTATCTGCCAGCTCATCTTCAAACAAAATCATGTCATCGTAGAAGAGAATTGGGTCAGGACGGGTCAGCTTGTCAAGCGGTAGTTCGATCGAGTCGTCTCGCGTGAAAGGTGGGTTATCGCTTGCAAGTGAGCCTTTGTAGTTAGTGGTATAAGTCCAATCGTAGTGTTGCCCAATCTCTAAAGAATTGTCGTCCAGCTCGGACGTACGCTGCTGCTCTTTCTTTGACTTGATCCATTTATGAGCGTATGAAACTCTAATCCCGGAATCTTCAACTTTGACTGCCTTCAATGCATCCAGTGCATTGAATTCCAGGCACCATCCCTTTTTCTCGTTTTCGATCCTCACAAAACTGTTACCAAATATCATTTCAGGCAGTGTCAGCCCACCCAAGATAGTTTCCCACTCATCAAGTTCCTTTGAGTTCAAAATTGGCTTCTTTCTGGTGCTTATTGTCCAGTCTTCGATTGATATTGAGGGTGTATCTTCCAACGGTAGCGTAGCCTTTGGAGCCGGAATGATGACCGCTGAGCAATGTGGACATGCTGGATTGTTAGGATTTTTGCACCTGTGACGGTTTGGCCTAGGAATGGTGGCTATGTCATGACCTACTGCAACCTGAGGTTTGTTCATTGTGGCAGCAGGACTTCGTGGGTCTCGAGCCCGTACTGTTTGTGCAAAGGCTTCCCGCGCCTGGTCGACGTAAATTGCGCTTATTCCATGCCTTGGCACTCTTTTATTGTCCATGTTCTCTTGAAGAACGATTCTTAGCGAATCTAAAGGTCACCTAGAAATGAGGATACCCAAAATATTTTCCTGATGTTCAATTTCACTTCAAATAACCAGTAAAAATTTACTCAAGAAAGGGTTCAGAATATGATTCATAGACAGCGGTTGGTCAGTATTCTAGCTGCGATTTCGATCGTCACGCTGTGGTTTGTATTTTCGTCTAATAAACTCTCGTATTCCACCAGCAATGACATCAACCCGAATACGGACACTTCAAGTACCCAAGTTGATGGTGCTAAAGCGCCCAAACCAGTCCTCGGCCAGGAGAAGATAGGAAACACAAAACTTGAGTCCATCATGCCATCGATGCCTGATCAAAAAGCTAAAGAAGAGCTAGGAAGGGCTTCTTGGAAGTATTTCCACACAGTACTAGCCAGATTCCCAGACGAACCTACGACCGAGGAGCGCGAGAAATTGAGCCAGTTTTTACAATTATACGCCGAACTTTATCCATGTGGAGAGTGTTCGTATCACTTCGTGCAAATGCTAAAGAAGTGGCCCCCACAAACGTCTAGTAGAATTACGGCAGCGATGTGGGGTTGTCATATGCACAACCGTGTGAACGAGCATCTAAAGAAGGACGAGTTCGATTGTTCTAGGATTCTGACAGATTATGATTGTGGTTGCGGCGGCGAAGATGGTAAGATCGACGAAACCTTAAAGCTGAACAAAGTGTCGCTACAAAAAGAGGGCAAACAAGGGGGTTGAAAGTCCAAAAAGTGAAGTAGTTTCTAAATGTGTTATGAATAGCAAGGCTCTGGCAGCTCTATTACATGATGACACAGCAGCTGCTGTCGCTAGAACTTCCTCTTTGCGCGCGTCTATGTAAATTAGGATTGTTGATCCTGTGTGGGTTAGATCCTGGCATTGGATGGCCCCAGATCTCAGGGATGGCGTAATCTTTGTGGGAAGTGGCGAAGTCTATAATTGATAAGCATGCATTGGAGGCGGTAATTCTATCTCTGGCCAGCTCTTGTTTCAGCTTCCGGTTTAACTCGTTGATCCGTTTTAGCTTTAGATACTGGATCTTTAGCGGGATATCTTGATCGTCCATGTTGCGAATAAAGTATCACAGCGAGGTTTGCTGGCGATAATTGTTTTGTGAGTGTGAATATAATAAATAAGGAAAGGTGGGTTTCTAGTGACGAGGTCAAACTTTTTGAGGATTGATTCAAGAATTGCCAGATTTTATAGAACCATTTCAATCAAGTATTGGTCGACAGAAAAGTTGAGCGTCACAATAGTTTGGGTGTCAGTTGTCGCAATTGCTGAGATGCTTGTTGCTTGATTTAAATCATTCAGTGACGCGGCTTGTTTGATACTGGGGCATAAACAAGCCGTATTTCGAAGCGGCCACACCTCAACATGATATTATAATGTATGTAGCGCTTCTTGAGGGTACCTGATCTAAATGGTAGAACAGGAGTCCGGTGGCCGCCGGGTCTAGGCTCAACAGCGGAGAAGGGAACTCGTGAAGTTAGGTAGGATTATAAATTAAAAATTGTCAAGGTTATGCCCAGATAGCATATCGAAGGTGCATCGCTTTTGTAGCAGCATTGTGCCAAGGTCGTGAAGCACTTACAGAAGGGCACCTCTTCGGTTGTTGTGTAGACGCTTTCGAAGGTGTCAGTTACGTAGGTAGTGATTCATATGCCATATGATGATCTTTGAAAGGTGGCCAAGTTGATAGCATTTTTACAGCTGGAATACAAATCCAATGCCGGTAATGTGTGGAAATTTCTTGACAGACTTGCTCGTGTAATGGTGCCTGTTTTTACCGAATTTTCTTTTAAAAGTCAGAAATTATAAATGTCGAATTTTTGTCTTAATTCATTTGGGCCTAGATATGTCAATCGAAGTATCTTCTGGACCCTCACTGGCTCAAGACTGTGCGGATAGCTTGATTCGTTCATTCATCGAGAGCACAACTAGATGCGAATATGTTTATCACATCGTACGGAATATGCTGTCTCTTGATTTCAATTCAATCGTTACCATACAAACCTACAGATCAGAACCGATTTTGGCTCCAGCTGGCATTGCACTAACGAATCGATCCAAAACATACAAATGGAACATCCCGCTTACACATTGGCCGCTTTGACCGCCTTGGGTGGCTCCATGGGGTACATTCGTAAGGGCTCCAAGCCATCGCTGATCGCTGGTTTGGCTTTCGGTGGCATTTACGGGTACTCGGGCTATCTATTGAGCCAAAACGCGGACTACGGACTGGAACTGGCGCTGGGTGCCAGTACGTTGATGCTTGTTACCGGTATCGCCAGGGGAGTTCCATCGCGCTTCAGAAAGCCAGTTCCCTTGGTTTTGACGGTCCTGGGTGGTTTAGGCACCGCTTTCTACACCAAGAAGTACAACGAGTTCTACTAGAGCGCCGAGGGTGGCGTACACAAGACAAATCCAAACTGTCGCCCTGTATAAGCACTTTCTTCTATATTCAGTCTTAAAACATCAAATTTCGCTTATATGGTATATATACACTAAGCACTAGTACATGTTTGTGTGTGTGTGTGTGTGTGTGTGCGTGGCGACTCGTAAGTGCGCTATGCTTTATCGCAAATGCGTTTCCACTTCCCTGGCACCGCCTGCGATGCCCCTAATGCATCCGATCCTTGGATCGGCTACTTAGATTTTTCTCGCGGCCTCCAGGCTGCCAGTGCTGTTCTTTCTGCTGGAAGGTGCCGATACTGGCGAAACGGCTGGGATAACGAATGGGGTGGAAACTTCGGAGGTCAATACTAGAAAAGCCATTGTAAAATATGTGTGTTTGAGTGTTTGTAGTTGTGTGTTGGAAACTGTTGAGAACTGTGGTAGAGTTCTGGAGAGATCTTTGCTTACTGCTGTTCTAAATCCAAACGAACTACATCTAATCTGGTCAAACTACGTCCTTCTTATATACTTTACTCTTCTACACCCTCGTTGCACTAACCTGGCTTATCTTACTCGTTCGTCCATGGTCATGAACTTCCTGACCAATACACGCTTCATGACCAATCTGTGCCATAATTCCATGACTAACGCACTTTAATTTCCACCACCTTCTTCCATGAGTTGATCACACATATTTGACCATTAGGTCACCACCTCATATGCGAGCTCGTTCAAAACTCAATTTGCAGGCTGAGCGAGAACGCGCGGAAATTGATGTGCGCCTGGGGGAAGGGAAGGACAAGCGAGCGAGTACATGTGTACTTTCGAGAGTAATGTCACGTTACCGGGGAACACGTGACTAGGTGTATTCTGCGTATATAGTGACTTGCGTTTACATATCACTTGGTACTTTTCTGTCGCCCGGTGGCCGCGCATCGCATCGTTTCTATGCAGCGTGCTGACCGTTTGGCTAGGGACAGCCTCCCTGAGCATGCGTTGCGGCCAGCTTCGGAAACGCGTTTGTCTTGCTCACCACCAACGCCCGGTTCGAGTGCGAGAGATAGCCCTTGATGTAGTTTTTACTAATGAGATTTGCCAACATGCACTCCGTGCTATCCAGTTTTTCCTCCGGCACCTGTTTTACGCCCTGATGGCTTTCACTTTTGGTGACAGCCGCCGCCACGTATTTCAACGACACGATGGGGCCAGACCCGAAGAACTGGAAGCTCAGTTTCAGTACTTTCAGTAGAACAAGCTCTCTTATCATGACCATCGCCACAAACAGGTTTTGACGTAGCAGAAATGACTCATTCAAATCCAGCCATTTTCCAAACGTGAAGAGGTCCCCATTTTGAAGACACTTGATCACCGGCTCGTAAACCCCGGCAACCAGAGGGTATTTGGCTCGCAGTATCTGCAAATCAGGATACCATTTGCGCGCCAACATCGCAAATGGCACCAGTAACAGCATAATCGTGTTTTCCTGGGACCCACCTTTCCCCCGCGAAGAAAGCCAGGCTTTCCGTGCAAACTCATAGCCGCGTTCGAAGTCTATTTCATGACATCCATAGTACTCGGCCATGTAGTAGTAATAAGTGACTAGCTGCGCCTTGTTCAATTGCAAAGCATTTTCCGGTGTGGGTAGCTCCGAAACTCGACTATCCATGACTTTGACCAAGTTTCGTACCATGTCTCTGTTGTACAACATTTTATAGATCTTGAGCTCCAGGTTGGTGAACAAATAGACCCCCCATTTCTTGTTCTCGCAAGCGTTGGGGTTCCTGTCATTTAGACACAGCTTAAAGCTTGTATGAATAGTTCTGACGCACTTTTCTAAAAACTTCTCATCCTCCAAGTCCCCTTTTGCTTTCTGCTTGTTAAAGCCGGCAGAACGTAGGCTAGCATTTTGCTTATCGAGTAGTTTGCTTATCCCCAGAAGCTGTTTGGCGCACAAGTACATTGGATCAGTGATCCAAGCCGTCTCCCCATCCGCTAGCCTATTTAAAAGCTTTAATTGCTCATTGCCCAGGTCAAAGAGCTCAACAGTAAGTCCATTACTCATACAATTTGTTGAAAACTCCTGTTTCAATTCCAAAGTGTATTGAAAAAACTGGCGTAACTTTTCGTTCTTGACTTCTCTCAGCAGCATTGTTCCGCTTGGGTACGCCGTGTCATACCTTATAAAGTTTCTTAAGATATCGCAGGAGAAGCGATGCTCGAAACATTGTATAACGGTATCCATCTCGAGATCAGTGCTCTTTATTACCTTTCTTAATTTATTCTTTTCATCGCAGAACGAAGTTCATAATATTCAAAATGTAAATAGAGTAGCTCACGAATCAAATGCATCAAAACAAATTTCTGAAGTTTCCATTTACATCAAAGGAATGTCAGGACAGCGAGTAATAAGCGAATCTACTGGACTGTACAGGCTGTCAATTGTTAATAAACAAAAAAATACCGCAAATGAAGTTGATAGCGCTAACCAGGAACCACTTCATACCGAGATGCCCAAGAAAGGATTGCCGCTACAATCTCCAATTCGATCAACTGCAAATAAAGAAAACTCAGCTCAATCAGATTTGAAGCAAGATCTCGATAATCCGAATAGCTTTTCTGACAAGCTATTATATGATCTTGCGACGAAAAGAAGGCAAGTCGTTGAACTCAAGGAACAACTATCAAAGGCAGAACGAGAGCTCGATACTCTAGAACACAAATTCGAAGCAAGAGGCGAATCCGGGAATGCTCTCCTGTCTCCGGAAAAATTCCAAATGCTAACTTCTAGATTGCAACAAAAGATAGAAGATGTGAACAGCAATCCCCGGGTCATCAAAAGTAAACAAAGCATCAGCAATTTCTTTCAACCGAGAAGGGTCTCTACTGAGCCATCTGCGAACACTCCTGAGAGCAAGCCTTCACGATTGCAATTTACCAGTAACAAGGTTCAGAATCAAAGGCAACAACAGTCGCAAGCGCCGTTCCTAGATAAACTAAGAAGCAAATGGCAGGAATTTGCAGTCAATGAGCAGGATGAGGACAAATTTGATAGTGAGAGGCCCGTTGAGGAGTACTACATCAAGAGCAAGCTGGACTACGATGATGAAGAAGAGATCCCCACGGAAACAGAGTCCGATGCCGAATCCAAGTTAAGTGACATGGGAGGCCAACCTGTGATATCTACGTTCAAAAGGAATTCCGAAGCAAGTTAGTAGATAAACGTTTTTCGAAGTTTACGAAACAATTTGTATTTCTAATAAAGTTTTATTTCTTGTATCGATAGTTCTTAATCTGTTACAGATATCTGTGAATTTTCTTTATGTTTCATCTGCTGAAAGTGTGCGCAACAAAAGCCTGCGTTGCTTTCAAGGCTTCATATTTCACCTTCGAATCTGGGTGATTGAGCAGCTCCATGATCAACACTTTGCCGTTCAACTTGGCCAAAACATCCACACTTTCAGGCAATAGCTCGACAACATGAGTAATGTCACTCAAAGCAACTTGAATGGCAGTTTTTGTAGAAAGCTCATTATTTGGACTTGCCAAAATAGCAACAAGTTTCTTGAATAATTTCCAGTCTTGCTCCTTGAATTTATCAATATTGTCAGACCAAAATCCGTTGTCAACGTGAGGTGGTGACCAAACCAATAACTTTGAATTAACCTCGGCTTCATATTCGTCAAAAGACGTCAATTCCTGATAGGTCTCTTCCAACAACTCTTTCAAAGTATTGAGATCTTGACGAAGTTCGTCATCTGAGTATTTTCTTTCACTGAGAGACTGCAAAATAGGAAGTGCGTTCCCTAACAACAATAGCTGACGGATTGACGACTTGTGGCCCTTAACGTGTGGAGCCACGCAATTGAGGATAATTGCAATACACAGTCTGGAGAGTTTTTCCTTGATAGTGATCTTAACGAGCTTTAGTAAGTTTAAGAAGTCCGAGAGATACTTGACCACAAAGTCGGAAGCTATTTGGTGGTCAAAAGTGAGGAGCCATAAAGTCAAAAGTGAGTAATACTGAACTTGAACGCCCAAGTTGTTGCTGTTCGTAGGAACTACTCTCGTGGCCGAGCTAGCTTCCACGGCCTTGCTGAGAACTCCAAGAAGCGTGGGCATAAATTGAGCCTGCGATGTCCAAACAATATGTCTGTATTCCTGCAAGGCCGACAATTCCTGTAGTAGCCTAATGCAGACGTAACTGGTATCCATGTGGTCCGTGTTTTGGAGAACTGCAATGAATCGTTGGTGCTGCAACAACAAAGCAACCAGATCAGGGTTTCGCAAGCCCGGTTGAATCAATAGGGACACCAAGTTGAAGCTTGAAAGAAGTATGGTTTGGTCGTCACCGGATAGGGACGCATTGAATAAATCGAACACGGCCTGAGGATTTTTCATGAAATACTCGAACGTCGCGTCTGCGTATTGATCGGAGGATAAAAGTTCCGCTAGCAGGTTGTCGACGAATTTCTTGACTTCGGCGTTGTGAACGGTCTCTATAATATGAATCGCCGAAGGCACACATTCCGCAGGAGAGATTTGAACACCGGTGTGTTTAATCAATGCACTTTCGAGTTTCTTGGCTACAGTTGCGTCCGTTTCATTGATCTCTGCGGATCTAGCCAACGCATCCCACGCAACGGACCGTGAGCTCACGGTGCTACGAATATCGCTGAAATGAGTGCTATCCAGTAGCAACTTGGTGTGTTTTGGAATTGTCATTGCCACGAAAACTAGTTTCACTCGACTGGGTTAGTGATGTCTTCAAGTATAAGATCTTGTCTTCAAGACTTTCAACTGGTAGAAATAAAAGGTATCGTCACTTGATTGCAGAGTACCACCACCCTTACCGGTTGCAAATTTTGAACGAACCGGTGAGGGTAACCAATCTATGACGGGAAAGAGTCTGGAGATTTAAGACGGACTAGAAAGTCATAGTGCTAGCGTTACCGGTGTCGAGGACGTTGATGTCAAAGCGCAAATAGCAGGCTCGCCGACTTGAATTTCGGAGTTTTTTTGGGGAAGTTTTTGCAGGAACATAAGTTCTCTTCAAGATTAATTTGCGTCAACACTTGACTTTGGCCTCATAAGGATGGCCATGAGAGAGAGAAAGACTGACAGTGGGCTATCGGAGAATTCTAGAGAAGGAGGCGGGAACAGAAGGGAAGTTATTATTCATTGACGAAAAAGTATGGTGCCTTTATACGATATCTGCTTCCTAAAGATTAGCACCAGTGCACGGCTCTGTGAGCATTGGCATACCGTTGAGCCCTCCTTACTGCAGTTCTTATGGCATGTATTTTACAGCCTGACTTGGCCCCGAGAGTTCGCTATAAAGTTTACCGATAGTCTCGTTCTGCAGTTTGTACTTGGTCTTCAGGAGCGCGAGGGGATGTAGATTCTAACAATCTGGGCGCGTTTAAATGAAGATCAGCTTGTTTCAATTGAATTTTGTGCGTCAAAGGCATTTCTGTTCTGGCTTTGTCGACTTTAATCATCACGAGCAGATATCGTCGACAGTAATAATAGTGGTATTATAGCGGCAAGTACGGATCTTCCTGAGCAGTATATGTGTAGCTCTAATTGTAGAAGCCAGTTCATTTGATATGTCTTAGCGCGCTGTGTACTCCTTGCGACAGATCGACTCTATGGGGCTGTCCAATGAAAGAGAGATTCCACAAATGATCTTGAAGCACATAAACGAGAACTCGGCTGCCTTCTCGACTGGTTTCTTCCAATAAGCGAATTTGTCTGTGTTTTATAGGATTGCGACTCAATAGTACACAATGATATGGCAAATAAGCTGATCGCCCAATCACTAGCATAAATTGACCATCCGAACGTGATAGTGAAGCACTATATTGTGCGCATGTGAGGTACTTGGTCTTGAGCTTTCCGGGCGCTCAATTCAATAACTCTCAACCTACCAAAGGCTCAATTCCACAGACATGAGGACATTAGTTACTGGCGAAACATCTAGATCGTCTGGAGCTCTAGAGTTCAGTAGCCAACGCAACAACGTACAAGGCCAAGAGGTTAGTTAGACTATTCGACTTCACTAGCGTCTTCCGGGAACAAAGCATAGTACCTGACAGACACAACAAGACCCACCAATTCACCAACGCAGTAGGCACAAACTCTCGAATGCCTCGCTCTTCGAACTCGCATGACGACAGTATTGTGGCATGAACATGGAGCAGTGAATAGGCGCAAGAGGTCCGCAAATTATTGCAGATACTACGATCGCTCTTGCAGCACCACCTCAGATCACTAATATTCCAAACTCTTTACTTTATGTCTATCACAACGTTCTTTTCATACCTAGCATCTCTAATACCCCGGTATGCGATGTTATTTAAAAAGTTACTAAAATAGTGATCGCCTGGATCAATAATATACAGCTTCGTGAAGGATGCGGGAGGGTAGGGTGGGAAATAAAAAGTTCAAGAACCACACCAATAGTCTTCATTCAAACTCATAAACTTTCTCTTTCGAATTCCTTGGTCATGTTAGCATCATCAATGGCACCGCAAACGGTTTCAACCATGATACCGGTTACCAAGTATGGGTCGATGTTGGAGGCTGGTCTTCTGTCCTCGAAGTATCCGTATCCTTCCTTGGCGACAGATCTTGGGATTCTGATAGAGGCACCACGGTTGGCAACGCCAGAGGAGAAACTTGTAGCAGAGGCGGTTTCGTGACGACCGGTTAGACGCAAGTCGTTGTCAGCACCATAAAGTTTGATGTGCTCGAGATGTCTCTTGCTGAGTCTGTCGATGGCATCCTCGATGTATTTCATACCGCCTGGAGCACGCATTTCCTTGGTGGAGACGTTGGTGTGGCAGCCAGCACCGTTCCAGTCGCCCTGGAGTGGCTTTGGGTGGAGAGAGATGGCGACACCAAACTCTTCGGCAACTCTGGTTAGCAAGTAACGGGCCATCCATAGCTCGTCACCCATGGCGATACCGGTGCAAGGTCCGACTTGAAATTCCCATTGCGAAGGCATCACTTCGGCGTTGATACCGGAGAGGTTGATCTTAGCATACAGACACGCACGGTAGTGGGCCTCGATGAGGTCACGTGCGTAGACTTTACCGGTACCGACACCACAGTAGTAAGGACCCTGAGGAGCTGGGAACCCACCCTTTGGCCATCCGTATACTTTGTCGTTTTCGTCGAAGAGGGTGTATTCCTGTTCTAGACCGAACCAGATGTCGGAGTCGCGGTGGGCTTCGAACAACTTGGCGGCCTCGTGACGATGGTTGAACTTGTTTGGGGTGCCGTCGTTGTTCCAGCACTCGGTTAGCACCAAAATGTTGTCGCCCTTACGGAAAGGGTCTGGGTAGAAAGCCACGGGCTTGAGGTACACGTCGGAGTCGTGACCAGGCGCCTGGCCGGTGGAGGACCCGTCGAAGTTCCACTCTGGAAGTTCGTCGACGTGGTTGATTTTTTTGGATAGCGTGCGACCCTTGGAACGCACCTGGCCGGAACCGTCGATCCACACGTATTCGGCGATCACAGAACCGCGCTGGTCGAGTTCCAAGTATTTGGCGAGAATGGCAGTCTTTTCAATAGTGGGCAAAGACATTTTGTGATTATCGTTGTGATTGTGGTTGTAGAAAAAAAGATCAATTAGCTGACACCTGGGTGGTGTTTTTGGATGGGATGTCTTTAGTTCCTTGGAGTTTTTCGAGTCAAAATACACAAGAACCAATAACCAATATTTCTACCAGGTATCCCTTACGAAAGCGCTTTCTTTATATACTCCAAGCCTGGACTTGCTATCGACTTCCAAAACTAGAGCTTTGTTTATCGCTACCGTGCGCCCTTTTTCTCATTTCCCACCGTGTGCTGATAGCGATGTTTACATGCGTGATGCAAACACAGAAACTCAGTGCCAGAGACATTTGGGAAAAACGCAGCGGCCGGGTCACAGCTGATAAGAATGCTCATTGGCATAAACAAACACACGAATATAGCCGGAAGCACGGCTTCTGTGATATTCATGGCGTGCGAGTAGCGAGCCCGAAGAAGTTTACAGAGAGAGAAAAAAATACACTAGCTATGTATTAGCGTGTGTGTGTGTGTGCCATGGCACCGTTGCGGCATGGTTTCGTTCGCTTTGGTATGCTTCCTCGCAAAGTGCAATTGCACTGTGCAGATGAAATTTGTGGAAACTTTCCTTTTTTTTTTTTCTTCCTAGTGGGGCTCGTCTAAATTTTTTTGATCCAAAAATTAACGCAGCGCTTAGGTAAGCAGGGCTAATAGAAGAGAGCGAGAGCGTGAGGACTAGGAAGAAGAAGGCGAGAGCTAGAAGATGAATGAATGAATGAGAGTAGGAGCGCCGTCAGTTTCTGTTTCTGTGGCCGGCCAGCGGTGTTCAAAGTGCGCCGGAAGGCAGGAGCGGGAAAATGGAGAGTGGCACTATATCTATTTCGAGCATCGGGGAAGGGACAGTAATGAGATTGTGACTCTACCGATCAGTAATGAATTTCAAGCTCTGCCGATCAGTAACGAGATCCAGCAGTGCTACAAACGCGGTTATACACGCTCAGCAGTGCTGAATTGCAAGCATCGGCGAATAAAGTGTGTGTAGTATCGCGCTACTGAGACGTAGCACTGCTGGGGGAAGATAAGCCTTGAATCACTACTGATCACCGAGTAATCGTAAACATCTGGCACTTGAAAGTAAATAAACAAGACTTGGCACTGCCGGGGAGGAAGATAAGACTTGTAGTCCTACTGAACAGCTGGGCTGGGTTTGGCACTGCCGGGGGGAAGGTAAGACTTGTAGTCCTACTGAACAGCTGGGCTAGGTTTGGCACTGCTAACAACGCCATAAGTTATTGTAGCACGTATGAAGTAGAGGCGCGTTTCAGCAGCCTAAAGCATGCAACACCAACAAAGCGCGTGTTTGTCGTTGTTTAGCGTTCCATTTTAGCCGAGACGAGTTTGATTGATCAATAGAAACGTCGCTGTTTAGCACTTCCACGGCAGAAATTAGTTCGTAGATGAGCGTTACGCACTTCGTAATTTTCCCAGTACGAGATCGACGCCTTGCTTCCTAGAGGATAAATGAGAACGGTACAGGCGGGGTGCAATTGTGCCAGTCATTTAGCGCTCTTATTTCATTAATCACTTTGCACTAAGCTGTCGTTGTGCAACTATCACCACCCACACGACATTATTCAGCTCTTGGATGATTGATTGAGCAAATTGATTCGACATCTCACCGTAGTTTGGCAAGTAGCCTCCCTGCGTTACCTTTGTACTCGTCTGTTCGCTTTAAATTTGCCAGCGTCATATGATCGCCCCGTGTCTAGGCTTTTCTGCCGTTAACTGTCCTAGGTTTGTCATTGCAACTGAAGATGCCTATCGGTGCTCTTGGATTTGGTAGCTTGGTCTTCCACCATAAGCTTTCTGCTACAGTTGGTGGCACACGGCAAATTTGCAAATACTAGGTGTCCATGGGCTGTAAATGTCCGATTGACATGCTCTTCCTGAGTAGCATAAGAGGGAGCGAAGATGTGTACGTAAGGTGTCTCAAGTTCGTGGGCTATATAAGATAGTAGTATGATAGCTAAGTCGTGCATGGTGTGCCTGATTAGATATTGTGGGAATTTCTATTGAGGAATGTCTGCGTTAGTAGTAGTTAGCTTGCTGAACGAGGCGTTTGAATCGTTCATGATGTGCCTGGTTTATGAATATTACAATGTGATATTCTATCTATCTATCAGGGGTGTTCGAGATGTAAAGAGTAGGGGTTCCAAGTAAAGAGGAGTGTTTTGACAGAGAGAGGAATATTTTGGCATGGAGTAGAGTCTCGACACAGAGAGGAGTCTCGACACAGAGAGACTTTACGACACAGAGAGGAGTCTCGACACAGAGAGGATTTACGACACAGAGAGGAGTCTCGACACATAGTACAGTCTCGACACAGAGTACAGTCTCGACACAGAGTACAGTCTCGACACAGAGTACAGTCTCGACACAGAGTACACTCTCGACACAGAGTACACTCTCGACACAGAGTACACTCTCGACACAGAGTACACTCTCGACACAGAGTACACTCTCGACACGGAGTACAGTCTCGACACAGAGTACAGTCTCGACACAGAGTACAGTCTCGACACAGAGTACAGTCTCGACACAGAGAATGAACCGTCGCTATTTATAACTTATTTTCATGATGCGTGTTGGTACGACAAGTATTCAGGACCATTATTTGATGCATAGCCTCCCATCCGAAGCAGTGTGGATATACGCGCCTCTCAGTACCAGTGTCTAGCCCTCAGCGCTCTTTTCCACTATCTGGATAAGGATACCCCGTCTTATCACTTTGTACCACTCTGTCACAACTCTTGGTTCCCGTAATAATTCCATTCCGGTCCAACTCACTACGCAACCGGCGCTCTCCAGCAACAGCACATGGAGTCTGAAAACCTTTTCGGGGGCCTCAAGACCGTTCCACCACCACCCGCACTCGACGACACAATCGTCCAGAGTGACAGCACCATTCCTGCTTCTCTTTTCCCACGCGTCTTGAGCCAGCGCACACGCTTGTGTGGCCAGCCCACGTCGTTCGTTCTCACGCCACGCTACGCCACGCCACGCCCTGCCGCTCCCTTCCTTCCGCTAACCGTCACAATCCGCTGAAATCCGCTCGATTTCCCTGCAACGGCCACTGCAATTGTGCTCTCAATTTCAATCCCAATTACCACCACGCTTTGACACCTTCTGCTCCTGCTTGTTGCTGTCGAGTACACAAATCTCGTTCGACTTTGCATCTGTCACTCTTCACGGGGTAGCAATGACGTGAGCTTCACGCAATGGAAAACTTGAGAAAACTGGAAAAATCGATCGCCACTAGTTTTATTGCTAACATGTTGGGGTCGTTCGTTTTTGTGACTGTAAGCGCCCCTAAAAAATGAAAGTATATAAAGCGAGGGTCCTGACCAGAGGAAAAGCTGTATCTGTCTAATAGAATCCTTGATAAATAAGATACTCCTGGATTTGTTAAAGAAACCAACACTACATAATTGTTGCCGATAGACGTTCATTGTAATATAGACAGTGATAAATAACAAATTCTTGATCAGCCCAAGACTCAGCCATAGTTTTCACCAACACACACATACAAACACAAACACAAGCATAAAATGTCTGACAAAATCACAGAAAAACTGAAGGCGTTCTCCAACAAGGTGATGAGCAGCGACAGCGCCGACCACAAAAAAACGTCAGAGAAGAAAAGCGTCGAGCCCCACGATGGCGACGTGGATCCGCTGCAAAAATCCAGCGTCGACCCTCGTGAGCACCACGTGACCGAGGACCAGAAGGCGCATGCGCCAGGAACACATTTGGAGCCCACAGAGGGCAAGCCCCGCACCAAGTCGTTTCTAGAGAACGACGGCATCGACCAGATGACGCCCACCACCCGCAAGCACCGCGTGTCGTCCATATCGCTGAGCGATCAATGGCGCGCCAACCAGGACCTGCATCCGCTGACCGCCATGGAAAGCGTCAACGACGGTGCTCCCAGCTCACGCTCCGTTTCGCGTAAGGCCTCCGTGGCTTCGCGTCGTGCTTCTGCCGTTCGCACTCGCAGACAGATTATCGATCACGACCGTGTCGCGTCGTACGCGTTTGCTTTCGATATCGACGGTGTCATTGTACGTGGGCCAGAGACTATCCCAGAGGCTCGCGAGGCTCTACGCATGCTAAATGGGCACAACAAATACAACATCAAAGTTCCATATATTTTCATCACCAATGGTGGTGGTAAATCCGAAAAAGCTCGTTGCAAAGATCTTACCAAGAGATTGGGCATCACCGTCACTGAGGACCAAGTCATTCAAGGCCATACCCCAATGAAGGACTTGGTTCCAGCCTACAAGAATGTTTTGGTTGTTGGTGGTGTCTTGGACTCTTGTCGTAAAGTTGCACAAGACTATGGTTTCCAAAACGTGTACATCCCTCTGGATGTGATGAAGTGGAACCCAAGTGTGACTCCATACTACCAATTGTCTGAAGAAGAGCAGAAAGTTGCTCGCGATGTTGACTTTTCGAAAATCTCTATTGACGCCATTTTGGTGTTTGCGGATTCCAGAAACTGGGCCGCCGACCAGCAAATTATCTTGGAAATTTTATTGTCCAAGCATGGTGTCATGGGTACAGTGGCACAGGACCCATCTGAAAACCATGTTGGTCTATATTTTGCCCACTCTGATTTCGTGTGGGCTACAGATTATGGTCTATCCCGTTACGGTATGGGTGCATTGCAAGTTTCCATTGCAGCATTGTATCAGGAGCACACTGGTCGTGAGCTACAAGTTACAAGATTCGGTAAACCACAACGTGGTACTTTCAGATTTGCCGAAAAAGTGTTATCCAACTGGAGAAGAAACACTCTCGAAGAGCACGTTGAAAACATGAACTTGGAAGATGAAGAGGATGGCGATGCCACGGAGTCCGAAGATGAAGCTGGCAACGATGCAGAAGGCATCACATTGCAGAAGGACTCCAAGCTACTATTGGAACTACCTCCTGCTTCCACTGTTTACTTCGTTGGTGATACCCCAGAATCTGATATCAGATTCGCCAACTCTCACGACTCGTCCTGGTACTCTATCTTGGTCAAGACTGGTGTCTTCCAGGACAACAAGACCCCCAAATATCAACCAAAGCATATTTGTGAAAATGTTCTAGAGGCCGTTAAGTTCGCAATCGAAAGAGAGCATCAAATGGAGTTGGAAGAATGGAACTCTTCCGCAGTTGATGCGCCAGTGGTGGAAGAACGCACTTCCAAAATAAGCGACAGGTAAACAATATTAGGTGCTAATCGCTCACTGCATTGTAATGGACGCATCATAATCGCAGCATCTATTGTTAAAACTATTTGCATTTAAATGAATATATATATATATATTAAAGTTGGGTTATATCAAGTATTTTCAATGAATAAGATAAATGGAGATCAGCAAGGTTATTTATTTGTGTTCAATCAAGTTCTATGAGTCGTATTGAGGTTTTCAAAGATAACTAAATGTGGTTTTTGTGAAGTGATTTGAGCACAGCCGCGCGATCAACGAGAGACAAAACGTCATCAATGTAAAAACACTTGGCTTTTAAAACCCGATAGCGCTTACGGTCGATGAGTATCGTTACCAAAACAGTACGATCAATATAGGCAATTAACAACAATATATGTAGCATTCAAACGTATACAATCATCATAAGACTGCTCCAAAACCAAACGTCAATTTGATGCTTCTTACGTAGTAATCCATAAAGTTGCCCTTCACCTTGTCCTCTTCGCCGACTGGGACTCCGCTCCAGGTGACCTGCAATTTGGTCTCATGATATTCCTTTGATTCGTGAAATTCCATGGCTAGCACACTTGAGTGGCCCTTGCGCCACTCGTTCAGGCGCCATTCAAAAACAAGTCGTTTGCCTAGATCGCATTCTACAAGTTTGCTAGTAACGTTGCCTCCAAATAGAGTGAATTCATCACCCTTTTCAATACTGCTCTTCGAACCCTCAGAAATTAAAGGAGATCTTGACCATGCTTGGACCCTCTGTTTGTCAAGGAATGTTTGGTAGAGCTCAATGGCGGGGACATTAAATGTTGGTTCCAAATGGAGGGTTGTGGTGTTGTAAAGCGGAGCATTCGAGGAACCAGATGCAGAACTAGTTTTGACGTTTTCGTTGCTCTTTGGCAAAGCTTTCGAGACTGTTGGAGCTGGAGAGACGGAGCCGCTTGTCTGAGGTTGCTGTAAATTGCCCTTTGTGAACTCAGATGCAACCTGACTGCTGGGAACTTGAATATCGTTTGCGTGCGCCTGTAAGAGCTCAGGTCCAAACTTGCTGAAGATATCCCGCAGTTGTGGGAGGATCTCTTCCTTAATCAAAGGCCTGGCTTTACTTGATTTTCCTGTTTCCTTGTAGATCGAAATTTCAAACTGGTAATCATCACGTTCCGAATCAAAGGCAATCTCCGGAATTGTGATACTACCTTCAAAATCCTCGTCATCAACATTACCTTTCATCATCAACACAACTTTTAAGTCAAAGAGCGATATCACTTTACCCTTGCGTTGGCTGACTTCACAATCGCCTTCCAATGAAGAAAGCGAAGTGATTTCGACGCTTTTTGAGTCGTTTGGCGCGCTTTTCACGCCAGCCGTTTTCTCTTCGAAGTACTGGCGTGCCCAGCTGATGCAATTTTTATCAACCCAGTGCCAGTTGTTGGGATTATGAACCACCATTTTTACTCAAGCTTGGTTCCAATGTTTTAGGTTACTCTCTTGTTTTCTAAAACTACTCTTTCTATGCCAAATATAGCCTGCTAGACATTAGAAAATGCTACTTATAAATGTATCCTGTAGAGCCCTTTGAAGTTTGTCTTCTGTTCTCGAAAATTCGGTCAGAGAGGTGTTGATGTCATATATGACGAACTTTGTATACTAGCCGCTACATGCTGGGAACTACATAAAATCAGAAAGTCCAGGCTGAAGGTTAGTAGTGGTCATTGATGGTAATCCACCACCCAGGAAGTCTAACATCATATGCATACCGCCACCGCTGTAATCATCAACGTCTTGCGGCAGCACTTGGGTGACGCCTTCCAGGAACCACACTTTGTCCTTCACTTCCGTGGCGAAGCCGCGCAAAAGCTGGTAGTAGCATCGCATGATCCGCATGGCACCCATGTCGCCGGTCATAAGCAACGCTAAAAACGTCTTGTCCAGCAGAGCTGGAAATGCAAATACTCGCAAAATAAAATCAGATTGATTTTTCTCATGGTGGAGCTTATCGAGGTATGCCAAAGTTATGAGGTACGGAGAATCGATCTCCACGGGATATAAGTCCGAAATACTTTCGTCAAAGCAAACTAGCTCGGATACCGTCCCACTATCCTGGTTGATAATGTCGCCCAGGTCGCTCAGGTCCACAGATATAAGGTTATGGAATCGAGATTTTTCCGTCAATGGCCATACTGCAGTCAAGATTGTGGCAGCTCCCTTAACATGAAAGATCCAAGCAGAGGGAGACATGGACGACACCAAAGAGTCTGAAGCAGACGAGCTTGTCGATGATGCATTGGCTAGCGAGTCCATAATCAGAATCAGCGCGCTTGCAACCAAAGCATCTGTGTTATCCTCTGAAATCTCTAATACTGCCTTCCGCAGTAGCCTCAGTGCATCGAGTCGATGGGCTGCAACATGCTGTTCCAAACCGGGCTCTTTCCTCGAGAGATGGGTAGCGCTGAATGCGAGTAGCGCGTGCATCAAAAATGGGTAATCAAATGCAAGTTTGGGAATCTCGTCACTCCATATGCGCTCACCACTGATTCCTGCGGATGTTATGGTAGGCCACGTCTCTGTGCAATAATGATGAAAAAGCTTCAGATCAACTAGATTCAAGGTTCCCTGATTTGACAGTTGAATCAACCTAGCCATTGTTCCTGGCTGAGAGTCCTCTGTTGACGTCGATTCTTGGGTGTTAGACTTATCCATCATCTTGCTGGTCAGAACAGGATTTTGGGCTGAGGTGGGTTTCTCATCGTAATACTCGCTATCACCATCTGGCGCTATATGTGGATTCACGGCTTTAGCCATTGGCGACATGGGTGCTGCTGGAGATATTGTGGGATTGTTTGCGAGGCTTGGAGTACCATTCGGATCGAGATTGGATGTGCTAGCACGATGCGTATTGCCATTTTGGTCTTCTGGCATATTTTGCGACCCAGGTCGATTTATGCTTTGCTGATGCTGATGCTGCATTTTAGCTAGTACTTCTTCAGCGGTGGCCGTAGCACTTTTTCCTTGGCCATCACCAGCACCGTTAGCTTTCATGCCCAGAAGTTCTTGGAAGTCATATGTAACACCGCCAATTCCAGCAGTAGAAAACATAGCCATTTGTTTAAAGCTGACGCCGGCTTTACTTAGAGTCTGCACCATCTCTTGTGATTGCAGTATCGAAGACAGCGGAGATGCTTGTGGGTGTTGATGTTGTTGACTGTGGTGATGTGATTTATGCGGAGACGACAGCCGCTGCTGTTGCTGCTGCTGTTGGTTCATGACATTGTTAAGTACGTTAGTTGGGAGTTTGTTGGCTGCAAAAATGCTGCCTATGCTATTCGTTAAGTTCATAGAGGTAGATTGGAATGGAGGGCTGTTAGGGAAGTCAAATCCGGCAAATTTTTCCGAATTACTCAAAGTCATCAGCTGCGGAAGCAGCTGCGGTTGCTGTTGTATTTGTTGTTGTAATTGCATATTCTCGCCTGGAAATAGAGGCGGAAGCAACAAGTTATCGGGGGAACCGAGTTGACCAGCAACCGGCGTTGGGAGTTGGGAGTGCCTTCGAGGGTCACCGGCAGCATTGCTGGGCTTTCTGCTACCGTTGACAGAAGAAGGTTCTTTCGCTTGCAACAAGTCATCGTTTTCCCCGTCGGACGAATCGAGACGTTCGGATAGATCTTCACGCCGGGACGCGACAGATCTGGCGTTAAGCAAGCTACCGCTGTTCTTGCGCTTGCGAGTAGTTACCGGAGTGTAAATACAGTCCAGCTTCATCGCAAGACATTTTTGGCACGCGGGCTTTGCCTCATCACATTTAACCCTGCGCCGTTTGCAATTGTCGCAACCGTTCTTCGATTTCTTGTGAAACTTCCGCTTCCCGGTCGATGTCTTGCTCACTCTCTTGCCGTCCACCTCGATCAGCTCTATAGTCTTCTCCTTGCGTCTGTTTGACCTGCTTGAACCGTCCTCGTCACTTAAGTCACTGCTCATATTGTGTAAAGGCAGAAATGTCAATGGCAGTGGTATACAACAAGCCCACTACGAATAATCCAGAAAAGTCGAACTCCGATCTTTACCACGCGGTACGGGACTGAACGCTGTGTTAGCCCGATTTTACCAAATTTTAACTTTTAGCTGCACTGACGCTGTCACTCTGTTCGCCAGCTTTTTTGTAGCAGACTGCAGTCTAATGGATACGAGAGCCCTGTTCTTCTATAAAGCTTTCAGAAGCTTTTCAGAAGCCTTCAGTGCTTATGTGTTCCTCCTTAGTGCCTGGATGTGCCACCAACTGGACCGCCGTCCTTGTACGTTGCACGTTGTGTGCTCGTTTAGCTTGCAGATCACCGAAACTTCCACGAGTTAGCAAGTTTCGCAATCGCTGCCAACTTTCTTGTCCCGTTTAGAGCTTCTTCTATTTGCGAACTTGGACTCTCCTCTATTCCACCAGTCTCAAAAGACCTGATGTTCGTCTTGATACCTTTTCCCTTTACGAGTGCTCGTTTTTAGTACTTAAGTGGATCGATTAGCGATGTGTGATTTTCAACACTGAAATTGAAAAAAAAAAGTGTAAATAATCGTGTGATTTGTAGTCATTTGACGGCCTTCTAAGAACGTCTACGAATTGCGGATTAGAATAGTTGGTATATACAATTTTATACTGGCGAGAGACTGCGGGTTTTATTAAAATTGAGGAAAGAAAGATATTTCGAAAATTTCATAGCAGTCGAGAAAGACGTACACGCATCGAGGCTTTCGCCTGCAGCGCGCTTGAACAGGTCGGCTTGTTGCGGCTGAGTGCATCGGGGCCGCGAGCCGCTTTACGTAGGATTTACTGCGCTCCATAATGACCTGTATGAGGTTATCTTCTTGCCAGTAGTCTGAGAAATTCACGGTGAATGAAATCCAACAATCTTAACATTGGTTGTGAGGGTCCTCCTTAGGTGGCTCTGGATCCACTGTGATCATGGTGTCGATTCTCAAGATTGCAATGCAGGCCTCGAGGGCAGACTTGAGAGATTTGACTTTGCTGATTGTGGGTTCCAGAACACCCGCCTGAACCTCATCCACGACTTTTCCGCGGATCAGATCCAATCCGTAGTTGCGATAGTTTCTTCTCTTGTGGTCATCGAGCTGAGCTTGCTGGCTTGCTGCATGGTAGGACCTGAGTTTGGCAATGAGTTCACTGGAGTCCTTCGCGGCGTTGACGGCTAGGGTCTTTGGAATCACAAGTAGAGCGCCAGCGAACTCGGCAATGGCCAATTGTTCGCGCGACCCGACAGTGGTGGCAAAGTTGTCCAAGTAGATGTTCAGCGCAGCTTCTACGCTGCCACCGCCCGGTACCACGCTTCCGCTTTCAAGCGTTCTCTTTACCACCGACAAAGAGTCATGGATAGAACGTTCCATCTCGTCCAAAGAGTAATCGTTGGCACCACGCAGCACGATGGAAGACGCGGAATGCTTGGAAGTACCCTTGACCAAAATACACTCGTCGTCAGAGAATTTGGCTTGAATTACCTCTTGGCACGTACCGAGCGAGCTGGCCTCGAATGTCTCGTCACCTTCCAAGTTCGACATGGAGTTGATCAAAGTAGCACCTGTGGCGCGGGCGATTCTCCGAAGATCTTCTTTTTTGCAACGTCTGACAGCCATGACTTTGGCCTCCACGAACTCTTTCAAACACAAATCGTCGATACCTTTGGTAGTTAGTACAACGTTTGCACCGGCAGCGATGATCTTTCTCACTTTTTCTATAACCATACCAGCCTCACGCTTGCGAATCTCTTCGAGTTGATCTGGATCATTGATGTTAATTTGTACACCCATTGCCATTCTTGCCTTCTGCAAGTTCATGTCGAGGCAAGCAATTTTAACGTTGCCACCATCTATGCGTTTTGGCATGGCCTGGGAAGCCACGGTACAGTTTAGGGCGTAGCCTTGAATCAAGACCGACTCGCGAGCGGACTTACCATGAGCCTTGAGGATATTGACGGCTTTAACGGGATACTTGACTTCACCCTTGGAATTTTGTGTCCTGACTGCAAGTAAAGCGTCCACGACCATGTTGCCGAAGAAATCTGAGTCTGAACCAATGATCTTGGAGGACATGCTGGTCTTGGCAATGTTTACCATAGATTCTTTGCCCAAGGATTCGACGCTCATCGAAAGCACCTCATTGATGTACCTGATGGCTTCTCTTAGGGCCACACGGAATCCGGTGATGATTGTGGTGGGATGAATCTTATTCTTCACAAGCGAGTTTGCTCTTTTCAGCAACTCGGACGCGATGATTACCACACTCGTGGTACCGTCTCCGATTTCGCGGTCTTGTTGCTGCGCCAATTCCACCAGAATTTTACCCGCTGGATGCTGAACGTCTAGCAGCGACAAAATCGTTGCACCGTCATTTGTCACCGTAAAGTCACCAATATCGTCGACCAACATCTTGTCCAATCCGACCGGTCCTAGCGACGATTTAACCACATTGGCTACAGCAAGAGCTGCCAGAACATTTTGGTTTCTGATATCGTCGCCGCTTATTTTCTCGCCACCGAGAAAGAGCGTATCGGAACGCGAGTTATTTAGCACTGAAGCCATTTTGAAAAGCTAATAGAACGATGAGGAGGTGCGAATCAAATAAACCTAATCGTTTCCTTCCACCAATTGATAGTTTTCACTGACTTTGCAAGTAAAGGAATATGTATTCAATCAGATTTGATTCTATGTGAAAACTTGAATGAAAAACCGCTTGCTGACACCTTCGTCGTGTGTGATAACAAATACCATGGCTTAACAGCACTCCATGCTATGAATACTCTAGATGTGAAGAGGTTTGATACTGATACCTAGTTAAATTATACGTGCCCGTGGTTTATCTTTGTGAAATTTGCTTTACAGGACATAACTGCGTAATACAACATGAAGTAAATAAGTCAATGTGAAGAGTTGAGATGGAAACTCAACCGGACAGGAAAAAGACGAATGGGCATTGTTCCAGGATGCATCCAGCACAAGCGCATAGCCCTCAGGGCACGCGTGCCAAAGTAGAAAATAAAAAGAACAAAATAAAAAGCAGCACTGATTGAGAACCTCACACCTGGGCTCAATTTTCAACTTCACTGTCCAATGGTCATCTTAAAGAATAGTACACTTTTTGTTCTTTTTGATCACGGGAGGCTCCAGCGCCGCGACGATCGCTTCATCGAACACGTTCTTGAGCCCGCGCTGCGTCAAAGCAGAGCACTCCACGTATTTGATGGCTCTGAGCTCGCGCGCCAGCCGCTCGCCTTGTTCGGGCATGATAGGGCGCAACCGCTGTCTTTGCAGCTTCTCGATGATCACTTTGTCGTCTCTCAAATCTACCTGGGTCCCGACGATCAGACAGGGCACGCCGGGGCAATGGTGATGAACCTCGGGAAACCACTTCTCTTTCACATTCTCGAACGACGGAGGCGATATCACACTGAAACACACCAAAAACACGTCTGTAGAGGGATACGACAATGGTCTCAAACGATCATAATCTTCCTGGCCTGCAGTGTCGAAGAGCCCCAGCGTGTATGGCTCGTCGCCGATCATCACCGTTACCGCATAGTTGTCGAAAACCGTAGGCACGTAGTCCGCTGGAAATTGGTTCGTAGTGTACGAAATCAATAGACAGGTCTTACCCACAGCACCGTCTCCTACTACTACGCATTTGAGTGTCTGCATTGTTGGTCTCTGTTATCGTCTTCTTTTTAACCTAGGCTTCAGATCCAAGAATAAAAACCTTTGAATCTCCTTTGCGTTCTAGCTGTGAGCAGCAGGGGGAATAACAAATTTCAGCGAGGGTGTCAATTGTCCAAAAAGGCGTATTTTTCAATTCTTTCAGTTGATATTCTTGACGATCTAACAATCTCCTTGTTAATATTTTTTCGTCGAAAACCGTTCTGAGGATAACGAGCATTAAATATCACCAACGCCGGGTAATGAAGAGAAATATGACCATCAGGAAGGCCACTACTCAACCAGCTATGGCACCTTAGGGACCACTAATACGCTACGGCAGGGCTTGGATTACGCTGTGCGTGTTTTCAGTTGTTCAGGCACTGGTCACTTAACGTTTGCAGGTGTTGAAATTCAATTTCTTAAAAATTATGGTACTTAACATTTGTAGGTATTCGTATGCGTGGCATGTGGGACGACAGCGGCACCAATAGTGAGTAGGAAGACTTACGATTCGTCTTTGTGAGTGCTTTTGTTGCGAGCCCTGCTGAATATGCCGAAGTGTGCTCGCTGTCGAATTTTTGAGTTTTTCACTCGCTGTCACTCTCTTCGGAATCTTCCCCGGAGCTAGACTCCTCGTCAGCAGTCTTGAGCCAATCTATCCACTTGGCAATCAGCGTCTTTGCCTGGTCGTATGACGAGTCTTGAGAAACTTGGTCCCACCAGGTGTAAACTATGTCTTCGTCCAGAATATCGTTATCGTACAAGCACGTTAGCGCGCTGAACAAAATAAATTCTGGTTTCTCGAACCCTTGAGCCACGGTTTTCTCCAATAGCAGGTTCCCTAAGTCCAGGAATTCCTCTTGATCGAACGCCTGGCGTTTGAACAATTGGCCCCACTGCGCGAACACCTTTTGAACGGCATCCTTGGGGCCTAGCGTTCGCGTCTCAATGAAATGGTATACCCGTCTCAGAAGCGCTACTACAGTTGCAGACCTCACCTCATGATACGTCACGTTAATACTCATTCTTAAAGTGTTCAGTTCCAAGAGTGCAGTGTCCAAGTCGTGGTTGTTTTCCATGGCTCTCTCCACCGTTGCAACGGCCTCAACGGCAAAATCCTCCTCTTCATCGTAATCAACATCATCGTCGTAGTCGTCTTCACGGTCCGTATACGCACTATTCGTGGACATTCTGCGCTTCTTTTTATGCTTTGCGCCAACAGATGAAATGGAACTATCACTCAAGTACATGTCATCAAAGCGATATGTTAGAGCATTCGTGACTCTGTCTAGAACACTGCTGTTGTCCTCGTCTTCTGCGTCATCGCTATCATATACGTACCCCACACCATGATCGCCGACCAGCTCTAGAGCCGGCTCTGCGTCTGATAATGGGGTTGCAGACTCTGATGCTTCGTCATCGCTGTAGGGCTCACTGTCCAAAAATTGCGATGCTTGCTTCTCCACACAGGTTTCGGATAATCTAGTGCCTATGGGAATCTCCATGTGGTCGTCGATGATCACATTGAAGCCAATAACACAGCCGTCATTTAGCACAACCTTGGATCCGATCTTGACGCCTGACGCAACAAGAGAATGCTCTATCACCGAGTCGCTGCCGATAGTGGTGTTATCCCAGATATAACTATTCTTTATCACGATGTTTTCAGCAATGCGACAGTTTCTGCCGATTATGGAGTTTTCTATCCTCGTGCCTTCCCCAATTTTAGAACCCGAACCTATGGCGGTGCGTTTGCCGATCTTACAAGATTGGGCCAAAACCACGTCTTTCTCTTTGTAAATGTGCTCAGATTCGTAGGAGTATGTTTGATCATCCAAGAGGTTCGAGTTCAGAACCATGGGATAGCACCATCTGGCAATAAAATCTTGCGAAATGGCATCGTATGTTTGCCAACTCTCAACCCGAGCGGCATATTCGTCTGTGATAAATGCATATATGCTTTTCTTGAGCAAGTCACTGGTCAAGACACCTTTGACAAAGTCTCTTCTCAAAAACTGGTAATCGAAATTCTCTTGGAAAATGGCAGGAACGAGTGGAGAGCAAATGTCAACGTGGCAATCTATCAAATCGTTGCGGAGTTTGAATGCGTCCACGCCATCAAGTAACTCTGGGTCGATTGCGAGCGAAGTCTTATGCTTGGAGTTGTCGGGTGGTATATCTTGGTAGTAGAGGCACTTGTCGTTGGACTTGTCCAAGATGAATGCCGCGGGCTCGTGGCAGCGGGTTCTGAAGAACTGACTGGCTTTGCTGAGACACATGGTCACAATGTGGTCCTTGTCTTCTGCCTTTTTTTTGCGATGGAAATCGAGTGCCTTGTCGAACTCCATATTGGTGACTAAATCTCCACTAACCAGGATGAAATCCCCGGTTATGATGCCGCGGTTATCCAAGTCACGCATAGCATCACCCACAGACCGGGATTCCAAAGACATGATTGTTGACACGCGGAAGGGCGACCAAGGCATGTTCCACTTGGAGCTCTCGATATAGTCGCTGATCTGGTCTGCGTGCGAGGCACACATGAGGTACACTTCGCTAGCGCCGGCTTTGGCCAAAAACTCCAGGGTATACTCAATTAGAGGCACATTGGCTAATGGGAGTAAGCACCGAGGTTTCACTGCCGTGAGCGGCATGAATCGTGTCTCGAAAGAATCTGTCAGTATGATGGCTTGCAAACGCTCATCCTGCACTGTCTCCGGCTTTCTGCCGCTGTTTCCAGCTTTTCTAGCTGCTTTTCCTTTCTGCCCCGACATAAAGTCCTGGATTTGTGGTCAACTGAGATTCCTGGGAGAATTCAGGAGTCAATGGGAGAGTGCTACGTTCGATCCCAGAAGCTCTTGCAGGTTTTAGTTTGAATTGTCAAAAAGCTGTTCGATGCGAAGGCGCCAAAGAAAATTGGAAAAAAACCTCTTACCCGGAGAAGAGCATTAGAGATGAGCTAAAGGCGTGAAACGTCCCTGCGTGAGCGGTTGATTTAGAGAGCCCGAGACTGTGTGTGTGTGTTTGTGTTAGCGCTCACTTATAGTATCAGCGCAGTTTTTCGCTTTAACAGCCGTTGGCTTCCCCGGAATTGTTTAATCCAAATTTTTGGGCGCATCTTGACCAGCCCAAATAAATTGTGTAGCGTACCCTACACACACACACGCTCGACTCCCAGCAATTCAATGACCATCGCTGGGCTATGAGCATTTTCCAGGGCCGTATACGTGATGCTGTAGCTTTCCGCATTTCATTAAGCGAATTGTCGCACGGGTACAAAATGACAGAAAGCACTGAAAACGGCAATCGAGTTCAAGTCATATAACCAAATCCGTGGTCATACGCTGACAGCATCCTGTCTTGTTCCGGCAAGAACCAAAAATTGCAGTGCCCGTGTAGCAGAAATAGTATCACAACCAGGGCAACAAAGTTACCAAAAAAAATGCCAAAAAAATATGGAAAGTGCTCGAGGTGGGGTTCGAACCCACGACGGTCGCGTTGCTTGAAAGGCCGTGTTTAGCGGCCGTACTTTCACAGAAAGCTTCGGAGATCCGAATGCATCTATAAGCACGAAGCTCTAACCACTGAGCTACACGAGCATTTTCGAAAGTAGTGACTGGATTCCTAGGTATAGTGGACTGCAAGTATATAAAATTGATTAAGCTTAAAAGCGTAGTTGGCAAAATTGATGCGAGGTAGCGAGCGATGAGGTCAACCATTGTGTATGTTCATGTCCTCAGTGGTATCTCAGCAGCCGTGGCACTTTTCAATTCGTTGTTCGCGCGCAGGCATCGCGTTTATTTGTCTTTTCTATCTTAGAGTTACATTGGGTTGCTAATTAAAGTAACTACTTGCTGGTAGGGAGGATGAAGAAGCGCCCAGATGACATACATTATGTCTTCTGAGCTACTGTTTGCTTGCGTGTTGGAGCACAGAGCGAAAACGCGACTTGCTCACTCGGTTCTGCCTCTAGTGTGTGCGGTTTAATCACCACAGCACAACTCCAGTAGACAGCAACAGCACATCGCTCCCATACACCATTTACAACAGCCACCTTCCTCTTTCTGGGGTGGTTGTTGCTGGTACATGGGCTGCTGTTGGTTTTGGTAGTAGCCCTGCTGCTGTGGAGGCCCTTGTTGGTACTGGCCCTGTTGCTGCGGAGGCCCTTGCTGGTAGTAGCCCTGTTGTTGGGGCGGACCTTGTTGGTAGTATCCCTGTTGGTTGTTCATTGCGGCGACTTTTAACACTCTCAGAGAGACAGATAGCTTGGTGCAGCTGTGCTGTAGAAATTGCTTGGCTATTTATACAAGAGAATCGAACCTTCTTTTTCACTGCATGCGCCCACACTTGTTTCGAACCTCTAGTTAAGCCTAGGCGTTACCCGGACAGTTCCGTGCAAAACGGGAAACTCCGCTGGAGATGAGCGCGCGTATGTCTTTCGGCAACCAAGGCAAAGCGAGTTGCGAATGATTGAACAGCGGTCACAAGCTTTGCCAAACGTGAAGCTGCGCCGTTTCACCCGCCACGCAGTTTTTTATGCTTTCCACCCCGCAATTAGCAGAATTTTAAGACCAATTTTTGCATCTTCTGGGACGCTCCAAGCGTTGATATATTATGACCTGTAGCATAAAAAGGCGTGCGTTCACTTTCTTCGTGGTCATTGCTACTTAGCTGTAGCCAATATTGGATGAAGAGGTCGCGAATGTCTGTCACTTTATACAAATGTGTCATGAAACTTAAATGTCTAATGTCAGAAACAGTGATGTTGATATAAATTCAACATTGAATACCAACACTGATAGTCCTGGCTTTTGTGGTAGACGTTATCTCACCTACCCAAATCAACAAACTGCATTCCGATCAAAAATGTAATTACTGGAGTATATCATGATTTTATTACGTAGATTATGAATTATGTCGGACAAATCACATATTGTGGCTAAGTCGAGAAAGTCTGACGCCGCCGGCCGTCCCCAAATTTTTTTAGCTTACCATTCTTTTTTCGGTTTATTTTTGGCTTATTCAGCTTCTCAAGTCAACGTTTTTCGGAGGCTCGGTTAACGGGTGGTGCATCGTTGTATTCAACTGCATTTGGATCATCTTTGTATCGCTTACTTGGTATTCTGTTGACAGATGATGCCATAAACTCGTAGAAGCGATCCCCATAATCGCGAGGAGGCACTGCACTAATGACCTTCAGATCGTGGCTCAAACCGCGCCAAAAAGTTTCCAACTTTTTAACACATGAATAATTCGTCAAACAATCTATGATTCCAATGTAATATATTTTGTTCAAGTCATTGTTGAACTGATCCGAAGCACGAATTCCTCCTTCGTCCTGTTGAAAAAAGTGCTGTACTGCCATGGTCGATTTTTGACGCGCTTGTTGTTCTGCCATAGACTTGCGCTTCACTTCCTGCAGCTCATTCTGGTCCGGACTGTACATCGTCAACATGTTATGCTCGTCTATCAAATCATTACCTCTCTCCACGTCATGAATTCCAAGCAAAAGCGAGTAGTCCATAATATTCAACCGCGCAAGTAGATCGACGTCTTTCTCTAGCTGTTGCAGAAACTTTTTCTTTTTCAATGGTCCAAACTGTATGCTACGTTGCTCTTGTAACCAATTGAGGTCCTTGAGAACTGGTCTATGAGCATCCCCTTCTTGAGCTTGGGGTGAATCATTAACCTTCGTGTATCTACCCCATGTAGACCCTTTCAAATCGAAAGTAGTGTGGACTTCCAAATGTGGTGGGAATAGGTTATTCATCACCAAAAAATAAATTTTCCGATGCTTGATTTTGCTTTTGAATGAAATTGGCATCTTGACCCGATGTAAACCATAAAACTGTGAGATTAAAGTGTTTGGATTTTCCTTCACGTGGGAGTAGTACTCTTTGAGCGTTCTCCTCAGATGTTGATGCTCTGCATGATGGATGGTCTTGATGATGTACTTGTAATCTCTACTAAAGTAGAAAAATGATCCACTCTTACCAGGAGAGTTCAACTCACTCAAAATGTACTTCGACGTCAAGGACATCAAATAATCTGCCGGATCAAGCCCAAACAATGCCCGTAGCTCGCGAAATACTTCGGGACAGTAATCCTTGAACTTGAATGCATATTGAGAACTTGGAGTAAGCTCATTACCGTGAAAATCAAAGGCCAGCTTCTTTGTCAAACGGAAATCGCGAGGTGTCAAGGGTTTCATAATACCGGAGCATCTGGAAACAGCTACCCTGATCCCGGTTAACATGTTATATGCAATAGTAAAATTCACATGCCCTTCACTAACTTTGTTACCTATCAAAACCCTGTCGTCGTCGAGGAAGTTACGCTGTTTTTTACGCATTTCCCTTTTGTGAAGTAAAGATTCGCGCATCTTCTTGATCTCAGCAGTAGCCGATTCCGAACGCTTTAAAGAACCGTCGTTAATGGCACTGGGTCTGGGGTTGGCGTTGAAAGATTGTGTCGTGGTGGCACGAGAGTGTGTGGAGCGAAGAAGGGTCACGATATCATCTAAATCAATATCATCACGGGGCTTAATTTGAGCTCTGCTACCGTTGTCTGGAACAACTTGTTCCTGGCCATGGTGAGGTGATTCTTCTACAGGAACGATTTTGGCATGTTTCCCAGAGTCGAAAGGAAATTGCCGCAAAGAGTTGGATGAATCTTGGGTTGCTCTTCTGGAAGGTTTGTGCCGTGGCGTACTACCATTTAGCAGAACCTTGTCATCATTAAGACCTTGAATGAACGACCCGGTTTCCACGAAACTGGCTCGATCAAGAGCGCTTTCATGATCCCGTTCCTCTACATTGTCTTTTGGTTCCTGAGGCTCCTGTTGATCACCTACGGCTGCTGCGGGAGCCGAATCCTCGTCTAACGGGTGTTTGTGCGACGCCTGGTGGTTCTCTATCCAACCCGCGCCAACGTGTTGCTGTGATCCCGGACGAGTCTCCACAGGCTTGGTTCCGTCCAGCGGATCCACCGCTTGATCGAGAAAGTCTCTCCTGTGGTGTTTCTTGTCGCAACTCTCGACCGACGTAGGCGAGGAGTAGCACCTCTGTTCCTGCGACGATCTGGGTGTGTCTGACGTGGTGTCTTGAGCTTGTGACAGCTCAGCCTGCATAACAAGAGACATAGGTAGATCCCAAGTTGGAAGCACGAGTTTCTGATCCGAGAAACAGCTACTGAACCTTGGATTTTGTGATCTTTGTTGATCAGATATGTTTGTCCTGGCTTTTTGATTTTTGGAAATTTTGTAGAATGCCGCGACTTTCACATTTTTTAACGGTCAAAATAACTAAGCCAGGTAAAGAATGTTTTTACGAATCGAAAGACGAGCACAGTCATCCACTGACCCTTTATAAAAGTCGTAAAGAACATGATATAGAGTATATTGGCAAGGCACTAAAGGTCGATTATCTGAAGTGCCCGTCTTGACACAGTGTTTGGATTCAAGGTAACATTTCTAACCATAAAGATATGTCTTAGGTCAGAGTTGAGCTTGAAGATACTAGAAATCGTAGACAGAATGAGATGGAGCTTTGTCTAAAAGGCCAAGATCGTTTGAACTGGACAATACTGAAGTTTTGACAATTCATCGCCATACACGGAAACTCATGACAACTCACATGAAGCACTTATGAATAATACAAAGGCTTAGCATAGTAATCATTCCGCTGTCATCTGAAGCTTTGAAATAAATACGTCTGAAATTTGTTGTCATAACTATATGAAGGTGGAAAGGCTGCACGACGCACGAACTGAAATATTTTAGGAAAGAGATTGGGTGTAATATTCTAGAGCGGTAGTCCGACACAATCGATGAAGAAGCTTTTCAAATAATATTGAGAAACATCTAAGACGACACCATTTGCATGATCATTAGCAATTACAGCCTCGATACTACATTTGCGCTTGTGGGTTTTCTTAACAAAATGCGCTAATAGTTTTAACGAATAAACCATCCGTATATACTGTTATCCGCCGGATGACGCGGAAAATTCTAAACTGGATGTCGCTTGCCTAAAACTCGTATAGATATGTGGTTTATAATGGCGTTACGATGCGACGACAACAATTTTTGTCGTTGCCTACCAACCAGTGCTCGAGTTTGGATATGCGGGCTGTTTCATCACGTTCCCAGTTACGCCCAAGATACAAAGTTGGTTACTTCATACGATAGTGTCGCAGTAAAAAGCTGACGAAATGGTCGTTCTTTAGGTCACCTCGATTTAGCCGAGCTTCTCAAAATTCCTATTACCATTCGAACACGGCACTCAAGCTCCGCTGCAGCATAACATGCCGTCAATGCTTCATTACGTGACAGTAACGGCAAAATGATACATATGAATATAATCTCTGCAGTTCATTCAGACTCCGGTGCAGTTCAAATAATGACCGAAAGGCTACCAGGCATTTCGTAGCTATCCTGGCAAAAACTCTTTCTAATCTAAGAGCAGGAACTGAACGTACATTGGACTACGAGAGTCTACCAAGCCCCTCAGCAATTTCGGTCGCGCATGTTCGTCAGTACGAATCTTGAAAGCCAGTAATTCACTCCCTCCTGATATGTTACAACTGCACATGTCATGACTCAGACTCGTATCTCTAACATCATAATAAACAATTAGCACATCCCCTTGCAAACCTAAGGTATGCCACTACCGCTTTGAAGTTTGATGGTTCGAAATTTGGAAACAAACAACAGCCTGCATGGCATGTTTTTGTCAAAGCTGTGGAGTTGGCAAGAAATTACCACAGAATTTCAAAGTGCCCGAGTTCTTTGAGTAGCACTACCCTCGCTTTGCTATATGTAAGCTCTGACAACATTTGATGGGCGTCTGAGACTGCGATGATTATAACCGTAGTAATTGCTCGAGGACAAAAACGTTGCTAACTTACAAAGAGGTCGCTGAATATTTAACGGAAGGTTTAACCGCAGTACTGTCAAAGACAAGCTCGCTTCATATTTCATATGAAGTAAACCCAGACGACTCTTCCGAAACGAATGCTGATAGAAGGGTTACGAGATTTTGAATTTTCGGCCAGTCTTATCTTCACGTGCGGACGGAAAGGCACATGAATGAATACAACAAATCCACACAGGTTAATGTTCTTATCAATCTCTCGGAAACAGGTTCAAACTTCTACCTTAATTGATAATAATCCTAGCTGAAACCATGGATTCTAGCATCATACAGGACTCTCAAGTTCAGCAGCACTTTTTAAATGCCTCGAGAGAACAGCTGATTGCCTATATTGATCAACTGCAGTCTGCCTTGCGTCGCTACTCAAGCAATCCAGTCATCATTCCTCCAAGAATTGTAAGCTCGACTCCGGATGGTACTTCTACTTTCTTGATTATGCCAGTAGTTGATGACGTCTACTGCGGAGTAAAGTCTTTGGGATTTAGTTCCACCAGTGGTCAAGGTTTTGTAGGCGCTGTAGTCGTTACAGACTCAAAATCCGGAAGCTTGGTCGGAGTTGTACAGGCTAAGCAATTGACTGCTGTCCGGACCGCCATGAGCAGTTGCATCGGCCTTCGTGATTTAAGCTTATTTGGACCCTCTGTTAAGATCACAGTATTTGGTACTGGGTTACAGGCCTTCTGGCATCTCTACATTTGTTGCAAATTATTACAAGGGAAATCCATAACTGCCACGATTGTATATAGATCTTCTCCAATGGATACGACTTCGCTACAAGCGCATCTACCCGACCTGACAATTGGACAGGTTTCCCTTAGTGACAAAAACGCTGTCCCACAATTAGTCGGCCAAAGCGACATTATATTTGGCTGCGTTCCTTCCACCGACCCCACTATCTTACAGGAACATTTCCAAAACTTCTCTGGTCCCGGCTACACCTACATTTCACTAATTGGCAGTTACAAAAGCCACATGCATGAGTGTGACACGCCACTAGTTGAGCTTTTCAAGACTCAGGATACTAAAATTCTGGTTGATTCCATCGAGCATACGCTTTTGGAATCTGGTGAATTGATTGATGCGGAGGTGAAACCAACTCACTTGTTAGAATTAGGTCAGTTGACACCCAATACACCTGTTCCAAAAACCCAGTGTGGAAATAATAGAAAAATTACTTTATGCAAGATCGTTGGGCTCGCAATCATGGATATATCCATGGCACAGGCATTGCTAACTGATCTGGGAAAATAAAATTACTCATATACTTGTACGTTAAGAGATTACACTTTTTTTCATTTCAATATGAGCTCCACATCTTCTCCAGATGGTTCAAATAAGCTAAACATCATTTATTGGGCGAATATAGTTAACATGTTCTTGTGTGGATGCATTGTGATGGTTTCTCTCCATCATGAGCGTGCTAAGCCTTTTACAATTGTTGAAAAATGAGACTTCTTTATTAGGCGCAACACCAAACCGGAAGCTTGCATTTCCATACAAATCACTCAACATAGTGGTATCGCTTTATATATTCGTTTGCGTCAGGTACAGCGGAGCTGCCTACGCAAACAAAATCGATTCCTGTGGTCCGCGAGGAAGAGCATGGCATGTTGCGAAATTGAATTTGCTTATTGTTAAACCTTTATCGTTGACTTCACAATCAAGTTGAAAGAACCCTATTTTCGTATGTCTACTGGAGAGATTACTGAACGTCTCAACAAACTGAATTTTGGTGATGGACAAGCCGAGAGCCAAAATCCATAATTGCATAAGAATCCGAAGAAGTAAGATTTTCGGTTTGCGAAGTTCGCACTATATGATAACCGACATTGAAATACCTGCAGCGGTTGGTCTCCAGTCTACCAAAATGCCTTGAATCTCCAATGTTTTGTCTTATAGCTCACTGACTTTGGCGCTACTCTTGCTTGCCACATACAAAATAAGGGCAGTCACAAGTCTATTCTTGACCGTAAACTCAACCATTAACGACTCTCACACATAGTGCAAGCATTACCGAAGCTTTTCGGCAATGCCAAAATTTGTGTTGCTGGAAAAATTGGATTGGCCAACAATGCTGCATAGTTTGTTGAATCGGGCCTTTCGACAATTGCTTCAATGCCCAGTCGCAACTAATATTGCCCATCCAAGGGAGAAGATGCTCGCGGGACCCCAATGCCCTACACTAGAAATTATCTTACATTCGAGCCTTACACGATCTCGCAGCCTGGCGAGAGAAGTTTAATCGCAAGCGTTCAACCAAAAGTTGTCGCCCCACCAAAAGTGATATTTTTCTTGAAACTTAGCTTTATCTGTGGCATCTGCGTAACAAATTCATTGTTGACTTGCATAATAACAACGCCTTCCGAATCACCGTTTTCTACGTATTTCAAATCTTGAATTCCAGCCTCCGCAGTATTCGATTCAATCGTCATATTGCAACGATGGTGTAGATCAAGAAAACGACTACGAGCAAGTAAGTGGTCAATCTGGATTAATTGGTGATCGCGGCTTCATAACATTTCACTTGAACGCCTAAGCCTGAAGTATTGAAAACTCTTGGCGCAGAAAGTCCGTCTAAAGCCGCTAGGTCTTGAGCATTGGTAATAATGGAGCTGACTCTCGGAACGGTTTTTGAGTTATGTCAATGAGTTAAAATTTCCGTGAAATTCCCGTTTCCTTGGATTACGATTGAAATAGAATCAGCTACAGTAATAGGGGAGCTAATGGCATCTCTAAGACTGGTTCCTGTGTTGAGTGAACAAGTTTGGAAACGAAGGGTTTTTCAATATCCGTGAAAAATCCGGTAGCACCCGTTCACGGATGTAACAAAATGAGGTGTTCGGTTAAACACAGTAGAAGAATGGTCGTAACTAGAAGAATCATTCCCGGAACTATAGATACTTGCTGACATATCGCGATTTGGTGAATGGATCAGTTTTCAGGTATAAAATCCAATGTATAAGATCATGATTACCAGCGATGTACAATATGTAGTGTATCAACAAGTGTGAGTGCAAGAGATGAAAGTGTTTGTAACTGGAGGATCCGGATTTATTGGAACAACTGTTATTCATAAATTGTTGAAGGCTGGCCATGAAGTTGTTGGTCTAGCGAGATCCGAAGAGTCTGCTGCGAAGCTGGAGTCCATGGGACCCCAGGTGACAGTCGTTCGTGGAGAGCTGGGAGATTTAGAGGTTCTTAAAAAAGCGGCCTCGGAGGCGGATGGAGTGATTCATTTAGGTTTCGTTCATGACTTTTCAAAGTTCATTGAATGTTGTGAAATCGACCAACGTGCCACTGTGGCTATGCTAGAATCACTTGAGGGTTCGAACAAGGCCTTTGTGTACACGAATGGTACACTGGGGCTGCCTGCTGGAAAGGTGTCTGATGAAAAGGTCCCTAGTGACACTTCTACTGGTAATGTACGCAGCCAAACTGAAGCAATTGCATTGTCGTTTAAGGAAAAAGGTGTGAATGTGACCGCCGTCAGATTGCCGCCCACTGTCCATGGACCGGGAGACAAAGCCTTTATGCTCTGGCTGATCGGAATTGCTAAAAGGTTGGGCAAGTCCGGTTATATTGGAAATGGTGAAAACGTTTGGCCCGCTGTGAACCGACTCGATACTGGTGATTTGTATAGGCTCGTTCTCGAGAAGGGCACTGCAGGAAGTGTTTACCATGCTGTTGCTGAACAAGGCATAAAGACCAAAGATATTGCCAAAGCCATTGGTGACATCCTTGACGTTCCCGTTGTTTCCATCAACGCAGAAGACGCACAGGAACAATTTGGATTTTTGGGTATGTTTTTTGGTAAAGATAGCCCAGCTTCTAGTGAAATTACCCGCAAGGAGCTAGGTTGGAAACCACACCATCCCGCACTTCTGGAAGACTTGCGGACAAACTATCGTTTATAACTCTTAGTTTGATTACTAGTGTTTTAGATTAAATATGCCAAGCTATATAGCCGATGAAAATGGAGGAGTCTAATTGAATTTGTAAGTGCGCCTGTTGGTAAATACGTAATGAACCATGCTTGCGTTTCTTGGAGCTTCGTGTCCTTGCCCCGATGACTTATTCGAGCGGCAAGTATAACAATTTCGTAACAATATCGGGAAGTGTGACTGTCAAAAAACCGGTCAAAAATTAAACACTATATTATTAAACTGTATGCTTTCAGAGTAGGCTCCCTAGTGCTCGTTTTAACAACCGGCAACATCTAGGACTGGTCAAAGGTTCCTATTAACCATCGACACCGATATGCTGAGTTTAATATCTAGCGAACACTCGAGGCTGTTATGGCGCTACCTCTGTTAATTTTTACAACCGCTCGCCGATGCCTGAATGTTAAGCATTGAAGCGAATCTGCTTCAGCAATGGCAATTGCGCTCATATACCTGTTTCGCTCCTCTATAGTTATTTGTGTCGGAATCTTTACAGCGTCAGGATAGGACGAAGTGACATATAACACCTTGTGATATCTTGAAGTTCCAAACTCATTCTTATTCACATTATCTTTCAAACAATACAGTCAGCATATCGATGTAGATGGATCACCACAACGTTTATGTATAGACGTTTGTATTTTCAAAACCACGCAGCCGTAGCCCATCGCATAGGCAACAATTCTAGTGCAATTAAATTTTTAGTCTAGACTCTTGCATTTTCATTGACTATATGGCTTCATTCATGGTTAAGATAAAACTAAGATTTATGAACCATAGTTTGTCCGCAAATTTTCTAGAAGCCCAAGATGCCGTGGTCTCCAGCCTAGCTCTTTTCGGGTAATTTCACTAGAAGTTGTGCCATCTTTGGCAAAGTAAGTACTCAAAAATCCAAAGTGTTCCTGTGCGTCTTCTGCTTTGATGGAAACAACGGGAACATCAAGGATGTCGCCAATGGCTTTGGCAATATCCTTGGTCTTTACACCTTGTTCAGCAATAGCGTGGTAAACTCCTCCTGCAACGCCCTTTTCTAAAACGAGTTTGAACAAATCTCCTGTATCTAGTCGGTTCACAGCGGGCCAAGCAGTTTCACCATTTCCAACGTAGCCAGACTTCCCAGACTTTTTGGCGATATCGATCAGCATTGGTATAAACACTTTGTCTCCCGGCCCATGGACAGTGGATGCCAATCTAACGCAGGTCACCTTCACACCTTTTTCCTTAAACGACAATGCAATTGCTTCAGTTTGGCCGCGTACACGAGTAGCAGAAGTCTCACTGGGAACATTTTCATTACACACCTTTCCGGCAGGTAGCGCCAGTGTACCATTTGTGTACACAAATGCCTTGTTCGAGCCCTGAAGTGATTCTAGCATAGCCACTGTGGCCTCTTGATCAATTTCACAACACTTGGCATATTTCGCAAAGTCGTGAATGAAACCCAAATGGATCACTGCATCTGCCTCTGAAGCTGCTTCCTTGAGGATCTTCAGATCTACCAGCTCTCCACGAACGATTGTCACGTTAGGCCCCATGGACGTCAGCTTCGCAGCGGACTCTTCAGATCTCGCTAAACCAACAACTTCATGGCCACTCTTCAACAGTTCGGGGATAACAACTGTCCCAACAAATCCGGATCCTCCGGTTATGAAAACTTTCATTTCTTGCACTTACACTTGTTGATGTACAACTTATCGCTGGTAATGATGGTCTTATCCATTGGGTTTTATACTTGAAAACTGATCCATTAATCAAATTGCGTTACGTCAGCAAGCGTATGTGTAGTGCTCGAAATAATTCCACTCGAAATTACCATTTTGCTGCTATTGTTTACCCGAATACCTGATTTCATTCCGCGCTCAGGGACTTATCACGAAAAATTACACAACCTCTAAACGGTGTTCAGATTTGTTCACTTGACACAAGAAATAGTCCGAAAGACTTTTTCAACGTCCTAGCAATGAACATATAGCCGCTGTAGACAATAGTCCCACGCCATGGGTATACCAAGAGCTCTAAACAGTTGTGAAAACTTATTGACGCGAGTCTGGTTCGGCGGTAGAAAGCGTACCTTGATTCTGCCAGGGCTTCTGTACTATTGCTAGATAACGTCAATTGCATAGTGTGATAGATTAGAATAGGATCGTAGAGGGGACCAAAACAGTGACATAATAGTACAAAGTGACAAATGGGCGAAGCTAGATGTTCAATCCAGCATGTTCGCTTCGATAGTGAATAATAAATGCTTAAGATTGGACATTGAGTAGCACATACAGCATGATGTAAAAACTTCTCGTTACCAATATCGGTTGTTATTGTCTCTGTTGAGATCCTAATTTTCACATACACAAAGACCACGGACAGATAGGTAGAGTTCATGATCCTAAAACGAATTGATTAGACACATTATGAACTACATGCATGACCCAAGCCAAGTGATATTGACCCAGGTCAACAACAGCTGCAGTACTTCTGTTTAAAAGGGTCGTAGCACTCACAGTATCTTGACAGAGATTCAGTTCCCAGCCTTATTTTTAGCTTGTTGAATGCTCCAAGTGAGAGATGACTGAGAGAATTAATTGTCTGTTTTAATCAGTGGGGATATGTTTGTAGTGGAGGGTTTGAGCATCTTCAAACTTTGCAAGAGTCAGTGGAGTTATATTTAGACAGTTCCTATTAGATGGCTTCTTTAGGTCGACGTAAGTGGAGTGAAGTGAAGGGTAAATCGTAAGTGAAGTGAGGGAAATTCGTATGTGGCTTGGGGTGAGAATGAAAACAGCAATTGTATGAAGCAAAAATAATATATGGAACTCAATACCCATTTCTATAAGAGAAGGCTCCGTTGTTCCAACTCAAAATATCCATTTGTAAAAAGCACTGATGAACCAGAAGCTGTCAGCTAGTGGCCAAGGTAGACTCGATGTCGCAGTAATAAAAAGTTGATAATTTCGAGGCATGTTTGGGTAGGTAATAGTTAGCTTGCTGAAATGGTCATAGAGGTCGTTCATGGAGTGTCTAATCGTGGGTATCTACACCACATCAGTAACTACGAAGCGATGTTGAATATGTTGTATATATCCTCTACTGGGTTGGTTCCACTCACAATGCCACAAAATCGGCTGCATTTTATTAGAACAGCCATATTTAGTTTGCTTTCGTAAATTGATGAGACGGGCACATCCGGCCGGTGCTGATGTGTTAGAGAGAAGTCCCGCTCAAGTTTATTACCAGGCACTTTATAAGGCACTCCAGGCACTTTACCAGGCACTTTACCAGGCACTTCACCAGGCACTTTACCAGGCACTTTACCAGGCACTTTGCCAGGCACCTTGCCACGTCCATTGACAAGATCACGAGCAATCTCGAAAACTTGAGCTTGGCCGATAGGGGCCAATCTCCCTACTAATCGATTCGTTGCAGGACCTGTGGCTTTACCCACCGAGAAGAACAATTAGTCGGTATTTATACAAAAGCTTACTGAGCGTAAAATCATTATTCAGTCCGGCATATCTGCGTCACTAGTGGCTAGCTTGGTGAACCGGTCATTCAAGTCCTTCACGGTGCGTCGAATCAACTCGTATTAGTATGTGCTACACAACTCTCCGTGGTCTTTCTCGATGTGAAAATTCAGGATCGTGACATAGATAGTCATAACCAATGTCGGCGACGAGAAGGCTTCAGACCTTTATGTATCGGCCTCCGTTTCCCGAAAGCAGCAGAGTGTGACTTACCCGCTAGTCGACCAGCGCTCCTATCTGGACAAGGACGCTGGATCGGATATCCAGCTCTATCACTTTGTAGCATAATGTCATTGATTATGCAATTGACGCTGTGCAGCAATAGCACAGGGATCCTGACATAATCGTACGATGCATCGGGTAATTCCGAACGGGTCATCCATCGATCACCGGACCGGTTCAACGTATCGTCCGTCTTCGACGTCTTCGATTCGAGAAGATGCTTCGATCCATCGACCGCCCATGTTTTGTTGATATCATGTTGTCCATTCTGTCATGAACATCTAGGTCACATCAAACAGTTAACGCAATAGCACAGGGATCATGACAAAAAACGTTTTATAGGGCTTGGGTCAGTCTGGCAAATCTCCATCAAAAGAGACTTGCAACAAAAAACACAGGGCTCATTACAACAGGAAAAGCACAATTGAGCGTGGAACGTTGTGCGAATTGCGAATTCATTCGCGTGGCAAACGCCAGAGAATATTGTTCTCAGTGCTACGACCTACTATCTACCACTAACAGTAGCACCTTCCGCTATCCGGCGCTCTCGACCTATTATAGTTCAGCGCTTGCGCCACTCCTCAATTGTTCCATTGCATTTGCCTCCCCTTGCCTCCGCACAGTCACAAATCCCTTGCTCGCTATAATTCTCCTTCCCCTCTCGCGATTGCTCTCTTCTACATGCGGCTTATCCTTATCGGTCATCTTTTGCTATCGCTATCGACAAATTTAGCCACAGTTTTGCTCCCCCCACCCCGATTACCTAAGCAGGTGACCAGCCGGCCATAGCAACCAGCCGAAATCAGTGCTTTCAAACACGTTTACGAAACGGCTTCGAGCACGGCTGGCGCGTAATCAAGACCACACGCGCTTCACGGCTAATAACGCCCCATGCACTATCTATATCCAGTGCGAATTTACCTACCACCTCTCTCTGTCCTTCCGCATTTCCGTCGCCCGCCCCCACGTGCCCCCTGCAAATTACATAATCCCCCACCGGTCATGCAGGGCTCTAGTGTTTAGTCTTTTTCTTTTTCTCACCCCTGCGCCTCGTTCCTTGATGGAAAAATAGACGTATTTCGCAGCGATTATCGACTCATGCAGGGTCTCCTCCCCCACAGGTCATAGATTGACCTCCTCTTGCAACACATTTTATGCATTAGCACACCCTGGAAATGCGGAAGGAGGGAGACAGCGGAAGGTCTGGATTTTGTATATAAAGGAAAGGAACTAGAAGGTAGGGTTCTCGAAGGGTGTGGGAGAAGTTGGAAGAATTTACCAATCGCCACAAGTACCACACGCTTACACACTCAACGCTAAGACTAGTGGAAGCGAAGAAGACGAGAAAAAAAAATTTCAGAAGAAAAGCAGTCGAGGCTGAAAAATCTGGATTCTCGAAGAATATATTTAGTTCTCACTCACACACATTTCAATATGCCTCCTCCCGAGGCCCTGCAACAGCCGTTCCACACGCTGTCGGTGCGCGACACCGCTGCCGCGCTGTCCACCGACACGAGTCGCGGGCTTAACAGCCCGCAGATCGCCGCGGCGCGCGCCATGCACGGCGAAAACTCGCTGGGCGACGACTCCAAAGTCGACTTCAAAGCCATCCTGCTGCATCAGATCTGCAACGCCATGATCATGGTGCTGTTCATCTCCATGGTCATCACGCTCGCCATTCGTGACTGGATCTCCGGTGGTGTTATTGCATTCGTGGTGTTCATCAACGTCGCCATCGGCTCCTACCAGGAGTACAAGGCCTCCAAGACCATGAGCTCGCTCAAGAGTCTCAGCACACCCTCTGCGCACGTCATTCGTGACGGCAGCGACGTGGTTATTCCCAGCAAAGACCTCGTGCCCGGCGATCTGTGCGTCGTCAAAGCCGGCGACACCGTCCCGGCCGATTTGCGTCTGATAGAAGGCATCAACTTCGAAACCGACGAAGCTTTGCTCACCGGTGAATCGCTGCCCATCGCCAAAGACGCCGTTCAAATCTACTCGGCAACCGACGATACCCCAGTCGGTGATCGCTTGAACTTGGCCTATGCCAGCTCAACCGTCTCCAAAGGTAGAGCCACCGGTATTGTCATTTCAACGGGACTCAATTCCGAGGTTGGAAAAATCGCCAAAAGTTTACAAGGCGACAACTCGCTTATCTCCAACGACAAATCCAAATCGTTCTCGCAAAATGCTTATATCACTTTCAAGACTGCCGTCGGTGCCTTTTTGGGTACCAGCGTCGGTACGCCGTTGCACCGCAAACTTTCTAAATTGGCAGTGCTTCTATTCTTCGTTGCCGTTGTCTTTGCCCTCGTCGTTATGGCCACTCAAAAGTATAACGTCAACAAGGAAGTGGCCATCTACGCCATTTGCGTTGCCATCTCCATGATTCCTTCTTCTTTGGTTGTGGTTTTGACCATCACCATGTCAGTTGGTTCTAAAATTATGGCCACCAAAAATGTCGTGGTTCGTAAACTCGACTCCCTAGAGGCGCTTGGTGCCGTTAACGACGTTTGCTCCGACAAGACTGGTACTTTAACTCAAGGACGCATGATTCTCAAACAAGCCTGGATCCCTTCCTTCGGTACCGTTACCGTTTCAAATTCTAACGAACCATTTAATCCTACCGTTGGTACCACCGAATTGATCCCTAGATTCTCCCCACACGACTACAAGCACGATGAAAATGAAGACGTTGGTATTATTCAAGGCTTCAAAGACGCCTACTACAAAAACTCCTTGCCTACTGAACTTAACCCAGAATTGTTTACCAACTGGTTGAAAACTGCCACCCTTGCCAATATTGCTCAAGTTTATCAAGATCCTGAGACTCAAGATTGGAAAGCCCACGGTGACCCTACTGAGATTGCCATACAGGTGTTTGCTCACAGAATGGATCTTCCCAGATCAGTGCTCACACTTGAAGGCCAAAATGAAAGCGAGGATGAGAAAGTTCAATCTTCCTCTTCAATTCCAAACTATAAGCATCTTGCTGAATTCCCATTTGATTCCTCTGTCAAGAGGATGTCTGCTGTTTACCAAAATACAAAAGAAAACAATAAGCATTGTGTTTACACCAAAGGTGCTTTTGAACGTGTTTTAAGCTGCTGCACTCATTGGTTACCTGCTAGCGATTCGGACGAATCCAATGCCAAACCTATGACTGAAGAAGACAAAAAATGGGTTTTTGAAAATGTTGAAGTCATGTCGTCAGAGGGACTTAGAGTGCTTGCATTTGCCACTAAGAGCTTCACCGAGCAAGAGGCACAAAAACTAGGTGATAAATTGATTAAAAGCCGTGATTTTGTCGAAAACGATTTGATCTTCCAAGGCTTGGTTGGTATTTACGATCCTCCTCGTCAAGAAACTGCCGCCGCTGTGAAACAATTCCACAAAGCCGGCATCAACATTCATATGTTGACTGGTGATTTCCCTGGTACCGCCAAAGCTATTGCTCAAGAAGTTGGAATTCTTCCTCGCAACTTGTATCACTACCCTGAAGAGGTTGTCCAATCAATGGTCATGACTGCGACTCAATTCGACAAATTAAGTGAAGAAGAAATCGATGAATTACCATTGTTGCCCTTAGTAATTGCTCGTTGCAGCCCAGCAACGAAAGTTAAAATGATCGAAGCATTGCACCGTAGAGAGAAGTTCTGTGCCATGACCGGAGACGGTGTCAACGATTCACCAAGTTTGAAAATTGCCAATGTTGGTATTGCGATGGGAATCAATGGTTCTGATGTAGCCAAAGACGCTTCCGATATTGTTCTGAGCGATGATAATTTTGCTTCGATCTTGAATGCCGTGGAAGAGGGCCGCAGAATGACTGATAACATTCAAAAGTTCGTACTACAATTGTTGGCAGAAAACGTGGCCCAAGCTCTCTATCTGATGATTGGTCTTGCATTCTTAGATCAGGATCACCTTTCAGTTTTCCCACTATCTCCAGTTGAAGTCTTGTGGATCATCGTGGTAACCTCTTGTTTCCCAGCCATGGGTTTAGGTTTGGAGAAGTCTGCAGCAGATATAATGGAAAAGCCTCCCAAAGATTCCAAAGCCGGCATTTTCACTTGGGAAATTATTTCTGATATGTTTGTGTATGGTATTTGGATGGCAGGCTGTTGCTTAGGTGCTTTCGTTACAGTTGTCTATGGAAAGGGCAATGGACAATTGGGTTACAATTGTAACAACGAATATACTGATAGTTGCCATTTCGTTTTTCGTGGCAGAGCTGCGGCCTTTGCGACCATGACCTGGTGCGCGTTAATCTTGGCCTGGGAAGTAATCGATTTGAGAAGATCCTTTTTCAAAATGCAACCTGAAACTGATACGCCATACACCCAATGGTTAAGAGACATTTGGTCTAACCAATTCCTGTTTTGGTCTGTCGTTGGAGGATTTGTATCAGTGTTCCCCGTTGTTTATATTCCCGTGATTAACCATGATGTATTCAAGCATGCGGGCATTGGTTACGAGTGGGGATTGGCTGTTGCATTCACAGTGATCTTCTGGGCAGGTGCCGAGTTGTACAAATTTTTCAAGAGATCATACTACAAGAATCAAGATCGTGCTGATAATCCAGAGAAAGATTTGGAGAGCAAGCGGGTTCATGATCCATTTGAGAAGTATAATACATCATATTCCGGTTCATTTTCAGGTTCTACCGCTTTGCAGGTCACTATCGTAGACCAGAAATAGAAGAGAAGGAATGTAACGTTTCAACCCTTTGTACATTAGTACTTAATTCACTATCTGTAAAAGATACATATTAATTTGACACAAAATACTCAAATAAACGCGGGATACATTTGTGATGGTCATAATTCCTGGAGTGCCTCTTTCAACAATTCGACAGCTCTGAAAACATCTTGGAAAGTGTTGTAAAGAGGAGCTGGTGCGATCCTTAAGACATTTGGTCGACGCTCATCAACAATTACGCCCCTCTCATTCAAGTACCCAGAAACTCTTTCCATAGTGTCTAATTTGCGGTCATCGTGGTGAGGAAAGAAGTAAAGTGAAAGTTGTGCTCCACGTTCGCTCTCGGTCAAGGGTGTAAGAATGATGAAGCCCGCCTTCGAGACGTCACCCGAGGGAAGAGACTTATGGTAAAACTTCGATTCTTTCAATAATTCCAGCAGGTAGCCCGTTAATAGCAAAGATCTTTCACGCAAAGCCTCAATGCCACCAAAATCTTGGATAATTTCGAGAGAAGATCTTAATGCGACTACGTCTATTACACTTGGGTTAGATTGGCGAAAGCCTAGAGCACCTGAAATCGGCTCAAAAACCTCTTTCATTTGAAATCTTCTCTCGCGAGTATTACCCCACCAGCCGGCCAATCGTGGCATATAACTATCTTCTTTGTGGGAGCCGGAGCCTACCTGGGAATGCTTTTCATGCACGAATATTCCAGCGATAGCGCCAGGGCCTGAATTTAAATATTTGTAAGAACACCAACAAGCGAAATCGACCCCCCAATCGTGTAGTTGTACTGGGACATTACCCACAGCATGTGCCAAGTCCCATCCAACCACAACATTCTTGAATTGATGGGCAAAGAGTGTAATTTTCTCCATATCAAACAACTGGCCTGTATAGTATTGAATACCTGGCAAGCAAACAAGCGCCAATTGCTCGTTGTTTTCGCTAATAGCTTGAATAATGTCATCAGTCCTCAAGTAAGTCTCGCCTTCACGAGGCTCCAGCCTTACGAGGGCCTCGTTGGGGTCAATATTGTGAATTCCACATTGGTTGAAGAATGCGTAGAAGTCTGAAGGAAACGCACCCTTTTCGCAAATGATTTTAAACCTTGAACTTGTGGGACGGTAAAAGGCTACCAGTAGTGCGTTCAAGTTTGCGGTCAATGAGCCCATCACTGCTACTTCCGATTCCAACGCTCCTACCACAGAGGGAAGCAAGTTCGATAGTGGAAGATCAATGTCTACCCACGAGGTCAATCCCTGCGGTTCGCCGCGGTGACGGAAATGGGATTCTACAGCACGATCGGACCAGGCATCCAGTTCCTTGTTGATGGCGTCTCTTGTTGATTTTGGCATGCATCCAAGAGAGTTACCACACAGGTAAGTTACTTGAGAGAAGTCCGAGGTGTTCGCCGCATCGCTTCTTAAACCCATAGACCCAAAGCTGGGAATGCAGAAAGCATCACGATGCGTGGCAGGATACCGATTATCTAGAAGCAAGGCCCTTTCCATGGTTTATTTTTTTTGAAACGATCAGTATTTGCTACATTGTTCGTTTAATGCTTTATATTAATGTATGTTAAAACTTTAAATATTTACAGATCTTCACTGTTGAAAAAAGGCAAGAAGCTTCGGGTGGTGCTTCTGGGAAACTTTTATTAAACTTCCTAATGTCGATTTGTAGCGCTTTATCAAGTGCCTTCAGTGTATATACGTTGAAAGGACAACATGTAGAATAAATCCTGGACCTACTTAATCTTATGCACATATGCCTTTTCTATACTTTTAAGAAAGGAAAACAGGTTCTCTCGCATGAGATTCACAAAAATAAATTCTTTTGCTCTATCGTGGCAAATAGGATTCACGCTTACAGTTTAGAACCTTACATGTTCTACAACCTTTGCATATGTATATAATTTCTCGACTGTGGTTGTTGCACTTGAAGGTACCATGAGGTATAGTGTTTCTGATAAGAGGTCAATAAATCTTGTAACGCGCTCGCCTCTCAATGTTGAAATTTTACAACAGTCGTTCCTAATTTCAATTATAATGCCGTCAGAATCATACATATATTAAACACTTCAAGATCACTCTGAGATTAATGTATATATTCGATTTGGATATCAATGCTTCATGAAGTGTTTGCTGATTTGCTCGTAAAAGTCAAGTCAAGAATATTTTCAAGTATTCTGGGTGGGTATTTGGCAGCTTTCATGCTGTTCGATGAATGTTTGCTAAGAATCAGCTGATTACTACGATATCAGCAGTGTGAGTAGACTTATCTGATTGAAATTCACGTTGTTGGGCTTTGGTTTCGTTATCTCATATCAGTTTTTCGGCTACTTTAGCCTTGTAGCCGATGTTGGCATGTTCAGCCAACATTGAGCTTTTGTCATTTGATTAAGCTTCAGCAATAAGGCTAAAGCAACCAAAAGAGCACTGCTAGAAAGGTATAATCGAATAATGCAGCCGCGCTTTAAAGTCACTGCACCTAGCAATGAGACTGGCGAAGTTCATCATCCAGTCTGGAACATTGCATGTTATCAGACCTCGTCAATCAAAATAGCTGTGTAAATTCAGATGGTTATTCAGTACATCGTGGTTACATCCTCATACGGAAATATCATGAAGAACTCTTACAGCGTACATGTACGAGTTAACTCACTAAATCGAAAGAACAGAGGAAATCCGAAAAACATGGATCAACAACCCATATACTTTACAATTTTGCATCCGTTATTCTAGCCCAATTGATAATTCTGATATTCCTGATCGACCATGCGAAAAAGCTTACCACCATTGCCAACCGTGCTGACGCTATTTTGGCCCGCGTCTGCGCAGATGAAACAGCCAGAACTGGCAAGGCAACTATGTGAACTTAACGCCGAGTGTGTCTGACAGTCGAAGACTACCGTGTCTCTGACTCTCAATGGCTACCGCAAAGTAAGATGCTTAACAAAAAGGCGGCATTCGGACATGATTTTCTTGATGCTAAGAATCTCGTTAACGTGATGACCGAGTCATTACACGCATTGAAGTGGAACACTTGCTAATGATTGTGTCGACGATTCCAGTAGGATTTTTCAGACCTAGAGACTGAAAAACAAGGAATTCAAATCTATTAAGTCATTATAGGGGGCCTGTCAGGATTTTTGTACTCCGCGCTAGCGTCAATTGCATAATGAAGTAGATCAGAATGGGTTCATAGCGGGAACTCAGAACTACGACAGAATAGTACAAAGTGACAAAGCGAGATATTCAATTAGATGTTGAATAAGAGTGCTGAGGTCTAGACATTAACCGAAGCCTATAGCCACACTTCTCAGCACCGCTGCGTTTGAGAAATGGAGGCTCATAAATGATAATCCGGTGTGAAGCTCTTTTCGAAGCCAATACCCGACAAGCAGACAAATATATAAACACGAACGGTATTTCCTCCGCGTCGATATCCTAGGTCTTCACAGCTATAAGCGAGAACAGCACAGCAGAAAAAAGCCGCAGTTTAGCGTGATGAGAGCCTTTGCTCATACTCAAGCAAGGAAGAGGGCGCTTGACACGTCACGTACAACATGATGTCTCGAAACCGCAGTAAGCTCAGTCACAGCAGCCAAACTACAACCACTAAGTACCAGACCCAGCCATGGGTCTGGCATCATTTCCAAAAGCTCTGAAACCTCACAGGCCCGCCACAGATCACCAAATACGAAACGAATCCTTTCGCTCCTCGCACTCTCTTCAGCCAGCCCAACCCCGCTTCCAAACTACAAGAAACTACCACACACTCTTCACACTCACCCTCGTCTCCACCAAGCGGCTGTGTGTCCCAAAAACTACTTCTATCATCGCACACGACTGATTCCGTTTTTCTCAACACTGTTCTGTCAATATACGTAGTTAACACTAATAAATACATACTATTATATATATATATATATATTTTTTGAAATTGTGTCTCCGAAGAAAAAAACCCAATTGCCGAGCCTCGTCAATCACCCTAGACTCTTTTGAGTAGTTCCAACTCTACAGGCTTCAAAACCAAAAAGTCTGCTCACCTGAGCTCCTCTTGTTTCCCACCTTTCCCTTTTTACAACGGTGAATCGATTTTACCCGCTCTGCTCTCCCAGAAAAATATATAATCAAACCGAAGGAAGGAGGAGACACAACAATCTAAAACCAAATTTTACCGCACATTGAGAAAACAGACCAGAAAACACGCTAAATGGCCTCTGAATCGGAGCCAAAAGCTGCGCAAGACGGCACTGGCGTGTCTGGCGAGCCATCAGCGCAGTTTGGGGGCGATTCAGCCGCGATTGAAGCTCCCATTGTTGCCATGGGAAGCGCGCAGTTAGACGCCCAGGAAATGGAGTCCGGAGGCGACCTCGAGACTGCAAAGCCTACATCAGCACCGCACAACACGCCAGAGCCGAGCCCCGGCTCTGGCTATCCGGGACACGGCGATGCGCCGTTTGCGGGCCAAACACTTCTGCCGCCGCCGCTCACGGGCGGAGATCCCAGTATAGAGCATCCGCCGCCTCGAGGGCCTCCCCCGTCCGCTGGGACCAACGACAGCGATGCTGGCGGCTCGTCAGCATCGCCCAATCTTCGCCAAACGGTCAAGACCGAAGGTAAGGACCAGTACTTAATCCCAGAACCGCGAAGACAGGTCACCAAGGACGAGCCCAGAGCCGCGGTCATCACCGACGAAGAAAAAGCGGCGGCAACGACGAAAAAGGACGGCGGCACTGTGAAGATCACCAAACACGAGGAGCAGATGCTGGCGGAAGAACAGAACAAAACACAAGATGCTGAGGCAGCAGCGCTGCAATTGCCGCACATATCGACACTGCTGTCACTACCGCGGCTTCCAGACTCCAGACACGCGTCTCCAAATTCTATTCTGACGCGGCGCAACGTTTTTGCAACTTCAGCTTCGCGGTATTCGCCGACGGAATCCGCGAAAGACGAGGAAAGACTGCCACTGCGGGGTGCCAGCTTTAGCGGTAGCAGCAGCACGAGCGGGCTTGTTTCTGGTACCGGGCGTACTTTTCTCACTCCGCATAGACTCAGTTTCAATACTCATCGAATGGCCACTGATCCACACGTGACCCTTGACCACAACAACAAGATCAACATCTCGTCACTACTCAATTCCAGAGGCGAGGACATGTACACGCTGCGGTCGCGCGAGCAATTGAGCTCGTCGCCCGCATTCCAGGCGTTACTTAACAGCGGGAGTCGTGGTGGCGATGGCCATGGCGGCGCCGCCGTGGACGTTGCCGTCGACGATGACGATGACGATGACGATGACGAGGATGATGATGACGATGATGACGATGGCGACAATGACTTTGAAGATCGCAGCTCAAAACGCCAGTCACCGTCAGTAGTCGTGGTGCCACCCCCGGCATCGCAACCCAAGCGCGTCAAATCCAAGCTCGACGAATTAAGATCTCGCGTGTTACTCGACCCTAACGCCAACCCACTGCGACCGGGCCAACCAGACTCGTCGTCGTCACCCCGCACCGATGATGAGTCTGCAGCTGCGGGTGCCGCAGCGGCAATCATCAGCAGGATGCGTTCATCTCCATACGCAGCGCAAAACGACGAATCGAATCAATCCAGTCGGCCAGGGTCTGCTAGTTTCAGACACCACATGCGGCCTATAGTGCGTATTCACCAACGGGAATACGACCCAGATGACAGCGACGAAAGTGCAGTAATTGAAGATGATACAGAAGACGAGTCCTATGAGGAGCTTCCAAGACGCGGGTCTGACAAAATAAGCTGGAACAAAAGTGGTATGAAGAAAAGAGTAACCAGACGCCAGTCTGCGCCTTCCGCCAATCTCAAACGTCGCCACTCTATTCATCCCGACAATAACTCTGTCTCTGCTTCTCGCACTTCGCGGCACTCATCTACATCCTCCGCGTCAACTGTCACATCTTTACTTTCAGCGGCAAAACTTTTAGGTAGGAAACCTACCCCTACCACCATCAAGGATGAGAATCAGAAAACCAAAACCGGCAAAGAATCATCGTATGAGTCGCCCTCTGCATCGCCAAAGGACAACAACAACAATAAACCAAGGCGAAAAAACGCTTCCGGATCGCGCTCAAGAAGCGGCTGCTGGATTTGCAGGCTGCGCAAAAAGAAATGCACTGAGGAAAAACCAAGTTGTCACAATTGCCTGCGGCTTAACTTGCAGTGCTTTTACGACCACACAAAACCAGACTTTATATCGGATCCCGCGAAGAAAAATGATAAACTGGAGGAGATCAAAAAGAAAACAAAAGAGGCGAAACGTATGGCAATGAGAAGGAGGCCTTAAGAAGTCTCTTTCCTCAATGGCCTCCAATGTTAATGACACTATAACGACACTTGTTCGGCAAATGAAATTTCAACAAAAATTTATAATCTATCTAGTTATTCTAAATGCACATTGCAAGTAACGTATGCGGTTGAAAAATCATGCTAACGATGGAGGAACTTGTCAATTCTTGTAAGACCTCTAGGAAATTTTCAGTCGTATTTATGTTGAAACAACTGAAAACAGCGGAAGCTGGCACTCTGATCAAATCTTCGAATCTTGGTAAGCTCTCTTGCAAATGGCAGCCAAGACTACAAAGTAAGTGTCAGTTGTTGCAAAATAACTACTATACTAGAGTAGCGGTTTTTTACTTTACTGAAAGTCTAAACTATCGTAAGATAACAACTATTATACCACGAGCAAAAAATGATGTCAAAAATTCAAATTCTGTAGAGATCTTGGCGACCACAGTTTTGCAAAAGTAGATGTTAGTAAAATGAAGGATCAACGAATCGGACATCATACGCCTCGTCGAAAATTTCAGTTCACAAAGTCATTAAGCGCTAGCTTTTTTTCTCAGAAAATTCACTTTGAACTGTGAGAGACTGGTTACGAAACAGACTGGGTCATGTGAATACGAAAACATGTATACTGAATTGATGTTAACACAAATTATCACTGCAGTACCAATGTTCAGATTGTAATACATGTTCATTCAGAATCCATATTCAATATTGTGAGTAAGCGTAATTTCCTGAAAAAGGTTGGTTCTGAGAATCACCCGACTGCTGCACGAACTGCGTGGGCTGCCTCAAATGAGCACTATGTCCTTGTGGGGGCATGGCGCTGTAGGCCATCGGTTGGTAGGTGTGTGGCATAAATTGCATGTAGGATGAGTTCATCATTTGATGTTGCATTTGAGGATAGTAAGGTACTTCAAATGTTTGACGCATTTCTTGGGGAAGGTTGAGTGGTAGAGAATTTGAGGATTGTGCAGATTCGTTGAAGTACATTGGTGGCAGATTGTGCATAGGAGATAAATATGCTGGACTTCCTTGAGCTGTCGAAGGACGGCTCATCGGAGCATCGCGAGGATGCATACCAGGAGGGGGACCAACGGGAATGCCACGAGGAGGGATGCAGTTCGAATTTGTATTTGAAACGGGGCTTGAATCTCTTAATGAAACAATGCTGGATGAAACAGGAGAGTCAGTTTGTGCCTCGGAAGCTGGAGGCCTGCTAAACATTATATCCACTGTTTTTGATTGGCTATCATTAGGCGAGCTTGAAGCTTCAGCCTCGCGACGTTGCGTGAGCTCAAAGCTAGGTCTTACTTCCAAAGTAGTTGGGGCAAGAGGTACAGAGGATCCACTGTAACCCCAAGTAGTAGGCCCAACTTTATCTTGTAATCGGGCTTCTATATCACGCATCGACAGAGCTGAACTACTCGCTGATTGTGAAAGTTTGCTGAACCTGGGGTCCCATTTTTGTCCGGCCTTTGTCTTCACAGCTGATATGACAAATTTGTTGTCAACAAATTGAATACCACACGAGTTTTTAGATAAGAATTTCTTCCCAGAGACAGCAATAGCTTCAAGTCTGAGGGCATGTTCTTCTTTTTTTGACAACTTTTTGTCAACCATTCCAAGAAATGCCTCCGAAGAGTTTTTGGAACTAAACAGTTCGGTGTCTTTAAAATCAGATAACGAATATTTGAGAGGCTTGAAATCTCGCAAAAGAACATCTTCATCAAAATAATATGGTCTATGCGGTCTGTGACTTAAATCAGTCGTGTGTGCAGCGAATTTGGTATTATCCAAAACCGAATTCATCAAATGCATCATGGCCTCACAAAAGTTGGCGTTGCGATGAGCAAAGTGTAGAACACTTTTATTGGCCATCAGCCAACATTCGGTTACACGTACAAACGCCAGGTATACCCATTCATTTTCGTCAGACAATTCTCTCACAACAACATTGTTGATGAAGTTGCTGATATACTTCATGGAAAACTCAAGGTAGTTGGTCTCCACAGATTGAGCCTTTGACTGATCTGAGCTCTTACGATTAAGCGTTCTCAATATGTCAAAACCGCCTATTATTAGAATTAGGTTATGAAAAATCAACTGCAGATTTTTCGCATATTTTGTAGCCGTTTTGTGCATAACTTCTTGTTCAACGTGGGAAAGCATGACTTCACTAATAAGACTCTTACGATCGTTACCAATCCATAAATCTGGGGCGAATTTCGCTCCGAACGAAACTAGAAAGTAAATTTCAATTACTTCTCGATTGACAATCTTACCTTGTGCTGCTTGTTTATGAACGTTGTGAAACGCCTCGACAAGTTGGTTAAATATTTTGCTGTCACGGTCACAGACGGAGCTCACAAAATTTGTAAAACCCCCGCTACTAGGGAGACGTGCTAAAGCACTCCTGGCAAACGAATACGTAGAGGATCCAAAGCTCTTGACGTGAACGTAAACCAAACCTTCTTGCAAGTATAGCTCACCCACAGAAGGTAAAACCATAGTGGCTAAATTGAAGTACCTCATGGATTTTTTGAAATGCGAAAGATCCTGCGGACCGTTGTGGGTTCTTTCGCACATAGTCTTGTATCGATGAGATGAACCTAGATTTAAGAGAGATCCGTGGATCAAAAACATAACCGAAACTGCTTTACCATCGTCATTCTGTAGAGTTTCGCGGTTTGATATTTGCGGATTTGGTTGAAGATTCAGTTGTGCAAGCAGCCGTTTCGGTATCACATCGCCAAGATCGCACTCTGAGTTAAGCCTTTCGAGTACACAGTAGTAGAATCTGTGGATGATTTTGAAAAACTTGGTGAGTTTTGAGTTCATTTTCCTGAGCTCCACCACTCGAGGCTTTTGATCCACTTTGATGGAGATTAAATGTTGCCGCCACAGCTGAAACCACTTGAAAATTGGATAGTGCACATTTCTCCAACAGCAGTCCATAATTAACTGGGCAACTTCTACGCTCGTCTTGGAGTAAGCTGCTAAAGTGAGTATTTCATCAACAAACTTGAGACATTTAGAGTGTGCGAACGTGAGAAAGCCGCTCAAAAGCGCGTCGTCCTGATTTGCAGAGTACGCTTTGAGAATCTCAGAAAGTTGGCCTTGGTATTTTTTGAAATGGATAGAAATCTCCTCAGGGCCTGAGATCTCAAGGTCTGACATTCTTGGAATAGTTTAATTTTTAAAGGTTTTTTTTTGTGTTAACGGGACAAAGCTTGTTTGCAGTTCCTTTACATATGTCCACAATGTAATGTTCCCAATATGAAACCTGCCAATCTCACAGATAAACCGGGTTGTAGTCGATGAACCGGCTTACAATGCTTAAAGAATTTAAACTCTAAAGATGATCGACGAATTCATTTGAAGTTTTATAACAAATTTTTCGTTTTTCAAATAATAAGGCGCCTCTAATAAAGTACGAGAAACTATCGATCTCATCGGATGGCGGGCAATAGAAGCTTCGAAGCTTCTCAGAGCTCCCTCTTCGTTTCTGTACAAAAGTTCTATGCCACGCGTGCTATGTGTTGCTGAGAAGAACTCTATTGCCAAAGCTGTTGCTGGAATTTTGAGCGGTGGAAGATCGTCCAGACGCGATAGCCCCAGTAAATACATCAAGAATTATGATTTTACATTTGATTTCCCATTCGCTGGAACGAGCAGTGTGACAATGACATCAGTAGCGGGCCATCTCACAGGGCTGGATCTTGATCAGGCACATGGATGGGGAAAATGCCCAATTCCACAGGTTTTCGACGCGCCCATTGTTGACATACGTACTAAAGACCAGCAGAAAATGGCGGAGAACATCAAGAGAGAATGCCGAAACGCTGATTACATTATGATCTGGACTGATTGCGATCGGGAAGGTGAATATATTGGCTGGGAGATTGTCCAAACCGCCATACAGGCAAGCAGATCGCTCCAAGGAAATGTCTTCCGGGCTATTTTCTCCCACTTGGAAGGTGGACACATACTACACGCTGCCAGAAACCCGGCAAGGCTTGACCAGCGTGCCGTTGACGCGGTACGAACGAGAATGGAAGTCGATTTGAGATCTGGGGTAGCCTTTACCAGGTTTTTGACTGAGTTGCTGGGCTCTAAAGTCGAGCGTGACTTGGGCCAAAGAAACAACCAGCGGCCAATAATATCTTATGGAACTTGCCAATTTCCTACGCTGGGATTTGTTGTTGATCGGTTCGAAAGAATACGGAAATTTGTGCCTGAGAAATTTTGGTACTTAGTAGTAGCTATACCGAATGGTACTGACACGACTGTTTTCCAATGGGAAAGAGGCCACCTTTTCGATCGTTTTGCAGTTGCCGTAATATATGAACTCTGTCTTGAGACTTCGCGTAATTTAGCGAATGTCAGTGACATCAAGTCAAAACCAACCACGAAGTATAGACCCTTGCCCTTGACGACAGTCGAACTGCAAAAAAACTGCTCTCGCTTTTTCAAAATGAGTGCGAAGACTTCGCTGGATGCAGCTGAAAAGCTGTACCAAAAGGGATACATATCCTACCCAAGAACTGAAACGGATAGTTTTCCGTCGAATATGGACTTACAGTCTCTTGTCGAGCAACAAGTGTCTGATAACCGCTGGGGATCCTACGCACAAAGCCTCTTGACTGGGTCAACTTCAAACCGGTTCAAGTGGCCAAGGGCCGGTAAACATGACGACAAAGCACATCCTCCAATCCACCCCATTGTCAGCAGTGGCACTGGTCTCGACAATGAAAATGAGAAAAAAGTATATGAATACGTCACCCGACACTTTTTAGCTTCATGTTCTGAAGATTCTAAAGGCCATTCTACTACAATGACTTTACAGTGGGGTAATGAATACTTTACCGCTAATGGTATCGTGGTGCTGGAACGAAACTTTCTGGATGTCTATGTCTGGATGAAATGGGAAACCACAAAGCAGTTACCAAATCTGAATCTTGGCCAAGAAGTGGAGCTTTCATCCTACTTGATGAAGGAAGGACAAACTTCACCTCCCAATCAAATGACTGAGAGTGAATTAATTTTACTAATGGATGCCAACGGAATTGGTACAGACGCCACGATTGCAGAACATATTGAGAAAATACAGCAAAGGAATTATATTAAGAAAAAGAAGGTAAATAAGCAAATTTACCTGATACCGACTACCCTAGGAATTTCTCTGGTACACGGATTCGAAGCAATTGGACTGGAAGATTCTTTTGCCAAGCCGTTCCTTCGCAGGCAAATGGAGGTCGACTTAAAACTGATCTGTGAGGGAAACAAAGATAGGGCAGAGGTAGTAAACGATTTTATCACCAAATATCAAGAATATTACGGTTTAACTAGTACGAAACAAAACAAACTAATTGAAATATATACCGATATCAAATCGGTGATGTGAATCTTATCTAATGCTAAATGGATATATGCGTTGCCGGCGACGGTCGCCTAAGGTTTTTTCCCTTTCAGTTGGTCATTGGATGCTCGAAGCAGATGATACCCCGCTTAAGGAAGATGAACGGCACCAACAAGTCGAGTCTGCATGCTCTACTTGAATCCAGGCCTTGATGCCTACCCCTTCCAGAATTTTCTCTACCCTCTTTTTTATAATAGTTGAATTTTCGCCGTCCATGTACTGAATGTGGATGTAGCCGACAAGGTCCTTGGACTTTTCAGTCTCACATGAGCCTTCATTGTTAGGAAGAGAATGGGAGTGTCCATGAGAATGAGAATGCCCCCCATGACCGCCAGATGAAGATAAGGGCCAAAATCGTGGTGTTGTGTATCCGGTAATGCCAGGAGTCATGGATATTTGACTTAAAGCATTCTTCAAGTTATTGGTCTGTTTGTCATTCAACTTGAGTAAAATGCTCGCCGTTGTCGATTTAATCAAAGGAAAAGAGCTCATTAAAATCAGTAGCGCAATGAATATAGATGCAATTGGATCAAAAATCTGTAAATTGAATAATTTTGTCAGCGTAGTTGAAATAACCACACCAACAGACCCCAGAGTATCAGCCATAATGTGTAGAAAAATACCCCTCATATTTTCATTACCTCCGTCATGGGCGTGCCCACCATGGTCAAAGGCAAAAAGGCCAATTAAATTGACCACAAGCCCCAAAATAGAAACTACAAGTAGCTCGTTGGTTTCCAGCAAGTCGGTGGGATTCATAACTCTGTCAATAGCTTCTACCAGAATACCAGAAACTATACCGATCAAAAGCACACCATTTGTAAACCCGGCTAATGTCTCTAAATACCCTAGTGCGAAGGGGAAAGTGTCGCTTGGAGGGTTTTTGGAAAGAAGGCCTGCGATTAAACCCAGCAGGAGGGACATGCAATCCAGGGCCATATGCAGTGAATCAGACAACAGTCCCAAAGACTTAGAACGGAATGAGTAAAGAAGCTGTACGAACATGAAAGTGGCATTGAGTAGCAGAAAGGAAAAAATGGGTCTGGTCTCTTTGTTTGTTGCTAACTGGAAAAATAATCCTCTCTTTTGATAAGAGTTTTCATCAGCAATGGTTGCATTAGAATGGTCATGGTCATGTTCGTGCCCGTGTTGATGTTGATGCTCATGTCCATGTTGACCATGCTCTTCGCAATGCAGGTTTTCGTGCCTGTCTTCATGTGCTTCATTTAAGTGGCATGAAGTCTTCTTCGATACTACCCAACTGAAAAGAACGAATACAAGGAGTATGGCATCACCAATCATTGGCTTTGACTCGCGATCGAAGGACAGAAATTGAAGCATCATTGCTGCTAGCCCTAGAGCAGGTGGCACGTACTCCGAACCCAATACTTTTAATGCGCTTGAAGTGCTGGGTTCATCGCAAATTTCCTTCCAACTTACGAAAAGTAGACCTAAGCAACCAAGGCATACAAAAATCATGGAGTACTGCAAACCGAGGCCTGACTCTCTGATGCTTGGAAATAGTCCGATCGGATCTGCCAAGATCGTATTCATAAGGGCGACGACGAGTATTGAAAAGATAGCGAAGTGAGCAGGCTTCAATTGTTTTTTGAATAGCATGCCTGAACTCAACGGCTTGCGACGTCTGCAGTATAAAGTCAATAAAATAACCGCGTAACTCACCACCGTCTCATAGAAGGATTCACCATGCAGATAGTCCAAAACCAAACTTAACGCTGGGAAAACAACGTACAGCCTGCTAAAACTGATGCATCCGCTTAGGATTTGCAACAGTAGAGCTGAGAGCACGGAGGTCTGTGTATGTCCCAGCAAGGAATTAATTGAAAAGCTCACGAATGCCAGTGCTGCACTGGCATCCAATCGCTCAATCGTACCGAAAGCTCCGCCAACAGCGGCTACTGTTGATGCACATAGTAAGGGCGCTATCGCATGCCGAAGCAACAGCTCCATCACCGCTCCTGGTTCGCCCATACGCTCAACATCGGTGCTAACAATGAGGTTGCTACTCAAAAGCACTGTAGGAAACGAGAGTATTAGAGGAACCCGCGAAAGAACCTCGTCCAGAAGCATTTATAATATTGTGTTGCAGAGAGACACTTTTAGTATTCCGAGAAGCTATGTTCAGAGGCTGAATTCTCTGTTAATGCTTGTATCGACGTATCGTCAGACCCTGATGGTAACAAGAATTGATTACCGTATTAAAAGATAGAATGTGTGATCACGCGACTACGGTTTTCCATTAAAAATGTCTCGGCGGCAATCAAGAAGAAGCATAAAACGATTGAGTTACCGAAGATGTTCTTCCAACTACAGAGCTTTGGATAGTGACACCAGTGGCATTGACAAACATTCTTTGATTTTGACGATTCTAAGCCATCGAGAAATTTCTGATAATGTTTCGCTTCAGTTATTAGACTCGTACTGCGCGTCGTGAGATGGTTTAGTTACAAGGATACTAGACTACTATAAGGTGATATAATAGGTTCATTGAAGTCAGGAATCGGTTGAAGAGAGTGGGTGCTGAAGAACTTTAAATAATAAAATCGAGAGAACGCATTTTAAGAAAATATGAGACTGCCATGCTTCAATTACTCACACGACAGATTAGCGGAGAATCGTTCGAATCACTGATAGTTTCTTAGCATGAAGCTGCCCTGTATCTCTCTTCGTACCCTCTTATCTCGGACTTTTTTCACACCACTGGCTGACGGCGGCCCCGCCATAAGCATTACAGGATGGTGCTTGAGACAACTTCATAACATTCCATGCATATTTAGTCAAGCGGGGCTCGAAACTATTGAAATTATCTCTGTGAGAATTAGGGAAGTTATATCTAAGCCAACAGAGGCCAGGTTGAAGTTCTGCATTCGTCAAATTAGCACGCCAAGTTGTGACACAGCGTGATTAGAGGACGAAAGCAAGCTCGACAACTTGGAGGTTCGGCCTTGCAGAAGTTAGCAGGCTGCACTGCCATTGTGGTCTGAATTCGTCTCCTGCGTAGAGCAACCAGCAGCATGCGAACATCACAAAGGAAAATTCAGGCCAACTAAGAACCTACATGCCAATTTCGAAGCGCCGGAAGGCTGCACAAACTACGCGATAGAAAACCTTTTCACACGACATTCTCCGTGTCTATTTACCTATTTTTCAGAACATGATACACCCTACTACACCAGCAATTGTCAATGTGAAATCACCATACTGTTCATTTAATATGTTTTTTTATGCCAGCCAGCGTTCAAGTCATCTATTAGACCTTGTTAGCCTCAGAAGCTTACTGAAAATGCAAGACTAGACTCACTGGCGTTTTCAACTTTCTAATGAGTGCCAAACCCGTACTGAAGCGATCACAGCCTGGTGTCGATTACGCTCAATTGGATATGCACACATTGTTCAAATCTGCAGCTATATAGCCGCCACAGAAACACTCTACGCAGGACGAAGCACGAAGCGCGATTAAGAAGAACCCATGCTTTCATACATCAAGCCAATTTTCAATCGATCCAGACAAATGACACAGAGCACGCAATATTACGCCTGTAAGGAACGAGATCCGTGTACGGCACGTCAAAAAGCTTTTTGTTCACTGGAGAGCACAAAAAATTGCAAAGGATAGGGACCACTGAGGCGCCCACCCCATTGAGATTACTACTTTCCCTTGGGCCTCTTGAGCGACCAGATTTCATGCATACCAGTAATTCAAGTGATCATGAGCCATCATTATGTTCTTTCCCCTCAACGGTCTCAAACGTTCACAGGGTAGTCAAGAAAACTGACACCTTTTTCTAAACGAATTGCCATCTTTCATGGCGTCTGCGTGCTAGCTTGCGTTACCTTTTCGCTGCTTCCTCTTCCAACCGTATAATTTGATGAAGAAATTTCATATATTGTTCATCTCCGGAACTTTATGCAGATATCTTGGCAATTCCAATACATGCATCGCATGCTTAAAGTTACTTGAGGCCTCTCGGCAAAGAAAACAATGGTAGAAGAAGAAATCATCCGTTAATTGATTTTTAATGAACAGTGCGCGCAACTCAAAAACTTATATAAGAGCCGCATCTTTACGAGAATACAAAGGCATTCCTGGGAACAGAACAATCAGGAACATGTCTTCATCTAGTGCGGACAGTGGTCGCAAGAGCAGTGGCTTTTCGAGAGGCCTTTCTAGATGTCTCAGGATGCTAGAAGTGCCAGTAGGTGAAAGAGAAACACTTAACGTGCTTAGAAACCCGGACCTTCAACCGATTCCTGCCAAGGATCAAACTTGGTATGTATTTCCATTTGGTGTATCATGAAAAGTTGTTCAAAATTTCAATCGAAGCTCGATTTGAGAGGAAGGACGACAGCGCAATGACGTTTCGACTAACATATTTTCCAGGAACTGGGCAAGTAACATGGCGTACTGGGGAATTATCTCCTTCTCCGTGGGAACCTGGATTAGCGCCAACGCTGCGCTTAGTGTTGGATTGTCTTACGCGGAAACTATCGGAACCTTTATCATAGGTGATGTTGTAACCATCTTTTTCACTTTGGCTAACTCATACCACGGTACAGATTGGAAAGTCGGATACACTATTTCGCAGAGATTTGTTTTTGGCATTTACGGATCCGGGCTGGGTATTCTTGTGCGGTTTTTGATGAGTATTGTCAATTACGGATCCAACGCCTGGCTTGGTGGACTGTGTGTGAATATGATCTTGGACTCCTGGTCGCATCACTATTTGACTTTGCCTAATACGCTGACAGACAAAGTTGCCATGAGCACTAAAGAAGTAATTGGATTTATGATTTTTCATGTGATAACCGCTTTTTTCTACCTCATGAAACCTAAGAGCATGAACTACTTTTTGATCGCGTCTTGTTGTGCTACTTGTATTGCAATGACGTGCATGATAATCTATCTGTGCAAAGTTAATGGAGGTGTCGGCTCATATTTCAAAGACTTGGAAACCACTGTTACAGGCTCCGAGAGATCATGGGCATGGGTTTATATGATCTCTTATTGGTTTGGCTCTGTTTCACCTGGTTCGACTAATCAAAGTGACTATTCAAGATTCGCTACTTCCAAGACAGCTGTCTATGTGGGTACCACATTGGCTTTGTTAATTCCTACCACACTCATCCCCGTTTATGGTGTAATCGGAGCTTCTACATCTCAAGAACTTTACGGATCTGCACTTTGGATGCCAATGGATATTTGCGACTATTGGTTGAACAACGGGTATACAGCTGGTGCCAGAGCTGCCACATTTTTCTGTGGTTTGGCTTTTCTCTGTTCGCAGATTTCTTACACTATCTCCAACTGTGGATTTGCTGCAGGGATGGATTTGAGTGGTGTCTTGCCCAAGTACGTTAACATTTTCAGAGGTGCCATTTTCTGTGCCATGCTCAGTGTCGCTGTTCAACCATGGAACTTTTACAACAAATCTGCTTCCACCTTTTTGACTGTCATGTATTCGTTTGGGGTTGTAATGACGCCACTTATCTCGGTCATGATATGTGATAACTTTTTGATCAGAAAGCGGAATTATTCAGTATCCCAAGCTTTCGTTGTCCACGGAGAATATTACTACACCTGGGGTGTCAATTGGCGTGCTATTCTTGCTTTTGTGTGTGGTATGGCACCCGGTTTACCAGGTCTTGCTGCCGAAGCAAACCCGGCAATCATGGAAACCATCAATCCAGGTATTGTCAATTTCTACCTTGCCGATTCTTTCACTTCGTTTCTGATCTCTTTCTTCACTTATTGGATTTTGTGTTTGATTTTCCCCGTCAAGATTAACGTGAAGCAAGATGACAAGGACTATTACGGCGCTTTTACCGACGAAGAGGCCAGAAAGAGGAATATGGTACCATTCAGTGAATTACTTCCCGATGAAATCAATGAGTACAATTATAACGAGGAAGCAGTATCGCCACCATCCTACAATTCTCCTTCACCCAGCGTCGCTGATGTTGTGGAGAGTGAAAACGAAAAGAGCGGTGAACACAAATAAATAAACGGGGTTTCGGTAGCCAGTTGATAGACATAATAGTAATGGACCTGTATATTTGAGTTAATTTTAATATCTGATTATATTTTGACCCTATCTGCTCCCTCCATACGCGGCTAGGCATTTGTCTCATGTTTATCGTACTTTAGCTTAAATTGCTTACGCTGCCTAGCCCTTTCTTGCCGAATGGCTCTTAGGTCTGGGGGAGATGACAGATTCAAGCTTTTCCTAACTTCATCGACATCATGGTCTAGGAGCTCTTCCCAGTACACGTTGATCAAAGGCTTCGAGCTCAAACCCGTTCTAACAGCCCACGGCAAATAGACGTCATAAAGCCGGTTTTTTTGAACCTGGCTGAGGCGCAAAGGAGCCAAAAGTGCACCGAGCGCGGCCATCGGAACACCTATGTTTGCAGCCTCCAAAGCCTTAACTGCTATTTCACCCTCAATGATGATGGGAAGGTCATTGACAGCATGATAAAAATCATGACATTGACGGTATCTCTTGAATATGTATGCATGCGTTGGGTCATTGATATATTTTACTGGTGCTCTAGTATCCGGCGAGACTCCCTCTTTCACAAGCCATCTGTAGTAATTGTGGCCCAAGGTGTTAGGGGCCATTTTACTCAAATGATCCATGTCTAAACTCTCAGAGGTGATATCTGGCTGCTCCCTCAATAGGCGTCTCCCGGTCTTGTCTGAAAGCATAGTCTGCTCCAAATTTCTTAAAAAGTACGTGAAAGCAGAAGCTTCTCCCAGTTGTACAATGTTTTCACCATTCTCTGGATGGAAATAAGACTTCAGCCCTGACACAAGAAATAGTAGCACACGTTCATGGGGATATAATGGGATATGGCCTTTGTAGTTCGGCTTCATGGGCCGAGAATCTGCAATAGAAGTGTCAAGGATTGGCTTTTGATCATTACTATTCTTGTTGTACAGTTCTCCCCTGTCCATAGCATCCGCTAGCCGAGCATCGCGACCAAAAATGAAGTTTCCCAGTGTTAGTGCAGTCGCAACTACAAATTGTCGCCTTTGGGGCAGCTTTGGCAAGCTTAAAGCGCGAGTTAATCGTCCGATAATCATCCTTATCATTTTAAAGGCAGCAGGAGATTCATCTACAACTATTTAGTCTTATAAGCTTCTTCGTCCATTGAGACATTGAGTTGGTCAAGAAGCGCTTCTCACATGCCAAAGGTATTGCTAAATCCCAAGCGAGATGGTAACGGATGATGTACATTTACTTCTGCAGTTCAGTAATTGCCAGGTTTTTACTTTACGATATTGAAAAGTGGTTTTTTAGCTTCTCAGCGTCTGAAGTCTGGCAACTGTCTTGTTTCCAGTTTGAACTATATTGCTGCTAGTTTCTAAACCCGTAGAGAGAGTAAGCGATCTTGAATCTAAAAAATAGGCTCTTCGTTCCATGTTAGCAAGCTTGGACCTTCTTCGCGAGAAGTAGGGCGATAAAACTAATTAGATCAACAATTTATAAGATCAGAAATCATTATATAGAGAATGAACATGCAATAACGAGACAAGCGTGCAACTCAGCACATATCCAAATACTGTGTGATGCTCTGATCAATTAGATACCTTACACAAGTATGTTGTTACAAGCAATATTATTCTTGTGACGCTATGCAACCTACAAATGTTGAGCTCAAAAAACCACTACATTGCTTAGCTTGTAAAACTGAATGTGACTCATCACCATTGAGTAGGGGCAAAAGAAGTAGCAATCGATTGCGTAAATGAAAACATTGAGATGCATTATTATCATTATTTTGCATTATAGTCTCAGTCACGTGATCTTGGGGTTTATTATTTCAAAGTCCCCATTTGTTCACTACGAGGTCAATACCCAAGACCGAAACCCTTGACTGCCTAATGACCACCCAACTGTACCCTGACGATTACTTCGGAGGGAGGAAACCAGTCGACCAGGAAGGTGAGCGCAGATGGCTCATCAATGAAATCATAAAACCGGAGCTACCGAATATTATAGACAATGTTGATAAATGCTTGGAATTGTTAACAAGCCAAGTAAATTTCAAGATGCCCATAAGTAATGGAGCTCCTAGTGAACCAAATGCCGCTTACGTACGAGGAGTTTTGACTAGAAAGGGTGGTTTCGTCATAGACTTCCAAGTTATGGTAAAATTTAAGCACTTTAATCGCGGAAAGCAGATCGTCTTTAAGATGGACACTACGAACCCTTTTCCACTTGAGCAAATTGCCATAATCACAACTAACCTAAGGATTGTTTCAGAGTTGCTGGATGTGCTCCAGCAATGCGCTGAAGTGGATAAGTTCGTTGAAGACCTTGGCAAAGTTGTGGATTTGCTGGCCAGTTCCATAAAGCTGTTACAATTTCCACCTCAAGATTTGTTGTTCCCGTTCAATCGAAATGCAGTGCTAAAGCAAATGTTTGCTCATTCTGAAGTGCCATTTCAAACCGCCCATCATGTTTTGAATATGGACCTCGTTATTTTAAAGAATGAAATTAGCATGGACTTTCGCAATTTGCAGAAAATCTTGACTAAGCCTTGGTGCGAATATAATCCGCATACAGGGAAAACATTTGCAGACCTGGTGCGGGACAAGCTGAAGTTGCAACGGGGCAAAAGTTTGAAGGAAATTTTAACAGATGAAGGTTTACAAGTTGAGGAGCCTTCATTATTCCGGAATGTTTTCCCACACAAAAACGGTCATATGTGCACATCTCTAGAAGAGGCGCAAAGTGTGCTGGTACGTTGCATAACATTTGAGTCGGGCCTGGTGTCTGAATGCGAAAAGGTGTCGATATCAACTAGCGATCCGAGCTTAATAAGCATTACCTCGAAACTCAGTGGGCTCGAAAACTGCGTAAGCAATTATTTCAGCAATATCACACTAATATAAAAAAGCTCTCACTCATTTTTCATAGTGTCTCTTAAAAGTCGTATACTTTCCAAAAGCTCGGTCTTCTGCACCTTGAGTTGTTTTAACTGTTCTAGCTCCTCAGAGGTAGATGAGGTCATTATCACTAGATCTGAACTCATGTCGGCTTCGCGGAAATCCTCGCCGTTGAATCGATTTTTAAGCCTTAAGGCGTTTAGTTCAAGTGTCTGTTGTAAATTATCGCGTTCGCGTTCCAACTTAGACAAGTTCTTGACTAGTTTGCTGTTCAAATTTTTAATTAGCGGTTCGACCTCCTCAATCAAATCCAGTTTGGCCCGCTGGACGTCGTATTCTGGCACGAGCTCGAATACTCTTCGCGATTGTAGTAGCCCTGTAGTCAAATAATTACTTGACTGAGATTCGTTATTTAGTCTACCAACCGTCTTTTCTAGACATTGTACGCTCAATTCCAGCGAATCAACACATTGCGCAAGGCTTTCGGCCATTTATAAATATCTTTTCGCAAGTTTCTAATTCAGTTTTGTCCGAGGCAAATGAACTTTAGTTGTATCAAAATGGTAATAATATATGTACCAATATAAAGGTATTTGCAGAAAATAAGGAAACATTATTCGTTCCACTCACAATAGATGCCTGCAGCCATTTCTGAGAAATGGGATGGCTCCGCACCTTCAAAAGTTATGAACAAGGATTCAAAACCGAATGTTTCGCGCCGATCGAGGTCAAACTCCAGTAGCGATGGGTCCACAACTTCACCCGAAACACAAGAGCGCACTATACCCAGTTCAGCTCCAAGAAACCGTTACACACATATTGTAATACTTAAATCACTGAACAACACATTCGAGACTAAGTTTCTAGTCGTTCCATTCAAACCAGATGGTCTCAAACTTGGCAGGCCCATCGCCAATTCTGCAATTCCACAGGGAGGGAAACAAGATCTCCTGTCACAAGTCAGACCTGATAATGGCCATTTTGACTCCCGAGTATTATCCAGAAACCACGCTTCGCTCAGTTGCGAACCATTTTCTGGCAAAATTTATATTCGTGATTTGAAGTCTTCAAACGGGACATTTGTGAACGGAAATCGTATTACGCAGAGTGATGTGGAACTCAAAGTAGGTGATATTATTGATTTAGGCACAGACATTGATGCTAAGTTTGAACATCGCAAAATAAGTGCCTTAGTGGAGGACATATCTATCATTCCGCTAATAAACGATGACGATGCTTTCTTCAATGGAGCTAGCAATGGCATCAAGAATAGTTCAAACAGTTCTGCAGAACATAACGGTCTCATTACGCCCAATGCCCAACGCGCTGCATTTGAAGCTGCTATGTTCGGCGACGTCAACAATCTCGATTTGGAGGGGTCTTTGCTGGGATCAGAAACTGAGGTTCTCAGTGGAATATTCATCAATAACTCTATTGGTACTAGTCCTAATCTCATTAATGTCATAAAAACCCTAGTAACGGAGATTTCATTGGAAAAACACGAATATGAGAAGATGAAATCTATAGAAAGATTTCTAATTCATTATTCTACTAACCTCGAACACATCAATAAACTACGAGTTGAGAATAACGACATGCAATTGGTTCAACTACAAAATGCACTGAAACAAAAACTTAGCGAAAAGCATGAAAAGTCATTGCACAATCATCTTGAGCGCTTGAATGAAATCAAAGAAGAAAACATCAGCTTACGCAACAGTATAGAAGAGCAACAAAAACAAAAGTCTGACAAAGTTGTTAGCTTGAAGCGGGAGCTAGAGGATTTGAATACGCGATTAGAGGTGGAAAAGTTCAAGAATGCCCAGTTGCGGAAGAGCAACGAAGAGATAGGGGGCTTTGCAAAACGCACACGAGATGCGTTGTCATCGAGAAAGGTAGAGGATAACTCAAAAAACACTGGGGTAAAAAAGAACAAATCAACGATAATACTCAGCGCATTTACAATAGGGATCATAGCAGTCGCGTTTCAATATTCCTCGAAGAGATAAGCTTCAAGTATAATCGGCAATGCCACTTTATTCATCTATATCTATGTCCTCTAACTCAACCCTCTCCACGGTTTCGATGCCTAGTTTTTTGGCCAGCTCATTCACAAATGTAATTGAAACATCGCGCGTAGTACAGGAAGCTTGAGGGATTTGCTCTTGGATCGATGTAGCCCTAGAATCAGGCAGCCCACACATAACAAAGTTGTTTAAGTACGATAAATCAGGGCAAACGTTGATGCATACACCATGCGACGTTATTGATCTTCTAACATGCACACCAATACTTGCAATTTTAAGGCTGTCATCAATCCAAACTCCAGTTTCCTGAGCCTTGCAAGCTTTCAGTTCCAGCGTGCTCCCATCGCTATTCTGCGGAACATTTTTTAAAGCGCTTATTGTCGAATCCTCAATGGCTGACACCAGACACTTTGCTGGAAATTGATTAAAAGACTTCAAATCCATTATCAAATATGCTACTACTTGACCAGGTCCATGGAATGTTATTTGGCCTCCTCTTTCTGCTTGAACGAATTTAGGGGGAGGGTTGTTAACTTGAGTTTTTGGAATGAAATTCTCGAATCGACTGATATCCTCAGGAGACAAAGCTTTCTTGCTTCGTTTTCCACCTGTGTAAGTTGGTTCAAATTCAAATGTTAGAACTATAGGATGAGGCTTCATATCTAGGATGTTCTTCAAAATAAATTCCTCATGCTGGTTGATGGTGGCACCAGTGTTTGCAGAATAAACCTCTCTTAGTTTCTGATCAATTTTCGATTTGAGGTTCTTCATGTCCAACTGCGCTCTCACAAAGCTCTCTTGAATTTGACTTCCTTTCAAGAAAGGCAATGGCTTCACAAATGCAAGGTGTTTTAACACTTTCGAAGACTCTTCAATCGGAAAAGTCGTCGGTAATCCAGTGCATGTGCTGGAAAATCTCACATGAAGTCTAGAGGAGCTTAATCGACGAAAATAGAGCAAGCCGGAGTGTACTTTGGCACTTTTTGTCACCATAGCTTGCTACAGTGGGCAATTCAAGATTTTTAAGCTCAGAAAGTTTTCCAATGCCGAGATGTGATGCGCTACCATCGACTTAACAAAATAGCTAATGCAAAAGGGACTGACTGGGCCCAAATTGAGCTGGGATGATAGACAGAAAAATCTGATCGAATGGTTGAGCACATGCGAGGAGTTTAGAGTCAACAAAAGTGTTTTTTTGCGGGACGATTCAAAATCGGGAAGAGGATTATATTTGAAATCTGGAAAAATAAGAAAAGATGAAATTGTTGTGTCTATACCGAGCGAACGCCAACTGAATTTTAATACTGTTTCTTATCACATCTCCAAATTTAATCCTGCTGTATCTTTTGACGGTATTGACTCCCAAGATTTGAAACCACCAGTTGACAAAGACGACCCTAGGTTCACACTATACAATGTGCTCGACAACGAGGTGCTCGGAAACTTAAGCTCTTTTCAACTGCTTTCTCTGTACATTTTATTCGAGTGGAAAATGCTTCCTTGCTGGAATACTGTTTCATTTTGGAAGCCCTTTTTCGACGTTTTCCCAACTTTTGACGAGCTTAATTCGATCCCTGCCCTTTGGATCCTTGATCCAAGATCTAAAAATCAAGAACTATTTGACTTACTTCCTTCTTCATCCAAAGCTCATGCCAAAAGAATAGCGAGTCAAGTCGAAGATGATTGGCTTGTGATCAAGTCCTTTGTAGAAATTTGGCGGACTGCAATTGCCGAAGAACATCGTCCTGCAATGGAGGCCCTTTACCAATGTTTTTCACACATCTATTTCATCATTAATTCAAGGTGCTTGTATATTAATGTTCCACTAAAAGACAATGTTGAGGATAAGTTTACCATGGTTCCCTTCGTTGACTTTTTAAACCATGACTCTGATTCTGACGTCTACTGCACACCCTACGTGAATAGCTTGAGGCGAGGTAAGTATGGTTTGGGAACATTCAGCATTGTGGGGGGAAGCCACGAGTATAATCAAGTAGGTGAAGAAGTTCTCTTGAATTATGGTCCGCACTCAAATGACTTCTTGCTGAACGAGTACGGCTTCACACTAGCGGAAAATAAGTGGAATTACATAGATGTCTCTCCCCAGGTTGAGTGTGTGATAAGCGATCCGTGCGTGCAAAAGTTCCTCGCAGAAAAAGGATTTTGGGGCGAATACACGATTTCCAAAAGCGACGTAAGCTTCCGTTTAATTGTGGCGTTTGCCGCCAAGGTTTGTCCTGATTTGCGAAAAGTTGAAAAACTCATGTTCGGTTACTTGACTGAGGCATCATTCAATCCTCAACTACAAAGTTTACTCGAGGAATTTTTATCCTCACTTTTGAAGACAACGCAGTCCAGGATCAGGTCAATTGGGCGCAATATTGGCTCTGGTGACATATCTGTATACAACGTTATGAATATTTATGAAGGATATTCGAAAATTTTGCAGCATCATCTGACAGATAGCCCGTAAACTTTACCCAATGCTTCTTACTATTTACAAGTATCTATAATCCAACTCCGATTTCCGTGCTAGCTGAAGTTTAGCCTTTGCGCATGCCATGATGGTGTCATTTAACGGACTTCTGATATTGAGTTTTCGCGCCTTCAAGGCAAAAAAGCCGTTTGAAAGATTGATGTCATTGATTGTTGGTCTCCTAAAGTCTCTGTATTTGGTTTTCTTGAAATGACGCGACACTGTTGAAAATAGTCGATGCTGATCCAAGGCTCCTTTAGAATGCGGTATCAGTGGAATAAATTTATCAGTTGCTTTGATTGTGTATGTGAATTCTGCTACCAGTGTTCGAATCATTTTTGTTAACGAATCACTTGCTTGAAGATCATGAGCTTGTTGACCGTACATCACACTAATGGGTGCCACACATGATCGAACGATTAGCTCTTCGTAACGATAAAGTAGGAGATCTCCGTAGGGGCGGCTTACTACACCCATTGCAGAGCCAGTTTCCTCTTTGTTGACAGATTTTAATAGTCTTGATAGGCTATTTGTTGTACTCAGCTTCTCGGTAGTTCGCACGTCTTGCTCATAAGAGTAGCCCATATGTGTTTTTGGTACACTACAAACTTGAAGAGCTTCGTGAAAACCAGGAAATTGGATAGTGAACTCCGCGGTTCGACAAACGTCTTCCAAATTAGTGATGCCCATAAACAAATTAGGCAAGCTCTCTTGCTCGTGCCATATGTTCTTTCGAAGCATATCCCGCACGCCCATATTTGGATTTAACAGTAGTAAATTCGTGTCACAATCGATGGATTCAGTGTATTTTTTAATGGAATCGATGAAGGATCTCGGATTGTTCTCTCCAATTATAAGATTGTCAATGCGCGCAATCTCTCCAGAAGCAAATTTCGGAGGCGAACAGGATGCCATGTACTGCTTGACACCATCAAAACCACCGTTGTTTCTTTGAATCTCTACTTTGGACTCATTCTCCAAGAATCGATTCAGTTTCTTTTGATCTTGTAGCAAAAGGACAACCTCTGGAACCTTAGGCTGGAAGCTCAAAGATGCTAATTCATGGCACATCAAGTGCACCAGGGGTGCATTACCCAAAGCGTATACTCTAGGAACGTTCATACCATGCTCTTCTGTGCGACTTTTGGTCCTTCTTCTTAACAAATAATCAACCAAATTTTTTGGAACACGAGAAATTCATTGTACCAATAATAACAAGTTACTTGATTTAAAAACCATCTGTCAACAAACTATGCTTATAGTCGGCCTGACGGGTGGAATAGCGTGCGGAAAGTCGACAGTATCTAAAAGACTCGAAGAAAGCTATAAAATTCCTGTCATAGACGCGGATAAGATTGCCAGAGAAATTGTGGAACCTCATCGCGACGCTTACAATCAGATTGTTCGTCATTTCCAAGCTAAGATTCCAGATTTGCTTCAAAGCGATGGCTCGCTAAACAGAGTGGCACTTGGAAAGTACGTTTTTGCAAACCATGCAGATCTAAAAGTTCTGAATGGAATCACGCATCCTGCAGTCCGCTTTGAGATTTTTAAGCAGATTCTATGTTATTACTTCCAGGGGAAGAAAATGTGCGTTTTGGATGTTCCTCTGCTATTTGAAAGTGGCCTTGATAAGTTCTGCGGCGTCACTGTGAGTGTTATGTGCGACCAGAAGTTGCAGATTGCCAGGATTTGTTCCAGAAATTCGGAGTTGTCCCACCAGGATGCAGAAAACCGAATTAAGGCGCAGATGACACACAAAGAAAGATCACGACGCTCTGATTACATTCTAGAGAACAACGATACAACCGAGTTGCTTTACGGGCAGGTTCAGACATTGGTCGGGAAAATTAGACCTTCGTGGACTAGAACTATCCTCGAGTATTTCCCTCCTTTTGCCATAGTCAGTGCTCTTGCTGTCGTGCTTATTAAACATCTGAGGGCCCAGTAATACCCTTCTCATTAGCTTTATTTTTACTAGCTGGATAATATTTTGCATTTTCATTACACAAGTTAACTTGTTTTCAATCCTAACTCTAATGTTACATATGCATATGCCAAAATTCAATTTGAGATTGGTCTAATGGGGTAGTCGTTTACATGCACTTCGGGTACTAGCTTATACGGTATGCCACCACGATCCTTTTGCAAAAGCAAACAGTTTTTTCCGAATGCACGCACTATCAAAGGTTTCTGATATAAACTTGGGTCACTATCATCCAGATCAGTCGGTTCCGCGGGCAGCTTCGTCAAAGACTTACTAAACGCGGTAAAGTTTAGCCGGTAGCCGAGCGGGGCCCGCGATTCACTCGGTATTGGACCTCCCTTTATATCTACTACATCTGAATCATCTGCATGACTTCGTTTTGACAACTCTCGTACTTTTTGGTTTTTCCATGCGGAATACGTTATTTCGCGGGGTTCCCCATCCTTGAATGGTTTCAAAATCTTCTTCAGCTTTTTGGGGGACACAACAAGACCTTTAGAGGGCAGCTCATCGCCGTAAACCGTCAAGAGCTTTTCATCACTGACAAATCGTATTGGGTTTCGCTTTTTTTTAATTGTCTTCTTTTTCAAAATGGATGCGACGCTAGAACTAGAGATTTCAGTGGGTTTCATACGTTTAGCAGGTTTATCGCCCAAATCGTCATCCTCAGAAGTTCTTTTAACGCTATCATTAATGTCACCCTTCTTAAGGTATTTAGAAAATGAGATTTTTTTTTTAGGCTCATCTGAAGGGGCATTTGTTGGCTCTGCCACCTTTGTAGCTTGTATGGTCGATGAGTCTTTACCATTGCTTGCATGCGGCATTCGTTTGGATATCTCCTGATCACTGTAACCGATTGTCTTCAAAAGTGTAATGTAGGACTGTATATTTTCCCCCACTGTAGAGTCCAACACTGATAGATTCACAACGCCCTCTAAAAGTTGGTCGCTTTTCTTAATTTCAGCTGCCACGGTGTCTGTTGGGCTTTGGGCTAACTTGTCGATGTACGCTTTTCGCTCAGAGGGCTGTTTATAGGGAAGTTCGTTCCGAATGTAATCGACTGGCTGATCACCACTCACATGTTCTTCTTGGTTCACGCTTCGTTGCTTCAGTTTTACAAGTTGTGACAGATAGTCTGCATACATGGTTTTAAGACCGTTGTATAGCTGCACGTCTGCCGCGGTTACGTGTGCTTCTCTACGTTCGATGTGCTCATTGTCGCGAGTGAACTCTGAGAACGCACTCTCCAACGACGTGATATACTTGTTAATCTGTGCGATCTGGGTTTCGTTGAGTTTGGCGCTCTCATTAAAACCTTTTACTTCAGATCGTAGTTTCTGGACGAAAGAAGACTGCAATGCGTGTGAGATGTTTACTAGCTGTGGTATCGGATTCACTGACATTTTGTGGCAATTAAAAATTCAATAAAGAGCTTATACAAGCACTCAAAGTGCTCGAATTAGCCTTTAGGTTCAAGCAGTATTTCAACAACTTGATTTTGATTTTTGTTTTTTTGGTATATTTAATTCATTTCGAATGGAAAACTTTTCAGTGACAGAGACACTATAGTTGACATCTTTATATACTACAAATAAAACTAGCTGACTTATCTCTTACAACCAAGAGTGTATGTTTGCGAACTTTTTGACTCGCCATGGTGTTGCGAAAACCGTAGCGATCGAAAGTGGTGCACGAGCAGTTGCGATCAGAGGAACAAGTGCTAGCTTATTACGTCTCGGCGGCTTCAGAGACTTTTATAATGGCCGAGACCGAAGAGAAAGTTCTGGGGGTTACAAAGGTAGTAGAAATCAGTCTGGCTCGAAATCTATGGGGCGCCGCCCCCGTAGAGATTTGCAAGACGACGAGCGTTCTATTTTGACCAACTCCAGACTCAGCAACATTATCCAGGTACCACACGACGAAAATGCTGCAGATGTAACTCTCGATGCGCTCAGAGACGAGGGTGTTATTGACAAGGATTTGCATAAAGCGGTCGAACGCATGAATTTTCCCAATCTGACGCCTGTGCAACAGAAAACCATGAAGCCCATCTTATCCACCGAAAATGATGTTATAGCGCGCGCAAAGACTGGTACCGGTAAAACCTTGGCTTTCCTGGTTCCGATTTTTGAGCATCTTATTAAGACTCGCCTCGAGTCCCCGAATATGGTAAAGTGTGTGATTGTAGCTCCTACAAGAGATTTGGCTCTACAAATTGATTCTGAGATTGCTAAACTTCACAAAAACAACTACGCTCTGAAAAAGTTCGGCTCCATTGCTTTAATCGGAGGCAGTAATTTTCAAATGGCTATTAAGAAAATGTTCAAAGATAGACCCAACATTGTTGTAGCGACTCCCGGTAGACTTATCGATGTTCTCTCTAAATTTTCCAACGAGTTTTTTAAGTTTGTGGACTTTAAAGTACTTGACGAGGCCGACAGGCTCTTGGAAATCGGATTTGATGAGGATTTGCAGGATATTTCTAAGACACTGAACACGTTAAACCAAACTGGACCAGAGCACATAAGGACACTTCTATTCTCTGCCACCATGGGAAACAATGTTCAAAAGCTGGCCAGCGGAATCATGAATCGGAAAGAATGTTTGTTTTTGGACACGGTTGACAAAGATGAACCGGAAGCTCATGAGAAAATTGAACAGCGCTTAGTGATTTCGGAAACGTTTGCTCACAATCTTTACGCTCCAATTTCCGCCATCAAAACACGTTTGGAAAACAAAGCACCTTTCAAAGCCATCTTGTTTGTCCCAACTGTCAAGTTCACAAAATTCTACTGCAACGTTTTAGAGAACATGTTCCCCTCAATCCCCGTGTATGAGTTCCATGGTAAAATTGACCAGAAAAAGAGAACGAGATTGGTGCAGCTGTTTAAACGTGCAGAAGAAGGTATCTTCGTCTGCACAGACGTTGGCGCGCGTGGTATGGACTTCCCAAATGTAGAAGAAGTTTATCAATTAGGTGTTCCTTCTGAAATTTCCAATTATATCCACCGTATCGGAAGAACTGCCAGAGGTGGCAAAGAAGGTAAAGCGTCCATTTATTTGTTCAGAGACGAGCTGCCTTTCATCGACACTTTGGCGGCAGAAAAGGGTGTCAATATACAAAATCAAGAAGATTATGTTTTCCAAAACTCTGACGCTGAGGAGTTCAAGCAGTGCTTGCGAGATGAGTTTTTATTCAAAGATGGTTTGGAGTCCATGCTTTCATTTTACAAGGGCTGCGAGCAGTCTTACAGATTCCGTATGCCACGGGTTGCACGTCAAATAGCTAACGCTTATGGTGAATGTTTACTAGACACTAATAAGAAGCTTCAAATCAGTCGCGAAACCGCTAGCATGAGGTATGGTTTGAGAGGTAAAATTGTGGAAGAACTCTTCGCGTCTGGCCCTTCCAGACAGTACCAAAGAGATTCCTACGGTGACAACGATAGGGAAAATAGATATAACAGTGGCAGAAACGGTTCCAACAACAGATATGAGTCGCGCGGCAAAAGCTACAAGGACACTAGAGGTCGTTGGGAATCGAAACGAGACAATACCAGCTTTAACGACAGACGCGCCCAGTCATATGGAAAAGGGCAAAACCCAAGGATAGAAAGCGATTGATTTCTCGCAATGCTAGCTTCGACTTTCGGCAGCGTCTGAAGCAAGTAAGATAATTGTACATAACATGTAAATATTTAACAAAAGAACGGCGCGGGTTTTTCATCAATCATATACCTCGTAACAACTCCACGATGTACAGGTATATAACGGCGTATGGAATCTGCATCATTAGCAATTGCCTTTGCTTCACAACTCAGCTAAGTGAATGACTTCTCTTGACGGCACGAATAGTTCGGCCGTGAACAGCGATCACGTTCTATGATCATTTGAATATTCAGCATAAGCTCGAGCCCCTCCCACGAAAGGTACAGCTACAGAAGTGGAAGCATTTATTGAAATTCGATGTCAATCAAGAGCGTCACATTCTGCTTGTCCAATGAAGTGGGGTTACCGTTACAAATAAAGATAGACTCTTTAGAGGGTTCGAAACCCTTGTTGCGAGCGTCTCAGAGGCTTATACAGCCCTCGCTCTCACAGAAATTATCAGATGTGGTACCCTTTAGCGACATGTTTGTCTCTGTACAGGTTTTCGACAAAGAAAGATGCAGAAACTTAACAATTCCGGTCTACACGCCTTACGTACCCTTCAAAAACGCCAGAAAATGGGATGTGTGGTTGACCTTACCCATAACACTTGAGCAGCTAACGCTACATAGTATGCTCAAAATAGTGCTTTGGGAATTTGATGGAGATCAGGAAGTGGAGTTTTTCTCTGTGGAAACTCCACTCTTTGATGAGAAAAGCTGTACATTAAAAAGAAGTACAGAATCCATCAGGTTTCAGTACGATGATCCTGACAGTTGTAAAATTGAAAACAGCGAATTACAAGACCTTGTAAATAAATACAAACAAGGCGAAGTAAAACCGGTTAAGTGGCTAGATAGCGCTACCTTTCCACAACTGGAGAAATTGAACAAGAAAAGAAAGCTTCCGCAAGGTAGCTTTATATTGAACATAGAGTATCCGCTCTTTGAACTCCCGGTAGTTTACTCCGAAAAACAGTCCGACAAGGCTCAGAAAAGCATACCCACATTTCATAATTTTGATCTTAATAATGATGTTCAAATATCGCGCCAAGAACCCCAAGCTAAAATCTCCCTAGGCAGTGCCGCTGACTCGACAATTAAATTCTATGACCCCGATCAATTTAACGCTGATCCTATCGAGGAGAAATTTCGACGATTGGAGAGAGCCACCACCAATTCTAACTTCGAAAGAGAACTCAAACCTGATGCGAAAAAGAGAGATATCCTCAATCACATTATAAGCTATCCTCCTGGTAGCGATTTAACTGCACATGAAAAGGGATTGGTTTGGAAATACCGATACTACTTAATGAATAACAAAAAAGCACTAACTAAGCTCTTGCAAAGTACAAATTTGACAGAAGAAACTGAGCGAAGGGAAGTCTTGGAATTAGTGGATTCGTGGGCTGAAATAGACATTGAAGATGCTATCGAACTTCTAAGATCAGCATACAAAAACTTGTCGCTCCGATCGTATGCCGTTAACAGGTTGAAAAAGGCTTCTGACAACGAATTAGAATTGTACCTCTTGCAGTTAGTCCAAGCAGTTTGTTTTGAAAGTGCATCACCCCTCTCAGATAAGTCTGCAAGCGAATTTACAATCGTAGACGTCACTCAGAGTGGCGCCGCTGTTCTCCCTTCGCCAAAGTTCGATCAATTAAACGGAACAAACTCTGTCAATAGTATTGAAAGCACCACAATGGGACAAAGCTCAGTACTCATTTCACCGCTTGCAGAGTTTTTAATTCGGCGTGCCATCATCAACTCCAGGCTCGGCAATTTCTTTTACTGGTATTTAAAGTCTGAATCAGAGGGCAATCAGTATTTGGTTCACATTCTTGACAGTTTCGTCAGTCGGCTACCAAGCAACAAGCGCACAAAACTGGAAAACCAAATTCTTTTCATGTCAATGCTGGAAAGTTTCTGCAAAGAGATCAAAAACTTGCGAGATACAACACCAAAGAAACTGGAGCTTCTATTGCATCTAATTTCCACAAGGCTAAGGCCCTTTCTTAGAGCGACCCCAGTTGAATTGCCGCTGGATCCAGATTTCACACTTACAGACGTTGCGTCGGAAGGTTGCAAAATCTTTAAGAGCTCTCTATCTCCAGTTAAGATATTATTTGAGACGCAAAGCAACCAACAGTACTCCCTGATGTTTAAAGTAGGAGACGATTTAAGACAAGATCAGCTAGTGGTACAGATTATCACACTAATGAACGAGCTTCTCAAAAATGAGAACGTAGACTTAAAGCTCACTCCATACAAAATCTTGGCGACTGGTTCGAAAGAAGGGGCAATTCAATTCATTCCTAACGATACCATGGCTAATATTCTGAGTAAGCATCATGGGATTTTGCCATTTTTCCGCACGCATTATCCATCTGCTGATCATGAACTTGGTGTCCAGGATTGGGTTATTGACAATTTTGTCAAATCGTGCGCTGGATATTGCGTGATAACCTATATTTTGGGTGTGGGCGATCGACATCTTGACAATCTCCTCATTACTCCTGATGGTCACTTTTTCCACGCTGACTTCGGCTACATTCTGGGTCAAGATCCGAAGCCATTTCCGCCTCTGATGAAATTACCCCCGCAAATCATAGAGTCCTTTGGTGGGGCTGACTCCCAAAATTACAACAAATTTCGAAGCTATTGCTTTGTCGCTTATTCAATTCTTCGCCGTAACGCTAACTTGATACTCAATCTTTTTGAGCTTATGAAGCCGTCCGACATTCCGGACATCAAAATCGATCCTGATGGAGCAATGTTGAAAGTGAAGGAAAAATTCTGTCTTGATATGTCGGAGGAAGAGGCGATTATACATTTTCAAAATCTCATCAATGCTAGTGTTAACGCGCTTTTACCACTAGTCATAGACCGTCTGCACAACCTGACGCAGTATTGGCGTACTTAATAATTCATTGTTATTACCCGGACTGCTGAATGTGAAATCTGGATACTGACGGGGAGGATCCGACGGTCTGGCATTACAGTAAACATTAACGCTAAGCATCTTTCTTAAGCTGTCTATAAACGCAAATCAAAGGTGTATAGAAAGCGGCACATTCCATACATTAGCTACCGGAGGCTTTTAATGAGATTTTTACAGAATTTTGTTCAAGTCTTGGGTGAGCTACAAGTTCCGACTAGCCATGATGAAAACCCTGATTTGAAGAAGCCCGCTACCAGAGTCGCAACTACACAATTGCTGATAGCGACATGTTTGGGTCTGTTTGCGCTACTTACGTTTTCTATTTTACTGAAGAAAATGCCAAAATTGTACGCCAGTAGAATGGGCCGCACTCAGACTTCACTACCGTCGTGGGACGAAAATTCGTATTTCGCGTGGGCGCCCGTTTTATACAAGATCAGTGACAGTCAGGTATTGGAATGCGCAGGCTTAGATGCGTTTGTCTTTCTTGGCTTTTTCAAAATGAGCATCAAAATCTTGGCGATCTGCTGTGCATTTTCCATCTGCCTTATTTCTCCGATCAGATACCATTTTACAGGCAGATACGATGATGGGGGTGATGATTCTGACGGGTTTTTTTATGAAAGAGCTGTCTCAAACACAAAACCAGGTGAAAACTTGGGCGACGGCCAGGGCCCTGAAACCGCAGAGCTTTATCTGTGGATGTACGTCATATTTACGACGTTCTTTACACTTTTGTCATTATATCTGTTAATAAAGCAGACCAAAATTGTTGTGGAAACAAGGCAGAGGTATTTAGGAAGACAAAATACGTTAACAGATCGAACTATACGGTTGACTGGGATTCCAGTTGAGCTAAGAGATGCAAAGGCTTTGAAAATAAGGATAGAGGAGCTGAACATTGGAAGTGTAGCATCAATCAGTATCTGTCGCGAATGGGGGCCTCTCAATAACTTGTTCCATTATAGGAAAAAGGTATTAGAAAAATTGGAACTAAAATATGCTCAGTGTCCTGAAGCATTGCGCGATGATGAACATTTTGATGAAAACTATAGGCTGAGAAGTGATTCTTCTAGAGAAGGCTCCAGTCAGCAAGAACAGCCGTCGATCGAAGATGCAGATTTGGATATCCCAGACTCGAATCGTTTGTTTTCTCATATTGAATTACGAGGGCGTCAAAAGACTAGAACTGGTTTATTCGGTCTTTTTGGCGAGCGTGTGGACGCTATAGACTACTTGGAAAAACAACTAAAATTCATCGATCAAGAAATCATAGAAGCTCGCAAGAAAACTTATCCAGCCACCCCCACTGCGTTTGTTACCATGGACTCAGTGGCCAATGCACAAATGGCTGGACAAGCAGTCCTCGATCCTCGTGTGCATTTTTTCATAACTCGACTAGCTCCCGCGCCCCATGATGTTAAGTGGGACAATGTTTGCTTATCTCGAAAGGAACGACTTACAAAAGTGTGGTCAGTGACCGTATTTATTGGCTTTTGCAGTTTTTTTTTGGTTATTCCAGTTTCCTACCTTGCCACTTTACTAAATTTGAAGTCTATTTCGAGATTTTGGCCTCAACTCGGAGATTTTTTGAAGGAAAATCGCTGGGCTCAAACCCTTGTTACAGGCCTATTACCAACCTATTTATTCACGTTGCTGAATATAGGCGTTCCTTACTTTTACGAATTCTTGACTAGTCGACAAGGTCTAGTCTCATACAGCGAGGAGGAGGTTTCTTTGGTCTCGAAGAACTTTTTCTACATCTTTGTTAATCTGTTTCTTGTTTTCACCTTGGCTGGTACTGCGTCGAATTACTGGGGGTATCTCAGTGACACAACAAAAATCGCATATCAGTTGGCCACCTCGGTCAAGGAATTTTCATTATTTTACGTTGATTTGATCATTTTGCAAGGAATAGGAATGTTCCCTTTCAAGCTTTTACTAGCTGGAAGCCTTATTGGATTTCCCTTTATCAAAATAAAATGCAAAACACCAAGACAAGAGAATGAAATGATGAAACCACCTATCTTCAATTTTGGTCTCCAACTTCCACAACCTATACTTATTCTGATAGTAACACTCATTTACAGTGTTATGAGCACCAAGATCCTAGCGTCTGGACTAGCATATTTCGTGATAGGATTTTACGTCTACAAATACCAATTGGTGTTTGCAACCGACCATTTACCACACTCCACCGGGAAAGTGTGGCCTCTGATATTCAGGAGGGTCATTCTCGGTTTATTACTGTTCCAACTGACAATGGCAGGCACTTTGGCAGGGTTCCAAGGTGGTTGGATATTGTCGTGTTGTTTAGCACCCCTGCCATTAATCACTCTCAGCTTTCTGTGGGACTTCGAGAAAAACTATTTACCACTTTCCAATTTCATTGCACTCAGCTCCATCCGCGAACATGAACGCGACAATTCAATGGTGTCAAACACTACAGGAGTTGGTGATTATCAATATCCATACTTAGTTGCTCCTCTAGAAAGACCATTGGTAAGGTAACGCTGAAAAACTATGGTTGATTAGGTTTCTTTAAATAGGTACTAGGTAGTAAATTCTGCAATATTTGATGATACTCTGCCTTAGTGTACTGCCAGCACAAAGGAAAATTACCATGCGTAACAACCAAAGAAAGCAACGGTTTGACAGTAAGAGATCGTGCGAGAAACACGAAAAGGAATAAGATCATCACATCGATGTAGCTTTGATTGGTTACAATTTTGAGTGCTTCAATAATGTAAACATTGGCAACTATCTTAATAATGCTAGATGTAAGAAGAGAATCGTAGGGCCAAATCAGCATAAGGATGGGGTAAATTTTAGCACCATATGAAAGCAGTATTGTGTACGAAACAACGTATTTTGCATACTTGACCTTATGCCCCCATTTGTAAATCTTGACAAGCAAGTAGTGAGCCACGTTATTAAGCACCACGAAATCTAGAACGCAATACACTGCAAAGCATAAGTATTGGCCCAATGCGCTTTTGGAAAGGATCTGACGCATCAATTCATTGGACCGCGTCTGGTGGAATTTGCGTTCCTCTGAGACCCAGGTGAGGTATACCTCGAAAGCGGTTATGAGAACCCAAATTCGGTTCAGCTGGTCAAACTTGACAAACCAATCCTTCAATCTGTGTAGCTGAAATGAGAACCACGAATGCCAAATGAAGGGTCCTTTAACTTCAAGCTTGGAGGACCTTCTGTGATAGTGCTCCTCGTAAGACCCGCGATCTGGATACTTTGACAGCTCAAGTTCTAGTGAATTATAGACTAGATGTCTGTACGCGCCAGGTTTTAAAAGTAACAGATCAATGAATAACAGAATGTTGTCTATTTCAACATAGCGGTCTACAACTTCCTCGCATTCTGTACAATCTGTAAGTCGGATACGATTATTAGAGTACTCGACATACAAGCAATCAACCTCACGGCAGCAATTGATGCAGATCATACCATCATTTAAATCTGAGCTCAGTTGATATCAGCTCTTTTGTATTTCGTTAATTTTTGATCGATGAGGTAGCTAAAACAAACTTTGAATATTTTCAAATTCTCATATTGTTATTGTAAGAAATTGGATAATCTCAGCTCGAAACGTACCCATAATTCTTTCCAGCCAGCTTAAATGTCTTTCGGTGGTCGGAACAAGACACCGTGTAAATACTTTCAGCAGGGAAGGTGTAAAAAAGGGAATAGCTGTACTTTTGCTCATGTATACACTGGAGGTAACAATGGAGGTAACAATGGGAATAATGGGGGAACAAACAGCGGAGACAGATACCAAACTTTCGTGAATGCTTCAAATTTGGGAAAATATGCTAAAGAAATTGAAGATGACATGTCTTCCTGCTCAGAACTAAGATTTCAGCCCTTAACTTCAAGTTATGGACTTGGAAATCCGTGTGCAGTAAATCTAATCCAGGGTAGGGACCTTTCACCTGAAGAATCGCGACTCCTATTTTACCAATCCCAGATGCAAAACTCCATACCGGCATATGACGTCCAAATGAAAGCCCGAGCTTTGGACATAGACCAGTGTAGACGGTACGTTGCAGCAGATACGCGGAAAGCTGCAAGGTACTTGCAACTAGCTACCCAGAAGACTAATGAAACCGGCGCTTTGCCCGCCAGAGGGTTCATCGAGCATCCTCTAGACTTAACAGGAGAGTCGTATTCGAAAGTTTCAAGTGCGGGCTCAACTAATCTATTTGGCAGTGCACCTGCTCCACAAACCAGCCACACGTTTGGACAACCAATTAGTGGAACCCCCAGTGCTACCACGGGTGCGTTTGGATCCTCTAGTGCTTTCGGTGCGCCGTCTTTCGGGTCTTCCAGCATGAGCGGAGCCTTTGGACAACCTAAATTTGGTTCCGCGCCAGCACCGAACGCTTTCGGAAGTAATGCGACAACGGCGTTTGGTGCTGCGCCGGGATTCGGTACTAATAACAGCCCCTTTGGTAATCAAACTGCTAATGCACCAGGGTCAGCCTCAGCTTTTGGACCACCTGCTTTTGGTTCGAACCTCAATAACACATCGGCATTTGGGAAGCCAAGTTTTGGCTCCACTTCAAGTTCACAACCTTCTGCTTTTGGCCAAAACAACCCCACACCGGGCATCACAGGATCCCAAACATCATCGTCATCGCCAATTGGCTCTGCATTTGGCAAACCAGCTTTTGGCCAAATAGCAGGGTCTTCGCCTTTCGCAGCAGTCCAAAATGCTCAAACCTTACCGTCTCCATTCGGTTCTGCTGCAACCACAAGTAATGCAGGCAACCCAAGCGGTGCGTCATCGGCATTTGGTTCCAGTGCCTTTCAAAATCCTGCAAAACCTGCCGATTCAAACAAACCATTTGGATCGGCATCTGCAATACAATCTGGTGCATTCGGGTCTTCTGCTGGATTTCCATCAAACTCTCAAACTACACCAAGCCCTTTTTCTTCAACACAACCAAATGCCTTCACGGCACAAGGCCCCACACAACAACAACAATCACAAGCACAACATAACCCTGGACCTATGAATCCACATGCAAAGACTTTCGTTCAAGGTCTCCCAATGGAACAAGAAATATCAGAATCAGATCTGCCGAAGGAGGTCATTGAATATTTTAGAAGCGAACGTTTCGCTTTGGGGAAAGTTCCAGACATCCCACCTCCTGCTATGCTAATTAACTAATATGCAACCACTGCCAGTCACTACGAATGAACCACGGAGCACGAAGATTGAATGTTGACATTGTTATTAGGTGGCCCAAACTTCTCACAAAATTGCAAGGAAACTCTCATACACTCTATATGCGCAAACTAGCAACAGAAGCTCAATATCGCGTACTAAAAATAGGAGATGCTTAATTCCCCGTACCATGTTTTGGTAGGATGATGCTTTATGGAGCTTTAAAGTGTAACAAATCTGCACGTGATAAATAATGAATGCTGAGTGGTTTTGACAAAATTTTGAGTTTTTAGAAGCTCATCGCTGGTGGCAAGCTAATTGTAACAAATTTGAACTAGCAAGCGATACAATGTCGAGAGTCGGCGTACTTGTTCTGGGTCCTGCCGGTGCAGGCAAAAGTACCTTTTGCAATTCTATCATATCGCACATGCAAACTATTGGTCGGAGAGCCCACATTGTAAACTTGGATCCAGCGGCAGAAGCTACGCAATATGAATTCACGATAGACATTAGAGATTTGATATCCCTAGATGATGTAATGGAGGAACTGCATTTGGGACCAAATGGATCTCTAATTTATTGTTTTGAGTACTTGATGAACAACTTAGATTGGCTGGAGGAAGAATTGGGCGATTACAATGATGAGTACCTGATTTTTGATTGTCCAGGCCAGATCGAGCTATACACGCATATTCCAGTGCTTCCTGCGATAGCACGCCATTTACAAACGCAACTGAATTTCAGCTTGTGTGCTACGTACTTGTTGGAAGCCCCATTCGTGATAGATTCGTCCAAATTTTTCAGCGGAGCGCTGAGTGCCATGTCCGCAATGATTCTCTTAGAGCTGCCGCACATCAACATCCTAAGCAAGATTGATCAAATCAAGGATGACTATAGCAAGAAGAAATTGAAGCGGTATCTGAACCCGGATCCAACTCTATTACTGGATTCGACAAATGAAACGTGGAATCCAAGGTTTCAGAAACTGAACAAAACCATAGCTAATCTGGTAGATGACTTTGGAATGGTTCAATTCTTGCCTCTGGAGGCGAAGAATCCAGAAAGTGTTGCAACAATTTTGAGTTATATAGACGACGTTACGCAATGGGCCGAAGGTCAAGAACCTAAAGAACCCAAAGAGCAAACCGAAATAGAGGACATGTAGAAATATACTGGATCGATACTCACTTGGGTTGTAAATAACTAGGATAAAAAAAAACTATTGCATAAACATTGGAGGACTCGCTGTGCGCAATCGAGAAAAGGATTTTTATTCGAACTGAGACAGTATTTTGTATAACAGTCGTATGTTTGCGTGCTCTATTTGATTTCCATTTTACAAGATGAATAAATTTACATTCTATTCTAACATTACGGGAATGTTTTGACAATCACCTACGACTGTCATGTCTATGCATTCTACGAAATCTTCCAAGTTTTTGGCTGGTAGCTCAGTGTTAACCCACAGAACTATTCCCCTGGAGTCGTGGACTTGCCGAGCAAACTGTTTACACATGGCTCGTACTCCAGGGATCTTAAGCGTGGTCCCTACTATTATCAAGCAATCTGGTTTGCCCTTGAGATCTTGCAGAACCACATTGCCTATGCTGTCGCCTTCTGGGTGAATTTCGTTGTATAGCACTACTCGCGGTCTAAGTTTACCGATGCCTTGCGAACGCATACCTGCTATTGCTCTAACCGATTCAAATTCGGCACATTGTGGACATAGCGGCACAATATCTCTATCGACATGATGATCATGGCTCTTGAACAACTGAGGATCTAAATGATATATTTTGGAACACTTGTTGCAGGACATGTGTTTTATGCTCCCGTGTAGCTGAATTGTAGTAGGAAAAGGTTTTTCGAGTGGAATCTTGGATTGAAGATGCGAGGTTTGATCTTCCAAAGCATCAATGTTTTGGGTATATAAACGACGAAGTCGCCCTTCTTGTGCTATGGAATTGACCATTTGGTGGAAACGAGTTGGACTTACTTCTTGGCACTTGGCGTGCAGTTGCGTGATCATACGATTGAACCTCAATCCCATCTCAGCGTTGGAGTAAACGACATTGTAATCAAACAAATCCTTGCCAGAAGAAACTCCAGGGCCTCGCAGCGTTGAAAACAAACCATCAGACGACCGGAAATCTGGGATTCCTGCGTCTGTGGAGACCCCTGCGCCTGCGATCACTATGGTTCTCTTACTATACTGCAAAGCGTAACGCAAAAACTGGGCATTGGATTCATTACAACGCGGCGAGTTTCGTGCGCCAGAGACGTAGAGTTCCAGGTCGAAAACGGTGTTGGGCTCCGGCCGGTATTTCAAGCGTGGCTTGCGAGCGCGAGAGGAGCATTTTTGGAGTTCTGGTAGAAGTTTTTTCGGTCTGGGAACAGAGTTTAGGGGCTTTTGTGAGGATTTCTTAACCGTGGAAGGCGGAGAAAGCGGGAGCTTGGGACGTCTTATAGAACCACTAGCAGATTCGCAGTGTTTGGACCACTCCTGGGGGGTTTTTTGAGGGTCGTGAGGTGAGTTTTCCATGCTCACGGGCCTTCAATATTGGATTTTTGGGAGCGTCACAAAGAGTTCCCCTGCAAGATGAGAGTTTTTAGATTCAAGAATTTTAGATCAAAAAATGCATTTTTCAAATAGAAAGAGAAAAGACAGAGGGTATGCGTCGTGTGAGTGACGGTATGACATTACAGTGAGAAGCGCAGCGAAAATGATGCCAATCCTTGTCAACAAAAAGCTACTGAACTGGAGCTGGCTCCTGAAGTAAAACGGTACTTCGACGTTCCCTTCGCTGGCACACCCTCACCAAATGGCGGTTCAAAGCCCAGAAATCGACCTTTTGTAGGACTCTTCCTGAACAATACCCGCTTATCCGCGAGCCCTTTGAAGTTCCAAAATCTAAAGTCCCTTCGTGTTTAATGACATCATCACATTTAAAATTTTTTACGAAAAAGTAGGAGTATTGGTAGGCCTATGGGCCCAAATCTATAATTTTATGAGTTTTGAGTGTATGTGAAAAGCCCATAGTAAAAGCCAGGTTTATTGTTGTTCAACTTGCATCGCAATTTGCCATTTTAAATTACACCAGTCTGGAAGCTATCGGTTCAGAATAAAATGGTCCAGGTGAGCGAGATTAAAGATGCCGGCGCTGGGAACCAAGGTTCCACACGCACGGCGGCACATACACATATCAAAGGGCTCGGTTTAGATGCGCAAGGCGTGGCCAAAGCGGTAGAAGGCGGATTTGTGGGCCAAATAGAAGCGCGCGAGGCTTGTGGGGTGATTGTGGACCTGATCAAGGTCAAGAAGATGTCGGGAAAAGCGATATTGCTGGCTGGTGGACCATCGACGGGTAAAACGGCGCTGGCACTGGCGATTTCGCAAGAGCTGGGACCCAAGGTGCCGTTCTGTCCCGTGGTAGGGTCTGAGTTGTATTCCGTGGAGGTCAAGAAGACAGAAGCGTTGATGGAGAACTTCAGAAGAGCTATAGGACTGCGCATCAAAGAAACAAAGGAAGTTTACGAAGGAGAGGTGACAGAGCTGGCACCACAGGCTGCTGAGAATCCACTGGGAGGCTACGGCAAGACCATTGCGCACGTTATCGTGGGGTTGAAATCGGCCAAGGGAACCAAGACGCTGCGATTGGATCCCACGGTGTACGAGAGCATCGAGCGTGAAAACGTAAGTGTGGGTGACGTGGTATACATCGAAGCCAACACGGGAGCCGTGAAGCGTGTAGGACGCTCGGACGCATACGCCACGGAGTTCGACCTCGAAGCCGAAGAGTACGTGCCACTGCCCAAGGGTGAGGTGCACAAGAAGAAGGAGATTGTTCAAGACGTGACGCTACACGACCTGGACGTGGCCAATGCTCGTCCACAGGGAGGCCAAGACGTTGTGTCCATGATGGGCCAGCTTCTCAAGCCTAAGAAAACTGAGATCACCGAAAAATTGCGTCACGAGGTCAACCGCGTTGTAGCCAAGTACATTGACCAGGGCGTCGCAGAACTTATCCCGGGTGTTTTATTCATAGATGAGGTCAACATGCTTGATATCGAGATCTTCACGTACCTAAACCGCGCGTTGGAATCGAGTATCGCTCCCGTCGTCGTCTTGGCTTCTAACCGTGGTCTTACAACTGTTCGCGGAACCGACGATATTGTTTCCCCACATGGTGTCCCACCTGACTTGATTGATCGTTTGCTAATTGTGCGTACACTTCCTTACTCCAGAGACGAGATTCGCACTATCATTGAAAGAAGATCTGCCGTTGAAAACCTCAAAACGGAACCAGCAGCGCTCGATTTGCTTGCAGACATGGGCTCCCAAACTTCTTTGCGTTACGCTTTGCAACTTTTGTCTCCATCCGGTATCCTCGCCAAAACTGCAGGCCGTTTGGAAATAGGTTCTAATGATGTTAACGAGGCCAAAATGCTATTCTTGGATGCCAAGAGATCAACCCAAATTTTGCAATCCAGTGACAGCTATTTAGCATGAGAAAACAGTGCTGATGCGCTTTTAATTCTTATATATTTGTATATACACGCACACAGACGCACAAACTCATTTTAAGGAAGCCATCTCATTCAAAAAATTCGCCGGGGTAATGATGGCAGTGCTGCCGTACATCACACCCTTTGTGCTAGCTGGCTGAGAATGCGCCCATTCTTGCAAATTTTGGTATTCCAAATAATTTCCTCCTCCTACAACGAATACAATGGATTTATTGTACGACTGTCTTTTGGGTTTCTTGCTGTGAGAACCACGAATCACCTTGGGATCAAAATATAAGTAGTTATCTGTAGTCTCCAGGTTCTTCTGAGAGCTGTTCAACGGATCCATAATGGCTTCTACAACATTCGTGATGGGTATAGTTTTCTTTTCCGGCAAAAAATTCTTGATGCCCGAGATTAACGAGCCAACTCCCCCTTGAATCTTACCTTCTGTAAGACCGTATAATTTGTTTGATAAACCAGAGAGCAGCACAGATGAACTGGTGCCCGAGGCGTGGTTTCGAGCATCGAATTCACCGCTCTCCAATGATTTGTTCTGTAAAGACATGGCTGATAGCTTCATTAGTCCCTTGCACTTGTAAATATAGTTCAAAGCTCGGATATCATGATCTTGAGACTTAAAGTACTCTTCGACTTGTTTGATGAAAGTTTCCGGAATTTCTGTAGAGGAAGTCAAGTATAGTATGATGAATGTTCTAAGCTTGTCTTCGAGATTATTTGTCTTGCCATCCTTCAATGTTTCCAGAAATCTTTGCCTAGTCTTAGGAGAGTCCTGACCCTGTTCAATTTCAAAGAATGCATCTAATCCTTTACTCTCAAGTTGTGACAGAAGTGACGCCAGCACGCTCATGTGCGTATCAATGATAGCTTTTCTTGAGGTCAGCTCCGGCAATTTGTTCACAGCATCTTGTATGTTCAAAGTGTCATTATTGGCATTTGGGTCCAAGTCACTAAGTTCATTTACACCTGTCTTCCTTGTGATATCTTCTGCTTCTGCTTTATAAGAAGCTAGTGCAGCCTCAACATTCTCCACAGCATCTGGGAAGGGCAAGTGGGAATTGGTTAGCCAGAAGAAATCCTTTGGGTCAATATCCATCTTTTTCTCGATTTCTTGACCATCTTTGGTCTTGGTAGGGATTGTAATGGTGTTTCTTGCCAACTTGAAGACGTCAAATACTAAACTTTGATAAATCCATGAATGAGCGAACATTGACGCTAAATCGATGTTTCTGTCAAGTATCACCAATACGAATCTTTCTAGGGAATTTGCGGTTGACTCTGTATTAGATCTAGTGTTTATCACGTAGTCCCGCAGCTTGCTTTCCAGTTTCTGGGCCACGAGCTCAGCAGAGCCTCCTTTAGGCGCACGAATAATTGGTATAGAGTTCACGGTCATAACAGCATCATATAAGCCATTGGCAATAGTGTCACACAACTGAGTAATGACACTCTCGCTACTCTCGGGGTCATTGAGTTGTTGAAAAACAGAGGGCATCTCTAATGAGAATAACTCGGGTTCTGTAACAACGAATTCTGCATACTGGTCATAAACTTGCTTTATACGGTCCGTTTTACCAGTCATTGACACTTGTTTGGCCAAATCCTCCAGAAGTTCACGATTAAGAACCGAAGTGAAGTTGATGTAAAACTCAGCATATTTATCCTCAATTAGATCCTGAACGATAGCGTTAATATTCTCCTGTGTTGGCTGCACGAAGTAGACCACTGGAACATCTGGCAGTGGTGACCTTTTCTGTTGAATTAAGCTGTGAACCGTGACGCCGGATTTCAGCAGGTCATTAACCCTTAAAATGGATGAAACAATAGCTGTACTTTTAGCATCTAAGACAAGTACTTTCCACACAACTTCCTGACCGTCCAACCCAGAGGTCAAGTCGTATGTTGACGTTTCCTTATTGAACATTAGCATCTTCTCGATCAAGGCTATTCCAAACTGAAGTTAGTATAAGTGAAAAACGAAGTGATCAAACACTATGATCAAGAGAACATACCTATTTGCCTATCTCTAAGACTCAATTCATCGGAGCTTGACATCTTGGTGGTCTCGATTGAGGCTTTAAGTTATTACAACTATAAGTCACGAAGATTAGGCTTGACACAGTAATTACTGTTGAAATCAACAAAGCACGTTTGAGGTGACGGATTAAGAAAGTCTGAACTCTCAAACCAAATAGTGCCTGAAAAGTGATTTATTCGATTAGATACTCTTCGGATATGTACAAAGTGTTATACTATGCTATATTTATTGAGGTGGACCTTCCTTCAGTGTTGATCTTCCAGCTCTCAAAAGCTCATCACACAGTAGTAGATTACTGGCAATGCCGGTCGAACCAGTGATTGCGTTTCTGATGACACGGTATGAGTCCCAAATACCTTCAATTGTAGGATCACAGGAGTCACCGACATTAAGATCGACACCCACAATTCTATTGGCGTCTTCATCTAGCTCATCTTGACACATGGCTAACACATCCAAGGCATCGAAGCCAGAATTTTTGACTAAAGTTTTGGGAACTACGAGTAGAGCCTCGGCAAAAGCTTGAACACCGGACTTCGTCTTACCCTTGGCGCCCAATTTGTTTACATTAACATTCCTTAAATGGTTCGAGGCTGCTAGATAAAATGCACCCGCACCTGGGACAACGGATTGATCCTTGAGCACATTGGCCACTGCCCGAAGACCATCTCTTACAGCGTCTTTGGTTTGGTTTAGAGCGTGATAAGTGGCTCCTTTGATGAGAATAGTACATGACTTAGGATCTCTGTTTTCTGTAACGTATGTGAATTTCTCTTCCCCAATGGCTTCTTGATAAACTAATCCAGAGTAACCTAGTATTGAGGGAGACAAGTCATCCACCGAGTTTTGAGCTTCACCGCCGGTGACAAGCTGCAGTCTCTCCATGTTACGTCTTTTTGCTCTTCTCAACGCCAAAATGTTGTGCTTGGCAAGGAGGTCTAAGGACATTGGATCGATACCCTTTTGGTTAATGATCACAAATCCTTGTTGAGAGTCTAGCCCACATACCTCGTTCTTGAGGTCTATGATTTTCTTAAGCTTTTCGTCCACAAATTTTCTTTCACTGGCTGCAAGCATGTCTCGTTGATCTGCGGAACTGTAGTAGAAGCCAGAGTTGACCTCTGTTTTCTCATATTCTAACGATACGTTCAGGATAAGAACGTGTGCGTTTTCTACTCTTGTGGGCATATCTGGGTGTCTACCGCCATGATCAAGAACCAACCCTTTGATAAAGGTCGTGTCCTTGGCCGAGAGATGTTGCATTTGCATTATTTCAACCATGTGCAAATCCAAAGAGCGACTGTCTGCGTTGCTCACACTGAGAACGGCATCTGTGACGATGGGAGTGAGGACTTCTGTCAAGTCAGGAGCTACTTTGGTCGAGAGAGAACTTCTTGCCACTTGCAGTAGAAATTCACGATCCACGTCGTTCCCAACCGTCTTGTCAATCTTGTATCCGTTCAAAAACTCCATGGTTTCGCGACGTGCTATTTCAAACCCATCTGTAACCAACCTGGGATGCACACCTTCCTGAATTAATCTGTGCGCCTGCTTCAACAGTTCTCCGACCAGACACACCACAGTGGTAGTGCCGTCTCCTGTGATCTCGTCTTGGGCGGCCGCTGCTCTGGCTATCATTACCGCTGTTGGTGATTGGATTTGCATCTCTGTCAACAGCACTTTTCCGTCCTTTGTAAGCTTTATGTTTCCTGCGCTATCTACCAACATCTTCAAGGTTCCCTTAGGACCCATGTTGGTTTCCAGCACCGACTGTAGACCTTCTGCGGAAGAGACGTTTACTTTGAGAGCCGCATCTCTTCTCAAAGACTCAGCCTTAGGATTCAGGAGTTGCAAAGACATTTTCGGATGATATCTTAGGTCAATTGAGTGTCACTTTACCGACTAAAGCTGGCCTGGATAACATGCTGAATCTTTTCTTAACGATAATATCACTATGAAATTTTTTAGATTCGCCACCATATTACCCGGCGCTCGAGGAATGACAGTAAAACAATTTAATGATACGAAGGTGGATGAACTCGCGACCACCGACTTACTACGCCAGAGTTGGCTCCTTTATTTACAGATCTCGGTACTATTTTTAACTTTGTTGAGAGCGTGGCCCATCCTGTCTAAAAAGGCTTGTCATATTAAGCTTCTCAAAATTTAAAATGGTATAATACACCGAAGCGTCCTAAAGGCCAATGATTCTCGATGAGATTTCTGAGCAGCTCATCCAACATTATCCAGCTGCGTCTAATTACAAAGTTTCGCACTCAAATTGCTTTCGTTGAGGTTGTTTAACACATCATGTGCACTTGTTTGATATATATTACGAAACACTGCTATTTGCCCGCCTATATCCGCATGCATCATCTATCGTAACTATTTAATAGGATATTTATCAAATTCGCGGTCCCCCACTATGTATAAAAGTTTTAGTCACTTGCCTCCACCTACTTTTTTCTGGATCTAGGTCCACCTGGAGATTTCTTATTTCTGGCTGTCAAAATTTCGACTCCATGCTCAGTTACAAGCATGGTGTGCTCAAACTGAGCGCTCAATTTCCCGTCTTTGGTAGAAGATGTCCAATCGTCTGGCCAGCTTGCGTCGTGCCATGTACCCTCATTAATCATGGGCTCAACGGTGAAAACCATCCCGGGCTTCATAACACCTGAAGTACGATTTCCTGCATAGTGAGGAATGCTTGGGGCGCAATGAAAGAATTTGCCGACTCCGTGGCCGCAGTAGGTTCTTACCACAGAACATTTGTTATCCTTAGCGTGTTTTTCAATATAGTCACCCAACTCTTGGAAGGTTGTACCTGGTTTACAATGCTTAATGGCCGCCTTCAAACATTCTCTGGAAGTTTCAACCGTATTGATAGCCTCTTTAGAAATGTTCTCTCCTACATAGTAAGTTTCATTGAGATCTGCGTGCACACCTTGAACATACAGGGAAACATCAAGGTTGATGATGTCACCTTCTTTCAAAACAGTTTGATCTGGGATACCATGGCACACGATCTCATTGACCGAGGTGCAAAGAGATTTAGGGAAATTGTAGTAGTTCAAAGGTGAAGGGTACGCCCCACGCTTGACAGTCTCCTCGTGAGTGATGCGATCAAGCTCATCGGTTTTGACACCAGGCTTGATGGCTGCTGCCGTTATATCCAAGACTTCTCTGGCCATCATACAGGCCTTGCGAATTTTCTTAATTTCGTCTTTGGAGTACACGATGATTTTATTTGTCGTGTCGTTCCGCTGTTCTTGCCGAGGAAGGCCATCTTCAGCCCATTCGGGTAATTCTATACCCTCTGGAATGAGCCTCTTGGGCGTTAATGGATAAGAAGCTCTTAAGTTGCCGCTGTATTTAAACTTTGGGAACGGATCATAGGCATCTGGTTTGTCATCTTTCCAATGCAGTGATTTGTGTGCTTTGTAACTATTTTTGTAACAGTCTTCATCACAGAACGGCTGGTTGATGCCTTGTTTCAAGCAAATCGGACATTTGAGACCTGATGAACACTCCGTCCCACACTGCAAGTCCGAGCAACGAGGCAAAACTTCAGACATAACAAAGGTAGAGTCTAGGTGAGTGCTTATGGTTCTATCACTTGGTAGCGTTGTGAAGGTTAAAATTTTGGTTTTCAAAAATATTTTTTCAAGCGCTCATAAGACGCTGCCGTCACCTTACTCCATAGTGCAGAGAAACTGGGAAACCCGTAATCTAACTACGTTTGATTGTTGTGGCACTATTAGCTTTTACAAAATTCGTATCGAAGTTTTTCTCGTGGTCACCATGCTTCGGAAGCCAAAATTAGCGTTCGGAAGTTCACTGTGGTGTAACGATCAACTTTGATAGTAAGCTTATTGCATGATCACCTCCTTAATCTTGAGCCAACGTTAGCTCATGCATTTATTGTTCTTACTTATGTGGATGCTATTGACTATCGCTTCCTTCTTGAAGATCTTCGGGCCCAAAACTTAGCGGCAGTAGCTCCTGTAATGTTTTGACTATATACTTAGAACCGTCGCCGTTGAACATCACTACTGGCAATTGCAAGCTAGCAAACTCACGAATGGCTTGTCTGCAAATGCCACATGGCGAAATGCATGATTCTAAGGAATCTCCACTAATTGCGAGACAAATCCAGTCTTTCATATAGCCCGAAGTGACTGCTTTTACTATAGCTGTACGTTCAGCACATATTCCGGCGCCATAACTAGCATTTTCCACATTGGCCCCCAAAATGTATGATCTGCTTCCTGTCATGATACAACATCCAACCCGAAATTTTGAATACGGACTATACGAAAGCTCTCGAGCCTTCAAGGCGTTCTTCTTCACGGTTTCGAACTCATTTCCACTTAAACCGGCAGGTAGTAAAGTTACCTGCATAACACTATACACAAAGTTGTGTGTTTGTCAAAGACATTCAAACAAGTATTGATGTGATCCCCTTTTATTAAACGTGAATTTGCGGATTCTATGAACGATAAGATAAAGATTTCATTTTCAAGATAAACCGCTAAGACAAAAAAAAAGTTTAATCGTGTTTCTATGAGAAACATGAGAAAAAGAACATCCGGAGTATTAGTCGAAGTCATTAGATGAGAAGTAACGCTCGTAATGTAGCTTCTTCAACTGTCTAGGGTTAAGCCACTCGGCAAATACATATGAATCTCAGTAAACTTGTCAGGTTTACGCATTTGAAAATACTCGATCAGTTATCCATTGCAACAATTCATTCGTTCGCAGCTTGAATGCATTGTGTCAGTGTTATCGATGGAGAAAGTTAAAAACAAATAAAAGGAATGTTCTAATTCTCTTCAATAAGCAGGATGATATCGTTTTTATCGAAATGCTAGCATTATTGTTTTTGGCCAAGGTTATTCAAATATTGTATGTAAACAGTTGATGCTGCACAGCACGATACTTACTGCAATAACTTGGCTAGCGATTTCACAAGATCCAGATAGGTGTGCGTTATGAAGTGCTGCATGTGCCATATTTTGAGTCTTGTGGGTTAAGAGACCTGTTTTTGTCGACCTTTAGCTATGACACGTTGGAATAAAGTGACACAAGCTTTTTTGTTGGCAGATCATGCTAGCATCAGCATATAACTAAAATAGCCGAGCAAAGCACTGATAAGAAGGCACGGATAACTGGTCCAGCAGTGGCCGAATGCACATCGCCATCACTGCTTCCGAGAAATAGAGCTAGTGCAATTAATATCCACTTCAGAGCATCTCAGGTTCAGGTCTTGGCAAGTAAGATATTAAGATATCATAAAAACCCCGATGATTTATTTACTATCCAATTTCACTCATTACATCTAGCGAGATTTATGGTTCATCATATGCGATTTTAAAGGTTGAACTTCCAATGAAAAGAGAAGCGAGGCTATCAGCCGGGGTACGTGTGCTCTGCCAAACACGAGTACTAGGGTATATCGTTTGATTTCACTTACTATTTGGTTTGTCTATGTTCACTCACCTTTTCAAATATTACTTTCGAACAGGCTCAAATTCTTTACCATCGTTTTTGGAAGTCATAGCTTAGTTGCCCGATTCGGCTCGTGAACCATTATGCTTCCAGCACTGATGAGATCAAGCTGAACCTACGCATTGCAATGATGATTTTAAGCTTTGTTTCATAAATAGTCATATTGCTGAGCCCCTTACCATAATTTCCGCACCCTGATTTATCGTGTTTCGCCAGTACAAACTCAACACCAACTTTCAGGCAATACATTTGTCAAGGTCATTAAACGCTGTTAGGTTCAAGCAGCTTCCTCATAGACAGTCTTGGTTGCTTAGCAATCGTCCCAATACCTTAAGAGCTCTTGTTCAATCATCTCGCTTTTGTTGCGGAATTATGTAGCTCCTCTGTTCGATGTGCTCCTTTTTCTATTTCGCTTTTGCGAGGGATCCCTTTCAAAATGAAGTTTGCAGTGTCATCACATTAACACGATAATCTGTGCCCAATCCACTATTGAAGGTGTTAACGATGGGCTCATGAATTTGGTTCTATTTCTCCTTATGAGCAAGTTTCTGAATCCGAGTCCTCGTTGAAAATTCACGCCTTCGGATTAATTTCTTTCCAAGTCTCGCTTTCATGTCAAGCTTCACCCAGAATGTTTACTCCTCATCGTATCACATTGCAGCTCTACGTTCTTCTTATGCTAGTTTCGAAAAGGTGTTCGAGGTCCAATCTTAGTTAGCTTTCAAGTAGAAAACGTCACAAGAACAAAAAGATTGATAATTGGCTTTCAGAGACACAACAAATTGTGTTAGAGATTATGTCCGAAACCTATATCACTTTGGTTAAATACGGATGAATTTCGAAGATATTTCAATTATTTTATGCTCGCAACGCGATGCGACAGCCGTAGTCCGACCACGTCTCATTGGAATAGCTAGCTATACTTGGTTTCTCTTTATATATTGACAATACAGGCGCATCCAACTGACCAGGAAATGTATAAACACCGATGGTTTTTAATGTTTCGAGGTTATATTATCACACAAAAGATCACATAAGTGTTATCCAGCTAATCTTCTTTTACTACTGGGAACTACTTATTTGTGTATATTGGAAGTATTACAAGAAATCTAAAAGAGTCGAATCTGGTCTGTAAGAGAGCAAATCTCAATATTATAAACATAACTGAGCGTTAAAATGAACACTCAGTCTAGAAAAATCTTGCAATGCATCGTATAATACATAGGTTAATGCCCAATAAATCATCAGTAGTTTATCAGATAACTTTAGAGTACAGTCTGATACTTGTCCGCAAGTCGAGAAGATGCGTCGAATAATCTATCAACCGACCATGTTTTGATGATCTCACTCTGTACTATCATTTCATAGTACTTGGTTCCCGTTATGCTCCAATACGGGTCTATTTCCTTATGCAATTGAAGCTATTTCCCTATGGCGCAGGGATTTGACAGTAGTTTTCAACTAAGTGATGCAGCATCTTCATTCATGCTAGGGCAGATAATCTCCCGGAACTCACACTAATTGTGGAGATCCAGAATTCCCCAAAAATAGAGTTGCGCAAAACCTCTAATTTTGCCCGGTACTACTATCAATTTCGTACTGGTGACGATTGACTGCAATCGGAAACAGCGCGCTAAAGAGGTCTCCGTAGTTTCAAAAGCAGTCAGATAGAAACTGATTCGTGAATTGCTCTGTATAGTTTGAGGTATGAAAAAGCCACGTTGCTCTAGATGGTTGAGTTACTCTCACGATGATGTCTGGAAGATGCTTTCACAGCTTGCTCCCGAAACATAACATTTTTTCTGAAGTATTAGCGTGGTATCTCAACCAATGATAAAATACAGGGCTAGCTAGAAATTCAAGCACTTCTTGTCGGATTTATCTCGAAACGCGAAAACTGTGAGCATCTTCATCAACGCGAGAATAACGATGACACATTCGTCAATGATGATTATGTCGAACCGCTTACCAGATTTGAGCAAGTGTAACAAGGACTTTTAGCTTCGTCGTCTGGGATAAACCACCTATACCATTAGGCTGCCATTTACGGTGCCTGATTTCCCAGCCCTTAAATCACGTAAATAAAAAACTGTGCTCTTCCGACAGTGCATTCTGCTACGTGTAAGTACTGCTACAGGTGGGTCTTGAATCCGGCGCAACTACACAATAGTGGATTGCTGTATCCGTCAAATGTGCGATGACTCGCTTAGTGAGCTCCAGGATCATACTACTCAAACGCTAACCCGTTTATAATGCTAAGATAGCGTAGTCCGAATCTTACTGAGAAACGCCCTAAAACTTGCGGGATGCTACTGCGGTCCATAGTTTTAGCATTAACTTGCCAACTGGCCTGCCTTTCCAATTTAAATTACCTATCTTACATCAATTTGAATTTAGCGGATGCTTCTCGTTTAGCCTCAAATCAAAAAATTTTACCATTATAGGAGTTCCATATCTTCTCTTCACTATGTGGCATTAGCGTATCTTTAATATAGTGCTGTAGTCGAAGGTAATAATATACGCGGTCGTTCGTGATGCTATGTTACTAGGCGAACGGGCGGGATATACTGAAAAAGTAGTCTTTCAAACAAATCCACAACGGAAAGCTGTTTATCTAAACAGCTGAAAGAACCGTGATTTACACCCTTAACGCTTCCGAAACAATCTTATGACCTTTAACAACTTCCATATACCATGAAAGAACCAACCAGTGGGAAAAGTCTGGCGTCAACAGTGCTGACAGCCAAGGCACTGGACTTGTCTCCACAACTGTGGAAAAAAGAACCAAAAGTTAAAGTTAAGCGTGTTGATTCCCTGTTTCTGATCTCATATTCGGATGCAGCGTCATCGCGACTACCGATAGTACTGCCGACACTCCAGGAATTCCACGTCTCGCTGTACATCGATATTCCTACAATAGATTACTACAACGACCAGCTTACTCATAATCGACTCTCAAAGATAAACAAGAAGTTCAAGATCCACAAACTCAGAGAACAAATTCTGGCCAGCGTCACGAACTTCGAAGATTCGGCGTGGGATTCTATTTTGAAACAAGGCTCGCCAAAATGGCCCATTAAAATAACCTTTTCCGTGTCCTCCAGTGGAGCTCTCAGGTACGTCGAGACCATCAAGTTTCTGGTAGAATCGTGCTGGCACCGAATTTTGGAGCATACAGGTGATTCTAACTCTGTGCATGCGGTCTTCAAGATCCAGGTGTCCCCGACATCACTGATCTGGTTCAAAACATTTCTTGACAAGGACCTTTTAGACCGCGCAGTTGTTCAGTTCGAAGTCATTGGCAATTACAATATGATCACCTCGTCCACGACCCCTTTCAAAGAATACTATTCCATGCTTAGCGACAAGTTCACAACAAAGGCCTCCGTGGACTCTCCGGGTGGCAACCCCCCTGCAGATGTCAAAACTTTGGACTCAATTATAGTAGTTACCAACAGTACGGGGGTTAAAGCTCTCTTGACAATTTTGTCTGACAGACCACTGACCAGTTACCTTTCGAAGGATTCTTTAGAAGCTTTGCATAGTAATGCACTGCAGAAAAAGCCTTCCAAAGCCGAAGTGGTTGAGCAAACTGACAGCGATGATGATGACACTCCTTTGAAAAGAGATTCGTCGTCTTTATTGAATTTTCAAGAATCATTGATCACCTCCAACAAGGATAAGTCTGTCAAAGTAAGAAGCATTCCGTATAGCAGGTCAAGCTCGCGTACTGGAAGGTCCAGTACTCCGAATACGTTCCAAGTTGGGACAGATAACTTCAGCACGGACGAAGACACCAAAGGGTCAGATCTGCAGCAGTTCGAAAATGAAGAAGATTCTGACGATGAGGACGACGAAGACGAGGACGACGAAGATGGTTTAAGCTTTTCGGTGCCGAGCAGACTTTCACGTTGCGGTTCAGAAACCGATTTTGCAGGATCTAAGTCGCCCGAGGCTGATACTACTGCGCGTAGGTTTCGTTCTCTTAGCTTAATGGATCCAGCTCTACAAGCTCCGTTTGCACAAGATGTGTCTCAACAACGAGAGGCTGGTCGTAGAGAGCCCCCGACGATGGAGAATATTGAGGATGAGATGTGTTCGCCGAATGCCAACCGACTAAAATGCTGTACTAATATTTACGTTCACGATGGGCAGTTTGGTGAGAAGCCAATTTCAACAGCACCACGGAGAGCTAGACGTATACCCCGCACAAAGTCAGCGAACAACGTAAGTGTCGGACTGATTCCACCTGAGTTCTTTTCACGCCTTTCGTCGCCTTCCTCGAGTAATAGCAGCTCAAACACTTCGCTCAGTAATTTGAACATTCTTCCAGGCACCTTTTCGAAACTGCTAAGCGCTTCTGGAGAGACTTATAGTGCGGAAGAAGAAGAGCCATTTTCGTTTAAAAAAGGCATGGTTGAAAAATCATCACAAAGCGGAAAACCAGACCGGTCTTTCGCTTTTGCTGGGAATTCCTTGATGCCACAAGACATGAACAGGTTTTCTCTAAACTTCAAAAGCAACAAAGCAATTCCTGTGAGCGCCAAGGCTTTGGATGACGAGGATCGAATGATGTTCGGGTCAGGAAGCATTAATGAGCAAACATCAGATGAGGAGTCTAAGTCTAACACTGATTCCATATCAACGTTAATCGATAATGGCGTTCAAAACGCGGCTGCATCAGAATCGCCTAGTTTAAAATCATTCAATTTGCAAATCTACGCAGATGATGAATCAAAAGCGAAGCCGAAATCACAATCCAACTCAATAAAGCCATCAGGACCTGCCAAGCCAACCTATAAGAAGCCTAAATTTACACTAGACTTGTATGGGGACGATGAAATGCAGTCTAATGGAGGATGGCTTCTCGGAGGTAACGCCAAGTGATTGCATGGCCTAGTGCTGCTTGCTTATGGCTAAAACAAATATTTGCATTATGTATACTAGTATTGATCCTTTTTTATAATTGTCATTTGGAGTTTAATATGGATAAACCTAACACCTTACGCTTTAATATCTCAATTTAGTGACGATGAGAGATTCGAAGGCTTTAGACGATGTTTGCTATTGTTTGTCCTTTACTGGTGCTCTCAGCGGTATTTTTTATCTTTGGCTCGTAGAAGGCTACAATACTTTGAAGACATTGTTTTGTAGTTGATGATATTAGCATTACTCAAAGTTAAGACAACTAAAACACATTTGGCTTTTGGCAAGAGTTCGAAAAGGTTTCGATAGGGTGCTCTATACCTATGAATTTTTATCCCGCCTGTTTTGTAGCCATCAGTGTTATATTATATGTCCGAATGTGCTTATGACAAGGGTCATCGCCGATATGTTAGCAACAGAGACAGTAAGGACGACAGTGGAGGATCCAAAAAGTGTGATCAATCGCGATTTTGGAGAATTGTTGAATGGGTTGTTACACTGGATACGGCACAACCTAAGGCTGTTAATTATAGCTCGATACCGCGAGTCAGTAATTATGTGTTTTTCTTAGGAGGTCGCTTGCGCACGGTTGCCGGCACACATTACCTTTCTCTGTTTGTGCTAGCTGCATGGATTGTGCCGATGGTTCTTTATTCCATTTTTGAGGCTCAGACAATTTGGAGCTTTGGCCATGGCCATGGTGCGTTGGTGGTGATGTTTTACTATTCTTGGGCAATCTGTCTTGCCTCTTTCATCAGAACAGCTGCAAGTGATCCAGGTGCTCTTCCGCGGAACGTGCATGTTCCAACGGTGGTAAACGATTTCGAGCTGCCGCAAGAATACTATAATATTATAACACTGCCGAGCGCCCATCCGGAGGGACGCACTATTGATGTCAAGTACTGCCCGACGTGCCGCATTTGGAGGCCGCCCAGGACATCGCACTGTTCAGCTTGTGAGGCTTGCATCACAACTCATGATCATCACTGCGTGTGGGTCAATAATTGCATCGGCCAAAGAAATTACCGTTTCTTCATAGCGTTTTTGGCAAGCGGAGTCGTCGCCATTTTTTTATGCATCATAAGCTGTGCAATCCATGTACACAAGGTCTCTCATCCTCGCTCTGCCACGGTAGCCATACTATTAATCGTGTACTGTGTACTATCCCTTTGGTATCCTTTGCTCTTGCTGATGTTTCATTTCATCGCGACCTCGACCCAGCAAACGACAAGAGAATATTTGAGAAATTTAACCTCAAGAAGGGCCATATTTCGTGGATTTGTTTCACCTGATACCAACGCGTTCGATCGAGGCAATCGTGGGGAAAATATGTTTAATTTGATATGCCAACCGCGGGGTGTTAGTGTCATGAGTTCTCGTGGTACCCATGCACCTGGAGATTGGCGATTTTTGAGCTTGCCACAAGCGCATAGTTTTGAGAAGGTGTAATATCAACTACAAGACTATATAATTAATCTAGCAAATGCTTTAAAGTTCTAATTGTCCAACTTGCAATCCATCTTATTTTCTCGAGACAAGCTCTTAATTATTTATTTAACTGACGCATTTTGCTTTTTACAACCTTGTGAAAAGATAACACTTTAAAATCATAAATGCATATAAGAACTAGAAACTTTTCGAATCCGAAAAAACTCCGATATATCCAAAATCCTTAGAAGCTTGGTCTAATTGAACAACAATAACATGAAGCTGTTTCAAAATACGCAAGAGTTCTCTTATCCATGGGAGCAGGTCACAGCAGCAAATTGGCGCAAGTATCCGAATGAAGTGTCTACCCATGTTGTTGCTGTAGACGTGCTGAGAAGAGAATTGGATCCCAGTGGAACTAAGCTTACGAGCGAACGTCTTATAACTTGCAAGCAGTCGATTCCTAAATGGCTTACTATGATGATTGGCACTTCGAATGTCAGCTATGTGCGAGAGGTTTCGGTGGTGGATTTGAATACCAAGACTCTAACACTGAGAAGTTGCAATTTGACGTGTATGCGGTTGCTCAAAGTCTGTGAGACTGTCAAATACATGCCGCATCATTCAGACTTGGGAAAAACGCTTTTCCAGCAGGAGGCTCAGATAACCGCATACGCTACGATTGCCACGCTATGCAACAAGATCGAAGAATGGTCTGTCAAGAGATTTGGCGAAAACGCTTCGAAGGGACGCCAGGGTTTCGAGTCAGTCCTGAAAATCCTAAGCGAAAATTGGGATCAGCGTGATAAAATTGTAAATGAGCTTACACTGAAAGTGGTTGATACCGTGGACGAGATTCGCAGTACCACCGATACGCTATTTAAGGAAACGGAACTAAAGTCGACGTCTCTAATTTCACGCCACATTAAAGAAATTCAACGCGCTTTCAAACTGAATAATTGAAAGCTATGTTGAACAAAGCACAAAGTTCGCAGCTAAAATAAGAAGAGTTCGTGAAACTTATTCTCCAAATTGCTCGCTATGCGTTCTCGCTTTTTGTTTTCACACATGGGCTCCCAGGTTACCGGCACTTTCATTCTACACTGCATTAACACAATTCCACGATCTATTTGTAAATAAATTTATACCACTCTTTTAACATTCAAGGCATCATCAATTCATAGCTGCAGAATTGGCTTCAGCTCATCGCTGTTTTTTTTTTTTTTCGCTAGGCTTCTGAAAAATTTTGGTCTAGTTAATGAGATGAGCTATAATTGCAAGGTGAATGAGCCAGGATAGATAGACTCAGGCTGGCATCTATCTTATGGTTTGCGACGATACAGACTCTAGAAGCCATGTTGGAATCGGAGGGAACGATGTTGATCAGCTGGTGAAGCTTGAACCAGACGTTAACGACCACGAACTCGAACTGACATTACACACGCTTTTGACACAAGCCAATGACCACCAGGATCCTTCAGATCCATTGCATTGCGCCATAGAGAAAGCGATCTCGGAGATGGAACTGCCAGAAATGATGGTGGACTCTCCGGGGGACTGGACTCCTCTCGGCGATGAGCGCGAACTGGAGATAGAGGTAGCACATAATGACGGTAGTGACGAGAGAGACATTTGTGAAGACACAGCTAATGTGCAGCTCACGGTAGATAACATATTAGCGGACCATGCGCTGCACGGTTTTGGAGGCAAGAGCAAAAAGAGAGCATACGAAGAAGAACCAGATGAACAGGATGAGGCACAGGCTGACGTTTCTTGCGATACACAGGCAGAACAACCGCAGCAGAGCCGCACTGTAACATCGACTGCATACGAGACGTTGTCGCCAGCGTCTTTATCTCCCATATCGGACTCAGAATCGCAGTACAAACACAAAAAACCTGGATTCAAGAAGCCTACAACGGCGGCAACGTTGACTCAAAGGATCCATACCCCCTTGGAGCCTCCCTCCAAGTTCACCAACGAGTTTACCATGGCTCAAGTGACAGATGTCAAAAAGAGGATCATTAACACGCATAAGCTTTTGTTGAACTTCAATTTTTTGAAAGACGGATACGCTCGAACCAGCGTGGAATTGAAGAGAACCTTATTGAGGCTGAAACAGAGTGAAATTCATAGAGCACAGCTGTTGCAAGAAAACGAGCAGCTAAAGAGACTAGTCATCGAACAGAGCGAGAAATTAGAGACCCATAATACTACGAAATGAGCTGGAAACGGCGAGGTTCGGTACAAAGTGTTTCCATTGGCCTATTATTCCAATCTGTTCGCACCGTATAGAAAAAATAGCATTTAATCCTGTAACATAGGAACCATTTATCACAAGTCGCATCGCACTAAGATTGAACAGGACAAGATATGAGCGTGACTCGTAGGAATGTCAAGGCGAGCAAGAATATATCTAATCAAGTGTCAAAAGAAAAATACTGACACAACTCAAGCATCCATTAGGGCGCTGAACTTTTTCATGCACAAATGCGTTGCAACTATACAAACCGTATTTGATCTATACAATATGCTTAGGCTTTGATTCTGAAAGTGGAGTGACACTTACCACAGTAGTGTCTGTCCTTGTGGTTAGCCAAGAAGCAGCCAGCACCACAGTTAGGACATTCTCTTCTCAACTTGGTGACCTTACCTTCAGAGTCAACCTTGAAGTAGTTCAAGACAGCAAGCTTGACTTTCTTGTGCTTGTGCTTGATCTTCTTTGGGGAGGTGTAGACCTTCTTCTTTCTCTTCTTACCGCCACCTCTCAATCTCAAGACCAAGTGCAAGGTAGATTCCTTTTGGATGTTGTAGTCAGACAAGGTTCTGCCGTCTTCCAACTGCTTACCAGCAAAGATCAATCTTTGTTGGTCAGGTGGAATACCCTCCTTGTCCTGGATCTTGGACTTGACATTGTCAATGGTGTCCGAAGACTCCACTTCGAGAGTGATCGTCTTACCTGTTAAGGTCTTGACGAAAATCTGCATCTTGGTTTGTCGGCAAACTACGAAAAGTGCTTCTTTCAGACCAAGTTGACTGGATTTCTTTAAATCTTACAAATTATGATACAAGTTCATGAAAAGTTGTGAATATAAAGTAATTTTCCATCGAAAACTTGTCACGTATATTGCGTGGGTCTGAACCTGAGTTCGTTTATTATTTTTGAATAAACAAATTTATTTCATTGTTGTCAGTTTTTTACAGTACATAAAAAAACAAATGATGGGTTTCAAGATAACAGTCATAAGACAGCAAATTGAAAGCAGCAGAGGATTTTGAGATGGAGAGTCGTGAATAACATAAGAAGCGCTCGTACCGTTACTGTGCTTTTGTTGATGGCATGTGTGTGTGGTCTTAGGAGGGAGCGCTAAAGTTATGTTCTCTGTTTCGTCGTTGTTCTCTTTTTCGTCGTTGTTCTCTTTTTCGTCGTTGACTAGATGTTCGAGTACAAGATGAGTTAACTACACGGTGACTGGGTGTTTATTTAGTTTGGTGTATGGGAGATCATTTTTTTATGAAGGCTTCAGGATATCTACTCTTCTCGTAATGGCATCACCTACTGCTCTATTGAGCCGCCTATTAGTTGGGAGTCGGCGAATTCGCTCTTGGTTTCTATTCAGACTACTAAACATATACTCAAATATAGTGTCTTGATTTTCCACAGAACAATCATAGGACGTAGAGTTCTGCTTTCTTGTTGTCGTTATATTTGCAGGTGCCCCGTTGGATACCTTCTTGTCGAAACATATTAGTATTGATGTTGGTTGGCTAATTGAAGATTGGCCGAGCCTTATTGTTTATTGTTTTCCTGGATGATCTCATATAATCAAAAGCCATCCTAAGTGGATTCAAACAAAAGCTCTGCGCTAGGGCATGCAGCTCAGAGAAAGCAGCTCAGAGAAAGCAGCTTCTCATATTCTAGCAACTGGAGGCGGTATGGCAATTCTTGGTAAAACGTTGATTCTAGAATGCGTGGCATATGTATCAGGAAAACGCTTCCTCTAACATAGGGAAAGAGCCACTTGTGGGCATTTCTCGACGAGTTTTCGTCGAGCCCACTTCCATATACCACCAACTGTATATTTGGACACCACTGCTCAGATAATTTATAGGCAAACAGTATCATATGCATCCATGTTCCACTCAACTCTTGCAGTCTAATTTGCATGATTTTAGTAGAGTTGGATACATATACAATAGCTCAAAGGTCAAGATCGGAATCCGAGTCACTTCCGCGGCCCTTGGACGCCTTCCATCGGGATTCATGACTAGTTCTGGATTTATTTGCAAGCACTCCGGCCTGGAATAAAATGTTTTCTAGAACTGCAACATCGAAGTCTTCGGGCTGGTTTCCGAGTTTTGAAAAGCCCACGATTCTGGTTCTTTCCACGCCTTTGTTGTACGCAATTACGAACGGGAGCACTTTGATTTGTAATTTGGCTACTAAAAACGGGCACTTGTCTACGCTTACACGTATGAACTGTGTCAGGAGATGCTTTGATGCAAGTTGTGAGAGCTTCGAATCCATGGTTGAGCATTTGCGAAAAGTATCCAGTGCAAAATGAATCACGACTTGATTTGACGATGCTGTAAGTCTGATGACTTCTCTCTCTTCCGTCACGGTAGTTACTTGACCGTATTGCTCTGTTTCCACATTCTCCTTGATTGTGCGCATGTCAGTAGCGATCTGTTGAAGCCGCTGTTCGCGGTATTTCTGTATAAATTCATCATCTTCGCCATCCAGCTCGTCCAAAAGTTCATCTAGTGACGCGTCGCTAGCATCTCCATCATCAGAGTCTCTATCGGCATTATTGTCGTTCCCTCTAGCATGACTCAAAAGGCGTATTTGGTATTGGTGTAGCTTATCGACGGGCATTTCAACCTAAAAACAGTTATTTGTTTAGATCGTGATAATTTGTTTGAAGATTAGGTATTTCTATGTATCAAAGTTTATTGATCAAAGAGCGGGAAGTATTTAGAGTTGAAGTGTCGATTCCGTGGTCATGAACTCCTTATATGAGTTGGACTCCAAGTGGAGAGATCTGTTGACATTGAACAACTTTTTAGGCGGTTTAACAGTACATGAGTTTGTTCAAGATATCAGTAACGAAAACTCGCTGAAAGACAGAGCAGCACACACAGGGGCCTGGGAACATCTTGATCCCAAACCTTATATAAGAACATTTGAATCTACTGTGAAAGAGCTGCAAAAGCTCAGCACAGATGCAGAGGGTAAAAAGGGGCAGTTGGAACAAGAAGTGGCTAAATATGAATTGCTTCATTCACAACGGGTTTTACAACTCACTGGCAATCTCAAGACTATTGTAAGAGACAGTGGCGAATTGGACTTGAAATTGACCAATGTAGCTCAAGTGGTTTCCCCGTTAGGAGAGAAGCTTGAAAAGGCCATGAAACGGAAGAACATGTATGTCAAGTCCGTAGAACTGATATCGCATTATTCGGCTTTCCACACAAAAGGCATCTCGCAGGAATTGGAATTGCTCAGAACGTCGAGGGGCTGGAAGCCAAGGACAAGAGCTGCAATTTTAGTCAAGAACCTACTGGTCCTAACTAAAAAGGTCGAAACCAAATCCTTACTCAAGACCGTTGAAACTACTAATACAATTGAAAAATACGCAGATGCTATGGAAAACGAATTTTTGGTAGAGTTCAACAACGCTTATCGTGAAAATGATTTTGATCAGTTAAACGAGATCGCAATCATACTCAATCGTTACAATAGCGGGTTGAACGTTATTCAAAGTTTCATAAACCAACACGAATATTTCATCGATATCGGCGAAGATGATTTCCTGTTTGATGAGTCTTTTAAGGTTAAAATATGCAACATAGATTGCCATGCAGCTTGTTACGAGACTACGATGGTGCAAAAACTCGACGAAATAGAATCCTTGATAAAAAATGAATCTAAAATAGTGAAGCGGGTGTTTGAGGGCCGCTGTTCATTTGTGATGCAGTTGTTTGTTCAAAGAATCTTCGGACAAAAATTAGAACCTCGTGTTGAAGCTTTGCTAAACGCATCCTTGTCTTTATCTGATCTGGCATTCGTAAGAATGTTGTATGCTCTATTTTCTCTTCTCAGTCAGTTCGTGAAGGATCTTTCCGAATTTTTTCAATTGCAAGGTATTGACAACAATGGAGACTTGGTGACTGCACTTGAACGATGTCTAGCAGATTTGTTTTCGAAAACCATATATGATAGGACCAAATATTTTGACCTCGAGAAAAGAAGCTTGGAAAATTCTCTGGCGCATAAGACCTCCAGGTTCTGTTTAAATCATGACAAGGAAATATGTGCAAGAGCTTTGAACAACAAGCTTTTGAGTGGAGCTCATTATGCACAGGATTTGGACCTGCAGGAATTGAGGTCATCATCAAATGGGAAACTCTCGCAGATCAACAACTTTTTGAAAAGCCATCTAGAAAGGGAAAAGAAAAAAAATAGCAGCGCAGATACGTCGTTTGGAAGTCCAGATGTCAATAGCCATTCTGAAAATGCTAATTTATTGCATATAGATCCCAATTTCTCTCTGCAGGGTATTGACGGTATGCTCAAATGTGCTATCGAATCAATAGCCCGCGTTTTGGAACTCGTTCCAAGTAAAGCAAACGAATACACGTACGAGCTCGTAGAAATTGTGCTATTGGGCACAATAGGCTCCTACGTGGATTGTGGATTAGAGGTCTCGTATTCACAAATGATAGAGCAAGATCTCCCCAAAAATCCGAGTGTCGAGATGTCGTACCTCGATTACGTTTCCAAGTCTACGGAAATTTTGAGCTTGATCTCGGCATCTATAAAGACAGTTGTTTTGCCCTTATTTGTCAATTCCCCTGATATCAAGAAAGCTATAATCACGGTAACAAATCATTATATTAAGAGATGCGAACTGCTTATAAACATCATTATAGAGGAAACGGTGCATGCATTTACACAAAGATTTGTTGCATCACTATCGAAGCAAAAGAAAAAGGACTTCTTGCCCGGTAGTCAAGATATCATGGATCATGATACCCTTCCTGCTTCAGAAATAATTAGGGATCTGAACTCTCTATACTCTCAAGTGAGATTATATTTGAGAAATGATAACCTGCGGTCTTTTTTGCAACAGATCGGAAGCGTTTTGTGCCGTTTTCTTTTTGAGCACTACAAGAAATTCCAGGTAAGTTCTGTGGGAGGAATAATTGTAACAAAAGACATCATCGGCATTCAAACAGCTATAGAAGAGTGGTCCGTCGACCAACTTTTGAGTGACTTCGCAACTCTCAGAGAGCTTGCAAATCTATTCACAGTTCAACCTGAGGAGCTAAGTTCGTTAACCAACGAGGGCCACTTGGCCACAGTGGACCGAAAAATCATTTCCGCATATGTTGCAAAAAGAGATGATTTTAATCAAAATAGTTTCGTTAGCAAATTGGGATTGACTTAAGCTTACGCTTGTTTATAATAAAAGGTAAAAATCAGGAATATCATTGAAGTCATAACACTAGCATTCATTACAAATTGCTTGAATTTTGTGCTTCCATCACCAGCAAAAAGTTCATTCATCTCGTCGCGAGAGGCACGAACATCAAGCTTCTTGGTAGCGATCGGCAGCACGTTAATGACCTCTCTCGTTTTTCTGTCCACGATGGAAGTAAAAATTTTGTTGAATGACTTCGGGAAGAAGTGAACCCAAACCAGGAACAGGATGGTACCCACATAGGTACAAATGTACATTTTCAAAGCTTTGTATGGGTTAGGCAAATAACAAATGTTCGTGTGGTAAGTCTCTTCAGACGCGAGTGAATCTTGTGGGTTGTATAGCGATAATAATTGTATAGCTGGTCTTGATATTCCCATATTCATTGCGCACGACTTTACGGTTACCTCTTCCGCTGTTTCTTGCCCCCTTTTTGAGTGATACTTGTGATTGACACGACAAAAATCGTGGTCATCACCAGACAGAACGAGAGATGGTTCTATTTTTGTAAGCACTTCTTGACTAATATCTACATCAATCACTGTTTGATATTGTAGACCTTGCTCCATTGGAAATGGCTTTTTGGACTCTCTGTCGGGACCACAAGTTTGGGAGACTGGGTCCCGCCAAAGTGGAACATGGGTGAATAGTATTCTAGGGTTGGATTTGGGAGACTCTGCGAATCGGTTTAAAAAATCACGAGGGACAGAGGAAACGCGTTCGCTCTTAGAGTCTGATAAAGATATAGTATCCAAAAGTACGATTGTATGATTTCCCACTTCCCACTTCGATGAAGGATCTCCAAAAAAAGATTTAAATCTCGAAAGGCTTTCCTCAACGACCGTGTCCCCAAACCCAATATCGTGGTTTCCAGGAAGGGACATAACAGTTAGCCGGTTCGGTTTTTTGGGGAATATACTGTTGAAACGAACGTATTCCGAAATCCAGGCAGAATCGTTCCAACGTCTTCCGCCATCAAATAGATCTCCCAAGAAAAAGGTAGAGTCCGGATCTAAAGTGTGGTGTATTTGCTTCCAATTGCGAGCGTGGTAGTTGTCTAAGACGTTCTGCGTAAAGAAGTTGACGATCCACGGCCTTCCTGGGTATGAATGAGCGTCCATAATCTGAGGGTCTGCTAAGACTGCCATATGATGAGGATCTGCAGTCTTAGGCCAGTGCTCCCAGTTGGACCATTTACACCGGTTGATAGCACGTTTGACAAACGTAACCTCATAGTACTGCACCAGGCAGATCCATAGACAAAGCAGCGACGCCAAGTGCCGCCAGTACACTTTAGGCCAGCCTTGTCTCTTTTGATCCATCTTGGGCCTTAACGGTACATTTTTCTCTCCACTCCCGTTGTATGCAAAGCTTTCAGCTTCTTTGTCGCGCCTGCGGTACGACATTGGCTTTGTTGCTCCTACTTTATGTGCTCAATATCTAGACTTTAGATGAGAACAGTACTTAGCCATGTTTTCCCAAATTTCCAAATTTGAGATATGAATAGTTCATTAAGTACGCTGGGTGAACAATCGATTTAATGACAATATTCAATTGATGGAAAGCAAACCAGAGCGCAAGCTTCGATCTAAATCTCCAGCCAATGCTGACAGGGATGGGCTCTTCAATTTTGACGGGGCAGAAGATGAAATTTCGCAAGACAGGAAACTAACTATCTTGCCGCGAGTAAGCATTGCCTTTACCGATCTAGCTAACAAGGAGGAGCTTGATGAATTGAAGCTTAAGAGGCAAGAGTTGCAATGTATGAAGCTAGTTGTAGAACCTCGTCACTTGGAGGTAGTAGAGGGCAGCCAAGTGCAAGATCCACTGTCAGACGAGTTGTATGCTGCTTACCATCGGAAAATGCAGAAACAGGAGATACGGATGGTGAATCACGACAAGATGCAATCTGAAACAGAGGCGGAGCGCCTGGAATGTATACTGGAAGATCTGGACTCAGAAAACTGGTTCAGGACACTTTTGAAAAATACTGTTATTCAAGATCCTGAGGACTTAGAGGAGGTAGAACGGAAGCGGGATCTCACGCGAACGCTTATTACTCAAATGCTCTCAAAATTTGCTGATATGAAAAGCCGTGCCGTGTACTTAGCGCGTAGCAGTAAACACAACGGTTCTCAGGGTAGGCAGACTCGCGTTAACAACTATAGACAACTAGTATTTGGACAAGGCGATGTTGAGCCTTCGTCGGATGAGGACGACGACTCGATGTCTATTTCGGAGATCAGAGCTCGCAGAAAATGCATCAAAGAGCGTAAATATGGCGGGACAATTGTGATTCAACTACGCAAAAGTCTCTCTGTCAATTATAGATACGCGCTTGTAGCGGAACCATTGCGATCAGCGTATATCGTCAAGTGCTCAAAAGAAGAAAAAGAAGAATGGTCTCGCAAGGCAGAACTGCTTCCACCAAAAATTCAGTTTTACGATCAGTTTCCTAAACAAAGCTATTGCACCCGACATTCTCAGCCGCCGAGCTTTTCGGAACTCTCACCGAATGGGAGCGAAATTAAGAATTCCAAAAAAAGGGAAAATAGCAGCTTGTACACCCGCGTTATATCTTCCCCTCCGACTAAAAAAAGAAGGCCCGAATTAAACGCTCTCTACAGCAAAACAAGACACCATAGCTTCATTCAGAGTTGACTATTTTTATCAGCAAAAAAATCATCAATTAGTTTTTGCTCGTCAAGACCAGGTGGAGGGAAATTGAAATGCAACTTCAGAGTTTTAGGCTCCGCGGGTTTCAATTTCAATTCGTCCTCTTCGCTCGATCCAATAGCAGAGACATGTTCATCGGAGACACCAAAAACTCGACACAGATAAGTTCTAAGTTCCAAAAGACATGCTCGTGAAACGATCAAGTTCCTGGTGTTTTGAGAATCTTCCGTATCATCAACATCGTCGCCTTGTTGCTCGATGAGCTCAGTGATGTCCTCAGTTTTTGTGTCCAGAAGACTAGTCAAACTGCAGACTTCCAGCATGTTTTCAAAAGACAACGCGGCAATGTTGAAAGAAAAAATAATGATTGGTATTTTGGGGAACACATCGCCATTGCTAACCAAGTAAGTGAGTAGCGCATTTTTGTACGAATTGAAAATCTTCGCTGGTTTCATGCCAACACTACGAGCGAGGCTCTGCACTTTTGGCAAGAAGAGCATGTTATTGGTAAGACCCTGCTCTTTGAGCCATTTCGCATGTTCAATACCCGCCTTTATTCCAGTGCTTAAATTACTGAAACGCATACTGGTATTCCTCATAAATATATTTTCCAAAACTGTAAGTGCCAGTTTGCTCGTTGCGCCATTTGGTGACCCTATCAATGCTATTATAGTAGGAATACAGTTTGCAGGATTCGTATAACCGAAATCTAAAACCAGTTCAACAAACTTCAAGGCGACAGAGGATAAGCGCAAATCCTCGAGTAGTGCAATTCTCAGGACGTATTTCAAATATCGAGAAGATATTGCGGAACAAACCGCATCGCTAGACCTAGGCGCTACTATTGATCGGCTTCTTTGAAGTTTTAAAGTTGATAGCCGCAAAGGGCGAGTCAATTCAAGTGTCCTCTGCTCTTCGCTCATAAAAAATTCAGAAAGGCATTGAACAACCACTAAATTTGTATCTAGGCTTCTCGTGGCGAATTCCTTGTCGAGTACACTTAGAACCAGTCGGGAATTGAACAATCTGGGGTATGCTGTCGCGACCTTTAAAAGGTTTCTGAGGGCAGATTTTCTGAGTGTTAAGTCGACCTCAAACCTAGTGAACACCAGCAAGCATTTTGTTACGTATTCGAAAATCGGCTCCCTCGTTTTGAGATGTGGGAACTTTTCTTCCGTGTTAGTGAAATCGCAGAATCTTGCAAAGCCAGCTGCAAGGTATAGCAATCGTTGTAACTTACCGTCAGCTGTCACTGAAGCTGAATCTTTAGTTGAAGAGTTGATGTAAGGGCTTAGTAGTGCTAGACAAGACGAACATGCCTTGGAGACTCTTGTGTCGTCGCCTCGGTGATGAGCAATAGACCAGCACAGCGGAATGGCCTCATCGATTTCTCGGACACTCATTTTCGGGAGCCTTCCCAGAACAATGCTCTCTAGGTCGAGCAAAAACTTGTTTCTGAAGTAGGTAAGTTTTGAGAAGCTGGTTTTGAAGACCTTTAAAACATAGTACTGCAGATCGGATTGTTCTGATGAAAGCAGGTATGGGTAAAGAGTTGTGATGTGGTCTTTAGTAATGAAGGCATGCTCGCAAGCAGAAATGATGGAAAGGAAATGGAAGACGTTGATTTCGGATTTCGACTCACTCCCTTGATTGGTGTGTGCATATTGGCTATTTATCGCCTCGTCGACAAGCTTGCTAGTAATAAATTGGGTTGTAAATCGTATCTCCTCTCGTGCTTGTTCATCATGGAGACTTTCATTGAGAACGTACTCGTTCAGAAAGTTGTCGAAGAGTTGGGAATCACCCTTGTCATATCCAATGACAGCGGAGATAACTTCAATAACTTCCATCGCTCTGTTAGCTTGTGCTTCTGTGCTCTGCCCTGTCTCGTATACGTTCAAGAACCAGCGGTCGATCAAAGACTTTTGAGCTTTCTCTACAATGCTGTCCTCCTCGTCCTCCGTTTTCCTCAAAATTCTGCTGGCTACAAATGCTTTGACGTCAATGTCTGAGGCATTGTCGTAAGCATCGAGATTTAGTTTCAAAACGTGCTTTCTTACCATTGTGCTCTCATCATCATAGTTAATATTTATGAGTTGATAGTATCTGGTGTATTGAGTGGAGCCAAGCAAGTCCAAAATTGCATCCTTTACAGATGGGGAAGAATCCTTGAGTCTTTGCTCAATCACACTTTTTACAGAGGGCACAGCGAGCAGATCAGGATCATTTGCTATCAGCGGCGCCAGGCACTTAATGGCACCGGATCTTAATTTGATTTTTTGCCTATCCAAAAGTGACAAAATAAGTCTAACGTATGGCTCAAAAAGGTTGATCAACTCCGAAATATGTAGAGTTGCAAAGTAGCTTGATTGGAAGTTATGAGAAAACTGACTGTGTTTGGAAATCTTCTCTCCTGAGGAAGTCGCAGAGCTGTTTCTTAAAAGCTTTAAGATTTCGGCACCAATATTCTCCCTTAGGGCTGAGTCGATGTCTTCAAATTCGGATAACGTAGTCAAGCAAGCCATCTGTCGATCCCAAAAAGCATGTCTTGAAGAAGTATCCCGATCGCTGTGACAAAGGACGGAGAGACATTTCTCAAAATCCAACATCACAGATTGCAGCATAGCAGGACTTTGCAAAATGCCAGCTATACTGAATTTTTCACTCTTTTCACTCTTGAGTTTAATATCTTGAATTACACTTCCAATACTGCCCATGATTTGAAGCACCGAAGACTCTCTAGCTGAATTGTTTTGTTGAGATGGACTAAAAACTAAAAGCATTCTTTTGAACAGCGACGCCAGTAGCGGTTCTGCAATGCTCCAGTGAGGTTGAACTACCATGGCTATCAAATCTTGAACAAAATTCTCCAAGATAAATCTTTTGAAGGCATTAGGGGTGAAGCACTTATTCAATACGGACTGATTGATGTGATCGATAAATGTTGAGAGCTGGGTTTGTTGTTCTTTGAATATGTCAAGAAACTCGTCAACACTTTGATCGTTTACATTCTCTGGTAGAGGAAGGAATTTTGACGAATTGAGAGATTGAAGCATGCGTGCAATGGTCACAAATAGATGTGTAGCGTAGAATGTATCGTCCACCTTTTGTAATTTCTTCTGGATCCTATTTGTCGGCAGCGAATCCAATCTGAAGAGAAGCTCGTCAAGAATAAAAAGACGTTGTGTTGGTAAACTCTCAAACATTGCTATGAGACTGGCTGAGCTCTCCCTCCTCAAACTCTCAAGCCACGTGGATAACGAAGATAGTCCGCCTATGTTTGGTGGATTGAACGTCAGTAAATCGGAAAGTAGATATACTAACTTTGTGATTAACTCTTCTTCTTGCATTGGTTTTTTCTGAATATACGATGATAGCAGAGACAAGACAGACCTCAACTGTAAGCAGTCGTCGCTCGTTGCGCCACGGCTAGTGTTGTCTTCACTCAAGGAATCGTTTATTCGCGATAAAAATGAAATGGCTGATACGATGTACCGCTCAAGGTATAGCCGCTTATCCTTGACATCAATCAGGAAAATCATGAATACAACAGTTGCACATTTGAATGCGATGCTATTCAAATGGCCATGATCCTCCGTCTTTAAAATCACGTCTATGCTTTCTGAGCAAATTCGCATGAGTTTACTCAAAATACCGGCGTCGACAATCTCTTCAAGACCAGGAAGGCCTGAGATGTTCTTAAGAGCAATCAGAATTCGATCTAAACAGATGTCTGATAGGACGCGACTCCCCTCGGCTTTTGTCCAATAAAGCTGGTTATTAAGCCCAATAGATTCTTCATCATCATGAATAGAGTTGATTAGTACGTCAAGATCCTTAAAGTGTTGAGAGCTCACGGCAGCTTGATCAAGAGAGAACTCCTCCGATGCAAATTTAGCTTTCTTGGGCGCTGCCCGAAGCTCGACATCCGCGTAATCAGGATCGTAGATAAGCTTGCTGCGTACGAGAAGAGAGCCATCATTGCTAGTCGAGCGTTGTCTCTTCATGTCATCAAGGCATTTGAAATTTAAAAATTGTCGAGCCGTGTCCGACAAACCTTCAAACAAATCCATAGATAAATCATCCTGGGACTTGGTTGAGAAAACCTGAATCTCCTTGAAGCTGAAACTCTCTTTCCCATCCATATCCAAGCGAGGAACCGTTTTTGGGTGCTTTTCACTTACGCGACTGGAGGATGACTCCTTGAAGACAACTTCGTCATACACAGGTGCAACGCGTAAGGACGAGCGCAACAACTCGCATAGCCCACTTTTTGGCACCAGAAAATTTAGAGGTTGATATTCTAAGCATTCCGTCAATCTCTTCGGAATGTTTGTTTTGTCGCCTGGAAAGGTCGCCATATTTAGCCGCCCTCAAAAATTCACAATTGAGACACTCGATTAAAGGTTATCGTTGCGACAATCAAATGTTTGGTATACCAGGCGTAAGAGGTCTCTGGTACAGGATCGATTTGGACAGAGCAGGTCTTTAAGAACTATCGGCTGTCCTGTCGAATTTCGAGATTATGTGATGGATCGAGTTTTTCGCCACTAATACGTGATGATCGTGCAAATCAAAAGTATGATTTTATATTGAGAAATGCGGCCTGACAGTAAACCGTTAACCGTTTAAAATAACTATAGATGGATAGTATCTGCTGCGATAGAGCTGAAGCTACTACGTATTTATTAGGATAGGGGCATCTCTCTTCTGCTTGCGACGAACTGAGACTTCTTACTTGTTCGTGCGTGGTGCTATTGGAAACGTAAATTAATGAGAATAGGCATAGGCAACTAAGTCTTCTCACTCGCCGCTTCACTGCTTAGGCGCGCCAAAAAGAGCACATCAACGGCACATGCCTCAAAACCCTGTTGTTACAATAGTATGCAATTGTAAAAATTACGTTATAGCTAACAAACCGGCTGGTGTGTTTTCACAAATGCCAGATCGGAACTCGTGGATCCAGAAACACGGCGTGTTGAAACCGCCTGTACTATTGGATATGGTGCGATCGTCGGCGCACACAATGAATCTTGAAGCAGGGGGTTGGCGTACAGTTCACCGACTGGACACCAATGTTACAGGCGGAGTGCTCATCGCCAAAAACAAACAAGCAGCAGCTCTTTTCTCGAGATATCTGCGAAAAGGTGGCAATAACGGTAACCTGCTGATACGGAAATATATCGCACTTGTTGATGGAGAAACAGACTGTTTACCCGCTAGGGGTGTTTTAGAACAGGATGGCATGAAAAGTCTCTTTTGCAAAATCGATTCACGGGCACTGATGCTTCAACTTTGCACCGGAAAAAAGCATCAGATCAGGCTGCAGCTCTCAAAGGTTTTAGGACTGCCTATATCGAACGATCTGAAATACGGTGGTGTTCCAGTTCCAGATGCTGGACGTCAAATTGCCCTGCACTCTGCTCTAGTGCAAACCAAAGTGGGCTTGCAATGTCACAAACATTTCATTCCAGTGGTCTCCGGGCGTGACTCACTATGGGCTAATTACGTGGATCAAGATGGACACTTCAAGCCGTCGGTACAGCATGCCCTTCTCGAAAACTGGGATTTGAGCTAACGGCATGTGCTATCACACACGCCAAAAGTTTCTCCAGTAAAATAGTGTTAAGATCCTGGTCTGCAGCTATTGCTGTGACAAGATTATGAGCGTCGCGGGACGTGAGGCCCATAATTGTGTCCATACTGTACAGCCGCATAACATGTCGGAGATTTGTTTCACATTCCAGACGCAAGAACTGTTTTTGAGAATCATCTAAAGGGGTTCGAGGCGGGCCCATTGTAGTATCTGTGGGGAATATTATCTGTCGCAGCTGCACGAAGAAATTTGCAGCTTGTCTTGGGCTAGAAATTTTGTTCACCACAAATTTGCGAAATACATGATGCAAGGTTCCGTCAAAAGCGTTCCACTTAGCGGCAATAGATTGAATATACTTGCAGATGCAATACAATAAAGGCCGACGTCGCTCAAAACTAATAAGCCTTCTAAAACAAGTGAAAACGTATCGAAATACCACAGGTTTTCTGGAACTGTGCGTTGATTTATAGAATTGTCGTGGACTTAGTAGAGTTTTCAGAAATGCAATTTTGTGTATTATTGTTTTCGGATTAGACTTTGATGGTAGGGCCAGCGATTGTGCCATTTTATTCAGAACTTCAAGTATAAGGTAAGGATCTGCGATACTGTGAAGGATTTTGCCACATAATAAATCCTCAGATAGGGATTTCAAGAACGCTGCCTCTAGTCTGGAGTCATTGTTCGAAAGTGAACAAAGATAGTTGGACGTAGCCAATAAAACATCTTCTTGATTGTAAGTCAATCCATTTATGTTCGAAATATTGACATGCTGTGACAAAGTGAAAGGAAGATCATCAAGGATAAGCTGTTCCCAATCAAATGTATGTTTTTCGAAATGAGTAGTCATTCTTTCTACGACTTGATAAAGCTCGCAGAGAAGTTCGGGATCTTTAGATGGGATACTAGTGCCAAACCAAGAGTTGATAAAGTTCTTGAAAACGAGAGCGAAAAATGCATGAACTGTGATTTTTGTGTAGCTTAAGCTGCTTAATCTTTTTGAGACACTGTCTGGGTACACGGATTGGCACAGTTCTTGAAGATACTCTCTGGAATTCTTTTCATGAGACGAATCAAAACAGTCGGCATCCACTGGTATGTAGTCAGCGTCGCCCCTCAGCTTCACCTTTCGCTGAAATCTCGACACTAAACTCGAATTGGCGTTGTAAAGGATGGTCGACATTGAGGTCTACTATGCCTCCATGATTTAATAACGTTTGACCGTTCAATAAATTGAGATCGTGAAAATACAATTAATATCTCGAACTCCCCAATTTCAGAAAATGATACAAGAGAGTGTCGTACTTGCATTAGAAGATGCTAACCGTGTCAATTACAAATCTTTGTGGTTAAACGCTCTCGATGACGAGGAACGTCAACTCTTAGAACTGTTTAGTTTTGGTCAGGTTAGAGATGTGCCAACAGAGCTTGGATTTACTCTCTCTGATGAAATGTGGGTAAAATTGAAAAGATTAACGTTGTTAGACCTATGCTGTCAAAATCGGACTGTATACCTTGATCGAGTGCGGAGGGACTGTGAATTGGGATCCTTGCTAGAAGCGGAACACTTGATGATGAGTGTTGGCAATTGGGTTGACTTCCAAATTGATCAAGTTAGCAACGACATACACATCCTTCAATGTCATGAAAGCCGAGATGTGTATAATGGCGAGCAAGAGCTAGCAGTTGTAAAGCCGAATAAAACTGGGCAATCCATTTTGAAAGATCTGCGACAATGGAGAAATAAGCTTCAGGGTGAATTGTAAAGGTTTGAATACGCGCATGTGTAGATATAAATAATAAATAGGACAGAAGGCTATAAGCAGCACTGTCTGTTGTTCCGCGCCGGCGGCTCAGAGATATGATTATTTCTTTTCTTCAGAGTGGTTGCTGGCGGTCCACAACTTTTGGACCACTCCAGTTAGCCCATTTTCTTCAGTTTCTAGTTTGTAGATACCAACCCCAGCAAACAAAGAGCCAAGAGTCAATAGGTACATGGCATAGTTGTGGTTCTTGCCGTAAACTCTTGTAGGAATGTAGTCGATAATGCAGGATTGGAACCCGACATAGACGTGGCCTAACAGTACTGTGGCTAGAATTGAGTCGGCCACAACGCTGACGTCACCGCCTGATGCCAAGGCACTTCCAACTAGTGGAATTAAAGCAACGGCAGAGACACGCTCGACATCCCAGGGTACAGACCCGTGAAGTCTATCAGGAGAAGGAGGAGGCAGGCAGGCATCGTTTACATCGCCTTTAACACCGCCTGGGTTTTGAGGCAAAGTCGAAAGAAAAGGAATGGTGAGTGACCTCTTGCTAGTGGAGTGCAAGGCTCTGATCGCCTGGCTTTGGAATAGACCTTTGGAAAACATGGAGGCGCGAACTTGAGACAACGTAAGTGAAATGGATACCACGATTTTTCAAGGGTTTAGTGAAAAAAGCCGCCTTGTGAAATACAATCGGTCTTTGGGACTAATTCAGCACGCTGGTGATTCTGAAACTTTACGAATTCACTTTTCAAGGACTATAAATTGGTATGCCAATGACCTTGGGATATCGGGATCATCGGATCCGAAAACTGAAATTATAAAAACCAGATATTTCGTCGGATATGATAACAAGTCTAAAAAGAATACAAAGCTTGAGTATTTCCGCAACGCATCTATACGACTTAGATAGACTATGATAGTGCGCGGATTTACGGCGGGCAAAGCGTGTATTATTATCCTGGGCAGGCGGGCCCTTGAATAAAATTGGAGGTCGGCAGTGCAAAAAATCAAAACATGTATCTTGCTTGCCATTCGTGGTTAGCTGCGACATCTCTTCCTGATTTTTTAGCTCAAGTTTTGGCAAATACTAACTTTTATTTTGGGTCGCATCGCATTCATGGTTGAGGTGGCCCAGTCATTTCACGATTGAGAATAATGCGTTTTTTCTGGAAGAGACCTTTTCGTAACCATAGATCGAACACGAACCTTAATTCATACGTATCAATTACAAACTTCATCTTAATGAGGGACATCGCTTTTGATATTCAAGCATCTACATTAACGTTATGTTTTCAAATCACTTCGTACCATAAAGTCGTTGACAATGTATATAATCAAGTTTGGGGAAGACAAAGCCAGGGGAATTTTGGTAACAGTATGTGAGCCGGAGCTTTCATCCCTAGAATGCTCGTTAGTTCATCTAAGTAACTAAATAAGCGTTGGAATGTTGTTACATGTGTTTTAAGTTTTTAATGATTTTATTCCACTAATATATTTTGGGAAAATTTAAAAGACGACAGTCTCGGTTAAAAGATGAGGTATTAAAAATCGAATTAAATGTTCTACTGTATTTACAAGGTATCGATAAGGCCTTTTCTACAGCTTGTTTTAGAAATAACGCTCGATCAGCTTTCTTTTATAATCATGATGTGAGTTGTCGTATATAGTGAGTTACTTCAAGTTCGTCTTGACTAATTCCAGAACTAAATGAAGACTATAACTGTCCTCGTTCCACCACACCAATTTCAAACTTCTAAAGGTAGTGAATATTCGTTTTAGAATGCTTCGCAGTTTGGTAAATCGAACTCAGCTCGTAAGAAGGTTGGCCACCAGCCTGCCAACTACAAAAACCTCGATTTTGCCTAATGGGCTGACAGTGGCTACGGAAATGATTCCTAATACTTCCAGCGCCACTGTAGGTATATTCGTGGATGCAGGATCCCGTGCGGAAGATATTAAAAACAACGGAACCGCGCATTTTTTGGAACATTTGGCCTTTAAAGGCACCAAGAACCGGACCCAGGTTGGGATCGAGCTCGAAATAGAAAATATTGGATCTCACCTAAACGCATACACTTCAAGAGAGAATACCGTCTACTACGCCAAAACTCTGACTCAGAATATTTCTAATGCAGTGGATGTCCTGAGTGATATTTTGACCAGGTCTGTGCTCGATAAGACTGCTATTGAACGAGAAAGGGACGTCATCATCCGTGAAAGTGAAGAAGTGGACAAGATGTACGATGAGGTTGTCTTTGACCACCTACACGCCATTACTTACAAAGGCCAGCCATTAGGGCGCACCATTTTGGGTCCTATTGAAAACATCAAGACCATTCAGCAAAGTGATTTAAGGGAATACATATCCACGAATTACAAAGGTGACAGAATGGTTCTCGCCGGTGCAGGAGCTGTCGATCATGACGAGCTTGTGAAGTACGCCTCACAATACTTTGGTCACATTCCTAAATCGCAATCCCCAGTTCCGCTAGGTTCTCCTAGAGGTCCTTTGCCCGTGTTTTATGGAAACGAATTAAAAATTCAGGAAGACACACTACCCACAACCCACATCGCTTTATCAGTAGAAGGTGTTTCCTGGTCTGCACCGGATTATTTCACGGCCCTTGCTACTCAGGCCATCGTTGGAAACTGGGATAGAGCTCTAGGAACGGGTACAAATTCGCCTTCGCCCTTAGCTGTTGCAGCCTCAAATAATGGCACATTGGCAAACTCATACATGTCCTTCTCCACTTCGTATGCTGATTCTGGGCTCTGGGGCATGTACATTGTAACGGACTCTAGAGAACACAACGTAAAGCTCATTATAGAAGAGGTACTAAAAGATTGGCAAAGAATTAAAACCGGAAACATTACAGATGAGGAGGTAAAGCGTGCTAAGGCACAATTAAAAGCATCACTACTATTGTCTCTAGATGGTTCGACAGCAATCGTCGAAGACATTGGTAGGCAGATAGTTACCACTGGTAAACGATTGTCTCCTGAACAAGTTTTTGAGCAGGTCGATCGCATTACGAAGGATGACATCATCACTTGGGCCAATTACAGACTCAAAGAAAAGCCTATCTCCATCGTTGCAATGGGTAACACCAAAACTGTTCCAGCTTTGAGCCAAATAGAAAAGGGATTGAATGCGTAATTCTTATCATCGCCCTCGTAGGCCCTTTAATTATCATGTAAATATGTACACTATGCAATTTTTCATTCATCTTTATTTTGTAGGCTATCGGTCAGTTCGTCATCCTTATTGTTGCCACTGTTCCCGAAAACGTCAGCATCTTCGTCTTCTTCCTCTTGATCCAGATCTCTAAAGACACTTTCTTTGGGAATTCGTTTCATTACTTCCGGTTTATCAAATAGAGGTCCTATTTTTGAAACCCAGCGCCTTCTTTTATCTAGAAGAGACTTCAAGCTTGAACTCGCAGCTTGCTGGTGTGCTGCTTGAATTGCAGCTTGGGATGTGGAGCCCATACCTGACGCCATCGCCTGCTGTTTCTTCTTCTTATTCTTCGGAGCTCTTATTCTTTTAATATATGCCTGATCAGTTTGTTTGTCCAAATCATCTAGAATGGAAGCGTACTCTTGCCAAGCAAGGCGACGTTCCACTAGCGGTACCAGAATTGCCTTTCTTTTTATGTTCCTTTTAGTAACTTGTTTGAGTTCGCTCTGTAACTCACGCAATTCTGCGCTGATTTCATCGTCTTCTCGGCCAGTCAGCCAATCAGGGTCATCGCCGTAGTTATTGTCCTCATCCTTGGGCAAGTTCATGTAAATTCCCACGTACTTGAGTTCCCTCTTCAGACGTTCTTCGAAAGAGGGGTAATCAAGGTTAACGCTATTGACTTTCCAACCTTGCTGTTGAGCGATTGCACTGGTCGAGGAAGGATTGGGCAGCTTCTCGTCCTCCATTTCGCTTGATGGCGTGAGTGCTGAGTTTCCTGCATTTGGAGTAAATCCCTTTGATTCATCGTCTGCTATTAATTCCGACTCGTTCTCAGCTTTGCTTTCATCTTTCATGATCGCAGAAAGAAGCCGAGATACCAACGGGCCGCATGATACTTCCTCTGTTTCTAACGCGTCATCATCTAAATCATCGCTCGATTTCTTGGGCAGAATGCTAGAAGGGTCATGCAGAGGTGGTGGCGACAGGTTAGCAATGTTCTGATTATCGTATTCTTTGGCCCAAACGTCAGAGTACAAAGGACCTAACTTGGGAATGACATATGGTGTTACCTCTGGATCATAAGATCGTTCCACAGTAACGTTAGGCGGTATCAGGTACTTGTTTTTTAAAAACTTGACATCGTCCTCGTTCAATTCACGAAAGAAATTATCAACCGATGTCAAAAAGGTGGTGTATTGAATTTGATTAGTAGGTTTGGGCCTGGAAAAATCCATGTCTGGAATTTCACCGGGGAGGAGGTCCTTCAAGTCGCTTGCTGGATAACTGGAGACCCCGTACTGTTTTTTGAGCAGGTCCTCGCCTGTGTTTTCTAGTCCTTTATTGGTAAACAGCCCTAAAGTCACGGCAGCAGCCGGAAGGGTCTGAGAAACTACGAACTCAGACTTGGGATTCTTGACGGACGGGTCACTCTCTATTAGATCTATTTCATGCTTGGTTTTCTTCTCGAGAGGTTCTTCCTGCTCTGTATTTTGCGAGGGAGTCGTCTTGCGGGCCAGCTGGTGCTCAGGATCCTCATCTTCGTCGTCTTCGACTTTAAGGGACCGCTTACGCGTAGCAGCTTGCCTCGACACAGGAACGGAATTAGCCTCTTCATCGCTAGCGGGTTCTTCGATGACTGCCGATTCTGACACTTGAGGTGTCCCTATTCGAGGGTTCTCGGGTTCTGGCGGCGCAGGAGGGTTTTCCAAGATCTCCTTGATAGCAGCTATTGTAGTCCGATCGCCTGCCGAAATTCGTTCTAAGGTGGACTCTAACTTGTTCAAAAGCCCTTGTAAGTTTTGTAGTGGCTGAAGTGCTGGTAAAGATCGTACGTTCTTCCCATTCAACATGCCTATGTCCCTCTCGAAAGTCAAATCCAATGTCTTCAAGATTGAAGTGAGAAGTCGAGACGGTTCATGAGCTAGTTCATCTTCTTGATTCTCGTCTTTCAGTCCTTTGCCTCTGCGAGGTGGTCGTGACATGATATCGCGACTTCCAGGCTATTCCGTGATATCTAATTGAAAGTTCAACTGTAGTTTCGATTCCAACGTCAACTTTAACAAATTAGAAAAAGTTCTAAAAAATATATTACAATAACTAAAGATTTTTGAAAAACGTTAAACAGAGATCATTATCAGCTTTTTATAGCTTCGTTCGGGCTCTATTTACACTGCCAGATCCTATAATATGCGTACAGGTGTTGCGCTATGGATGCGCTCAGGTATGAGCTGTAAAAATGCAGTTATCAACAAGGCTAGTGGAAATGCTGCTACCGTAGCAGCAGATTTATACTTGGATCCCTCCAAGTGGAAGGCTCTGCAACCCCATCAGATCTTCGATTTGTACAGAGAGCGTGTCGTGAAACTTGGGTCTCAGTATAAGCCTTCCAAAGAAGAATTGGATGCGCTACTTTCGACGGCAGAGCATACAGGCGTGTCACCCAGATCCATCCGGGCAGTATACTATGGCGGTGAGCAAGCAGCCTACGACCTGAACGGCGTTAATATGGAAGATGACTACAAGCCCAAGCCATTCATGTTTGACGATTTGCCCTCTCAAGCTCAAACATTGGTCCAGCAGCACCGTGAGCAACGTTTTTACAATAGGCTGGCTGCCTACGAACTGCCTACTCTAGCGCAGTATCGTCAGGAATACAAGAGACCATCGCCCAAAACGAATCCTGTCACCTACAGATACACCACTTATATCGGAGAAGAACATCCTAACGCCCGTAAAGTTGTTGTAAGTCTCAAGACCAACGATATTGGCCTGACCGATAAGGAAGTCCACAAATTTCGTTTGTTGGCGCAAACTCGTTACGATCATCTAACTGATGTTTTCAAAATGTCATCTGATAGGTACCCGGAACCTGCTCAAAACGCACGGTATTTGAGCGATGTTCTGCAATCGCTCATCAAAGAATCCAAGGACACCTCAAATGACTTTTCTGACGTGCCCCTGGATACAAGACACACAATAGCCAAAAACTTGCGCAAGAACAGACGTGACTACAAATTTCCAGAGGAGTGGAAAAGACCCGAGGATGCACCCAAAGAGCTGGTAAACGTCTCTGAAATTATTCAACAGCAGCTTCAAAAGATATAAGTTTGATTCCCATGTATATATAAATAAAGTAGGTACCAATATAGTCGTAACCCATCGAACTTTAGCACAAAGCTTTTACACTACTTAAAACAATGAAATATACAACTAATACATGTAGCGGTTCGATAGATCGAAGAGAACGGGAATGAACGAAGATTTATGCTCTTCAACTTTTGTTTGTGGAGAACCGAGCCTGCTCTGGGTCATATGACTTAAGTGGAACTGCTGTGCTTGTCCTTCTTCTTGTCCTTCTTCTTCTTCTTCTTCTTCTTTTCAGAGCTGCCAGTGTTACCATCATCTTCATGTGGTCTTTTTTCCTTAGGTGGCTCAAATTCTTCCTCTAGACCAACTTGTAAGTAGTCTGGGAGGGGAATTGGAGCAGAGCTTGGCATACCCAAAATTGGAGCGGTACCGTTCTTCTTGGCCTCCAGGTATTTGAGCTTTTCCTGCTGGTAGTTTTCGAGCTCTGCAGTATAAGCCTGCTTCCACTTAAATTTCTCAATATCGCTCAACTCCTTCCACTTCTTGGAAATCTCCTGAGTGATCTCAGTGGAGGACAGTGGTGGTAATCCAGCCTTTTGTCTGTCTTCGCGCAAAGCTTGGCGCACGTACGCAGAGTAAGCAAAGAAAACAGTTAGAGGTTTCTTGGGAGCATTAGGGTCACGCTCCTGCTTTTTTCTAGCAGGCGTAGCTTTGACTGGCGACACGATCGCAGGAATGACATCTTTGTCGTCTTCCAATGGGTTGGTCAATTCAGAGCTTACAACGTGAATCTGATTCGTAGCGGACGTGAGCTTTTGCAATGCTTCGGTCAAGGTCGTAAAGGCTTCTAGCTTCTCTTCCTCATCGTCGCCAATCGCATTGTAGAAGTCAATGATACACGACGCACTTTGGTTGGCTGATTTCGACAGTTCAAACAGCGACGACACAAGCTATAATGATGCAAGTCCGGTTAGTAAAAGTCAGCTTATTTTGAGAGCCAAAATTGTAGTTGACAAAATGGGTTCGTTCGACCTGGCATCGGATCAATAAACCATCGACTACATTGAACATACGGTATCCTTGGCGGTCCTTAGCTTGATGGATGGTTCAGACATCACGTGTATGTCCCTTTCCTTTGATCGTTTCCGAAGGACTGTGACACCTTAATAAGTTCTGTCGCTTACTGGAGATTCCTTTCTAAAGTTTATAGTTTTAGGAAGAAGTTTAGGCTGGTTCCCGCCTAGTTCGTCGCTGTACGTCTGCCTAGCGAAAAATTTTCTGCCTAGCGATGAAACGGCCAGGCAGAGATCGTAGTTAACGAGCGTGTCGTCGCGAATTAATACTAACAGGGAGATTACGTCTTCTCAGTGACCTGAAGACGGTAATAGCACTGCAATAGGCTCTGGCAGATCGGAGGTCGTTCTATAACTAATACAGTCGAAAGTGAGAGCATGATTCATTTTTTGGCAAAATTGGCATGAACTTCTTATTGCCAGTATGGGAATAAGTGATAATCATTTGGACTTATAATATTCACCACAGGCCCCGCTCTGTCTTACAAATATCATGAAAAGGTTTGAGTGAGAAGTTAAGTCGTTTGTAGATTCTAAAACTTACTCCCAGCAATCTAAAATTCCAGCTTTGTGAGTTACAGAACCTGAAACTAGTAGCTATACTTAAGAGACAGCTTCAATGATTGAATCACGACGCCCTGCGAAAAATGCTGAGAGCTGGTTGAAAGTTGAAAGAAATTGATTAGCAGTCACTGTGAGTTTCACAAAGCAGCGAACTATCTTCAAGAGGCGTTGAACGGTACGAAAGCTTGTGGCAGTAACACCTGGTAGCTAATGAGAGGCACCTTGTTCAGGTAACACTGCATAAATTCTGTATATGTTGTCTAACGATTTAGAGCTTCCATCAAGCCAGGCCATGTTTTGGTCTCCTATCAAGTAACATAATACTGATGGCCATGGCCTCGTGAATAATAATACTGATGCTAGGTCATCATGTTTGATCTACTGAACTGAACTGTGTGAGCACACAATCGTAAAGGTCATGAAAATTCTTGTTTTTAACCGTGATAATATATTATGATCTGGTGGTAAGTAGACGAATACGTCACAGATGACTGCTCTTATTTACATCACGAATCAAATATTAGAAAACCTCACCATCGCATCAACAATTCCAGTGCTATGGCAGGCAATTATGCAAAGGCTAGACATCAGGCTGCTGGTCATGACGGAAACTACACTGATGTAAAAGAGACCCTTTTTTTTAAACCAACAACTAGCACTGAGCTCGAGTTCTATCAAAATATTCAGGGTCGAAACTCGAAAATCACTAACGATCAAGATGTCACTTTGGAGTCATGGATGCCAATATTCCTGGGAAGCTTAACAGTAGGCATTCCGGAGAACTTCAGTGCCCCTGCTGTTGGCCAGAGCTGTGATCCTAATTTGACTAGGAACATTGAACTACTAGAATCCAATCCAGAGTTGGCGTCGAAGGAAAAGCCTGTGATCGTTCTCGAAAACTTACTACAGGGATACAAGGCCCCGAACATCTTGGATGTAAAACTCGGCAAAATACTATATGATGACGCGGTTTCAACGGAGAAAAAGCTTCGTTTGCAGAAGGTAAGCGATGAAACCACTTCTGGCAGCTTAGGCTTACGGATTTGTGGCATGAACATTCAAAACAATTCTAAGGTACGATTGCTAAACCAAGGGTACTTTGAACACGAAAGTGGTGGTTACGTTGCGGTCAACAAGTTTTATGGGCGTTCCTTGAACGAAAAGAATATAATCGAAGGCTTTGAACTATTCTTGGCTAACGATGCCTTCAGCGATCATCATAGAGCGGTCCTATCTGACATCTTTCTGAAACGTTTGATTGTGTTTTACAATACTTTAATAGATGAAGAGGTACGATTAATTTCCACTAGTCTGTTATTCATATATGAAGGTGATACAGCACGCTGGGAAGAAGCCGACAGTACGCATAGTATCCTGAAAGAAGACTTTGTTACCAGTTGCAGTGACGAGGAAGAAGGAGAAGGAGAAGGAGAGGTAGAAAACGATAAACACAAATGTTTGAGCTCACTTTCACTTATCGATTTTGCGCATTCAAGAACCGTGCCAGGAGAAGGCTTGGACGAAAATGTCGTTACGGGCGTTGAGTCCTTAATGAATATATTTGAGGACTTAAACTCTAAAAGGCTCGGGTGATATATGCACCTTTAGATTTTCTCCACGGCTCAAAATTAATACGCTATAATGTTACATTATTTATTTACTCCGCGATCTTGATGATCTTCCCAATAGCGATGGTTGTTCCTTGATCTCTCAAAGTGAATCTACCAAGTTGAGGGTAGTCTTGGTAAGTCTCCACACAAACTGGTTCTTCAGCCTCCAACACAGCAATAATCTTCATACCCTTCTTAGCAAAAGCAGGTGGTTTCTTTGATTTACGGTTAGAGCCCATTTCCAGTTTATGAAGCAACTTTGTGATGGTGACTTCTTCGATGGCGGTGTGAACGTGCATAACACAGGAGAAACCGGCAGAAATGATAGATTTCAGTTCGACAATAGCAATTTGAGCAACGAACTTGGTAACGTTCTTCACTGGGTTCTTAGGCGAAGTCAACACGAAACCAGCAGAAATATCTTCTTCTTCGACACCTTTGATTTTCAGTCTAACCTGCTCACCACATATAGCCATGTCTACTTCGGATTCAGTTTCGTTGTAGATGTTGACAATCTCAACAGGGATTCTGTTGGGCATTAGAAGTGTGCTAGTATTCTTTTTGATGTGACCAGATGCAATTTTACCTTCCACAATGGTACCGAGATCCTTCATTTTAGAAGCAATTGGTAGCATGAATGGAGCATTTATGCGACGATCAACGTGAGTCATACCATCCAAGTACTCCAGCAATGACGGCCCAGTGTACCATGGGCAGTCTTTTGGATCGACACGCGCTTTTAGGCCTGCACCGGTGTACCCAGAAACTGGCATAAAGACAACTTCTTGCTTGATATTGTAACCAATAGCTTTCAAAAATACAGAGATGTTCTTAACACATAGATCGTAACGCTCCTTATCCCAAGCGACAGTAGGGTCATCCATTTTGTTGACCACAACGATCATTTTGTTAACACCTTGGGTCTTCGCCAAAAGTGCGTGCTCTCTGGTTTGACCGCCCTTTTCGAAACCGGTTTCGTATTCACCCTTTCTCGCAGAGATGACTAGAACACCAACGTCCGCTTGTGATGCACCACCGATCATCTCCGACACGTACATTTTGTGGCCTGGGGCATCTAAAATTGTGTAACGTCTCTTTTCGGTTTCGAAGTAAGCTCTGCCTACTTCGATGGTCTTACCGTCGCTTCTTTCCTCCTTATTAGTGTCCATCACCCATGACAAGTACCAACCTTGTCTACCGGCTTCTTTGGCTTCCCGTTCGTACTTGTCGACAGTTCTCTTGTCGACGGAACCAGTCAAATACAATAGATTACCACCCATTGTAGATTTACCAGCATCGACGTGGCCCATAAAAATAATTGACATATGATCTTTGCCTCCAAACATATCGTTAACAATTTCCTCGTCGACTTCGTCTTCCTGTTCTTTGATCAGGGCTTCCGCAGAGGTTGCAGCGGCGGCCGACGAAGCATTCGTAGCTTCGGTGGCTTTCTTAGTCGACTTATCGTCACTGATCTTGAGTTTTTCCACCTTAGGAAGCGAGTCTTGAGCACATTTGGCCTCACTTTGTTTACTGTTGCCTTGAGCTTCAACTTGAGAATCTTCTACTTTGTTTTCAGTCTTCTGTGCCTCATCCTTGTTGACTTCTTCTTTTTTAACAACTTCTGGTTTCTTGGTGGCACCCACAAGCTTAATACCAGAGCTAGAGGCTAGTTTCAAAGTCTTTTTAGGCTTGGCTGCTGGAGTGCTGGTTGGGGTAGCTGTAGAAGGGGCGAAAGTGGTTGCGACCGGTTTGTTCAAGTTGGTACTTTTTTGGTTTTGGAAATCCTGTAGAGTCATGCCTTGGGAAGCAGGTTGTTGGTCCAGAGATTGGTATGATTGAGCGCCGTCGTAACCGCTGTAGCCTTGATTGTAACTCTGGTACCCCTGTTGGTTATAGTTCTTGTAACCGCCGCGGTTGTTCTTGAAGCCTCCACGGCCGCCCTGGTTGTTGTTTTGATAGTTGGCATTATATCCTTGGTAGCCCTGTTGACCTTGAGTATCCTGGTTGTAGGTCTGGTAGGCCTGGTCATTCTGATTATAGTTTTGGCCATAACCTTGGTAATATTGCTGGTAGTCGTTTCCTTGGGGCTGGAATCCGGCTTGCTGTTGACCAGCATTTTGGTAGTACTGGTTGTAAAACCCTTGCTGTTGGTTCTGAGACTGATCTTGGCCTTGTTCAGACATGTCGGAGTACTGTATATAACTGAAGGCTGACGATGTGACCGAACCGGTGCTAGGAAAACTGATGAAGTTCTAAAAATTTTCAGGATGAGAAGCCAGTTCGAACATTGAAAGCACCACACACGAAACTTGAAATTAATATATTATGATTTATAGTAATTAGAGAGAACATACAGCTTTGACTCCCACGTTATATCCAAATGAACTTCCTTGAGACAATTTTGAAGCATACTTGGAATGAAATCCGCACTTAGAGGTTCTTTAATCCTGCCATTCATATTGAAAACAACAAATGACGGATGGACTCTCAGTTCATGAACGCCAACGTAGTGAAGCAGCAATGTAGGGTCACGACTAAAATCCAAGCGTAGTTCATTTTTGATTACTCTACATAATCGAGAGTCCAACTAGGGCGGTTATGAACATTTTGCGTGAGGGTCGTTATAAGGGAGTCTATGTTATTCTGATATTCATACTTAGCGTGGGAAACTGAAGGTAAACTGGCGCTCATGTACTTCGCCAAAAACCTTGTGTCTCGTCATTCCGGAAAGCTGCACTTAAAAATGAATTGCTTTCCGACCACTATAGAGGCATCTCTGGGTTTGGATGCTGTTCAAATTCTAGCTCTTCATCAGGGACGCTCTCTATCACGATCCTTCTCTTAGGTGGATGCTGTGCTTCGTCATTCAAAATCTTGGGAATTTTCACTTGCAGCAAACCGTTGCTATACGTAGCCTTGATTTCCTCATCCTTGATCCTAGGAACCACAGGAAGCTTGATTGATCTCTCAAACTTGCCGGTCTTAAGCTCTGATACTCGCAAGCTCTTCGTTTCAAAATCAAACTTCTTATCGAGACTGCCTTTGATGAGCAGCTCATGCGACGAAGGATGGTAGTCAATCCTGAAAGCCTTGGAGTTGGCACCTGGCAAAGCCATCACCACCATGTAAGCGTCTGTAGTATCGTACACGTTTACTTCCGGTGAAAATGGCAACCCACGGCGTGTTTGAGGCTTCGACACCTGAAGTGGTTCCGGAATCGGACTAGGTGCTTCGGAACGGACTGCGTCGGTGGATGGTACGTTTAAACTGGCAGCTGCCTTGACAGCGTCATTTGATTCTGAGGTTGGAGTAGGCTCCGCAACTTCAGTTTCTGGACCCTTTCTGGATGCTTCAACGTCGCTTTGTGAGAGTGGCTTACCTGCTAGGGCTGCCAATAATGGATTGAAAGAAGCTTCCACGTTTTCACGAGGCTCGTCGACATCCTGAGACTCTTCGGGCTCATCTTCGGCCTGAGCTTGGGCTTCCCTAGGATCAATAAAAGCTCTCAAAATTTCGGGTAGATAGTCAGGATATTGTTGTCTCTGTTGGACGTTCCGACTGTTGCCTAGGTCAATATATTGAGGGGTTTCGTAAGGATCTTCTGCGTAGTAGCTGGGACGGTAGTATGCAGTCTGAGGCCTTTCTGCATGGTAATACGGCGATTGAAAGTAAGCATTTTGAACATTACCTCCATTTCCCGGACGCCCGTAGTCACCCCTGTATTGCGATCTTCTGTCATTAGGTCTCTCTTGCTGGTTTCTAAGGGCGGCTTGGGTAGACAAGGCGTCTAGAATGTCATGAAGTGATAGAGATGGTTGATAAAAACTCATTACTGCCGGGACTGAAATTGAGTTGAGTAAGTTTTCTTAGCTTAGCTGCTGTGCTTTAACTTGATTGCTACAGTTCACGTTGTAGCCATGTTTACGACTTGTCGCCTGCCCTTTATATAGCGCATAGGTTAAATGCTATAGAATAATCAAGAATATTCTTTGCTGTGCCAACTGAGAAAAAAGTGATAACAGGGCATGACGTCATTTTAGGAGACTTCGGAGTTGAAGATGTTCGACACTTGTTAAAATCTGTTCTAAGCGAGTTAGCCGTAGATCTTTAATTGTAGCCTCGGGAGCCCCTAGCTTCAATCTTTTGCCAGGGAGAGGGCAAGCAACAAGAGCATCGGAGATTACCATTTGTTTTTTGGATAGCACGATACGCACAACAGGTTTAGATATCATATTTGGTGCTGAAACGTTGTTAATTTTAATTGCAGGTTCATATCTTAGCTTTACGCTAGTATATAGTATTTTGATCTCGCACAACTTGAAAGGGCCGCAGCTCTCTCTCTGTACCTTGCATTTATAAATAACTTGTATACCAAGTCTGCTCCAAGAGTTCAGGTCTGATACGGAAAGTTTGGACACATATGACGATAAGTGTCATTAAACATCCTTCCAGTATCTCAACTCTGCATAGTACTTTTCGCATACCCATAAACATATTTTTTATATTCATATTTGAATTTCAACGGTATCCGCTAGGATTATATATCCTGGTCATGTTTCTATCTAACTTTAAAACTATACAACTTTCTCACCCACTCACTCACTCACTCACTGACTCTTCTGCCTGATGTTCAACATCGTCTACTCCTCATACCAAATTACTTTTCTTTCAGTTCATTTTCGTTTTATTCTTGGCTTTTTATTCTCCCCCTTCCTTCCTTAAACTACGTCATTCCAGGTTCTACCTTGAACGTTCTTCAACTCGTCTTGGTTCATAATTTTACCGTTGGTGAAGTATCCAGCATTGATCTTAGCATCGATCTCGACACGGGAGTCAGGTGGGACCAACTCATCTGGAATTGGAATTCTCTCAATGATGGGGATACCTTGTTCGACAATAGCGTCATGCTTCATGTTGGACATGGACAACATACGGTCAATCTTGGTGATTCCGAGCCATTTAAGAACATCGGGCATTAGCTGTTGGAAACGCATGTCACGAACACCGGCAATACATTCAGTTCTGTGGAAATATTCGTCGGCGGTATCACCACCTCTCTTACGAGCGTTGTAAACCAAGTATTTGGTGACTTCACCAAGAGCTCTACCTTCTTTACGGAAGTAAATCACAACACCGGAACCACCGTTTTGGGCCTCTTTGACGGCCTCTTCGATACCAAACATCAAGTACGGACGGCAAGTACAGATATCGGAACCAAACACGTCGGAACCGTTACATTCGTCGTGCACTCTGAGGGCAAGCTTCTTGGAAGGATCCGAAACGAAAGCCGGGTCTCCGAAAATGTAAACGGTCAAACCGCCAATGGGAGGCAAGAACACTTTGATGTCAGGCCTGGTGATGAGTTCCGGGTACATGCCGTTGGTGTCCTTGAACAAAGCTCTTCTGAGCTCGTTTTCGGAGACGCCGAAACGCTCCGCGACCCCGGGCAAATACCACACGGGCTCGACCGCGACTTTGGAAACGCTCACGTCTCCGCTGCTGTTGAGCACCACGCGGCCGTCGACCCGCAAGCGGTTGTTGTCCACGGCGTCCTTCAGCTCGAGCAGCTGCATGGTAGCCTTGGTGATGGCGATGGTGGGTCTGATATCGACGTTTTCGGACTTGGACGCCTCGTCGAACAGGTAAGGCGTCAGATGGCCCAGTGGGTCCATGGCCACGATATCCGTCTTGTTGTACCAGGACTTTTGTTCTGGAACCGAAAACGCCGGTTGCGAGTTGGTGTAGTCGGCGACGTGGTTGGGGTCCAGTTGCTTGGAGCCCACGGCTAGCGCGTGGTACACACAGTACTGGCCGGAATGCGCGCCGATGCTGTTGTGTTTGACGAGCCCGTCGCGGTAGTGCGACGCAACGACCGGGCCCCTGGTCTGGGGCGCCGCGGCGCCCCACGCCAGAGGGATTGGTTGCGAGTCCTCAGGGTACGTGGTGAGCACCAGGTCGTCGTTGTCGCCCACGGGCGACGACTTGGGACGCACGCTCTCGAGCTGCTTGGCCACGTGCGCGTCACGTGCGCGCGCGGTCTTCACTGGCGCGGCTGGCGCGGCTGGCGTCTGGGCGAGTGAAACGGGAGACATGGGGGACGGGAGGATACTTTTGGTGCTGATAGCTGGGATGGCGAGCTTGTAGTGCTGGATGCTGAAGCTGGAGATCTTGGAGCTTGAAAACAAGAGCCCACCAGTTCAACGACCAAGGGGGCCCACAGCCCGTGCTTATATATGCGAGCCGAGTTATTACCACTACTATTATTATTATTATTGTTATTATTATTGATATTGTTGTTGTGGTCGTCCGGTCTCCTCGCTCAATAGCACATTTCACATAACGCCGCCGGCGAATCCTGGAGCTGCCACGCCCGTCGGAGTCTAACGCCATCGGAGCAGTTTTCTGTTTTTCGTCCCAGATGTCTTGTCATTATCATCATCTGGTTGATTGCAGAGCGCTCGAAGTTAGGGGAGCGGATGTGGGATTTCGCCGTGGATGGTGATGGGGCCTGTTTTGCAGCCCGCGCACGTTGCACGGCGAGATAAGGCGGGGGGGCAGCAGCAGCAGACGTCCGACGGAGATGGACAAGTCCGGCGCGGGCGGGTAACGGGAGTGAGAGTGTGTGTGTGTGAGAGCGTGACTGCCACGTGGCGGGAGGCGTGGGGAAATGAAATACAAGCGAGTTTTGGGAGGTATCACCGCGCACGACGGCTACTGGATTTTGTGCTGTTATGGCCCCGGGGTGAAAACGAAAGTCAGTGCTAGGCGCTATAACATGAAGGGGGAGGAAGAGCAGGCTGTGATTTGGAGGGCATGTGAGGGGCTTGTAAAGGGAAGAGATGTCATAGTAGAGAGGTGTGCGTCGAGATTTGGGTCTGCTCAAGGCATCGGTGACCGCTTCAATTGAGGTGGCCATGATCGGGGATTACGTAAGGTCTTGTGTTTGTAGCGCCCACAACGTCAGGCGTGTACAAAGTGATATGTAGGCTTGGGGGTTCTCGACCAGGCGAGAGCACGTCGGGATCGTAAAGAGGTAGTTGTAGAAGCCCAGAAGCTTTACATAAGCTGTCAAGATGGCCAGACTGGAATAAGCTGTCAAGCCTGCAATAAGCACTTCAAGATGACAAGCCTTGCAATAAGCACTTCAAGATGACGAGATGGCCAGCCTGCAATAAGCTGTCAAGCCTGCAATAAGCACTTCAAGATGACAAGCCTTGCAATAAGCACTTCAAGATGACGAGATGGCCAGCCTGCAATAAGCTGTCAAGCCTGCAATAAGCACTTCAAGATGACAAGACGGCCAGCCTGCAATAAGCTGTCAAGCCTGCAATAAGCACTTCAAGATGACAAGCTTCATGAGCCCTACGATAAGCTCAAGCTCCCTCAATAGCCAATCCAACAAGGATGACGAACAATGGCAAACGAGATTGTATCACTTTATGTCCTCCTCAATAGCCAATCATGTACATGTCTCAACATATACTTGGCCTTTCAGCGCTTACAAACTGCGAATATCTTAAGCGGTACTCGCGAGTACTTTTCTTTCGACATAGGGGAATTATTTTGGAAACGACGACGGGTACACTTGTTCTCAGATCCATAATAAAGCTTTTTCATATATCCACCAAAGAAAAACCTTCCGTTTGAGCATCATGACTCGAAACGAAGCCCAGCAGGCTTCGTCAGAGCCTCCTGTTGTCGCGGTGAGCGAAGATTCCGCGTCTGTCGCCTCAATTCCCGCGCAGCAGATCGCATCTCCGGTTCCTGAAACGCCTACCAAAATTGGTAATGGAACGCATACCAGACAGGTTTCTACTTCTTCTGTCGGCCAAAATAACTTGAAGTCTACTATCGGGCTTGCTAAGACTACATTCGAGTCGATCTTACGGGAAAAGGATCTAAAAAAGCACTCGGATGTTCAAAAATCGATCGAGAAAAGTATCAAGATACTAAATGATAGTTTAGCTGCCGCCAACAACGAGCCCAAATTTATGGATTCGATCCTGGTTTTTGACTCACTCAGGCTCTGTTGCAGAACAAAGTCCACTCACATAGTACTCAAGGCTCTTGACTGTCTATCCAAGTTATTCTCCTTTCAAGCCTTAGACGACTTTATTATGGTTAACCCGCCCAATTCTATGGCCTCCAATGATCAAAGTAACACCCAAGCTACGGGCATCACGCCACCTCCTAAGCAAAAACTAATAGATGCAGCCATTGATACCATAACAGACTGTTTTGATGGCGAAGGAACTGATCCTCGCGTAGAGCTTCAAGTACTACGTGCTTTGGCTAGTTGTATTTTAACAGACAATTCGACCAATGTATGCCATGGTCAACCATTGTTGAAAGCGATCCGGCAAATTTACAACATTTTCATCTACTCTTTAAGCTCTTCAAACCAGGGAATTGCTCAAGCCACGCTAACTCAGGTCGTCAATTCTGTTTTCGACAAGCTCGGAAATGGACTCACACTTGCGCCAACTCCAAACAGGTCGCTGTCAAAGACAAGTCTTCGTGTCTTACCCTCCGAGAATTCGAGCACGCCACTGACGTTACAAAACCTCGAAAACTTGAACGACGAACAAGAACGTTTTGTAGATGAACAGCAACAAGAGGAAATTGACGATGAAAAAACGTTGCTGGTTAAGGACGCCTTTTTGGTATTCAGGGCGATGACGAAAATATCTGCAAAGTCACTTGAAAACGACACCGACATGAGATCACATTCTGTTAGATCGAAGTTGTTATCCCTGCATATTATTCACTCCATTATCAAAGATCACATTGACATTTTCTTGTCTCAAGACTTGATATTGCCGGGCAAGGATCATAACTCATTGGTGAACTCAATAAGACAATATCTGTGTCTACTACTATCACGCAACGCCGCGTCTCCTATTTCCCCTGTTTTTGAGATTACTTTAGAGATAATGTGGCTGATGATTTCTAATTTAAGGTCTGAGTTCAAAAGAGAGATTCCAGTTTTTTTAACCGAGATTTACTTTCCGATCTCTGATTTGAAGTCATCCACACCACATCAAAAGAGATATTTCCTCAGTGTGATTCAAAGACTATGTAACGACCCAAGGACTTTGATCGAGTTCTACCTAAATTACGACTGCGATGCACATCTCCCCAATGTTGTTGAAATAATCGTTGATTACCTTACACGGATGGCATTGACTAGAATTGAAATAACTCCATCACAAAGAGCTTATTACGATGATCAGCGTACAAAACCTCTGGCAACCTATAACCTGGCCCAGCTGCCTTTACTCTCGATATCAAATCTCTCGTCGTCCAATTCTTCCGACAATCTTAACTTTCCGGTAGAGTTTGCTCTCAAAATGACATCGCTTAACTGTATGGTCGCGGTGCTGAGGTCTCTAAGTTCTTGGGCTCACAAGGCTTTGAATGCAAGTAGTCCCACTTCTGACTACTCACAAGCGAGAACGAGATCTGCATCGACAGTTGCTGGAACTAATGGGAAAAAGCCCTTGTCAACTCATAGCTCATCAGTTGACGTCGAGAGTGAGGGCAAAGAAGCATCCCAATTAGAATCGCTCGATCAGACACAGATAGAAAGTGGGCTCGAATTAGATGATCCTGCTCAATTTGAAAACTTGAAACTGCGGAAGACTGAATTGCAAGACTGCATAAACATCTTTAATTATAAACCTAAGCGGGGAATTAAGGAGTTGCTCGGTAGAAGATTTATAACCCACGACAGCCCTCGCTCAATTGCCAAGTGGCTGTTAGAAACTGAAGGATTGGATCTAGCTGCTGTGGGTGACTTCTTAGGCGAGGGAGATGAAAAGAATATTGCCATCATGCATGCGTTTGTCGATGAATTCGACTTCAACAAAAAATCCCTCGTAGACGCATTGAGAGTTTTCTTACAGAAATTTAGATTGCCAGGAGAGGGACAGAAAATTGATCGTTTTATGCTTAAGTTTGCCGAACGGTATGTGGAGCAAAATCCAGGCAGGTTCGCAAAAGCTGACACAGCATACGTCTTATCCTACTCAATTATCATGTTAAACACAGATTTGCATTCATCTCAGATCAAAAACAAAATGACTTTGCAGGAGTTCATAGAGAATAATGCTGGCATTGATAACGGCAATGATCTCCCTGAAGAGTACATGGTTACGCTTTTTAATGAAATCGCAGAAAATGAAATTAAGTTGCAATCTGAACAACATCAAGCCATGCTCTCGGGCGATGTTAACACAACCCAACAGCAGCCATCTGCATTTAGCTTCTTCAGCAGTCGTGATCTAAACAGAGAAGCCTATATGCAGGTTTCAAAAGAGATATCATCTAAAACCGAATTAGTGTTCAAAAGCCTTCCTAAGCACAAAGGTAAGGAGAGTAATGTATACCACGCTGCTTCTCATATTGAACACGTAAAGTCTGTTTTCGACACACTTTGGATGTCTTTCTTAGCCGCATTGACGCCACCATTCAAAGAATATGACGATTCTGCTACAACTGATATGTGTTTAGAGGGTATCAAAATTTCTATCAAGATATCTGCCACATTTGGCAACGACTATGCAAGAACATCATTCGTTGGAGCGCTAGTTCAATTTGCAAACTTACAGAACATTCAAGAAATTAAAATAAAAAACGTGAATGCAACTGTTGTTCTTTTAGAGCTAGCTTTAACAGAAGGAAACTTTCTCAAAAATTCTTGGAAAGACATTTTGCTCCTCGTATCACAAGTTGAAAGATTGCAGCTCATATCTAAAGGTGTTGACAGACAGACTTTGCCCGATGTGTCTCAAGCAAGATTGGCAAATAGTCGGAGTTCTTTCGATTCTTCGAGGTCAGCATCAATGGGTTTTTTTGAAAGATGGACTAAGAAATCGACGCCCATAGAACTCGCGCAAGAGAAACATCACAATCAAATTCTACCTCCGGAGATTTCCAGACATATGTCGTCAAGCCATATTGTTTTACTCATCGATCGCATTTTCACTAATAGCTCAAATTTAACTGGATCTGCTATTGTCGATTTCATCAAAGCTCTCACAGAAGTCTCTTTCGAGGAAATTGATTCGTCTCATAACGCTGCAAGTCCGCGGATGTTTTCGTTGCAAAAAATGGTTGATGTCTGCTATTACAATATGGATCGTATCAGAGTTGAATGGACCCCAATTTGGGCTGTAATGGGAGAAGCGTTCAACAAAATCTGTACGAACCCCAACCTAGCCGTGATATTTTTTGCCATTGATTCGCTCCGTCAACTTTCAATGAGATTCCTTGACATTGAGGAGTTATCAGGTTTTGAATTTCAGCACGACTTTCTTAAGCCCTTTAAGTATGCGACATATCACGCGACAGACTCCGAAGTACAAGAAATGTGTGTTGAATGCTTCAAGAATTTCATTCTAACCAAGTCATCCAAAATCAAATCGGGGTGGAAGCCCATTTTGGAGTCTCTTCAATTTACTGCAAAATCCTCTCACGAATCTATCGTGGCCAAGACTTATCAACTAGTTGCGAATGACATTGTAAAGAATCATTTTGCCAGCGTTTTCGCACAGGACAATTCATTTATCGATCTGGTGGGTGTTTTAAAGGAAATAACGAAAAACCAGAAGTTTCAGAAGATCTCTTTGCACTCGTTGGAGGTTTTAAAAAAGATCTCCGAGAAAGTTGCTGAGATTTGCTTTAAGAAAGAGGATGCTGCTGTTCTGCTCCACGGCAAGGACTTGTTTCAGGATGTCTGGTTTCCTGTGTTGTTTTGCTTTAATGATACAATCATGACTGCTGATGACTTAGAAGTAAGGTCGAGAGCTTTAAACTACATGTTCGATGCACTGGTTGCCTATGGGGGTGAGTTTGATGACACCTTCTGGACAAGCATATGTACCAAATTGTTATTTCCTATCTTCGGTGTGCTTTCTAAGCATTGGGAGGTTAACCAGTTCAACAGTCATGACGATTTATCGGTTTGGCTATCCACAACTCTCATTCAGGCTTTAAGAAATATGGTTGCACTTTTTACTCATTATTTCGATTGTTTGAGCGACATGTTAGATGGGTTTTTGGGACTGCTGGTCTCCTGCATTTGTCAGGAAAACGATACGATAGCTAGAATTGGCAGATCTTGTTTGCAACATCTAATCGTTCAGAATGTTAGCAAGTTCAACGATGTACACTGGAGTCAAATTACTGCAGCGTTTGGACGACTTTTCGAACTGACTACCGCCAGCGAGTTATTTGACATGGATCCGTTACACCAAGGAAGAAGGCCATCGGAAACCAAGGATCACAGTGAGCGCTCGATATCTGTTGACGAAGAAGTTGCCAGAGCTCATCAAGAGGAGGATGGGGAAGACGTAGGAAATGCCGATACCGATGTGGAAAAGCCCTCAAAAAGGTTGGTGAACACTAAAAGTAGTGACAACTTACAGCGCACGATATCAACGAAGAATGCGATTGTTGTAAAGTGCGTTCTACAGCTGCTGATGATAGAATCCCTTAGCGAGCTCTTTGAGGATGATGGATTTTCAAATAACATACCTTACAAAGACGCAGTAAAAATTACAAACATGCTGGAAAAAACATACGAATTTGCCCGAGACTTCAATGATGACTTCGGCTTAAGATCGCGTTTACTTAGCGCCCGTTTGGTTGATAAGATTCCTAATTTGCTGAAACAAGAGACCAGCGCTTCAGCAGTGCTCATCAACATCATGTTCAAACTATTTTTAAACAGCGAGAAAGAATCGCCTAACGAGAAGAAGAAGCTCTCTAAACGACTAATTTCGGTGTCGATCCTTATTGTTCAGAAGTACGTGAAGCTCGACGATAGAACTATGGAGCGCAACATTGCATCTTGGCGTCCTGTTGTTGTTGAAATTCTCCAAGGCTACTACGAATTCGATGACAAGGATTTCAAAGAAAATTGCCCTGTCATGTATGATCTTGCCATGCAAATCTTGGACAAAAGCATGCCGGCCGATCTGAGACTTGCAATCAAAGAATTTTTGACCAGAGTAGGTGAACTGTATTTGCAGTGAGGAGTGCTTCAGCTAGTGTAAAATAGAGATATTAGTATATAATACAATAGAGGAATAAAAAGTCGATATTTAGTCGACATTTTGATCGTGCCCGAGTTGTTCGCCGAAGACTGCAATGACATAGGACCTATGATATAAAGGAGGATGCTAGGCGCTCGGTATTTGCGCGACACGTTTTGGAGTATCAAAATAAAACTACTGGAAAACTGATGTGGTCCAACACTTAATCTTACGAGATGATGAATCACTACATATTCCGAATCCCAGCTTCTCTTGTTGTCTCGCTTTTCCTCATTCTCGAAGGAAGACAGAGTTCATGGGAAAAACGCCATATTTCAACGCTTAAAATTGTGAAATGCTTATATGACATCCTCTCAAAAACCTGTCTTGTGCTTTCTGCTCCTAAGATGTTTAATATGCTCGGCGGCTAATTTAGGATGCCAATAAATACTTTAACAGGGGCGAAATTATATTCGAGCGCATTTAATCCTCACTCTAATTCGAGTAGAAAGTGCTACACTAAGCTGCGACATAAGTGCTAACATTGCTGTCAGATAGTGATATTTCAGGCGCAATGCCATTTTTACAAAAGATCACATTAATTTAAGAAGTGCGTTTTCAAGATGAGCTTCTTCCACACCACGGCAAATTGAAATTGACGACTGGCTTTTCACCATTTCCGTTGTCGCCTTCATGCCTTGATAGTTTGGTGTAAAATTTCACTTTTCCTTAAAGCTACGCAATTACGAAATACAAATTTTCACCTATGGGTCATGATGGCTAGCACCGTGATGAAATATTGGAAAACTTCATACTTGAAAGTTGAAATAATTTCATCAATTGTGAAAATAAAAGTATCAATAATCGTTTGAGACTTATTTAGACGCTCCGAAGCCTGCCCATTAACTTAGCTTAGGTTCAGATTCAAAATAAAATGTCATCTTTCGGTCGCTTCTTCACTGTCACCACCTATGGTGAGTCGCACTGCAAATCTGTGGGCTGCATCGTTGACGGCGTTCCTCCTGGAATGAGCCTGACAGAGGATGATATTCAGCCTCAGCTGAGCAGAAGAAGACCTGGCCAGTCGAAACTATCCACGCCCAGAAACGAAAAGGACAAAGTGATGATTCAGTCGGGTACCGAATTTGGCAAAACTTTGGGTACGCCCATCGGCATGATGGTCTTGAACGAGGACCAGAGACCCCACGACTACAACGAAATGGACTCTTATCCAAGACCTTCACACGCGGATTTCACCTACTTGGAAAAATACGGTGTCAAGTCCTCCTCGGGTGGTGGTCGTTCATCCGCCAGAGAGACGATTGGCCGTGTGGCCGCTGGTGCCATTGCCGAGAAGTTCCTAAAGCAACTCTCAAATGTCGAAATTGTCGCTTTCGTCACTCAAGTTGGCGCCATCAAGATGAACCGTGATCCCCTAGACGCCAAATTTCAGCACGTCTTGAACACTATCACCAGGGAGAAAGTCGACAGCATGGGTCCGATCAGATGCCCAGATTCTTCTGTCGCCGAATCCATGGTTCACGAAATTGAAAAATACAGAGGCAACAAGGACTCCATCGGTGGTGTTGTCACATGCGTCATCAGAAATCTACCTGTGGGACTCGGCGAGCCTTGTTTCGACAAGCTAGAGGCGATGCTAGCTCACGCCATGTTATCTATTCCAGCTTCCAAGGGGTTTGAGATCGGATCCGGTTTCGAAGGTGTCCAGGTTCCTGGCTCACAGCACAACGACCCTTTCTACTACGACGAAGAAAGCAAGAGGCTCCGTACCAAGACAAACAACTCAGGTGGTATTCAGGGTGGTATCTCCAATGGAGAAAACGTCTACTTCTCAGTGCCCTTCAAGTCGGCAGCCACTATCTCTCAAGAGCAAAGTACAGCGACTTACGATGGTGAGCACGGTGTGCTAGCCGCAAAGGGTAGACATGACCCATCTGTGACACCAAGAGCCGTGCCAATTGTTGAGGCCATGGCCGCTTTGGTTCTTGCCGACGCTGTATTGGTACAAAAGTCGCGTGAATTTGCCAAGAACATTGTAAGTTAAGCAATGCTTTGAGGTACAGAACACATTTGATATTGCGTAATATTACGTTGTTGTGGTGTCTCTGAGGGTCAAGACTAAAGTTAAGATATAAAAAGAATATAAAATCACGACAATCAAAGTTATCGTTGTGTTTACATATTTCTAATATGAAAAAAAGCGATCAACCGCTAAAAAATATATAGAATTTTGTAGCAGAATAATTACAAAAACCCTACAACCTAATCGAGGGCGTCTACCAGCGCTCGAGTGTTCCATTTTTTATCCAAAAACTTGTTTAAAACACTCAACTAATTGCATTTGCCTTTCTCTTTTAATATTACGTTTCGTTTATCGTTCCTTTGCATGTTCGAGCCTGTTCCTCAGGTTTGCCCAACTTTCCAACACTAATACAATCATTTGCATACCGACAGATTTTTGAGCCTGATAGAAGCAATTTAAAATGTCGATAGCCATTCCGCAGCCTCCATTCAAAGTCAAAGCCCACTACTCATGGTCTGGAGAAACTAAGAGTGATCTAGGCTTTCTCGAGAATGACATTATCCAAGTAACTAAAATTAAAGGTGACTGGTTTTACGGTACACTAATGAGAAACTCCAAGAAGTACGGTTATTTTCCTAATAACTTTGTGACGATTATTGAGGAGAAGTACAATAACTTCAAACTAGCCAAAGCCTTCGATGAGCCCAGCTTGACTAACAAGTTGCCTGCCGCTGATCATTCTTTCTATACTTCAAAGCAAATCTCTGGCGATTCGCCGTATATGGGTGCTGATAAACCGCAGGGAAAATATAGAAGAGAGGGCCAGGTACCCAGGGGCTCGCACAAAGACATGCTATACTCCTCTGGTGGCCATAAAAGTTCAGAGCGTTCCACTCACAGACATTCGCAAATAGAGAAAATACCTCAGTCACATTCTACTTCGAACCTTGCTTCGAATCGTCACAAAAGCACTCCTCATATCGACTACATGGGAACCAAGAATAAACTTACATCAAGTGAAAATCAAAGACGTGAAGCAATTGCAAAAAATCACAGTAAAAGAATAGGAGAACTACCGCCCTTGCCGCCGATTCCTCAGATCAAAGAGCGGTTGAAACCCAAGAATACGGTCCCTAAATCTTTTTCTTCCAATGATTTACCCGATGTCTCATTGAATTTAGATCTAGATGCCCGAGTATCTTATCAAAGAGGTAATGCCGACTTTTACGATGGTCATGGTCCCTCCGAATCATCACTGGGCACTTCTTCTAAGGTCTTTTCCCACTCTCAATATATGAATGACTCGACTACTAGCAGTGAGGACAGTTTTGCCTTGATGAGTGATTTCAGTGCCACCAGCGCCGGGAGTTTTGCAAGACACAGATTTGCCAAGTCTTTCAATGACTCCATGCAGAGATCACAATTAGCTATGGAAGAAGGGCTCATTAGATCAAAAAATGGATCGCCGGGTCCAAAAAAGTTGAATGGGATCTTGAAAAAACTCATTACTAAAGGTGGTGATCTATCCCCTACCTCTCCTACTGGATCATTCCCAAAGTTACCGGATGTCGGCTCGCTGCAACTTAATACCTCTCACAACGAGGCTCGCGGATGGGTCGAGGCAAAAGCTCATCTACACAGGGCTCAAACGTTGAATTCTAGGGAGCGTCATGAGCGACAAATGCAAGCTCTCGAGGAAAACAGGGATTTAGTTCTGCATCCTCAAGAATACATTCTAGATGAAATTAATTCTAATGAGGTGAGACACGGCAGGCAACCTGGACTCGTGGATATTGAGCTAAACTGCATCGATAAGGAGTTTATAGCAGACATGATCAAGAAAAGAGCTAAAAAGGGGGGGACCTCATCAATCGAGTCGTTTTCACGCCAAACTATTACATCCGCTTTCAGAAGCCATGCGGAAAAATTATTTGCCACTTTCATCTTTTGTACTGAGACATTTGCACTCGTAGATGATAATGGCCTTACAGATTTTGGCAAGGAACCTTCCGGTCTCAACAAAATTTTGCACAAACCCTACTGCACGCCTTACGAATTAACGTGGATCTTCAAACGTATGGCAAATTCCTTGGGAATAGTGTGCGAAATAGTCATAGGGTTTCTGAAGACTCCCGGAGCTAACAACATGAACTTTAAATATAATCACTGTTGGCTTCGTGTTCTTGTGAACGAAGAATGGCGCATGGTTGATGTCATTCTAGGAAATATGTCAAATCCGATACACGAATACATCAACAATTCCAAAGCAGATCACGCCGAAGCCTTTTACTTCCTGACTCAACCACTACAATTCATATATACACACGTCCCACGCCTTTACCAAGAGCAGCATGTTATTCCGATTGTCGATCAAACTATCGCGCTGAGTTTACCAGTTGTATTTCCCTCTTATTTCCACAACGAATTAATCCTCCATAAATTTAGTAATGGATTGGCGAAATTGTATGACAATCAAATTTACGAGTGCACCATTGCCATTCCAAATGATGTGGAGGTTTTCACCTCCGTTGTGGTGGAAGACGCCGAAAAGATGCCCAACGACAATATGGATCTTTCCCTAGTTCAAATAAAGCACCGGAAGAAAGAAAGACTCGCGGTAATCAAGGCTTTACTGCCTGCTGGGTCCTCTCGAGGCGTGCTTCACATACACTCAGGGATCAAAGGTGTCCAGACAACACTCGCGAACGTACATCCGCTTTCGATGATTGTGCCTCTTGAACACACTGGCATTGCCAAAAGTTATGAGTTTGTGACAAGGATCCCGTCTAAAGCAGTTCAAAAGGTTGATATGTATATCAAGGAGCCGCAAAACAAGTATCTATTTGCGAACAACGAGTACAATTTTGAGGTGATTCAGCATCCATGCGACGGGGTTATTTATGGATCTCCAGGTTTCGGCAAATATCCAAAACAGGCGTTGGCCATCCAGTCACCCTCGGGAAAGCTATATTTAATGCGGAAAAATGATCCCAACTTCGAGTTCGGCACTTGGGAAGTGTCCATTAACAATAAAGAATTGCAGTCCGGAATCTGGACTGGATTAGCTACGTCAGATGCAGGCGCTGGTTGGTGTCCGTTCGCCGAATGGAAATGCGTGTAAGACAAGACGCAGCTTAGAATCACAGGTCGAAATATATAAACTCAGGATAGATCAAGAAGCATACCATTATTGCATGGCCCCTAAAACAAACCTATTGGAATTCACGATTTGGGTTTTTTTTTTCCAAGGTGACAGTTAATTCTACATTGTATAAAAAATTTACTAGTAAACAGACTAAATGCCTAAGATTGACTGAAAAAGGCCAACGGGAGCCAAACCATGGACGCCAACAGCGCTCAAAACTCCAACATTCTCGTCAAGTTTGCAAATGTACTGAAAGAATTTGAGATCAGTGAACTGACGGATCCTGGTTCGAAAGACGTGTTTGATGTTGTGAAGGATTTTCGTTCCGTAGCGGGAGAGGGGGCTTTAGAACTGGTAACGACTAACACATCCACGACAAATCGTTTGTTTGAGAATTGGGATCTTGAGGCCAAATTATGGCACTTAATAGAGCTATTGGTCAACTACCGATGCTCAGATATTAGTCTAGAGGGAGACAACAGCCAAATTCAGAGTGCGGATTCAATCTATCGCAAATCCTTGCTTGAAAACGACAGGTCACTCTATGAACTATGGCTGATAATCGTGTGGATCCAGTCAAATATAAAAATTCCGGAGAGGCCCGAAAAACTGGGGTCCAGTAAATGGTCGAATTCCTTCATCTCTGGCGATCTCAAGAGCAGTGATTTAGACTACCCGCTCAGAGATCCAAGCTGCAACATAGATGCAGAAGACAAGCAATTGGATCGAAGCTTCTATAAGTACGCATATGAGCTGATATTAGCCGGCAATATGGACGAGGCAAGGAAAGAGTGCGAATACACAGATAACCTAACGTTGGCTTTGATCCTTTGCGGCACTGATAACGATATTGACCTTGACGATAAGAGCCTAACTGCGGATAATTCGAAAACACAGGGTACAGTTCAGAGAAAGGCGTTATGGAGGCGAGCCGTCTATTCGATGTCCATGAACGAAGATTTGGATGAATATGAGAGAGCAATATACTCATACCTAGCGGGCGACGTCGAAAAAGCTCCTAGCACAGTAAAATCTGACTGGGATGTAGAGCTTTTGAGATATCTGAATCAATCATGGCAAATAACGCTAGAAAATCATATGCTGAAAGATAATCTAGTCGATACAAATGAACTTATTGTACCCATGGAAAATGAACCCCTTCCGCTACAAGCAATTTTAGACACGGTATCGAGGAAGCATATACGCGAAAGCGAGCACCCGCTAAGAGTACTTATGGGAGCTGTAATGCTCGACAAAGTCCCTATGGTGGTCAAATCTTCAGTCACAATGCTTGTGGATGCCATCAAGGGATTGGACTCAGGCAACGACATGGTTGAAGAGCCATATCTACTTAGAGTAGTCACCCACTTGACCATACTGATAGACATGATATATCCAGGATCTATCGACGAACAGGACAAATCTCGATTAATCACTGCTTATGTGACAATCTTGTCACTTTACGATTTGAACGACGTCATTCCAGTATACATTAGCTTTTTGAGTGAGTCGGAGGTCTTGGAAGCATACTCTTTTTTCCTATCTAAGTTAGGGGATACGGGTGCTCGTCAAAAACAGCTGGAACTGTGTCGGGTATTGCATATGCCTACAGCAAATATCTTGAGGCGCACAACACAGAGAGTGTTCGATGAAACCGAAAACTATTATGCTTCGAGCAGTGGTGTTAGCGTTCACTCTGAAGTTGATGAAACTGACAAACGTCTAATAACAGGTGCCGAATGGTTAATAGAAGGTAGATTGTACGTGGACGCTCTCGATTCGCTAGTGGTTATTTCAAGGAGATTCTTAATAAACGGAAAAATCAATTCCCTTCGATACGTCTTTGAGAAGGAAGACCTCGCCAATATAATCAAAAACTACGAATTGGATACCATAGCTGACTCAGATAAACAATCAACGGCAGTTGCTGAAATATATCAGTACCAGTCACTGATTAATGTTTTCAAGCAGTTTGAACAATGGAAACAACTGTCTACCGATTCGTCGACTGAATCAAGCATACCACAATTGCTGAAATCATTCAGAAATATTTCTGGTTATGTCTACAAGGTGATAAAATCATTCTTAATGGAACTTTCAGAGGAAGCGAGTGTCAAAGACCAAGATGTTCTTCATGAAATAAGAACGTTGTACATTCCTCACATGGTCATCGAATTGCATGGAGCATTGGTAGCAGCAGCAGAGAAGCTCAAAGTTGTTAGTTTTATTTCCGAAGCTCTTGCTCTCGCAAGTTTGGTAGCAAATGAAACCGACCGGATATATTTACTGTTTCAATCGAGTGGCAGATTGGAAGAATATCTACAAACAATTGCCAGAACTGCAACGTTAGCGAGGCCGCAGATAAATAGAGCTAAGTAATTCCTTACCACAGACTATAGTGAAGCAAATATAAAATTAATTTCTCTATTTACACCGGGCTTGCAGGGTATAGAATGAAGAGATTGAAATCACGCCAAATGATAAGTAGCAAGTAATTCGCTTAGAGCATGCTTGAAGATATATAAATCTTTCGTTATTAAAAAATCTTGTTCATCAAAATTAAATGTCACTAGTGCTTATTTAAGACTCTTCCTCGATGAATCCCTTCTCGGAAACGTAGATACCATCCAAAAACTTACGGATATCCTTGTTTCTGACACGGCAGATTTGTTGGATGTCGGCGGCGTTTTGAGAAACGTTCTCAATGGAGTTACCAGACAAGACGATCTCATCCTTTTGGTTGGCGGAGAAGTCGATGGAGACACCCTCTCTAACTGGCACCAATCTGACGAGCTTGTCACCCAAGAAGTTTCTGATCTCGACGAATTTGTCACCCTCCTTCTCAACAACATTCACGTTGATGGGAAAATGCGCATACACATATCTCATCTTGTACTTGAAACCCTTAGTCACACCAGTGACCATGTTGGAAACCAAAGAGTTGACGGTTCTCAAAGCGGCAACGTGCTTTCTGTCACCGTTGTGGACGGTAAGCTTTAGCTGTCTGTTGCTGACCTTGGCGAAAGTCACATCAATGTGCTTCAAGTTCTTGGTCAAGACACCTCTTGGACCGGTGACCTTGATCTCTCTGGCCTTGATGTTCACAGTGACACCTTCTGGGATATCTAGGGTTTGGTCGGTTTGGATGTACTTCATTTCGCAAGATGCCGGTGGCTTTCAGAACTATTTGTAGATCTTAAATCGTCTACCAACCACCTATATGTATGGTTGACAATACTAGTTGGATGCGACGGAACGTTGCACTGCACCAGACCCGGGCTCACCTCCAGTCTCTGACGCTGCCACGGCTGCCGCCGATGCCTATGCCATCCTGGAATTTTTCACTCGTCGAAGCTTTGCGTGGGGTCCAAAGTTGAGATTAAGTACTCGAGTACTTCTTCAACTCTCTATTTCTAAATTTCTGACATTTTTGAAATACCAGAAAAAAATCTCAAGAAAATATCACCTGTACATCTTTAATAGCAGTCACAAGCCGAGGAAGGATTCAATGAGACTTGGTCTACGGATTGATTTATCGGTGGTTGAATAGTCCGCTGAGTCCGAAAGGTAACTGCTTTGGTGTCATGGTTGTTTAGATTTCTGATGACGTTGTAAAACTGCTCAGTGAGAGTTAGCGATTTTCAGACACAACCAATTGCTTGCTGAAAATGATTGCTGATACCAGGTGGCCATGAAATGCAGCAGTGTATCTCATGGTAATGGACACAACGTGAAATTCGAGCAAGAACGAGCTATCAAGTATGATGTAGTGGCCGGCTTTCATTTAAAAATTCCGAGAGAGTGTCTTTGAGCTCTTAAATTAAAAAGGCGGGGTGTGATTTTAGCCGAGCTCGCGTAGCGCGATCCCGGCACTAACACGCGCCTTGTATGACAACCCGCAAGAGGCGCCAACTTAAGAAAAAGCGTTGCTAAACGTGGAGGCCGGAAAGATGGCGATCCCAGTACTACTACGAACCCCACTAACGGCACTAAATGTGGGTGTGCAATATGTGCGGATCTTAGAGCTTAGCTAAAGACGTCAATCCTGGCTTCTTTTACTTTTTCTGGATCATTCTTTCCAACCTGCCGAAAATCCTATCACGATGCATCGCTAAAGGGTCCTCCGCATCTGTTGGAAAAAAATTGTGTCTCTCGAAGTCTGCATCATTAAGCTCGCTCTCCATGTCTGATAAATTGCCATTATCTTCGTTATTGTCGTCCACATCATAAAAATTGTTTTCTGCTGCCTGTAGTATGTCTGGCTCGGCTGCATATCTGTCGAATAAAGCGTTTGTCTCATCATCCCCCAATGTTGCAATGTGTTCGCGTGCAGAATCACTTTCAGCATTTGCAAGTTGCAGTCCCACTTGCTCGTCGCCGGCCAGCTCGTCGTCACTTGCAGACGACTCAATGCCTTTTGAGAGTGCGCCAGGTACTTCTTCATTTGCAAACAGCACCGAGCGATCATCGTCTTCGTCTTCTGGATAATCGTTTCTGTAGTATGCTTCCTCATTAGAGTCCTCGTCGTCAGACAAACGAGCACTTTGGTCGTCGTCTTCCTCCTCTGGTATCATATCTCCATTGTCCTCAACAATCTTGATATAGCCTACTGTACTGGCATCGAAAATGAACTCATCTTCTGGAACAACCTCTCGGTAGTAGATATCATAGACGTAAGCAATAGATGAAAGAGCCTCCGCGCTAACAGGTGCCTCTGATTTTCTCCTGTTTGATCTCTTTAACTTCCCAGGCTTAGATTCAGCGCCCTGGATCGAATTCAAACTTAGATAATCGTCCAACATCTCTGAGATCTCCGTCGGCAGCGCTGTAGACTCCAGCTTGCGCTTCCGCTGTTCCAAAGTAAAATGTCTAGCATCACCCTCATGCGACAGCTTCAATAATGGCGTGTTCAGTTCTCGATGCTGGGCATATGATTCGAACTCTACAGTTTTGGCTAGTTTGAATACAAATTTACCACGCTTGCTGGGCACATCATCCTCAAGAACTAAATTTACAACATTGTTAGTCATTCATTTGAGACAGTCACAAAGCTAAAGATGGAACATATACATACGCAGAGCGTGCACAGAGTCTGTTTCCCTCTTTCTCTTAACCCTAATAATCTCCGGAGCATTCATTGTTCCTGTGTCCTTCGTGGCTCAGTTATTTAGCTCATTGATTTTAATATTTAATCCTTTCATACATCTTAAATTTCGTGTTTTACCAATTTACATACATACTATTCAAAATTGATTAAAACTGCTCATAATAAACTACTAACTCCCTATTGCGACTATATAACTACTGTGATTATGAGTTGGTCTTCTTGAAGAAACGATATTCATTTCTTCAAGGCAGCCTCGCCTTTAAAAATGGGGATCCCAGCTACCCTATTCTTACTAATATGACAAACAATCTACCCTTCGTTTACGCGCTCATGACCCAACAGTCACTGGAAAGGATATTGAAAGTTGCATTGCACTTCGGTGTTTTAGATTTCAAGAAACTCGACATTGTTTTAACCACCTTGCTGCTCTTTAGCCTCTTGCCAAATTTTCAGATTCTTTTCAGCATAGCATTTCAGATACCGCGAATAGTTTTTCAAGATATCAGAAACTTCATTGTTTCTGCTTTTGGAGAACTTTGGAAGCTCAAAGTCCTTGATTGTAGCTGATATTGTTTTCAAATCCCGCTCACTGACTTCTAGAGACTCTGTAAGTTGTGATATGTCCTTTTCCAGATTTTCAATGGCGGCAGAGGGGTCAGCGTCCTGATAACTCACGGATTCCTTAACAATGGTTGCCAGCTTGTTGATCTTATTCATGAACTTACCGCTGTACGACCTTGCTTCCGGATGCTTGAGATTGATGTGACCACTTTGTGCTATTTGTTGATCAACTAATTTATCGATCTTTTTGGCTTCTGTCTCCTTTTCTTGAAGCTTTTTTAACTGCGCCTTTCTGTATAGCAGCGTTCGAGCTAATATACTTCTTTGTATGCATTTGAGTTTGCGATATTTCAATAATTCTTGTGCAGCACCTGCCATGTGCACAGCTTCACTTAATGGCTCATTGATGTTATAATAGAGCTTACCCACAATAGATTCCAGCTCCAAAGCACTCTCATCAAATGTGTTACTCAAATGTGATAAATCTTCCGCTAATTCTGCTCCTCGTTTTTGATCATTGGAAAAGCCAGCAAATGCTTCGCTCAACTCTTTCATATCTTGACGAATTGCGTACAGATTTTTCGTAATGCGCTTGTTGTATTTGTAGAACCCATTTTCCATAATATGTTCATACTTGCGATACTCTTGTTCTATCTTTGTAAAGCCGTCTTCAGTTTCATCCTGCACTGAGGTGGCTATAATCTCTTTGTTGAGAAGTAGTTGTGTCGACGATGAAGGGATAGGTAAGAATGCATGCGCCCTGGTAGTGTTTGTGGGATCTAGTGGATTACAAAGAAGAACGCTTTTGGGCAGCGAAGAAATAGTAGCAGAACTGGTGATAACGTCATTCCAATTAGCGTTGTTGGGGTCCAAGAAATCAGATATTATCGAAGTTTTCGTGATCTCTTCATTTTTCAAAAGTCGGTTGAGAAAGCTTGTAAGCATTCTAATGCGGTGTCTTATGAGTTTTTCATCGTTAGTATTCACCGACCCATTGATGACTGAAAGTGACAAATCAACAGATCCTGCAGCCTCGGAAGGCAGCAAGTAACTGGATTTCGAACCTGCCATGGCTCTGCCATAGCTAGTAATCGACTGTTTCTCGGGGATAGGAGGAATTAAAGTCATTGGAAAGAGTTTTATGAGGATCTTTCGGAGGCTCTCAAAGTCACTGTAACGACGCTTTACAGTAGCATCTCCATGCTTGATAGTGTACGCGATATACGTGCGACCTTGACCTTCGGAAGCCTTAGAGGCTTCCAAAATGTACACTTCATCACCCAATTGCTGTCTGCTGGACTCGCGACACGACGTATCGGGGCTCATTTCAATACTTCCAGAGCTGCTACTGTGACTTTCACGCCGCACAGCTAATGGTTCGACGTCCTCTTCGTCTTGAAATGCTTTATTTGGGTTGGACAAAGTTCTTGGGTCTTTCAAACTGGTACCATTCTGAGGCATCTTTGACGTCTGTTGAACCGAAAACGGGTTATCTTGGTCTAAAATCTCGGTGTGCACCATTCCAACAGGCTCCGACTCTGAAGTTCCGTTGGCAGGTTCTGCGTTTTCATGTGCCTCACTATTCTCAACCTCATTTTCACCAAGCACCCGTTTCACGTCAATTAAAACACTTGAATCTGCCGCACTCCCGGCCTTGTCATCGTAAGAATCTTCCATAGCTCTGATATCATCCATAAGTTGCCTAGAAAGCACGGATGGCCCTCGAAACGATGAGTTTTGTAGCTAAACTTCGGTGTTTTTGGTAAGGGGGGAACTTAATCACTCTAGCATTGAACACGAAATAATGATGGGAATATAGCTCACATTGTTGAATATTATTGAAAAGTCTACTAATCTAGCATGCAGAGACATGCGATCAACTCATATCTTATAACTTAAGCAAAATGACCATGGCCTCATATGTTCCTAACTAGAGACTTCATCAGGGAGTCTTCACGTCAGTTAGGTTCGAGTTACACAAAGAACAAAAGAAGATTGGAGAAGCTGGAACATTATCACCAGTGTAGATCTTGAAAGTCTCAATGGCTTATGTGTTTGAGTGAGTTCTAATTGAGATCAAGTCAGAGGAGGCACATTGTGCAGATGTGGCAACTTTTGAAGATTTAATGCAGATGTACTTTTATGGTGAGAAATGAGGGCAAGGATGTCAACATTTAAGCCGCGCAAGTGTATCAATAGTCCTGATGATGGCTTCAATGGATATTTCTTTATGATTGCTGGGTGGATCCGTCTATGAAAACAATCAAGAAGACGTAAAAATAACTGGTGCCAATACGCTATTGACGACGGGATGTACTCTTATACCGTCTTTATGATTCTCCACTGTGCTCGTTGTTTGCCTAATTGATTGCTCGCAAGTAGGTGAAAAGACAGAAGTTATCAATGCACCGCAGAGCTAAATAGGCGCCAAAATATGGATCCCCATTTCGGAATCTTGGCCTCAGGGCTGGGGTGAAGTATGAATTTGTAAAATGGACTCGACAACGAAAATATTTGCGGGAACCAGGACTAACGAGAAGAACGAATTTAAACCACTTTCTTGTTACAAAATAATGCTGAAACGTTTCCAAGTAGAGCTAACGATTCAATTTTGATAAGGACAAGAAGATTACGAGAAGGGGCCTCGCGTTCGTAGCTCACTGTCCAAAAAATATTGCCATTTCTTAAAAAGAAGGCGGCTCATTTTTTAATGTGCTTGTGTTTCCTGGAAGCTGCCAACAAATTAGTAATAGAACGGAAATCAGAAACGGTTGATAATGACCTTCCATAAGATAAAACAACTTTGAGGTTTAGTCCTGGTTCCGGGCTTTTAAGCTTTCCGTGGATCTCGGCTTTGGACGTTCTTTCAAAATCTGCTTGACCTGTTATATGAATTATTAATATATCATCACAGCCTCTGCTAAGACTTCCAATTCCTACTTTCATTTCTCTATCATCGAGCAACACGCTTGGATCTTGGATATTGTTCATCGACGATAGAGCCTTGCATTTCTGTAAAACAAGTCAATGCGTAGAGACAACGACTTGGAAGAAGTGCTATATATTTGTTTTTAGTAGCAACCTATTTGTTTTTAGTAGCAACCTATCTACTTGGCATCTCAGGTAGGTGCTTAACAGCGCTTGTATCATGCAGAATAGCCGCTAACTCTGAAACTGGTTTGCATAGCAGAAAGAGCGAATTATAGACTTATTTGGAATTGATATTTACTTGTTTCATATCAATAGCAATAATGGAGGCCACACTTCAGCTTCTGGAGCCCTGCCGCCTTGCCAGTATGCTAACTAGATCTGATAATACGGCCTTTTGGTAAGGACCTCGGTTCCATGATTAAGTCTCAAACATTTTGTTAGAAGCTTTACCTATAAACTAAGTAGGCCATTTAGAGAGCTCATTCAGATTATGTTCTCAGAGAGCATTTTCAAGATGTCTTGCGTTTGGACAAGATTCACAGAATTTCATGAGATTTGAAGTCTTCGACGAAATTCAAAATCAATCTGAGAGCTCAGCTTGACACATCAAACTAAAGCCATTGCCTCAGCACCGTGAGCAAACTTGATAGCCTACTAGAGAGAATGGACACTCCAAGCTTGATAGGATCATTCTTTCCGGCTACAAAACAACGAGAACTGCTGCAATCCTTGGTCGACACGGAAAAGTTTGGTGAGCTTTATGAGGTACTGGGGCAAATCGACTTTGATACATCAATATTAGCTGAAATCGAGGAACTAACAACTTGCCGTGTGTTAAAAATACTTGACAAGGGTTTACCTATTCAAAACGCTGAATTAAGCGCTGGAATTGTCAAATTATTGACGCGGCTCGATACTGCGTTTGCTGAAGTTCAGAGATGGGCGTTGAGAAAAATTCAGGCAAGCGAATTAGAAAGCGCAACGTCGCTGGAAGTTCTGGAGACATTATACACGCTTCGGAATGATCAAGAGTCCCCGCAAGAACTACAACTGGCTCGACTTATAGTATCGCTATTAGCCAGTGACAACGCGCGCATTGCTAAGGCCAGCTCTCAAATCGTAAAATGGCAAATCAGACCAATTACTCGGTTATGCAAGGAAAATTCAGCCTTCGATGATTATGTTTGGAATCAAGTATCTATGTTACTGACCGCTGGTTCAACGGAAGGAAAGCTAAAAAACGGATTACTTTTTGTGTTAAGAACACTCGCTCAAAGAAATTACTACAGCTCCGATTTCATGTCGTTTCTGAAAACAGATGCTTTCTGGAATTGTCTACAGCGCGGTCTAGCCCATGAAGTGCATGAAATTCGCAAATACTCGCTTTCCATTCTAAAAATTATTCTTCAAACCTTTCCTGCTCAGGAGTCCTTTTCCAACAGCTTCATTGTCTGGAGCCCAAAATCTCGCTCTATTCTTTTGGCTACTTGGAAGAAATTCACTACTCTTTACGAGATAGTGGCTTTAGATACCACTCTCAACCAGTTTGAGGCCGCAAGCGGCGACATATTGGATTTACTTGGCAGTGAATTCATAAACTCTCAGTGGGTACTCATCATTTTCTCTACAGGACTTAGAGCAAACATGGAAAGCGTCAGGCGCTACACCGTAAAATTAATGTTTCAAATCAAGGACAAGTCTGTGTTTCAAGCCAGCGCACAAGAGCTTTGCTCAATCATTTTGCCTACCTTAATGTATGCACCTTACTTTAGTGTTGTTGGAAATAAGTGTTCTCATGGCGAGGCACTCTGCGATTTTGTGGCCCAACTGATCACACATACTCATGAGAGTCCAAATTATGAGAAAGTTACAGATATCGTATCTTCCATTCTGAAGTGCTTGTACCAACAACAGTCAGCTTTTGATCCCCCTAAAATTTATATCTGTTTTGGTCTCTATAAAGCACTCAGTCAGTCAACTTACAAATTGAACCAAGATCAGGTCGAGTTGATAGCTGTACTTTTTAATGTACGTTCAGAGGAGAAAATATTCGAAACAACTATCCAGACATTGTATTTGAAATTATTAATGCAGATCAAAGTTGACATTTCATTTTTCGCTTGGGTAAATGCTTTAGTTAAGCATGTTAAAGCCAGCAGTAGTGGTTATGGTATCATTTCGCCTCTTATAGATGATTTTATGGATGTTGCACTCGTTTGTTTTGATAAATCGAAAGTGAGCGAGGCATGGTTAAAGAGTTCAAATGAAGATGCTATATCCGCGGTTTTGTGTTACCTCATCTTCGGCTTCAAGCCCCAAACAATCACGTCGGACTTTCTCAAAGAATTAGCAAGATCAGGCCAAGAGCTAAGCGAGTTCAAGGACCGTTATGCGGATTACTTATTGAATCTGATAAATTTCGAAGCACCAAATTTTGAGTACGAGAACTCCTCTTGTTTGGCCACACTTCCAATCTTTGACTCAAGAACCTGGAGTTCAGTCAAACTTGATATACTCTATGACTCATTAGGAGCCGACTTTGATGCCGAAAAGTTCAAGTTTTTTGTTCGCTGTTACCAGCTAATGACAAATTACAGCACATCCTTACTATCACTCAAGCTAAATGACTTACTAAAGCTTTACGAATTTCTAAAGGCCCATTGTGAGAAACATTCGGGGCACTTTAGATATAAGGATTCTATCTACAGGGATTATTTTGCATTTTTGCTGTCCTTCTTAAAATCTTACGCTCTGCAAGGTATTCATGGCTCTAACGAAGGTGAATTAGGCAAAATTTTAAGTCTCATGAGCAAAAACGTGCTACAAGACAATGGAAATTACGAGGGAAACCTTGCGGTTGCTCAACTATGCCAGTACATTTTGGATACTTACTTACTTTCTCGTCTTCAGGATACTGAGGGGACCAATGATATATCAGTTTGTGATAAAATTGTGCAAATTTTGTGCGGAATATGGGACCCCATGGCAAGAGATAGGTTAATCTTGAATGAAAGAGAGCTCCAACTTCAGTTTATCGAAACACTATTTCATCCAACTATACTTTTCTTTGCCTCTGGTTCAGAAGGTTTGCCGTCACAACTTGCTGAGACTCTTTATAAGTATGGTGGCGAGATTGTGGCACAATCGGTCTCCAGGCGTACCTTTTTGCCAAGATTGGGCCAAAAGATAAACTTGTTCATGGAGACATTTGGACAAAGTTTACAAGGTCGAAACCACAACTACCGCTGGCTGATGAACTTTATGTTTCAAGTCTTTGTGCAAGGTCGGTCGAGCGTCAACTCCTACAAGCTAAAACCTATAATAGCAAGGTCCTTTGACGAACAAGTTGATACTTATCACAGTGCATCTAGCGGGCTCTATGAAAAAATCTATCAAACACCCGAAATTTCTGGCCGTATTTATGTCATAAGCGCCTTACTACATGCGAGCGATGATTTCAAACAAGCTGTTTTCGTGGAGATGATAGAAAATGATACAAATCTTTTGAAAGCGAAGAAGAGCACTGACGGGGCTGAAGAATCGGAAAGGTTGCTCAAGTGGCAGCTTTTAATGTTGCTACTTCCTTCTCTTGATTCATCCGTTTTGAGCAAGTATTCCCTCGAGTTTATCTTGCCAAGCATTTTAATTGAAGCCTCTCCTCTTGTCAGGGTATATGCCGAGTGGATTGTCGCTATTACTCTGTCGCGTACTTGCTTCAGGAATACCTCGAGCGAAATAGAAGACGCTCTGTTCGAACTTATGGAGGATCATACTAAGCCTTCGCTTGCAGTTACGGCAACGCGAACACTATATGTTTCTCTGAAGGGAACTATTGCCAAGGAACCTTGCAAAAGGTTTTTGCAAAAGTTTACTTCAAAGCTGGTACCCAACTGCGCGTCCAACAAGCCTTTGATAAGGCATTTCTCCAATTCCTTGATTCTATCTTTCTGGCCTTCGCTCAAGGACTTTGTAGAAGAAGAAACTCTTGCTGATGTGTTGGAAAATCTTTACGTTAATTCGCAAAAGTTGCAGGTCCATGGCCAGTTCCGTTTAGGTGATGCAGTAATATGGGATCTTGAAAAAGATTTGAAATTGACAAGTATATTTGGTGGTGTTCTGATGAAGATTAGTGATCACAGCGTGCCGTACATCAAAAACTCCATTTTCCAAAAGTACTTGACTTGTGTGGATAAGCTACCAATTGGCAGGGACGAAACTGAGTTATGGCTAGCTAAAAGGACAAGCGGGAGCACTGCAACTGGTATAGCGCTACAAAAAGATTCTCCCCTTCAAACAAAGAGTGGTGCTTGGGAAACTGTTATGAATGTTGATGACAAAACGCCCAGCGAAGCTGTGAAACGTACGCCGCTAATTGTTGTGGCTTCACTGGTTGATAAACCACCAAACTTAGGTGGCATTTGCAGATTATGCGATGTTCTGGGAGCTGGATTATTAACGGTACACGACATCAGAGTCAAAAACCATTCTCAGTTCAAGAGCGTTGCTGTCACAGCCGACCGATGGATGCCAATGGAGGCAGTACCCATAAATGAAATTACTAACTTCATGAGAATAAAAAAACGGGATGGATATACTTTGATTGGTTTGGAACAAACCGACAGGTCGATTCTCCTGGATAACAAATATCAATTCCCCGCGAAAAGTCTGATTTTACTAGGCACCGAGGCTCAGGGCATACCTGGTCATTTGCTGAGTGAGTTGGACTTATGTCTTGAAATCAAGCAATCTGGCGTAATTCGTTCCATGAATATTCAGACAGCCACTGCGGTAATTGTGCATTCATACTCAGCGCAACATGTCTAATCAATACATTATCTCGTGCCTCCCTTCAGCGTCTTGATAGAATGAGTTTTAGTACAGAAATATAGTATTCTTAATTATCTAATGCTTTAAGAATTTTAGGCGCCAATTCTTCGACCATTCTTATGCTGTCTACTAAACTTTGTGGGCAGATACCACGAACGTAGTCCTCATTAAGCCCCAGAGTTCTTACCGGCGCCACTACTTTGCCGTCATTCCATGTCACCAAGACACCATTATTAGCAACGTCACTTTCACTAGCCGCAGGGTCCACAATGACATTTTTCCCACAAATCGCCAACGTAAATAAAAGCGGAACTTTAACATTTAGCTTACTCATGTCGTAGTCGTGAAACGTCGGCAGTTCTGCTACGTCCAAATCGTCATCACTCGAAATTAAGGTTGGTAGTTGTGTCGAATTGAGAGCGGAATAAATGGCTAATGAGATCAATGTCAGTGGGTGAGAATAGCTTGAAAGCACTAGCACGTCAATGAAGAGCTTGAAACTGTACTTCTTTGTAAGTCGTAGAGACATTTGATCCATTTGGGATACTAAAAGCCTATTAAGAATTGACGCAATTCCCTGAACGAGTGTAGAATCGTCACGATGGCCAGCGATGTCTACGTCCACAACTACCAGCTCTTCCTCAACAGCGCGATCAACAACTTTGCATTTGATGCTGACAATACATTCTGTGCCATCGCTTGCTACTATTTTTGAAGAGCCATTGGAAGTGGGCAGAAAATCCGTGAAGATCTCGATGGGTCTGAACTGATCAGCGTTTCTACCATCGGGACGGGCTGGTGGCTTAGAAGCTAAACTTTCGTGCAAATATAGCTTTTCTGTAATTGAGAGCACCATCGTGGTACTGGGATATATTGTTGATCTCTGATGCTGAGATTTGAAGCCTACTGATTTACTTTCTCTTCATTCACAGCAGATGAACATCTTGAATTTGGAAAGTTTTCACCAGAGTACTTTTGTACTCATCGAACTTCAACGGGTAATCGATTAGAAGTAGGGGTGGATAATCAACTACTTTTATCGTTGAGAGGCCCTGCTGGCTTCCGGTGAGACCTCAAGTAATATATCACCATAATGTTTGCCATTGAAAGCGTTATTAACAGTAAAGACTGAAATCTGAAGAGCCAGGAAAATGTGTTTTCGCTAATATCGCGACGCTCCTGCTCAAGCTGAAATAACTCTTGACCTTCGCTCTCGTTAACCAACGAAAACAAAATATTAGCAGAGTCAACCACAGAATCGCATGCATTAATTGTAATTTGCTCCGTTAATCTGGGCCGCGCTGTTTCGTGGTTTATTAACGTTAAAGTTATCTCTTTGTGCATGTCAATTGATTTCCAAGACCCGTCGTAGACCAGGTTTATGAAACAGAATAAGAAGTGGGAATCTGGCGTGGCCGATGTAAGTTGTATCGCGGTGCGTCCGGATTTAAGATTGTGTCGTGATCGAAGTAAATCGCCATTTTGCGAAGTGACGGTAAAATCCAAAGATTGTTTTCCCTTTTCGCAGCTTGTCGGGCCGAATCGGTTCAAATCCAATTTATAGTCCAGAAAATCAGATACCTTCAGGGTAAAGGCTGCTGGTTTTCGATCTTGAGTTGCTTTAAAATTGATACAGGTGGCTTGCTCTTTCCAATTCCGAGAGTTAACTCGCGACGCTTTGATCGGAGGGCAAAGGAATGACAACTGCGGCTGTGGTAAGGGCATGCGCACTGACTCGGTCAAAACAACGCCGAAGTGAAATAATAGGAATACTGTGTTGGCGCGCATCTTCGAATGTTCCCATATGTGTCGTCTTTGATTTTCAAAATTCTTTCCTCCACTGACTTTTCTGTCGCGACACAAAATTTTGATCGTCAGTCCTGAAAATGGTCTGTGTTTGGGAAACGTGTCGATCCACGCTTGCACACACTTAATGTTATCAGCTTTCGAATACACCCAAGGTCAAGCTCATTCGTTGGGCTCTTGAGAGATCAATGCGACATCCTCGCTATAAAAGAAAAAAAGTAGTAGCCATACTTCAACCCCGGCCAAGTTGGAAGATCTGCGTTTCGTATATTCGGTAGCCTAGATAAGTAGTAAATGATCTACACAATTCCAGCTTGTTTGCGTCCCAAACTTATTCATTGCGCCGCGAGATTTCTCCACCTCACAAATACACACTGTTAGCAGCGTTGGCATCGCCATTAGTGTTGTCGGTGTCAAAAGAAGCTGCTCTAGCTTTTGCTTTTTGCTGAGCTTCCGCGGTAGGTGGCTTCTTAGAGCCACTTGCACGGTAGGACTCTTCCTGGTCGAGCGCCTCGAGACGCTCGTGATGGTTCCTTAGCACGATCTCGTTCTCGTGAAACGAATCCTCGAACAATTGCAGGTCATTTTCGTCGACTTTGTCGAGCTCCTCTTGGTCCACGCCATCTGGGGTGTCTTCCCTTTTGCCCTCAATAGTTGCGATGTACTTTTTTAGACGAAGGTTCGAGCGGTCCAGGTGCCGCATGCTGTTCTCAAGCTCGCTGCGAATTTTGGCGAGTTCTCCATCCGAAAGGTCGCTGATCACCGCCTTGAATTCTGTGATCTCCACGGGTCTTCTCATGCTCGTGGCGTCGCTCATCTTGGTATATGTAGTATAAAGCTGTTATAGAAACTCAATGCAGAATTGATAAATGGAAGGGCAAAATTAACAAAATTAACAAAAGCTCAGACCGTGCTAATACACAAAACTAAACTGATTTCTTCCTGACAATTGTCTCTTGATCCTTCTTAAAGGGTGCTGTAATGTGTCTTCGAAACTTGAACAAGATCCTCATTTTTATACTCTCCCGAATTTCGAAGCTAACAAATTTAGGGGAGCGCGGTTGCGGTTGCGTATGGGATGACGTTGGCAAGCCAAAAATTAAATTGGAGGGCATTATTGTTGAGATTCTTTAAATTGGTTAAAATGAACAACATGGAAGATGATTGCAGATTTGGGAATGCTAGAGTCAATAGAGGACTTGAAACGCGTCAAGAAGCTGGCAGAGGACGTAGAGCATGAGAGGGAGGCTCTGGCTGTTCAATTAGAGGCAAAAACGAATCAAAATGAGAACGTTTTGGACGAGTTTGATCAGGTGAATAAACGGTTAAGCGAGGCAGCGCAAAACATCATCGCGACGCGATCTGCAGCAGATATCGCGACGCTGAGAGCGAAATACGGACCGCTGGCCGTATTGGATGAGATAGAGGCGCTCATTGTGCAGAGAGAGGCGAAAACGGCCGAGAAATCCGCGTTGGATCGAGTGCAGAAGACCTTGGGTGCTATGGATGCGGTTCCAGAATCTGGCGCCACAGACGCGCAGCTCGAGTTATGGAATGAAGAGCTGCGGGCTGCAGAGCACCAACTCTCGTCCCAGAACCTTGAACCCGTTTGCCAGCGCTTCAACGAGCTTCTAAGACAGTCAGCCCAACCGCTCATCGAGGCTTTGAAGTCCGAACTGCTCGAATCCAATTGGGACCTACCACAGAAAGGGCATTCACAGCTACCTGTAGTGCACCTCAGAGAGCTTTCTTCACGAATTTATCGCTTGAACTCGATGCTACTTCCGCGCTTAGACCTTAATGAAGTGTGGAACTTCCAATGCATTGCCAATAATTTCAAAATCAAATTTGTTTATCATTTTGTTAACGATTCCATGCAAAAACCCCACTCTGTAGAAATGTACTTCAAGTTTCTGGAGCAATATCTGGATCAGAACCTTTTCAAATGTATCGGTATTTTCAACGATCCCACCACTACAGGTTTATCCCAGAACTTTGTTCATCAGCAGTTTATTAATCATATTCTCACACCAATCCGTGAAAAGGTGAACAATACGCTGACAAAAATTGCAAATAGTGCTTCAACTGCAAACCTGAATACGCTTCTATTGCTTCTTTCTCAGATTTTCATTATCGATAACGCCCTTTTAAAAAAGTACTTTTACGACGGACTTGGCCTCATTGCCATGATCCCTGCTAGAGTACTAGATACTTGGCTCTCATTCGAGATTGAATCGTCCGCCGCCCAATTCCACAAGATCGCTAAATCTGCGAACTTAGAAAAAAGCGGTATTGATTTCAGCAAGCTTCTGAAAAACCTATATGCATATTTTGAACCCTTTTTTAACGTTGAATATGGAAAACTGATGGACTACAGACTAAAAATAACGAAAGCGATTTTTATGGAGTTGCCAAACAGATACAGAGATTCGCTCTTAAAAGCTAAAGAAGAAACAACTGTTACGGACGAAGGGCAATTCGAACAGACTCTTTGGAAACTTCAGAACCTACTTGTAGTCAGGAGGCTTCTGGAGGATTTCGGAAATAGGCTCAATTTTGTTGAGCTTACAGACTATTTGAACTCCGCCACCTCTTCCTCATATGAGACAGTGTTTAGCGAAGTTATAAATGTTTATGAGGAAGCCATAATAATCGTGAGAGACTCCGCTATTCACCGGTTCAAAAAAATGATGAACATCGCGCTGCGAAATTATTTCAAAGTTAACGACTGGGCTCAAATGGATACCAAACCACAACAATGCAGCGCGGAGCTTGTTTCCCCCCTGGGCCTATCTAGTAAAGTCATGAATACAATCGAGAAGTTTGAGTTGACACCCGATATCATGTTAACTATCAGAGATGAAATTCTGAACGCTTTGATTCATTACATGATCGATTATGTGGTAAATCTCAACAAGTTCAGCGAATCAGGGCTCGAGCAGCTGGCACTAGATTTTACATTGCTCAAAAAAAGCCTAAATTTCCCTTACAGTAATACACCTCAAAACGCAGAGGAGGCTGTGTTTTTGGAGACCTTTACAGTTCTGAAATTGAAGTACAAAACTAAAGAAAATAATGGCTTACCACCGCTTATATCCAAGAAAAATATCGATAGCCGTGACTTTTCAGAAATTCGCAAAATTCTGAGAATAAATTACTCCACAGACAGCGAATTGGCAAATGCATTGTATAGACTTTTGTAGAATATTTAAGTCAAGTCTCCGTCCTCAAGCTCGTATTTAAAAAGATGGTCCTGATCAAAAGAGCCCACTCGCCCGCGAGATGTTTCTAAATTCCTATTCAGCAAGAAGTTATTTTTACTCAATGAGTCCAGCATTTCAGTAACCGAGGAAATCATACCAGTCGGCCCCACATCAAACATTGTTTTCTTATCGGTAGAGTTTACCCAGTCATGAGCATTGTGAACGCTTTCGCTTTTAAAGGGTTCTTCCTTACAGCTGGGTATCATGATATCCTCATCAAGGTTATTAAAATGATTTTGCGTTAGGTGATCAATTATGGGCCACCCATATGCATTAGAAAACCTTCTTCGAACAATGATGTTATTATGAGCATCGGGTTTGAGGCTCACGATCACCTTGCGCCATGTTAGTCCCTCATGCCAACGCCTTGCAATATCTTCCTCAAGACGTTGATTTGACTTTTCTGAAGTCGCGGTAAAAGTTCGCAACAGCTGACTATTACTATGTATGAGCTCTTTCTCGGATTCGGATTCTCTCGCTGGAATCTCTTCCCCAGAATAAATCTTGTCATGGATAATGACATTTTCACGAGAAGAAGGATCCATGATGTAGGCTTTGTCCGGCAATGGTGGCATGAGCACTGAAGTTGCCGACTCTATCACAGAGACTTTCGGAATCTTTAAATTGCCACCATCAGGGAATTTTTGTGGAGCCCACAAGTTAATAGCTTTAGAGATAGGAGACAAAAAGTTTTTGGTAATGAAATCAGTAGAATTTGTGTTTGGTAGCTTCTGTTGAAATTCTGGCAAATTCTCCAGTTGACTCAGAACTTCTTTATACTCTAGGAAAAGCAAAGAAGCTGAATAAAGCGGAACTATGCCATCATTGATGGCGTTCGCATAAAGAGTACGACGCCTGAATTTTTTTAGTATTTTCTTCGTTGGCTCTCCCGGGAGGAAATAGAGGAGTGCTTTCCCATCCTCGCAGCACTCTTTAAGACCCAGATCTTGACCAGTTTTGCCAACAATGCCGAATGATAAAAGGAGATTAACGTAAGCCGGGTTATCAGTAACTATCCCCAGCAAGGGTGAAGCTAGAGTAACGAAATTGATGGGTTGAACTTTTTCGAAGAACCATGGGTAGTTAATAGAGATGTATGCAATGGCAAAAGTTTGGGCCAAGCCTCCCAGAGAGTGGCCGATTAAAGAAATCTTTGTTACGCGCTCCGAATAAAGCTCCTTGACAATATACTCTGCTAGTCTGGTCCCAAGGTATCGTACACCCTTTTCGGTCTTACAGACATTGCCACTGAATCCCTTCACCACAAGTTGCTCGTCGGTGTAATACTTCTGACACTTTTCAATTTGCTCTTTGAGGTAAAAAAGGTCAGCAGGCACATTAGAATGCAATCCATGCGTCAATACGACTAAGTGCTCCTTCTGGTTTGCATGAGGTGAGACTTTCTCATTCAAATTCCATAAGTCCAGCGTATTGAGGCGAACCACATTTAACTTGGACGAGGAAGAGCCTAGAAGCGCTTCACACCTAGACGCTTTCAGCAGACTTTTTTTCGAAGATCCAATTGAAATTTCGAACCCAATCTTGGCTGTGTTCGTGAATATAATCTGGCTTGCAATATCTACTACCCACACGTATGTCTTCTTGAGGTTATGTAGTGATAGCTCTGCGAAAAAATCCTGCTGCGGTTGCAGCATAGGTTCAAATTTGGGCTGATCGGCAGAAACGAATAGTCTTTGAGAATGGTGATAATCTGAAGTTCTCACATCGCAATACAGCAAATAAGGGCCCATTAAGTACGCCGCTCTAAACGTGAAGCTTTCGGTATTTTGTATTCTCAACCATAGTGAGTTTAGTGAAAGGTCGGGGGGTAGTCCTACTTCATCATCGTATAAGTGATAGGTAATTATAAATCGCTCGATTTCTCCAACTTTCAGCGACGACTTGAAATGATATAAGATTCCATCTTCCGAAACACTAGTCATATTCGCTTCATGTAGTTTTTGAGTAGATTGCAATCAAAGCTTGAAGTTTGTTCGCTGTGGAGCTGCTCTATTATGAATTTTGAAAAGGCTATATTATATATATATATATATATTATCAAGATTCCGAATCAATACTCAACAATATCCAATTGAGATAAATTTATCGTATAAGGTCCAACCATTTTGGGCTCATAAATGGTGAAAGGAGCCAAACTCAGTCCGTTCTACTGATTCTATATTATTAGAAAGTCCATTATGAATACAAGTATACAGGCTTGTGGTGCACTCCTTGTTGTCTGGTAATCTAATTCGAGTTTTCGACTTGGTCGAGAAGCTCTTTAGCTCGGCTATCGCTGTCAAAGGATTGCATAGCCTCTATTACATCATCTAAGCGTTCTCCGGCCATTATTCCCTCCATATCATGAAGGTTAAATCCGCACCTGTGATCTGTGACCCGATTTTGAGGGAAGTTGTAGGTTCTGACCTTGTCGGAACGATCCGTGGTGGTAACCTGTCCTTTTCTAGCGGCTCTGCCTTTCTCCTCTTTCTCTTTTTGTTCCAGCTCTGCTAGTCTAGCTCGCAATATGGCAAACGCCTTCGCTTTATTCTTGTGCTGAGAACGTTCGTTTTGCATATTGATTACAATCCCAGAGGGGTAGTGAGTGAGTCGTACTGCAGAGTCCGTGGTATTGACATGCTGTCCACCTTTACCACGGGCCCTCATCACATCGATTCGAATCTCATCGGGCTTGAATGTTCTTTCGTAGGAGTCGGCTTCCTTCTCTGAATCTTCCGCAATTTTGGGTAATACAATGACAGCCGCTGTCGACGTATGAGTCCGACCTTTAGTTTCTGTGGCCGGAATGCGCTGCACTCTATGAACACCGGCTTCAAATCGAAGTTTGTCATATGCGCGTGGCTCGTCAATAGAAAGAATAGCATCGACGATTCCAGAACCGCTTTCGTTTTCATTGTGTGAAATGAGATGATACTTCCATCGCTTGTTGTGAGCATAGTTAGTGTACATGTTTAGTAGATCCTGGGCGAAAATCATTGCTTCGATTCCTCCTACACCAGGCCTAATCTCTAAAATACAAGGTGCATCTGCGAACGGATGCTGTGGCAAAAGTTGTGACAGAAGGGCGTTAGAAGTCTTGGTTAATACCGGTTTGATATCAACCATTTCTTGTTCTGCTTCTTCCCTTAGACTCGGATCTTCGTCAACCATAGCCTGCAGTTCTTTGAGCGTCGCGATCTCACTTGCATACTTTCTGAAGGAGTCTACTACGGCTGAAAGTCTTGAGAAGTGCTTCTCACGCTCAACATCAAATCCTATAGAACCATGAGCCATTCGCTGTTCCAGAACTAGTAGCTCCTCAACATATTTCTCAGCTCTCTTGATCAGTAACGGGTGGAGTTCCAGAGACTCGCAATTGCTAGCGGTTGACTGTAGTCTCGACCAGACTTTCGGAGAGAGTAACCTGGTAGCTCGCAGTACTGTCGAAAACATTTACTCGAGATCAGATCGCAGCATAAAAGCACGATTTTTGATAACTTTCAGTATATTGAAAGATTTTGAATATTTGTTTGCAACTCTTCATATCCCGAAATACAAATCGTTGAATCATGATCTCGCGAACAGAGTACTCTAAAGGTATGCAGCGCATCAAGGCTCATGGCAGTGAATCTGTTATATACTAACAATTAGCCTCTAAATAGAGAAAAAGGTTGGTGAAGGTACTTATGCCGTTGTGTACGTAGGAACTAAGCGCTCCAGTAACCGCAGAATCGCCATAAAAGAGATCAAGACATCCGGATTTAAAGACGGACTGGATATGTCTGCTATTAGGGAGGTCAAATACTTACAAGAAATGCAGCATGCAAACGTTATCGAGCTGGTGGACGTGTTTATGGCGCAGAATAACCTAAATTTGGTGCTTGAATTTCTGCCCGCAGACCTGGAGATGATCATTAAAGACACCTCTATACTCTTCACTCAAGCGGATATTAAATCCTGGCTCTTGATGACGCTGAGAGGCGTGCATCATTGCCATAGAAATTTTATCTTGCATAGGGATTTGAAGCCCAACAATTTACTATTGGCGCCAGATGGACAGTTGAAACTAGCAGATTTCGGTTTGGCACGAAACATGGGCTCTCCTCAAGAGTTTCTTACCAGCAACGTGGTTACACGATGGTACAGGGCACCAGAGCTTCTGTTTGGTGCTAAACATTACACCGGCGCTGTTGACATGTGGTCCGTAGGTGTTATATTTGCCGAACTGATGTTGAGAATACCGTATCTACCAGGAAAGGACGATATTGATCAAATAGACGTGACGTTTCGTGCCCTTGGCACACCTACTGACAAAGATTGGCCTGAAATATCAACTTTTGGTACCTACAACAAAATTCAATTTTATCCGCCCCCGTCGAGAGAAGAGCTTCGGCGTAGATTTATAGCGGCTACGGAAAACGCTCTGAGCTTGATGTCTGGGATGCTGGTAATGAATCCACACAAACGTCTAGATCCAATCCAGTGCCTAACCAGCGAATATTTCTTAGAGCTTCCTGAACCGACTCTGCCTTCAGAGCTACCGAAGCTTAACAAAAATTGACATTTATTAAACAAATCTTCATCAACAGTGGTATAAATTACGAACGTATTTCCCAATCGCCAAGCTGGAAGTAAGTCCAGGGCTTTCTATTCCTAACAAATTCACGAACCCTGGAAAGCCGTCTTCCTCGCGTATATAAAAATCCTTAAACTGCTTATCGTCCGAATTTCCCAGCTTGGGGCGAATACCGCTGTAGGCAGGCTGAAGATCTTCCAGCTTGATATGCGGGAAATAAGTGCTAATGGCTAGGAAAGCAGATTCAATATTAGAACAATTAACGTCGTAATCCGCTGGCGAGGTCACGTATTCGAGATCCGGACCAAATCTTATCTGGCCATTCAAGTCGATGGTGAGATGGGTGCCAAGTGATTGTGCGTTTTGAGGAGGTACGGGGTAGATTAGACGACCCACCGGAGGAAACGATGACCCCGCCAAACTATAGTAATTGCCCTTTCCGAAATATTGATTAACTTGACGATCTTCAGGGAGAAGCATATTGGCAACTTCGTGTGCATGTAGACCGCTGGCATTGACCACGTTGTCAACGCAGATTTCCACAGTTTCATCGGAATTATTCACGGTCGACTTGCATAGAAGGTTGTATCCTAAACCACGACCAAATTCCATATCAATGAGTTCTGTTCCAATTGCGACCTCAACGCCATTATTGTCTATATTCGTAGCCAAATACTGCATCAAAGAATGAGAGCTGATGATACCCGACGTAGGTGAGCTTAAAGCGACCTTTCCTACCTCGATGTATCGCTCTATTTCCTTGGTTTTGTGAGCTGGGATTAGTTCGACAGGTAGTCCGAGATCCTTTGAAGCTTTTTCGAAAAGGCTCTCCGTGTATTCTGCCTCGGCATCAGTTTGCGCCACTATCCACTTGCCACATTTGGACCACTCTACGCCAGACCTAGATGGAATCAAGTCATTGTAAATGATGCTGTTTCCCTCGAGGCAAAGCTTTGTCTTCAAAGAGTCTAAAGGATAATACAGACCGGCGTGGATAACTTCGCTATTGCGACTAGAAGTTTCTAATCCTGTCGCGACATTCTTTTCAATCAATAGCACCCGGTTACCTACTACTTTACTAAGTTCAAACGCTATTGACAGTCCTACGACCCCCCCTCCGATGATTGCATGCGAGAAATCAGACAAACCAGTAGAAGCAGTGGCCAAACCTCGGCAATATCGCTGCGATCGAAAAGCGTAACATAGCTTAAGAGCAGCACTATTATGCTTGAGCATCGAGGCTCGATATGAACCTCTATACAATCCATACACATGTATGAGCTTATCGATATATAAAGTTCACGCGTGCACTTCACGTGATGCATGTATTGTTCAATTGTGAAAGAAAACGCCTAAGCGTGATGTTAAGCCACTACTAGTTATCACTACTTGACGGGTTTTGACAATGCAACATTTTAAGTTACTTTTGTATTACCTTTATGTTGGTGTTCTCCAAATAATCGGTTTTGTTTCAAGCTTCCAGTATATTACTGCTGAAGGCGTAGCTGGTAAGGAAAGTACGCGCTCTTGGATCAAAAAAATGAACTCATCTAATAGCTCGTTTGAATAGGCTTGAGATTCAGCTTCTTAAGCAGTATAGATGTAAAATATAGACGTGTGAATGATGGTAGTCGCAATTCGCCAAGATAACTATCCTATCGAACATTCGCATAATCGTATGATTGGCTTAAGTTGCCACGGGAATTTTGGTCAGCAGCTGCGAGTTTGCCCATAGCGTTCGACTGTAGAACATAGTTAGCTTAGAATGCTTTTTGTCGCACAAACTCAAAGTCTAATCTTTGAATTCTACCCGAATAAGTCGTATTCGTAGTGTCATGATTCTTTTTCACTTACAATACAAAGGCGTGTTATTATATGACTTACATTTAGCACCTGGTATTTCATCTCTTATATTTGGATACATAGACTAAGCACCTTGTGTCCCTTTATATATGCTTAGTACTTGGCACCCAACTAATGCTTTTATATTTGTGTCATTAAACTTGAGCAATTTTTCATTCTCTTTGGTATGTCGTCTGGAAGCAAATTTGAATAACTACGTTTGAGACACAATCCATCTCATTAATAAGTGACTTATCTCACAGTGCTAATAACATATCAGTTCTTAACATATTAGCACAAGAACAGCTACAGCTGCTTTACTAAAAAAAGGATCCAGAAAAACGCTTCAGCCTCCGCTAAAGGATGCTCTAGTTAGCTAGAGTGAGAAATCAGAGTCGTGAGACTTTTTATCATTTAGTACCATTGAGTCATTAACGTCATATTGATTATACTAGATCTGCGAAGTGCGACGAAGGTTTATCAAAATCAACACTGGGTACGAATCACGAATCCACTTGACGAATCCATCCGTCCACGGTGATGGTAAGTTCGAATTCTCCGTGTTTAATGATTAGTTAATTTCAAGAATCCGGCACGAATCTGCAAAACAAAATGTTTACGCGTTTCACCAAAGTACAAATCATCCTTCATAGCATCTGAGACCTTTCGAGCTTACGATGTTATCCAAAATCTCCTCCACTCATCTCGGGTATTGTTAGCGGAACTATGTATCATCTTCGAGCAAAAAGGAGGAGAGATTATAAAGATTTGACTAACGGTCTTTGGAAAAAGCAGAACCTGCAAAGCACACCATCTCTCTCTGAAGTCAGCTCCGCTGATACACTAGTAAGTGAGAGTTTGCAATATCTGTCAAGTCATGAAGTGTTGCTTGATGATAATGAAGCCTTTTCAAGCGATGACGGTTGTGAACAGACTGAAGAAGATGAAGGGCCAGTTAGCAAACACGAACAAGGACACGTTCATCCTGAAGAACCCAATGAAGCTGATATTCAACGTGGTCAGTCGCAAATCCAGGCTGAGCCAACTACAGATCTTGCCATCAGCGCACGGCAAAGTTACAACAGAGGATCGAGTGAGGACTCAACCCGCGTAATATGTCAAACTTTGCAAATTCCTTCTTCAACATATGTCAATGAGCCCATTATTTGTCAAAATATGTCTGGACAGACTTTACAAAGAGTCAAAACAGCAACTATCAACCAGACTATAACGATTCCTATCCACGGCAGGATCTACCCTAGTGGGCGTAAGAGAAACGTTTATGATTCTAGTCTTCAGCCCGAGCATTTCTATCATCATAGTGGATCCAGTCACTCAGATGAGCAGCATACAACCCGGCTTAACAATGACTCCTTTAGTAGTACTCTTGAAGGTCCGGAATCAGAAAGGGCTTTCATAGAAAAATTCAGATTCGATTTTGAAGAGTTTTCCATAAATCCTTTTGCCAAACCCTCCATTAGCGGAAGCACACAGCAGATTGATATTGGCGATCAGGACAAAAAAAAGTTCGAGACTTGGCTAACTACATCTCCATGGCGTATTTGGGTTACTAAAGTTTATAGCCAACATCCATTCGCATTGTGCAAATTTGATGAATGCGAGCACCGGTTCACTTTTCATGGCAATCCTACTTCGTCTAATATCATTAGACATCTTAAGCGACAGCATAATAACGACTATGAACTCTTTTTTAAAGGCCTGAAGGGTAAACAAAAACCATTGGAAACATTTTCAGCCGTTCGTACCATCGTTTCGAAGCCCTTCCCCTTTGCGAAGAGATTTCTCAAGTTCTTGTCCCTTAACAATTCGAAGCTTCATTTGCTTAACGTCTTTATTGAAGGTTTCATACCTTTCAGCTTAGTGGAAAGTCAAGGATTTCGACTTCTTCTCGATAACTATAATAGCTTGGGACGTTCTTCAGCTTCATCTAGGAAAGGCTTGGTTAACCTTCTCGCACAGTATGAGACCGAATTTAGTTTACAATTAAAGCAAACTCTTCGGCAATCTTCCAATTTCAACCTCTTGATAGATACGTGGACTTCCTCAAATCAAAAGAGGTATCTGACTGTTATGGTCTGCTTTTGTCCCAACTTGAATGTGAAATCAAAATTAAGCAAAGATGATGTGAATACGGGCAAGAGACCTAATACTCATATTCTCGATTTCATCGATTTGAGCAATCAGAGACTCACGAGTGATAACATAAAAGCGGCTTTGTTAAGCTGCCTCACAAAGTATTCCATTTGTCATAAAGTGAGCAGCATTACCTTAGACAATGGTTCAAACAACATCTCAATGCTTGAAGATTTGCATAAAGAAATCCAAAATGGTTTTGGACCATATGGTGTTGGGAGCATTGTCAAGGTGAGATGCATGAATCATGTGTTAAATCGAGTTTTTCTCGACATACTGAATGGCTTTGAAATGCACCACAAAGAATTACTGTCAAGAATTGACAAACTGGCTTACTTCACCAAGAGTGATGTTTATATCAGGGGTAAGATTCAGACTTACATCCCGTGCGCTATTCCTAAGCACAATAACACAAGTTTCAGCTCGCGTTATCGTCAGCTAGACGCTTTTTTAAAGGTCTCAAAAGGTGCCAAAGAATTTTTTTTCGAGAATCGCTTTGATCTTGAATATCAGCTTACACAGGAAGACTGTTCTATATTTTGTTATGAACAAGGAGAAATAGAATCCATTCTATTTTTGCTGCGGCTCACTCGAATCATTTATGAGGTCACAATGATGTTACAAGATGATTCCTTGAACTCCTTATATCATGGAATTGAATATTACATGCAGCTAAACCGGTATTTTGATTCTTGTGAAAGCATTAAAAATGGCTCAATGGATAGCGATCATTTACAAACTGTGGGGCTGAAGCTAACTCATTTTAGTGCACCCAAAGAAATACGAGATGAGATCATAGATGCAATTGTTGCGGCGCGCCCCAAATTTGAAAAATATCTCAAGGTCGCCTATAAAGAACCTGGCTATTGGGCAGCACACATCCTGCAACCGCGCTGCAAATCGCATTTGTTAACTAATGTTTTTGACAAACCGTTCTCAGACCATGTTTTAGAATTGGTTAATGGGTATGTCACCCAATACATCAAAAAGTTTAATGAAAGTTCCGATATTCTCTCAAATGATGAGCATTTGGTTCCAGCAAGACTCAAACCCGTCAAAGGCAAGAAGTTCAAAGTTATGAGAAACCTGTCTAAACTTTGTGAACAGAACCTGGCAACCTGTAGCCGTGCAATAAAGGATGAATGGCAGATTTTCTTGGACGAGCCATTAGACACTGAAAGTAGCTATTTGGAGTACTGGCTCGCAAACCAAAACCGATTTCCAGCTCTCTGCTCTCTAGCGCTTTCTTTTTTCCACACAAAAATATCGATCGCAGACGTTGACAGGTGCTTTTCTATAAGTAAGAGGGCTCTAGAGAGTAGGTTTTCGCTTGCGAGCGAGAATTTGAGGCGGACCATGATTTTAAGAAATAGGATGAAGTGCTTCGATGTCTACTCAGAGATGTTAGTGGCTGAAGATATTGCATGCGATGCTTGGACTAAGGACGAAGGTACATTTAAGTCGACCAGTGATTAAGCCCCAAGTTGCATAAGACAACCAAAATATAACCGAAAGTCAATTTTGATAGTCTTATCTAGTGATGAGAGCTATAATAACGAGCTTGAAATGAGCGATCTATATAAGAGTAATGAGCAGAATAAGTGAGCAGTTGAATGGTGTTAAAGTGACTATTTCAGTACTTTTAAATCCTGCAGAACGACCGGATCATGTACGCTGTCCACGACAACATACGTATTGCCGTACACGGTGCCCACGATCGTAAGTCTTCGCGAAACAGGACCGTAATAAGTTACTGGGTTTGCCTATCACTGGATTCGTGGCCCAAAAAACGCGGACTCGCTGGATTCGTCCCCAGTGCCGGTTAAACCTGCTAATTGGTATTGATAGACGCTGAAGCAACACATCACATCAAAAACACCAATCGAATAAGTTGATGTCTGTTGTGAAGAGTCTCTGTCTCAAAAGGGCGTCGAGCTCTATATCCATGAAGAAGCCTCCTTTCTACACAGTTTTCCCGCAGAAGAAGCTAGTAAACCGTATATTGTTTGAATTGGACAGCAAATTGACGTTGCCAAAACTATACCCAGTTTACGAGTCTATTTACTGTTCACTGGGGAAAAATGAGCCAGAGTTCTTGATTCCCACTTCTTTTAGAGCTTCTGATGTTATGATAATGAAAAAAGTATTGGAAAAGCTGCGACATCGCACCAAAAGTGTCAATAGGAACCTCGTAGATTTGGAGAACGAGCTTCTGGAAAAGGCAGCCGAAATGGGCGACAGTGATGCTATTGCAGTATTGTCATTTAAGGTTTTGAAAGCCCCAGATAAGAATTCTTCAGAGGACATCACACACGCCAAAAAGCTCATTAAAGAATTGTACCAACTTCGTCATGCGCTAACCATTAAACTCACAGGAGATTTTGCATTCAAGAACATGGACTTCGATAATGCCGGGATTTATTACAATCAGTTTTTAGCCATCGAGAGAGACACTTATCGAGCCGGTGAGGTTTACGGGAAGCTGGGGATCATAAGCTTCAAGAAACCAAACTTGATTGAGGCTGAGCGATGCTTATTGGCGAGCATACGCCTTTGTCCCCTGGAAAGTATTGTGCAATCTTATTATCATTTGGCGCAAATTTATATGGACTCAGAGCCACTGAAAGCCAGAGCATTAATGGAAAGCGCAGCCAGTGAGGGATTCAAGGAGTCCTTCCGACTACTAGGGTTTCTTGAAATGAACTACTTCAAGAACTATAATAAATCGCTTGAGTGGTTCAAGCTCGGAATGGAACTGTATGATGTGGAGTGTTTTATAGGCTATTTTGACTGTTGTGTGAAGTTACAAGCGTGGAGAAAAGCCGGAAATTGCTTGAAAAGCATGCAAAACCTTTCAAGAGCTAGTATGTCTGCCGAAACAGCGGTCCAAAGTTTTCTGAGCTCGCGCAAAGCTCATATTCAAAAGCTTGAGACGTACTCAAACGCAGTTGTGTCTCCCCACAAGCTAGCAGACGTGGCCAGCGTTAAAGATGGAGAACTTCAAAGAGAGAATAGGTGGAAGTTATGAATTCAGTCATAACCAAGGAGGTTTGTAATATACAACTACGTCCCCCGACCTTTTCGAATCCCAATGGCTTATGCTGTTGAAAAATCTAATTTCTTCCAAGTACCCACTGTTCTTAAGTAAGTCCTTCATAAAGATTTCGTCGAGGTGCTGGAAAACAATAAGGTACTCGGGCCATTCATGTGTATAGACTTTATTCGGTGATCTCAATTTTTTACGGAAAACGGGTGGGAAGTTTTGATAAATAAACTTGGTAACGTCATCGTATAAATGGTCACTCTCGTCCATGTAAGACGGGAGTTTAATCTGAGCTTCGGGGTCCGACAATAAATGTAGGGGAGGCTCACATGTTATAGCCCAAATATCATCAATGTCTTGGCGGTGAATATAAGATTGCCAGGGTGTTGAATGACAAGGCATCATAAACCCAACGCTGTGAATTTTGGGTATCTCGTGCAAATATTTAGTGACCTCCACAACACCTGTTTCGTGAAAGGATGACAGAATCGTAGATGAAATGACAGAAAGAAAAGGAGCAATCAAAATGTACCATCTAAACAGTTGCTTTCCTAAGTTTTTTTTTGGTGAAAAATCAGTGAAGACAACACTTGAGATGACGAGAAAGAAAGGCTGCAGATTATAGAGGAAGCGAAACTCTTTGTGTTTTATCATCGAAAACAATAACACGTTTATCAAAACAATAGATTTTATTTGCGTCCAAGGACTATTGAAGCACGTCGAGGCTTTGCTGGCCTTGACGAAAAAAAATCCGAAAAGCAAAAGCGGTAGGGAATAGCCCAGGATTAGGGGCAGGCTTTGGGAAAGGTGAAAATGCCAGGGTGCCGTGCCATAAAATTCTGACAGCGCGCTCGTGTAATTGAATTTAACGAATCTGAATGCTGGAAAGAAAACTTCACCATAAAAGTAGTAGTCAATTGCCAAGTTCAAAGCCACAACACTGAGTAGTACTAAGATCACTTTTCTGAACAGTATACTAAGAGATCTGTACTCCCCCTTCGATATGAGATTTAAACCCATAAACAGACCCATGGGACCCCAGATAAACGCGTTTGTCGGTCTCTGAAGGCAAAGGAATAGACCACAAAACAAACTTTTGGTGAAATTGAAAGTGGTAATACAATCGCCATTGGTCCAGTCCCAGTAAAAGAGACCAATGCTCGTAAGATCCATTTCAAAAGAATTGATAAACGTTCTGGTGATCATAAAGCAATTGAAAAAGTTTGTCGTAGAGAGCACTAAAGCACTTTTCTTAAGCTGGGCTCTTCTACCAGACATTTCGTCCCGATCAAAACATTTGTAATAAATTTTCTCAGTCAACCTAATGGCATAAAATTCCCCTACGGCGGCAATAATTGCCATTAAGAGTTTGGGGCCGTAAATGACACCTTTATATTCAATGTATTCACTGACCTCCCTTGGAAAACTCTGCATCTCCACAGCCATGTCCCAAGCAAAATTGGATTTAGATGCAAAATTATGAGCCATCAGGACAAACAAGTCCACGTTGATGGAAACGACAAAAGCTATAGTTGCCGCCAAAAGAGCAACTGCGCGATATACAATTTCAAACATGAAAGGAAATGCGTAACTTCTAAGCCCAAATTTCCATTCCCAAGTCAGCTGCCCATAACCGAAGGCTTTGACATGTGCGGGTTCCAATGATTGCCAGAATTCATCGGGTTGAAAGAAGGACCTTACAAAGAAACAGTTTATAATGCGAAAAACAATTAGCGCGCACAAAATCGTCTTTCTCGAAACCTTTTTAACTTCACCATTATCAACAGGCTCATTGATTTGCTTTGTTGTGGTCTTTGAAGTCGCAACTTTCATTATCGCCGAAAGTTCGTATGTTTCTTGCTTAATTTGAGACATGTAATCAATATCGATCTTTTAAAATCTCACCTTAAAACCATAAAGTCAAACATGTTGAACTTCTCAGGACAAGCCAAGCGTCGAAACGTCAATTTGGGTAGTAGGGCAACAAGATCGAAACAAGACCTTTTGAATGATGCCAGAAAGGAGCGAGAAAGGCGAGCCCTAGCAAAGAAAGATGAAGAGAGTGCATTAGTGATTCAGAAGACTATTCGAAGATGCACCAGCAATAAAAACGTTTTCAAACATCTTACACAAAATATGACAAGTCAAAAGGCAACACAGCTAATAATAGCATATCCGGTGGCGCTCTTCCAGTATTTACCCGAATCGGAGCTTATTAGGGCTTTAGAGATAATGGTCAACGATGGCCGATCAGTAGTTAACCTAAGGTTAACCCGACTAGTTGAAGCTTTAGGTACGCACAAGTGCTCTCTAGAACTTTTGGCAAGTATCTGGGCTAAGTTCACCACTGAAACTTCACCACGACCTGAGTTTGTACCTGCCGTTGTAAAATTCCTGACTGAAGCATCTTACACAATTCCCAAGGAGGCCATTATCAAGCTCGTTGAGCTAATAGAGCAGCTTCGCATCCCAGATACCGATTCGATATCTGAATTGTTCGGGATTTCTGTCGAAGCGGCACAGAACGCAAGCAACCCAAGGTGCTTTTTGCGCGCGTTAGGAACTATGTGTTCCCCTCAAAATATTAATAATAAGGATGCTGGCCGGGATTTGATAGAGAACCTTGCATACTTGTTTGGTATTCTAGGGACTGCACAGAGGTCAATATACAGTCATGTCATTCTGAGGTGTTTGACGCATGTTGATCAAGGATGTTTAAGGGATACCCTCTACTTCAAGGAGCTCTACACGCGAGCCTTCGTAGATACGATAATGCCCACCCAACTCGGTCACGTCCTTGAAGAGCTCTCAGTCTTTGTCAGCCATGCCCCGAACGTGGACTATAAAAATAATGTTTTGGTTAGTTTAGTAGCTAAACAAGATTTCATGATGGAAGTACATCAAGAGGTATTCCAAAGGTCATTGAGTGAACATAGACAAATTACAGGTGCAGCTCTACTTTTTGAGACGCTGAATATTTATTTATCAGTGGCCAGTGACTTAGAGGTTCTGCACAACAAGGACTCTTATCCACTTCAGTATCTGAAAGAAGCTACTGACTATTTGAAACAGGTTTGCTTCCGAAGTCTTTGGAATCTAAATGAATCTGGACATGCACTTCCTGACTGTTACTTGAATACTCTAAAGAAGATTCACCTTCGCGACTCTAGGCTTCATTTTTTTCCGAGATCTGAAAATTCAGATTATTGGAGTGTAACCGATAATGAATTTGTGAATGTCAATATCACAAAATATATTGAAGAGTTCGAATTATTCTATCGTGACCGTGTGGATAATCTTGACTTCAAAGACGAAGACACTGAAGACATGGAACTTTTTGAGAAAAAAAGATCGCTGCGGTACGAATTTCTGTTTGAAGCTGAGAAATCTTTTGTAAAGAGAGCGACGACACGACAATTTAAGAAGTTGAATATCCTTTCCAGAGCGCCATTTTTTATACCTTTCCAACAGCGGGTGGATTGGCTCTATTTTCTAATTTCGATAGACCACAAGCGTCTTAATATTGATCCCAATGACTTATCCGCAATGTTTACGCCGTGGAGTTCGAATTCGATTTCGTCTAAGCAAACTGCCACGATCTCTCGAGAGCACTTGTTAGAAGATGCTTTCAATGCGTATAATCCTATTGGTGAAAGCTTCAAATCAAAATTATCGGTTACATTTGTGAATCAGTTTGGTCCTGAGGCTGGGATAGATGGTGGTGGGATTACAAAGGAATTTTTAACCAGCGTTTCGGATGAAGGATTTAAGCAAGACCAGTATCATCTATTCAAAGAAAACCATGATCATGAGCTTTATCCATCTGACACACTTACTTCTGCGCAGCATGTCAAATATCTATGGTTTTTGGGCAAAGTTCTTGGCAAGTGTCTGTACGACCATGTTTTGATAGATGTGAACTTTGCAGATTTCTTCTTAAAGAAGTTACTGAATGTAAACCAGTCTAATTCGTCTTTTGACGATCTTGCCAGTTTCGATTCTGCCCTCTATTCTAATCTTGTGAAACTGCTTGGAATGAGCGCTGATGAATTACAAAACTTGGGGTTGCGGTTTGAAATTACCGACGAGGCCACTCTGCAAACCGTGGACCTTGTGCCAAACGGGTCCGATATAATAGTTACAAAATCCAATACATTGCAGTATCTATTTGCGGTAGCGGACTTCAAGTTAAATCGGAAACTACGTTTGGGGACTCGATCGTTTACAGGGGGTCTTTATACCATGATTCCACCACATTGGCTGGAGATGTTCAATTCTATTGAATTACAAATGTTGATCTCCGGTGGTGGAAAAGACATTGATCTCTCAGACCTACATCGACACTCGGAGTACGGCGATTTTTCTGAACAAGACCAGACCATTCGTGATTTTTGGACGATTTTGGCAGAATTCGAGCCTCAAGATCGATTTAAGTTTGTGAAATTTGTCACTTCAGTACCCAGAGCTCCCTTACAGGGTTTTGGCTCTCTGAATCCTCTTTTTGGAATCCGTAATGCTGGCCCAGACGCTTCACGACTTCCGACCGCATCAACCTGCGTAAATTTGCTCAAATTGCCTGACTACAGGAATCGCGAAGTGCTTAGAAATAAACTACTATACGCAATCAATGCAGAAGCCCGTTTCGACTTGTCTTAGGTCGTGAAGCAACCAATCTTAGCGGCTTTAGTTTGTAGTTGTATTATTCGGCAAGTACTTGTCATTGTAAACGGTTTTACTGGTGCTTCGTTTTAACTTTCCGCAAGACACTTCAATCCACTATCAATTAAAGATAGTTACTAATAAATAACTATCAGAAGATAAGTGAACTAAATACCTTTGGTCCCATGGGTAATAATCAGCTGCTCCGAAAGGCTTCTAGTGCCGCGTTAATGAACGTTCTGGGGGCAAAACGGGTTTCCGGTAGTGTGGTACTTCGTAGGTCGAGTGATCAGAAATACTCGCATTCAGGTCCATATGATGATGGTCAAAGCGATGATTTGGACATTGATTTGATGATATTTAGTCTTGCATTTATGCTCACATGCTACTTGATGTTAACAGTGGTTTATTTCGCGGTCAGATACTTCCTGAGACGGTATTTCAGGTCCGGTATCGCTCTAGGAAGCGATAGCGAGCATAGCGTGGCAGGGACATCAGAAAGATTTAGATGGACCAGCACATTAGATGATCCAGATGAGGTGAAAGATAAACTTGCTAGTATGTCTCCTGAGGAGCAGTTCTATTACAAACAGGGGGAAGAATACATTCGGCAAAATCCGCCTTTGCTAATACCGGAGAACTCTTCGGCAAGCGAGGTCGACCCGATCATCAACGAACAGTCCATTCAATTCATTGAGGAAGAAGGCGCTTGTGCATGGGAGTTTCAGCCCGACCCAAAACTTCCGAATGACAGCATTTTGGTCGAAAACCGGTCCGAAATAACCTTTCTTAATTACAATTATGACGTGTCTGTGATGACCAATTTACCCATTCCTCGTTTAAACCGAGTTTACTATTGCGAATTTAAGATCTTCGAATTGAACACTGCTGGCAGTAATAATAATCATCTTTCTCAAAATGAGACAATATCTTTTGGATTGTCCACTTGTCCATACCCTTATTTTAGACTTCCCGGAAGGCATCATCACTCGATAGGCTACGATTCTACTGGAGCACGAAGACTAAATGACTCTTTCGAACTTTCGTCACAGTTGGCATCCATTTTTCCTCGCTGCGAAAAGGGTGACGTTATTGGTATAGGTTATCGAACCAACAGTGGAACAGTCTTTTTCACTCGCAACGGTAAGAAGCTCAGTGAAAGGTCAATTGGAGGGCATATTAAAGGCTGGAAATTCAAGTACGTCTACCCTATAGTGGGTTCAAACATACCCTGTAAAATCCACGTGAACTTTGGTACCTATGGATTTGTGTTCATTGAAGCTAACGTGAAGAAATGGGGCTATGCCAAATCCCATGGCTTGAAATTACCACCACCTTCCTATGACAATTATGGGCAGGATATGCTACTCGAAAGCGGCTATGAAGACGATGACACGGATGTTGAAAGCATCTCAACGACTGATGGCGACATAATGGATCAAGAGGGTCACCTCCTGCCTCCACCGCCAGGATTCGAATTTAGCGTTTCTCCTCAACCCTCCAATGCAGGGCAATTTACATTGAACTCCTTACCAGCAGAGCCACCAAGATATGCGTCTAATGAGGCAAATACACAGGAAGAAGAAGAAGCGGCAATTCAGGTGGAAGAGGTGGCTCATCTAAATGAGGAGGAACGGAATGATTCATATGGTGGAAACGAACTAGGCAAAAATACTATAGCTAACCAGTTCTTATAGAGGTGGTTTCAAGGTTTTCAATTATCTCGAGGGACATGTAGCCAATTATAAGTACAAACAAGTACTCCATTACGGAAGTGCAAAATCAAGGAGGTGTGTATGATTGCTTTACCGATAATACAATGCTATTAAGATGCTGTTTACTAAATAAGATAAACACTTGGTAATAAAAAGCTTCTCATAAATGCTTTTATAGCGCTCAGAAATAATTTTGAACATTTTTAGTGTTTGCGTTATTCTGGTCTTCGAAAATCAATAGATTATTGAGACCACTTTGTTCTTCATTGCCCATTTCAGATTTTAAGAAATCTGGAGTTCGAGGTACGTTAGAATCAGTAAATTGAGACGGTACATTGTCGTTTCCTGTCGACGTGGTGGAATGCTGTGCAAATGAGTGAGGTTGTGCTGTGGAAGAAGAAACAAATTGAGAATTATTCTGTTCTCCCATTCCGTAAATTCCGTCTTGATCATTAAAATCATCAAAAAATGGCTGTTGTTGCTGTTCCATAGCATGTGGTTCGGGATGAAGGATTAACGGTTGTGTATCGGAGGCATTCATGGGATCTTGTGATCTGTGCGTTATTTCACGCTCCCGACCGTTGTAATCTTGTATCGTAGCATTCATGAAATTTAAAGATTCCTCTAAACCAGTAATAACATGAGGAATATTGGATCCACCAATAAAAGCCTCACTCACTTGTCTTCCCTCCGAGAAGTCTTCACAGATGGACCACTGATTTGAAGAATACTGGTCTACTCCATCAGAAAAGTAGACGGCAAACGTAGGAGACTTAGTAACGTTGAGCCGAAGTTCGTAGAGTTTGTCTTTGGCTCGTACGTCATCTTTGACATGCCCTTCGTCATCATCATCATTATCCAGGTTAGGTAAATCTTCAGGACTGGCGGTCACAGAGCAATCTACTACCGTATTTATGGGAAAGAAAATTCGGAACAGAATTTTGGTGTTGTTAGCGATAGCGCTGAAGAAATAGTTGATTTCGTGATTTTTTTTAGAGATCAACACCATGAGATCCGTAGCGTTTGCCATGATCTCATTGATTGAAAAGGGAGATAGGTTGGATAGACTTTTAATCGAGGTCAATTCCTCCGTTTTCAAATTTCCGCTCTTCAAACGTTTCCAGGTGCCCACTGTAAGCGATTTGACATCCAGAAAGCAGTAGTTGGGATTGGCCTCAAGTGAAATTCTATCGAAGTCAGCAGCAGGGTATGCTGCATTTGTTGCTGCGTTCATATCTGTAGCAGCGGGTACATCGGAGTTTCCATTGTTGTTGTTTGTAGCCATAGTGCTGCTGCTATTAGGGCCACCACCACTACCGCTTGTCCCACGATCTGATTTGCGATGCTTCGCGCGCCTATTTTGAAACCAAATTCGCACGTTTTTCTCGGGCAGACCTGTAATTTCAGAGATGCGTTTGCGATTCTGGGCATTTGGATTAGGGTTTTCGTCGAACTCACGCTTGAGAACGATCAACGCCTCACCAGTAGCGCGCGTTCTTTTGGTCCGAGGTCTGTCATTAGGGTCAGCTGGAGTGCTGCCTGATCGTGAAATATCTTTGGCGTCGTTACCGTGCGTTTCCACGCCTGTGCTGCCACTGTCTCGTCTGTCGCCATTGCTGAAACCTTGTGACACATCGTACGCCTCTTGGTATTGGTTTTGGTATTCTAGCCCGTTCTCACTGTAGTCTTCCATCGTATTGCTAGGAAGAGGCACAAATTAGAAAGGCGGTTCAATTGTACAAGCGGAACTCAAATAGAAAAAGGGCACACGCGTCTTTTTGAATGAGGTTTTCTTTCGCGAATAGATAGCGCTTAGCAAAAAACCAAGGATCGCTCTTCGTAATGCCGATTCGATGGCTTGTTTTATCCTTGCTTTTCGGTTCTCGCGATAATGTTTGTTGTTGGATGATAATTGAATGTGATTGTAAGATTCGTGATTTTTAATTTTTGAAAAATTGACACAAGTCATACTCTACGTAAATCCGTTCATTTTTAAGTGCTATTGAATATGAGTACTTTTGTACCCCCAAAACAATGAGTACAATTAGTTACCAGGCTTATTAAATGAATTATTAGGACATTGCACAATGAATTACTGAGTAACTATACCACATTTTTTTCGTAATATGGGCTATCATGTGTACCCATCCTTGGTTGACAATACCCATTTTATTCGCAGGTAATGAGATTCTTTCAGTATGTATCTTGGTACGTACGTGTCATTAATGTGCTTCGTATGTGATTCATACCTAATCATAAGTAATGACAAATAAAATAGAAGTCTTGAGTCCGGTGCCCTGAGGAGTATATTAAATGTTTGTATTCATTATGAAAGGAGATTTTTCTCGGTCACCCGAAATCTAGGATCAGACTCAAGATGTTCTTTCTCGGCTTTTATATAGTTCGAAAGACACATTAAATTAAACAAAAGCGTAAAAATAAAGTTGTGCTTTGAATAAGAGAGCTATCGGGTCGAGTAACTGTGTCTTTGTCATTGCCAAATAGCCCGGTAGCATGGGAGCTTTAGGGCTTTGTGAAATTACTAATCCATGCCAATATATTATATTCGAATAATTAATAGAATTTTGGTCAAGTTTAAACATAGCTTTAACTTTTAATAATCAGATTAAACGCGCGCTCGATTTCGTCTTATTCAATCTCAATTTGAAAAGTTCAGAGGCAAAAAGATGTTTAAAGCGTGACGGGAACATCAGCAAATAGATTGAGTTGAATGTGTATTAATGTGGTTTGAAGCTTTGCCTGACCGGAAAGAGAGCATCACAGACGACATATACGCATTGAGTATTCTGACGACAAAGTATCTCTGGAGCTCTCGTGCGAAATCGCTACTCGCCGATCAAATATAACGATACTGTGTATCTCACATGGCAATTGGCTGGGTTTCTTTACCAGATTATTTGCAATCATCTTGTGGTAGGAACCTTGTGCTATTTAGGTAAATCAGAATAACATCTTAACGAAGAACAATGACAAAATAGTATAAAGTGATTACGGTACAACACGGGCGGTAAATGTATTACTAGGTGCATCATCTCGAACTGGAGACAAGTATCAGACGATACTCTAGAGTGGTCTGAAGTCGACTAATGAATCAGTGGGCATGGCTAATGTATCATTCGGCGTACGAACTATTATACAGACTGCGAAATAGTTTTTTACGTTCAGTCAGCTTCAAAGTACATACCGACCAGTCGATGGATCAACTTTATAGCTGAGAGAGCCACAGACATATAAATAGAGCCCAGAATCTAATACGAGTAATGAGACATAACATGAACGACTTTAATGACCAATCTAGCAAGTTAGCCACTGCTGATGCAGATGGCTCAATAATTAAAAAATACCTCAGCTTGTTGACATGGTGATCAGAAGGTACATTATCAGGCCGACCAAGAAATGTTTATTTGCGGTTGACTATTAAGCGCATCGAGATTATACTCTCATACACAGAGAGAACTAAGACAAGATCTTTTCAGCTAACACTTATTTCGTATTAAAAACTACTTTACTATATCCATGGGCAACATTACCAGCAGCCTCAAAAACTTGAAACTGGTCGGTAGATATTAGCAATTCACATCAGGCCCTTTAACTAAATATGCTCGGTCTGGTAGAAGTTAATATATAAGGTACAAACAAGAAGAATAGCTTGCAAATTTAGTAAGGTGTGCTACTTCCCACTATGGTGCTTTTATTAAATCTCGCGACTTGGTCTTGACAAATTAAGGAGAAAACCCACGGTTTCGTTCAGCGTACGTTCGTTTCCGATAACAACGACTTCATATCTTGAAAAACTATAAATGTCCTGCTATGTTACTTATCCTCCGATTGAATATCAAACTCTGTAAAGTTGAAGTCTCGTAGTCATCAATCAAATATCTGTCCCGAGAACTTGGCAGTTTGACTCCCCTTTGGCAGAGAACCAAGAGTTTTTCTCATTTGCATTAACTTTTACTAACTACATGTAGAAGGCCCAAAAGATTTCACTTTCACCCGTTTCTAAAAAATTATATTACTGTCCAGATTGGCTTAGGTGTTGGGGGGGACTCCCATTATCCACGTCAAATTGAGTGAAAAGTACAGGTTCAGAGATCTTCTTCGAATCAACGCATTTCCTTTACTTTTTCTCGGCGTTCCTAAAAAGTTCAACCTTTTGTAGAAACAGTTATTTTTACCTCTATGGGTTTCTACAGCTTGCTACCCAGGTTCACGTAGACAGCTTTTACATTAGTGAAATTGGACAATCCATATTCTCCTAGTTCACGGCCATGACCGCTCATCTTAACACCTCCGAAAGGCAATGCTAGATCGAGCTGGTTAGAGGAATTGATGTAACAGATACCGGCTTCGACTTGAGATGCGAATTTATGAGCTTGGGAGATGTTCTGAGTGAAGATCGCCGATCCGAGACCATACGTGGAGTCGTTGGCCACTTCTAGGGCCTCATCGTAGGTGGAAAATCTACCAACTACGAGAACAGGCCCGAATATTTCCTCACGAGCCACAGCGTAGTCTGGCTTCACATCAGCTAAGATAGTTGGTTTAACGTAAAAACCGGATTTGTGTTTTTCGGACTGCGCGATGGTGTCTGGTAGACCTAAGCCTCCAAGGGCAACACGGCACCCTTCATCAATACCCTTGTGGATGTAAGATTGGATGCGCTCCTGTTGCGTTTTAGAAATTTGTGGCCCAATGAGTACATTTGGATCTGTTGGTGGTCCAACGATATACGTTTCCTCGACGTGTTTTGCCAAAGCGTCGACGAATTTGTCATAGATTGCGTCCTGGACAAAACATCTAGAGGTACCGGAACAGATTTGGCCCATATTATAGAAAATACCTTGGGCGGTCCATTTAACGGCTTGCTCGAAATCTGCGTCGGCAAAAACCAAATTTGGAGATTTACCACCACATTCCAAAGTAAGAGGTTTCAAGTTGACTGCAGCCGCTTTCTGAATCATTTGGCCAACGGCAGTGGAACCGGTAAACGCAATTTTGTCAATGCCGAGATGCTTGGACATGGCGTCACCTACTTTGGCACCTGTACCGGAAATAACGTTGAAAACACCGGGAGGGAAACCAGCCTCTTTGACCAACTTCGCGAAAAACAAGACGGACAATGGTGTTTGCTCGGCACTTTTAAAAACAGTTGTGTTTCCGGTGGCAATGGCGGTCCACTTCCATGACATCATGGCCAGGGGATAATTGAATGGGATGATGCATCCTACAACACCCAAAGGTTGGTGGAGGGTGTAGGTGAGCGTGTTTGAGTCTGGGCAGAAGGACTGTCCTTGAGCTTTGTCGGCCCATCCGGCATAGTATTTGAGCACCTGCGAGATAGCCAAAACGTCGTATTTCGCGTTCGTGGCAATAGGTTTTCCACTGTCCAGAGATTCCACCTGGGCCAGAATTTCGACGTTTTCCTCGACCAGCGACGCCAACTTCAGCAATAGGTCTCTTTTCTGCACCGCAGGCGTGTCTCTCCATCCGGGAAAGGCCTTGCGTGCGGCTAGCACAGCCTTATCGACGTCGATCGTGGCGTCAGCAACCTGCACCGCAGCAATAACCTTACCTGTGGAAGCGTCGATCGACTCGATTGTTTCGTCGGATGATGACTGCACATACTCGTTATTGATGAACAGACCCAAGGGCTGCTTGTAGCTTTCTCCCGATGGCAACTGGATATCCTGGAACATTGTATAATTTTTGAAATCAAACTTTCCTCGTTGATCTGATTTTTGGTATAAGCTCTTGAAAAAGAATTCTAGTGCTGCTCAAAAGCCGTGTTCTAAGTCTCTTTCGTCTATCACTGATCTATAGTCGACTATTCACGACTTTTTATGTCAAGATCGAGTTTAGATTCTCGACAGTCGCCACTTAGACACTTATCTTTTCCTTTTATACATTTCCCGCCAGCTTGATTGGAATCTTCCTTATTTTTTTGGATCTTGCTATCTAAGCGCCCCCCCATCGACTAGAAGAAAATATTTGGTCGACAAAATCAATGGAGAGAGGCCTGAGTAGACAAACAGCTCGATTAAATGCGCCAAGATAAGCAGAATGCCGCCTTGAAAGAGCAGAGATCCGCTCAATTAGTAGAGGGACGCGGGATACGTTATGGGCGGAAAGGCTACAGAACTGGAGCGATCGAAAGGGGTCCTTTTGGAGGGCGTGAAATGAGAAAGGGTTGCTGGAGGTAGCTTTCTGGGTTGCAGCAGGACGCTTACGGATAAATGCGGTGGTGTTTAGTGCTAGTGAGCGATTGTGAAATGTGGGAGGGTGATATCTAGCAATCTGTGAAATCTGAGGGAGAACTAGTAGTCTTCAACAATTGCGATCTCCGTTCGATCGCATTGCAGAAATGATTTGGCTGGCGAGTCAGTAGATACAAATAGCAGTTTGCAGGTCTGCTGGTTCTTTATCAGCATACGTCTGCGCACGTTCATGAAGCAGGTAGACGCATTAGACTGGAGGCTGTGAGTAACAGGTGCCAGTTGATAATCAAAGGAGTGCTGCGCAGTCGAGAGAGCGGCACAAACTTCATCGCAGATCTAGTCTCGCGAGATACTTGGATCGTTGACACATCCATTGTGAATGAGCTTGTGCGCCGCAGCCGTTACGACACAAAAGTACAAAGTGATATGCATTTCTGTATCCAATTAGAAGGTCAAACTACTTGTCTCTTTCTCTTCTCCTAGCCTTCGTAACCTGCACACATCACGCTACTCGCTGTCGCATGCACCATGCAGAATTACTGAATCGCAAGAGAATCCGCAGTAGCGGTCGTCGCGCTTGTGATACTGATATTCTGACTCATACTAAGTTTATGTTTCAGCCTTGTAGCTCACACCCAGCACACTCACTGTTCCTCAATTTGACAGTTACAGTTCTGCGCATAGATCTCTTTTTGATTCATTCGCTTTGAGCATATCGCATTTCAGGAAATTCGCTACCGACTGTTGGCCTAATTCAATTAGCGCCTCCGGGGCTCATATTTCAGCCAATAAACGCTATCCGTCCCTACTTTGCGCGATCAAAGAGCATTTTGAACTTGATATCCTGGCATTCTTATCGCCCTGTTAGATTTACTCTTTTAGAATTACAGTGCGGAAAATACACAGTTGATAAGCAAATGTAGGTCTTTCGCAATGTAACGTGGCCGGATGACCTTTAGTATATTTGTAACTAATATTTGACGTTTATAAACCAGTTTCTTTGCTCTCCGGTAATACTTAGGAGTACAGGACCGGACATCTTCCAATTACAGACTTACGACCAATATGGCGCTCTTTTCAGAACTATCAATTCCACAACTCAACATTACCTACAAACAACCTTTGGGCTTGTATATCAATAACGAGTATGTCGCTTCCAGTGACCAAGCTCAGATCGAAACTGTCAACCCAGCAAATGGCAAGTCCATCACCTCATTTTACGCAGCTTCCGCTGCGGATGTCGACAAAGCTGTAGCCGCAGCTCGTGAGGCTTACGAATCTGTGTGGAGCAAGACTTCTGCAGAAGAGCGTGGCGTGCTCTTGAGCAGGCTGGGCAAGCTCATTGCTGAGAATAAAGAGCTGCTGGCCGCCATCGAAACCCTGGACTCCGGGAAACCCTATTTTACCAATGCTTTAGCGGACATCGATCAGATTTGCCAGCTAACCACCTACTACGCTGGGGGTGCCGACAAGTATTCTAAGGGCCAAATGATTCCTATCAACCATGATAAGTACGCCTACACAGTCAAGGCTCCCTACGGTGTTGTGGCTCAAGTGATACCCTGGAACTATCCGCTGGCCATGGCGAGTTGGAAAATGCAAGGTGCGCTGGCCGCTGGTAACACCATTGTCATCAAACCAGCAGAGAACACTTCGCTGTCACTGCTGTATTTTGCTCAGCTATTCGATCAGGCCGGTTTTCCACCTGGTGTGGTAAATGTTGTTCCAGGGTACGGATCAGTTACTGGCCACAGTCTTTCCTCCCATAAAGATGTCGACAAAATCGCTTTCACCGGTAGTACTGCAGTAGGTCAACAAGTAATGGCTTTGGCAGCTACGTCTAATTTGAAAGCCGTTACTCTGGAGTGCGGTGGTAAGTCCCCAGCGGTCGTCTTTGAGGATGCTAATCTAGACGAGGCCGTCAAATGGACAGCAGCAGGCATTTTCTACAATTCGGGCCAAAACTGTACTGCTAATTCGCGCTTGTTGGTACAAGAGTCTGTCTACGACGAATTTCTTGCCAAGTTTGTCAAGCAAGCCCAAGAGCAGTGGAGTTTTGGTAAGAACGGCTGTGATCCTTTCGACGAGTCTTGCACAGTGGGGCCTGTCATTTCCAAAACGCAGTTTGACAGAATTCAAGGCTACATCAACCACGGCAAGGTTCAGGAGAAACTCAGCCTCAAGCAATTGGAGGCTCCCGATGCAACAGATGGGTATTTCATTGCTCCGACCATATTTACAGAGGTTCCCCAGGACTCTAAGTTAACTCAAGAGGAAATTTTTGGGCCCGTCGCCGTGCTACTGAAATTCAAGGACTACGACGAGGCTCTTGCCTTGGCCAATGGTACCAACTACGGACTGGCGTCTGCCGTCTTTACTGAAGACATTCGCAAGGCCAATCACTTTGCTCGCGACATCAAAGCCGGCACCGTATGGATAAATTCCTCAAATGATGAAGAAGTCGCAGTTCCTTTTGGAGGTTACAAAATGAGTGGATTGGGTCGTGAGCTAGGAGAAAGCGGTATGGACGCCTACTCCCAGACAAAATCAGTACACGTCAACATTTCCAAATTATGAATAAGATCAAGTAACGGTGTATAGTTTTAACGGCTTACTTAGACTGAGTACTCGAGTGGTACTCGCGTCATGCAAGGCCCTCAGTATGAAATAATCATAGTATATGCGAAGAGTTCGAGGTATCAAATGGTATTTGATCCAATGATAACTCTCGGCTAATGATTCCTCGATCGCGAGCAGTTAAGTCTAGAAGTCCGTGTACAGTTTGCGTGAAGCGGAAAGTCAAGTGTGATCGTGAAGTGCCGTGTTCGAATTGCAGCAAAAGAGGCCAACAAGAGAAATGTATAGCATCTAACCGTGTCAAGCTAGACAAGGTGGGGGCCGAGCCTTTAGAATACAAACAGGAATATTTGAAACTATGGCATGAATATAGGTATTGGGTTTTCGACTGGGGTCTATTGCAAAATGCGAGTCGGCCAAGTGTACGGCAACAGTCGGATTGGAAAACTCAAATCGAACGGGCAGATTACTGGAGCAATAAGTTGAACATGGACATGTCATTCAAATTGCTCGACTATTCAGTGGAGAAACTCGGTGGTCTCTATTTTGGGGTTTTAGGAGACGTGGGAGAACTCTACATGGAACTAGAGACCTATTGGGCTCGTATCAGGGGCGATCGTGCTGAATACGGCCCCGAGAGTTATTTCTGGAACGCTATTCTATGGTCAGTTCTCACATTAACTGTGCATTACATACCATTGAGCGTCTTAGAGGCAATTATGTTTGAGACGCAGTTCTCAGAATTTCCTACCGAAGTAGAGCCTAGGTTCACCGAGCAATTGAGAGATGAGCTGGTGAGCGAGTTTATCAATGTTACAATACAAATGTTGAAAAGGGCTAATTTTTTGGAGTGTCCCAATATTAGAACGATACAGACATATTTGATTTTGGCTTCAACTCCATTTCCCATCCTTGAACCTGCATTGGCAAATAGCCTCTTGACCCATTGTCTGCATCTCGCCAAGTACTGGCAAATAGACCAATTCCGGCCTTTGGTAGCGGATACTCCAGATCTAAGACTCACAAAGCTAGCATGCGAGAAAATTTGGTATCGGTTATGCGTTCATGACTACAATCAATCAGGTCGTAATAAACCTTTATCAATTCACGAGAGCAACAACTCATTGCTAAACCATGCGGCTTTTTTGATGGATAAGCCCAACGTTGATGTGTATCAGAGTGAGGAAATGTTTGAAACTCTTCTCTGGAAAGTGACCTCCCTGGATAGGGACCTTGAAAGATATTTCACAAGCCAAACCAAACCGCCTCTCAAAACGCTGGACGCAGTTCAACGGCAAATAGACATTTTCCTTCATAAGATTGGCAATCTTGACTCCAAAAGCTCCTCAAGCATCAGATGCGAAAAGTTTGTTGTTAGTTTTCTGTTAAACGTGGTCAACTGGAAGCTTAGCAATTTGACCTATACGTATTATGATCAAGACAGCGGTGCTGCCAAAATCACACAGTTGAGCACGTTGTTAATAGCTCAAGTCTTGAACAATATTAAGAGTCAAATGGACTACTTGAATAGATTACCGATTGTTCTCGTATCGTTGGTCAAGATTCTTGGCTTTCATTCCTTATGCTTCATCTTCGACAAATCGGCAATAAATGAACAGCTGGCACTCGACATCTCAGAAATCTTTCAAAGTAAAGACCTCAAGTACAGCGGATTGTTGAGGGCAGCAGCAGGATTGTCTGAAAGGCTACGGGAATTAAGGAAACTTTGGAAAACAGTGCGCATCATAGATGATGGGCAAACGCTCAATCACCCGGTTTTTAGAATACTGCAAGATGATATTTCAAGGTTTCAAGAAGACAGCCGAAGACTAAATCGAGTATTTCTCAAATCTGATGACATAGCTTTCGAAAGCCAGGAGGAAGAAGAAGCTCAAAGTTATGAGTTTATGCAAATTGTTCGGCAGTTTGAGAGTGCGTTCAGCCTCCAGAAAATTCTTGATTCAAAAGTTTGAAGGCTAACAGCGCTCAAATATTTTATACAGGCCGGGCAAGTTGGCTACTTCAACTATACTGCCTTTAAGTGAATTAGGTGCCAATAACCTTTTTTTCACGCAGGGGAATATTGTCTCTTCCAGAAAATTAGCCACTTGTTCAAGCTTTGTGATGTATCTAGCGCGCATCTCTTCGTCTACCGAGTCGTCATCTGGGTCCATCCTTTCAATCACTTCAGGGGCGTATAGTAAGGCGATCTGTTTCAAAATACCTTGCAAGCATCGCGTTTCATCAGACCAGTCGATTTTACTACCTAATCTGTAGAAAAAATGTGGAAGCTTTGAAAGTGGCGGCATGTAGTTTTTCAAAAGAAGTGGCAAACTTTTGATGATCATGGCTTCCAAATTCTCTTCGCCGCCATAGAGTTCAATAGAGAAGTACTCGTCCAGCATCTCCCTCATCTCCCAAAGTTTGCTAAGCACCATTTTGATAAAATCATTTTCTGTACCCGAGATGTTCTTGAGTATTGAACTGACAGTCAATCCGTGTTTATTGGAAGCATCGTCACTCGTCTCTAGATATATTTTTCCAAAGTTAGCAAAGTCAGTCAACCCCATTTGGTAGAATAGATCGTAGCAAATCGAGCCATAGTCAACTAGAAAAAGCCTTAAGTCATGCTGGATTGCAGCTAATCTTCTTTGCTCGTCGACAACACCGACATACGTCAAATTAGCGAATATGTTGGTCAGTTTTTTGTCAGTCTCACTATCAACTAGTTTCCGAAGCGATTTAATGCTCGCGAGGTTGACATCGACTCTTTGACTAGATAGTGTGGTATATTTGGAATTTTTACCATTCTGTGCTCCAGGTGTGCTTTGTCCTTGCGTCTGTGGTGTATGGGGCTCGGGTACTTCATTTGGGTAGGCTTGAAAGTTCTGAGAGCTATCTGTCCCTTTCACCGCAGGAGGAGAATACTCGGTAGTTTTCAAGTAACTAGTAATTTTGTTTTGCGATGCATCTATGCGAACCAGTTTATTTTCTTGTCGCTTAATCTTGCTGCTGATCGGTGTGATGGGCATGTTATTAAAAAGATGTGAATGCGGTTGACCTAGTCCTTCTCGAATTGACACCGGGTTGGGTGTGAAAATAGAGGTCGTCTTGAAAGAGCGAGATGTATCCACGCTTGAAAGCGTGTTCTCTAACTGACTTGATAGTTGTTCAATAATTTCATCGTCGTGCAGAAAACGGACTTCCCGCTTTGTGGGGTGAACATTAACATCGACCAAATCCGGACGAATTTTGAGGCTCAAAAAGATGAAAGGCTTGTTGCCCTTCGCTAGGAAGGAAGCATACACTTGATTCAATGCCCGGCGAATGGGATCACATGTAACCAGGCGGTTATTTATGAACAGCACAGGAGATATAGCTTTTTTGCTCACAAAATTAAGGTTACTAACCTGGCCATGGGCAGATATACCGAGCTCCATATTTTCGGGCATCTTAAATTCAACTAGCTCGCTCGCAACAGCACGACCAAAAATTGATCGTATCCTTTCCTTCGCATTGGAGCTAGCTCTCACAGCTAATGCAAACTGTGACTCACCGAACTTTTTACAGGAGAACCCTACGTGAGCAGCATTTATCGAGTAGCGGCCAACGCATTCCAGTATTTTAGCAAATTCTTCATTGGGACTTCTTAGAGCTCTTAGGCGGGAGTTCACATTGTAAAATAAGTCTTCAACCAAGATGACAGTCCCATTCTTACCCGCAGTAGGTTTGGCTTCTCCTAGCATTTTTCCGGCCGAGTATGACACTCGCCAGGCGCAAGCATCTTCCTTAGTTTTTGTGGTAACTGTAACTCTTGCAATATGAGAGATACTGGCTAAGGCCTCGCCTCTAAATCCAAAGGTTTGGATGGAGCTCAAATCCTCAAAAGTGGTAAGCTTCGAAGTTGTGAATCTCTGACATAGAATGGCCAAATCACTCTTATTGATTCCTGACCCATTGTCAGTGACCTGCAAAACCTTTAACCCGCCGTCTTTTACCAAAATCTCAATTGATGTAGCTCCCGCATCTATAGAATTTTCTATCATTTCCTTGAGAGCGTTAACAGGAGCCACGATGATTTCGCCGGCTGCTATTTTGTTCACGACCGATTCATTTAAAGGCTAGTTTTGAATGATTAGTCCTCGAGGGTTCTTTATTAGTTATTGTTTCGTAACCAGTTAGTTAGCGGCTTGCGAACTACTTACTTTAATGTGGGAGGGCCCACTCATACTTGTCATGGCTCTTTCGTTTAGGCTTGTAATAAAAGATTCTGTAGATATATACAACTTGGAAGAAGTCTGTCTATATATTTAACAAGCTGAAATTTGAAAGCCATGGTCAGGAAAGAGAGCAGCGACCAACGACCTTCGAAGCGCATCAAGACGGAAAATGGAGATAGGGAAGCTATGCCACAATCTCCTCAAGACGGTGTAGACAGCCTTGTCGAACATTCAGAGTTTGAGATTCTACAAGGATATCGGGAGGTTGACAAAAATGTGAGCAAAGACAGAGTTGAGATAGCAAGGAATGGGGGCAAAAGCATAGCGCTAGACCGTCTAAAAGCTGTCGACAATTTGTTCAACAAAGCCGCGGCAATTGACACGAATAGAAACTCACTTTTGGCTGAAGATTCGCGAGCTGTTCTGAACGTTAGTGAACTCACAGAACTGAGTGTGCGAAACCTCAAACTAGATAGCTCCCAGCATGCATTATACGCGGATGACGTTCTCAACTATTCGAAAAGATTTATGCTTAAGGATTACTTCCAGATAAATGACCTTTCAGAGCAACCGACAGACCTTAGAACGCAGGATCTTGAAGACACCCAAAATTCTTTGGGTCAGGACGCTAATTTGGCTGGCTCTGGGCACGAAATTGCTCAGCGGAGACTTCAACGTGGCTTTTTAAAACAGTTCGAGCAATACGATCAATTTATGCAGTTCGATTGGTTCAAGCTCGGTATGCTTTATCAGACCAAGTCGCGAGCTCCAGCAATTGTTGACCATCTGCTGGGTCCTTTTGCTGCGGAGAAAAAAGTAAGAGCCCCAAGCCAGCGTAGAAGAATTACGGAGGCTGTTGGAAAAGCTGTAACGGCTCAAAGAGTCACGAAAGAATCCCTCAACTCAACTGAAGATAAAACGACACCCGAGCAGGTAAAGAAGTGTTTCGAAGTACTGACAAAGAAAAACGGCTACGGAAAAATTGGTTTGTTCAAGTTTATTATAGATCCAAACTCTTTCGCTCGCTCGGTAGAAAACCTTTTCTACACAAGCTTTCTGATCAAAGAAGGTAAAGTTATTTTAGAGGAAGATTCGGATGGATATCCAGCTATAAGGCCTAAAGAAAAGCTGCCGAAAGATGGTCACCAACGCGACCTCGAGATTCAGCGCCGAAACGACGCGCGCCAGAACCATCTCATTTTCCAATTGGACATGTCCACATGGAGAAAATTAATAAAAGAATTCGATATAGTACAATCATTTATTCCATGAAGCGATGCAATTTTCACTCACAAATCCATCCGGGAACCTCAAGCATTTCGGTCAAAGGCCACTTTTTGATGGGACTTACATCAAGGTTAGTGGTTAAACCAAGGGTTTCGTATAACTCTATTCCGGCCCATCCAATCATTACAGCGTTATCGGTACAGAGAGAGAGTTCTGGGAAATATATTTCGTCAAAACTGTTCCTGAACTCTGTTTGTAGCATCTGTTGAAGTCTCTTATTGGCTCCCACACCGCCAGAACATACCATATGCTTAACTTGGCTGAATATATCGGGCCTCATCGCAATCACAAGCTTCAATTTCGTTATAAGATGGTCGAACAGTGATTCTTGGACCTGGAACGCCATAGATCGTTTCTCCCGATCGGTATAAAGAGCAATATCCTTCGCGAGGCTTTGTTTTACAGCAGTCAAGAATGGTGAAAAGGAAAACTTCTGCACATTCATGCGCCCATTTTGGTTCCGCAACGGCTTTGGGAGGATCATGAAAATTTCCTTGCTGCGAGCATCGTCTAAATTTTCGTTTATGAAAGCTTCCATGCTCTTTGCTATCATGTTACCACGAATTCCAAGCTCTCGAGCGCACTTATCTAATGAATCGCCAATGGCAATATCTATGGTGTCGCACAGGATTTCATGTTCGTTCAGTGACCTGGAGAGTACTACAAGAGTATGACCACCGCTTACCAAAAGACTTACAAAAGGGAATTGCGGTGCTCGACCATTACTTTGCATACGTGGAACTAGAAGATGTCCCAACATGTGGTGAACTCCTACTAGAGGTTTGTTCCAAGCGACAGCAAGTCCTTTCGCAACGTCAAGCCCCCCTGAGAGCGAGCCAGGCATACCGGGGCCCCTCGTGACGCAGACAAGATCTATTTCGCCTTGTGAACTTGTTTCTCGAAGCGCTCGTTGAACCAAAGGTGCTATTTTTTGCTGATGGTGCAAATGTGCGCGTGTTGGAATAATGCCACCTTCCTTTTGGCTATCAAGAGTCTCTTTTAATTGAGCCAGTACCTTGGTTTTATTACCTTCCTTGTTGTGCTCCAAGATAGCAACACAGGAGTCATCGCAACTGGTTTCAATAGCTAAAACCTTGTAGGACCTGACTAGCGTGTTAACATACCGAGGTGCTGCGAAAAGCGCTATCTTCGCGCCCATGTGCGCACCATAACCTATTGAGCTCCTTATTAGCATGATAGCGTGGTTATAGGGCACTCTGATTCATCTCTTGAGCCTACTTTACAATGTGACGTTTTCCTCTACTCTCTCTCTTCCATGTGTGCCGCAGTCATCTGAGAAGTTGAACTATATATCGTCTATGACGAAGGAATCTGCTTCCGGTGAGAAGAACGGCTAGAGAACACGTCAGGTAGTGTTCGCTTCTTAAAGATTGGAATAATCGATGAATAGTCGGATAGCATCCAAATCATACTCGTGTTTTTCTGTGTGATAAAAGAAACAGCTCGATCAAGTTCGTCAATGTTTCTTGTCCGGATAATTTAAGCACGGCAAATATCCCCGTTAAATTAGGCTCTTGGCAAGTTCTACTCAGACGTTACAATGGCATGCATAGAAAGAACCTGCGATATGCCAATCGTCTACTTGTGTTATTGGCTCCGATGATCGTGTACCTGGCGCTTAAAGGGTCTGATAATCAGCGATAATTTCCGCTAAATTAAGTCTCCAGTGCCACTGATTGCACTTTATATCGCTGAATCCTTCGTATAACAGTGCGGTTTCGATGGAGTGGAAATTTCAAATGTCACCAGCCAGCTGAATGCTAAAATGACTGAATGCACAAGTGCTTATAACGGCTCATATACCTGTAAAATAACTACTTGGAGCTCGTCAGTTTCGAGAATTGAGTGGAATTGGTGTTTGGAGTACTTCTATTTAGTTTTCTGCTATTGACGTCCTCTCCACATCGGATACCTGAGCCATCTTTTTGAACTAATGAAATTCTGTAGGTGATTAATTGAGGAGCTAGAATCTATACTGTGATAAAGGCACAAAATAGAATATCAAACTTAATGTATTTGTCGTTTCCACCAACACTAAAGAACAGATTCAATTCTTGGCTAACCAAAACGGATGCTACGCGTCAAAACCCCACATGCACCAACTTCTCGCAACTTGATAGATCATGGCATTTGTAGACGACTAAACTACAAATTGAAAAACAATGTAGAAAACTTCAATTCTTATTTAAACACATGCAAGCTGGATGTTTTACTATCCCACTAAAGAGAAGCGTTGTTGACTATCTTCTTAGTAATTTCAATTTCCATCCGTCGGTTTTCCTGTCATTCTTGTAGTCGGTCTGGAAAATTGAATTTCTCGAGATCTGAAAAAGCTCTCGCTTTGGCCTTTCAGACCATTAGTAGAAAGATTCGAAAAAGGTACCTAAGGCACTTCAAATCTCGGTTTCATACTTGAAACCGAATGGCGACATGTTTTCGTTCACATCGTCCATACCTATAATACATCCTTCGCACGAAGAATCGCATTTGGGGAGAGCTAATGGATTGGCAGAGTACGGCGGAAATGAAGATGGAAATGACAAACATAAGAACGACAGCGCGAGGAAATACAATCCCATAATACATTGCGTCCTGGCTGGTGGGATCGGTGGAGCTATCGGAGACTCCGTAATGCATTCACTGGACACGGTAAAGACAAGACAACAAGGAGCTCCGAACGTGGTGAAATACAAACACATGCTTTCGGCGTATAGAGCCCTCTTTTTGGAAGAAGGGGTCCGGAGAGGTCTTTACAGTGGCTACAGCGCAGCGTTGATGGGCTCGCTACCTAGCGCGGCCATTTTTTTTGGTACGTACGAGTTTTTGAAACGCAAAATGATCGATGATTGGGCTATCAACGATACCGTCTCGCACCTCACAGCAGGCCTGGGCGGTGATCTAGTATCCAGTTTTGTCTATGTGCCCAGCGAAGTGCTTAAGACACGGCTTCAGCTGCAGGGCCGATTCAACAATCCGCATTTTCATTCTGGTTACAATTACCGAAATTTAAAGGACGCGGTGGTCACGATAGGGCGCACTGAGGGCTGGAGAACTCTGTTTTTTGGGTATAAGGCTACTTTGAGTCGGGATCTTCCATTTAGCGCTTTTCAATTTGCATTTTACGAAAAGTTTAGACAATGGGCCTTTAAGTTGGAACAAAAATCTCAAAACCAAGATCTCTCTGTATTGAGCGAACTATTAACTGGTGCTGCTGCTGGTGGTCTTGCTGGGACCCTCACAACCCCATTGGATGTTATAAAGACTCGCATACAAACTCAGGTGCCCTCTACGATAAACGCTGACAGCCAGCAACTAGTTAGGATTGAAAATTCTTTGGTGAAGGGTTTGACTGCGGTTTATAAATCTGAGGGAATGTTGGGATTTTTCAGTGGTGTAGGGCCCAGGTTTATATGGACCAGTGTACAGAGCAGTATAATGCTCTTGCTATATCAGGTGGCTTTAAAGTCGTTCGATAGATACTAGTAAGGCAGGGATTCAAATAGGCTGAGATGCGAATACAATCCCTCTAGTACATGCCTTATGGCGCACTTCTCGTAACCTGGATGTCGCCTTTACTGCCCAGAATTTCTTAGCAGCCCACCAAACTGTGCCATAATCTCTCTGTTTACAGGAATTACGCAGATGCGTGTCTGTTGGTTCATTCTCCTAATTACTCTTCCTACATTTTTTCCATTTCACTTTCCCTCCATTTCACTTTCCCTGAATGTCATTTCATCGTCGCTACATCCACGCCGTACCTGTACATAATTCACCAATCGGCCGTGAGTGACGCCAACTACAAAATCCCGACAATACCACATCCCAACGCATCATTATCCGTGTCAATATTCAACCTCAAGTAGCTTTGAACTGCTAACGCATCATAACCAAGAATCAAGTAAAAAGCAGACGACAGAACCACTTACATCGAATACATAAATAGGCCACGTAGCATAACTAAGACAATTAGAAATGACCACCATCAGGCGCTTGCAAACGATTAGGCCAAGGAAAGAACTTGTAGAATAGGTACTTAAATCTTGATTCACGTGATGGCGAAATATATTGGAATGCACAATGCGTAAATCTATTTTATACTACCCTTTATTCGAACTCATAACTTTGTGAACCACCATACCCTGAGCTATGCAATACGTTGGCAGAGCCATAGGTTCTGTTTCAAAGACATGGTCTTCAATTAATCCAGCGACCTTGTCTGGAGCCATCGATGTGGTCGTCGTTGAGCATCCAGATGGACGGCTTGCATGTTCACCATTTCACGTAAGGTTTGGTAAGTTTCAAATACTCAAGCCATCACAAAAAAGTGTTCTGGTTTCAGTGAACGGTCAGTCGACCAACATTCCTATGAAGTTAGGTGATTCTGGAGAAGCGTACTTTGTTTTTGAGACTGAAGCAGACCTGGGAACAATTCCAGACGAACTTTTGTCATCTCCCGTTGTCAGCGCTGCCAGCAGTCCTTCGACGTCACCAAATTATGGTCAAAGTAGTGCTTCAAATCTTGAAGAGCCAGACTTTTTGGATATTAGCAAACCGGGGCAGGCCGAGGTGTCATCGCCATCGACTCCGCCGCCAAGACGTCCCTCAATATTCGAGCAAAGAGCCAAAAAGCTCAACCAAAAACTACACGAAAAACAAATCCCTAGTAAGTTCGACAATAATGGCGACTTGTTGCTGGACATAGAGGGTTACAAGCCAAGTAAAGATAAGGTTCATGATACAGATGCCATGCTCAAGCAACTACTTAAAGATGAACTGGGAACAGAATTCGACATTTCTTCATTTGTCAAGGAAGACAAGAACGGGAACATGCGTATTACTAGTCCATGCGACGAGGGATACTTGCAGTCACCACCGGGTTCCCCAAGCCCACTTTTAGCTGAAGACATGGACACTCCAAATACGGGCATTTCGGAATCTTCAACCCAAACAGATATTACAACAACAACAGAATTCACTTCTTTGAGTTCTGCTCACGCATCAAAGACTGCTGCAGCCTCTAAAAATTTTATCAAAACTATCCGGCTGACCTCGGAACAGCTGCGTTGCTTAGATCTCAAATACGGTGAGAATGATCTATCCTTCTCTGTCGACAATAGTAGAGCTACTGTCACTGCCAAGCTCTTTTTGTGGCGGTGGGACGTGCCACTTGTGATTTCGGATATAGATGGAACCATAACCAAGTCGGATGCGTTGGGCCATGTTTTCACCATGATTGGAAGAGATTGGACTCACTTGGGGGTAGCGGAGCTTTTCACTGAGATCAAAAGGAACGGATACAATGTAGTATACTTGACAGCTAGAAGTGCCGGTCAGGCTGATTCTACAAGAAGCTATCTCAAGAGCATTGTTCAAGATGGTTGTAAGCTACCGAGAGGTCCGGTTATCCTTTCACCAGATAGAACAATGGCCGCATTGAGGAGAGAGGTTATTTTAAAGAAGCCAGAAGTTTTCAAGATTGCATGCTTAAACGACATAAGGAGGTTGTACTTCGGCCAATGCGAGCTTAGCAAGTTAGAAGACGACACAAAAAAAGACGATTGCCCCACACCGTTCGTGGCAGGTTTCGGTAACCGAATCACGGATGCGCTCGCCTACCGTACTGTTGGAATTCCAAGCTCGCGAATCTTCACTATCAATCCTGAAGGAGAAGTTCATATGGAATTGTTAGAACTGGCTGGATACCGAAGCTCTTACATTCACATCAACGAGTTAGTGGACCATTTTTTTCCACCAGTAGGAATCAATTATGCCAACTGTGGAGATGACTGCAGGAGTTTATCCCCTACTCCAGGCTCCCCCACAGGAACAGTAATGGATGAGAGGTCGTTCCGCAGGCCGCACGACGTGAACTTCACGGATGTTAACTTTTGGCGGGATCCTGTTCCCGACCTAGACGAACTTTCTGATATAGAGAGTCTTACTCCCGACCAACATAAAGAGGCTGACAAATTCAAAAGCGCTATGGAGAACAATTCAGATGCCAAGAGCTCCAAGAGTACGAGTTTTGATACAGAGGCTCCTTCGACACCTAAAAACTCATCAAAATCCTTTAGGCAATCGAGCCACTCCAAGGATGTTGGTCAACAGATGTATCTAGAACTCGGTTCACCACTGGCATCTCCCAAACTTAACTATATGGACACCGGTCACGGCGTTGAGCAGCATTTGAAGCCGCTAAGTATATCGCGCCCCAGCGAACCTAGCATTCAAATTTCGACATTCAATGTTCTTAACGATGGTCATTCCAAGAGCAACAAATTCACCAAAGAGCCGCAGTTACCTACAACGCCGTCAACAGGACACGTTGAGACCAGCGATGACGAATTTGATGAGGACGAGTTCGATGAAGATGATGATAACGATCAGGAGTTTGTGCAGGATCAGGTTGATGAGGGAGACGAAGACGACGAATCTAGGGACGAGTGCGAATATGAAGACGACGAACAAAACGACAATGACTACGATGACAAGAATGCTGGCGCCCTAGAAAATCCTCAGGATGGTTTTGAACTTGACGCCAGAAGCACGCCAGTCCAACAGCTATAATGGCCAAAACATAAACACAAGAAATGATAGGAGTAAACACTTAGCAAAAGGACTACTCAATCCAGAAACTACTTGTCGGTAGCTGGATCTACGAAGTTCGCTTCTCGTCGTCTAAACCCATTTCCCGTACTTCGCGATTCATTTAGCCAACGAGGGATATAGGAAACTAGCGCTGAAGTAAACACTACATGATATAAATATATTTGCAAAAAATCGAACCCCGCACCAATTCAAGCACCTGCTGCCACTTGAAGGCATATAAGGATCATTTGAAGTAAACCTACTCGTTCGGCTCACTTTATGCTGCTTTAAAAGCTTTCCAGATAGTGTTTTTTACAAATTTGACTTATCTGAAGTTTCAAGGCTCTAGCGAGGTATTGAAGAGCGGATATCCACTATACTAGGCAGTGCAGACTAGTCTAACGATTTTGCATTGCTAACAGGGAGGTTTAGAGGAAGAAAGACATACACAAAAATGGCAGACTCTGGAGCCAACGACGAGTCTAGAGAAAATAAAGACCCCAAGTCAGCAAATTGGAGTCCAATCGGTGACATTTCTCACACGCCTGCTTCGACGAATCAGCCATATCATACTGAAGAGCAAATGGCTGGAAACCGACCGACTTTTAACCGTGGAATTCTTGTTTCAGATGCCATGGCCAAGAACTCACGTCAATTGTTGTATGCCCATATCTACAATTACCTTATCCAGCATAAATATTACAGCACAGCTCGTCGGCTTTTAGATGAGGCAGATGTGCCACTGTCTAAGCCTTTTCCCGAGGATAAGCCTAAAAGCGACGAGCTGCTGCACGCAAAAATGCTTATGAACTCGAGGGACACATTCTTGTGCGAATGGTGGGAATCGCTTTGGACTTTACATGATTATGTGGAGACACAGCCTGTGGACAAGATATCCAGCAATCGCTTATTCCACGAGCCTGTGACTCCCATTTTGCCGCAACGGCCTCCTATGAACCAAGGTATGGCAACTTCTAACCCAAATTGGTTCCAGCAACAGCAACAGCCACAATACTATCAGCAGCAGCAGCATCAACAATATCAGCAGCAGCTCCAGCAGCAATACGGTCTTCAAAACGGTATGGGGTTTACGCCGATGGGAGGCACACAACCTTCGATGGGTCCTCCGCGCATGAATGACTTGAAAGGTGGTAGCTCGAGCGTTACGCCATCGTCTCCATCAAGAAAAATAGCTACGGTATACCCTCCTGTTCCAACGGCATCGGGCGTTATTCAGACACCTGTTGGGCCGGTGGGCTCTACAACTGGTGTACCTCATCAGGTAAACGTGCAAGGCGGCCAAATGCCGTTGGGCCCTAGTCCGCTTTATCCTAACATATCGCCTGTGCTGAGAAATAACCCACCTTCTACGAACGATCAGCCTTCAGGCTCTAACAAAAATGTGATAAAAACACCCGGTAAAGATTTTCAACAAGCTAGCATGGTCCCGCAGCCCGTGAATGGTACACCTGGTATGCATGATAATGCAATGCTGTATATGCAGCAGCAGCGCGAAATCATGGCTGCGAGAGTTCCAAGAGATGACGAGGGCTTTAAGACCATCGCGCAACCTTGGAATCTCAAGCAACAACAAGTACAAGACCAGTATCACAAAAGCATGTATATGATGCAACAACAGAATCAGCAAGAACAACCAAATCTTCAGCAACAGCATCCACAGTATCAACAGTACCAACAACAGCATCACCCAACGCAACAGCAACAAGCTCAAAAAAGACCTCAGCCTAGCCGAACGTATTCGCAACCTCTGGTGGCTGATAAGCATGCCATCATGATATCTGGTGGTCAAAATGGCCTCCAGAAGTCTCAGAATGCACGTGATGAAATGGTTAGACATGACTTACAACAATCACATCACCAGGATACCACGCCAAACCACCAGGATGCTTTACTGCAAACCACATCGCACCAACAGCGGGTTGCCTCACAAAGAAACAATTCAGGCGCACCTGTTAATTCTGCCACCTATCCGAACTCAACCGGTATGATGTCTGATCCAGGTACCGCCGGTACGTTACCAATGGGCAGTAATTTATTGGATCAACAAAACCAACTGAACATGATGATGATGCAACAGTCGCCTAGTGCTCTGTCGCCTAGTCTTGTGCCGTCAGCAAGCGGCAACGATGCAATGACGAGTACTAATCAGGATCTTATTACGAACGACAAGTTTGGCGAGAACTTAGCTAGCGATTTAATGGGATTTGGAGTTCCTTTACACCCTTCCACATCGCACCAAAATTGAAGTGAAGGTACTGAGCACTTTCTATGGATTTTGGCATAGCCATAATCTTGGCATTGCCATGCCTTTTCAAGATCTTTACTTCACTCATCGTAATATTAAAAGTTAAAGCATTGGATTAAAACAAAGAGGACCCTCCTTGGTTTTTGATAGATGTATATAATTAATAGGAGGATTCTCTGTATGGGATACATTTTCGAGAAGATACAGTGTTTTTCTGTTTTTCAACTGAGAGATTCTGAGTAAAGCCCAACGATGTCGAATCACCACTTGACTTGTACGCGAATACGATTTTTCAATACACGTATGTTGAAGGTCATCGATTAAGAATAAAACATTAAACTGGTGAAAGAGCTGACGAAAGGAGTCGAGAACGATAGGCAATCCGCTCACAGCACAGAAACCCTTCGATTAAGCCACGAACTTTCGCTTAGCAAAATGCCTATTATTACATCCGGTTATAAAGATGGCTGGAACAGGACTTTTGACACACATAATAATGTTTGCTCTCATTCAGGTTGAGCATAAGTGGTTTCGTGGTCTAGTCGGTTATGGCATCTGCTTAACACGCAGAACGTCCCCAGTTCGATCCTGGGCGAAATCATTTTTGGTACCAGCCTCAAATTTTTTAAACGCAGAGATGCTAACTAAAGAGAAGAAGTACCACCAAGAGCCTACTATTTTGAATTTCGCTCCACTGTTGATGCACGCAAATGCGGCCGTCGTTATTGATTTCGATTTTCATCAGAATAAGGGACTGGTGACTGTGGTTTCACTACTATACTAGGTTTGGCTACAAGCCATCAAAAAATCCATCGTATACTTATAGGTGCTGCTGGTGCTAAGTTTATCTTTAACCCGACCAGGCCCGACTGCTCTGAGAACTTACTCAATTCACACTCTTATGACTGCGCACCCGTATATGCTTCTAGTAAAAAAGGTCGCCTGACCCTCGAGAGTTGTCTTATTTTATTTGAGTAGCATCAATGAACCAACAGAAGTTAATGGTATTATAAATAGAACATCTAATTCGCTTGTATGGTTACGGTAACTGCGTCCAGCTTGAAATTTATACCTCGCTGTGTTGTGGCGCTTTCATCCAAATTCCAAAACCTCCACAGCCCACTTCATATATTGAGTTCGAATTTTTAGTTTGAGTAGCGGGTTTGGAGCTTTCTGACCTCGCGATATGACAGGATGTGAGTAATGATAATGCCAAGTTGCCTAAATAAGGACAAAATAGTGCAAAGTGATACTAATTAGACAAGAATGCGAACTCCAGACCGAAAGTCAGTGACCAAAGAGATTTAACAAGCATTCTAGAGTCCACTGATTGTTTATCAAAAGTGAAAGAGATAGCAGAGTCAGTAGCACGTTAGAATAGCATGATCTGAAATTGAAGATGTTGTGAACATCTTATACCGCAAGTATTCCACTCGCAACGCAGTATAACGGCCGTAAGCCACTTATAGCTTATCAGAATAGTAACAATTAATTTGTCTACTTGGATTGATAAGACGGGCGCATCCAACTGGCCAAAAATGTATAAGTACTGATAATAAATCCTCAAACAGAAAATTGCGGAGAAATTTGGCCAGCTAACGCTTGTTTGCTGCTAAGAATTGATAAAATATGTCCATAGAAAACTTTACAAGCAATCTCAAAGAGTTGAAATTGGTTGATAGAGACCAATCTCAATATAAAAACGATGTGGCAGATAAAAGTGCGCTTCACTCATTTCTGGTTCACACTCCTTGTTTACATCTCAAAACAGTATAAAGACCGCTGGTTTATTTCAAGAACAGAATGGTGATACTTGTGTTAGATAGATCATGGAGGAAAATGTACAAGCCATCATCTACGAATTAACTTACTCAAATAATTAAAGAGAATTAAACGAAGATATCAGCAAACTTTTTACTGCTAATTTAGACACACCTCAATTACAACCTATTTAAATGTTTTGCGTGCAGCTAACCGCTGGAGAAAAAGTATGCCACATTCTTCCACTCGAACAGTCGTATGTATCTCTGAATCTCCGAATTCACCGAATGTTCTGAATTCGTGCGTAGTGACACGTGTCTTTGTAAACCGTATTTAGTTAGATGATCCAATCATAAACAAACCTGAACGGTATGTTCATCACAAGTACTCATCGGAATTCTCGACACAACAGTCGAGGCTTCGGGCCATGTCGTTTGATAAAAGTGAGCCCACGTTCAAACTGCACGGACTACAAGTTTTTTCTCATGGATGCTTGAGCCGATCGAATTCCACATTGAACTCAACTCAGGCCGGCGTCAATGCTATGCCAGATTCATGGTGTGCTAATAATCTCAAGCGTTCTTCTGGGATAGAGATGCACGTCAACAAACTTTCGGACTGGGGAATAGACACGCTGAACGACAATTCCCCGACGGTCGTAGGTTCGTCCGAGTTTAGCAGTCACGAGCACGACAACCTTTACCTGGAAGATGACATCCAAAAAGAGCTTTCTCGATTGACGATAAATCCAGAGGCTTCAAAGTCGAAGTATGAGGTTCTCGTTGCTAAAATATTCTCAGAAAGTCCCTTTAGCAATCAAAATTTCAATGAAGAATTTCAGTACACAATTATCGCATCTCAGCTTCTCACAGACTCCATACGCCCTTTGTGGACTGCACAACCGAAATCTGAAAAATCCATTCTCAATTTCCACCGAGATAAGGAATCATACAGTTCCCAGCATCTTCCGTGTGTACCGACCAAGTTTGGAAAGTTCACCGCTGTCAATAAACAGTTTTTACTCCGGAAGACCGTACCGCTCTTTCCAACATTTTTGGTAGTTCGCCGATGTCTTGGATTAATGGCAAGATGCAAAGCACCTCAGAAAAGCAAAAAAAGAATCCTGGCGGCTCTCAGCATCGCAATTTATATCGCATTGCAACAGGAATCATTTCATGACCAATACGTCAAATACTCAGCATTATTAGCCCTTCAAACAGCGGTTGCACAGCTTCAGAACCTTGATAAACTTTTACATCGTTTGCACATTCGTTACAAAGAGCTTACCATATACAAGCCCATAGCATTGGTTCAATCTTGCCAACCATCAGGATCAAACCTATCTATAATCAGAGACGTGCTAACTGCATCGCTGGATTTGTCATTTTACGAGCTACAAAAAATTACTATAAAACTGCTGCCAATATTGAGAAACCGAGAACTGTTTCGGTATTGCGAAATTTATGGTGTTAATTTCGTGGACCTTTACTTCGTAATCAATGGAGAATCCGGCGACATTAGTGAAAAAGCAGTTAGAACTCATCTACTGAAAAAGTTTATTTTGTGTTGCTTGTTGTCAATTGGAAGTAAATCTAAACAGGACACAGAAGAAAAGGAATCAGAGTATCGAGTCACACTTGAAAAGATTTTTGCAACGTACAAAGCGTATGGCAATTGTTCAGATTGTAGAAGGTCAGTGATTACCCTTGACCAGCTCAAAGAGCTCAACGAATTGTTGAAAACGGTTTATTCTTTTCTGGGCCAATACAGGTCACACCTAAATGATGGCGGCATCCAAACCCACGAAGCCAAAGATACAGAAGACACTCACCATCAAGATTTTCGTACTGCTACAACACTGAACATGTTGCAAGAGCTCCAAAAGTTAATGATCACGAATTCAAGTGACACCGATGAGGAAATTGGCAAAAAACTGCAGAAGAAACTAAGCGAACTTTCGAGGTTATGGAGTCAAAGCGAGACATCAAAAAACGGGAGGTCTGGAAGGCCCCGTAAAGAGAGACACTGTAATGGACTACAATTAGACGTTGTTCAATCTCCAACTTTGAGTAATGATGAATACGGCCCTAGTCATATTTTCAATTTTAACAGTTATCCTTCATTATCATCTGAAATTAAATTTAGAAACGTCGAAGAGTCAGGCTCCGAATCAGAATACGAGCAAGAAGGAGATGACACAATAACTGAGCAAATATTCATTGCAAATGAGAATTACGACCATAAAGACGATTTTCGAAAGCTCACTGATGAAGAGCTGAGGAATAAGTTGAACGAAAGAATAATGACTTTGGCCATGGAAAACAAGAGAGGAAAAGAAAAGTTACGAACGAAGAAAAGTTTTGGCCTGCTGGATAGAAACCAAGCTCAAAATATTCAGGAAAATTCGAAAGTAGGAGGCCGGCCTTCTTACAGATCAAAATTCACGTCGGAAGACAGCATTCCTGTCCTTTATGAACTGAAACAGATTTTAGAGAAGAATTGATTGAGTAATTAAGTTGTAATAGTTAAGATGATTTTGTTAGACTTTCTGATCAAGCAAGACAATTAATGCAAAATGGTCAGATTCTCGTTGAAACTTTGACCTTTATAGCTCTCCAAATGTTCACCACCGTAACTTATTTTTCCTGGAACTTCAATAAGTACACCGGATGCGACCTTGGCACCCGCATGTTCCAACCATGAGGTACCCAAATTCAAGTAGGCTGCACGACTCGTTTCTGGGTTATCGTTTGCAGTACCTGGTGCATTTTTCAATGGAGAGAATTCGCTCGACCTATCAACTTCTAGGCAGCCGAACTTGTCCATTGCGACCTTAGGAAAAACGTCAAATATGAACTGCTCCAATTTGATCCCATTAGGTTCTGTGGGCTTCAAGTAAGATTCGGTCTTATTGTTATAGACGGGGATCTTTTTCTTAGCGATGTGATAAGGCATAGACTCACACCATGCTTCCAATTCACGTTGCAGTAGATTAACGGAGTAATAATGATTGACAATATTGGCAGCTCTGAACTTTAAAAGGCCCTCTTTGTCGGTAGCTTCAGCCATTTCTTTTGAGATCTCAGAGTACTCAACTACACATGGTGCTCCATGTTTGCTTGCAATCAAGCCCACAGATTCTGAGGCGTCTCTTTTACGAACAGCTTTCGTAGCTAATTCGAACTTGTTTTTTAGTGCAAAACCTATGAAAACGGGATCTGCAAGTTTCACCAGTACATTATCAACACAATACATGTGAATGTGCCTTATGTTTTTAGCCACCATGTCTTCCAGAATCCCATTGTCTTTGATAGCACGATATAGACCCCCATTACCGTCTGGAGACTCAACTAGTTCCGTTGGGGAATTTAGTAACAGATTTTCACCTTTCAGGTCAAATGCAGGTAGCGTTCCTTGGTTAAAGAACGTAATTTGATGCTTGGAAAGCCCAAAATACTCATGGTCCTGGAAAAACTGCTCAGTAGATTGACGTGTAGGCTTGGAGGTCATAATATACCATGGAATGGGAGCTGGAGTTTTGACTAATTCTTGCAAACGTAACAGTTTTTCGGCTTGAATTTGAAAAAGTGATTTCGCGGAAGGTAGCTGTATATCGTAGCAGCCTTTAGGCTGCGAAGAGCCCAACCTGGTTCCTTGGCCACCAGCCATTAGTATAACAGCAACACGACCTTCAGCGAGTTCTCGAAGTCCCAGATCTCTGTATTCTTGTTCCACGGCCGGCTCTCCTAAAGTGGATTCATAGGACCCACTAGGCAATGGCTTGATAGCTCCTACATCATCCGAGTCTCCCGAGCTTAGTTCAATGGCTCTTTTACAGTCTCCTACCAGCTTCTCGGGCGCATTCTTGGCCGCGGTTGCTTCCAGATTCCTTTCGAATTCACGTTTCTGTGCGTCACTCAAACGGTCCCAATGCTCGAACAATGCCGATTGTCCGCTTTTCTCGTACAATTCCCTAATACTTCCCATCTTGTTGCTTCTTGATCTGGCTGAAACCTTGAGGATGGTAGTGGCTCTGTGTTTCATCTTTCAAGAGGCTACTATTTATACCGTTCGCTAATAGTTGTAACTGACCACGAAATAAATAATCGCGACGTATCGAACAATCAAATGATCAACACACCAAAAATTGCAAGGAAAAGTTCATATCTGTAGCTATCAGGGACGACGTGGATTTTCGACGCTTTTGTATGATAGAATATCTAAGCCTGACTTAATAGAAACTTATTTAAAGGAACCATGATATCCTTCAGTTGTCTCTTTACTGTGACTTGGTAATAGGTGTACAACATCGCAGTTACCTTCAACCTCCCGACTTTTTCAGAAGCAAATTGCGCAAAATTACCATTAATTCTCGATAAAAATTTGTGAATGTCGTGATGGAACCCAAAGTGGTTCGAGAACCACGGACCTGCATTTGAGAACAAGTTGTGAGGTGAATGAAGAACTACTGCTTTACGGTTTCGAAAAAATTGGAAAGGCTTCACTAGATTAATGTTGGAAATACATACATCTGATGGTAGCTTTACACATATAACTATGGAAGGAGTCCTTCTTGAAAACAATTTCAGCACTCAAAAAAAGAAGCATGTCTTCAAAATATTGCCCGCATGTCTCCCCAGTAAAAATATGTGCTGATCTTGCAAGCACACAGTATGCTGCTACTACCCTGATAGCCATCTCCATAACCTAGATACCGGGTTCAACATGCTAAAGCGGATGAGATCAGTGACAGTACACGAAGTGCTGACTACAGATTTGACAAAAATCTAGTGGAGCTCGAGACATAGTGATATCTGCATTTTTGAAACACGGTAGTGAGTCACAACCTAAGCTTTGAGATACTCTAAGACAATGGCGAAAAGGCTTTTGATCTTCTAGCGAACCCAAAAACAACCGAGGCATGCTGTACTGACTTGCTGCAAGTTTCATAGGCCAACCATCAAATCAACTAATAAAATGGTGTATGCTTCAGTATTGAATGCACAGTTATAAATTTATTGTATTTTTAGGTGTGCCATAGTAAAAGTCATGGACGTTGACGAGAAAAAGTCGTTTGGCATCTCACTTTCTGCACTACAACTCGATGTTAGTCTGTAGTTTGAAAGACTTTCATGGAATTAGTTTAGTGTCAAAACTCTAGTGAATACCACCGAAGTCAAGAGAATCTGGCCTCTCTCACCTCTCTGTATCCGACATTTGCGAAATCAAAATCACCGATAAAGTTGCTTATGATTCTTGAGGCCAGCGGTATATATGTCAAATTGTCAGGGTCTACTTGTACCAGTCTATCCCTGCAGAAATACAGAACAAAGCACCTGCATGAGATATGCAGGGAACGAAACTCCGAGATCTGCCACATTTTCGACTGAGATTAGATCATGCATCCGTGCATGATCTGATCTTCGATGCATAACTAATAAATATGTTTAGAATAAGTACAGTTAGAGCTTGGCACTGGATTGGAAACTGTGACTTTGGTCGTGGCGGATGGTGAAGGAGCCATAGACATACGATCATGAAATAATTCTACAGCTAGCCTTGCACTAGATAAACGAACTATCATCGTAACAACGGATCATCAACAAGATGCTGCGACAAAATAGTACCAAATGATCAAAGACTTGAAAGTGAGTGACGATACAAAATTGGAGCAAATCAATCCCACTTCATTGCTTCAGTATTCACCTTTCATATAATTTCATATTGAAGGACTTTCTCATCTCGTCTTGACGTCCGCTCAACTCCCGGGATCCCAAGTATCTTTCTTGAGACAGTTAACTCTTGTTGTATTTTTGGTTCGTTATCACCTAATTTCTGAAGTGATCACCTGTTACAGAACTTGTTTGCAAGCTTGGCCTTATACATTTCTTGATGTGTTCCTTGATATGAAGGTTCTATTTATCCCAATCAACATCTATCGGTATCTATATGATTATTTAGTAGATTAGCTTGGATAACGTTAACTGGATTGTTCACTACATTGACCTCTCTCCTGGACGCAGTGAGAAGGATTTGGGCTAAAATGAAATTTAGTTACTGATTGATGGCTTCGTGACAATATTCTTATCTACTGTTGGAACCGATTTACTATTTTTGGTATGATCAGCCTGGAATAAAGCTTTGTTATTGTAAACAAACGCATCAAGTAAAAGTTTTTCAATTGATTTTGGTAATGCGCTAATCTAAGCATCAAAGGGCACGCCAACATCTACCTTACACTCAAGCAGATAAACTTTCACCGGCCGGTGCTGACGAAAACGATGATTCTAAGTGCCACTAGTGATAGTTTTCAGCTGCACCATTCTTGAATGTCCACATGCAGGGAAATATTGCAGTTAAAACCTAATTTGTTACTTACAAATGTTGTTACGCCGGGAGTAATCTAGTAAGTATTATTAACTGGATCACACACATTTTTCTATACGGGGCTCTCCGTCCATTGAGGAAGCCTATTACTTTAGCGCAGGCAACTGTCAATTGCTAAAATGTTCAAACCATACTTCACAAAAAGGAGTGATGAAGTAGAAGGCTAGTAAAATTGTTGAATATTACCAGCGATCAAGCTTAATAATTTGATTATTAGGGGCCATCTGTCTCTACTTATTGAATGAATTAGCTGGTATCGTTAGTATGAGTAAGTGGCAAAGACACTTGCATTAAGTAGGGCCTTACAGGCACCTATCAGAATTAAAATATAGGAGCGAGGATCACTACCGTCTTGGTGCTAGTCAATTCTATAACACACCTATCAGACATCTTAAGTGCAGGAAAATGGTAAACCGAAAACAATAGGTCCAAAGCTTCTTGAAAGGGGAGTTGAGAACCAATATTTTCTGCCTCGTTGTTTTAGCTTAAATTTTATGTGCTTTTTAAGTCAAATAAAATTTGACCAAATCTTTTCTATTTGACATGAATGTTACCAAGTAGTTAACATCGCGAAGAATTTTATCCCACGGTTGAAGCGAGTTTGTATGTCATAGAGGTTCTACCCAATACATTTTTTCCGCTTTGCCAGTTCAAGGTATTTTGAATTTTATCGTTCAAGGTTCAAAAAAATCATTAAGCCACATCTTTGTGCTTCACTTCTGGAGAACAGCTTTTTACAAGGGCCGAATGAAACGGAAGAGAGCGTTTTCGCTACGAACTCAGCTGTTTAACAAACAGCTTCACCATAAATTCCAACGAGACTACGAAGTAGAGCCTGAGATGGATGGCTCGCGATTGGAAGTCGAAAGCTGCCAGAGCAACAGGTTTAAACGTGACACCATGAGCCGATTTATGGATTGGTTGCTGCGAAGGAATAGAGACCAGCGCACAAAGCCGGGGCGGCTGATTCCGCTGAGTCTTGACCGTTCGGATGGTGTTTTTCGTGAATTCACGGGCGAATATGGCGACAAATTGATTGACCAACGCAACCATAAGCCATACAAAAACAACGTTATCACATCATCGCGGTATACAATATACACATTCCTACCGCGACAGCTATATGCCCAGCTTTCACGTCTCGCAAATGCCTATTTCTTCCTTGTGGCGGTGCTGCAAATGATACCAGGATGGTCGACAACCGGTACCTATACCACCATCGTTCCCTTACTTATCTTTATGAGTATTTCGATGTTACGTGAGGCATGGGATGACTTTCGCAGACACAAGCTGGACAAGGAAGAAAACAATAAACCCGTCAAGGTCCTAGTTAAAGACCCCAACTTTACGGCCTCCGACGCTGGTCCAACAAGGTCCAATAGCTTTTACACATCGCCTCAATGGCAGCAGAGTGCTACATCAACGAGCGCACTAAATCGTACTTATCCCGAATCTATTGAAAATACTGATTCATCCTTGTCGCCGTCTTCGACTACGTTCACTAATTGGAAACTTTTGGAACGCTCTTATGGGATCGAAGTCGTAGAAAGACAATGGAAAGACTTAAAAGTTGGTGACTACGTTCTCTTAAATCAAGACGATTGGGTCCCTGCAGACTTGCTGGTCCTCACATGTGATGGCGAAAACAACAATTGTTACGCCGAAACGATGGCGTTAGATGGGGAAACTAATCTAAAAAACAAGCAACCTCTAACAGAGGTGAGTAAACAAATAGAAACGGCAGCAGGGCTGGTCCGGTTCAAGGCCAAAGTTACGGTCGAAGACCCTAACATAGATTTGCATAATTTCGAAGGTAATCTGGAATTGCTGGACGACCACAGAAAACTTACCATCGGATCGGACCACATTGTATACCGAGGGAGTATCATAAGGAATACTCAAAATGCTATTGGAATGGTAGTGTTCACTGGCGAAGAGACTAAAATTCGAATGAACGCGATAAAAAACCCAAGAATAAAAGCCCCCAAGCTTCAGAGAGCCATAAATCTGATCGTGCTATTTATGGTCTTAGTCGTCGCCTGTATGGCGCTATTTTCGTTTATGGCTCAAAGAATTTTGAAAAAAAGGTGGGTCGATACGAACAGAGCCTGGTACCTTTTCAATCAAGACGCCGGTCTTGCACCTACCGTTATGTCCTTCATCATCATGTACAATACTCTCATTCCGCTGTCTTTGTATGTGACAATGGAAATTATCAAGGCAATGCAAAGTAAGCTAATGGAATGGGACATAGACATGTACCACGCGGCGTCCAATACTCCTTGCGAGTCCCGCACAGCTACCATTTTAGAGGAACTCGGCCAAGTTTCCTATATTTTTAGTGACAAAACTGGTACGCTAACTGACAACAAAATGATTTTCAGAGCACTTTCAATATGTGGCACCTGTTGGGTCCATGACGTGGATCACACAAATGATACATTGGCCAGCTCAGAATCAAATGACAGCAAGAATATTGACGTTGTATCCGTTGATGATAGAAGCTTTCTCAAAAATTTCTCACAACCGGAACCTCACATTGCTGTTTCGAGGAAAACATCCATAGAATACAAAGGAAACAGTTCCACAACCTACACTGGTAGGCCAAGCATGGCTTCTCGTATTCAGCAAACGAACAGCCACACCTCAGAGACACACAGCATAGACAACGTGAATTCCAGGAGGGAAAGAAACATCTTAGAAGAAACCAAGTCATCTGTTGAACTCATCAAATACATCCAGAGAAATCCTTTTACCTTTTTTAGTCAACGGGCCAAGTTTTTTATACTGTCTTTGGCTTTGTGCCATTCGTGCTTACCCAGGAAAGCTTCAGAATTGGAAGAGGACGACAGTGTAGAGTACCAGGCTTCGTCTCCCGACGAGCTTGCCCTAGTCACAGCTGCAAGAGATATGGGTTATGCAGTCATGAACAGAAATGCTAATTTTCTAGCTATCAAATCTTATCCGGATGGTTTTGATAAAGAACCGCTGTTAGAAGAGTACGAGATTTTGGATAATATCGCTTTCAGCTCCCAGCGGAAAAGAATGTCAGTCCTGGTACGTCTTCCCCAGGAACCTGGCAGGGTGCTTCTAATTTGCAAAGGAGCAGATAACGTAATCCTTGAGCGATTACATAACAGTGAGCTCGCAAATCAAAAAGCTGTTGAACTTCAAGAAACTACAAGTGAGCGCAAGACTGCAGAAGCGGATCTGGTATTGAAACAACGAAAATCTTTGGAAACTACAGCCGCTGGTCGAGGAAGGAACTCTTTGAAAAGAGTTTCCTCACAGAGGCCAACAGTAGCAAGGCTTTCGTTACAAGCTGCAAGAAGAAGTCTGTCAAGAAAAAGTTTAGGCAATGGTGATCCGGAGGGACAAATCAATTCAATTGATGACTTTCTGAGTAACGTAGAGCGAGCTGACAATCAAATAAACGACATTTACTCCAAAAGTCGCAAATCTATACACAAGCAGCAAAAGGAGCGGTACGTGGCTAACCAACAAAACTCTGCAGGGACAGAAGCTTCTGACATATCATCTGACTTATTGGCGAAAACTCCACCAGATGTTACAGGAGGTGAACAAGCAGAAAACATTGAGGACTACATCGGAGATGATTTATTGTTACAGAATGAGGAGTATGTTTTAGAAAGAACATTACAAGCGATTGATGAATTTTCTACAAATGGACTCCGAACTCTTCTTTACAGCTATAAGTGGATTGACAACGAAGCCTACGAAAAATGGGCTCTTGGATATCACGCTGCAAAAACATCATTAGAGAATAGACAGGAGAAAATGCACTCAGCTGGAGAATGTTTAGAAACTTCTTTAAGCCTACTAGGTGTTACAGCCATTGAGGACAAATTGCAAGAGGGCGTTGCGGATGCTATCAAAAAATTGAAGAGAGCGGGTATCAAAATGTGGATGCTCACAGGAGATAAGCGTGAAACAGCGATCAACATTGGTCACTCCTGCAATTTGATTCATGATTACTCTACTGTAGTGATTCTGTCTGCTGAAGATGAGAACATGTCCTCAAAACTAACTGCGCTTACCCAAGAAATTGAACGCGGAAACGTGGCCCATTGTGTCGTGGTTATAGATGGCGGAACTCTTACGAATTTTGAGGGAAACCCCACATTAATGTCCGTATTTGTCGAACTATGCACCAAAACTGATTCAGTAATATGCTGCAGGGCCTCTCCATCTCAAAAAGCTTTAATGGTTAGCCACATTAGGAACACGGACAAGTCATTGGTGACCTTGGCGATTGGTGATGGGGCAAATGACATCGCTATGATCCAATCTGCTGATATTGGTGTTGGTATTGCTGGAAAGGAAGGCCTACAGGCATCCAGATCATCGGATTATTCGATAGGGCAGTTCAGATTCCTGCTTAAGCTGCTGATGGTTCATGGACGTTACAACTATGTTCGCACCTCGAAGTTTGTTCTCTGCACCTTTTACAAAGAAGTTCTATTTTACATCACACAGATGATTTTCCAAAGACAAACCCTATTCTCAGGAACATCGCTATACGAGCCATGGTCTCTTTCCATGTTCAATACGCTTTTCACTTCGCTTCCCGTCTTATGCATAGGAATGTTTGAGAAAGACTTGAAACCCATGACTCTATTGGCCATCCCCGAATTATACTCGAGTGGGCGCTTATCAGAGGGTTTCAACTTGAGGATTTTTCTTTTTTGGATGTTAATAGCTGCTGTGAACTCGTTGGTAATAACATTTTTGAATTGGAAAATATGGGCGATTTCATCACTGACAGACAACACCATCTACCCTATTGGCTTAATAAACTTTACAGCCATCGTTACACTAGTGAATGTAAAAATTCAATTACTAGAGACCCACAATCGAAACGCCTTAGCCTTTGCATCACTCATAATCTCAGTTGGTGGCTGGCTAGTTTGGTGCTGCTTGCTTCCTGGAATATATTCGCAAGATGGGTCCTATGATGTTTTAGTTGGACTTTATGATCAGTTTGGTAAGGACATAACATTTTGGTGCTCATGTCTAGTGTTGATTGTGCTACCATTAATTATAGACATCGTCATAAAAACTGTGAAAATCATGGTTAAGCCATCAGACTCCGAAATATTTATGGAGCTAGAACAGAAGGATGAAATCCGAAAAAAATTCGAACTAAAAGCCTTTAGTGAATTGTGGCAAGGCTGGACTTGGGATAGGGACCCAAGCACAATTTCTAGATATGCTGAAAAGGTGCTGCATCCCGGAAATGAGTCATTGAAGGCCGATTCTAGTGGGAATCATACTCGGTCAAGAAAATACACGATTCCTAGCGCCACCGAGCTTCCGGAAGGTTCAGCAAGCAAGGTGTCGGTCCGCAGTGGGGCAGCGTTCAACCCTGAAGAATTTGAAATGCTACCCAGTGGAAAACTAATAAAGCGACAAAAAGTTGGCTGCGCTGAACGTGAAGAAGAGGAACCTTTAGCGCAAAGGCTTGGTAAAAAACTTAGATTCAAGCTCAAAAGTAAGGACGAAGACGTGGACGCTATTATCGCCCAGCGCCTGAGAGATTTAGAGTGAACAAGTTTTCTAAGATACTCCAACTTTTGATTTATAAGCTTTGCCAGATGTTGGATCTCAGCATGATAGTAGTTTATATCGAACAAAAATGCATTTATTATCATTAAATCTCACTATACATACATGACGCCAATCTTTACCCAACATTAAATGTTTGTAGGCATAATAAGGACTCTTAAACAGCCAAGACCGCCGCGATCAACTGGACGGCTTGAAAAACGCTCACCTTTCTATAAGTTCAGGCTACCGAATATTAGTCTTTCGAGCATGGGCAAAAATAGAATGACCAAAATGGGTACCAGTATCCTTAATATCTGCTGCATTTCACGCTGGTCCTCCTGCTGTTGTTGTTGAGCACCTGGAGCGTTTCGTGGCGCGGCACGAGCCCTGGAGTTTCCATTGGTGTAAACTTTAAACCCGTTGGGCCCACCAAATGAGAAAGTGGTTGCACCACCACCGCCGCCAAATGGCCTGTCAAATGGCCCTGCGCCAAATGGTCCGCCTCCAAAAGCACTATTGAAAGGATGTCCACCGCCTGCGGCATGTGAGTTAAAGAGAAAATCAAAAATATCCTGGGGTGGGCCAGCGGGAGCTCGCCTGAAGAACATATTCTCAGGTGCGAACCCAGCGCCATTGAAACCGGACCCAGTGGCGCTGCCACCGCTGCTCGAGGCAAATGGATCACGTGCACCTCGCTCATCGGGGTCCCTGCCGATCTGGTCAAAGATGCGTCGTTTCTGCTCGTCACTCAGCACTTCAAAGGCTCTGTTGATACGTTTGAACGCTTCGCTGGATCTCGGGTGCTTGTTCTTGTCCGGATGCAATTTAACTGCTAATTTTCGGTACGCCTTCTTTATCTCGTTATCGGACGCCTTTTGCTCGACACAAAGAAGCTCGTAGAATGCAGAGCTGTTCTTGCCCAGAACCGTGAGGGTTAGCGTCTCCTGCTCTCTGGTATATTCTTGTTCTGCCATTTAAAGAGTTCTCGAAATGTTTTCACAGTGGCCAAACGATGCGTGTGAATCTAGAATTAAATAGGCCAGGGAATGTTTGTTGTCGATCAATAGTCTCACACAAGTCGATAAAGACCTTCAAATCTGCGAAAAGGTCTCCGTGAGTCCTTGAAGCTTCTACGATTTAAGCCTGCTTCGCTGGCAATTCGGTAATTTCAGAACAGTTGATGAATCTCAAAGCACCACGCACGACAAACGTGGACTTTTCAATATTTCACCATTCACGATTCTTACAATCAATGAAAACGACTAGTACCAAAGACAATGGCTTACAACTATATATTCATTCACGGCAAACTAGCTGGGTTTTTATGTTTGCGATGTAGATCGCAAGAGCTCTTGAACGTAGTCCGCAACCGACTGTAGACGGTACGCAGCTGTCAGTTGCGCAAACCATTTTGCTGAACTCTTACCGAGAAGCGCATGGCAATAACAGCGCTGCGAAACCTCATGTGGAACTAGCAAGGATTAGAATTGCTGTACTGTTGAGGTAACTTGTGCGTGCAAAAATTTCCGAGTACGACTACCACGGGTTTATTTTTCGCTTGTGTATTCGGCGTTATTTCTCCAAAAGCTACTGAAAGACTATTTGAATGATCGAGAAGACCTTTCACGTAACCGAGAAAAACCTTGAACATAATCGAAGACTGCTGAACCGGACGGCACAATGTATCTCGACGTTTGAAAGCTTAAAAACTGTCTCATTTCGCGATCACCGCGGTTATCCTTTTTAGTCCTCTATTCCGTGATAGTTGTTCCCTACGTTTGAAGCCATGCACAAGTAGTTTTGGAATGACATAGGAGAAGCAGAACAACAAGAAGCCGCCGATAGCGAAAACCCAATCGCTCAGTGATAACTAGGTTTCAACTATGAAATAGAGCCAAGAGCTACTTGAAAAAACTAGAAAAATCCATACTCAGGAGCTCCTAATGCACATTAAGGCTCGAGGAATTGATTGATAGTAGCGCGACTAATCAGAGGCTGTAACCTTTTTCAGAGTGATTATGGTGCTTTGTTGCTCATCGCGTATATTTGGAAAAAACGCGTCGTAATTAAAAAAATGTAAAATCACCTTTCAATTAGAAATCATTCAAAGAGGTTTGAACAGCGATTGATATTCTTGAAATGAGCTCTAGTAGTCTCAAAAGATCGAGCGAGGTCGAATCTCGCGATCCTGAAACTCTAGAGAAACGGCTCAAGCCACAATCGTTCGATCACAGCGCGCTGAGCGAACCTGTATCATCGATCGAGATCATTCCTACAGATAAGTTCAGAAAACAACAATCGCAAGGTTTTCAACCAAAGGGTGCAGTCAATGGTTCACAACCAGTTAATCCTACCGCCTTTGAACAGGAATTGTTGCACATGGACCATGACAGCGTTGTCGCACAGGAACACGGAAAGCACAAATCTTGGCAGCGGGAACCTTTGCCTAAGGACTTCTCTCCTAGTACGCACGCTATATCATTCCAGCAACTGGATGCAGAGCAAAGCATTCTTCCAGGGATTAGGGAGAACAACACTTCACATGCTGTTCGTTTTTTCGGAGTTACAAATGAGGGCCATTCGGTGCTCTGCAGTGTTACTGGGTTCAGACACTACCTGTACGTTCCGGCACCCGCCGGGTTCACTGCACAAGATGTTGATGGCTTCCAGCGATATCTAAATGATACTTATGAAAACGTTGTCGACGAAATTGAGATAGCCATGCGTCAATCGATCTGGGGTTATTCAGGAACTGCTAAACTGCCTTTTTTGAAGATTTATGCAACAAATCCAGCTGGAATTAACAAAATAAGAACTGGGTTTGAACGCGGTCATATTAATTACAACGATACCTGGTTCTCAGGTGGAACCACCTCGTACGATAACATCGCGTATACGCTAAGATTGATGATAGATTGTGGGATCACAGGTATGTCTTGGATCACTCTACCTGAGGGCAAATATCACATGTTACCAGAACGGGAGAAAGTGAGCACTTGTCAGCTGGAAGTACGAATTAATTATAAAGACCTGATAGCTCGACCGGCAGAGGACGAGTGGTCCCTTTCTGCGCCGCTCAGAATTCTATCTTTTGATATTGAATGTGCTGGTAGGGTAGGTGTCTTTCCAGAGTCTGAAATTGATCCGGTGATCCAAATCGCGAACGTAGTGAGTATCGCAGGCGCATCCAAGTCATTCATTCGCAATGTTTTTACCGTGAAGACTTGCTCACCTATAACAGGCTCTCAAATCTTTGACCATAAGACCGAAAATGAGATGCTTAAGCACTGGCGTAAATTTGTTGTCGAGGTTGACCCCGACGTTATAATTGGCTATAACACAACGAATTTTGATTTACCATATCTACTCGGCCGTGGACGCGCTCTAAAAATAGAGGAATTTCCATACTTTGGCCGCTTAAAATCAGTGAAACAAGAAGTGAAGGATGCGGTGTTTTCATCTAAAGCATATGGTACTCGTGAATCAAAAATCATAAATATTGATGGTCGACTTCAACTTGATTTATTACAGTTTGTGCAGCGTGAATACAAATTGAGGTCATATACTTTGAACGCAGTTTCAGCACATTTTCTAGGAGAGCAAAAGGAAGATGTCCACCACAGCATAATTAGCACCCTCCAGAATGGAGACTCGGAGACGAGAAGACGGTTAGCTGTTTACTGTTTAAAGGATGCATTTTTACCCTTGAGACTTTTGGAGAAGCTTATGGCATTGGTGAACTATACAGAAATGGCTCGTGTGACGGGTGTACCATTTTCTTACTTACTGGCCCGGGGCCAACAAATTAAAGTCGTGTCACAGTTATTTCGTAAATGTCTTCAAATTGACACCGTCATTCCAAATATGCAATCTCAAAGCTCGGACGAACAGTACGAAGGTGCAACAGTAATTGAGCCTATGAGAGGATATTACGACGTGCCCATTGCCACGTTGGATTTTAACTCTCTATACCCAAGTATCATGATGGCGCATAACTTATGCTATACAACGCTGTGCAACAAATCCACTGTTGAAAAATTAAATCTAGTTAAAGATGAAGACTACATTGTTACTCCAAATAAGGATTACTTTGTGACGTCAAAGTTACGTCGCGGTATTCTGCCGGAAATTCTGCATGAGTTGATTACTGCACGTAAGCGGGCTAAAAAAGACCTAAAAGCAGAGCAGGATCCATTTAAACGCGATGTGCTAAATGGCCGACAACTCGCGTTGAAGATCTCCGCTAACTCGGTTTATGGTTTCACAGGTGCAACCGTAGGTAAGCTCCCGTGCCTTGCCATCTCTTCTTCTGTGACTTCATTTGGGCGTACCATGATTGAACTAACTAAACAAGCAGTAGAGGAGCGGTACTCCATAAAGGAAGGATTCAAATATGACGCGGTCGTTGTGTATGGTGACACCGATTCCGTCATGGTAAAATTTGGTACAAACGATTTGAAAGAGGCCATGGAACTCGGCGCAGAAGCAGCAACATACGTATCTTCGCTTTTCAAGGACCCCATTGCGCTCGAATTCGAGAAAGCTTATTTTCCTTACTTACTGATCAACAAAAAGCGCTACGCAGGTCTATACTGGACAAGTGTGGAGAAATACGACAAGTTAGATCAAAAGGGGTTAGCGTCAGTTCGTCGTGACTCATGTCCTTTGGTTTCCATTGTTATGAATAAAGTTTTGAAGAGAATTTTAATTGACCGTGATGTCGACGGAGCATTAAATTTCATTCGGGATACGATTGGTGATATTCTCCACAATAGAGCTGACATTTCGAAGTTAATTATATCCAAAACACTGGCTCCAAATTATACCAATCCCCAACCTCATGCAGTACTTGCCGAGCGCATGCTGAAAAGAGATGGGGTTGGTCCTAACGTTGGTGATCGTGTCGATTATGTTGTGGTGGGTGGTAATGATAAACTTTATAACAGAGCCGAGGATCCACTGTATGTATTGGAGCAGAACATTCAGATTGACTCAAAGTACTACTTGACGAACCAACTTCAAAATCCGATCATTAGTATCATCGCTCCGATCATAGGAGAAAAGCACGCAAATTCTATGTTTGTTGTCAAGTCAATCAAAATCAGTTCTGGTAATGCAAAAGGCGGTCTGATGGGATTTGTAAAGAAAGTTCAAACATGCAAAGGCTGTAAAAGGCCACTAAAAAAAGGAGAGGGACCGTTATGTCATAATTGCATTGAAAGGTCTAGCGAACTCTACGTACGCGCTCTTTATGATGTTCGAGACCTTCAAGAAAAATTCGCTCGCCTATGGACCCAGTGCCAACGTTGTTCCGGAAGTTTGCATAATGAAGTTCTTTGCTCTAATAAGAATTGTGACATTTTTTACATGAGAGTTAAAGCGAAGAAAGAACTACAAGAAAAAGTGGTTGAATTAAGCAAATGGTGATTTCTAAATAAACAATTTCCATATTTATAAAGAGCTTTTATTGTAAACTTGAGAGTTCCGAATATGTTTTAGGAATTCTACTTTCATCTATGGCTTGCCTGCTCATGAGAGCCGGTGATCTTGCAAGGTACGAATTGTCCGAAAACCAAGGGTGATTCATAGTCTGTTGGACATCATACCTAAAGGCTGGGTTGACAACCAGAAGATTAGATATTAAATGCAAACATGAGTCATCTACGTTATCCCAATAAGGGGAGTAGAAAGCCACCTTGCCCTGAAGAATCTGCTCCTTCATAGATGGGGGGCTCAACTGTTCACTGAAAGGAGGAAAGCCACATAAACACACGTACAATAGAACGCCAGCACTCCACAAATCAACTTTTGACGTATATCCTGTCTTTTTCAAAACTTCTGGAGCAACATAAGAAGGCGTACCACAGAGCGTGTTCGTGAACTGCATCTCGCCGATAAATTTAGCCAGACCAAAATCTGCTATCTTGATCGTTATATCTATTTCATCATCATCCCAGGGTCCTCGTTGCTGTTCCTCAGTATGTTGGCGTTTCCGTATACTTAATAGGATATTTTCAGGTTTGATGTCTCGGTGAATGATATTTTTTGCATGCAAATACCGCAAGCCATTGAGAATCTGCGTGAAAATTGCGTTTGTTTCTTCCTGTCTGAGCTTAGTTTTCCGTACTATTCTATCAAATAGCTCACCATCGCTAACTTTTTCTAACACGAGATAAGTTTGGATTTGGGCCTTGCTGACAGGTTCTACGAACCTGTCTATAAGCTTGACAATATTACGGTGTTGTATACTCATTAATATTTTGGTTTCTTCCCGAAATTGTTTTGTCTTCTTTTGGTCGTCGTTTCGTTGTGGATGGAAGATCTTGACAGCTACAATGTCACCACTGTCTTTATCAGTAGCTTCCTTAACAATTGCATAATGACCAGATCCTAGCTCTTTTCCTACAATAAACCTGTCAAGAAAAGTTGGCCTTTGTGCAGACAGAGGCCGTCTCACAACATCCTGACTACTCAGGGTGGGCTTTTTAAATTGGTCCGAATTGTTTTCGCCCTGGGTCGGGACAGAGCTGGCAGAAATCGGATGCTCCTCCTCGTTGTCGGCCAAGTACTTGAATAAGAAAGAGCAACTCCTGCCTAGAACAACCCTATCGCCGTTTCTCAAAATGTAGTCCCTTTTAACAAGCCTGTTGCCGTTTACAAAGGTTCCATTGCGGCTTCTGTCGACTATATTCACCAATCGTCGTTGGTATCCATCTATAGTTACTGTAAGGACGCATAGTTCACAATGCAAAGTGGATATATCGGGTTCAGCCAAAGCTATATCGCATGCTCTGCTGCGTCCTATTTTTGTTGTAGGCTTCCCCTTCACAATGTACTTGCCTTCCTTTCCTGGGATTAAACTGACCAGTACGGCGACGGATGAGTATTCATTTTCTCCTACATCCACAGCAACTTGCAATCGCTTCTCATCAGAATCTCGAGTCTCTCCGGAGAGTTGCTGATCCAATTATTTTACATTAGTAAAAATGCTTCAATTTCCGAATACGTCCTCGTCTTTTCCTTTTCAGAGGTTGATCGCTAACTTTGCTTCAAACATACCCTTTTAAGTGAGCTTGTCATCTCTCAATGAGTTAGCGCAGGGTCGTGTGCTACTGCGTCTACCATATGATATTACACGAGTTCCTTTATTTTGAAATAAGAATCCATTCTTTTCAGCACTTGATACGATTGAGATCAACTTGCAAAAGGTTACCATTGGGATAGAGCGATAGAAAACTCAAGATGCGTTGTAATTGCTTGAGACCCTTCGTAGGCGGCTTCCATTCGTGGTAAGATTGCCACATTATTTCGATTCGCTGCAATGCTTCTTTGTTGTTGCGGCGGAAGCGCACATGTTCCGGTTCGGGAAAAGATGAAGCGAAAGGATGGTCAGCTAGGAAGAAAAGGAGCGTGGGCTTCGGCACTTCTGGTAAGTTTTGTAGTTTCGCAAAGTGAGAAAGAAAGTCATGAAGCTGCCACACTAAATCATACTGGTTCTGGTTGTCCAAAATGTTGGCTGGAGTGATGGATTTAGTAGAAAGATCAATCTTACGGGGTTCAAGAAGGGAAGTCGTTTGCACAGTATCGCAAACAAATGCATGATAGATTTGGCAATCTTCGAAAATTCCACCTTTGATGCTAAAGTGATCCAGTGATTGCTTATTAGCTTTGTAGAATACGTATTCCAAAAGCTCATTGACCCCATTGATCTCAGCGGGCACCATGCCATTTTTGGATGGACTGACACTTTTCCACCGTAGATCCATTTCTTGTAACCACACTTTTAGTTCGTATTGCTGCTGCTTCTTCAAAGTTGCAGGAACTGTGTGTCGATTGAAGGAGCGGGAAATAAAAAAAGGACTAATCATTTTTAGCATAGGGACCAGTTCAGAATAGCCTAAGTTTATAGCCATAACAAGGTTTTGTACAAGACATATTTCAAACGCTCTTTCCTCCGGGATTTTTAACCTTTCTTGGTACAACAAAGGCTCTGTGTTAAGCTCTTTATTAGTGAGCAAAAAGTGGGCGCTCTTTTTGAGGTCCAGCCCCAAACTAGAGCCCGCGCACCAAACATGTCTTAGAATATTGGGATGTTGATAATTGACGGCTAGCTTTTCAGCTATAGTCATGAAGCTATCGTAAAGACGACCTATCAACACCAATTTGCTGCTTGCGTGATGAAAAAAGATCCAATCAAGAGCACATTGAATTTGTTTAGACTTTGAAGAGCTTGGGTCTCTATATTGTGTTAGTTGAGATAGTAGGTCTTGCTGGATCTTAGAACTTCCCTGTAACAATGATTTCTCTCTTATCGTCTGATAGTTTATCGAGTTTGCATCTGCATTTGAGTCTGAGCTGTGGTCCCAAAATTGGTAGCCGCCTAAGCATGATTCAATACTTAACAGCCCAACTGTGGGGCTTATAGGAAGACCGTAATTAATCCTGTGCTCTAGCATGTGCTTAGCTACCATAATTTGCAGTGGTACACTATGGTATACTCCAGTGAAGAGTAGAGTATCAGCGCCAAAAAAGCGTGAGCGCCAATTGTTTAGAAGCTGGATAGACTCCTCGAAGCAAACTTCTAATGGTTTTTGATCAAGTGGCGATTCAAGTGAAAACGTTAAGACACTGCTCATTGGATGGTCCTTTAACACTGATCCAAGTTTAGTTGACAGCTGTTTAGCAGAAAACTGCTTCCCCAGGGTTGCTTTCTCATATTTGTCTGGTAGGCCGCCAACGAATGAAATTATTATCGCTTTTCTGCCCTCCAGTCTGCTGTCTAGAGAACTTTGGCCTAAATAAAGATGACGCTCACTGTTGAAATTGTAATACTGCTTGAAAGCGATAGATATTTTGTTGACAATAGTCCTTTCGTGGAACTGTTCATGCGGTAAAGTATTGGGCAATAGAAGTGAGTTTTCGACATAAAATCGAGAGCGCAACTCTCTAGAGATAGGAAACTTTACTAGTGGCAAAGGACACATAGCAGAACCCGTATTAGCAACGCTCAGCTGCCCCGAATTTGTGCCATTTAAATCAACTTTAGCTGTCTCAGAGAAGTCTTCGAACCAACACCAGGTGTCTGCCTTTTTAACTATACCTTGCTGCGCTTCCACTTCTAATAATTGAATTTGCTTACTGCTGAGCTTGCTGTAGTCTGCTAAATTATTCAAATCGACAGGTACTTCTTCGTCGAGAAAAGGTAAGGATGGCATACGTTCTCGTACATTTTGAAACCACGAACTTGCCGCAGCGGGTTTCCCTCCAAAAGACCCCTCGCCTACTCCATGGTCAATTTTATGTCCTATCAGACCATTAACGGGTGATGCAATCCATTCAGCCCACGTTGAGTCTCTTCGTTCTAAAACAGGGTTCTCACCAACCTCAGGTGTTTCTTCGGACATTAGAGTTTTAGTTATAGCAAGAAACACTCCTTATTTGAAGTTCATTTATCCTGCTGAGAGCCTAAACGTTTAACAGAAACAATTCAGTGGGCTCGTTTCTAATGTATTTCTCAAATTAAGTAATATTAAAGAGCTTTATAATTCTACCAACTATATTGAAATTATGATAGAAAGCCTCAACAAGGCATCTGTCATTCCAAGAGACAAGCCCTGCCAAGAACCTCGGATTACTGTAATGTTCGATGTATGATTTACTACTACAGAAGCTAAAAGAAAGGGACGTTGTTGAGAAGAACTTCGCGGAGTTATTTGAGGCAGCTCCAATACAGAATGCAAAGTCCGATCAGGGGACTCAAAATCAATCAAAATCATTGAGAAAAGAACTAGAGTTTCGCGACAAGAAGATTGAGGAGTTCAATGCCACCCTAAAACTAAAGAACAAAGACGCTGAACGGCTGAATGACGAAATCATCACGCTTAATATTGAAAACAACTTATTACAAGACCAGTATGATAAAATGAAATCTGAGTATGATGGGATTGTGAGCAGATGGCTGAGAAAGACTCAGCAAGAGGCAGACACAATGAATGAGTCCTTTAAGTAAAGAAAAGGCGACAGACTCGAGAAAACGCGAAAGTCCGTAACATCTAAATAATTTGAAAATTGACTTTGAATATTTGAATTTACGTTGGCTGATATAGGTGAGCTAGTCAAGAACAAATACCATCAGGGTGACGCTGAATAAATAACACCGTGAACATTGATGCCCTGATGCATCCTTAAACAAGAGGAATCAAGTACTTTATTGTAATTACTTGAGAAAAGTAAAGCGTCGCGAACCTATTGAAGTTAAGCTGATTGACAATAGCAGACATGTACCAATTATTGTAGCACGATGTGCAAAAAGAGATCTTAATACAACCTTCTCGTGCTCACGAACGCTGAAATTATTTACTATTTTCGGAAGGAGATCTTCCATAGGCTTCAGTAGCTCAGTCGGAAGAGCGTCAGTCTCATAATCTGAAGGTCGAGAGTTCGAACCTCCCCTGGAGCATATATTTTTGGTAATTATTATGTTCTCAAATGTTAGCGGAACCGCCCCATAATAACTGGCGGATTCGCGAAACGTTTATCATCACTTCTTTGTTATACCCCTATATAGGTCTCAAAATTCTTCTTCATTTTTGCTCTTCTAACTCGTAAATGACTTTGTTGTCTTTCTTAGGGTCATAACCAGTGTCTAAGAATTTTGAAAACTTCTTCAAGTTGTTCAAACCTCTTATTTCACCAGCGCACAAAGGCATTGTGACTACATGGAAATCTTCGTAGAGCTCGTCAATTTGATCCAAGTACTTCTTTTGCATTTTCCAACGAGATTGACAACGCCTGCAGTTGTGTTCGCTATCGTCCTCGGCAAATAATAGTTGATTTACGATAATCGAGTTTACATCCATATCGTAAGACATCAGTTCCTGAATCAAACGCTCGGTCTCATAAAGAGACAAAAATTCACTGATACAAACACACACAAAAGTGGTCAAGTCTGGGTCCGAGAATTGTTGTTTGATTTTCTCGACATTAGATTTCAGCTCATTCATTTTCCCCATGATATCCATGTTCTGAGAACCTCCAGTGAACGAATTGAGCATGGGACCAAATTTTCCCGCAATCTCACCAAACTTGTCTAGGAGTTGCGACAATGTTTGAGGTAATTGCAAAAACCGCAAAGTATGACCGGTAGGAGCAGTATCAAAAATAACAGTGTCGTACTTTTCGCCCTCTCCTTCTTCTTGTCTTTTGATGTGTTTCATGACCTCCATGAACGACAAAGCCTCGTCAATACCAGGAATCGAGCCCGTAATATCAGCAAGAGCGCCACCTTGTAGCAGGTCGCCAAGGCCTTCGTTACCTCCATTTTGGGCCACAGCCATATCGTTCATATCTTTGAGTGCAGCAGAAGGATCAATTTCCATACATGATAAGTTATTCATCCCAGTGACTTTCCTAGCTTCTTTGCCAAACTTTTCTCCAAAAGCATCGCTCAGATTGTGAGCTGGATCCGTAGAAATCAGCAGGAACTGCTTGGTGGGCTGAGCCAGGGCCATTTGAATCGAAATCGAACACGAAGAGGTCGTTTTACCAACACCACCTTTACCACCCACGAAAATCCATTTGTGAGTAGTCGAAGTAATCAACTCGTGCAGGTTAGATTCCACACTGTAATCCATGGCGATAAGTAGTGTTAAATAGTTCTTTTTTGAAATGCAGGGAATTCAAACGAAGCTGATGAACTTAGTGAGTAGACTGCTCGGCTCAACGTTCCTTGATAAATTTTTGTATGTGGCAATCTAAGATTTAATATTACATTTTTTTGGTTTTAATAATTTAACATAACAGAAAACCGGGATATTTGCTGCACCAAAACATCAGGTTGACAGCTTCTGATATTTAATCATAGTTGAATAGAAAGGACCACAGGATTTTAGAGTTCAAAAACTCAAATATCTGTTCCCGGATTATGTCAGAAGACGAAGAGAAACGTCTGAAGCAGTTGGAAGACGCTAGGAAGCGAGTCGAAGAGTTGAAGAACAGAAAGAAGAGAAAGGACAAGAAGAAGAAGAAGAGCGAATCCGATGAATTGACTAGTGAAATCGTCAAAAAAGAAGGCGAGGACGCAGAAGCCGACACGAAAGAATCGAATTTAGGCGATGCGAACGTGGACGAGCCTAGTGTTGATGAGCAACTTAGTGCCCCAGCGGAAGCCGAGAAAGAGCAAGACATTCCAGTGAATGAATTGGGTGCTTCGCCACAGAAAGAGGTTGCTGGCTCGCCAACTTTCAAAGGTGATGTTCAACTTTCAAGTTCCTGTGACGGCGCTGCCGAAGCAAAGAAAAACGAAGACCACAATAGAACTGAAGAATCCTCGACACCAAAGGAAAATTCGGCCTCACCACTGCGGCAACTAAATAATGATCGCGTTACCCCGCAAGTAATTGAATATGGCACGACTTCTCCTTCTTTGGAAGCAAAAGAGCCAGCGTCTGAAACGGATGCACTTTTCCCTGAAGAGTCTCCCAACTTTCTTTCGGAGCTGCAACGCGAGAATGACCGCCTCGCGCTAATAGATCTTCAAAAACAAGTCGTCGAGCTGACGAGTGAGATTCGGAGGCTTAAATTTGTCAACATGGAGCAAGAAACCACGATCGAAGAACTGCACGAGCATGCTCACGAACTGGAAGGTCAATTGGCTATCTCGCAGCAAGAATTGGCGTATGAAAAACAATCAAACGCGCAGAGATCCACTCAACTTACTACGGGGTTCGAAACGGCGAGTTATGAACAGTCGCACATAGTGGCCCCCGTAGTAGACCGAGCTGCAATCAACAAATGGAAGAATTGGAATGTTGATATGACTAACTGGAGAAGCATAGGATCCGGACCGGTTGTGCATTTCTAACGATATACGCGACGAAGCGCGCTAAGTATTTACACTATTAAATGTACAGTAGTTTCTGGTGGTTGTTATCTATCTACAGAGTGTCAGTAGAGCTTCAAAGCTCACTTGACGCGGCAAAGCACCTCGCCGCCAATCTTCCGTGCGATCGCATCGTTGATATCCAGGAGCTCGCTGCCACTGCGCACGAGAATTAGTTCGCCCGGCTGGAGCGGCTTGATCAGACGCACCGACTTGCCCGTGCACAGCTGTTTCAGATCCTCATAGCCCAGATCTATACGCAAGTTGGGTTTTGAGATCAGTCGACATGTGCTTATCACGGGTCTGTTTTCCCGGTATTTGAGTCCCACCCACAGTCTACGGGTCGAGATATTGTCCGACGTTACCTCCACAGCGGCCGAATCTGGTCCTTTAGTCGACCCCCTCTGCAGAGTAGACAAAAATCCATGCTTGTACAAGTTGTACGCAAAATTTAGATGCAATTTGGTGTATGGGATCGAGGTGAGAGATGTTCTCGCCATCGAACAGTTTTGTAAATGAGCGCAAACGTTAGCGAGATGGACTAAGGACATGGTGGGAAAGTCAATTAATGATATATTCCTATCTAATAAGGTAACCCTCGACTAAGAAACCAGTATCAATTTTCCTGTAATTCAAATATTTCGGAATTCTGCTCAACTTTCCTGTACTTCAAAAAGTTCAAATTTTTGTCAGAAATTGGAAAGTGTTGATGGCACTTGTCACGAACATTAATATCAAAAGACGCTACAATAGGACCATTAAGAGTGTTCAATTCGTATCAGCAGTCTGGAAGCGATTTGGCAGTCTTTAGCTCTTTAAAATTCTCTCGTTGGATAGTCTTCGCGGAATGTTTTTGAGCAGTCACAGCAGAAGTCTCATGGTCAGGGCCTGTAGATTCGGCATCAGCAAATTAAGACTGGTGCGTGCTTATTCTACACCCAAAAGGCAGCCCAAAAAGGACGAATTGCCCAGCTTCACAAAAATAGCCGTAGTCGGAGTGCTAGGCACTATTGTTTTCGTGGAAGCCGTAAAATCGCTAGACAAGAATAAACCCAAAAACTCGTACTCAGAGTCGGAGTTTGAGTCAGCGATGCAAGGCGTGAGGCGTCGAAAAGTGATGTTTCAGCCAGGCCAAGTGTACGTACAGCTAGCCACGGCAGGCGTCCCACTCGACGTTCTAAAGACTTCGAATCCAGAACTCAAAGTCGTGAATTCCAGTGATGCGGTAGAACACTACCGTCAAACGAAAGACGACAAATATTATGCTTTGTTGAACGAGCTCCAGGAGGCACATGGCGATAAGTATCAAGAGCACTTGCCACAGGGCCTGAAGGTAATGTTGGTAGGCCGCTATCTACAGGAACAATGTCATGATGGCGATCAGGTCGTGGTAGCAGGGTTCCCGCTCAGTGTCAAGGACGCCATCAAATTTGAGAACGAAGTGTGCGTGGTTGAGAAAGTGCTGTTCTCCAAATCGGACGTAGAATCCGACTTGGCACGCTACTTCCAGACAGTTAACAAGGTTGAGGTCCTGTAGAAACTCTTTATCTCAGAGTCATATAAATAACAAATTGAATATCACTTTTTAGTACTCCCAAAATCACCAAATCCCATCACAGAATTCAAGCCTGTTTGTTCGACCCGTTCTTTTTCGGCCGGCTTAGGCGGTTTTAGGGCAGGCTTGGTCCCGGGTTTTGATTTGCCGCCGGAGCCGTATGACTTCAAGAAGTCTCGGATTGTGCTGGAGTAGCTCTCATCAAATTCCCGAAGTGATACATCGTCGTTATCCCGAAGGTCGGCTATCAGAGGTTCATTAAATATTCTTTCAAACTTAATCTGATGGATTTTATGATTCAAATGATCCACGAACTGCAGTGTATCCTTAAAAGTAAGATCGCACAACTCACAGTAAAAACCAAACTGTTTGCCCTTTTTGTAGGAAGTCAATGCATTTGTAAGCACCCTTTGATTTGAGTTTTTGGTGATATCTTTGACCAGTAAACTATGATTGGTGTACTTAGATTTCAGTTTCTGCAGTTGTTCATCACTAAGAGACCCGAATATCGAATCTTGCTTGCCTCTTGAATCTTTCTCGAATTGTGCATATTCTTCACGATCCCAAGTTCTACGCCCGAATTTCGACGAACTAGAACGCCCGGAGTTTTCCATGGCCTTTGAAATGAATTTTAAGCTCCACTTTCAAGTCAGATTGAATTTTCTTGACATTGATGGAGATTTCCTACCAACACAACAAGTTTAAATAATCAAATATACAAATCATGAAAGGTCTAAAGATGGCAGCACCGGCCTCACACAGGACAATCATCCTTCCTCACATCATCAAATATATACCAAAAAATGGCAAGCTTGGCGAAGAAGCCAATGTTTACGCGTTTGATCTCGATCATACCATCATAAGGCCTAAATCTGGGGGCCGATTTAGTCGAGGTGCTGAAGATTGGATCTTCATGTCTTTTTCAAGCAACAAAGAAGGTGAATCTCGAAAGACAGTTGATACGTTGGCTGAATTATTGAAAAGCGATACAAATGCACAAGTTGTAATATTTTCCAATCAAGGCGGCATCGTGACGATACCGCCAACTTCTAAAAGCTGTGCAAACTTTACCCGAAAAATAGACTTAGTACTTCAAGCAGTAGCAAACCTTAACCTTGATTTACAAGATAGAATCTGGCTCTATGCCTCAACAAAAAAACCAGCGTCATTGTCATCTACCAAAAGACCCAAAACCATCAAGAAAGTGGCTAAAAAGAATTCACAAGCACAAACTGCTAAGGACCAGAGTATATTCAGTGATGCTATATTCCAATCCATGCGAAAACCGAATCCTGGAATGTTCGAAGAGTTCACCAATGACTTTGGACGAAAATTCAAATTAGAATACTATTGCGGGGACGCCGCTGGGAGAAAATCTGATTTCAGTGATAGTGACAAACTGTTTGCAGCTGCAATTAAGACTGCGTTCCGAACGCCAGAAGAAGTCTTTTCTGAATAACTTGATGATATCGGGACTTTACACGAATGCATTATTTTCTAATATTTATTTAGACACACATGAATTTGATCAGTTCAAATAGCTTGCCTTCTCAAAAAGTTGTTCCACAACCTTATTAAGCTGTCCGATTAGTTCAACTGAAGAGTCATAAGTCGCATCCTGATGAGGAGTTTCATAAATGTACAGCCACCCGTTACCTTGATCCAACACTCCATAGAATATCTTATCAAGGATCATCTGTGAAAGTTTGCCCTCGACTTGTTGGTTTTCAAGCCCAATCATCTTGGAAATGTGACGCACCTCTACGCAGTCAAACGGTTCGATAATTTTGCACAAATTCGATTCTAAGAGAGTGTCATATAGGGCATTAAAATGTGATCTGATAAGCGGGTCACCCATCAATTCCGTTTCGTATTGCTTGAGCGCAGCGTTAAATTCTAGTAAAGACCTTTGCGAGTAAGCTTCTGCAACGGCCTTCATAGCTTCGATGCCGCGAGATTGATAGGTTTCCTTTGTGTACTTTGCATTCAAAATGGAGTTTACTTCGTCAATCAAGTTTACCATGATCTTGGAGAGAAGCATGTAATTTAAAACTTGTGCAGCCTTTTCTTGAAAATTCGTCGATTGATTGTGGAATCCTTCGAAAGATTCGTAAAAATATGAAAAGGCCGTCTTGTAGTCCTTGTCCTCACAATGCAAAATTCCGCTCATCAAGTCGAGCTCTGCAACGGTAAGTGTAGGACAGTATATGGAGTTTGCAGCAGTTCTAGCGCTTGTGAGTGCCGCCTTGGATCTAGCCAGGTTCCGAAGTTTGTGATAAACTTTTGCCTCTAGTAAATGGACATCAACTAGGGATGATTTGTCGTCAAGTTTTTTGAACTCTCTTAGCAAACCATTGATGAGCTCTAGCGATTCGTTGTACTGAGCTTTTTCGAAGTACAATGTCGCGAGCCTAATCGATAGAGAATGCTTTAAAAATGCACGTCTTTCGCGAGTCGCAAAATCTATGCTATCTTTGCACACGCTGATCTGGGTGTCTAGTGAATTGGGGATTTGTTCAAATTGATCAATTAGGGACTTTAGCACTTTCGCGGTTTTAGATTTGGCGTACTGCATCATAATTCCCCTGGCTTCAGGAATGAAGGTTGCTAGCTTGTCGGACTGCTTTGTGAGTCCGTACAAGCTTCCCAGCTCCACAATACAGCGTTCTTGCACTTGAGTTTGGGCTTGACTTGCGAAACCATTAGTGCTGCTGTTGGTGTTGTCTTTTAGCAACGAAAGGTAGAGCTCTTCGGCTTTCGAATACTCCTTCTTTTCCACAAGCTCTCTGGCCTCTTCAATTGATGCCATGGTAGTGTTAAAGCTCTTGTTGTAGTAGTACGAAACACAGTTTGCCACCTTGAAGCGAACTTGAATATAATATAGAACTCGACAATTTAGTACGAAGTGACCATCCGGGTAAGAAGACTGATCAAAATAACGTGGATGGTAAATACAATCATACGCAGAACATTCATCGTGGGTCACCTTGCAAGTTTCGCTGTAACAGCAGAAGCACCGCATTTTTCGGGGTTGACGCACGGAATAGTTTTTATGGAAAATTTCGAGAGCACAATTCATGGCGCAGAGTATGCCCACTGAGTTGCGAAGTTCCACCAGAGAACCCACTGAAGCTGCTATCTTCATAAAATCATGGCTTTTACTTGTTGGGACATCTACAAAATTGCATGCTTCTGCCTATAATGATATTAATTTGACAATTCTTTCGAGCTATTTAATGAACTTTGTTAGTTAACTTTTTCTAGTTGAGCCATAAAACACTTTTGATATAATTCTTGATTGCAGGTTACAAACTCGGCCATGTTAATTCTCGTTGCGCTTCTCACTTCAAAAGTTGATCTTAAATATTGTTACAGAATGGCCTCTAATAGCACGGGTGATTCCGTGAACCCAGACAAATCCCCTCACAGTGTCAGTTAGTTGCAGCTCATAGACACTGCAGCTTGTCTGATCTTCAGTGACAGTGTTCCTTTTGACTATTGAGCAGGCCTACTAGGCCGTTTACCATTAATAATGTCACTTTATATTTAAAAAAGCCAACACAAATAGTAACGAATCTCTTAATGAAAAACTCAGGGGTATCTCAAGGACTGACTGAGGCTACCTAACTTTTTAAATATTTCAATAAACTTGAAATGAACACGCTCTTAAACGCATTTTTTGAATGATTGTATCACCCGCTAAGCTCAAAGTCCGAAGAGACACATATGAGTGTTAGCTTCAAATATATGAATGGTTTAAGACAAAGGCTTCCAAGATACCAAAATACAACTCAGCATCATCCTCTGAATTCGCAAATTTACGTTTTAGAACAACTCCGATGTAAGATCACTCGACACTAATCTCACCCTTTGGGCGGCTAAATTCTGGTTTGTGCAAAATCGCTATTTTCATTTCATTAGCACAGCTGAAGCACGTAGAGATATTTTCTTTCTGGATCTCTATCACCTAAAATGATCTATATAATGTTGTCTATAATAACGTCAATGGACTTATCGTATGACAACTGATTACTACTGATTATCAATTAGGCGATGTAAATCGTTCTGTGGTTTTTTAGGTTGCGAAGATTAGATCCGCGATATGTGGAATCAATCATCAGTACTTATGCAGTTGTTCTGGGTGACGACTTGCGGAGTGTTCGCTACTGGAAAATTAATCGCATGAACGTTACTCCTTGGTAGTGTGATAAGAATGTGTGAGGAATCGCGGCTGTATAAGCTATATGGCCTCCACATCAGTGCTTTGGCCAACTAACTTAGCCGTATTACCGATATCGGCATGTTTAGCCAGTAACAAAGCATCAAGCATCTGTCACCTCATACCCGCGTGTCATAGTCATAAGTCAAAATTTTGAAGAGATAAACCATACACACTAGTTGTGGCAAGAGTAAAGTGTCCAAGAGTACAGCGTGGCTACTACATTGACATTGTAAGCGATGAAGGAGCATTGGAGGTAGACCTCCACAACATAATATCAAGGAAAGCTTTGGAAGTTTTCATTTCATGAAAGTTTGAGCCGCTGAAATCAGACTACTTATAGAAATAACAGCAGCAATATAAGCAGATCGAGTACTACTTTTGAATGTATTTTTTGAAAGAGAGCACTTATTTGCCGCTTACCATTATTATGCTGCTTTTTAAAATCATATTGACTCAAAACGAGAGAGCTTGCTGATTTAAACAGCTTTTGGTCGAAAACGGCTAGATCTGGCATGATCTCGGCAATTTGACAAGCTTCCTACAAATCATTTTCCCCGATCCTGAACATCTTTAATTTCTGGTACACATGCAGATTAAAGATGCCAGAGCCTCACTCACGGGACAGATATTGCATGAAGTCTTTCTGTGGGGATTACACCGCGAGATGAAGACGGTCTTGCCACTTTGGTGTGTTTACCTTCTTAATCTGAGATTTGAGACATTCGCGAGAACCATTTTGTCCTCGGGTCGACGAATTTCAAATGTGTTACGACATCTCCCAAGAATGAGGAACATGTTCAAGCCCATATCTTCTTTACCGAGCTGACCATCGGAAAAGGACGCAGTCTTTTAGTTGGTTTTCATATCGTGTCATCATCCTTCACATGACTGCCCGTATTTCGGGCGTGGCAGTTTCAAAATTTTCGATGGAAGTATATTTACGTGTTCTCAAAATTTCAGGTACACACATCAGAAATCTACAACTGCCTCACATACCAATTCATTGAGCCGCGCCATGCCTTCGGAAGCAAAACGTGGAGACCAGCGGTTGGAATGCCAGGATCCTGTTCCGGATCTCAATATTGGAAAAGGTCCGGTAAGACCATATGTAATTACCGAACCTCCAAGGGCGCTCAGCGAATCGCGTACCCCAAGTAGCATGAAGGAAAAATTACTGATTGCAGCTCTGCTACTGATCACTGGTGTTGTCAGACTTCACAGTCTTTCTAATCCAGACTCAGTGGTGTTTGATGAGGTTCATTTTGGAGGGTTTGCCTCGAAATACATAAAGGGCATTTTTTTTATGGACGTTCACCCACCCTTGGCAAAAATGCTGTTTGCTGCAGTTGGCTCAATTGCAGGCTTCAACGGAGACTTTGAGTTCAGCAAAATTGGAGAGCGTTTCCCAGAATCAACTCCATACTTTTTCATGAGACTTTTCCCAAGTATTTTGGGTGTCCTCACCGTGCTTCTAATGTACCTAACTTTGCGTTGCTCGGGTGTGAGGATTCCAATTGCGTTCATTGCGTCACTGTGTTTCGCTGTCGAAAATAGCTATGTCACTATCTCCCGTTACATCCTTTTGGATGCCCCGTTACTGTTTTTCATCGCTTCGGCCGCTTACGCTTTCAAAAAATATGAAATCTATCCTCAAGGATCTTGGGCATCCCAGAAGGCTCTCTTGAGTGCAGGTCTCGCTCTTGGTATGGCAGTTTCTTCTAAATGGGTTGGGCTCTTCACCATTGCGTGGATCGGACTTCTCTGTATTTGGAGATTGTGGTTTATGATCGGTGATATGTCCAAACCAGTTGGCAAAACTGTAGTGGAAGCGTCGAGAAAACTCGTTTATTTGCTGATTGTGCCAGCGATTCTTTACATGACGTTCTTCTATATTCATTTCGATGCATTGACCATATCCTCGGATGGTGCAGGTTTCTTTTCATCTGCTTTCAGAACTACATTACAAGGAAACACAATCCCAAAAGACATTTTGGCTGACGTTGGTATTGGGTCTGTGGTCACTATTCGTCACATTGCAACAATGGGCGGTTACTTGCACTCTCACGATCATATGCTGGAAAAGGGCTCTCAACAACAACAGATCACTCTCTACCCTCATCTGGATGGGAACAACGATTGGATAATTGAGCTGAACGAAAAACCTAATGCCCCACTAACCTCCTTTGAAGGGCTTATGGACGGAACTATTATCAAACTGAAACATTTGGGCACTCAGAGAAGGCTTCACTCCCACGATCATAAAGCGCCTGTGTCTGAAAGTGCCGATTGGCAAAAGGAAGTTTCTGGTTATGGTTTTGATGGCTTTGAGGGTGATGCAAACGACGATTGGGTCGTGGAGATTGACCAAGATGCTTCTGAACCAGGTGAAGCTCAAAAGCGCGTAAAAGCACTGGACACTAAATTCAGACTGAGACATACTATCATGAACTGCCATTTGTTCTCCCATGAGGTAAAGCTACCAAAATGGGGCTTTGAACAGCAAGAGGTTACCTGTGCCAGTCAAGGTAAAGAACATCTAACTCTTTGGTACGTGGAAGCAAACTACCATCCTCAACTACCAGAAGACGCCGAACGTGTCTCTTACAAGAAGCCAGGGTTTTTTGAAAAACTTATAGAATCGCATCAAAGAATGTGGCACATTAACAAAAATCTTGTTGAACCTCACATCTACGAGTCCAAGCCTCATTCGTGGCCATTCTTACTCCGCGGTATCAACTACTGGGGTGAGAATCACAAGCAGGTTTACCTTCTAGGAAACGCAGTCGTGTGGTGGTCTGTGACTGCCTTTATCGGAATCTTTGCCTTAGTTGTTAGTTCTGAACTAATATCTTGGCAACTTGGATACGAAGTCCTGCAAGATCCAAAGGTCGTGAATTTTCATGTGCAAGTAATCCATTATTTGTTGGGCTATGCTTTGCACTATGTCCCATCCTTTTTAATGGGCCGCCAGTTATTTTTGCACCATTACATGGCCTCTTATTACTTTGGAATTCTTGCGTTTGCTCATGCTTTGGAAATCATTGTCACATACGTGTTCCGTAAGAGAGAGGTCTACGGGTACGCCGTTGCAGGTGCCTTTTTGAGTTGCACTGTGTATTTCTTCATTTCTTACCGTCCTTTGATTTATGGTTCTCCATGGACACAAGAGCTGTGCGAAAAATCCAAGTGGCTATCAGGTTGGGACTACCCTTGCCACAACTTTTTGTCCTCCTACGATGACTACAAAAAAATTGAGACCGAGCAAGCCCAAGAGGCTTTGTACCCCTCCCAAACGCTAGTAGCCGGAGCTGACGCCAAACCAACTGACAATCAGAATGCTCCGGTTGCAGAACCAGCTAGTGATGAGGAGTTTGACGTTGATAAGATTATGGCATCTCCTGGTTTAAAGAAGTTTGTCGACCAAAATGGTAATGAACTACCTTTCGATGTCGTAAAAGATGTTTTGGGTAATGGAGGTTCCGTCATGAGCGTGGAACACCGTTCACATACCGATATACTTTAGGGGGCCCTGTATAGATATTTTGTAACCATGGTAATTATATAACCTTTTTATTATCAGACGCAGTTTTCTCTTCCAACGTCAATGCATTTAAAGCGCTCTCCTCACTCCTCAGGCGACTCATCATCTTCGTCCAAGATAAACACTCCATCGTGCTTTAATTGTCTGATCTTGTGTATCCTTCGAGCGTATGTTATGCCCACGAGGACAAGATTCAAAATGGCTACACCAACAGCAAATTTAGCAATGAGTTGAAATGTATGCGCGTAACACACAGAACCTTTGTCACAGATAGTCTTTTCTGGATTAGTGTTGCGAGAAAGATCATTAGCGAAAATTGCGGAAAAAACCTTGACACTCAAAATGCCACCTGTAGTGCTAAGTCCCCATATAGTACTAAAGCCTTCCGTACCAAACTGGTCAGCTATAATTGCTGGGAAAGTTCCAAATGTAATTCCGAAGGCAAACCCAAATATTAAAGAGGTCAGTGAAACGTTCCTGACGAAAGCTACGTTCTGTTGGCCTTCCAATATTTTCACAGATACAATATCAGCTAGCAATTGCTTTGAACCATAATACATTAATGCGCATGCAATTACAATGCACCATTCTCTTTGCGCTCTCATACGTTTCACTAGCAAGTCAGAAGCGGGACCTGCGCAAATTCTCCCCGTGAATGACATTATTGAAATGATAGAGACCTGTAACGACTGAATTGCTTTGGTGTTAATTTTGACATCTGGGTTAGAGTGTACTAAAGCTTCGATGATAAACCCGACCGAGTAAATGTAAGTTTGACCAATTCCTTGCAGTGTGGCTAATATTAAGTAGTAAGCAATAAATTTTGGCTGCACGACAGTTCGATAAATATGATTATCTCTGAAACTTGTTTTTCTCTCGTGTTCAATGTCACCAACGTGTGTTAATGATTCTTCTTGAATAATAGGTGAACTACTAGGAGAGGTTTTCAGTAGAGAGTCACGCCTGTCTGATCTAGCAGGTGCTCTCGGAGTTTGGGGAGCGTCCACAATAGGGTTGAAGGGGACGCGTCCCTCGACATCTTGTTGTAATGACTGGTCCTTGGTGGATGAGCGAGCAAGTCCGGAGTCCGCTGGTCTGTCTTTACCCCATCCCCAAAATGAAAGAGAACCCGGGAGTTCTTTAGCCCAAACAAAAGAATCGCTTCTCTTGTAGCTGGACCCCAGTGAAAGCCAAGACTCTGCAGAGGTCGAAATTCTTGACGAAGAGCGTTTCATTAGCGACTTATAGTTACTAAAGGAACCTCGGGAACCACTGTTTGCAGATTGATGCTGAATGTTGATAGGTTGGGAGAGATGATTTAAACTTGAGTTTGAGTCGGAGCGCACTCCGTTGGAAGATGAGCTTTCATCTGTTGGCGTCGAAGAGTATGTGCGCTTTTTTACCTTTGTATGGGCTACCAAAATTCGCAAGGTAAAGCACCCTGTTAAAATCATGGCGGAACACGCATACATCAAAAACGTGAAGACGGCTTCCATACGATCTTGGAACAATGATGCGCACAATGACGAAAATACTAGCCCAGATAGAGCATAAAGCGAAACAGGAAACGCTCCCGCGGTTCCTCGATGACGGGGGAAATTGGTCGTGCAGCACTTAACGGCTGAGTAAAAACCAGAAACGGAACCAAAGCCGACTAATATCATTGCAAGTGAAACAAACCAGATATTTGAAATTTGTCTAGCATAACAAGATTTCAGGATCCAGTAGGCCAGGAATGTACATAAAGCTCCGATACCGCACGACAGCTGGGGCGATTTTTTATCTATGATCATTCCCGCCAAAAATCCCAAAGCTGCAGACCCGATAGTAAGTGCAAAAGACAGAGTACTGGACTGCGATATTGGGATATTGCATCTTTCTATGAGCTCTGGGGCGTAGAAACTGAACATGTACGGCGTTCCGGCGCCCAATGCCACGATATTGCTGCCGATAAAACAGCTGAGCAGCTGAGCTTTTGAAGGGGCTGTCATAACGAATGATCTAGCTGCCCAAGGTGAGGTACAGTTGTGCTGAGAACCCTAAAAAATCTGAGAGTCTTAAACCAAGCTTGAGCGTTTATATTTGCACTGTCCTAGTTATATCAGCCTTTGACACAATGTGTGGTTATCTTGTGAGGTACCTCGATTCTCGCAGATGTCCATGAAGTGGTTACAACAATGAATGACGGAATTTCTTCTATTTTGACAAAACTCCTGTTATCGCTTAAGCTCTCTTGTTGCCGTTTATCTTGATTTTCGTCAGAGATATCACTTAGGTAAGCAAATTTGAAGAAAATATCTAGCCGAAATATCGAGGCAAATCCCAACGATTAGACTCCATTACACCCGCACGGGTGAGCCGGAACGACACAGTCTGACTGTTTGTTTTGACAATTAGTTTAAGACGCGTCCAGCACTTATAGCAGACGAAATTGGATCGAAACGGATTCTGGGCGACTCTTTCCGAGGCAAACGGGAAGATGCGAGACCTTGGACAATTGAAAAATAACTACATGGAAGCGTTGACAATTGCGGCTAGTTGAACTTTGCAGAAAGACTACCGGAGAAAAGCGCAAGCGATAGAAGGAATGAATAGGGGAGTGTGCATCCAAGGTTTTGAAAGTAAAATATTGACAAATTCATTCATAGTAACGGGCAGCAGCTGGCCCAGCCGCGTAGAATGCGTTCGTCGCAAGTAATGATTTGATGTCACGGCATTTTATTTATTGCGATGGCTGTTTCACATCCGAGATGATGGTTGATCGAACATGGTTCTCCTGTATAGTGGGTTATTGATCGAATTAGCAACGTCTTCTCAGCTTAGAAAATTCTCACTGTCGCTCATTACCCTTGGTCGCCAACTTGTAGTGCATAGACGTTTGTCTTGATCGGGGAAAGACAAGCCATGTGCATCTTGATAGCTCTTACTAGCGGAGTTCAGTAGGAGGAGGTTCACGCTAAAAATTTCCGTTTTCCACTGCCGTGTCTTGTGCTATCTCTAGCCCTCATCAGGGTGGCTCGCAGACACTTGGTCCTCTCGAGAACATCCTCAAGGACTTGCACACAATGGTAGAACTTCACCGCTTATCTCGAGACTTGCCCCATCTCTTTCGCATCTTGTAAGTCACCTGAGTCTATCTCAGCGGCTAAATTTCCAGGGATGTTTGGAAGGGGAGGGCATGTGTCTTCGCTTTGTCATTCCTCAAAGCCCTCAACCTTTGCACAACTAGTTGGATAGCCGCTATAGATCCTAGCATCAGTCTTCAATATCCCCACGAAAGAATCTCACCCAAGCTATGTACAACACTTGCAATCAATTCATCCCTGATCAGAGAAACAAACCAAAGAAGTGCACGACATAGAGAAAGAACTTGTCACGGCGTTACATACAGCCACGACAGGGTCCACAATCGCATCTCTTAAGTAAATTATTCATCTTTAGTTTTAGATTTGAAGATCATGTGAGCATTAGGCAATTTCTCGTACACAATGACATATATTGGCTACGATCCTACAACTTCTTTCTTACCTATGACATCGAGGTTGAATTCATCAAGAAGCGGCTTTACTCAGTGTCGAAACCTATTGTCAAAGTTCAGCATGACTGATTCAAAGCGTCTCACGCCTGAGGAGTTCCTGAAAGTAGTTCCGGGTGTGTTCGAAGAGGCTAACAAGTCTAAAAAATCTGTAAACCTGTCAGTGAAAAGACTTGTCGAAAGGGATCTGATAGAGGGCAACGACGAGTTCAACGCTACCGAATTGCCGAGATTTGATGTTTCCCAGAAGGCACAGTTCACGAAAATACCTTCAGAAGCAAATAGCAAACAGTATGGCGTCCTGGTACGGATCAAGAAAGGTGACGGAGAATCGCTGATTAAACATTCCACAGTGGTGAAAGCCGAACACATAGATAAGTTTTGGAAAGACTACTCGTCGGCAATCAAATCTGGCATGGTAGGGCTTATCAAGAAGAAGAAGAAGAAGGCAAAGAAATCCTTGAGAAAATAAAAACCGAAAACCATGTTCTTTTCGTGTACGTACTTAATCAATCTGCAGTAATAAACTCCATAACGATGTTTCCCGATGGGTATATGGCGTCCACATTTCTGATGACTGTCTGTGGGTCGAGGTCTACTCGCGGTACAGGTGTTATTAGCTTAAATGGATACTTGTATTCGTAATCATGCGGCCTGATATAGGAGCTAGAACTATCTCCGGCACTGCCAAGCAGTCCCAAACGGGACAGCTCCACAAATGCATATATCTCCTCAATTGGAAGATCGGCGTTGAACTTTCGAATGACACGTCCCTGGTCCGCAATACGAATAGCTACTTTGCACGCGCCCTCCAACTTGGGAGGCTCGTCCACGAGTACAGATTTGCGCCATAAAAGCCATCGTTGCTTTAGTTCATCCTCGCGCTGCTGCCTCATTTGCATTGCTTCCTCGGCTTCCCTGCGCCGATCGCGCTCCTGATCCTGCCTCAGCGATTCCTGGAATCTGGCATCTTGCTGTTCGCGCACGAGTCTTTCCAACTCAATGTTCTGTTGCTCTTGGCGCAACTTGATAAGATTAGGATAGTGTTTGGCCATTGTGCTCTCAAGAGAATTAAGGGCTTGCTCCAGACGACCACCCTCGACTGTATCAATGAGTTGTATCTTATGACCACTTTTTGGCGCCAGGAGCCCAATATATGGCAACTGCCTAACTTTAAAACTGTTTGCAACCTGCAAAGCTTCTGAGTTGGTGATATCTCCCATCCATAGTAAGCTTTGATATTTACGAGCCATGTTCACAAATTTCTCGGTGCATAAAGGCCCCAAGAATTGCCCACAATCGTCAATGAGCGGATCATGAAGATAGACGATGCCGAATTTGCCTTGTTCCGAGATAGAATGCAGTAGTTTGGCATAGCTTGGTTGAAGAAACGATGTCAGCGTTCCACCTTCAGTGTTGTATATGGAAGCGAAACTGAATGAATTTTCTAGTCTTGATTCTTCTGGGGAGTTTCTGGCTAAGGAAGAGCTATGTTCCATAGACAGATTGTCCAGAAGAGCTGACAATGCATCTTCGTGGTTGAGAGACTTATTCTTCCGATCATAGAATGCCCAGAGCTTTTTCAGAGGTCGCAGTACGTGTAAAAGCGAGATAATTGCAGCCAGAATGTAATAGAGTAACAGCAATGGGATTCCTAGGCAATATTTTGCTATCTTTTGAAGCTGCGTTCTCTCACCATTCGTGGTACGAGGCTGTTCACCTTGACCCTCTGGGAAAGAGCCAGGAATTGGTTGAAACTCTTGGGCTCCTCTGAGATGTAACAGTCGTTGTATGTAGTCCATAGCAGTAGGATTTTGCTTTATAGGTTCCTAAGGACTAGCGTTTCTGAGCAAATAGGTGACGTTAATAATGTCCTAATTTAGTTATCGTGATGTATATCAATATTCCTAATTTAATCTGTCACTCTATCCTATTCTGACATGGCAGCGATCATACTACGATTTTACGTCAAGACAACTGGCTGGCTGCGTCTGGATCTTAAAAATTCTTGAATACTGAATCATGAGTGCACTATTGAGAACTAAGCTACTTTATATACAGCAGACTTCGTAAACTGATCGATTTACAAATAATTTGAATGACAAGCGTAAGCAAAATATTGTAAGTTTTACATAGCATGGCACTGCCACCGCTGTACATTTTGGCATAGTTCTACAAATCTTTTATTCAATAAAGGTTCTAGGCTTTTTGCATTAAAAAGAATCCATTACTCAAGGTGAGTTGACTCTTGGCTTAAAACGTCGCTGTCTCCGAACATCTGAAACGACTTGATGCGGACAATAGGACGCCATTGCTCCTGAAATCTGTGCATACTAACTTGCATCTTTCAATCGTAGTTGTATGTGAATCATTACTGACAATAATGTTTATGTCAAAGGACGTAACTACTCTGGTAACTAAGCGTTTTATATTCCAACCTGTTTTCTCGCTTCAAAAGATATACTTCTTAAGAAGAGAGCCAAATTAATTACCTGATTAGCTAACAAGTCAAGTATGGCTTAGAAACTTCCTCAAATCCTCAATCGGAAGGCCAAACACGGGATTAACAGCACCAAGTTGAAACTTGTCACTTTCCTCTCTGGTACTTATGGCACTAGCAGATTTTGTCGTGTTGAATGAATGTTCAGTAAGTGACAGTCCCATCAGAACGTACGTGGTATGGTAATAGTCAGGGGACTTCCCGGGTTTGTCTCTTAGACCGGGTCTCTCTGTAGATTGGCAGCACTTGAGGATGTATTCCTGTAGGGCAGGTTTGTCAATGCATGAACTGTAACCTTGAGTTTCTAAAATGGTATTCACAGCTCCTACCCAATAACTGTAGCAGCCATCCACCAACTTGTTACTTCTTCCGGAGAGACCCTTCTCCTCAGCTGTTTGGCGCGCACTACACCACTCTGAAAGCATAGAAATGTTACACTTTTCGACTGATTCCAGAATTGCAAGACCGGCCACGGCACAAAATGTGTACCCGCCGTGGGCCTCGTCTTCTTGAGGACAAGCTCCGAACCCACCTTCGTAAGTTTGGCAACGCAGGAGAAACTGCTCTACGCCCTGACAAAGTTCTGGGGTGAGGATATCAAGCATGGCTGCGACGCTTAACGCACAGTAAGTGGTTCTAGTGTCACACTCTCCAACTACAAGTCCCGTTCTGAAGCCGCCGTTGTCAGATTTAAGCGCCAGCAACCATTTATAAATGCCTTGTCTGTTGATTTGGTCCCAGCAGCCATCTACATTGTCGCATAGAGCCAACGCATTAATTGCGGCATATGTACAAACCAAGTGTGGATCTTGGCCAAACCCGCCGCAAAAGGGTCCGTTTTCGAGAGAAGCCTTAAACAGCTTCTTACAAATTCTCCGCTGGATATCTTCCCCTAGCCATTCGCGGTTCATGAGACGTAGAGAGCATGCAATCCAGTATAGAATCCAGGGTTGGGAGGCATCAAGAGCTTTCATTTGTCTTGGAAGCGCATTATTGAAAGAGTAATCCAGATATGACTTGTGAAATTCCTTTAGAAGCGTGGGATTTTCGAGCCCGAGTGACTCAAACAGCTCCAGGCATTCGAGGAGAACTTCCTCTCGGTCTTCAGTAGTTTCAGTGCTCAGAGAAGTCATGCAAACCATTGAACTATCTTGGTCCATCTGCTCATCCGATATCGCTTCAATAGTGGGCCTTTTGCGGCCAAGAAACTGAGCATTTATGAATTTCAGAGTCTTGAGATCTTGACCACTCATGTGTGGCACAATTGAAATTGCGGTAAGTTGGATTTTTGAGGTTTCCTAAATATTCTTATTTCGCAGCCCTTCCCATTTTCAATTTCTAGTATCTAAAAAGGTAATATATCTGAGATGAGCTCGCTTGACGGACAAGAACATTGAAGACAGAAGTTATGTCTCTGTGAGTGATGGTAGTTAAAATGTTATGTACAATTCGTTACAAGCTTTTTTCTAATAAGCCGATTGCAATGTTGCAGTTATTCATTAAACGTTAGCAACTAAGTGAGGTGACCATTAAGCCTAAGAACGCATGCGGCTCTAGACAGTAGTGGTTTCCTCAACCGTGTTGGACTCGGAAGAAGCAGCTTCTGGCTGCTCGTTCTCTTGCGAAGGCTCTTCTTCACGGGGTGGTTTTAAGGCAGCAACATCCACGGCTAATTCGCGGTCGTTGAAAGCTTTGCCCTGGAACTCGGTTACTTTTTGGGCAATGTCGGAGCAGTCTTCAAAAGTGACGAAAGCAATACCTCTGTTCATCCTCTTGGAGTAGAAGAATTGTTTCGTTTTGACGTTGCGCATTCTCCTGAGTGGCAATACTACTAGTTCGGGTTTGGTGTTGAAAAACTCGGCCACTTGCTCCTTGGTAGCCATGTAAGGCACGTTGTTGACATACAGCGTGTCGGTAGATCTTTCCATGGACTCTAGAGGTGCTCTTGGTCTTTCTTGTCTCTTTGGAGGCGCTGGAATGGCGGACCTGGCTGGTTTCCTGCTCGACTGGGAGGGCTCGCCCGTGACAGGGTCAATTTCGCCAGATTCCGAGTTGTCGATGGTTTCTACAGCGTCATCAGAGCTACGTTGCGTGCTGGTCTTTTTAGGTCTGCTGGCTCTGGCTTTACGCTTCTCGTCGCGCTCCTCTTCGGTTTGCGCGCGTCTGATGTAGATGCCTCTTTCCTTGACGACGGTCTTGTCGTACTTGGTCTTGATGGCGTCGAAGTCGATCTTGGAGGGAAACTTGACAAATGCGTAGCGCTGCTTGAACAGTCTCCCGCTCTTGACCGATGGGATTTCCACCTCCACGTCTTCCTCAAACACACTCTGTAGATCCGCTTCTTCGCAGTCGCGGGCCACATTGCCGACGAAGATCGTGGTCTCGGGGTCTACAATGGTTCTGGGAAGTTGCAGACCTTCGGTTTCGGCACTGGTGTTGCTGATGGTTTCGGAAGCAGCTGACATTTTTTTCGATGTGTGTCTTAGTGCGTGTTTCAAAGGGCTCTTGCTTGACGCTGGTTTCTCTTATGACGGCGTAAATTTACAAGTAATTTACGGTGTGGCGTGCAATTAACAATTGATTGTATCGAGCAGTAACGGCAATGTTAAGGTTTACTCTTTGGAAAGGTTTCGTGACTTTTTAGAGTGCCCCTTTTATGAAAAGATTTTCTAGCACACGCTTATAATCATGATCACTACACACGGGCATTATCGATAGCGTGTCTTGAACTTTTGAACCAAGCTTATAGAGAACCTAGCTTTAGTTAGAAAGTTTGGCGATTTGGCTCGACGAGGTATCCTTGCTGTGGTTGCAATTGCGGTCTTGGAACGCTGGAGACTCCTCCATTTTTTTGCATTTTTTTTTGGAATATATCGATTCCGCCAAGTTTGAAAATGGCGATGTAGACAATCCAGTTGGAATACATGTCCCGTTTCATGGTAAGTGGCGGTGTCTTCCTGTGCTTATTGCAATTGCTTCTTTGCAGCACTCCTTACCATTGCGTTGTAGAGAAAACACTCATCTTTATACAACTAGCCGCCCATTACAAAAACATGGTCTCTAGCTGAGGGACTTGCAATGGATCCACGGAAACTGATAATAAGATCTACCAATGCTGGACAGGCTACCGGAATACGAGGTGGTAGGGCCTGAGACTTGGATATCAACCTATATAGCGATCATCCGTTTGCGGTGATCAATCATAAGTGAACATGGGAAGAACAGAGCCTGGAGGTTTAACTGCAAGACATGGCATTTCGGCTCTTCAATTGTAACGTTTGGCTGGAGAGGCGCGAGAATTCAGACACGCTTGCACTCACAACTAGGCCAGTCTTGTTATGCCACGCATATTACAAAGTGTGCTTGCTTTTCGTCTCATCTGTGCTGAACAAAACAAACAAGACGTATTTAATGTTGCAGGTCTGAGATTGACACAGACGAGGAAGCTTGTATGACTTAGATGATACAAGAAAACTATGAAGGGAAGCCCCTACGTGAGTGTTCATGTGTCGTATTTCCTGGAAAATTCGTGTATCGGCGGCTATATTTGGCGGCGTGTTATTTTTCCAAGTTGATGCATCGTTAGTGACTCTGGAGTTCGGCTTCCTAGACCAGCGGTCAAGTTTACCAGAGCAGGCTTTGAGCTCTGTTCTTAGGTCATACTTCCAGGTCGACCATTGAAATGAAATTTTCCACAGCGTTTTGTTCCAACCTGCAACAGGGACTGGTAGTTAACGTTCATTATTGAAAGAAATGGGCTGGTAGTTGATCTTCGGCATCAACCGCACCCGAACCTGAACTTCCAACACATAACTAAATCTCAACTTAGTTACTCAAAGGCGCGCTTGGTTTCAGCAAAGCTGTTTGAAAACACACAAAATCCCAAAATGCTTTGAGCCCTGTATTTTGCGAAATGAACACGCAACGCGCACAATGACTCAAACTGCCTTCAAAAGGCACTCAACCATGACTTCCTCGGGTGAGGTGCGTTCACCGTTTACTCATATTTTTGTTCCTTCACTCATTTCCCGCTGGAATTTTTCATTCAAAAATCTATACAAATTGAAAAAGTTGGGAACCGAAGTTCAACTTTGTCATGTAAAGAATCCAAGTTTCGTTTTGCTTACCCCAAGCCGCTCGTCGCTATTCAAAATGTCTGCTTTGGAACAGTGGGCTCAAAAGTTGGATAATCCAACATTGAGCGTTTTGCCTCACGATTTTCTACGTCCTCACAGTGAACCTTTGGTCGAGCAGCGAGAAAGTCACGTTCAACTACCACAACTAGAGTTGCCGCATGGAAAAGATCCTTATACCGTGGTTCTGGCAGTGTGGGCATCTCTGCTATACAGGCTAACGGGAGATGATGATATCGTGCTTCTGGTGCGTGGAGAAAAGGTTATGAGATTCACTATTCAACCATCATGGACTTTTGCCCAACTGTACACCACAATTGCTCAAGAACTAGTCAGTTTGCAAAGTTTGCCTACCGTTTGCTTCGATGAACTGTCCACTTATGTTCAAACTAATCAGGAGAAAGAGCTTCCACCCCAGCTTTTCCGTTTAGGGTGTCTTCAAGATCAATCTCAATTCTCGCTCCAACAACAGTATAAAACTCAGCTACTGGACTTGGTACTAAATCTCCAAGGGACCTCTACGTTGAGTGTTGTTTATAACGCACTACTTTACTCCGATCTCAGGATTCATATTCTGCTGTCGCAGTTCACGCAATTCATATCAGCGGCACTAGAAGACGATTCTCAGATTATCACGAAAGTCAGCTTGATCACCTCTTCAAGTGAATCCGTTCTACCCAATCCAACTGATAATTTGGGCTGGTGCGATTTTGTGGGCTGTATTCACGACATCTTTCAGGACAATGCCGCTAAATTTCCGGAACGGACCTGCGTTGTTGAGACTCCTGGTCCTAGCACCCAGCTTGAACCCCGTGTTTTCACTTACCAAGACATAAACAGAGCTTCCAACGTTGTTGCTCATTATTTGATCAACACTGGAATCAAAAGAGGAGACGTGGTAATGATCTACTCTTCCAGAGGTGTTGACCTCATGGTATGTGTAATGGGTGTTTTGAAAGCAGGAGCTACATTTTCGGTTATTGATCCTGCCTATCCACCTGCAAGACAAACCATCTATTTGGGGGTTGCCAAGCCCAAGGGTTTGATTGTTATCCGCGCTGCAGGTCAATTAGATCAATTAGTAGAGGATTACATCACTAGCGAGCTAGACGTGGTATCAAGAATTCCATCCATTGCCATACAGCAAAATGGTTTCGTAGAAGGTGGTGCTCTAGAAGGCTCCAGGGATGATTGTCTAAAACAATACGAGTCTTTGAAAGATACTCGGTCTGGTGTCGTTGTTGGTCCAGACAGCAACCCTACTCTGTCATTTACCTCAGGCTCTGAAGGAATTCCGAAGGGAGTTTTGGGTAGACATTTCTCTTTGGCGTACTACTTTAAATGGATGTCTAAGCAATTCAACCTTTCTGAAAACGACAAATTTACAATGCTTTCCGGTATCGCGCATGATCCTATCCAAAGAGACATGTTTACTCCTTTATTCTTAGGTGCTCAACTTTTGGTTCCAACCGAAGATGACATTGGTACGCCTGGCCAACTAGCAGAATGGATGAACAAATATAAAGCTACCGTAACCCATTTAACTCCGGCTATGGGTCAACTCCTCACTGCACAAGCTACTTCACCCTTCCCTTCCTTACATCACGCATTTTTTGTCGGTGACATTCTTACCAAGAGAGACTGTTTGAGACTTCAAACTCTTGCTGAAAATGTTTGTATCGTTAACATGTATGGTACCACCGAAACCCAGAGAGCTGTATCGTTTTTCGAGGTGAAATCAAGATCTGAGGACCCTCTCTTTTTGAAAAGCTTGAAGGACGTTATGCCTGCAGGTAAGGGCATGCTCAATGTTCAATTGCTTGTTGTAAACAGAAATGATCCAACCCAAATTTGCGGTGTTGGTGAAATTGGTGAAATCTACGTTCGTGCCGGCGGCTTGGCTGAAGGCTATCGCGGATTGCCAGATTTGAACAAGGAAAAGTTTGTCAACAATTGGTTTGTGGAGCAGAATCACTGGAACTCTTTAGATAAAAAAGACAACGCGCCATGGAGGGAGTTTTGGTATGGTCCCCGTGACCGTCTCTATAGAACCGGTGACTTGGGGCGCTATACTCCCGACGGCAACTGTGAGTGCTGTGGGCGTGCTGACGACCAAGTTAAAATTCGTGGCTTTAGAATTGAACTGGGTGAAATCGACACGCACATCTCTCAACATCCGCTTGTTCGTGAAAATATTACCCTAGTGCGGAAGAACAGTGATAACGAGCCTACTCTAATCACCTTCATGGTTCCAAGATTTGATAAACCAGACGAGTTATCAAAATATGAGTCTGAGATTTCTGATGAGGTTATGAAGGACCCTGTTGTAAAAGGTCTAGTCAAATTCAGATTACTATCCAAGAACATCAAAGAGACTTTAAAGAAGAGGTTGGCAAGTTACGCAATTCCATCGGTGATCATTGTTCTCGAAAAACTACCCCTGAATCCAAACGGTAAAGTCGACAAGCCTAAACTACAATTTCCAACATCGAAGCAATTGGCTTCAGTAGCAGAAAATTCAGCCGTTGAAATTGACGATTCTGAATTTTCCACAACAGAGCGTGAAGTTCGTGACTTATGGCTCGAAGTTTTACCAACAAGACCCGCATCAGTTATGCCAGATGATTCTTTCTTCGACCTAGGGGGACATTCGATTCTCGCAACGAAAATGATCTTCACTTTGAGGAATAAACTCAATGTCAATCTGCCTCTGGGAACAGTGTTCAAATACCCAACAATCAAACTGTTTGCAAACGAAGTAGCGAGAGCGAGAGCTTCGACGGAGAGTTCGGGTTCTGAAGCCGTGACAGCGGATTACTACGGGGATGCAAAGGAACTTGTGAAAACTATGTTGCCCAAGAGCTATCCATCACGCAAGTCTCTTGAGTCTTCTGGATCCGATACGTTGAATGTATTTGTTACGGGGGCGACAGGTTTCTTGGGTTCTTACATTCTGGCTGACTTGCTCAATAGACCAACTTCCTCTCACAAGATTAAAGTGTATGCACATGTTCGCGCCAAAGATGAAGAAGCAGGGATGGAACGCCTGATGAAAGCTGGTGTTATTTACGGTACTTGGTCAGAAAACTTTTCATCTCGAATCCAGGTTATTATTGGAGACTTATCTAAACCACAATTCGGAATGAACGACGATGTGTGGGAAGATTTGACGAATGAGATTGATGTCATAATTCATAATGGTGCTCTAGTTCACTGGGTTTACCCTTACGCCAAATTGAGAGAGGCCAATGTCATCTCCACTATCAACGTAATGAACCTCGCGGCAAGCGGTAAAAAAGCTAAGTATTTTGCTTTCGTTTCCTCAACGTCGACCATCGATACACCATACTACTTTGAACTTTCAGACAAGCTAGCCGCAAAGGGCAAGGGCTTGTTGGAGAGTGATGATTTGATGGGCTCTTCAACTGGGCTAGGTGGTGGCTACGGCCAATCTAAATGGGCCGCTGAATACATCATTAGGCGCGCTGGTGAGCAAGGTTTGCGCGGCTGTATCATTAGACCCGGATACGTTACTGGCGCCTCTTCCAATGGTTCTTCCAACACAGATGACTTTTTGCTCAGATGTTTGAAAGGTGTGGTTCAGCTTGGAAAGATCCCTGATATTAGAAATACGGTTAACATGGTACCAGTTGATCAGGTAGCTCGCGTTGTCACCGCTACTGCTTTTTATCCTCCAGCACAAGACACTCTCGAAGTCGCACATGTAACTGCACACCCCCGTTGTTTGTTTAGAGACTACATGAACGAATTGAAACAATACGGTTATTCCGTTGAAGTTGAAAGCTACGATCAATGGAGAAAATCCCTGGAGGATTCTGTTATAGGTCGCAATGAGGAAAACGCTTTGTACCCCTTGCTACACATGGTGCTTGACAATCTACCAGAGAATTCTAAAGCTCCAGAGTTGGATGATTCTAATGCAGTCTTTTCCTTGAAAAGAGATGCGCAATGGACTGGTGAAGATGTATCCAGTGGTAAGGGAGGCACTCGTGAACAAATCGGGATTTACATTGCTTTCCTAAACAGAGTTGGCTTTCTTCCACCTCCTCCACAAAAGGGTGCCCTACCTCTACCAGAAATAAAACTTTCTGATAAGCAGGTTGAGCTGGTCGCCTCTGGTGCCGGCGCTCGTGGTAGTTCTGCCGCCGTGTGATGATTTTAATGTGATATATAAATACATGTATTCCCTTTTGCTGCTTTATAGTACATATACATGTGTCCTCATTTCCTGTTTGCTCAACATTTGACCGTCCTAATTGTTGAACAAAAATTGTAAATCGCCAGGGGTCAACTTGCTGATGGCAGCATCGTCGTGACTTATTGTCGCATGAATCATATTAGCCTTCTTCTCTTGAAGCTCTATAATTCTTGATTCTATACTGTCTTCGATGCAAAATCTTGTTATTTTAACAGGTCTGAATTGACCAATTCTGTGAACTCTATCTCCACTTTGCCATTCCACACTTGGATTCCACCATGGGTCCAAGATAAAAACCTGCGATGCTTCGCACAAATTCAAGGCCACACCACCAGCTTTCAAACTCACCAGAAAGACTTCACAATGGATGTCATTCATAAAATATTTAATGGTTTGGTCACGCTGTGTTGGGGTCATACTACCCTGTAACTTTACTGTCTTGAAACCTGCTCTTTTCAGCCTCCATTCCACTAGATCTAGCATACTTGTGAACTGAGAAAATACAATAGACTTTATGGTTTTCCTATCGCTTCTCAAGTTGTACAATTCTTCGACTAGAGCTTCGATTTTTGTCGACGATCTCCAGTTGCCTTTGACATTCAGTCGATTTATAATACTATGTTTCTTATGCCCGCTGTCGTTGCTTTCCAAGGCGGGCTGTGATAAATCGATACTGAGCGCGATGTGACAAACAGGGCAAGTAAGCTTTTCGATATTTTCAATGAATGACTCCGTATACTCTTTGATGCAAAGACGACAAAATTTATGATGGCACTTCGATTCTATGGGTTCCTCTGCCTCATCATCACACAGTTGACATACTATAACACTGTCATCAAACCCTTGGCCGTTTTTCATTCTTTTCAAAACTAGATCTGGATGGTCTGCTAGTTGTCTCATTCTCGTGATTAAAGTGAAAATATTCGCATAGTTGTTAAGCACAACACCTTCTTCCACATAAGAACTGAACTTTCGCTTCACGTCTGTGTACAAACTTTGATACAGGTCCTTCTCTTCTTCATTGAAGTAATCGCGTCGCACCGTCACAATTCTTGGCGGCAAACCCAGGTCATCTGCTCTTTCGACTTTAGTTCTCCTCAGCATAACATTTTTCAGGAGCAGCTGAATGTTATTGAACGATTCACGACCAGGTCCTTCCATACCGTGCTTCTGAATATTCTTCAGCGCAAAATGGTTGAAGAAATTAGTGTGTTGCATTATTACATGTGCACACCCATCACAATGCATGTTGTCACTGAATTTCCACTGTCTCGATTCACAGTCACATTTGGTACAGAAATATTTTGAAAATGGATCAATGTTCAAAAACCTTATTAGCGAATACATCTCACCAATTCTATTTTGCAATGGAGTACCGGATAAACACCACCTTTTCTCGGCAAGTAAGCTGTTGACCGCTTTGGCAGTATTACTTTGTCTGTCCTTGATGTTATGAGCTTCATCTAAAATAACTCGATAAAAGTTCATATTGTGAAGAACTGATGGCTCTTTGTAAACACCGTTTTTTCGCTTGAACCCATAGTTTTGTTTGCGAAACACAGATTCTAACACGGAATACGTGGTCAGTAGCACGTCAACGTCTTTGAACTCCCCTATATTTGTAGAGCGATTTGCACCGTGGAAGATATGAGTCGTAAGCTTACCTCCGGTGTGTTGATCGATTTCATTTTTCCACTGGACCAGCGCCACTGTGGGAGCTACAACTAAGTTGGGCTTTTTCGAGGTATCGTTCATCAAAAGTGCGATAGTCTGGATCGTCTTACCCATCCCCATTTCATCGGCTAGAACGCCACCGTTGTAAATGCCTTGTTCTTGCGTTATAAGCCAGTGCAACCCTTCCAGTTGAAAAGGAAGTAACCTGATGGTCATCCCTGTTGGTTGAGGAGCCCTATTGGCCTTATACACGGGAGCGTCTGCCAGTTTTGTAAAGACTGTCTTCAGCTCAGGATGGTTTTCATACAATCGTGCAGTATTTCTCTCGTATGGTGTAGTCTTAGGTTTCTTAGCGTTAGCCTCTTTTTTAGTCTGTTTCTTTGCTCCGTTTGCCTTTGATCGAGTAGCTCTTTTGCGCGGCGGCTTTTCTGAGGTAGCTTCCTTGGCCTTGCGTCTTTTGGCAAGAGGCAAGTCGTCGTCGTCATCGTCCTCGCTTTTGATCTCCGTCAGCTCTTCCAGTACCGGCTTCTCATCATTAGATTCTATCACAACGGGTGTATCCTCTTTACCTAGTTCCATGTATTCATCGTCATGCTCATCCTCAACTTTATCGATCTGAGTAAGCTCTCCATCACTATCTTCTTGGTAGTCTATCTTCCGCTTCCGCCTGGTTCTAGGTTTTCTGATAAATCCGCCTTCTTCTAGCATTTTGGGAGACTTTTAAATGACTCTAAAGAGCCTGGTGAAGGTATATTTCGGACTCTGCCTTTGAAATTAAATTGTTGTCTATTTGAATTTTGAAATCTTCAATATATTTTGCTTCTTAGACATTTATCAGTCATAAGAGGTTAGTACGAAAAATACCATCAAACTATAGAGCATATTCTCATAACTGGGGGAATCAAGACTGGAATGATAGAATAATGGATTTATGTTTGCTGCTGCAGCTATCGACATACTAATTTTGGTGTTTAAGGATCTTAGTGAATGCAGTGTGAACCGAAAAGAAAGGTGTCTGTCTCAACCTACTTTTTAGAATATCTATGACCAAATGGTAAATATGGCAGAGAATTTCAATCCGTTCCGCAAGTTGGAGTGTCGCTTTGCTGTTTTTACATCTTGGAGTTTGGCTAAACATCGCCTTCAATTTGATGACTCAGAAACCAGTAAGACATCAAGATTCGAAATTGTTTTGAAAGCGGAAGTCTTCGCTATTCTGGCTATTATAAAGTTTTGAAGCGTCAACAACTTGCAAGAGAATTGGTGTCCCTTTCAAAATCTTAGATTCTACTAACAGTTAACATAGCGCTATTCAACGACGATCCGGTACGAAGTGATGACAAGAAGACTATCTTTTTGAATCGAGGGATCTCCCTTTGTATCATAGTGCGATATCATCTTTTAAAATCGGTTATAAACATTCAACACCATTCAGAACCGCTGTGTAAAACTTGATCTTGCGTTAAGATCAAATTGGGGAAATTGTTGACCGCACGCAAGTTGAGGCAGCTGTGTTAGTTGTGCCATGATAGTATGCCACCCTGAGGCTCAATCTATCATAAGTTATAATTTGGTACGCAAGAAGCTTCTTCTTAGTGCAGCCATCGCCTCGCGACATACAACCTTGTGAGTTTTTATAATTAGGCCAATTTTTCAATCTACATGCTGAGAGCGATGGGAGGCATAAGCCTAACCCAGAGAGCCCGACGTTTTCTATAGACGTTGGCCGCTCGGTAAAAGAGATTCATGTTATCAAGAAATAGCGGCTCCTTCTTGTCGGAATCCTACCACGCCAAAATAGTACGAAGTGATATATAAGATATTGCAAGTATTCTATACTGCATTGATTACACTCCCCCAAGCAATGTAACAGCAGCAGGCCGGCTCTATCTCATCAAAGAAGCCGCATTTAGTCTAGGTACATGAATTTATTAAGACAGGCGCATCCGGCCGGGAAACATTTGCACAGTTAGACTCTTCCGTGTATCGAGATTATATTCTCATACAGAAAAACACGGCGACATTAATCCACCTTACGCTCATTTACTACTAGGAAGCACCCAACTATTCATTGAAAACATATGATAACCGGCAGCCTCAAAAATTTGAACCGCGCCGATATGATCCAATTTCTATAGTGATCAGTTAGGTGATATTATGTTCATTAATACTACTACAGGTAATCTCAGGAAACTCCTCTTGGATGATGGAGATCTAAGAATTCAATACGAAATGCTTTCATAAAGCAATTGCCAGTACTTGGTAGCAAATTGCTGCGTAGTGGCGTAACAACGCGTTGTAAATATAGTTTGTTCCGTACCTCGTAATATTCTGCTTCTTATTACTTTGTACTATTCAGACACTTGCATCAACTTCACGGTCTTCAAATTGATGCGTGCGTGCTTTATCACGTAGTCGCGCATCCAGGTTTTGCAAATGAAAAAGTAGAACAGGTTGATGGCCGGCCATATATTGAAGGATTCCAAAGGAAGTGATTTTATTAGAGGTTCCCTGCCGCTGCTATTCAGGATATTACCATGGCAAGCAGCGACCAAAGAAGTAAAATTGTGTCTTTGAGAGAAATCATTATGTTTGATGCGGGGAACAATTAAGCTATAATAAATCTTGAGTTCGAAAACCACGATACCGACTGTTATTATTGTTCATATGAAAGTAAACTTGCGAATTGTTTGGCGAAATCCAAATACTGAGTTCAAGAGGTTTCCGGATGCTTCTAGAAAATTTTGATGCATGATGATATCTTTGTTTGTTCCAATAAGCCCTTGTGTCGCTGTTTTATTCTTTCACCATTCGAAGGATGGAGGTATAGCATTTATTTATCATGGTGTCGTATCGTGGTGGAAGCGCGGATGGTGAGAAAGCTCTAGCTCTGTACATCATTACGGTACATATGATACGAGTTGGTCTGTTCGAGAAACCTTCGAACGACGGCCTCGCTATTCCGGGTATCTGGAATGCCTTACTTGATCTAGTATCCTTGCCTGTGAACCCGGCAATACAAGTTCCTCTACGGTGTCCTTTAGTGTGAAGAGTAGATCGGGCACCCACAAAACTCGATAAATACGGCTTGTAGGCTCTGTCAACGACACTTTGGTATATAGTGACAGAAGCTATATTACTAGCCGAACATGCCAAAAGATCGCATGACGGGTTGTAGAGGCAGTCAGAGCATTAAATACACAGACAGGTGAAATGGTTTTGATATATCGCGTATCTATAATTTCTGCACACAAAAACCAACATCTAGGCTAGAACATCCTGTGCCATGGGATCGTGTAGACTAACATATACAGAGGGTGAGCTTATACTTTCAGCCCTTGGAAAGCCACCGGAGGAGAGCGCCGTGCTCATCTTTAGTCCGAATTTTCGGGATGAGTACAAATCAACATCAAAGAATCATTGGGACGGGGGTGAATATAAAGTAATGTTGCGGCATTTCTGGTGCTTAGCTTGCTGAACTGGACATTCAAGTCGTCCATGGTGTGTCTAGCCAAGTCGAATTGCGAGACGGCACGCCATTTGTCTTTCCCAATACTTGCTCCGGGCTTCTGACAGGTAGTGCCTAGTTGCGTGGTGACAGCGTAGTACAGAGTGATATCGCTTACAAGCGCGCTAAATGCTATCTGGCGGTTTCGGAGCACCGTTGGCGAGGCTGGCTGTCCTAGAGCCCTTCGACCCGCTCTAAAAAAGCCAAGCAAAATTCCCGCAGCAACCTTCCCGTTGCAACTCTTCTATTCCGGAACCAGACTCGCCTCCACAAATAGCCCAACAACGCTATAAAAGACTATTTCACCAACCTAGCATAAGTAAAATCCTTCTCGGGCTCAACCCCATCAAACCCATCTCGCCTACGCTCAACAATCTCCCTTACGCTCTTCAATCCCTCCCTGTCGTCCACTGTCGTCCCCTCGAGATCACTTTTTCCCTTCCTGACACCTAATGTGCGATAACGTAATCGAAAAAGTTGGTTTTTAACGTTGATGGAAATTTATTTTAAATGTCAGGAAAATTTTTTGTTCAAGAAAACAAGGCAGTTAAGATTATCAAAACAAAAAACTTGACACCGCAACAAGACGGTTGATACTCGATTTCGAGACAAAACAGAGGTACAAGACAGGTCGAGCGGATTTCCAAAGGTTGGAAAACGGCGACACGGACACAGATACTGGAGCGAACTGAGATTCGCGGCAAGCGTGCAGCAGGCGGCAAAATAAAGGGAGACCTGGAGCGCGGAGACGAACACAGTTTTTCGCAAGAGCACAGCGAGCTATGAACATATTGCCCTCGCAAGGCACGTTGGCGTCAGTCGCGGGTCCCGTGCATTTGGTGCCCGCGCACTCGGTGCCAGCGCACTCGCAACATACGTCTCCACGTGTCGAGCAGGCTTCGCCTGCTCAACTAGTGGCCTCGACTAGCGCGGGTACGAGCGCCGGTGGTGTCGCTAGCGCTGCTGGTGCAGCTGCCACCGCACCGGTGCAACCCATAGTACAGGTACAGGCTCAACCACAACTTCCGGCAGACCCGGTGACACAATCGACCGCAGAAACGTGGTTGTCCATTGCGTCGCTGGCAGAGACTTTGGGGGATGCCGATCGCGCGGCAATGGCGTACGACGCCACGCTGCAGTACAATCCATCCTCGACTAAAGCCCTCACGTCACTGGCGCACCTGTATCGGTCGCGCGACATGTTTCAAAGAGCTGCGGAGTTGTACCAACGAGCGCTATCGGTGAATCCAGAGCTGGGTGATATTTGGGCTACTTTGGGCCACTGTTACTTGATGCTGGACGATCTGCAACGCGCATACGCTGCATACCAACAAGCGTTGTACCATTTGAGCAATCCAAACGTGCCGAAACTTTGGCATGGAATCGGCATCCTGTACGACCGTTACGGATCTTTGGATTACGCCGAAGAGGCATTTGCCAAGGTCCTCGAACTGGATCCACAATTTGAAAAGGCCAACGAAATTTATTTCCGATTGGGTATCATTTATAAACATCAGGGGAAGTGGAACCAGGCTTTGGAGTGCTTCCGATATATTCTCACACAACCACCGGCACCACTTCAAGAATGGGACGTGTGGTTTCAACTCGGGAGCGTTCTAGAGAGTATGAGCGAATGGCAAGGCGCTCGTGAAGCTTATGAGCATGTTCTTCTGCAAAACGAAAGACATGCTAAAGTATTGCAACAATTGGGATGTTTGTACGGGATGCAAAACGTTCAATTCTACGATACTCAAACCGCATTAAATCTTTTGTTAAAATCTTTGGAGGCTGATTCTACCGATGCCACTACTTGGTATCATTTGGGTCGTATCCATATGGTCAGAAATGATTACACCGCTGCGTATGATGCATTCCAGCACGCAGTGAATCGTGATTCTAGAAACCCAATTTTTTGGTGTTCTATTGGTGTCTTGTATTACCAAATTTCTCAGTATCGGGACGCTTTAGACGCTTACACAAGGGCTATCAGACTTAATCCATACATTAGTGAAGTTTGGTATGACTTGGGTACCCTTTACGAAACCTGTAACAACCAACTAACAGATGCGCTTGATGCTTATAAACAAGCGGCAAGGCTGGATACAAACAATGTTCATATCCGAGAAAGATTGGAGGCGCTCACAGAGCAATTGGCGAATCAATCTAATGGTAACGCAATGCCTCCTCAACCAAAAGCACCAACGGTTACAAATCCACCACCTGTTATGCTTCAACCAACTTTACAGTCAACGGACGATGGTAACCCTCTGAACAAATCCTCAGTGTACGTCCAACCTCAATTGCCAGGGCAAATGCAAACTACATTACCAGCGCATCTACAACCTCATGTTCAAGCTCAATTACAGTCACAATCTATTTCGCAACCACAACTAGCTTCACAGCAGCAGCAGCAGCAGCAACAACAACAGCCTCTGCTGATCCAGTCACACCCACAGGTGCAACTGCAACAACAATATCAGCCTATTCAGCAAAGTTCGGCTGCTGCGCCGGTTCCTGGTTCTGCTGGAAACTCATTGAGACCTTTCAGCGAAGTCCAAGGTACTGGTAGTCCCTCTAGTAGAGTTACCTCTAACTCATTGCCACAGATTATGAACCCAACTCCTCAAAATGTTGATGTAAAAAGTACACTACCGCAAAAAAGATCTATGGAGGGAGGAATGGACACGCTCGTTAATGCCGCAGTGTCTAACGCTGCTACACCTTCGGCAGAAAATCCTCCCGTACTTGCAAGTCCTAAGTCATCAGTCACAGCTGAAGGTACATCTCAGAAAAAGCACAAGCGCAACGCATCCATTTCGAAGCTTCAAGAAACGCAATCTCCTCAATCGGTTTCAAAAAACGAGCCTTCGGTGGATGCTTCCGTGAAGCAAGATACGGCAGATGCTAAACCATTACAAACGCCATCAACTGAACTAGTAACCCCCACGCCACAGCCGGAAACAACGAGCGTGCCAACGCCAGTTCCATCTGAGGCTGATCCTATAGCAAGTTCGGATAGCAAGCTGCCTACGATAAACAGACAAGATGAAGAACAAACACAGCACTCTATTTTAAATACAGAGCAGTCAGAAGCAGCACAACCAGAGCCAGTGCAACCTTCAGAGCCAGCGCAACCTTCGAAGGAAATGGAACTTTCAGAGTCAGCACAACCAGAGCCTGCGCAACCTTCAGAGCCAGTGCAACCTTCAGAGCCAGTGCAACCTCCAGAGCCAGTGCAACCTCCCGAGCCAGTGCAACCTTCCGAGCCAGCACAACCAGAGCCAGCACAATCAGAGCCAGCACAACCAGAGCCAGCACAACCAGAGCCAGCACTACCATCAGAGTCTGCACCTTCCGCGCAACTTGCGGAGACTGCAGAGACAACACAGCAAAAAGATCAAAGGGAACATGAACAACTCATAGAGCCTGCGGCTCCTGTGGAACCTGAAACTCCCGCAGGAAGCGTATCTTCTCTGCCCAAGGAAAATCAAACTGTAATTGAAGCTAGCGCAGACGCTATAGAAAGGCTCCGCGAAGAAGCCGAGTTACGGAAGGAAGAAGAGCAGGAAGCGATAGAAAATGAGCCTACGTCTACTCAGAACGGTGACGTCAATCCACCCGTAAATGAACGGGCTGTGCGAGATGTTGAAGAGGACGAGAATTATGATGATTGAGGCATCGCGGATGTAACTTTAAATAAAACTAAAGAATGAAAAATTACGAATCAGTAAAAAGACCTGAAATTATATTGTACATGATGCAGTTAATTAATGGTAAGGTTTCAGTCCGTATCCACAATCTCACTCAGAAAGCTTGTGATTTGAGATATGATTTCTTCTCTTGTGGACTCCGAGACCATTTCTGTAAGAGACATTTGTTAGTATCCAGGCGTCACATCTGATTTCCTCTTCGGCTGATCAACATACCCAGTGCTATTGGCTCGACCTTTGCTAAAATTTGAGTAAAAGTTGCGGAGCCATCGTTATTGATCTCGTCGCTGGTTAGTTTTTTGACCTGATCGGTCCACCCCTCTTGTAAGAGTTTTTGGCTCAACTTATTAGATATTCTTCGATGAGGTGAGTTAGTATTATTACCCCAGAATTGTAGTTAGACAAGAGCTAGCTTCCGTGATTTTGACCGAAAAACGTTTCTATCTACTCAATTGTAGGACGTCAAACTTGACAAAATTGCATCACATACAATTCGTAGTTGCCAGATTCAACTAGATGCTGTTGTATTTGAGCTTTTAGTTGCATAGTTCTGGAGTCACTGGATGTCATCGTCGAAAACTCTCGAAGTGTTAAAAGGCTCTTTAACCCTTTGAATATTATCGGCACTAGCTTATGATTTGCCAATTTTTCACCTGATGTTAATAACTCGCAAGAATTTTGACTTTAATATCACAGGATTTTAAGGTTTTAATGCTGAGGCCGAGTTTGAGAAGCAAATACAAGCCTTATACAACACTAGGAAAGCAGTTTTTGAACTTAAGAATGAGTGTGAAGGGAAAACCAGAGAATGCCAAGTTTTTGAAATCCTACCCAGTTTCGAATGCAGATGAATGCAAGTGGATTGGGCTTGAAAGACTCGAGTATTTGGACCCTAATGGAACCCAGAGACAATGGGACAGTGCAGTCAGAAGAACTAGAAATAGTGGCGGGATTGACGGAGTTGGGATTTTGGCGATATTGCGTACGCCAGGTAAGGAACCGGAGATTTTGCTTCAGAAACAATTTAGACCTCCCGTAGAAGGGGTTTGCATTGAAATGCCAGCTGGGCTTATCGACGAAAACGAGTCGGTCGACGTGGCGGCTTTGCGTGAATTGAAGGAGGAAACTGGATACTCGGGAAAGATAGTTAGCAAGACTCCCGTTATCTTCAACGACCCAGGTTTTACCAACACCAACCTATCGTTGGTAACCATTGACATTGATACATCAGCTCCAGAAAACCAGAATCCACAAACGGATCTCGAGGAAAACGAATTCATCGAGTCCTTCAAGGTTCCGTTGAAACATTTTGCCTCTGAGATGGAAAAGCTAGCTGGACAGGGTTACAAGCTCGATGCTCGTGTACAAAATGTTGCACAAGGAATAAGACTTGCTCAACAGTATAAACTGTAAGATTCCCGACAGTCAACTGTGTATTTATGGTCTAATGAAAAAATCAGTCATGCGGCTTTTAAGTTTTATATAGTGAGTGATTATGATTCTGAGCGATCGATTGACAAACTCTTGGTAATCTATAAGCTACAACGTAAAGACAATGAATGGCCTGCACGAAGTTACTTGCGATCTCAGGGTTAATTAAGTATATTGTCGCCAAGAATGTTTAACTCCAGGTCGCATATATCTTAGCATTTGAAGGATAAGTGCTTGATTCGAGACAGTGCAGTGTACGTTTTTGGTACTATGTGTAGACGGTTTGCCCTCTTATAAAATCGTGCGCTCCTATCATCTCTTTTGTATTATGAAAGGGTGTACCTAAGACGCCAGGGCTACGGCATTCACGCTTCACATATGGTAGTATCAGGCTACGAACTCATTGACTTGAACTTAATCATGAAGCCTTGCCACTCCTGTAGCCCCATTTGTATCTCACACCGCTCTTGCTTGCCTAATTGTAAATACTCTTCATTTAATATCAGATCCACCACCTCGTGTGGTTCTTCGTCTTTTTCGTCTAAGACAGGTTGACTCATGACTTCATTAAGCGTGAATTGTTGCAAACCTCCGTCTTTCATCATGCTGGACTCGTTTAAGCTCGGCCGATGACCCTGTTGAGAAGACCTGCGGCGCCGCGAGACGCTGGTCCGTCTTTGTGAGGATACAGTAGTAGAATTTGATGACGATCGTCTTTTCAAATCGACGGACGGTGGTGGGGCAGGACATTTGAGTGCATGTAGAACAGGTGAGAGAACATGTTGCCACCAATTAATCCACCGTACCAATTCTCCAAGCAGCTCAATGTTTTGATTGCTGATGTTGAATTTGCTTGCTGGAACAAGAGCAGAGGTAATATCGTTGTAAAGTTGCAACGATTTTTGGTGATTTACCACAGAATATGGTTTTTGAAGATCACACTCGAGTAAAAGGTCTCGAGAAATGAATTCTCTTGGGAAGAAAAGATTTGAGTCGCAAACTTGCAGCGTCAGCATAACTCCGGTTACTGCACTCTCCGGATCTTCATTGCGCCACTCACTATTTTTGTAGTGGTAATCGTAAAAGCGGTGGGCACTATCATCGCTTTCATCGATGCATATCTTGGCAACGAGTTTGTCTTCGCACATTATATAGATTCCGAACCTATTGTCAACATTTATTCTGATTTCTGCGTTCACGGATGCGTCTTTGAAATAAGACCTAAGTTGATCTGGTAGCTCTGTAAAATATCTGAACAGGTCTAATCGCTCTTTTCTACTTGATACTCCCGACTCAGTCTCTATGATAGAATAAGTATCTAAAAGGGACAAAAACTTGAGGTTGTGGTAAAATGTTCGTAAATCAGGGAAGCACTCCAAGGAGTTGAACAGTATATTTCCATTATCACCGTCATTAAAGTAATTAAAATGATCGAAATTACTTGCCAAAACCAGCTTGACATCCTTTACTTGCTTGTCAGATTTATGGAAGTCCATGTCTATCACGATAATCTTGGAGGCGGTCGAAAGTCTGATGGTGTCGCTGTCGATATTGTCGGTGAAAGATTCTAGCCTAAGGGTCTTGCACAAACGAGATACATTATCAAGGGTTACCAGTCCAGGCTTGTACTCTTGGAGCAGAGTGATCATCTGCCCTAGTGCATTGACATAATTGTCATCGCTCATTTGGCAATCTCAATGACGTTTCTGCTGGACGCTGTCTGGCGATCTTAATTATTACCAAAGTAGTGATTATGATTTAAAGAAGGTCCTCCATTGCCGATGATACAAAGTACGTTATTAATGATTTTCATCAAGATTGGAATTGGGCTACAGATATACAAGTGGATCCGGATTCAAATGTTACATATGTGGTTTGCTGAGATATAACCATCAACTGAGTGTACATTATGTGCCATATTGAGTGACGACTAGGCAATAGCGAGGCTGTGATTGCCATTGAAAAAATGATGGCGAAGTTCCGACTATTATAATTTAAAAATCTGGCGCCAATCTAATATAACAATGAATATTCTCAAGGCATTCGTCATTAGCCATCTTATTGTGTGTTCAATTTTCAATACTAGATGGCTGGATTTTACTGTTATCATAAATGAATAATTTGGAAAAAAAGTGAGCGCTTGTAGCATCTTTCTGGTGCTAATACTTCTCGTGCATTTCAGAACGTTTCGTGTATTTCACTAAAACTTATTTTGTCTGGATCCGTGCGGCCTTGCTAGATAGCCTCATTTGCATAATGAAGTAGATCGTAACGAGACCAAAACCATGACATAATAACATAGAGTGATATCAGCAAAACATAGCCTTTCAATAGAATAGTCGACGCATCATCCCACAATCAAGACAGACGATACTGTGAATGGTCTCATAGTCGACCAATGACTAATTAAGCATGGCCTTATGTATCGCACGATCATTTGTTATTGAGCGCGAAAATAAATATATACAGCGACTAGTGTTCCACTTGAAGGATCAACCTTGGAGACATGAATAGAGTCTATCCAAATACGATTTATTGACATTGATCTCTAATGACCAATTTTAAGTGTTTGAGAATGCATGTAATGTTGTGAGTGGGCATAGTTAAGTTGTTTTTGCTAGTAAATAAGCGTCAGATGGGTATATTTCTCCCTGGCTTTCTACACATGAGTATGAGCTCATTACATCATTCCTTTGTAACGTTCACTAATGGGCCAGATGCGCACATTTTTTTTAACTTATGTAGAGCAAACAAGTATTGAAAATATGATAAGAAAGAGCCGGCCTGAAAACACTGCACGAACGGTGTGGGTAAATCAAAGGAAAGCTTGATGATTACCTACATTCTAGAGGAGCGGGAAAATACCCACGTATTATCAAAACAAGATTACAATGTTTAAATCAACGCTTGGCTGAGACCATCGCTGATACAAACCTGTGTACAAGCTTTCTGAGGGTTTCCTCCAGTTCAGATTAAACACAGCGTGAAAAGTCGATTAAAGGCTTCTTATGTAAGTGCTGATACATTTGATTGGCTTCAACCAACAAATGTAAATCTGGAGCATCATCCTTGATTCACTGCCTAATACCCTCGTAACCTCACCAATAGTAAAAGGAGGTTTAATGTCGCTAATGAGTCGCGGAATGTTCACGGCAGTATCTTTAATTGAGCTTTCTGGATATCTTAATTATGCATTGTAACAGCATTCCTTTCTTGAGCTCTCGAAGCGAGATTCAGACCGCTGCGTTCTCAAATAAGTGTTTGGTGGGATCTTCAGATGCGAAAACATGACCAACTAGCCCCCCATCCCCGTCCTCGAATGGTATTTATTAAATTTTCTCAGTAACCCTGGAATATGCTCCACAGCACTATTACTGTGAGAATGAGCTGAGGAGTACTTATCGATATCTCTGGAGTAGCGATTAAGTTATCACTCTGTACTATTATGTCGCCACGAGCCTCGCACCTTCTCCTTGCCCCTCGACAGATTCCGGCTCATTAGTAAACATTGAATCTGGTCTGGGCATCTCTCAATAGTGTAGAAGTCTCGCTGATTCTCTATTCTTTATTCCCGTACTACAGATTTCAAAACCTTTCTCGTTCTTAGTGCCCAAATAGCTTATCTACTTTCCCCATTTAAAATTTTTTACTCAAGTCTCAACTTAATTTGAAGCCATTGTTCATATCAATTCTTATTCCTGTCTTCAGAACCTCGATTGAAACATGTCTGACCAGATTACCCACCCTACCATCAAGGACGGATGGTTCAGAGAAATCTCTGATACTATGTGGCCCGGCCAAGCCATGACTTTGAGGGTCGAAAAAGTTCTTCACCACGAACAATCCAAGTACCAAGACGTCTTGATCTTCAAGTCTACCGATTACGGCAACGTCTTAGTTTTGGACAACGTTATCCAGGCCACCGAGAGGGACGAATTCTCATACCAAGAAATGATTACTCATCTAGGTTTGAATTCGCACCCGAACCCTAAAAAGGTGCTAGTTATTGGTGGTGGTGATGGTGGTGTATTGAGAGAGATTGTCAAGCATGAGTCTGTTGAAGAGGCCTGGTTGTGTGACATTGACGAAGCTGTCATCAGATTGTCCAAGGAGTACTTGCCCGAAATGTCTGCATCGTACTCTCACCCTAAGGTTAGAACTCACATTGGCGACGGTTTTCAATTTTTGAGAGACTACCAAAACACCTTCGACGTTATTATCACCGATTCTTCCGATCCTGAAGGTCCAGCCGTGACTCTATTCCAAAAGGCTTACTTTGAACTTTTGAACAGTGCTTTGACTGAAAACGGTGTGATTACTACTCAGGCTGAGAGTATCTGGTTGCACTTGCCAATCATCAAGGATTTGAAAAAAGCCTGCTCCGAGGTCTTCCCAGTTGCTGAATATGCGTTCACTACCATTCCAACTTACCCATCCGGCCAAATTGGTTTCATGGTGTGTTCTAAGAATAAGAACGTTAACGTGATGAAGCCTTTGCGTGAGAAATCCGAAGAGGAAGAAGCCAAACTATATAGGTACTACAGCAAAAGGATTCACGAGGCTTCTTTCGTCCTTCCTACCTGGGCTGCCAAAGAGTTGCAACTGTGACGTTGTTCATTTGAAGAGGCTTAACACAGTCTTAAACTATAAAGTAAGTATTCAACACCGTCAAAATTGTCATTTAACAAAATAAAACGAACTTGAAAATAAAGCTTATGTGCAATGAAATTTGTAGATGCTTTATTTACATTCCAAAAAGCTAATGAAATAATTGGTGGTGAAAGAAATTCGAGATCTCGAAAGATAAGATCCATGTCTTAGATGGTCTATTTGTCGATTGCCACTTCTTCCTTCCAGTCTCAGGTGTCTGATCTGCTGCCATGTAATAACAATAATAAGTCTACCCTTATTTACACAATGCTAAAGGCCTACGGACTTCTGCAGTATTTTAATCAAGTTATAGATCTGCCAAGCTGTTCAAAATCTGACTTTCGACTGTTTCATTCAAAAGAGTACTTGGAAATTCTACTGGATCCCCTGCTTAACGAGACTTTAGAATGGGAAGATGATGCAGAGTGGCAGAAGATGGGGTTAGTAGCTTCTGCATGGACTGAGCTTCATCAAGTGGCTGACAGCAAACAACCTGGGTGGTTTGAGTCTAAGCGTCGACTATACCAACATTTTTCAGATGACACTTGTGTAAACTCTGCGGACACTCCACCAAAAAAATCGCGATGGGATGAACTACAAGAATTACTAGCTGCCGAAGATCCAGAGCTAAATCCAAATTCAGGGTCCGCGCCAAACGTTGAAGTCGAGGCTTTCCTTTTTGAAGAGCACAAGCTGAATGAATTTGGTTTATGCCACGATTGTCATGTTTTTGGTTATCTGCCCATGTATTGCCATGTTGTGACTGGGGCAACATTGGCTTTAGCACGATGCGCTTCCAATCAAAAAACGCGAACAGTATCAATTAATTGGGATGGAGGTCGGCATCATGCCTTGAGGTCAAAGGCGAGCGGTTTTTGCTACGTGAATGACATCTCCATTCTAATTCAAAAGCTAAGGAGACTTGGAATACAAAACGTAAGCTATGTTGATTTTGATTTGCATCACGGAGATGGGGTTGAGCGTGCATTTCAATACTCTACAAACGTTCAGAGCATATCTGTTCATCTATTAGAACCAGGCTTTTTCCCAGGTTCAGGGACTCTCAAGGACGCAAGTCGTGGTAAAAATGTGGTCAACATTCCTGTACTCCATGGATTTGACGACGCTTGTTTGCGTAAGGTTGTGCACCGGATTATTATCCCATGTTTGCAGCGCCATGCCCCTCAAGTTATTGTGATACAATGCGGAGCGGATGGATTAATGGGGGACAAATATGCAGAATGGCAGTTGACAATCAAAGGACTTGCTACAAATATCTTGGAATTGGTTCGCGCTTTTCCACAGGCTAATATAGTACTTTTGGGTGGTGGTGGGTATAATGAAAAGCTTACGAGTCGTTTTTACACATATCTGACCTGGATACTCATCTCAGAATTTTCAGATATGTGCAATTCCTCTAATCCGTTCAATCGCGACGAAGATGTAATTCCCGACCACGAATTTTTAGAGTGCTACAAGGAAGAGTTTTACAAATTTTGGTACTACGATACAAATGGCTGTCACACCAAATTCTTGAAAAATGACAACAGCGCCGATTATATCGAGAGATTAGTCCGTTTTTATGATTTGTGATGCATCTAAGGGTATATCTACCTTCTTATTAATGACAGTTCTTCCATTGATTTTTCCCAGGAGCCTTGCCACCTGTTTCGTGATTCAGCTAGAGCCCCTGCCTTCAAAACCTCATTGACTTGCTTGTCCTTCATCAAGAATATTAATGCTTCGTGCAATTCTCGCCTGTCTAAAAACTTCAATCCATTGACGTTGTGTTGGACTAATTCATCAAGAACGGGGTAATTATACGCCACAACCGGTAGACCAGATCCAAACATATCTAGGATTTTCATGGGTAGATCTAAACCTGAGCTGGACGTGTGTAATGAAACGCCAAAATCGCATAACTGCAAGAGCCTGGGGTAATCTTCTGTGGAGAGCCAGGCAAACTCAATATGAACACAGCTCCACTCTTCTTCTTTGACCTTCTCGATAAAATGTTGCTTTAAGGGACCTTTGCCAGTGATAAAGCATAGAATTTTAGGTAGGCTCTGGTCAAATTTTCTATAGGAGTTTTCATATATCTTCAATGCGCCAATTAAAATGGATAGATCCTCATCGGGTGTGAAAGACGTAGAGGTCACCAAAATACGATCACCTCGACTGGTATCAAACCCCTGTGGTATATACGACCGAACAAAATCGTCTCGTAATGCTTCTTGACGATCGCCTGTAAAAGGTCTGAACTGAGCGGCTGGTCTATCGTAAAGGACTGTGACACGTTGTGCTGAGAGACCGAACTTGTCAACTAGATAACTCTTCATTGCCTTTGTGACAGTGAGATTGTAAGTTGCAAATTTGGCGAAAAGGTACTCTACACCGAACGATATGAGCACCAGAGGATGCCAGAAGGAATGCAATTTGAGCTGTAGGATCGAGTACCCGAAGTTATGCCAATCTATGATAAGCTTGCTACGGAAAATAGTACAGTATACTGCGGCGATGGGCAAAATCGGGATGCTAGGTGGATTCTGCAGGAGAAAGTAATCGCTGCCCCGGAGTTTCCACAAGAGCTTTGTAATCGCAACAATCTGAACCGAAACTTTGCAAGCCGCGGTGACCAAAAACGAGCGAGCTTTCCCACTGGCCCTGTACGCGGGTAATTGGTGTATAGTGATTCTTGGATTTTCCAAGATATCCAAAGGTGGCTGTTCCTCAAGATACCCACAAAATTCAACCTGCCACCCTTGATCGCTAAAGCTGCGCGCATGGTAGCACATGCGCGGCGAATGGCCTATGTCGCCAAGCACACATATGATGATTCTTTTCTTAAGAGTACGATCGCCGTAGAACAAAAACGGCACCACCACATAGCACACCACTGGAATGAAAACGTAGAGTGCCAAAAGCCACAATACAAATGAGTTGACTGATTCAAGCATTGTGCAAACAGGCCAGCACAAACTAAGTTCTCGAACTTATCCTTTAATTGTGAAGTGATGATGTATCTACATCTTTTAGAATTTCGAAATCTCATGAATCCAGCAGCGCGAGTACTTTTCTGTTGATATCATTGTTCACGTCCAGTGCAAAGAGAGAGGGTTAAAAACACACCGTGTAGCATTTAAGATTTCCCGAATCTATTACTCAAGTTGAAACCAAGCCCCTGCAAAGAATTTCCTGTCAAGCCTGACTTATCTTTGCCATCAGCTGTTAATAGTGAGCAATACAATGTCTGCGAACCTTACTGAAGAACAAATTGCGGAATTTAAGGAGGCTTTCGCGCTTTTCGACAAAGACAACAACGGATCTATTTCGTCGTCAGAATTGGCAACAGTAATGAGATCGCTAGGTCTGTCACCCAGCGAAGCCGAGGTTTCGGATCTAATGAACGAGATCGACGTCAATGGTAACCACAAGATTGAATTCAGCGAGTTTTTAGCGTTGATGTCGCGCCAGTTGAAATCCAACGATTCGGAGCAGGAGCTGCTTGAGGCGTTCAAAGTGTTTGACAAGAACGGGGACGGACTAATCTCGGCCGCTGAGTTGAAGCACGTTCTGACCTCGATTGGCGAAAAGCTTACGGATGCCGAGGTGGATGAGATGCTGCGTGAAGTGAGCGACGGCAGCGGGGAGATCAACATCAAGCAGTTCGCCGCGCTTCTTTCAAAATAATAGACGAGTCTCGCTCTTTATCGGGCTAGCATATGTGAGTCTTCATACAATTATGTTTCCTTTTTTTTTCGCTTTACGTATGTACCACATCGCGATTTAAGCGCACTTTGGAAGCAGCTCCGGCGAATGCATCTAGATCACCACCAGCACGCTTTCATGTCTTCGCCCTTTGATAATTTTCTGGTCTAGTATTCTCAACCTGTAATCGAATAAATACAATAACACAGATAACTTTTAATCCTTGTGTAGCCTGTCGTGTTCCATTGGCACTGCGTTTCTTAAGTATCTTTGGAATGGATTCTCGTTATCATCATCCGAACCTGGCTTTGAAGGCTTGAGATTCAGGGCTGGCGCGGACTGTCTTGGTTCAATCGGAGGAGCTGAAGGCTTAATATTGGAAGAAGTCAATGAAAGATGTTGTGCTGGTCTCGGCCAGCGATGGTGCGCTTTCGATCGTTTCAGTAGGTTTGGGCGTCTTCTTCAAATTGAATTTAGCCTGCAGTTCAGCATTTAGGTCGTTTCCCTCCCCGCCTGGTGTTTTTGCAACCTGTGCATACGGTAGCTGTGGTTTTTTTGAAGGTTTTGGAGGAGGAGTGGACAGATTCTTTCTGGCCGGTTTAGGCGGAGCGGTTTTGGTTTCAACGCTATCGGATTTCTTGGAGCTTGTTGTTCCATTGTTTAGGGACTGTAAAGAATGCGGGAACGCTTTCTTAGCAGGCGGCAATTTTTTGGCCTTCGGTATGGGTGCTTCAAAAATCTCTAGATTTATAGTTCTATCTGGGCATGGTGGGACTTCTACAAGCGAGTATGGAGGAGGATATGATTCCGGATGCGTAGGCTCCTCATCAACGTAGGTGGGAGTTGTGAGGCGAGCAGGGGCTGGCGGCGGAGTAGGCAAAGCGCTGATTGACGTTTCAGTACCTCTTCTAAACGGTTTGGGCGGAGGCTGAAAATCTACTGGTCGATTGTAATTGTAAGATCCTAAAACGGCGCTACGAGGAGCTTCGTTTTTATCATGCACTTGTTTTTTGGCGGATTGTGACGGTGTGTATGTTGTCCTTGAAGAGAGTGGGACAGTGCTCGACGTACTGGTTCGTTCCGGCAAGCTTGGTGGTGCTCTTCTAGCCACAGAACCGCCGCTTGGTTGAGGCGTGATATTTGTTTGGCGTGAAGACACTGCAGGTGGAACTTCGGACCTCTGTAATCTTGGTGGAGGTGGGAAGTTCACTTCACCAGTATTGCTATATCTACCAGCGACGCCAAGATTGATGGGAGTCCTTTCGTCAGCCATATTCACCGATTCAACTTCTGACTGAGGATTCAGAGTTTGAGACATCTCGATATCGGATGTTCTGACAGATGTCAAAGGTTTTGTCATTACTGGACTAATGAGACTTTGTTGAGGAGAGCCTGAACCTCTAGAAGGACTAGCAGAGGTATCCCTGCGCCGTGGTGGTGGTGAAAGAGCAGAGGCTTCAGCCGCAGGCAAATGCACTTTCTTCATTTCCCTCAATTGATCTGCATCTTTCCACTCGTAAGGTTTTACAGTTTGATGTGGAAACTTGGGGTTTATCTCTTCCTGATGTGCAAGCTGTTCGGAAGCAGGCGTGATACTTTGCTCGGTGGGTAAAGCAGCTGGAGCTCGGAAATACGTTCTTTGAGGGATAGATGGAATCGCCGATGGCTGCTGTACGTTTGTTGTTGATGTTTCAGGTGCAGTATAAATCGGTGGTTGGGCGTTTTTTACTGCTATTGTATTTGACGCTGGTGCAGCTTCGGTTTCATGCCTGGTGGATGGTATTGGCATTGTAACCTGCTCGGCCACTGGGGCATTAAGAACAGCCCTTTGATAAATTAGTGGGTCCTGATTAGTTACCGATTTAGTATCGATGTGAAGCGGGTTGGGAGTGTTGATTGCTGAAGCCGTTCTGGATGGTAAGACAGGCTGAGATCTCGCCGCAGCTCGAGTTGCAGGAAGATACTGAGTTTGGGTCATCTGAGGTTCTTGATAAGCTGGTACAGGAGCTTGAACCGTCACACTTGCCTCCTGAATAGTACCCGGATACATGGGCGCAGCCGGGGTGATCGTTGTTAACCTTGGTGCACCTGATCTTGATGAGCCATGATAAGACGATTGGCCCGGTTTCAAGGGGGGTGGTGGCAGATTTGACACGTCTGTCTGTATAGCCACACTCGGAATTGGCGCTCCAGGAATTGTTTCTTCAAGTGAGCTGGAAGGGCTATTTGAACGCTCGGTTGTAATCCCCTTAGAATTGTTGTACTGTTGCTTTCCTGCATTGTAACCGGTTTTGGCCACAAACTTGGTACCTTGGTAGCCATATTTACCTGCAGTGGCCAGTCCGGCCTTAATTGTACCCTTATTTTGGTCCCAAAAGCTGCTCATGTTGTGGTTTTGGGTAATATTTAGCCCAAGAGTTTTGTTGTTCTAATTAATGTTAATAGATCAATTTCATATTGAACCACGTACGACAAACTAAGAGTAGGCGAATAAATGTACGGCACACATAATTGGCAATGTTGGGCAGTAACTGGGCGAATCTCTGACCATCTAATAGAGGATTACATTGCTGAGCTTGAAAGGAAGAATTTAGGGCCTTCTCTACAGAAATATAAGAAAGCACAGTTTAAGATCTGGCAGATTGATTTTAATCTCGAGAAAAATGGGAATATAGTCATATATACGGGTTGTGTCGTATCAGAGAGACAATTTGGGGGGTGCGTTCTTTCTGAGAATGAAGAAGATGGAAGGAGCTGTAGAAACTGGATTGCAGAGCATAGTGAGCTGTTTGTCGAGAAAGTTACATTCCGAAACCCGCTGATGTTAGTTATCGCAGATTGTATGCTAAGCAAGGGCCCGAAGGGTGTTCATCTTTCGTACGCGCCTGAAACGGATCAGGGCCGTCTCAAGAAATTGGAATTCGACTTTTCAGATAACGACGTGCAAGAACTGAGCAGAGCTGGCGCAGCTGAAAATGTATTTTCTGGTTCCATTCTGCCATACCTCTATGAACATACCGGTGTTAGAGGCGAGAAGCTGCCAATCTCAGAGCTCAAGATCCACGACCGAGTGTTAGTGACCCGAAGCCAGCTCAGGACCTTCCAGGGCAGCAGTGATACGACGTGTGCTATCATATCCGGGCTGCTAGAATTTCTCAATGCACAATACAGCAGTGCTTGAAAAACGTTCTCTTTAGCTACTTTACATCTCCACATCGAAACTACTGCCACATCCGCAGCTGTTTTTCATGTTGCCCCCTGTAATTTTGAAAGTGGACCCTATCAATTCGGTAGTGTACGTTAGAGTCGTTTTGTCGAGCACCTTTAGAGACTTTTCGTCAATGACCACTTGCCCGCCGTTGTCAGGTAAGACGAAAACTACATCCTGATTTGATTCAAAGTCGTCATCGTCCTCCTCAAAACTGTCCTCATTCTCTTGGGTATCGGCAGGCTTTGCGCTGTCGCTCGCGTTAAAAGCGTCTAGCTTTATCTGGTCTCGGGGAATTAGAGTCAGGCGGTACTGGAAGCCGTGGCATCCTCCGCTCTCTACGCACACACGCAGTGCCTCGCCGGAATCCTGAGATATCTGCGCAAGTCTGTTGGCTGCTCGCTGTGTGATGCCTATGTTTAAGCTGTTCTGAGCATTGATAATCTCCGATGGTGTTACAAAGCTATCCAACGTAGCCGTGGAGTTGAATCGAAGCGGACGAGAACTGCGCCATACCCTGCAATTTTTTGCAAGTTGATTCGAGGCTCTAAACGGAAACCTAGCAAACATGGGAGGGTTTCTAAATACGTAAACCTTGTTTGGATCCGAGATGAGTTTGAAGGATTGGTAATTCGCTAGAAATGTGAATCACTCTAGTCACTTGGTACGCAGTGTGATAGTAGTTTGACCAATAAACCTGCCGATTCAACGCCTATCAGAGCCCAAGAAAATTAGATTCAACTGTTCCAACTTCTCATTAGATCAATCTTCTGTTAACTTTTATTTTCGCATTTACTTTCTCTGCTAACAAAACCTTTCAATTTAACTTTCGGCGGCTAATCTTCTTGAAATTGAGCTGTTCCCCATTGAAAGATCACATACGCTAGTGCGGCTATCAAATTAGAACTCGCTTGTACAATTTTTGAGGTTCTGCTATCTCTATATATTGATAAAGTGGATGGTGATGCTTACAGGAAGGTCGAAAATCTTGAAAATATAGAAACAGGGAAAACAAATTCGATAGAAACTGTACCTCATTCTAGTGATGAGTCTCGAAGTTCGTGAAGCAATCCGATGTTCTGAAAGCTTAATCTAAAGATAAGCCAGTCCGCGGGCTACTCAAATGTGATCCATCGACGTAATGTAATCGAGCACTGATCTTCAAAATATACTATCGCACAAATGACAATAAAAAAAGTCAAACCTGGGAGCATGAACGCGTCTGCCTATAATATTTTGGCTTGTCTAGAAGATGCGGTAACTTGACTGTGAGTCCCAGTGTCTGCGTACCTGTGCCTCTGTAGAAATCCTCTCCCTTAAGACGGCTCTTGACATACCAAACACGTAGGTAACCTTTCGTGCACAAAACTGTGGGCAAAGCATCCATCCTCTCCATTGTAAACCAGAAAGTTTTTGGATCTTTCAACGTCGTATTCGTTGTATAGTAATTTCGACGCTTCATTGCAACATTGAGCGGCGATAATTGCATTTGTGCTGGCAACACTGGGAACGATATTTTTCACAACGCCCAGTACAAACTGTGGGGTGAGCTTGGAAGCGTCTATGTTGAAACGCTCAGCCCGCTCGAGCGAATTGCTCATAAGCCATTGGAAACTCGCACCATCGGCATAGTCAAAATCTTGGCCGGGGTGTGCTTCAGCCCATTGCACAGATAGCAGATACTCTATCACGTGCTCCGGCAATCTGGGGTTATTCGCTACTGTGCAAAGTGGATAAGACTCTGTCTCAGCCGGCAAGGTAGCTAGCGAGCATTCATAGCATGCAGCGAACCCTGGGATAATCACTTTGCAGTGGCCCTTGAAGCCATCGCTGCCGCCGTCAACCAGCGGAATACACTTTTGAAACTTAGACTCGAAAGTAATGCGGACCAGCCGTGAATTGATTGCTCTCCGAGCCTCTATGGAGTCCAGTCCAGATATAACCAGTGTAAATTGTTCCAGAAATGTGTCGCTGAAAAGCGTCAAATCTTGAAAATGTGGTGTGACACGTATCGGACGGCCACCGAACCCGGTCAAATGTCTGTCATTGATGTACTGGGCTGCCACATCGGCCTTGGGCTTGCCAATGTCGTTCTCACGGAACAGAAACTGACGATTCAAATTAGTTAGTTCGATGGTATCCATGTCTACGACGTGAATTGTGGGGATACCTTGAAGGGCCAAATTCTTAAGAATCTCGCAGCCAAGCCCTCCAGCGCCCAGCACGAGAATCGAAACCTCTGGATCACACATGGCAAAGGGTACGGGGGCCTCAGAAGCTTCTTATAGAATCGATATCAAAGCTGAACGAGAGCGCTTAAAAGAGATTTATTCAGGAGGGTACTATATATCATATAATATCGCTTTGTACGAGGTGAATCTATTCAGACTTAACGCCACCGTGGCCAGCAGTTTCGGCTTCCTCGATGGATTTCTTGTCAGTCTTGGCCTCTGGAGAAGCTCCGAATCCACCAAACATGGAAGGAGCCTTGAATGGTCTCTTGAGGTCGCCGGCGGCGGGTTTGCCAAAGAGATGAATCTTGACCTCGTTGTGCTCGAGCGCAGACTTGATTGGAGAAATAGACTGCATCAACAATGGGTTGGTGTACTTCATGTACAAGTGCATGAAACCCATCATGGCAAGACCGGTGTAGATGGACTTGATGGCAGAGTCGAGTTCTTTGAGGTCATAGTCTCTAACGGTTGTGACCTGAAGTTTGCCTTCCGACTCGCCAGCCATTGCATTAGCAGGGGCAACGTATTTGAGTGTGGTCAAGTCGTTCGTTTTGACGATCTTGCTTCTTGCCAACTGGTAGATAGTCCAAGCCAACGCCACACTGGTGCCGTACGCGATTCTCACGTACAACACAATAGTGGGGTCCTCCATATCGAGACGGCGGGAGACCTGCATCATGATCAGCATGATGGCCAAGTTGGTGATCTGAGGATTCATTTTGGGGCGTTTAACGATGGGCGGTTGAGCTTGTAGAACTAAAAGCCTTCAAGATTTAGTGGTTGTGAGATAGCCAAATATACGATCTTCGTTTTTCACAAGGCCATGGAAAAAGTTAGAAAGTCATAGTATACGAAATCTTGAACAAAAGGAGAATGAACAATGCGATAAGATCTATCGGTTCGATTCCGGGCTTGCACTCCTTTTACCGTGCCGACACCGTGATATCAGGATTTTTAATGTAAATGGTCTCCGGATTTGTTTCAAGCCCAGCTGAGAGAGAGTTACTTAGTTCTTTGGCAGATATTTTGGCGTGTAAATATAAATTCACCGTAGTTGTATTGTCTTCTAGATTGCAGCAACGATTTTCAGGGAAATGAAGGTATTTGAAAGAGCCCTACCATGGAGCACGCAATGAAAGAAGAGCGGTTTCTTTCCTTTGCCTTTTTTCTATTACACTTGTTCTTTATCATACGAAATATTATTGTCGCTCAAATAGATACTGGAGAGTGCTCCTTGAGTTGTTCATATTTCTATTGTATACGCGAATCGCGCTTGAATCCACTGGTCGAACTGGGACATGCTCTGTGAATCGAAATAAGTTCAGCTAAACAATGGAACGTGTCTTATCCCAACCAAGAGCTGTCTACAGGATACATGAAAGCCAATATAAAGTCTGTGAGACATAGGCGAGGATTTGCGTAATATAATTTTGACCAAATCTTTGTGACAGATAAGTGTCGAGTGATATTGCGCGATTGGGAACAGAGGGTGGGGAACGCTAGAGACTGCTATAGATATGGTGACAACCAAATCGTATGGTGGATGTTTGTAAGAGAGGTATATTTGGCATTGGTTTTCGAGATTTTTATTTTGACTTGATTTTTATGTTCATGTAGCCAAAGTTGACTTGTGGTTTAAGGTTGAACAACTGGTTTAAAAATTACAGTCCGTGGTCGTAAGTACAATTTGAGAGCACAACGTGTGCTACTTCGAATAGTGACCTAACTATTCAGCCAAAGTACAATAAGTGGGGTGTATCTTGACAGAAAAGTACAAAGTGATAACTTAAAGGTTGTCATTACCCCGATGTGGCACAACGACTTAATATTGAAGCGAGCCCGATTTCGTGTATCGAGCTTGCGAACACCCGTCTACTTCTTCTGTAAATAAGGATTGCAATTGTGGCGGAACAAAACATGGGTATTCATACAGTCTGAGATCGGAATAAGAAAGAGCGAGGCGCGGTTGTATCGACAGCTTCGCTCCTTCTGCTGATAGCCCTAGACCACTTGTAAGCCACTTCAGTTAGGGTCAAGACAATTCCTCATATTGTTTTATTCCTATCATTTTGTACCATTGTATCGTTATGCAACTTAGCACCATCATCACCCACATCCCCACAATAACGTAATCTCAAATTATGAAATGGATTTTCAAAGTTGGTGACAAATAGAGTACTGGTTGCTCCCACTTGGCGTCTAAAAGAATTTGGATTCTACAGAAAAAGGATTATATAATGGAAGTGTCAGTCCGATGTCTGTCCTCTCATGCTACCTGTCGACTTGTCTTCAAATAGACTGGTAACATCACGAATATATATGTAAAAGAATATATAAGTTGGCAGCGCGATTTGTGCTGAATTTGGTTTCTCTAGGTTGTAAACGCCATCCCAGCACGTTGTGTAGTCTACGCTTTGCTAACCCAAGCGTAGACTAACGAAGTAACCACGTCTGTATTTCCTGTCACTTTCCCAAACTGTGACTGCTATTACAAATGTACAGGTGTGGATGTTTTTTTTTTAACTTTTTAAAGAATTTCAACTTTTTTTTCAAAAAAACGAAAAAAAAACAGAAATTATGATTTTTTTTACTTACACATCGTACAAAAGCATGGGTTACTGAGCACGTGAATGACACTAAGAAGTCACGCGTAGATGGATGTCACCGTCGTGTCAAAATGATAATATAGGCCTGAAGATACTACAAGAAAGGGTATGTGTGGAAAGCTGAATGAAGCTGCCCAACACCCAGCCTGCATAATTTCTCACTAACGTGTGGCAGCAAGCTCTGGCGGAATAATTTGTCGAATTGATGTATAGCGTGCATTTAACATTACGGTATAAAGATAACGTCTAGGTCGTTTTCGCGTTTGGTTTTCAGCGGCTAAAAGAAAACGAACACCTCATGGTCAATCTACCTATGTATTCACACCTGTCGCCCGCCAACAACCTATGCGCTCGCAAATCCATAAGCGTGCCCAAACCTAATAATCTGAATCTCGTGTCGCTAACCGGATAATCACTATATACGATATGCGCTACCCACGCAAAATATTTCTGAATGAAAAAATATTGGGCATCGCACAGGATCCGGGAAGAAACTCAAACTTCAGCTTGAAAGTTAAACTTGTTTCGTCAAAATTTTGGTTAGAGCTTGAATTTACACATTTTTTCTTCCGCTGTAAACCCCAAACCATTGCCAAGATGTCTGTTGCCAAAGCCCAGAACCCTATGCGTGAATTGAAGATCGAGAAGTTGGTGTTGAACATCTCGGTCGGTGAATCTGGTGACAGATTGACCAGAGCCTCCAAGGTCCTGGAACAGTTGTCTGGTCAAACCCCAGTCCACTCCAAGGCTCGTTACACCGTCAGAACCTTCGGTATCAGAAGAAACGAAAAGATTGCTGTCCACGTCACCGTCAGAGGTCCAAAGGCCGAGGAGATCTTGGAAAGAGGTCTAAAGGTCAAGGAATACCAATTGAGAGACAGAAACTTCTCTGAAACCGGTAACTTCGGTTTCGGTATCCAAGAACACATTGACTTGGGTATCAAGTACGACCCTAACATCGGTATCTACGGTATGGATTTCTACATCGTTGTCGGCAGACCCGGTAACAGAATCGCCAGAAGAAAGAGATGTAAGGCTGTTGTCGGTAACAACCACAAGACCTCCAAGGAAGACACTATCGCTTGGTTCAAGCAAAGATACGACGCCGAGGTTGTCAACAAATAAGTGTGATGTTCTGAATAATTTCAGAGTATATAATATCTTTTTGTATGCTGTAATCCAAAGTGCACTTTTAAAATTCGGTTTTCAAAAAATCATCACCAAGACGGCGAAACTGGCGCTGAAATGCACGCTGCAAGTATGCTTGATCCGCTGATTCCAGTCCAGCAGCAAAATGTGCCGAAAACGTAAGCGGAACATTTTTGGCTCAAGAGAAAGCAAAAATAATTGAAGTGTCCTTGATGGAGCTCCTATTAATCATTAATCATAGTGTTGTCTGTACACTTTTATATGAAACCGTGAATATCAATTTTTATACGAGTTGGAACCTAGAAGAACTGCGAGCTACCTTAGTAGTGCGTCCTTGCAACATAAAAGTGTGCCGGTGCTTTCAACGTGCTTCAATTAAATGTCACAAACTCAGCAACTCGAACTTCGTTGGTTGGAAACTTCATAATTTAATGGCGCTAACACTTCATTAGGAGATCTCTAACAGTTTCCGTAGAGGGACTTCAAAGCGATTCAGCTTTAGTTGATCTCTGGTTCAAGACGTATCGGAAACTTCATTTTTAAACTTTACGGATCTCCGATGTCCATAGTCGGAAAAAGAACCTTTTCAGCCATACAAGCGCCGTTTTAACGTTCAAGTGCCATTTTCGATGGCCCCTTCGACATTCTGCAGCAGTTTGTCTCTCCACTGGTCTTCCAGATAAGCCAGTTCGCGCTTAGCTTCGATTTGTATGTGTTTTCTGTGTTCTTCTAGGTCTCGAATCTGTCCTTCTTGTAATTCCAAGACGTTGTTCACAGAGTCACACACACCTTTCATATACTCATTATTAGTGGCCCATTGTTGTGCCAAGGTTCGTGGCAACAAATTGGTCAGTACAGCTTCTTGATGGCCCATGTAAGAATGTAGAATAGCTCGCCGAGCATGGCTTTTACAGTTACTCAGCTCGTAGCGCGATTTGTCAATTCCTGAGCACTTTTTCTTTATCATTGCCACATCTTCTGTGTTAGGTTGTGATCGTTTCACGCCTCGTGGAAACAAAGAAGCAATTCGTGATGGTACTTCTCCACCTAATAGATTTTCCACTTCTGGGTGTACCACGTTCAAATCACAGTTTTGAAGTTCTTGCTCTACCAATAGTTCAATTTGACCTCTCAATTCAGCAACCGGCTTGTCAATGTATGGCAACCAATCAACAATACCGTTCATGGTATGTCTCGAGCCTTTGGTAAGTATGTGATGTATCTTCAATTTCAGAACCAACGGTATTGACCGACCGTTGATGCGATGAGCTACGTGTTACGGCTCTCCCGTGTATCTGCTAGAAGGGTGATAAAACTGGCATATATTATACCTGACCTGCCAAAGATAACACCGAACGCCTGAATTTGCAGTATTATCGGTGACAAACTCACCTATTTCCCTTTGGTTTCCTCTTCCCAAACCTACATACATCTGTTGTATATTAAAAAATTTTATAATGAATGTCAAAATCAATTTTCCATCAAAAGACTGTAGGGTTAAGATGCTCAGATTCGGGTCAAGGAGGTATCTCACGAGCTTCCAAAAGTCTGATGCTAAATTACAGGAATTCTACAAGTATCATGCAACCAATGCATCACTAAGGCCTTGGATTTATAGGCCGCGGAATGCCAATACGCTCTTGGCGATGGACCTGAAAGACCCAGACTCAGATGCTCCATTGAAACCAAGATCTCCAGTCAAACCATTGAGTCGCCAGGTATTGAATACATATATATGGTCAGCACAAGAAGCATCTCAATTGCTGGACCTGCTGCATAAGTGGACCTCTTTGACCACGAGGAAACTGGGGATTTGGAGTTATTTTACAGCAGACCATGTTCAAAACATTCTTTTTGCATCAACCTTCAAACTGGGCAAACTCTCGTCGTTCTTGAAGCACTTGTATTTGTGGAGGCCGCGTTTCGAGGAAGCACAAAACGCAGGTATTTTCGATGTGGAACACTTCTTCAACTCGGTGATTACCTGCCAGCTACACAGAAACAACGCTCGGAATCTGTGCAACGCTGAAACAGCTCGCAGCAAACTAGTTATGGCATGGAATCAGGTCGCGGCCAAAGAGAACAAAACGGGTCTCACATTACACTTGGTTGGTGCGTTATCCAAGCAGCAAGGATTCGATATTAATGATCTGTCTTTCCCAGGACTTGCTAAAGTGGATGTCAATCTACCCGTCGCTGATGTCGAGTCCCTAAAGAGCGGTAGGCTTGCTGCATTTTTGAGCCAGAACAGGTTTCACTACGTAATGGCACAAACTATTATGGAATTTGGTGATGCTCCCGAGCCCGTGCGCATGTTTGTAGCCAATTACAAAGCTGCTGCAAATAAATTGGGCCGTCCCGACGTTTACCAAGAGTACAGGGCGAATGCTAAGCTTTTAGCTACAGAGCCGAAGCCTCCAACCACTGCTTCTCCCCATCCAGCAGCAGAATCATAAACATGTACAAATTTGTAAATAAAGATAGCATATGGGTTTTCTGACCACATATTAGCAATGATGATTCATCCCCAGATTTGATCCTAAAATTAGATTTGGTGCTAAAAGTCATTAATTGTCGCAGAATACAGTACTTTAGTATATTATCTGCAAAACTTAACATCTCTAGCCAGTAATTCAACACAATTGTTGGATATTCTCTGTCAAGTTTCGTCTCTTGCATTTATTTAATTTCTTCGTTTTAATACTGTTAGTTGTGAGGGCCTTAATTCAATCACTATGTACTCCACAAATTCAACCTCTAAGAAAGACCTCGAAGTTTAAAGCATGGCTCCTAGCATAACAGTGGTCCTTAATCCGCCAAGTAATGGCGAATTTTATACTCTGGAGGATATCGTTTCCGGTGAATTGATTTTAGAGCTGGACAAGCCGCTGTCTATTCGGGAAATAGTTGTCGAGCTCAATGGCAGCTCCGAGACCCTGGTAAGACCTGGCGACCACTTGCAAAATGGCACTAAAACTAGTCTTCAGGTACCGCTGGAAGACAGTCAGTCTCTCCATAAGCTTGTCGTCATCCAACAATCAGTATTCCCACCGCAAAACGTTAAAACTGCCATCAACGGGTCCAAGAAACCTTTCAAAGTAGAACGAGGTACCTACACATTCCCCTTCGAATTCCGGTTTCCTGATGCCCCACAATGTATTTTGACACATCCCGAGAATGTAAAAACGTATCTGAAAGGCCGCCAAGGTGTCAGGCTGCCGCCCAGCTTTAATAATGCATTAGACACCAATAAGCTATCAAACCTGGACGCCTACTTCTATTCTTTGGGTAAAATTGAGTACCACGTTGAAGCCACGGTGCTCACTGGTGGTGAAGAAACATGGTTCAAGCCTTTCAGAAACTATCCTGCCTTAAAAACTACTCTCGAGGTGATACCCTCGAACTTAGCGCAAGACGAGCTAGATGATATATTGGAAAATGGAGCCAACTTTCCTTTGAAAGTTTTTCAGTCAAAGTTCGACGTAACGTTTGAAGACGATGACTTGAGGCTTTGGGCTGAAATACGATCCAATCAGTTGCGTTCCGTTTACAGACTGGACTACCTCTTTCGTCGGGGTTGTAACAAGTTTGATCAAGTTTACGTACTAATGTCATCGCCCCTTCCAAAAGATTCAGATTTAAGGGTGGTCAGTGTGGACTTGAACTTAATAGAATACGTCACGTATCTGTCGGGCGGTCGCTCAAACGCTAATCTCAACAGCTTGCGGCTTGCAAGGAGTGCCACAGATTATAAAGTTGATCTCTCAAAATGCTCTACAACCGGTGATGGGTTCACAGAGTGCCGTATTGACCTAGCTGACATAAACCCACTCAAAAAAGTACGTTTTAATGAGGAAGACTATCGCCACAAGGGAAATCGCTTGTACAGTTTTACCTCGTGCAATGTACGACGACTCTTCAAATTCCAGTTGTTTTTGCGCATGTCGCTCAACAATGTGGACAATTTTCAATTTGAAGTACTTACGAATTTTACTAATATATTCTGTGAATCAGTCAATGTCGAGGATGAACCTCCCGCATACATGGACGAAGAACAGCTTCCGCGGTACGAATGAAAATGATTGCCGAAAATGATTTCACTCAGTATCGCGGATTTCTGATTTTGAATAGAACATTTAATAATGAACCAGATATACGTGGTTTTGGAGGATATGATGCTCTGAATTGTATAAACATTATCACTGACGCTGGTCGAGAAGTGTTGATGTCACTTTTCACTAGAAGTCATTTACCAAAAATTTTTCAGGTAAGGAATAAAGGCACTTTTGAAAGACTCATGAACTTTCGAGATTTTGTCAAGTGAACTTGATTACTTGGCGATTGTAAGCCTTCTACGCTTTCCATTTTACGTGGTTACAAACAAATATGAGTGATAAAAGCACCTTGACGCCTGTTTCGTCCGCAAAATCGGAAGAACATGCTAGCGGTAGTGTTTCATCACAAAACGAGCCTGCATCGAGTAGTAGCACGGAATCCAAACTTTCTAACAAAGAGCTCAAAGAGCTCAAAAAGAAGGAAAAAGCTGCTAAAAGGGCCGCTCAAAAAGAGGCTAGTGGGATATCAGTTGAGAAGCAACAGCAGCAGGCTCAACAAAAGCGGGAAAAAAAACAAACCCAGAGAGACGTACACAGTACTGGAAGTAAGAAAGGGAAGCTCGTAGCGCCTGTGCCTTTGGTCAAAGAGGCAACGCTTTACGGCCACTTGGAAACCACTGAAGAAAGACGTGCGTATCTGTTAGCCGTCACTAGTGCAATCAGCTCTAGTCAAGCTTCGAAGATAACAGCAGCTGGATTGATGCTCCCTCATCTTGCCAGCGCTATTTCTGGTACTTATGTTCCTACAACATCCGCTATCGGAGCAGCACCACCTTCAGTAGGTAACACATCTCACACTATGACAACGGCCGCCGAGCCCTCGGTGTCAGAAATAGCTCAAATACTGGCAACGATGTCAGTTGATGATGAAGCTTCAATGGTACCGGGTACGTCCACAGTCATTCCACAAACTCTATTAAAATCCATTAGCCATCCTCATTTGAATTCATCCATCAAAGAGCTGATTGTGAACAGAAACTTACTGCACCCAGCGATAGCTCAGCTCACGTCCGAAATTGCAGGCTATAAAATCATCGGATCGATTCCTCGCTGCTTGGCGATGCTTGAAGCATTTCAAACAGCGATAAAAGATTACAAGACCCCAGAGGGCACAACGCTAAGTCGTAATTTGACCAGTTATCTTTCGCATCAAATTGATTTCCTGAAGAAAGCTAGGCCTCTTAGTGTTACTATGGGTAATGCAATTCGTTGGTTGAAACAAGAAATTTCTCTGATCGACTTGAATATTCCAGACGCTGTGGCCAAAGAGAACTTGTGCGAGCAAATCACTCAGTTTGCAAGAGAAAAAATTGAGTTTGCAGATCAATTGATTATAGAAAATGCTTCTCAACACATTTCTAACGGTTCCACTATCCTAACTTATGGATGTTCGAAAGTTCTGTGCGATTTATTCATTCACAATGCCACGAAACTCGGTAAAAATTTCCAAGTTATAATTGTAGACTCAAGACCATTATTTGAAGGCCGCAAAATGACTGATACGTTAAGAAACTGTGGGCTCAATGTGATGTACGTGCTCACGACCAGTTTAGGAACCGTGTTCAATATGCACATCAATTACGTTTTCTTAGGTGCACACTCGATCTTATCTAATGGATTTTTATATTCAAGAGTCGGTACTGCTATGCTGGCTATGAGCGCCAAAAGAAGAAACATTCCTGTTCTAGTGTGTTGCGAAAGCTTGAAGTTTTCTCAACGAGTTCAGTTGGACAGTGTGACGTCGAACGAACTAGCTGACCCTAATGACTTGGTGGCTATCGATTCCGACAATCCTGTCAAAAGACGCAGTAATAAGGGTTTCTTGCTTCAACAGTTCATCAAGGAACGTGAATTAGAGATCGCCAACTCAGACCAAAATCAAAAGAAAAGCGGAAAAGGCGCTGTGAGGACTACCACGGAGGTTAAGGTTGATGAGAACAAGCCTATCTTGGCGGACTGGCAGTCGTCACCGAAGTTGAACATTTTTAACATCATGTACGACTTGACGCCGCCCGAATACATCAAAAAGATCATCACAGAGTTTGGTGCTTTGCCACCTTCCTCGGTCCCTGTGATTCTACGAGAATACAAGGGTTCAGCATAAGGAAGCCATAGTTGCATTCCTCGTTATAATTATATTTACACGCCAACTATATACAAATGCATATTAAACAAACACTAGAAGCCTCAAATCCTGCTTACGGCTATAGCCGCTAGCACACGTAAATGCCGTAATCAATGTTGTTCGGTTATAACCTGTGTCTGCCCGATGGATCCACATGCAATGGTGACCATACACCTCTGACACTGGAGTTCAGAGATTCCACGTAATCCTTTGCTACACGGTGATGCAGAACCTCACCTGAAGAGTCTCTCAATAGTTTCAGTTTATTCTCCACATTATCAACATTCAAGCTTCTCACACAGATTACTTTCTCTCTACCGTTGGTATAATGTGCTCTGACCATTGGGTGTCCAGATTTTTTCAGCACATTGAATTCGATATCGGGATGTTTGGACGCCAGGAGATCTAGTCGCTTACTAGATAGAAAGTCTCGCATGCCTTGTGATGAACCGCCCCAGTTACAGTACTGTAAGACGATTTTCTTACAGGGAAAAATGTAAGCTCCCACACCATTTCTAGCAATCGAAGATTGCTTGAGCGCTTTTACAACCATGCTTCAGGTGAGAAATTATGTTAAACGGCTCTAAGCGAAGTTCACAGCTCCAACAAATCGACTCAATGGATTTCTTCCTTCTCAGAACAACGATTTCGATTTTCGATGATTCTTACCTGCTAAAAAATTTGGTAAATCTAATATCAAGAGCATTGTATTTGATGCGTTTGTACGAGCTCGAAGATATGTAGCGAGAGAGAGAGAGAGAGAGAGAGCAAGATGAACTAAAAGAGCATGGTAGTCGCTATGCTCATTAGGCCATTTTCGGTGCTTATTAGACAGAGAAAACATGATAGAAAATAGTCTCACTTTGGGCTTTTGTCGAATTTCGTCTATCCTCGATAATGGTCTTACTGTCGTTTTTCGAAGCAAGCATGAAACTTACTGACGTGCCCATCTTGTAATAATAAAAATGCAAGTACGATTCTCTTCGTCATAGGCTGCGTTTTTAAGTAGTGTGAACTAGTTTATCAAATTTGCCGAGAAAGAACTAAACAAGTATTAATGTGCCCCATCTACAAATGTGATTATACAATTCTGCGAGGCAAAAGTTTTGAAATTAGCACAGATCGCAGGTAGCAAGGTTTCGAACAAGCTAAAAAAAATCCTGTCATTATTTTAGGCTGCTTTCTGTCGTGTGTCAAGTCCCGACAAAGGAAAGACAATCTCGCCGGATTATGAGTATCCCTTAGGCCTGTTGATTTCATGAGGTATCTCAATGCTGGACGCCGGAAATTACTTAACTGTAATTGAAGCGATTACAGAAAGAAGAACCAAGAGCCAAATTCATCCTGGGTTGTTCTCTAGTCTGCTAAAATTGTAGCGAGGTTTTTCAAGTACCTTTTCGGACTCAGAGGATCACTTATAGACAACTTTATGGGCATTTCTGTCAAGATGGAATACGTGTGCCGCTCGTGGAAAATGATACAAAGCTCCAACTGGATATCGGAATCAAATACCAATCTCTAATCTCCAACTTGAATTATAAGGAAACCTAAGAGACCTAAGAGAACCAAGTCCCACATGTATTACTTGAAACCCACCTTCAATCTTATTTTCTACTCCTTCGTGTAAGTAAGAATAAGTGCTTTTCCAGTTCGACTTCCACAATTCATTTACTAACCTCTTCAGCTTCGGCGGCACAACTTTCTACTCTTTCGTGGCGTCACCCTTGGCCTTCAAGCACTTAAACCGCGAAAGCTTCTCGGAGTTACAAAAGGTTGTCTTCCCTTATTTCTTCCAAATGCAATCTGTGTCTCCGTTGATCTTGGGTCTTACCGCACCTATGGCCATGCAAATGGGCCCCCTGGTTTCGCTAGCTTCCGCTTCTGTTAGCGGGTGCTTGAACCTGTTTTGGTTGCTGCCTTGGACCCGTAGAGTCAAAGAGCAGAGACAACAACTTGCTCAAGAGTTGCAAGGCGAAGAATTAGAGGTCCAAGATGCTCCTTTAAGAAAAGAGTTCGGCAAATCCCATGGGATGAGCTTGCTTTTCAACATGACACATGTTGCAGCAATGTTAGCCTATGGCTGCTTTTTGGTTAGAGGATTGACCAGATACGTACCAAAATAAAGCTGTTACCGTGAAGTAATTTTCTAAGAGAATTGCAATGAGCCTACCTGGAAGTTAATAGACGAATTGGCGCAGCGACGAATAAGCCAACAGACTGCTCATGAGAAGGTGAGGAAGGTATATAGTAACAGCTCAAACGGCACCTTTTTACTCACAAGCGCCGCTAAGCTTCGTGGGGTCCAATTGAAAAATATACATGAAAAATATTGAGAATGGGGGCCACCCTTTTGTTTTGAGAAATCACGCTTCTCAGAAGCTTCTCGGAGGGTATACCGCTTTATGTACAGTTTAAAGAATTATGAACACATGAAATGATAATGACAGTGCCTTCGTGGTTATAATGGAAGTCGTGTCGTGAGAAGTAGTGTAGGAGTAAGAGGCTCAAAATGCAGACGAATATTATAAAGCAAAATGCTTATTTTTCCTTTGTTTGTTTTGGCATGAATAAACTTTGTAGGTCAGTTTACCCAATTACTCGTCAATCTCAACGACGCCACTTTGAGCACCATCAGCCTGACCAGCCACAGCCTGAGCCATAGCAGCGGAACCGCTTTGAGCACTGCCGCTCAAGAAAGTCGATACATTAACTGGGGGCATGATGGCAATCATCAAAACAATATACTCATAGACAGGCTCGGGAACGCTTCTTTGGTAAATGCCCAACAAATCGGCTGGGTTTGGATAGACGCTGAGAGCTTTGTAGAACTTAGAGGCGGCCTCCAGCTCGTTTCCGGATGCGCTAGCCAGTTTTTCACCCATTTCCACATTCGACGTGAAAACGGTTTCTCTTTGTGCTGGATCAGTTGACACAGGGTCTTTGGCGAGTTCAGCACTTAGATATTCACCAACCTGTGCCAGCTTTTGCTGCTTGGCTCTCTCTTTCTCCAGTTTCTCCTGTTCAGCATGTCTTTTTAGCTTCCTCTTCAAGCTCTTTCTGAAGTTTGGATTGTTTCTTCTTTGGTGGTCGAAATACACAGCATAACCGGCCAATGCCACGACTGCAGTGACACTAGTGACGGCCAGAACTCGTTGGATGGCTCCTGGTTGTTGAGACATAGTTGTAGAGGTTCTTGTGGATCTTCAATTTCACTCTAAAAGAAGGTATACAGATAGTTTAGTTGAAGTATGGGCAACTTATGTCTAAAATTTTTCAAATTCAAAAAAAAACATGACATCGGTGTCAGAATATAGTTTCGATGAGCAGACCAACGAGAGGACAGATCTCGTAGCGAAGGCAATAAACGAATTGATCTGTCATTCATAATTCGTAAATGATTGAGTATTGTTGACAAACTTTACAAGCTTTCAAATGGATAATCCACGCTGCCTAATGAAGGAGATTCTAAGTTCTTGCAAATGATTTGAGTTCAATGTATACTGTCGCAGCAATAAAAGTTACTAGAATATATGATCGGCAAACAATGTGATTATTGCAACTTTCGTCGTGCGGCGTACAAGAATAATCTACGGTGAGCCGGTGCTATCGAATATTCAACCAACCAGTAGTCATTGACAAGTGAGAAAGTTTTAAGTCGCAAATAATGCATATAACAAAGCTATTTAAGTAAACGGCAATTCAAAGTTCACGAGACACGTAGGTGAATCTTCTGCTGGAGCCAAAAAAAAGGACCTTATCTGTGAGTATACTTTATCGAGTGATTGCTGTCCTTCTATCGCTGCCAAGGTTTCCTCTGTTGAGAACTTCAAGTTTCAAACTTGACCGTGCCAACTATAGAGTCCCAGGGATTATTCCAGGGACATTTTTAATTTGATTTTATGAATTTTAAGGTACGAGGGAAAATTTCAATGTGGTGCATTGTGGAACAGTTGGCCACAGCCGCTTGTCTGGACAATTATAGTATCTGCACTTGTACTAAGCAGGCAAGCCAACACCTCAGATTTAGAAGTGCTATAAAGAGAAAGAAGGACTGACGACCTTGGTTAATGACCACTCCCCGGTAGCAAACATTCGTGTGCAAAAGATAGAAAGAAATCGTTAGAGATTAGACCTTTCATAACTAGCATTAGCTAGTAGCCATGATATAACATTTCGCTAACTTCCCGTACTACGCAGTTTGTTCGGGGCTCGATTAGAGCGTTCACGCTGCTTTTCCATCGTTCTCCCAAAAATCATGGGAAAACTAGACAAATTTAGACACCGGACTTCAAGCTGAGCATTCGAACGACGCGCACAACAGTTAGCGCCCGTTTGACAGGACAATTTCTCCTTATCTGCTATTTGAATACAATTGCCTACCCGCTAATCCTTAATAAACTCTTCCATTCTCATAATACTTCCGAAGCTTGAGGCCCACAAAAATCTGGCTTTCGAAGTTGTAAGCCTCAAATCATTCGCCAGCATTTGAGAAGTTACTAGTGTTCGTTGGTATCAAATAAAGCTACTTTCAAGGCTACCTTTGAGTTTCGGCAGTTTCCACATGATCTACATTACAGAAATTTTTCAATTGTCAGTTCCAAGGTCATCGCACGGCACTGTCATCTCTCATAGCTGTACATAGTCCACTAATTCGACCAGATTTATCTTCAATCGGCCGGTTTAATCCTAATATACAGATGGTGGCCAAGAAGAGAACACAGCTGAGGACAAAAGCCGCGCTGCGGCTCGGACAATCCAAAGAAGACAACGAAATTGAAGTGGAGCAATTGAATTTGCCAGAAGACCCAAAGGCTTTCTTACACCAAGCCCGAGAATCTAAAAAGGACAAAATACTCAGCAAGTCGCAGTCGTTTCTGTCTAAACTTCACGAAAGAACTTCGCTAAATGGCGCCATCTCCAAATCGGCTCTCAGACGCCGAAAGCGCAAACAGAGAGATCAGCTGAAGCCCCGAATGGAGGACCTTTTGGTTTCTCTAGAACAAGACGGCGTGCAGGAGGCGACAGCTGATTCCGACGAGAACGGAGACGGAAACGATAACAAGTTGCCACAAAATTCTACTGCCTCGGTATCTAGCAGAGTCACCAGAATAACAACGCCAAACCTGCCCCTCGAGTCCGGTTCTGTTTCAGTCAAAAGAAACCAGCCAAACATTAGAAACCAGCGGGGTGCCAAACAATTAGCTCAAAATGAATCAGATCGTTTTCAAACTGTTTTGCAAAACAAACAGTTTCAGCAAAACCCTTTCGCTGCTCTGAAAGAGGTGATTAAAATGCAAAAATATTGATTTTGCACACTGTGCACTGCATTATATGTACTATAGCTTCAATACTTCTCGTAACTTATCCTTAAAAATCAAATCCGTCATTTTAGAGATTTCGCTAACATCAAGATCTTTCTGGAGTACTTCTTGATACTCGCGATGTAGTGCCTCTTCGTTCTCATCTTCCAAGAACTCAAAATCTCCAACATCCAAGTCAAGGTCAACCAAATCACCATCTTGCAATCCGATTTCAGCGGCAGCGTGTGGCATAGCTGCATCATTCGATTGTTGCCATTTCTCATCCATTGCTTCCTTCACATTTAGCTTTTTCTTTGAAGATTTTGAAGTCTTCGACTCAACAATGGTTTGGTATAATTGGCGAGCAGCTTCTTTACTCGAGACCAGGTCTTGCAATTGCTTCTTCAGTCTACTGGCATCGAGACCATTTTGAGAGCACTGATTTACAAGATGAACCAAGTCGATTCGGTCACATTCACCATATTTGCTCTCCTGAAGAAACTTCACAATCGAAGTTAAATAGTTTATCATCCCTTCAAATGTGTTCTCGGTATCATGCGAACAAATATCGTGGATGAACTGGAACAAAGAGTTTTCATGTTTCTCGACAATCTTACTGATAGCATCCACAACATTGAAGCTTGTTGAAGAAGAAGCCTGTCCATTGATGACGTTGTCAAGTAATGCTACAAGGTCAGTCATGAACTTTTCAAAGTTACGAAATGCCACATCCATCCGCGATACCCTAAAAATGCGAACCAGAGGTTCATAAAACAATGTAATCATGGACTTCAGAAGCTGGGATAGTTCCGGATCTTGCCACACCTGCTTCATTAACCGTTTGTCTCGTTCACGGATGTAGATCTGTAGAAGACCTTTTACGTGAGAAAAATATAGGCCAGGAACATCTGTGATTGAAGTGGCAGAGTCTACTTTTGACAGCTCTTGTTCCTTTGAGTCTTTGCGATTTTTCCACTGCGCATATGATTCGATGAGCTCACCGAGCGCGTCTTGAGAAATGTGACCAATCTCACAACATTTCATTACTAAAACAAGGGAGAGAGGCATAGACATACCAGTAGCTTCTTCATGGACGTCTTCCATGTCCACAAATTTGCCATCTTCATTCTCAAAGATTGCCGTAGATAATACTCTGGCTATTTCAACTCCAAATTTGCTCTCTGTGGCAATAGCATCCTCGATCTCCCTTGCCAACTTGAATTGAGATTTCAAATCATCACTGAGGACAGACGAAAACATGCTTTGAAGTAGAGAGTTTCCACCAAAAGGTCGCGCCATAAACAAGTCCATCATGCCTTTCATTATAGCCATGGGATTGGTAATTTTTAAGATCTGGATCATCATTGTGTATGGTAATAGTTTATGCAGTCTTTTTACTTGCGTGAAAAGTTCATACCCTCCGTCTTTACCCAGAAAAGTGGTGTAAATGGTAGCTGACAGGTTGATTCTGCACCAGCCCATAAATATTTTTAGGGTTGGAGACAGCTCTTCGATAGAGTCCTTTTCCTTGATTTCTCGGAACAAGTTAATTAAATACTGATCATCTCTCAGAATCGATGTTTTGAATTCCTTCATCGCTTCTTGTAGATCAACGGTCTGTTCGAAAGCCATTTTTTGGAAAGCAACCTGGTTTTCTAAATTTTCGATATCAACAGCTTCTCTACCCTTCATGTCCTGAATGACAGATGTTGGAAGTGAGTCAAATTCTATCTTGGCCGTACTCACAAATTTCAACATTGACACACTCTTTGCTACTTCGCTATCCTCAGTAAGGGAGCGTAGAAACTGTCTTAGAGATGTTCTCAATTTTTCCCTTGGGAGATGTCTGGTTACCTTGTCTGAAGCGTCCTCAAATTCGTCAAACTCGTCATTATCTTGCGTATTCTCGATACTATCTACAGCAGAGCTTGCATCATTGGTAGCTGCTGATTCTACATCAAACCTGGATATAATTCTCTCCTTAGGTGTAGAAGGGATTGCGTCATTGCTCGCTTCACCCGCTGCTGTAGTTGTTGAAACTCCAACTTTGCTGCTATGCGGTAATTTGGGCAATTCTTTACCGGGAAATTCTTTGTTCAGGTTGGAAACAAGGCGCTTAAAGTCTGAATAAGTCTTGGCAATGTACCAATTATCATTCGAATTCTCTTGTCGAACTCTTGCTATGAAGTGGTAACCATGATTTCCAGTAGATTGGTCGCTCAAGGTCATTTTCGAAAATAACTTTGAGGGTGAGGATAGCGAAGATGGCGCAAATGCAAATGCTGACTTCATCCAGTTAGAGGCGGATGAAGAAGTGGAAGATGACGGAAGCTTCACTTTAGCATCGGACTCAGGTTTTGGATGCAGTGCTTCATATGTTGCTACTGCCATGACATTGAAATCCCAACCGTTGATAAAATATGGCTCTTCGGTCAGTAAGTATTTCAGACTTTCTTTCGTTGGCATCACAAATTTGTCCAACTTATCGCTCTTATAGTTCTGTTCCTTGCCATCTTTAAATTTGAACTTGTCGAGCTCAAAGTATTGTGGTTCTTGAGCACACCCGATACCAGAGTTGTACATGAGTAATACGATTTTTGACAGTTTCATGCTAAGTTTCCGCCGTTTCGTCAGCTCTTCACGATCAAAACTGGAACTGAATTGAAGCTGCATGAAGTGCTCAAAGAAAACTTGCACTTTTTGCTGCCAAAAATCCTCTTTTTCGATCAGGTTTTGTGATAAAAGGGGCATTTTCATAACGAAATTCTGTAAGAAATGGTTTAGTAACGGGTAATCAGTGTCTTGACTGTTTCCAATATCTGCATGCGCGTCAGCGGTATTGGATTTCGTAGATTTGAGCCGTTGAATCAATTTTTTATCTGAATGGATTGAACGTGGATCTTCGGGTGAAAAAGGGTACCCAAACTTGCGAAGGGCATGGGCATCATTCAGGCATTGAATCTCACGCGAAAGTTCTTGCTTTAGAAGCTCCCTCTTAAGGTAGTGCTCTTCAGTCGGAGAGAGTTGAAAAGACATCTCTCAACGCTAACGTATGCTTCAGAATTTTTTGGAAGTATGTAGATGAGAATGTGTTTAGTTCTTTATTTTCAAATTCTTATTCTTCAGAAAAGGGAACAATGGCCAAAATAAAAGCACAAAAAACGATTTTCTCTACCGACACGGCAATCCTGGCCTCGATTATTAAATTGGAACTTGACGTAAGTTGCTGGGTACAGCGTGTACAGGGACATGTCAATTCAAAATTTCAATGAAAGAAGGCTTGGGTTGAAATACTAAGATACACGCAATTTGCTAGGTATGCCACAGAGTTGTGTGAAGTTTAAACTCTGAATGCAGCTATTGGAAATTAGACTGTAAAAACTGCATAGCAGTTTTACCATTCGGCTTATCTGAATATTGGTCCAGAGAGCATGCTGGTTGAAGAGGATATTATTTATGTAATCACATGGGAAGGCTCATGCGCTTTTCACGACATGTCTTTACATGTCTTTACTGTACAAATCCCGAATCTAATTGGTTGAATTGACTAGATTTGTTTCTCGGCAATGGAGGTCTATGCCTTGCACTAAGTAATGACGTTAAAAAGTAAAATTTATAATTGAGTCATTATCTCGAGCTCTTAAGATTTGTATACAGCGCGTCACTCTTGCAACTATGCTGGTTGACACCAACAGAAGCATCATGAGAGAAGCACTCACGGGAAACAGCGGGTGTACGCAAGCTCTGTGACACTCGGTTTTTGAAGCTCACGGCCGCATAGTAGGAAGGTCTGGAATCCCAACTTAATCAGAATCAAGCCTGAACTAAGTCTGGATAGCTCAAACAACACGTCAGGCCACTGAATATTCATTAGATTTTTCGAATACGCTTTATATCACTTCAGCAGATTGAGACATAATACACATATTTAATCATGACAAACGGAACGGCCGGAGTTTTATTTTCTCATATCTCACATATGAACTTAACATCTGAAAATGACTTATTGATAATATTAGGCAAGATTTTCTTATATTATTAGACAAAAATGTCTTAAGTACTATGTACGTAAATACCTGAATCTGAAGCTGGGTATCCTTCCAAAATACAATCAAAATGTTAAGGCCGTGACTCCCGAATATAACCTTGAAGGATTCGCCCGTGTCTTTCCCCCGAAGAAAGTTCCGAGATTCATTCTGCCGTGCGGCTCGAAGCTGCCTGAGACCATGGCCACTATGACCTGTTTGGTAAGTTCGCTTGTCAATGTTGAGGTCGAAGCTCAGTTGGCGGGTATTGACATTCAACAAGAAGCCTAACTTTTATAATGACTGTAGTGCGCAAATAGTGATTTGCTAGTCTATACTGTTAAGCACCTCAAACCTTTCTTAAACATGTTACCAATAATAAATTTCCTTAGACGCTGCCGTGGCCTTAAGCTGGACGAGGAGAGAGTCAAAGCACAATTTCTTAATTGCCGAGGGTAGCGCGCTGTCTGATCTACTCGTCACGACTACTTTTGAGAAGAATCTAGTGTATGTCTCATCACGACTTCGCACTCTCAACCCGATTTAGAACAATTCAGGGGTCTTCTTATTTTAGAGCTTTCCGTGAGTCATCAAGACATGCGACACTACTTTGCTATGTCGTTTGAACAACAATAAAAAAGAGCCAAAGATGGAGTATAAAACTCCACTACCTTCCGAAAGGCGACACTAGTTTGCAGCGCATTATAAATAACAAGAAAAGAATCAAGGATGGAGGTTAAGACTCCAGTACTTTCCTAAAACTCTTTTGGGGCTCCAAATTATGTGTCGAAGACACCTTTAGAAGTACTTGATAAAGCAGCCTTTTCACTAGATGAATGGGAACGCACTTATTCCATTGAGGATAAACAAGGTGGTCTTGCCTTGGTTTTGGGAGCACTATAATCCCGAGGAATATTCTATTTGGAGAGTAGATTCAAGTTCAATATGAACTAACCTTAACTTTCATGTCTAATAACCAAATTGGCGGATTTTTCAACAGACTCAGCGGCTCTGGTAAGTACATGTTTGGTTCTATGATGGTGCATGGAGAAAATAACAGCAACGGTATCACAGGTGCTGTCATGGTCAGAGGCCAAAGCTATTTACCAGCCTTCAATGTCGCATCGGATTGCGAATTATACAAGTACACCAAGTTAGACACTTCCAAATAAGAAGACAAGGAATTTATCGAAAACATGTGGAGTTGGGATAAGCCTGTCGTCATTGGAGGCAAAAAATTCGAAATTATAGACCGCAAAGTTCTCAAACTAGCTTCAGAATCATATGGATCGTATCAAATCGAATAGCCCCCACGTTATCAGTTGAAAGTGAGTAGTTCAGAGAGGTTAAAGTTTTCCTGTCATCGAAAGCTTGAAGAAAAAGCGATTAAGAGAGGTGAAAATGAAAAGAAAATTTAAGAGATATTTGAGAGCTATTGGCCGTAATGGTAGTGGAGAAGGGGTTGTGAATGAATCGTTACTTTAGATTTACTTATCGAAATGGATATTTCAATTTTTAGATGGGTTTTTGTTTGAGAAGCATCAAAAATAGAAAAAAATAAAACAATCCAATTTTATACATTTTGTTCGGAATGACAGTCAGTTCCGTGAATTGATTTCATATGATCAAATATTACTGCTTCGGAGTCCAATTTTCCGATAGATAATAGCATAATTGATGGTGCCAGGTACTCTATCTCCATGCTATCATGGTATTCATGTCAGGATCTATGTGCTATTTTGTTAAGATAGCGTCAATTGCATGGTGAAGAGCCATGACATAATAGTACAAAGTGATATAATTAAACATTGATCAGTCGATGAACTATTCGATGCATCTTCTCAGACTGAAGACAAGTACCAGACGATATTCTATTATGGTCTGATAATTGATTGATGACTCATTGGATATTACTGATATATCACACGATGTCTTGTATGATTAATGTATCGCATGAATATTATAGACTGAGTTATAGCTATCATGTTCAGCCGATTTCTATATAAAAACCGATCAGTTACTTCACTCGACGAATTATCGTCAGATTCAAGAGAATCACGGAGAGATAAGTAAAACTCCAGATTCCAATAAAAATTATTTAATACATCATGACGACTTAAATGGCCAATTCAGCAAATTAACCACTACTGACGCAGATGTGCCTCAATAATTCAAAATTTACATAACAAATTTTCATTTGTATTTCCACTTGTTTTAAAATGAAATATACTTCGCTGTATATTACTCCACTTGTTTTTGCTACATGGTTTATAATTTGTTGCTCGTCTTTTACGCCTACATATAATAAAACGCTTTCTACGCATTCTTTATCAAACTCGTTGTCATGACAATAGGGGTCTAAATTGAACTTTTCAGTATCATAAGCATACATTCTTATATGCTTATAAGAATGAGACAATCCGATATATGCATATATATATATATATATATATCATGATTACTATTTCTTAACAATCGTTAAAGTTTCGATAAACACATACAAGCTCCAGAGAGGTTAACGTTGCAAAAAATGGACCTCAAGAAAAGAAGGCGGTAAACGCAGGGCCTGAAAGGGTTGCACTCTGCTCTCAAGAAATGATAAAAATGTGCGTATATGGAAAATCCTTTACAAATATGCCCAGAGTGGCTTTCTTTAAACTGGGTTCTAATCGGTCTATGGTGAGCTTTATAATTTAGACATCAATGACAATTAAAGTAAAATCAAAATTACCTACAGCATTTCCATAGGGTTTGAAACTAAGCTGTATGGCCCAACTGACACCAATATTGATATGATGATTTACGTGAAGAGCCCATGGACATCTCATTTGAATATAGTTTTGTCTTGGCAGGTTTACGGCAAAAATTGATGGATCAAATCACATGCTTGGTAAGCTGAGTATGTACTAAAACTTTTTCAATTACTTACATAATGGTTCCGTGGTCTAGTCGGTTATGGCATCTGCTTAACACGCAGAACGTCCCCAGTTCGATCCTGGGCGAAATCATTTTTTAGTATTTTGTACTATCTTGCGCACTTGTTTTTGTTGAAATCTTATTCCAATACGATCTAGAATATAGCACTTTAAATGTACCCAAACCTCAGTCTTGGGTAATCTGTAAATAATACATCGGCATCGCTGGCGATTCTGGTTGAGCTTGGGAGTTCATCGTTCTTCAACGAGCTTTCTCCACACAAGCGCCCAAGTTTAAAGCATTTGATTGTCTAGTTCTCCGCCCTTGGCAACTACGGAAAGTATGAATCGCTCTATAGCTGATTTGTTCAAGTCACACCTGTTTCATGTTGACCTGAAAAAGCACGAAGTTGAAGTTAGCTCGAAACCATTAGATTCAGGATCCGGCCCCGCAGCCCAGGAATTCCAACGCCAGCCCAACAGTTCGGGAGCACTCAATTCGATAATGGAGGAAGAGCGCTCTCTATCGGGATCGAACCTTTCGGAAAGTGCGTCAGAGGACAGCACTCAAACACACATCAGCTCCAAAAACGGCAAGCTGCGTAACCTGAAAAATCGAATTTCGAGCTTCCCAGATCTTAAATTTCGATTAACATCAGGTACTTCTAGCCCTGGAGACACGCCATCCGATTCTGGCTCTGGTTCAGCTCCAGCTTCAGCTATTGAAACACATCAGCACCCGAGTAAGTCCAAAAGTCCTGCGTTCAAAATCGTTCCTAAAAATCGCAGTAATAATAAGTCCACATCCTCATCATTAAGTTTGACATCTCTGGATAAGCCGCCTGTAATCAATATTGAAGATGGCCGTGTACCAATTGATCGTGATACCCCAAAGCAAAATCCGATGTGCTCCTCTGAGAAACGGCAGAGTTTATCGAGCATCACTAGAATCAACACTGCATCTTCCAATGGGTCTTCGGTGCGATCCGGGCTTTCAACTTGGAAAAGAAAGGGCTTAATGCGTTCGAATTCTGACAATGATCAAGTCAAATCAAAGCCTCTCAGTCATTCAGTTCTATATCCTACCTCTAATGAACTTCAGGAAGACTACACTGGTGGGAATGCTGCGATGGAAAGACGGCGCAGCCGTACTGTTGGCGCATCTGACTACGAAAGTGTTGGCGTTCCGCTAAAGTTGAGCTTAAGCAAACTGAGAGCTAGGTCTGATAGTAATTCCGTGGAGCCATCTATGGGAACTAACAAAGAAAAAGCATCCGCATCGCCAAATTTGTTGACTAGTCCATCCGTGTCTTCTCACTTACGTCAATCGAGCTCCTCAAAACAATTCGGCACAAGTTCAAGAAGAAGCAGCTCCTTGGTCAGTGCGATTGGCAACTTTGTTACAATGCGATCAGCAAGTGTCTCCAGTCGAAATTCTTCTCCAAGGTTGACCATTAACTTCGACGATCTCCCGAAGCCACCAGAGCCGAAACTAGATGAAACTTGCGATCAATACCTGAAAAGTATTTGCAGCTATGGTAAGTACATTGCGGTTATCCTAACAAGTGACGATGACGACTTCAGAAATAAGTGTCTATTCGAATTCCTGAAAAGTGAGTTTGATTTCTCTAGGGAACCGCTAGACATCTCGTTACGAAAGCTGCTTATGTTTTTAGAGCTTCCGAAGGAAAGTCAGCAAATTGATCGAGTTTTGTCTGAGTTTAGCAAAGTATACTATGAACAAAATAAAGATGAGTGTCTCTGGAAAGATCATGAGGAGGTTTTTTTCATAGCATTTTCGCTGCTAGTACTGCACACTGATGCCTTCAACCCTAACAATAAAATCAAGATGACAAAGCAGGAATTTGTTAAGCTTATGCGTTACGATACAGGATCTGGGGCGTCACAAACCCCAAAGGAAATACTGGAATACTTTTACGATAATATCACAGCTCGAGAATTCTCGAAATGTGATTCCTTGGATCTTGGTGGTATCGATAATACAGCTGCTATAGATATTGATTCAGCAGCAGATCCAGAATCGGATTACTCTCCAAAGAAACTTATCAGAGATGGCAGGCTTTTGGCTTCTAATGGGACGGGTTTTGCTCCTGTTTGTAAAGTTGAAAGTGCCAACAATCTGAGCCCCTACGTATCTATGGGGCCCAGCAGCTCCTCAACCACTTCAATCGCAGCCTCATCGTCAAGAGCCGATTCCCTAGACATATACTTTCGCATCGCCAGTGACACATTGAAAACGGCGACATTGGAATCACAAGTGGAATTACCATCAAAGATCGAGGAAGCTGTTAGTGTGTCTGACTCTTTGAATTCTCAGCATTCAAAGTATCTTTCAATAATAAAAGAGACGAAAGGCGGGTACTTGCGGCTTCCGCACTCAATCTTAGATTCTCTCACCGACTCCCACTTCGAAGATTTGTCATCTGAGGATGAAGAAAGCGAGTTCCGTTACTTGAAAATTGTACAAATGGGGGACATTCAAGAGCTCGTTACTAATAAAAAGTTCTCAATTGTCGGTAATGTAAATCGGTTGATCTGGAAACGTCACTTTGGAATATTAACAACATCCTGTCTTCTACTTTTCAACAGTATGGATTGGGTCGAACCAAGGATTGAAGTCGACAAGAAAACAAGCGTGTCAAATTACATTATAGATTGTCCGATATCTATCCAAATTACTCATAAATTTGGTTGCAATGGTCTTTTCGCCATTGACAAGTTAAAATTAAGCGGTACTGACCTGGTTGGTTCCATGGTCCGTGACCATAGCTTGAGTTCGCGTTCCATGTATGTGTACAATCAGAACAGAAAGTTGACATTCGCATGCCCTAATTACCAAGAACGACAAAATTGGGTTGATGCTATTAATATTGCCGCGGCAGTTGACGGATGCTTCATAGAGATTGACGCGATACCATACACAGTTGTGAGTCCGCGAAGGTTTACCACGGTTGAGAAGTTGGAAAAACTGCAGAATAATTGGATACAGAGAGAAGAGAAGTTCAACCGTACTAAGACGCTTGTTAAATTTGTCCGTCGCACACTGCCTTTAAATAACAAAATTCGTTCCGCACTGGTAGAGTACATGTCACATCTGGAAAAACGTTTGGACTGGTTGCATTACGAATCCTGCAGATGTGTAGTCTTTTCTCAGATTTTGCAGATACTGAGCATAGATCTCGAAGATATGGCATACAATAGCGAGAGCGATAGTTCCGTTGAACAGAGTTTCTTCTTTAGTGAGGGTCTGGAACGTTGTAGGACTGATCATTCCGCCGATCAAGCCCGAGACACAAGCTTCAGCTCCGCCGGAATTCTAGCTGAGTACAAATAAATAGAAGGAACGAAATAACTCGATTCATACACTACGTAGCTCAATCCGTGCTACTCTTCTTCTCGTAATGACTATCGGTTTTGTTGCTGCCAACATTTAGAATCTTCGGACACCCGTCCCTACTTTTCTCTAGCCGGCAGCACTCCCAACAGTAAAAGGCGTCACTTGTACCCATCTGTCCACATACGATGCATCTTTTTTGATTGGCTCCGAACGCACACTGGTCACAGATCCGTACCTTAGACTTAGGTCTGACATATGAATCGCAAATGGGGCATTTTCCATCGCACTTGTCACACAACCGTCCCACAAAAGTACCAGGTTGTTTCAAACACATAACTAAGTCAAACTGATGGCGAGACATCACTTCAAAGTCTGTAAAAAAGCCTCGTTAGCACTCTTTTGAAAAGATATGCAAATCGCTTAAGTTTTCAAATCATAAAATTATAGATCAAGAAGGTTATCATAGTACCTATTTTGAGGAAACAATCACTTACCAGAGATACAGCAGGACATCTGGTCTAGCTCATATGAGTTGTGGCGATTGCCCCATCTGTCTGGAGCCTCTAGACTACGGTCGTAGTCGTTTGACAGAGTGTGGCCATGAATATCACTGGGATTGTATCAGGAAATGGCATCATCATTCGCAGGATCTAAAATGCCCTACGTGCAGAGCGGAATCGCACTTCTTGAAGAACGTGGACCAAAACCTAGTGGTAGATCTGAAGAAGAACAGCGCTGCTAATCGTGTTATTTCTGAGATCTCTGAGCAGGTTAGGCACCTTGCATTGGGAACTGAAGCCTCGCAACGGAGCTGGACTTTGAGTACGCTAGAGTGCGGAATCTGCGGTGCTTTGGACTCAGAAATTAACAGATATTGTACCCTTTGCTATTCTGCATATCATGAACAGTGTCTGAGGACGTTACAATTCGAAGTAGGCGATTTTAGTAGCCGCGTATACTGTTGTAACTGCCATGGAACTTTCAGAGATTCAGAGCCAGAAAGGGTTGGTAGCGCTAGTCATAGGACTGGTAGGCTTCGCAGACCAATTCGCTCTTCCCCTATCGCTGCCTCTGCCGTTCTTGGTGGCGGTGAATTCGAAGTGGACGAATCTTGGAAGTTATTATCTCAATTACAACAAGAATCTAGACTATTGGAACACAAACGGCAGATACAAAGCCATGTTCGCAAGGCTTTACATACACATTTCCAGCAATCTTTGGCTCAATCGCAATCTGTAAGTAAAGGACAATTTACCGATATTAACAAAACAGTTTCTCGACACCTGTATCGCATATCCGGTAACGTGTACCAGCCAGAAACAGTCAATTATGATTTAGAGGCACAGAAACTTATCATATGCGAACTTGCTAAAATTGGGAAGACGGACACGCATAACTTTATACACCTATAAACCAGATGAAGACGGATTCTTCTCCTCTACGCTCTTCTACCAGGTCTTTTGGGTCTGCTAAACTTGAGTTGGCCAGGTACGGGCTTTGTCACGTCCTGCACTGTCGACTCCGTCTGGTCTAACTGTGAAAGTTCGAGTTCATCAGAATTTCCAATCTCGGAAACTGAGGTTATAGCCAATTGATCCACCTCCGACAGATGTTTGATAAAGCCAGACTTGTTAGAGGCGTACAGCATGCGTTCTTTCACTTTGCTGCCGGAAGGACAACTGTATATGAAATGGAACTTGCCGTGGTTTTTGTAAATATTGTACGTTGGGTGGCCAGCTTTCAATAAAGTGGGGATGTCGGAAGATTTAGCGACGTTGCTTGTTTGTAGCACTTCCACTTCTTCTTTGACGAGGTCGATGGCAAAGATAACAAGATTATATCTTGTTAAGAGCTTGGGAATTGGCTCATCGCTTGAGATTTTGAATGACAGAGTGTGCGAGGTACCACCAGTTTGCGATACCAAAGGCTGTCCACCTCTTGTAGTCTCGAACTGTTGCTGTTGCGATATACTTGCACTGATCTGTTCCGCGTCTGTCAAGGGCGCAGTTTCTCTTGAGAAATCCGAGGTCCAAGAGCTAGGTGTCAATTCCTCGGGTGAAGAGAACAGTAACTGTTTGGATATATGATTGGACCCAATTTGTCTCAGAACGGTGTTCTTCGTGGAAGCATATAACATCTTAGCACGTACAGGAGATCTTTCGGGAACATACGACACGAAGACAATGCCCGAACCACCATGTATGAATATGTAAAACGGTTTACTTTCAGCAATAACAAATTCCCGAAGCTCTTCCAAGCTGGACAACACAGACTTCAGTTGAACCGCAGTATTATCCGGGGAAATTTCGGCGACGACCGCCTCGCCAGTAGATGCATTGTCAATCAAGAGAGCCACTTCACTCAAAAGAGACTCATTCGCAGTGATACCAGATTGGTTTGACATATCGGTCGGTGGTTGGTATCTATAGCATAGCTCTTTCGGGAGTAGGTGATATGTTTATGAACCACAGTCTAGTATCCGGGCCACGATAGCACAATATACGAAATTAAACACTTAATGCAGTTGAATCTTATGCCATAACGCAACGAGTTGGCAGTCTATTCGGCTCTGCATAGCTTCAGAGTAATTACGTTCCACACCGAGAATGCTCTGGGGGTATTTAAATAATAAAAGAAAGCCGTCGCGAGGTTTCAATTTAAAGCCCGGATATCAAGCAGATTAATTAAAATGAATGCTTAGTATAAAGGGTTGTACGTGCCTTGAAAGCTCAAAGATCAAAATATAAGATAATAAAATATACTAGAAGTGAAGAATCCTGTCCTTTAAATGTCCTGATGTGTTCCGTGAAATGAAAAAGGTTTGTTGAGCCGAGATTTCAAAAAAATTGAATAATACTAGCGACCAAATGCGAATTGTTATCGATACCAGTGCGCCATATTGTTTAACTTCTTGATCGGCGTTACATTAACATAAACTCTGCAACGGCAAAGCTGGGGCTTGCCATTTCCCAGAAGCCACTCTTACGGCGAAGAGCTCTTTTCAAAAGCCCTTTGCTGGTGTTGTAAGTAACGTTTTTGTGCATCGGTTTGCTGATGTGGTAGGACGATTGTGCATCTGTAAGCGCCAGCTTTCCGTCTGCGTCGCGAAAACACAGCCTTTTGAATTGAAAATCTGATTGGAAGAGCGTTTGTTGCGATGCGGGATTGGTGGTTTCTAAATCCTGAAAAAAATCCTCCAAACGAGGCTCGGCAGAAGCTGCTGACGATACTACTGGTGATTTCAATGGCGACTCCAGGTCGAAGTCATTGTGTGAAAGGTCGAGAGCCGAGTTCTGAGGGGCCACTGGCTCGTCGTGCTCGCATGAAACGGGAACTTCGCGCCAAAAATCAGTGTTTGTGCTGAGCGAGTCGTCTTTGTCCAGCAAGGACTCGATCTCAGAGGGGGCGTTCGACATGGATGTGCAGTTATTGAGATCCGCAAGTTCCGGATTTGAGTAGAATCGTCTGGGATATGACGGAAACGTAAGCTCGTCTTCTTCTAGCCACAAGGCGCCCGGCCCCGATTCTAATGCCATATGAGATGTAGCGATTTCTGCAGTCATGATTGCGATTGAAAAGTGTAGTGTAATGTAATGAATAAACACCGACTAGATTGGAAGTAGATCTAATAATAAGAACCGAATCAGATATTAGATATCAAGTTACCTTAGTTGTGTGTGGTAAGTTTTGAAAGGATGCGATACACTTGTAGCCTAGAGATTGCTGCTTTCTGTCCAATGATTTTCCAATAGAAAGAAAGACGTTGTTTGGGAGAGCTTTCAATGGGCTTTTATTACGCCATGTTGTCATCGCTAAAGGTAACAAATTTCATGCGATGAGCACGAAAAAGAAAAAAAGCGCAGAAAAAGGAACCTAAGCGACACGAAAAGACAAAAGTGACAAGAAGTATTCATGAGAGTAGATGGGCAACTAGAAAACTATCGGTGTGTGTGTGTCGCAGTAAGATAATAGTGCCTAGACGTTTTGTGGTTACCGCTTACCAACTTACTACTCTGCGCTTCCACTACCACCTTGGTGAAAGTTCTCACTGAGAGACACAGTAAGGGATTCCCCATAGTGTATATTCGGGATTACCCGGTCGGGTCCTACTACTAAGAACGCTCTGCCTAGCCATTCGATCCTAGGCAGAGCAGAGTACAGGCTGCTACGTCCTCGCACCGGATGCTTGAAGGTCTCAAGAACCATTTTTTGCGCCTTGCAGTAGCACGAAGAATCCGGAAAGACGCACTTTTCTTGCGAAGGTTCATTCGCCTAATGGTGACTACTACTCGCCAAGATGAATATAACTTTTCGCATACTACGTAATCTTCAACTGTTTGAACAGAATATAATTGTAAAGCCAGTATTCCAGCTCCACACAGCTGCGGGCGCGTCCGCGTGTATCTTTTGGATCGCCGAAGCTCAAAGCTCTTTTTTTTTCAGGCAACCTAGCCTTCATCTTCCGTTCTATCAGGCCTACTTAGCCTTCTCAACAGGCACTTTCTAATACCATCAACTGTAGCCCATTCAAAAAACTCTTTCTGGAGCACAGCGACAGTTTCTTGCAAAAGTGAGTTCGCACTGACGCTTACGTCAGAAGCGAAATATTGCGAAGCCCTAACACAGCTAAAAATTTTCACCTACGTTTAAGCTAACAGCAGCAGCTTCGCTCCGTACATCGACTATATAAAGAGCGCAAGGTTTTCACCTGATGGAAATTGAGCGAACTTGATTATTATTTCCAACCACGTCGAAATCCACACATTCTTCAGGTCCTCACCAGATGGTGAGGTCTTAAATTCGTTTTCCAACCGTGATTAAACCCATTTCAACCAATTGTTCCGACTGAATAGTTGTATTACTGTATGTCGACAACCTTGCATTATCGTTAAGTTTCAGCCTTGTATGAGTTGGATGAAGAAAGCGTGGAGATCGACTACTTCTGGCTCTGAGTGATGACCATTTCCGACCGGGCGGACATATTAAGTATTGCATAGCCACCTAGGTTTCGGCCTGGGTAGGCGCGCTCCCTGTGTACAATTTTTGGGGGTGTTGGCTGTGCGAGAATTGATGAGTGGTCGTGAGACAGCTGACGAGAGCCAGAAAGTCAAAAACAAGATGTGGGGTAGGAAATTCAAAAGAGTAAGGGCCTAGTCTCAGCAAGTCTTCCCATTTCACTCGCGCATCAGTAGATGCACTATCTTGTTTATGCTTCTTGTTTCCCATTTCAAGCACCAAGTGATGATCAACTATATTCACACTGTGTGATGCCCAGTTTAATTACTGGTTCGATGATCACAACCAAATAGAAAACTGATTTAATGACTCTGAATGGATGCTTAGAACGTAGTTATAAATGTAGAAGAACAGTCGTGTAGTGTAGAGATCAAGCTATGCTTCCTGATCTTGGCATTTTGGTTCGACTTGACACTTCAAAAAGGCAAAGGGGCATCTTTCACGAACTCCGAAACAATTCCTCCTTCAAGGAACGATCTTCTCATTTACAACTTATTTCAACTTGAGCATCATTGAGACAACAAGGGGCATTGGAGAATTGACGAGTATTAGATGATAAGTCTGTCTACCGTCTTGTTTATCTATCTCTTTGGTGGGTTGACGTTTCCTCTGGTCGTAGTATATGCATTGTTTATAGCCGCCCCAAACGCCAGAAAGGCGGCAGTACTAAGCCCTGAGATTCTGATTCCAGACGTGAGTCCTGACTTCAAAGTGGGTGCTTTCGAAGAAGCCAAGGGTGTGAAAGTGGTTAAGAAGGGCTGGCTCTCCGTCACAACAAAATACTACTACCATGCTACGGAATTGCAGGAATTAGAAGACAATGAGAATTTATCGAGCAGAGACAAATTGAAAAAAAAGCACCACTTCTATGCGCTTCTCAAACACGGAAACTTGTTTCTGTACAGAGATGACTCTGCGGATGCCAGCGTTGCTCACGTCATAGTGCTCAAAGACAGTTTCGTGTCACTATGGCCCAGAAACCCCCAAGCAGAAGCCCCGGACGGATCGCTGTACACAAAAAAAATGTGTATCGCAATCTTCAAAAACGGAATCGTTGGGATAAATGCAGACGGCCAATTGGAATTCGCAACGCAAGCTCAAGACTCCAAGCGCCTGGATCACTTTTTCTTGTATGTTTCCAACAATATTGAAAAAGAAGATTGGTATTTTGCACTCATTAATGCTTCAAAGGTATCGTTGCCCGACATATCACACAACCAAGAGCTCAATGCAAACGTTTCCGCCGAAACCGCACATTTTCCGACGCGAGACATGTTGTACTTAATTCAGACCTTAAATTCAAATGAGGGCCAGGCAACTACTAAATGGCTCAACGCTATCCTGGGACGGCTTTTCTTGGGCCTCCAGCAAACAGAGATGCTTTCCGAATATCTACGCGAACGGTTGTACAAGAAGTTGACCAAAATAAATAAGCCTGGTTTCTTGGACGATCTTGTTGTTGAAAGAGTTGATGCTGGGAATGCAGCTCCCATTTTTACACACCCATCACTAAAAGAAATCACCCCAAATGGACTAACAAAAGTCGGGTTTCAGTTGTTTTATAAGGGAAACTTATCGCTCATAATCTCAACCAAGGCCACTATTAACCTTGGATCTCGATTCAAGACTAGAGAAGTCACTCTTCAACTGTCCATAACTGTTAAAGAAATTACAGGGCCCATGCTAGTTATAATAAAACCACCTCCTTCCAATCGTATCTGGTACAGCTTTGAAACTGAACCGTACATAGATTTGGATGTTGAGCCAATCGTGAGCACAAAACAGCTCTCTTATAACATGGTAACGAATGCCATCAAAAGCAAATTTCGAGAGGCTATAAAAGAGTCACTAGTGATGCCATTCATGGATGATATACCTTTTCACAATACAACTAGTGAGTTTTACCGTGGAGGTGTTTGGGAACACGCAAAACCTTCAAATAATCGCAATGACCGAGATGACGAAGATGCCCATGCTCAAGAGGAAAAGAGAGGCTCTTGGTGTGAGCCTAAAGTGAACGACTCTCAAAGAGTCTCTACAGATGCCCATGAATCGCATTCAAGTTCTTCGTTAGGTTCTGGACTTGAAAACTATACGCTTGGGGGAACCAAGGAATCTGGTCCTGAGCCTACTTCGATCCGGCAAAGAACTTTGCAAAAAGTGGAAACTTTTAAGTCTAAATTGAAGACAAAGGCCGAGTCAATCGCGTCTAGCGCTGAATCAGATGAATCCGAAGAACATAACATGAAGTCAAGAAATTCATTTGAAAATCATGGCTTCCTGGATAGCGACGACACCAAAAATTCTAAGAATTACTTCAACGCTGGAATGAAGAAGGTAGGCAAGTGGTACAAAGGCAATGTCTCAAATTCCGTTTCTTCGAATGATGACGCTACCAATGACTTTAACGCAGAAACCCAAAGTGATTTGAGGATGATATCAAATCGTAGAACCCTTCCAAAGGCAAAAGAAAGGGAATTTTTAAAATCTCCTAAAATAGGCGGTAGGCGAACGTCAGATGCCGCAGAAATGTTCGCAAAAAGTAAACAAAGATCGACGTCTATTAACTCCTCCAAGGGGGCATCTATGGGCAACAACTATTCATTCTCTCACACGCCTCCGCATTCCCCCCTCTTGCCGAATACCTGGCCAAATCAAGAAACGAACGGGGACAACTCTTCAAATAATACCAAATCTCATGTAAATCATGGTGAGCAAGGTGAGCAACCATCCACAATTACACCAGAACCTGATAGCGAAGCTAAGGAGAGGGTAAGATTGGATATAGATAGTAAAGCGGCAGAAGGTAATGTGGCTAATGAAATTGTCGAGGATTACGTAGGCGGTAATGAGGCTGGAGAGCAGCAAGAATTTGAGAGGCCTGCTGTGGTGCAAAATTCGCAACGCGTTTGTTTGCAAGAGCTCAATAGAAGAAGACCAGTTCCGCCACTGCGTGCATATAATGAGCGCAACGTTGAGAAGGAACCGAAAGAGAAAATTTCACCAGCGCTTACGATAGACCAAATCTCAGCCGAAGTGACATCTGAATAATAAGTGATAAGATAAAACCTGAGCACATAGCAGTTCTCATTACGTTGCATTTCATTTCTCTAAAGAGTCGCACTGTCCAATTCTGGTGTCTAAATGCTACCAGAACGGTAACCACCCGATATACATTCTACTCAAATTTTCTTCAGATGTTGACTCTTGGGTAACAGTTTCGACCTGTCCCGCTATACTCAAAACTAGGCCGTCCCGCGAGTCTATACCCCTAATTTTGTTGCGTATAACTTTAAGCGCCTTGTGAAGTGAATGGTCCATATTCCTGTCATACATGATTGTTTCGATGATGTTGACCAGAGCAACTTCATTGTCCCTCATCAACTCTAGAGTCACTTGGCTAGATCTTTTGAAGGTACCTTCAGTTCCAGATATTCCTAATGCATCTTCAAGATTTTGGGTTAGTCTGAAGGGAACAATTTCGGGAATGGGTAGTCTTTTCCCTTTCTCGAATAAGCAATCAAAATCGACGTGGAGTACTTTCCCAGTTTCGACATCTAGCAAAATGTTCTCACAATGACGATCTCCCAACCCCAGTATATGGCCCACCATTGCCATTACAGCATAGGATCTAGAAAACGTGTTTCTAGCTTTGTACCATGCAATAGCGTCAGGAAAAGTCTCTAGAAACCATTCGTAAAGCACGGGAGGAAACTTCGCACAGAGGTCTTTGAAGAACCCAAGTTTTTGGTCATCTGGTAGTGTTTGCCACTTATCGTGAAGCGACTTCAAGCTGTATTTTATTTTCATGCCATCGTATTTTGTAACTAGAATTGACCTCAAAGTTGTCACATTTGGAACAATTTCAATCAAGCCACAATCTTCTCGTAGGGACACAATTGCATACGTTGTTATTCCCAAGTTTCTTTTCCTCGAAGCCAAATCCTTGCTTAGCAGGAAGTCCATCGTTGTCGAAAACTGCATATATTGATTATCTTGTCGCACGTCTTCTTTCTTGCACATAATACCATATATCTTTCCATCGGAACCAACGAAATTTAGCTTCTTAGGCTTTTTCAAGGAAGAATAAACCTTGTACGATGAACCAATTTTTGCAATGGTTATTAAGCGGCCAAACGGCTGGAACTTTGCCAAGCTTTCCGATGATGTCGGAGTGAGCATCTCCAAATTGGCGTTGACAGGGACAGTCATAGGGCAAGGCGCTAACTTAAGATTGAAATCAAAGTCCTTATCTAAAGACCTTCCAGACCTACTATTTGATGACTTGACATCTTTCATGCATACATTTGTCAAATGTTTGACTAAATCATCAGAGTAACTCAGGAGCTCGTTAGGATCTGGGAAATTTTGCCTGAACTGCTCAACTATGTGTTTTCCAACAGATAGTCTAGTCGAAGAAGTCGAGTTCAATAATACCGATAAGTACCACAAGATATGAGATGGGTATTCGATTGCCAAATTGAGCAGAATTTGCATCATAAGTTGTACTGACGCTTTGTGAGAATGCAGGAGGCGCGATAATATCTGCGTCAAAACCGAGTACCAGATATAAGTCGGGCAGTTCTTTATAGCAATTTCCATTCTTTTACAAATCTCTTCGACTGATCTCTTCAGACTGTCCTTTCTCCCAGCATTTGTTTCGCTTGATAACAAATTTGCAGTATCAAGCCAAAATGTTACAACTTTGGGCAATGCTTCTCGTGTTCTCGTCGTATCTTTCTCGAATGAAAGAAGAAAGAAGGATATAGATTTGGTCTCGAACCTACCATTAGAAATGTATCCTTCAGCGCTGCGCCTCTCCAAAAGTCTGCTAAAGTAAAGGCCAAGAGAATAATATGGCTCACTCCAGCCAGGATCTAGACGAATCACGTCATTATATTGCTTTATGATTTGCTCAGAAATGGAATTGTTGGATAGATCTAGCCACTCGGTGTATTTCAAAAAAACTTTGGCACGTTCTCGTGGTTCTAAACCCTCCTTATTATTCATCTTTTGATGAATTTCGCCCACCAGCTTGATTGCTTTGTCATTCTCACCTTGGTTCCATAACACCTCAGCATACTCTAAATCTGCTGATGGATATTCGTAAATTAAAGCATGAATAAGAGCGCCGCTGGCCAAGTCTGCTCTAGAATTTATCCTTGCATTCTGGGCAAGTTTGAAAAAATTCTCAGCCAATGTTGTGCTGCCGGCCTCATTACACTTCAAAAGATTGTAAGACTTCTGGATAGACAACAGGAAGTGGCGAGGTTCGAAGTCGGCGCCGACGTTTTCCAGACGCTTGTCTAATACTTGGTTACCTGCTACTACTTGAAATGATAGTGATGGGTCTGAAACAATCCAAAGATCTCTGATGGCGTGTAATCGCAAAACGATATCCCGTATTTTGAGAAGTGTAGTGTTGACAGATAAAGTTGAAAATTTGGCGCCGATGAGTTTATGGCACCGCTGGGTATACGTCATCGCCTCATCTCTCTCGTTTTGGCACAGTGACATCAATACTTTGCTAAAGTTGTAATGAAGAAGAGTCATTGGATCGCTGATCTGCTCGAAACTCTCTATTATTCGTATCCACCTTTTGAGGTTATCATGTTGTCCGCTGAGATATGCGCTCTCAATTCCCATACTTATCCATTCTACAGGATATTCGTTTGCTTGCGAAGTTTGGCTTGGCACCAAGGTAACTAATTTGGCAACAACCTGATCGTACTGCTGATGGTTGTACATTGACTTTAGCATTTTCGTATTTCCAGAAATACAAAGTCCTTCGTATTTCTTTGTTGGTTCGGTAATCCTTCCCAGCGCCTCAAAGCACTGCTGTGCCATGCCCCAATTATGAGAGTACTGCAATTCCTCTATTTTAGATGCCACACTTCCGGTAGAGAAAATCTTTAGCACACCTTCTACTGAGTCAATATCACCAATTTCTGCGTATGTTGTCTGCAAATATGAAAGAAGTTTGTCATTTCCAAAGTATTCTCTGTCTTTCACTCGATAGGACTGCTCTAGATAAAGGGCGGATCTTTCGAACGAATCTGTTTCCAGTGACCTTTGAGCCATCAGCCCAAATGGAGCCATTTCTAAGAAGTCATTAATCCTGTGAATCATTTTCAAATATTTATTCTCACGAATCGTAAAAGTTCCATGTTTCCTGCTGTAAGATTGGTTGAATTGTGTGATCCACTTCTTGCAATACTCAAGCACTTTGAAAACAATTTCATAGCATAACTTTATTGAATCAAGTTGATAATGGTTAAGCGATGATAGGTCGAACTCAAAGATATAAGTAAATTCAGCTTTCAGATTTTTAGCATAATCACAATAGGAGGTTTCTTCCTCTGCTTTGATGAGAATATCTATGACAATGTATGGAAGCAAATTTTCTGACAGAAAACCATCATCCTCTCTAATCAGAGAGGAGAAAACATGAAGAGGGTGAGATTCGTCAGTGCCCGTTTTTAAAAGATCGAGCGTTAGATTCTTCAGCCATGTCCTATATCCAACTTTAGGATTGAATGAAGGATATCTTATAGGTGAATACTCCTTCCATGACTGGGCCATATACAAAGAAGATCGCAAGGGATAAAGTGTGGTTTTGGCAATGTCATTAAACCTACCCCAAAGTCTTGTCTCATGAGGATAAAGCTCAGGCTTCTGAATGTCCCAGGAAGATGAGCTTAACCCACAAAATTTCAAAGACTCTTGCATTACCAATGCAACAAACAACTGCTTGGTCGGATTTTCGCTTTCCCAGAAAGCAGGGACTAAAATGTCATTAGTGATGTTTATGAGAAATTTCACGGTTTGTGCGTGGTCACCAAAGTCGAAAACGTCGCGAATATGCGCCGAAGATCTTGGCAATTGATGTTTTGTAACATCTAAAACACCGATTACCCCAATTATGGCAGTACATTCTCGACACAGGTCGAGGTCTTCGCTTCGAAATCTATAACATGTATCGAGAAGACTTCCTAGCAGAATTGAGATATCTGCCTTAGATGCTCCATTCGATGTCGATTGGAGCAGGCTTTCTAATTGCTTCTTTAGCAAAAGAGATTTTACGTCCTTAAGAATCTGGCGAACCAAATATTTGTTTTTGCTCTTCAAATTGTTGGCATACTCTGTAAACCAATCAGTGGTGTAAAGGGCTCTGTTCACAAGTCTAGCAAAGGATCTATTATCTTCCAAAATATTCAACTCAGTCATATTCACTAAGGCTAAGGTAATGTATGGCCTTGAGTTCAAAACTAGCTCTCTTTTGTCGTTTATGAGAACCCCCAGTATATCATTTAGGGTCTTCTTTACTTTAACACTGAACGTTGTCCATTTTTGAAGCGTGAACGGAACAAAACTGTCTACGACAGTGGAAAGTTGCTCCTGTGTGAGTCTTTTTATCAAATCTAGCCAACATTTGAAAGCATTATCTTGAATTTCAGGAACCTCCTGGCCACTTTGTAGACAAATGCTTATTTGGGCCAAAGCCGATATAAGGCATTCCGAGGAAGCATGTATAATTAGAAAGTGTATTCCGTTTATAACTCTCAATTTTTCGAAGTAAGTGGTGCGCCCCTCAACATCATGCATGTCGCTCGAGAATACCTGAAAGATACCCAATATGTTGTCCTGCAACTTTTTTTGAAACTTTATATCATTATCATTCGACCACTCGGATAACAATTTATGTTTTGATGCGCGGCGCTTTCCAATATCATATCTGTTGAAAAGGAATCGAAGTGCGCAAAGAACCATGTTGTCATTGTCCTTCTGGTGGTGCTCATTGGTATCATAATTCTTGTAAAGCTTCAGAATTTCTGCAAGGGTTTTGTAATCAGGCAAGTAAGCTGCCACGTAAGACCTATCGAAAGTAGGTAGACAATTAACAAAAAGCGACTCTAATGTGTCAATGGAAAAAAACCCGTGCTTTACAAGTGCGACTGCAAATATCTGACGACTATTTTTGCTCAAGAGGCGGTCTTTTTGAATAGACAGTTCATTGGGTTCGTAATCACACAAAATACTCGAAATCTCAGTAATTACGTCATCCTTATACTGTGTTATAGCGTAAGGTACAATGTATTTCTGGAAATTCTCAAGGATTGTTTTCGAAGGATACTCAACAAAATCAGCAAGCCTTTGAAGGGACAGCTTTTTCTCCTTGATATTTTTACCAATTTGCTTCAAAATTAGAGGCAAAATAGGTGACAACAGTCGGTACGGCGTCGCTTTTTTCAGCCATGAAATGTAGCGTAGTTGATGTGTCATCATGCAGCGCTCAGCAAAGTTTGTGGAATTGAAAATATCGACCAACTTGACAAGCAGCGGGTCAAAGCTATCACCTCGAGTAGTGAGTGTCAATCGGACCCATGACATCAACACTGTCTCTGTTAGAGAGTGCGTAGAGATGTTTTGAAGAAGCTCAATAAGAAAGGTGGTTTGTCGATCTTCGAAATCATGCGCCGATGAGTTGTTTGTAGAAGACATCAATGGAACTGCCAATAGTCTGAGATATCTGTTTGGTATCGAGAAAACGCGTTTGACAAAGTTAAACGTTTCTGATGTACCAAGCGCGGAATTGTCGTTCACAATCAATTCTGGCGGTTGAAAATGCATGAAGATTCTCCGCAGAGCAATAATTATGGCGCCAAGAAGCGACTCGCCAAAATCATTTAGGTGCTGATTTTTTACGAAATGTTTCGACATTATTTTGAAAGCTCTACTCTTTGTGGAAGCGTCAGGCCTCAACAAGTTGTATGAGTTAAAAGACTTACTCGGCAAAGAGTTGTCGCACAAAAAACAATGTTGCCATGGTTTTTCTTCAATGGTGGTCGCATCAAGCTCAAAACACGCAAGTTTACCCAGTAAACGGATGGAGTGCACAAGAGCTTGAAAATTCTTTTGCTTGAAGGCCTTGTCAATCTTGGTGTCTAGTTCAAAAAAAATAACTTCAGGCGACTTGACATCGGAAGAAAAGCCTACGGCAGCTAAATCTGCAAGATCCAGATCTGAACGCTCAGCTCGGAAAGCATTCAATACTGCCTTTCTTAATAATTCTAGTTGTCGGCTATGGGGAAAGGGTGTTAGTGCGGCAGCTTGTAGACTTTGATACTTTTCTCCTCCAAACAGAACGATACCCTCAACTTGAACTAGTTCACTGCTGGCGGCAATTCTCCTCTTTCTATCGAAGGTGATCAACAATGCCGCCCTCTGAGTAAATGATTCTTGGTTTGCATCGCAATACCGATCAAAAGACATGATATCGAAAAATATTTGTGCTGCTGAAGGTTGTGCGGTGGCTATTAAGTAAAGCCTTATTAAAGTTTTGGCGAGACAAGCGTCATTTTCAGGCAGCAAGTCGTGTGTGTGTGCTAACATGAAACTCGATATTGTTTCGAGGGAAAATCTGAGGGGTGCATCTGTGGAAGGAGCACGTCGCAGGTGCACATGCTTGGTGCCTCGATTTATGGCATAGCTGGCGACAAGCGTAAGGTATCTTGTTTGCAGTTCTTGCAGTACAACATGCTCAACCGTCACCGAATCAAGCACGTAATATACGACTCTTACAAGCCTCTGGAAGTAATTATCCCATTTGCTGCTTTCCAAGGCTGTGTTCAATAGTGGGGTACTAATTTGAAGCTCTGGTTGGCTACACCAGTCGCAAAGGATATAGATTTTCCTGCACGCTTCTGTAAATTCAATCTCATCTTGAGAGCTACTGAAGACACTTGTTATTTGGGCCTCGAGCCTAGTAAGCTGGCCAAATATAAATCCAGATATCAGGGTTTTGGATTCGAGGTCCGTCAAATTAGAGTAAATATTACACCAGCGCCCTATTTTCTGCTTTACGGTCCACAGAAATGTCGGTGATCCCCACTGGATACACGAAACTTTTATGAATTGGGTAAGAATCCAAATAATACCTACTTCCTCGGTTTTGTCTGGAACCCCCATTGAGAGAAACAAAAGATACGGCTTTCTTCGTAGGAGCAGGTCTAATGCTTCCAAAGATCTGGCAAAAATGCTGGAAGATAACCGTGGGGTCACCAAATTTTTCAGAAGAATATCGATCACTTTCATTGATTTTAGGTCGGTGGTCATCGAGGATCTCGGCGGGAAAGAATCAAAAGTTACATTCTCCTCCGCTGAACTCTTGATGGCAAGGATCAACTCGTCTAAATACTTAACACGAGACTCCATGCCGTTGAAGAACTTTCCAAATTGTTAGGGTATCAACACACATTTACTACTCTGGTGTCTTGATTCTTTAGTAAGTTGAGACACGAAACGAGAGGAATCATTAAAGCACAATTTAAAAATCACTGCACACGTAACAGTACTACTGGCTGAGATAAAAGGACGTACATGCACAAACTGCAATGAGTGAACAGTCACCGCAACCAATGCGCTTATCTTATCAAATTGAAGTAGCTATACACCACATTTCTTATAGTTTCTACTATATACAAATTTTTAGGTACCTGCCAATGCGCACATTGGCGTACGCTTGATGATCTACATGAAAACTGTTTAGAGCATGACAATCGGCATTGGTTTTCAAGAGCAGCAATACAGCTAGAAACTTTATGCCAAATATTCTTTTAAGACATGTCTAGTCTATAGAATTACACGCTGCGTGCATTTGAACTCCATTCACAAATCTTGCACCAGCATTAAACGATTCTTGAATTAGTTATAGCGTGCATAAGAACAGTAGTCCGCCAGCTCAAGTCTTTGAGAATTACTGAATGCATGAACTGCTTGAGGACTAGCCGCATCAGGCTCGCCCAGCCCCTTGAATTTTAGTACGGACTTGTAAATTGAACAACACTGTGAAACATCTTGAGCCTGTGTGCCATTGAAACTTCTCCTCCCAGTCCTTCATGAGCAATATGTAACTTTTTGCTAGTCGACGAAAATTGGTTTAACTGACCTTTTGGCTCTCTCAAGCGAACAAGGTATTATTGAAAGAGACTCAAACATCCAGGCCCTTTCATAACCAGAAAATAGTAATTTAATGACTCTTTTTCAGGATAGCTGTTGAAATACTACTGGTGCCCTTTTTCCACGCTAAAAAATTTCTTCTGTCATCGTTTCTCTCTTTAACGATTTAATCGCTTCACCTTCACCTCTTCTGCGTACTAATTACACAATGCTCCCCACGTTTGCTTACAACTGGCGTTTGAACAACAAGATGTGCGGTTCTGGGGCGTGACATTCATAGTGTTCCCAACCCAAGGACTGTGTAACCCCAATCCCACGCCATTCGTCCTCTGTAAGAATCCTCAGCGTTCCCGTCTCCGAATTGAAATAGTCCGATGGAATCGCTTTCAGCATTGCCTTAGGAAGCATTACATGACGATATTCATGCGTATCGTCTGAGTACCTGGGTGAGTAATGGATAGTATCCTGGAACTCTAAAACTCGCGCCCTCTCCTGTTCCGACAGTTTTCTGCCCTGGAAAGCGTGGCCGTGTTGATACATGTCTCAAACCCGCCTTGAAAGCTGTATCTATTTGTTGACCCAGTACTATGAGGATGTCAACCGTTTGACGATTTTTTGAAAGAAAAAAAGCATGAAGTCTCGAAAGAAATCGACTGAAAAATGTGTCAACGGCTGAAGGATCAAAGGTTGGAAACATTACACGGATGTTGAGATAGCTAGATACAACAACGAAGGAAGTGTACGCTACCTCCCTCTATAGGGTTTGTTTATTTCTTGGGGGTTGGCTAAATAAGGGAAACAGGTGAAATAATTTCTTGAAGTTGATAGATGACGCACCAACGGGGACTGAAGATTGAAACTAGCTGTTAATTGACTATTCGCTTTATCGATGTAGACCGTAGCATGACGTTGATAATATACGACGAAATTAAAAATAGCAATCAGCAATACAAATGGAAGGCACCTTTGGCGTCCAAAACATAGATATATAAACGGTGATGATGCTCGCTCACAAGGAAATTACTACGAACCGTGTCCATGGATGGAAGTGAAGTCAACTTCTTTGAGAACTAAATTTTAATTGTGAAACCTTTCCAATAGGCTGTACGCATCGCAGCTCAGACAATGGATTGGGTGGGTTCCATAGTTTTCATATCGAAAAAGCCTTCAAATACGGTTTTTCAGTTCTTTGTAATTTAGTGTTGTGGCAGGAACACTCTTCCTGTAGGACCATATAATAGGTGGCTATTTTTTTATTGGCAATGTGTCAGTACACCGAACGCTTGCAGAAATCAACATAGAATTTGAGCTCGGCTCATCCCCGCCTTTATAGTTTCCTCAAGTACACAGCTTGAGCAAGGAAAACCAAGTGCACTTACCGGCGATGAAGGTTACGTAGTGGTCATAATGCTTATCATGCTGGCGTCACTATAGTATAAAGTGATAGGAATGACCATCAACAAATACGTGAAAGTGATAGGTAGGTCATCACCGCGCTTTTTTATACAAATACTGAGCCTTCCAATGCAAGAATGATATACAGCTTTTCCCAATAAAACACACTACTACACTTGAAATCTCTTCTACCAACCCTTAACTTAGAAGAAGTTGAAAGATGTAAAAACATTATTTTCGTTTGGAAACCAGCAAAGAGGTAAGATATAACAACGGAAAATGGGTTGCTCACCGTACACAGAACTCAGGGTGTCAAATGCACGTCTTACAGAGCTTGTCATTATAATTTCGCCTGACGCTTGTATACATCTAACAGACCGACAGCAGTATAGTCACGTGATACGAGCGGCTTCCAAAAGGTAAACAATAAAAGCTGAAAAATCAGATCAAACAAAAAAACCCTGTCTCGAGTTGCATACTAGAGAATTACGACCGACTTGTTTGCTAATTTGAGTTACCAAAGGTATGAAAAGTAATGTTTATGTAGGTCTTAAGCCGGTATTAGGTTCAGTGACATCTGGAAACGAGCCGCAGGAAGACCGATACGACTACGTGCTGCATCCAATCACGAATAGCAGGTACCGTGACCGAGTTAAATTAGCATTCCATGAGCATAGACAGTTGGACCAGAAAGGCGTTCAAGCCGTGCTCAAAGTACCCGAGCCGCAGCTTCAGGAGTTGTGCCTGCCACCTGCCGCCGCAAACGCCACATCGCCCGGTTTTATTGGTTTGTTGGCGTCGTGGGTCGACCTGGAAAGTGCAGATGCCGATGTCCAGGAGCTCAGCTACCAAGTGTTGTCCAACGAATGGCGCTACGCCACGTTTGTAGGCGTTAAGCAGTTGATCCTGGCGCCACCTAAAAACCTTACCTGTCTAAACCGCTATGCTCTTATGGTTGCGCGGTTGCTGTACCAGTGCAGCAACCACGAGAGCAGCAATACCCCGGTTCTCTCAATATCTCTGCCATTTTTTGAGGACTCCGATCCACTGTCTACTTGGGAGCTTTGGTGCACCGTTCGCAAAATATGTTCGTACCACCCGAGCCTGACAATATCTCTGGCGCTTCCGCGGGACAGAACGCCCTCCCATGTCTTACAGCGGTGGCTAGCAGAACCAGTCACTTGTCTTTTGGTATCATCTTCCATATTCGCGACAAACCAATACAATTATCCAGTTCTCAACAAATTCAACCAACAAATCATTTTTGAGTTTCAAAAAGTCAACGGCTGTTCGCAATCAAGGCTGTCTGAACTGTGCGTTATTCTACACGGCGTTGAAAAATATGCTTTCAAAGTTGAAGGAGGTGAAGCTGCGTACCTGGAATATATTAATTACCTGCTCAAGAGGGGTGATAAGGTCATGCTCACAGATCCAGATGCGCACACATTTTCAGAGCCGCGTGTGATGCCACCGCTAGACCCTTACTCTACTGACATTTCGAATGCGGTATATCATACGTTTGAACAGGACAAAACAAAATACGAACTTTACGGACAAGCTATAACCAGAGCGCTCAAAAGCATACAGATGAATCGGACAGCATCCATAATCAAAGGCAGTTCTCCTTTAATAATTCTCGTTGCCGGCGCTGGAAGAGGTCCGCTAGTTGACGAAACATACAAAGCCGTTTCTGAGCTTAAAATATCTAATTACCAGATTATTGCACTTGAGAAAAGTTCCCGCGCCGTCCTCTATCTTCAGAAACGCAAATACGAGTACTGGAAAGATTCTGTGGAGATAGTCAAAGACGACATTTGCCTGTGGCGTAGCAATAAGAAAGTGGATCTTTGCATAAGCGAGTTACTAGGTTCATTCGGATGTAATGAACTCTCTCCAGAGTGCCTCTCGAGTTTAGAGCGATACAACTGTAAGCCTAACACAGTTTTCATACCGCAAAAATACTCCTCCTATATTGCACCTGTATCCGCTCCACTACTGTACCAAAGCCTCAAAACCGTCAATGTTCCCAACGCATTCGAAAGACCTTGGGTCATTCACAACATTCCATATTGCATAATTTCGACAAAGATAAATGAAACTTGGTCGTTCCAACACCCATTAGCATCTTCTCAGTTGAGTAGATCAACCATAACTGATTTCAAAATAAAGAACAAGGGTGAGATCCATGGTCTGATTGGATTTTTCAAAGCCACTCTGTATGATGACATTTGCTTGTCGATTTTACCTAATAATTCAACGGTTAAACTTGCCGATACGGGAACCGCCGGACCCGAAAGCACTTCGGGACTGTACGTGAAGGGTGAACATACCCCAAATATGGCCTCTTGGTCACCTATTGTTTTTCCCCTCAAGCAACCCTTTTTCATCTCAGATGACACCGAGTTGGAGGTTTTCATGACCCGTAACAACAGCTATACTAACAAAAAATTTTGGTACGAATGGTCAGCTAGCTCGTTTGTGTACTTGGTAATGTCTGACCGCCATACTCAATCTGCAAAATCATTGGAGAAGTTGGGGGCATCCAGCGCTCAACAAATTTCACGACAAAATAGTAATCACTATTCATCACCGCCTGCTGCCGGCCTCCAGAAGGCATTTGGTCAATTTCAACCATCGCCCAATATTTTACCGGAGGCGATACAAAATGCAAACAATGACGATAACGACATGTTCGAATTCTCTGGGAGTGAAAGTGGTTTTATGGGCAGCCATCAAAGTGGCTGGAAAAGTGTACAGGACATTCACGGGCTTGGCTTGAAAAACGCACCTGTGTTTGATCTCCATCAATCGCCGCATGATTCCATTATCGGAGAAAGTTCTGCACTCGAAGAATACCACGTCAGAGTCAAAACTGGTGTTTCTGAAATGCAGAATGTTGGCGGCCAATCTTACTCCATAACCCTGCGTTGACATTTACTTAAGGCAACAACGGGAAGCGCGAAAAATTAAACAAAATTGCATCTTACTCTATCAATATGTATAGAATAACACCTAGAAAGCCCAAAAAGATTAATTGACAAGTAATATTTATTTTATCACCAAGGGTTTTCCTCCATATCGTTAGTGATTGCCCAGAGTGGACGCTGTGCTGCAGATGATGGTGCGTTGAGCTTTCGAAACAACTCATCGCCATTTCCACCTTCAAATGTTGCTTTCTCTCTCTCCTCATCGTCAGCGTTCCCACCTTCAGTGGCTGGTCTAAATTGCTCTTTTTCTGACTTTCTGACTCTAATGTTTTGCTCATGTATTTCGTCCACATCATCTTGAATGTCAAGTGGTACAATAGGTAAAAGTTCGTTACTATCTTCATGCTGGGTATACATGTCAATGAGTTCTGTGATTGTAGGGAGTGTCAAAGAGCAGATCGGCTTTTCTGGTAAATTTGTATCTGTTTCTTCCCTTTCGTGGCACATCAACGACAGTTTCTTTCTCAATTTTGAAGCGAACTTCTCTTCATCAATTTCGTATCTATACTTCCCAATAGATTTGTAAAGCTGTAAAGGCGTGAGTAAATTTAAAATGGTCATAGTGGATTCAAGACTATCTTCATCTTCAAGAGAAGTTGCCACCTGTAGCCACTGCAACAACTGCATGCATGGCTCCATATGAATCTTTGAGATTTGGTAAAACGATTGATAGAAGAACAAAGAGTTGTTCATATCCTCAGTATGATCTCCTTTTATGGGCTTGTAAAATGTTACGTTTCGAAGCTCAAATGGCTTTTGAGTTCTATCAATGTCACTCAGACTTAAAATCAAAGTGTGAGGAAATCTTTGCCACATGAACTCGTCAATCATTTCAGGTAAGGGAGCCTTAAAATTATGGTTTTTGATCCAATCTTGTATCACCGATAAATTCAATCTTATTTGGATAGCGTGCGCTCTTGACAGCGATTTCTTCTTGTTATCCATGATTTTGTTGAAAAGCTTGACCGAAAACCACTGTACTGCGAGAGATAAGCACTGTTGGGCTAACAAAGGGTGGACTTGATGAAGATCCAATACGTAAGTTAGGGCTCCGAATATTTGTACGGTCTTTAGCGGTGAAGGCTTCATTTGCTCATCAAGGGAAGGTGGGTAAAGCATCAACAATATTTGATCGTAGGAATCGCGACCATCATTTTTTCGCTGACGTTGCTTCCTCTTCTTTAACAAATTCCAGTCTTTTTTGTACAGTGTTTCCCTAACTTGAGCAATCGTCGTGTGTTCAAGAATTGTAGAATCCAAGAGAGGTTCTATTCGAGAGTGAATGGAAGCATTCAGTTCTATAATTAGTGAACGCATCCCATCTATGAGTTCTTGCAATATCGATGGATACCTTTTGTAAAAACCTTCTTGACGATACAGGTAATAATAGAGAAAATTGAGACTTGAGAGCCAATATGACTGCAAAACAATGTCACCAGTTTGGTTACTCACAACACCACCAGATGTTGTTGTTATGGACGCGAGTATCTTCACTAGCGACAGATGCGCAATGCTCTCCACGAGAGAAACACTCTCTTTATTATAATCCGCGTATCTTATGCATTGAAAAATTATTGCAGCTGGTATGCATGTTTTATGAGGCTTTTTGAATGGCATAGAAATTACAAGCTCGAGCAATCGCGGTATGTCGTAATCTGAAAATTCAATAAACTGCCCAGGCAAAATATGATCGAAGTCGAAATTCTGTAGCTCATCTTGTGAATCTGGATGACTCGTAGTATAAAGAGCTCCTGAATTTTCATCGATGTCATAGTTGGTTGAAAGAGGATCACCATTGAGGCTCAATCCAGCAGTTTGCAAATCGATCTGATCTATAGTTTGATCAACATCAGTTGTTCCAAAGGCCGACTTCGAAGCTTTGTACAGGTCGTTAGTGCTACCATCAGATATCTTGCCCAGCTGAAACAGCCCGTGGTCTTTTGAAAACTCATACATGGCCGTTCCCGGGACTAGAAGTTCAAGGGCCGTAGAACCACCTGGATTTTTATAGCCAATATCCAGCTCTTCGGCGAAATTGAGAAGCTCCAGAGCACATTGCTGCCTATTGAGGTTGAAGCACCATGTAAGCGGTGAATTCAAATAAAGGTTGTCTGGTAGGTTCGGGTCTAGTTTACCAGATCCGTGTAGCAATTCTATGTATGAAGGTCGGTCGAAGACAATGCAGTAAATGAGTAAAGTTACTCCAGTAACTTCCCGGTTGTTAATATCGTCTATCTTTTCCAGTAGTGGTAGGAAATCAGAATCGTCTTGCTCATCATCACCAATCAAGAGTGCAAGCTTTTCCCACGGTTGATCTGCGATATTAAGATTTTTCAGTGTATCTCGTACTCTGAGAGACTTGAGATCAATGTTCGAATGCTCTTCGCCTCCAGATTGTTCTGTTAGCCCCCAAGGATCGCTCAAGAACTCCATGTTTCTTACGCAGTTTTGCGTTCCTTAATTAAAAAGTTAAATAGATTATTAGATTAATTAGTGAAGCTTTAACAATTACCGTGTAAAAACATTGACGAGATATAGATCGATACACTTCATCATAAAAATACAATAAAGCTTGCTTGCGCTACTGGTATATTTTATAGGAAAAACTACAAGGTTAAGGTTTCATTGTATCGTGATATTTTTAAAACGCAAGAAGGTCTGTTCCCAGCTCTTAAGGTTACATTCGTTAAGGGATGTTTCTCGTGAAACAGCCGCCATCGATGCAGTTGAAAAAGGCTGACGTGGGATATCAACTAGTGAAGACTACTTCTATGGCCGAAAGCCAAGTTTGCAGTGAATTTGATCTTACGCTGGCAGAGTCCTCAAACCAAGCCAGTGACAATATTAATGCGACACACCGCAAACTTCACCATAGACATGTTCTGCTGATAGGTATTTCGGGGGTCATAGGAACAGCACTTTTCGTGAGCATTGGGAAAGCTTTGTATCATGGAGGCTCGGTGTTTCTACTGCTTGGCATGGCTCTATGGTGCATACCGATTCTGTGCATCACCGTGTCAACCGCTGAAATGGTGTGTTACTTACCACTGGACTCCCCCTTTTTAAGAATTGCATCAAGGTGTGTAGATGACTCCATGGCCGTAATGGCAGGTTGGAACTTTTGGTTTTTGGAATGCGTTCAAATTCCTTTCGAGATCGTTGCTGTCAACACCATAATACACTATTGGAGAGACGACTACTCTGCCGCGATCCCCTTAGTTATTCAAGTTGCACTGTATTTTGCTATAAGCATTTTTGCAGTGCGATACTATGGCGAAATGGAATTCTGGCTTGCAAGTTTCAAGATTTTTCTGGCAGCAGGGCTGTTCATATTTACATTTGTCGCAATGCTTGGAGGCAATCCCAAAAAAGATCGCTTTGGATTTCGTAATTTTGTCGATGCTCCCTTCAAAGAGTATTTCCCGACGGGCAAGAACGACGACGATTCCTCGCTCGGCCTCTTCCAAGGATTTTTGGCCTGCCTCATCCAAGCAAGCTTCACTATTGCGGGTCCCGATTATGTTGCGATGATTGCGGGAGAGACAAAAACACCCCGTAAAGTTTTACCAATAGCGTTCAAACACGTCTTTAATAGACTCACGCTGCTATTTTTGGGAAGCAGCTTGTGTGTCGGTATATTATGCAGTGCTAACGATCCTAACTTGACTGCAGCTATTGATGAAGCGCGGCCAGGAGCCGGCTCCTCTCCCTACGTCATTGCAATGAAGAACTTAGGCATAAAGACGCTCCCTGACGTAGTAAATGCAGCACTAATTACTGCAGCATTTTCCGCTGGTAACGCATATACGTTTTGCTCATCGAGAATTTTACATGGGCTAGCTTTGGATGGTAACGCTCCCAGGATCTTCAAAAAATGCAATCGGCATGGCGTTCCAATTTATGCAGTGGCAGTTTCTTTACTTTGGGCGTTGCTAAGTCTTTTGCAACTAAATTCGAACAGTGCCATTGTGTTAAATTGGTTGATAAACCTGATCACAGCTTCCCAACTGATAAATTTCGCATGTCTATGCGTAATATATCTGTATTTTCGACGAGCTTACCGGGCTCAGAAGGCTAAGTTGCCACAGCTGCCGTTCAGATCGTGGGGACAGCCCTATACTGCACTGGTAGGGCTTGTCTCTGTGTTGTTAATGACCCTAGTACAAGGCTACTCTGTATTTTATCCATCACTGTGGCAGGTTAAAGACTTTTTGTTCTGCTACTTAATGCTATTTGTAGATGCAGGCATATACTTGGTGCACAAGTTTGTCATAAGCAAGGGTCGGTCGTGGCCTCGGGATCCTAGAGATGTGGACTTGGTAACCGGGCTGTTAGAGATTGAACAGCATGAAATGGACCAAGGGTTCACGAAGTACGCATTTTTCTCTGCCAATCCCTCGCCAACTGTCGTCACCAGCGGTTCAACAGTAAACCCTGCCGAATCCCAGAATTATCACGTGACGGGACTTACAAAGTGACCGTCGTGTGTTTCCGCTCCTCGCATTTGATGCTGACGAATGGCCTGGTACTGCGAAGAAAAGGCAATCTAGTTTACAGCTAAGATTGTTGGGTTCGCTTCGCGAACTAGGCTTCTTCCTAGCCCAGACAGGAGTGTAAAGATAACTTCGCCAGTGTTGCAATGGCGAATTGGCTCCAGTTGATACCAGCTACTGCTAAATTTACACTGAACCTACGCGCCAGTTTCGATCGTTTGATCTCTTTCCTACGACCTGAATAACTCAGTCACAACACGTGACTGAGTTCGGAATTCCCAATACGGATTGATAAGAAAGACTTTCTTCCGTGCGTCGTTCCCGGAATTATCAACGAAATCTCATTTGCTCGCTTTTATCAACCGAAATCGGTGTACAGCAGCAGGAGCCGTGCCTAATTCCGGCCACAGCCGAATTTTTCAGGCAAGCAATCAGAATTCGCGCTGGCAATAAGTCAAGCGGGAAAGTACAAATTTGTGCCCTTGCGGCATAACCGAGATTGATTGAGCTTTAAACGTGATCGATAATAGGGCTTTAAGGCCACTCCGAGACTGGGAGCCCGTGGAGGATCGGTATTACATGCGATTTTGAACTGATCACGAATTCTTATCGGGCATTCGATAGGCGACGATATTGAAGCTCTGGCATGTTACCATTGGCTTGTTCGTTGTTGCCAGCTTGTGTCATGACTAGCAACAATTTAGCACCGGCATCACAAGCGAAGGAGGGACCACATTAGGTAAGTGATCGCTGATTTTCAGAATTTCGGCAGCGTTCACCGCGACCCGAACGGAATCGACATCCAGCTGAACAAAATAAAATGCTCCTCACCCAGCGTCGCAGCCTTTACGCGAAATGACTGGGACGTCTGTAAGTTCGCACGTTGAGCCGAGTTGCTGTGATGACGGCAAGATCGCTGATTTACGACCGCTAGATTGCTTTATCAGCGCCTAACATATACCCGAACGTGGGGAGATAGATCTCTTAGCATCCATCTTACAGACGCGAATGGCTATCTGGTCTTCGGTTCTATATAAGTCAGAAAGAAATATTGTTCTTCTGCAGCTAGGCACGCGCCGGTGTCGCATAGACTGTTGTATCGTCCTGAGTAAAAGGCTTTTTCATATGGCCAGCCTCGAGTCGAAAAGTTATGGCTCTCCAAACACATGTAAGGGCTTTGGATGTACCGACTCTCACATTCAGCACTCTGTTCATAAGCCACAACAAGCACATCTAAATAGCCGAAGTGGCCATGACTACCGCCATCAACCTTCTCAAATCCTCATTAACAAGTTGAACGAGCTATTTGATTTCCGGCACTTCCAGGGTCTTCGCGCAGATCTGGAAAACCTTCCGAAGGATAGCGCCAAAGAGGACTATACGTACTTGACGCCGACAAGCGATATGGATAGCAATAGCTACTTTGCGCCACTTGATTTGCATGAAAGTGAGAGTAGATATACTGTGAGAGTAAACGACGAGCTTGGCAATCACAGCGGAAGTAACCACACATCAATTCAATCAGATACATATCGGCCGCTTTCTCTGAATAACGAAAATCGACTGTTTTTGCACGACCTTATTTCAGGCGACATATACGAAGAAGAATAGGTCCTTTAGTATTAACAATTTGTATCATACGCTGGCGTTTCTTATTAGGCGAGGAGCTAGCCTCTCATATCGCTATCACTACATTACACCACACTTTTATTCTCTCTGGTTTAGTTTCGTATAACTCTGTTCCACCAATCAGTCACATCGGTTCTCATATACTGAACCAAACTTTTCTTTTCGCTAGGTACTCTCTTCGATTTGGAGCCTCTCTTGTCGAACCAATTCTCCACTAAAATTACAATTTTATCAGAATCCTCACGTATGAAGCACACGACACCGTTGTTTAACTTGATCAACTTCTCCTCTTTCAAATCTTCAGCTCGTCTTGAAGTACTCAAGGTATTAACAAACTTGCTGATATCCAAATGCAAACAGCGCAGCTTTTCGTCAGAAATGTTGTCAAGAAATGTATCGAATTGTACTACTGCCTTATCTTCAAGTTGCTCTTTCCTGAATATCCCGCCCATGAGACTTAGTCCCCAAGATGGCTTACTGACGATATCATCATCCTGGATCGGCCCCGGGGTGGGATTGAGGGTGGCGACAGATGTTTTTCTATTGGCGCCAGAGGTTAAAAACTCGTCCAGTCCATTGACCACTAATTCCAAAGGCGATGCAGATGCTAGTATTTTTTGTATTTTGTACAATGGAAAAGATGACCGAATCTGATGTGTTTCCTTCGAAATTGTCGCATAACAGAAGCTGTCAGGCGGCTTGTCGGGCTTAGAAGTCAAGTGCGATGAATAAAGCTCGCTGATGCAGTTTGTTAACTTGAAGTGGATATCATGCAAATATTCGTGATCCCATATCTTCGCAAAATCTTTCTTAAAAACCAATACGACGAGAATTTCGTTGTAGAACCAAAACAAGCAATTGTAGCTCTGCACAACACCATTGTAAGATAATTCTAGAACCTTGACCTTGTAGCTTTCCGGGAGAAACGACGCGGATAACGGGGATATCAAAAATTCACTTCTAGCAACTTTGGGTTTGTTGTCATTAGAACTGGCCCATGGATTCCAGCTGGGTATTTTTGGCATAAAGTCTGTAAGTAGTGACATGCTACTAGAGACTCCAGTCATGTTACTGACTTCCTGCACAGCATCGTAAGCAAACGTTATAGGAAGTGTGAAGTTGTGATAGATCTTCTTACTTTGATTCATGAGTGAATTACTGACGGGCTGTTCTTCGTTCTCGTTAGAGGTTTCTGCGGCGTCCTCTTCCAAAATCTCTTTATACTGTACATTGCCTGCAATAACATGACTGGAGAGCCGTGTGTAAATAGTATCTAGGTACTCGATCCAATTTGAGATCTTAGGCAAGGAGTCGAAGTTGGGAGTAAAGTTTCGTACGAGCCCATAGCTCTTGTAGCCTTTGTGAGTGGCAGGCTTAGGCAAATGGTAAACCAAAATGTCCTGAAGGCCTAAAAAGCTTGCGTCGTCAAGCAGAACCTGCTGCTTCAATCTAGTATCCCAAGGTAAGGCCTCTGGATTGAGGTCTTTCTCGTTGTCGAGGTCTGCCGCTTTGTAACACTGAGGCCAGTAGCTCAAAAAGCCCGTGTACCAAATATGATTAGGCATCAAATTCATCTCTGACCAAAATGGTACCAGTACTTCATTCAAGCAGTCCGTCAGTTTGTTAGGATTCTCGAAGTTACACCAGGATCCGAATTGCAGCACAAAGAAATCATAACAATGCCGAAGATGAGCCAGAAAGTATGTTGCGGGAACCTCACACTCTGCAAGCTCGATTGCCAAAGTTACGAAGAAGTCCTCCTCCACCAAAATAGTGCACAAAAGCTTATCCCCAAGCTCCAAAACACTTTCACCTACACCTTTCGAATCGACAAAGCTCTCTGAAAAACGCCATGTGGCCTGGATTATTCCCAATTCAGCAAGTTTATCATTCAGTGATAGGCTATGCCCCTTTTGGAATGAGTGAAATAACAAGAGCTGCTTTTCGGCATCTCGTTCGTTAGTGCTGAAGCTAGGATTGAAAACCGTCACAAAATCTAACATCTAAAGAGCTTCAGAGTCTTTTTAAAAAACGCGATCACTATTTAGATCAGCCTGTAGCGTGACAAAGTAGCAAACAGTCGCTGATACCACTGTGTACGCTCCTAAACTGGGGATATTTCGAGCTCATCGGTAATCATCACATGCATCCTTTAACTTTTTGAATTAATACCATTTCAAAAAATTTTGGCTATATCTATACTTAACGAGAGTTCTGTTTGGCACTTAAAGCCAGTTTATAAGGTCCGATTGCCTAACTCTTAGGCTCATTAAGCTATTAGTGATATCATGGTTTTGGCTGACTTAGGAAAACGTATTAACACTGCGGTTAATGGTGCTTTATCCAATTCCCAAGATGATTACACCACAGCGGTAGATGTAATGTTGAAAAGCATTGTCACAGCTCTTTTGGAAAGTGATGTCAACATCAAACTGGTTTTCACGCTCAGGAATAATATCAGGGCTACGCTTTTGGATTCAAAGAGCCGATCTGTAAACAGCGCCCAAACAAAGAAACTGATACAAAAAACAGTCTTTGACGAACTGTGTCACCTGGTAGACGGGGAAACTCAACCCTATGTGCCCAAGAAACGCAAGCAGAACGTCATTATGTTTGTAGGTTTACAGGGTTCTGGTAAAACGACATCGTGTACGAAGCTTGCTGTTTATTACTCAAAGAGAGGTTTAAAGACCGGTTTAGTTTGTGCAGATACTTTCCGTGCTGGTGCCTTTGATCAGTTGAAGCAGAACGCCATTAAAGCGCGAATTCCATTTTATGGTTCCTACACAGAAACAAACCCAGTAAAAGTTGCTCAGGAAGGTGTGGCTAAATTCAAGAAGGAGAAATTCGAAGTCATTATTGTTGACACGTCCGGAAGGCATAGACAAGAAGAAGAGCTTTTCCAAGAAATGGTAGAAATCTCTCAGGTGGTCAAACCAAATCAAACCATCATGGTGCTAGACGCATCGATTGGTCAGGCAGCTGAGCAACAATCTAAGGCATTCAAAGACAGCTCTGATTTCGGAGCTATCATTCTGACAAAAATGGACGGCCACGCCAAAGGTGGTGGTGCCATCTCTGCAGTGGCTGCTACTAAGACTCCCATTATTTTCATCGGTACGGGTGAGCACGTTCATGATTTCGAGAAGTTCTCCCCGAAGTCATTTGTATCCAAACTTTTGGGTATAGGTGACATCGAAAGCTTACTTGAGCACTTTCAAACAGTTTCAAACAAAGATGATACAAAGGCTACCATGGAAAACATCCAGCAAGGTAAGTTTACGCTCTTGGATTTTCAAAAACAGATGCAAACTATTATGAAGATGGGCCCTCTGTCCAATATTGCTAATATGATTCCTGGAATGGGTAATATGCTGAACCAGGTCAGCGAGGATGAGACTACCAAGCGTATGAAAAAAATGGTGTTTGTAATGGACTCTATGACGAAACAAGAACTCGAATCGGATGGCCGTATTTTCATTGATCAGCCAAGTCGTATTGTCCGGGTCGCTCGAGGATCTGGCACTTCTGCTCTTGAAGTTGAGATGATCCTCATGCAGCAGCAGATGATGGCTCGTATGGCTCAGTCTACCAAAGCGGCGCAAAGAGGTCCAGGGGGGGTGCCTGGGATGCCTCAGATGCCTGGAATGCCGCAAATACCGGGTATGCCTCAGATTTCACCATCAATGATGCAACAGGCTCAGCAAAAACTAAGGGAGAACCCAGGGATGATGAAGAACATGATGAACATGTTTGGTGGTGGTGGCGGTGGCTCTGGTGCTCCTGGATTTCCTGGAATGGGTGGTGGCATGCCCAACATGGACGAGATGACGAAAATGATGCAAGACCCTCAAATGCAGCAAATGGCTCAACAGTTTGGAATGGGCATGTAGATTATTTTTAGCGTAATGCGAATGTTTACACTGTAGAGTTGTAACTGGCGATCTCTGGTTTACAGACACTTCTTTTCGAGGTTTTTATCATTTTATACTACTACAATGAAACTGTCCCGTTGCAAATCTGACGGTACTTTCGATCCAAAGTTTTATAGCAGGGCATTAAAAAACTCAGAGCTGGGGCCTTGCTGGGGATCTGAAGGTTAGATATGGGAACTTCGAATGATGAGCTGCTCGGCGCTCGATTGAATTCTCCCGTTAGAATGTCACCTTCAAAACTTAGTATGAATCACGGTACTTTTATGGCGAACATTCAAAATGGTAATAGCCCCACTAAAGGTGGTTCGCCAGGGGTTTCGTCGAGTACGAGGGTCATAGAAGCTCTGCATGCCCAGATTGACAATTTGACCAGAACAAATTTGGAGCTAACCGTACAATCAAACAACTTATTGACCCGATTGGAAACCGCAACCAACAATCACAGTAAGCATCTAGAGAGCATGTCGACACTGAAGCACGAGAACGACAACCTCAATTTAATGCTTAGTCGCAAGGAAAGGCGTGTGCGAGACCTCGAGCAACAAGCGGCTCAGCTCAGAAACTCCTACGAAGAAGCAGCGCTCAATAACAAAACCATGCATAGTAAAATACAAAACTATAACCAGCGAGAAACAAACCTCGAACAAAATCTCCAACAGGTACAAGTACAGTACGATGCGCTCCTCGATGGTCAAAGGCGGTATCGCGACCAGTATTCTCGAGAAATTCAGGAGCTGAAGGACCAATTACAGAGTTTCAGACGAGACCAGGGAACGTATGTCACCGAGACTCTGCAAACGCTTCTAGAAAACCATTCATCGTTGCAAACTCGAATTGATGAGTATGCGAACAAGTACCAGAAACTGGCATCTGTGGAACAAGAACATCGAGATTTGCTCAACTACGAATGTGAGTCAATGCGCTCCCACTTAGATCTACCTAAATGGGACCAGCTCTATCAAGAATCCCGAAACTTGGTTATTGATTATGCTGAAAAGGCCAATGTGACTTTGCCAACATCATTTTTGAGCCAACATTCTCAAAGTAACGGAAGACCGGGCGCTAAGTCACCACCGATACCCCAGAACGGCCATCATAATGGCTTCACTAACGCCTTTAGTCCAGCAGTCACTCCATCGTCCACATTCGTAAATCCACAACAGATTCGGGTGCCCAAACAGCGCAATTCGTCATCGTCGGCCAAGAGAAGCAGCTTCTACGGTTCCAATGTTTCGATTGCGGGTTCTCCGGTCCCAGGAATTAAGCAGTCTCCTGGATCGCCGGCCATTGCATCCTCTGCGACGCTTCCAGGCGTTAGGCGCTCGTCGTCAATCAGAAGCTCCTCTTCTTCCAGAAACTCATCGGGCGAACTTTCGAGTTCCGATACCAATAATTCAAGCTCGAAGCCATATTCCAAGCCTTTTTCAGGATACAAAAAAAGAGGACGCCGTCACAGGCCTCAAATAAGGCAAACGACTTCACATTTGGCTAACAATTGTCTCTATTATACATGTACACATGTATAATACATATATATGTATATATCATCATGTTACGCACTATTCCGCTGAACAGATTATTTTCAGTATTTCCAATGCCATCTTCCTTGTCCAGCCTCCGTTAGGAAACCTCACTGACAGGCGCAATACCCAGCAGATGACCTGCAAATTCAAGAAGCAACTGTCACAAGGTAACAAAAGCTTTTGCTTTGACTAAAAAGGATTTGATAGGTTATTTATGTGCCATATTCCATATCTTAGCATTGATCAAAATAGGAGTTTATTGATTTTACAGTTGGCTAAGATTTTTGCTGAGCCCTTTATTTAGTTGCCATTGTTTATCTTATTAAATAGCCACTAGTGTCCACGACCTGGTTATAGTATGTGAGTCACCTGAAGCAAGAACAGCTATAAGCAAGAATCTCAGTGACCACTATTTGAATTTGACCGCTGATACCACGAATCTTAGGGGAAGTTCGAGTTCACCAGTAGTTTTCTTTATTTAATAATAGACTTTTGGCAATGACAAGTTGGTATAAAGTGACATTTGCGTTATCAGACTCTATACATTGATGAAGATAATTCATAAGAGCGCTAAAATCTAATATTGATCAGTGTCCAAAGTGATATCGTTTCAATATCATTTTTCCAGGAAAGCGGGGGTTCGTGTACTAATTGTTCCAGTCTAAAACATTACATTAAATGTCGTCGACTTAGATTGATTGTCCAAAAACGGGTGGTGTGTGGGGGCTCTACTCCTCAAATCTGGAAAACCTTATGGAGTGATATAAATTGCCGAATTCACAGAAGACTCTAACAAAAGTGCCTAAATATGTATGAAAGTTTACTGAGAGCCTCAACGAACCCACCTTAGATAATAGAGACCAAGAAGGACAATAAATTTCGGACAAGTAAAGTATCTGTAAGCATTTATTCGCCCCCGGAAATAAACTTGCGCCAGACCGCGGTAACAAAGGACGGCGTTGAATTCACGGGTTTCGGGATAGTTTCTTTACAGTTTTTATGAGTATACGAGTATGTTCAAATATATTGTCATTGCTGACGGTAAGAATCTTATGGTAAATTAGTGATTCGTCCCCAATGCTGGTCAAAAACCGTTGCAGAAATAGTTGGCACAACAGCGATTTTGTAACCCTGCAGTGAGCAAATGGCGGACCAGGACATTAACCAGCTGTTTACAGCAACTCAGCACACGAACGATTTGCTCATTGCATCTTTCCTTTATAAGAGATCAACCACTAGTAGTAAAGTTACCATCGAAGAGTCAATTACGACTGTGAGCACCAATGATCAACCTGAAACGAGCTCTACCAGCGCTCATTACAAGTTCAACAAAAGCGGATACCACAGTTACTGGTGTGTTTTAAGAAGAGGCCAGTTCAGCTACTACAAGGACAGAAGCGAGCGCAAACCGATGGATGTGATTCCTGCAGATCAGATACTCGATTTCCGAGTTTCTGAAAAAGATCTACGACTGAACTTCTACACGAGCAGGAAGACTTATTACTTGAGAGCAGAATCTTCAGAGATCTTACAGGACTGGTCTCGAGCATTGCAAGAGTTTTTTGCAGACAAACGACGCAGAGCGTCACGGGCCGAAAAGTTACCGAACGACGATGGAAGTGGTGCTGAGGCCAGCGAAGATTTAGGCCATGATGATGACGACAATGCTGACGACGATGATGAATTCAACAACAACGACAAAAGTGATACTTATGATGATAATGACGAACTGGATAGCGAAATTGACAATGAGAATCACAGCAACGAGAACGAAAATGAAAATGAAAACGATGATGATTTCGAGATGGTGTCTGAAGTACGACCGGAAACCGAAAAAATCCACAGTGCTGATTCGCGAGTTTTTCCAGTCCCCGATGAGGATCGTGAATTTTATGCTATATACAATCCCGAGCAGAACCCTCCACGTCTAATTCAAGAGAGTGTATTGTATTGCAGAGTTAAGAAGAGGCTAGGCCGCAAGACATGGAAGAAAGTCGCTGCCCACTTAGACAGCAATTGTCTGCGCATCGCTTCTCTCTCTTCTGGTAAAACGTACCGTGATATCGAGCTCGCTGAAGTCGTCGATTGCATCGAAGATGAAAGTAGGCGGTGTTTCACAGGGTTTGACGTTATCACTTACGATGAGCGCTTGAAATTTCGCGCACTAACGGAACAAGACACCATTGACTGGATCATGAACTTGAAAAGCTGTGTCTTGGCTAGAAAAAAATTGGGACAATTGAAACCGACATTAATTAGGTCGGAGTAAGACTTGCATTGTGTGATTGTACTATAAAAGGTTTGTGAACCATGAGCGCGGAAAACTTGTATGCGAGGGCACTTTTGTGGGCAGAGGAGAGAAAGACCATCTGCCCAAAAAACTGAAGTTATGTTACACGACAATGTAGCCATGTCCTCCGAAGCCCACAAAAAGGCAGTATCCAAAGCTTTGGCTGAAATGGCTAGCTGTCAAAATACGCCTTCCGTGGAGTTTGATAACAAAGAACAGAAAAGAGAAGAGATACACTCGTCGTGTATCCACAAAGCTTTGGTGCGAACGCGCCGAAAGACCGGCGGTTCGCAGAATATGACTTCGGTATTCAACTCGTTCGTCAACGATATTTCCAAGACTCCACGGAAATCTACAGGTTAATCACTTGCAAGTTTTTAATCATCTCAGTTAAAAAAAGTGTGGACGTTGTCGTGTTGATTTTTACGAGTGAATTAGATAAACACGCCGCTTCTGAAAGTATGAGAGCCGTGAACAAAGTTGACCGTTCACTTCGGTCGAGCTGAAGAGTAGACGCGAACCGTGGATTTTTGGAAAATTGTTTGTGTAGTATTAATGGGAACGTGAAAACAGAAACCAGTGCTATAGGCAAGAGCGTTGGCGAGTGGTGTGACTCACCAAGCGCTTTTTAAACGTTAGCTATGATTAGCTAACATTTGAACCCTAAAAAAACAGCAAGGGGACTCGCTGTTCAAACGTAAGTTTGTTGATTCCTGCATTGCCCTGTGCTGTCATGAAACCATTGTTTTTGATGAACTTCAGTATTTTATTCTCCATCATCCGCTATCGTAATCATTTAGCAAGCTAAAAGTTGTAATGATATCAATCATTTTCTAATTCAATACAAATGTATCGACCCACATTGGCAATATTTTGAACCCATGAGAACATCCTTTGCTACATGCTTTGTTGTCCATCAGGCTTGAAAGTCATGCTCTATAATTATCTGGACTTTTATTAAACACTAAGGGTCTGGAATATGGTGCTCGGGCGTTCTCTTGTTAACAATGTTCGTGATGGTAATCTGGCGTTATTGTTCGTTCAATGTCGACATCATCATATTTATGTAGTTGAACAAAATTGCGTTTACTAAATAGGCGTAATTAACCTACTTATTGTGCATATTGGTCCGCAGGTTTCGGACTTATTATGGCGTTTTTATTGTTGAATTGAGAATAATATACTTAGTTCGTCATTCGGCAACAATATTGTCCGCACAGAGAGTTAGCAACACAGGTCCTCTAGGTTATGCTAGAGTTTCCTTTGTGTCTAGTAAGAATCGTTTGAGATACAACGCTCTCACGTTTGTATCATGTGAGGCTGAGGTTCGTGTCCCAATGAACGGATAAGCTGCATTGTGTATAACATGAAATGGGATGTAACCTACGAAAGAAAGAATACAGCATGACATGCAACCCGAAGGCGAAGTGGCTTACACTTTGAGGAAGCATGAGCAGGAGGTGACTAGTCTGAATGTCATTCATCAAGATCCCTATCCGTTACTAGTTTCCGGCGACCTAAAGGGGAAATTGTTAGTTTGGAATTTGGTAACGCGAAGACCCTTGGCCCATTATCAGCTCCCAACGAATGCCCAAGTCGTTTCTATCAATTACATTAATAATTACTTGACAGTCTTATCGAAGGATCATACACTTAGATTTTTGCGACTGCACGATGAAACTTCACTTAAGTCGAGTACTGCCAAGACACATGGGAATGATAATTGCACTTTGAAAGAAGCCTACGAAATACCCATTAATACGCTTAATTTCGCAAATGTATCCATCGAAACTATTACAGAAGACTTATATCGCCTTTGGAGTTGCAATACGGTGGATTCTGAGTGCTTTGACGTCTATACGTTTGACTTAAAGGATCCACACTCTTTGAAGCGCAAATTCAACAAAATAAATCTGCATGAAGCCTTGCTGAAAGCAGACAACTGGGACTGCAGGAAATCTTTGGATAAAACGGGCATCGTTATGAAGTTTTTGAAGCACAACGGTGTGGTCTATCTGGGCTTTGAGTGCGGCTTCGTAGTAGGCTTGAAAATTTTGGAAAATGAAGGCGTCCATCCTTCATTGGTAGTGGTATACGCTTCCTCTGTGCACTACCCGGACCCTGTTTTGTCGTTATGCGCTGCAAGTGATGGCCACTGTATATATAGTTCCTCAACAAGTGGTGTGGTAGGTATTCATAACGCGTATGAAGCCCCCACAGATGAGTATGATGACTTGAATTGGCTTGCTGATGGCATCGGTATACCCACTAACTTCACGTTGGTAAATTCGTGCATTGATCTGCACACAGCAGAAATTGGACATCTGGAAAGCCTCCAGGACTCTTTAGTTGCAATAGACTGGAAAGGGCAAACTTTAGTATTTAGCCATGAGCGGGCCAACTTCACTTTCTCAAAACAACGGAGCAACGTCCCCATTGAAGATTCAAACGTTGGTACCTTTTCTGCAGAGAAAAGAACAAAAAATTGGATTAAGGCTAGCAGCATGGCTTGCCTTGGTGAACGAGGCTCAAAACAAGTTCAGGTTTCCGGCGCCGGTGAAAGGAGACGCGTATCACTTTGTGCTAGCCGTAATTGGTGTTTTACGGGCTACGAGGATGGATCAATTATAATGCAAAGCTTCCATTCGTGATGTGCCTACATATGCTGCCTCTAACTAAACAGCTTTCAACTTACCTTGTTTTACTCCTGTTCTTAGACAAACCTTTCAATATCTTTTCTTTTTCGACAGACTCTCTTATGAGTGACCCCAATGCTACTTCAACATTGCAGTTATCCATACTGTCTACTCCGACAAACCCGCATCCCCATTGTAAAGCTAAATCTTTGCCTCGCTGAAGTAATAAAGGGCTAGCCAGTTGATCATCGACATGTGTGCATATAATGATACAGGGTGGTGGCGAGTCTGGGGATGTAGCATTCCAATCCAGCGCATTAGGTTTGGTGTGGAAGGAACGCAATTGTTTCAATTTTTCATTTCTTTGCTTCTGTGATTTCCATATTTGCTTAATGTTGTACATCATAGAATAAACGTCCCCTTCTTTACCCTCAGACCATCTCTCTTGGTAGTCACGAAATTCGGACCACGCGTCTAATATACAGTTTCTTATGGTCGTCAGCAAAGAAAGGCCTCCATCCGGCTCTTTGTCTATCAAGCTATTAGCACTAGAAATTGGTGAAATGGACACTTGAGATGAGCCGTGAGATGCAGAAGTTGTTATTCCCTGGGTATCTTCTTGGATTGAATCTTCGTAGCCAGGAGGATCAGCACCATGATTGAGCTCCGGCACTGCGCTGTATACGAAAATGTAGCCATTTATTTTACCGTTGAGTTCAGACGCACCGGATGCCACCAAAAGACTAGTTGTCGAAACAGGTCTTCGAGGTTCGTTGGCTAATCCTTTAAGAACGTCTTTGTCAAGATTGCGAAACAGTGATACTTCGAGGAAAGGAACAACCATGTCTGGTTTGAAGCCAGGTGTGTCAACTATATCAATTACCAAAGGGCGGTAGGCGGGCGGCTCGTAGCCCTCTGGAATGACATGCACATCATTAGAAAATGTTTCTCCATCTTTTAATAGGTGCGTTTGCATAATGTTCGCATTGGAGTTTGTAAGAGTAGTCCTGGACTGGTCCAAATACCCGTTTCGGGTCGCTTGATCTTCGTAGTGGTAAACTCCATTTTGGGGATCTGAACATCGCAGCTCTGACTTGGAGTTATTTTTAGCTGCTGCCCTAGTTTCCTTCCATTCGTTTGCAAAGGCTTGAAATAGTACTGGGGACAATAGAACAAGTGGAGTAACCTGAGGTGATTCAAAGAACGATTTGTCCGACTTTCCGCATTGTTTGAGTCTCCTACGGTGTGGTATTTCATCCATTATTGTGCGAGCCAATTTTCCGGAAGGCTCGAACGTAAAAAGCCAATTGCTTTGCTTCCGGGTCGGGTAGTGCACTTCATGTGCCATTCCAACTGTGAGTCTTGAAACCAATGACGATTTTCCAACACCAGTGCCGCCCAGCACTGCAATCCTAAATGGTTCATCTTTAAGCGTACTCATTTCAGTGAAGGCGGGGATCTTGAAGTCTAATCCATGGATTGGATGAGTTCTAATCTTGAGCGCTCAAGTTCTCTTCACGATACGAGATGAGATGCATTTGCGGTACTCGTCGTATCGGCAAGAAGAACACGAGTACATATTTACGTATTTAGTGATTACAAGATACTCAAGGTGGAGCGAGAAGTTGCCATTGACATTTGTAGAGATGGAACCTCTTGCGAACGTTTGTCTCGAGTTTTCGGGTCGTACGCAGCTCAAATAAGTATCGACAATCCCAATTCTCCCGATTTTTTTTTCAAGCTCCACTGCATTTCTTAATCATTACAAAGTATTATAAAATGGGCTGGAGAAGTATGGAAACGACGACTTCGTACAAGACAAGCCATTAACATGCTATTACGACCGATGAAGGTACCGCCAATGCTCTGAAAATCTGAAATTTGACTGGCGAACACAAACTTTATTTTTTTTATATGCACTACAAGTGGGCGCTTAACGCAGATCAACAATGGCTTTCGTGATCAACATGTGTCAATCTTGTCCCATTTCAAAATTCGCTTATTTGATTCCAATACTGTGCCAATTATTAGTAGCCATGTTACCTGTCTGTGCGGTTTGTAAATTTACATACTAATCCTTGTTCTATCTGGGAATGTTTGGCTACCAGATGAGGCGTTTAATTCACGCAGCGATTAGCGCACAGCAAAATGTTGGTTATTCAGTTCGAAACCTAAAATAATAGAATTGTGTTTCTTTGACCATTTTCTCAAGCGATTAATGCCGTGTAGACTTTCTCAAGCTAGTAAATCTGGCGGAATTGGAATACCAATCGTAACCCATCTGAACACGTTTCCTAAAATTGGCGCATGGTATTGAACAATTCATGCCTATAGAACGAAGCACATTCCAGGGGGCTGAAATATAATTCGAATACTAGAACTGAGGTCTTACTAATTACGGTTATTTTAGTAACCTTCCAATCCTTAGTGAAGTATTTTTTGTTCAGAAGCAGGCTCGAAGTAATTTCACAATATAAAGTTCTTGGTAACCTGTCCGTATCTTGATGGTAGATAAAGCTTGAATATCATAGCACCTTGATATCTGGAGAGTGTACCATAGGGAGAATACTGGTGCTTGAGTATAATATGTCGTATATAGTGATCAAAGGGGAGAACGTAACGCTCGTGATCTCGAAATTTTTGAATACCTTAATTCTGACTTTCCGATTAAGAACCAAGAACGTCGACTGTGGTTGATCTAAAAGTGCCACTTGAGACCTGACCGCTTAATTAGAGCGTTTGTGGAGAGCGATTCTGCATGTAAAGCTTCTTTTTTCCTTTTGTTTCCTGTTTTACATTCAAAACTAAATGCATCCTCAAAACTCGAGGGGAAGCACATAAGATATTGGTACTGAACATGGTCATTAATTGCTGTGCATGCCACAAGCAGTCCAAAGCTTTATACTGTGGTCACTGTATTAACACGAGTCCGAGCTTACTGTTGAAGCGTAAAATCGAGCTTTATCAAATCCGAGCATCTAATGAACAATTGCGGGTGCAAGTGGACAAGATCCTCGAATGCGCCATGAATGACGCTTCTGAATCCCAGGACGTCCTGGGAAAACATTTATCGATGCTCAAGACGACGCATTTGAAAAGAAAGACTAATAAATTTCGCCTCAAAGTTGGGCAAGTGGAAGACATGGTTATAGGAAAACGAGAGCGTGTACGACATCTCCAACGTGAACTCCAACAAAAAGTCAAGAAACACAGCGGCTCTGAGCCATGGAAGACTTATTCTGAAAGCCCGGGAGATCGGTTCCAGTCGTTCCAGGCAAAGTTGAAGCAGTTACAAAAAGTTTTAGTGTCTTCTAAGTCCCACAAATTCCAGGAACTGGTTCGCCTTTTTTTAATTCGACAGAGGGCTCATCCGGAATTTCCATACACTATTAGCTTTCAGCCTGTCGTCAATGTTCAGAATCTTTATCGACTTCCTCAGAATGTTATAGAATGCTCGTTACGCAGCATGTGGGAGTTTTTATTGCTGGCAGGCCGCATTTTGTTGGTGGAGCTACCCTTGAAGAAACCTACCAAAGATGTTTTGGATAACCTAGCTGGCATCGTGCTCAATTTGTTAGTGCTGTTACTAAGTCTAAAGTTGATTCCGCAAAGTTGCAGCGATAAAAGAGTTCTCCTAAGAAATCTACTGAGGGATTACGACGTTGACAAGCTATTCTACTGCTTGGTTACTAACAAGAACATCGAGACAGACTGCAAGAGCAAAATAGAGACCATCATAAATCATGACGTCTGTCATGCCGAACTGCAATCTCTTCTCCAAGGTTCGAGCGAATTAAGCGTTTTAAACAAGTCAATGGACGATAAGTGGTTTCTTGTGGGCTGAAAGGCTCGCTTCGGGCACTCACATCCAACTGCATATCTGATTCCCAGCACAGCCAAACTTTTCACGGAGCCCGAAGGTGAGACCGCTTGCCGATTGTGTCCATGTAGTACTGTGTAAAGCCGGCAAAGTGGCGACCATTTTCTCCCGCTACCCTTTTCTCTCGCTAGCCACCAAAAAGACGTTATGCAGGTTTTCAACACTAATTCAGGCTACTTCGGACTTTTGAAGAGTTTCCGGGGGCTCGCGTTGCGCGGTCGGCACGATAAATCTTTTCAACTAATTTCCTAAGATCTTGAAAAATCTTCAACCATCTAAACCTTTCCTTAGTGGCTCGAGAGATCAACATACTCGACGAAATTTTATACAGTAGTAGCTTCTCTAGCACCGCTTTCGATGATGGAAACTGGTGACATCCAACTCGTGCTGTTCGGACTTACCCGACCCTACGACCTTTAGTAAAATCCAAAATTTTCAAATATGGTTGCAATAAAAGAACCCCTCTCTATCTATTAAGATATCTCACCAGTGATACAAAACTCCCTTTTAAGAGCCAACTCAAATTATAGACGACTCTCGATACATAAGACTGTTCGCCAAACGGTTCTTCTATCATTGCTTGACTTGTGATTCTGGAATTTGCCCAGATAATCAGTCGCTGCTGCTGGAAATATACCCTAAAACTTCAGGTTTTACACGGTCAGACTTGAACACAATTAATAAGTACTTGTTGTGAAGTTGAAATACTCTTGCTACAATAATTGATAATTAGAAATGTTGTCGAACCAAGAACTATTTGACTTGAACAAAAAAGCCGTAAGCCAAGGGCTTAAAATTAAGCCTCGGCTTAACTACAACACCGTGGGCGGAGTGAACGGTCCATTGGTGATTTTGGAGAACGTCAAGTATCCACGTTACAACGAAATCGTGAACTTGACGCTTCCTGACGGCACAATCAGGCAGGGTCAAGTCTTGGAAGTGAGAGGCGACAGAGCCATTGTTCAAGTTTTTGAAGGTACTTCGGGAATTGACGTCAAGAAGACTACCGTCGAGTTCACCGGTGAAAACTTGCGGATTCCGGTCTCGGAAGACACCTTGGGCCGTATCTTTGATGGGTCTGGTAGACCTATCGATAACGGGCCTAAAGTTTTCGCTGAAGACTACTTGGACATCAATGGTTCGCCTATTAACCCCTATGCTCGTATTTACCCTGAGGAAATGATTTCCACCGGTATTTCAGCCATCGACACCATGAATTCTATCGCGCGTGGCCAAAAAATTCCTATCTTCTCGGCCTCTGGTCTTCCTCACAATGAAATCGCAGCCCAAATTTGCAGACAAGCAGGTCTTGTTAGACCCACTAAGGATGTTCATGACGGTCACGAGGACAATTTCTCGATTGTGTTTGCCGCCATGGGTGTCAACTTGGAAACCGCTAGATTTTTCAAACAAGATTTCGAAGAAAATGGATCGTTGGAGAGAACTTCTTTGTTTTTGAACTTGGCCAATGACCCTACCATTGAAAGAATCATTACGCCTAGATTGGCATTGACTACTGCCGAGTATTTGGCTTACCAAACCGAACGTCATGTCTTGACTATCTTGACAGACATGTCCTCGTACGCCGATGCATTGAGAGAAGTGTCTGCTGCTAGAGAAGAAGTTCCTGGTAGAAGAGGTTACCCAGGTTACATGTACACCGATTTATCCACCATTTACGAGAGAGCAGGTAGAGTGGAAGGCCGTAACGGTTCTATCACTCAAATTCCTATCTTGACCATGCCAAATGATGATATCACACATCCAATTCCGGATTTGACTGGTTACATTACCGAAGGTCAAATTTCTGTGGATCGTCAATTGCACAACAAGGGTGTTTATCCTCCAATCAATGTTTTACCTTCGCTATCCAGATTAATGAAATCGGCCATTGGTGAGGGTATGACCAGAAAGGACCACGGTGATGTTTCAAACCAGCTGTACGCCAAATACGCTATTGGTAGAGACGCTGCAGCCATGAAGGCTGTGGTTGGTGAAGAGGCTTTGTCCATTGAAGATAAATTATCTTTGGAATTCTTGGAGAAGTTTGAAAAGACTTTTATCTCTCAAGGCGCCTACGAAGACAGAACCGTCTTTGAGAGTTTAGATCAAGCTTGGTCTCTATTGAGAATCTATCCAAAGGAAATGTTGAACAGAATCTCTCCAAAGATTTTGGACGAGTTTTACGATAGAACTAGAGACGATGATGAAGACGAAGAGCACGAAGAGGAAGACCCAGACAAAAAGCCTCAGGAGGAATCTTTGATCTGATCCATGTCTCCCACCTCCCTAAAGACATGTCTACTAACAACCCTCATTAAAAATTTATATAAATCAAAAACACGTTGAGCATGTTCAAACGGACTGAAAACTTGTCAAATAAACCGCATCAATTGCGTCAAGAAAAATAGTGATTTCTAGAATATGAGTATCTTTATTACCGAAATGCGTAGAATACCTAAACCTACCTTCCCCCTTAATTTTTATTACCCAACCCGTACAGGTTGTTCAGAACATTGCTTCCAAATCCCTGGACGTTTGTAGTTTGGCGGTAAGACGATGGTAGTTTCTGTATTGATGACAACCGCAACAGCTTGTCATTTTTCCCTGATGCTGGGTGTGGGTCGGGCGGTATTAAACGAAGATCAGATGCGGAGTTTGTGCTTTTCATGAGGGAATCTTCCTTGACCTTTGAATCATCTTCGAGTCCCATGCTGCTACTTTTGGAGTACATGGAGCTGCTTAATTCACTTCCAAATCGTGGGAGTGAGCTCATAAGCACACTAGATGACGGGGATATCATTGACGAGGACAAAGATGACGTAGGGGCTCTCATCGATAAGTTCAAAAGAGAGTTTTCTTGAGGTGAGCTTTTGGTTGCACGAGCATTCTCTAGTTCTTGTTCCAGTCTCTTTGCGTTATTGAAAGCCTGCAACAAGTTTGGCAGCTCGCGCTTTAAAGACGTTTTTTCCATCATAAGCGACACCGATAAACTAGACGTCTCGGACATTCTTCTCTCCTTGATAGTACCTAACTCTTTTGGTAGAAGATCAGCAAATTCGTTTTCATCACTGTGTACTTCCGCGTTGACGGTATCATCCACAAATTGAGAAATGTCTCGCAGCTCCGAAGCTTCCTGGACGATATTAGATTTGGCACTTTGTGTAATCTGGGATTCTTGTGGTGCATGCTGGGTTTCATAGAGGAGGCAGTTGATGTTCATGGCATTGAACATAGATTCGACATCAAGAAATACTTGGAGGCATTCTTCGAAAAGCGTTTGGTCGTGATTAGTGTCTGCATCCTGAATTTGTTGTAGAAGCACTTTGATGAAGAGCCTATATGATGTAACGGTCTCCTCCAACGATCCATAGCCATCTTCACTAGCCAAAGACTTCATTACTTCGAGTTCGCAATCTATGAGAAGCAACTTTGCTTTAATGAACAATGCGGCCACATTCCGTTTTAAAGATTGCATAGTCTTACCGCACAGAAACCACATTTCAAGCAGAAGGCACGCCGAGTCGCTTATGCATGATGCTGCGTCGTACTCAGATTGCTCTTGTAAATAGTCACGGATAGCTTGAGAGTCCAATGACAACTTTTCAATCGCCTCCGACAGCTTCCCGCATCTTGTGATTGTTTTGAGAGCCAATTCTCGATAAAAAGTCTCTGCGTGGTCCAACTTGGGTTCTTGGCCAGAGTAACCTGATGTTTGGATATCAAATCGTACTAAAACGCTCTTGCACAACGCCTGTAGATCCCAAGATTTCTGTATGAGAAATGTGAGTTTCAGCAAGTCTGTGAAAATGGAAAGAGCCTTTTCGCAATTACTCAGGTTTTTATCTCTAATGTGTAGTTTGTGAGATGGTCCTACATTTTTCTTCGCCCGCGATTCCTTGCCTTGTTGTTCTTTGATGAGTTCCGCTAGTGTCTCTTTGCTAATGTTTTCTTGATCTTTGAAATGACTTATTATCGGGTCAACATACTCCATGGTTAGATACGTCTCGGCAGCCCAACATACAAGTACTCTAGGGGAGCTAGGCGTCGTCCTTCAGGTAAATAATGTCAAATTTGAGATATTTCAACAAGAGACTTCTACGGATTGTTATTATGATTGGCTGAGTTTTAGATCACGTGCATCGATCAGGCATCGAGATCTCATTATTACCATATAACTGTTGAAGAACTAAAATTTGGTTAGCAGCGCTAGTAAATGATTCATGAGCGCCTAAACCTGAGACCTTCCCTGTGACGCAAACGAAGGGAAACGCGCGCGTTACGAACTAGCTTTTAAATAGAGTATAGGCGGCCTACTATATGTAAAAATTTTGCATAGATCGCAGTGTCACCACCGAACAAATCCGTCTATCGAGAGCAAGTAAAGCTTTCATTTTTAGTGAGAAGAACCATCAAGCTTAGCTTTGTGCCTCTGCACTTCATTGACTTACTCAGTCGGCAGAAACCGACCGGTGACCTGATTTTCCCGATGGACAAGTAATCTGAACAGAAAATCTGTATGATCAATCTTCGCCTCTCTTACATCAAGCAGACTGCGCGCAGTGGACCGCGGCCGGATTAGTGGTCGCTAAATTGCTCGAGATCTTGATATAAGCATAAAATGTGATTTTCTGTCGCTGGATACGAATCTCAGTACGTTTTCAAACTATATTGTAGCAAGGGAAAGGGGTTTTAGGCTTGAGGATATATCACACATATTAGATCAAAGCTGCTATCAAAGTACCAATATGGCAGAAGCAGTTGTGGATCAACTCAAAAACACGTTGAAGTCGGGAGCTGATAAAGCCTCGGATATTAAAGACCATCCAGGCAATGTAATTGTGGTGTCGAATCGACTTCCAGTGACCATCAAAAAAAACCATGCCACTAACGAATATGAATACTCAATGTCATCTGGAGGCCTTGTAACAGCTCTTCAGGGGCTAAAAAAGGCAACCACTTTTCAATGGTATGGGTGGCCTGGTCTGGAGATTCCAGATGAGGAGAAAGATGTGGTAAGAAAGGACCTTTTGGAAAAGTTTAACGCAATTCCTATCTTTCTATCGGATGAAGTCGCCGAATTGCATTACAATGGCTTTAGTAACTCTATTCTGTGGCCGCTTTTCCACTACCATCCCGGTGAAATTAACTTTGATGAGAATGCGTGGCTGGCTTACAATGAGGCCAATTTGGCATTTGCTCGGGAGATTCAGAAGAACGTATCTGACAATGACATTGTTTGGGTCCACGATTACCATCTGATGCTTCTTCCTGAAATGCTTCGGTCTGCGATGAAGGAAAGACATTTGAAGAACGTGAAGCTCGGCTGGTTCTTGCATACCCCTTTCCCATCTTCAGAAATCTACAGAATTTTACCTGTCAGAAGAGAAATTTTGAGAGGTGTGTTGAGCTGTGACCTGGTCGGTTTTCATACTTACGATTATGCTCGGCATTTTCTCAGCTCTGTTCAAAGAGTGTTAAATGTCAACACCTTGCCGAATGGTGTGGAATTTGAGGGTAAATTCGTCAATGTGGGAGCATTCCCTATCGGTATTGACGTGGATACCTTCACGGACGGTCTTAAAGAAGAAAGTGTGATAGACAGAATCAACAAGCTCAAACAAACGTTCAAAGACGTGAAAATCATTGTTGGTGTAGACAGATTAGACTACATTAAAGGTGTCCCTCAAAAATTGCACGCGATGGAAGTATTTCTGGACGAGCACCCGGAGTGGATCGGAAAAGTTGTATTGGTCCAAGTTGCAGTGCCTAGTCGAGGCGATGTAGAGGAGTATCAGTACTTGAGATCTGTGGTAAATGAGTTAGTTGGCAGAATCAACGGTCAATTTGGTACCGTGGAATTTGTGCCCATCCATTTCATGCACAAGAGCATTCCATTTGAAGAATTAATTTCACTGTACGCAGTAAGTGATGTATGTCTAGTCTCGTCCACTCGTGATGGTATGAACCTGGTGTGCTACGAATACATTGCCTGCCAAGAGGAGAAGAAGGGTTCGTTGATTCTAAGTGAGTTTACTGGTGCCGCTCAATCGCTGAATGGTGCATTCATCGTGAACCCTTGGAACACTGATGAGCTTGCGGAGTCCATTCACGAATCGCTGACGCTCCCAGAGGAGAAAAAAGATGCCAATTGGGAAAAACTCTATAAATACATCTCCAAGTACACCTCTGCGTTTTGGGGCGAGAATTTTGTCCATGAACTGTACAGAATTGTCCCCAGTGACAATGATTCCACAGATGTACACCAATAATCGGACCTTAATTTCAGTTTGCCAAGCTTCAATGAAATACGAACAAAAATGACAAAGAAGTTGTATGAGCCCTGGTCTTGATATATATTTCAATACTTAAATAAAACACCATGATTTAACGCCCGCCTTTGCAGCCTATATCGTCCCGGTTTTCAAAAAAAGCAGATCTGTTTTGCATAGTCCCTCTCGTTCCCCGCTCGTTTTCCTTTGTCGCTCGTCCACGTCGAAATTCAACTATACTAATTTTTTGTCGAGAAACAAGTAAGAAGGGGAAGAATAAAAAACGAGCTACCCGAGCATTAATTTGCGTGAAGAGCACTTTCATAATTAGATTTGACGTCGCGGTAGATATTGACTTTGTGGTGCTTTGAGTCACAGAGTTTGAAGCTTGAAACTAGTGCCGCCGCTTATCGAATAAGCATGGGGCAACTCTTGTCACATCCTTTAACAGAGAAGACGATCGCTTATAATCAATATGACCACATCTCTGCACATACACACAAGGCGCATCTTCTCCATAGGTCCAAAAATACAGACAGTAAGGAACCGGAGAGAACGCCGCAATTTTTTAACTGCGTGGGCTCTATGCAGGGCTATCGACTGACTCAAGAGGATGCACATCTGGTAGCAAATTGTGACACAGCGCTGGATATCAAATTTTATGACCCATTCAAAGAATGTGAGGAAAACTTGGTGATGTCGCTCTTTGGTGTCTTTGATGGTCATGGCGGTGGCGAGTGTTCTCAGTATGTTAGTTCCGATCACAATCATAATGAAGGTATCTGCAAATGGATTAAACTTGCGTTCGAATCGCACGAATATGGAGCCTTTGGTAGCCACGAAAAATTGTCTAAAGTGCACAAGCGCAAATTCAGAACGATTGAGGGTTTAATATGCCAGGTTCTGAAAGATGCTTTCCTTATGCAAGACCGCGAACTATACTGTCATTTTGCGAACGAATCGTGTGGCTCCACAGGAATCCTAGCCGTCATCATTAATGGGGAAATGCTTTACGTAGCCAATACAGGCGACTCACGATGTGTTCTATCGACGAAAGGTCGAGGCGTCAAGACTCTATCATATGATCACAAACCGCAGCATATTGGAGAGCTGGTACGGATAAATGACGATGGAGGTACCGTTTCTCTCGGTAGAGTGGGCGGTGTTTTAGCGCTCAGTAGGGCATTCGGCGATTTCCAGTTCAAGACAAGCGTTTCGTATACAAATAGTGCAACTGGGTCAGCTACGCAACGGTATGTCGCACCAGCGCAGGAAGCGCAAGTCACAGTAGAGCCAGATGTATTACCACACCGGATATGCTATGAACGTGATGAGTTTCTAGTTTTAGCTTGCGATGGAATTTGGGATCTTTACAGCAACAAAAATTTGGTTCAGTTTATCAAGTACCATTTGACATTGGGTTTAAAGTTCGATGAAATTGTTACAAAGTTGCTTGATCACGGCATTAGCTCCGCAGATAGCAATACTGGAGTTGGTTTCGATAACATGACAATAATAATTGTCGCTCTCAATCAGCAGGGCGATTCGCTAGCTCATTGGTATGGGAAGATGAAAATACGATTAGAAAGGGAAAAAGGTCTAATAGCATAACCAGAGCATATGTCAAGTACATCACTACCGGCAGGTATTCGGAACCTGGTTTTCAGGTCTCGTGATGAGCACATCAAACTATTTACATTTCATAATAAAAAAACGTCAATTAAAATGAAGGAAAGTAGACTGGCGCGACCTATATATTTTGAGTCAGTTTTCGTTCAAGAGCCATGGATCTATCCAGGGAAAAGTCTTCAACTCCGGATTATACGGGTGTACCCGCCAAGGAGTACACTTTAGATATCCCCAGGATACCCAGTGTTGAGTTACCGTTAAAAGTGTCAGGGTCTCAAGAAAGTGTTACCAGAGCCATTGAGATGTGTGGCGGTTTGGTCAAAGTTAAGAGAGCACTTAATGCACACAAGGATACTCCTGAAGGGCTAGAACTCTATTTGAATAACGACAAAAACGAAAATGGGACCAGTAATTTTTTTAATGAGCATCCTATTATCGGCAAGCTTGTCCCCCAGCGCGACGAATCCATCGTCATGAAGCTATCCCTTCCCAAAGGAACTCTCGAGGCTTGCGGAGGTAATCTGCAAAAATCAATTGCTTCTGTGCCTTCAAACAGAGTCAAAATCGTGCCTGTGGGTATTGTAAATAATACGATTAGATTCCGCGAAATGTCAGACTTTCAAATGCGATTGGACAATGTGCCTTCAGCAAATGAATTCAATGAGAGTGTGGGATCTTTAGATTGGAAGAGTGTTAGAAACTACGTTCAAAGTATTCCGGATGAGGACTCCAGACCGTTCGAAAATATTAATAACCTTATCATTGATCGTACGTCTAAAATTCCAAGCTCAGATTTTCAGCTCCCACCTCCCCCACGATTTTCGATGGTTAATATTCCATTTCTTTACAAATTTCGTGGTAACCCGTATGCCACAAAATCATCCAGCGGTGAATCGACCGTGAGAGGGACATATCTTAAAAACTACCAGCAGCTCGTGCACATTTTTGATGAAAATGCTCGAATTCCGACAGCCGCACATCCTTTGCTGCAAAAGGATTATCAAAAAGCCGAAGAATCTGGAGTGTACCCCGGTAGCAATAAGGACTCCAAGTTTTATGAGAAGCTTGAAGAGTGTTTAAAAATACTTACCGAGGCTTTCGCGAAGCGACCAATTTGGGTTAAGCGTCACATTGACGGATTGGTCTCACAGGACCTACATGGAACACTGAAGATTGCGCTCTCGTTGGTATCATATCGCTTCACGAAAGGACCATGGAGGAACACCTATATCAAATTCGGTATTGATCCACGAAGCTCCCCTGAATATGCCAAATTTCAAACGGAGTATTTTAAGATTGAAGGTAAGCTCCAAAAGTCTCCTTTGGCTGCTAAGAACATGCCAGATCCCCCAGCCAAGTTTTACGAAACTGATACTCTGGGAGATATCGACAGTCGATTTCGTTTCGACGGAACGCAGATCCCTTGGTACTTAATGTTACAAATCGACCTTCTAATTTATGAGCCGAATATCGCCGAGGTGTACTCCAAAGCGATTTTCTTGGCTAAGCCCACCGAGCTTACGGGCTGGTTTCATGAACTCGATTTGACCAAGATTAGGAAAATTGTAAAGTATGAACTGGGCTGCCTGGTGCAAGGAAACTCGCAATTTAGCGAGTATAAGCTCAAATTTTTCAAAAACATGCTCTACACCAAGGAATCAATGATAGACAAAGAAAAGCATCTGGACCCCGATGGAGATACAGAAATGGCGGAATCTGAGCGTTCAAGCGAAGCACGGGGAGAGACAAATGAAAATGGGGAAGACAAAGAAGGAGAAGAAGAAGTAGAAGATGACGATGATGATGACGATGATGATAATGGTGTAGAGGCAGGCGAAGTAGATGACGCTGTGATGGAGCAAGATGAAGAAGACATGACATATGATGACTACGAAACGCAACCCAAAAGACAAGGTCTCCCGCAAAATTTACAAGAGGATAATTCCCTAGATCCAGCCTTTGATATAACAAACGCCGGCTTCGCCCAAATTGTGTCCCAAGTAGCCCAAAGAGATCCGGAAACGGCCGCAAAGCTTCGAAAGGAGCTTGATGGTTTTGTACTTCAATGCGACTTATCGAATTCCAGCTAAGGAGCTACTTGTAGAGTTATCTTTGAAGTCTCTCACGTCACATTCGTAGGGAGAGACTAAAAAAAAATTTTCGAAAACTTAACCTTCAATCCCATACAAGAGCTCATCGCAGACGCTATTCGAGTTTCGAAATCGCTACCCGCCAGTGCAGTCTTAGGTTAGTTCATAAGTGGCAATGCTGAGCTTTTTGATTGCAAAAAGATTCGCTTCTGGAGCGTACCATGGTGCTACTCAGGTGTCGATTCCCAAGAGACCATTAAAAAAGATCAAATTAGGGAAAGCGAGACCCGCCATATACCACAAGTTCGATGTACAAGTCGAATTGAGCGATGGTAGTGTCATTACAAGACGATCCCAGTTTCCAAAGGCGCAAATACGTCTGATCCAGGACCAGAGAAACAATCCATTGTGGAACCAGAGTAGGGACGACTTGGTGGTCGTAGATGCCAACGCAGGTGGTAGACTAGACAAGTTTAAGCAGAAATATGACTCTGTATTCAGTTTCGAAAACGCGCCTTCCAAGCAGCCGGCTGCCGAGGCTAAAACGCCTGTTCAAGAAAAACCCGAACAACAGGATGACGATGAGTTTGGCATGGATGACTACATGTCTCTACTGAACGATAATGCCCAACAAGTTCAAAGTGGTGGTAAACTAGCAACTAAGAAGAGGGACAAGAAATAAGCTATATCTCCTGGCTGGTAAACAAAATCTTCTAATCAATCTTATTCGCATCTAAATACGTCAACTTGTAAATTTTAAAATCATAAAATCTCTATTTAAAACTACACTTTCGTATGTAAAGTTAAGCAAGTATTTCATCCTCATACTACGAACGATGGGTAGTGTATTTCTACCGCATCTACACACTGGGTGGCATGTGGACCAAGCTATCGTCACTGAACAAGAGCGGCTGGTCGTGATAAGATTCGGAAGAGATTGGGACAAAGACTGCATGTTGATGGACGAAGTTTTATTCTCTATAGCAGAGAAGGTGAGGAGATTTGCCGCCATATATATTTGTGATATTGATGAAGTGACTGATTTCAATGATATGTACGAACTCTACGATCCCATGACGGTCATGTTTTTCTATCGAAACAAGCATATGATGTGCGATTTTGGAACCGGTAATAATAATAAAATGAACTTTGTCGTTGAAGATAAGCAAGAAATGGTGGATATCCTGGAGACTGTTTTTCGAGGGGCTAGGAAGAACAAGGGTCTTGTGGTTTCGCCATATGATTATAATAATAAGCGCGTATAACATATTCCACACTATAGAGAAGGAGAAAGGCAGAACTCACGGCATTCAAAATACCTGTTTAAAGCACGAGGATACAATACAGTGGCCAAGTCAAGCAAATGCAACAAATTGCAAAGACACCGGCGTGAACGTCAGGTAGCCCTGCTGTTTAGGACCAAACGCCGATTGTTTACAATACTCAAAAAATTGGTGGATCCAAGATAGTACAGTAACCTAATTTGTCCGATTTACTTTCTCTCTGCAAGGTCTAAGCACTATCAGCTAGAAATTTAAGGACTAAATGCGTAGCATATTATCTCAAGGCAGCCAACAAAAAACGTTCCATACCTTTGTATTCTCGAGAGCGGAGTTATTGGCGTAAAGATTGTTGACACAATGCTTCAAGCATTAAATGTTATATGAAGATCATTTTGGAGATTTCAGACTCCATACCTTTGTGCAAAGAACCGCCAAGTTATACCTACGAGTAACTAAATAAAATATCAGGCGTTTCAGATATTACTTAGCATCTCAACTGATGCCAAGGAAGGCTCCAATGATGAATGCTCGTTCTGATTGCCATCATGCCTTGTTAACTTCGTTCCATCGCACGAATACATATCCATCTTTACTTTCTTTCCTCGAGTCAACGAAAAGAATTGAAAAATTTTAGAAATTTGAAGCTTTCCTAAATAAAAGGCGATTTGAGCAGTATAAAGCACCTCAATTGCAGGCTTATTTGGTCGTTTTTCGGACGTGATTAACAAGCTATAAAAGTGAGGTTTTTCAACTTGATCAAAAGTCCTGTTTCGTGCCGATTTTATCATCAACTTCCCAAGAAATCGGTCAAGATCAAGAAAATGAGCGTTGAGGAAATTTCACAGGCCAGAAGCACCGTGCCCTTCTCCAGGGAAACCTTAGAAAGTGTTTTGAAAAGAAGATTCTTCTTTGCGCCCTCCTTCGAGCTTTATGGTGGTGTTTCCGGTCTTTACGACTACGGTCCTCCCGGTTGCGCATTTCAGGCCAATATCGTTGATGCCTGGAGAAAACACTTCATCTTAGAAGAAGACATGCTCGAAGTGGACTGCACAATGTTGACACCACATGAAGTTCTCAAAACATCAGGCCACGTCGACAAATTCTCTGATTGGATGTGCAGAGACCTAAAGACCGGTGAGATCTTCAGAGCTGATCACTTGGTTGAAGAAGTGCTTGAATCTCGTTTGAAAGGTAACCAAGAAGCCCGTGGTTTAGTCAAGGATGCCAATGCCAACGCCCAAGACGATGCTGATAAGAAGAAAAGAAAGAAGAAAGTCAAGGAAATAAAAGCCGTGAAGCTTGATGATGAGGTCGTAAAGGAGTTTGAAGAAGTCTTAGCAAAGATTGACGGTTACTCCGGGCAAGAATTGGGTGAACTGATGGTCAAATACAGTATCGGCAATCCAGTTAGTGGTGAAGCTCTAGAAGCACCAAAAGCTTTTAACTTGATGTTCGAAACCGCTATTGGACCATCGGGCCAGATAAAGGGCTACCTAAGACCTGAGACCGCTCAAGGACAGTTTTTGAACTTCAACAAATTGTTAGAATTCAACAATCACAAGGCGCCTTTTGCCTCTGCATCTATCGGTAAGTCTTTTAGAAACGAAATTTCCCCAAGATCTGGTCTCTTGAGAGTTCGTGAGTTTTTAATGGCGGAAATTGAACATTTCGTCGATCCTCTGAAGAAAACCCACCCGCGTTTTGAGGAGGTGAAAGACGTTAAACTGAAATTTTTGCCTCGCGAAGTTCAACAATCGGGATCTACTATCCCCGTGGAGTCTACCATTGGCGATGCAGTTGCGACAAAGATGGTTGATAACGAGACTCTAGGTTACTTTATTGCCCGTATCTACATGTTCCTAACTACAATTGGTGTGGACCCAACTAAGCTGAGATTCCGTCAACACATGGCCAATGAAATGGCTCATTATGCTGCTGACTGTTGGGATGCTGAACTAAAAACCTCATACGGTTGGATTGAATGTGTTGGATGCGCAGACAGATCCGCTTATGACTTAACCGTTCACGCTAACAGAACAAAGGAGAAGTTGGTGGTCAGACAAAAATTGGAGGAACCAGTTCAAGTAACCAAATGGGAGATAGAACTAACCAAAAAGCTTTTTGGACCCAAGTTTAGAAAAGATGCGCCAAAGGTCGAGAGCTTTCTGTTGAGTCTAACACAGGAAGAGTTGGAATCTAAGGCCAAGGACTTGAAGGACGCAGGTAAGATTGTCTTTTCGATCGATGGTATTGATGGCCAAATTGAACTAGACAGCAAATTTTTGTCTATCGAACAAATTACCAGAACTGAGCACGTTCGTGAGTTTGTTCCTAATGTCATTGAACCATCTTTTGGTATTGGTCGTATCATTTACTCTATTTTTGAACACTCTTTCTGGTCCAGACCTGAGGACACCGCTAGATCTGTTCTTTCTTTCCCACCATCAGTGGCTCCGACTAAAGTCCTTTTGGTGCCTCTATCTAACCACGCAGATTTGACTGCCACGACTCAAGAAGTGTCAAAGGTTTTTAGAAAAGAAAAAATTCCTTTCAAAGTTGATGATTCTGGTGTTTCGATCGGTAAGAGATATGCTCGTAACGACGAATTGGGTACTCCTTTCGGAGTGACCATCGACTTCGATTCTGCTAAAGATGGTACTGTTACTTTGAGAGAAAGAGACTCTACCAAGCAAGTCAGAGGATCTGTTGAGGACGTGGTCAAAGCCATTCGTGAAATTACCTACAACGGTGTTTCGTGGGAAGAAGGTACCAAATCTTTGGAGCCTTTTGCTTCTCAAACTGATTAAATATGTAGTATATATATCATAATTACTCTTGTCATGAACGTCACATCAAGGTTTTGACTTCGTAGATTTCTGAATCGAGTTGATTTTCTTCAAGTTAGAGGAAAAATGAAAATCAAGAACTTAATTCATAAATTAATCTCAATAACGGTTAACAGCAAGAGCAACCATAATAACCGATCTAATGTCTGGCATGATAAGAGAAGCTGCGAAACAACTAGTTAGAAGCTTAGAAAAACTTCCGGAAGAGAGAGTGAAGCACATAGTTTCCTTGAAGGGATCTCAACTAGAACGGTATAAATATATTGCAGGACTCGAAACTGGTTCCCAAGGCTCGAAACAGAAACCTTCATTACAAGACATCAAAGACATCATCAACAGAACTTCAGGACCATTAGGCTTGCAAAAAGACACTTTGAAAAAAGCGCAAGATGTAATTCCTGAGGAACAGTTCACTGCGGAAACCATCCAAGAGCAAGCGCAGTCTCTCAACACAATTTTGAGCAACAAATACAGAGATTACTATTCAGTTGGTGATAAGTTGCTAAAACCGCAGGGGAACCCCGTTTATTACCAGCGTCTGATGGATGAGATCGAGGGTAAAAAGAAGGAAACATTTTGGACTGCCATGAGAACTGTTGTTTTGGGGAAGTAATCAGCAAAATTATCGATTCGTGTACATTATTTTCCGCTACATTTTAGCTCCGCTGGGTAGGTAGACTTCATCTCTGTACATATTATTTAAAGACTCCAAACTATCGCCTTGACCACACAGTTTATTTGGCAAAGCCTATCGACACGACAGCATCTCCCCACTGGTGAGATGCCCCCAGATTATCCATAATCTTGGACGCATGTGGTATGCTATCGTATTCGACAAATGCGAGGTTTCTTACGCCAACAAGTCTAATCTCCACGAAGCCCTCACCCTGGAAAAGGTTTGAAACTGTCTCCTGCGATACACCGGAGGGCAGATTTTGAACCAAAAGGATCTTGTTTGGTGGGTTCCCCGTCACATCGGCGGTGTTCTTCTTCTTTTTGGGTGCGCTCTCGCTTGGTGAAATTTTTGATCTCTTCGAGCTCGCAGTGGTAATGGCCGCAGATTTGTCTCGAACAGTTTCATCGACAATCTTTTGAATTGCGACAGGCGCAAGACCTTTGGTCGTGAGTTTATGTCGTAGTCTTCGTAGCTGACGTTTGACTTTCTTGTTGGCTTCATCTTCCACTTGCTTCTGGGGTTGTCTTTGGCCTCTGACTTCCATTATATTTTCGATTCCTCGTCTTCCGGTAAGCAAATAACCGCCTAGTAGAGATTCCTGAGCTGCAAAAGCAACTTGCAGCTTGCGGCCTCGTACCGAAAGTTTTCCCTTGAATTGCTCAACAAAGTCCTTTGCGCATTGGTAATTCACAAACGTAAGAAATCCTTGTGAATCGTATCTCCCACAGTTGGTTCTTGAGAAAGATAAAACACCAAATTTTTTATCCAAGAGCTGTAACTGCTTCAGACTTTTCAGACAGATTGAGGTTTCCAGGGGTCGTAACCGTCTTTTTATGAGCTTCATATCTTGAACATCCAAAGCAGGATCTTGCTTGGACTGGTAGTCCTGAAAAAGCTTACGAAAGGCACCAATGGTAAAGTCATGCGCGTTGCTCGGTTGGTACGCAGCGTCCAGCACCTGGAAAAAGCCGCTTATTGTAGCTTTAAACTTAGCATCATCTTTTGAGATTTGGTTCTCTATGGCTAATTTAGCTTGTCTGTAGCTTTGCATTGCTTCTTCTGAGCGTATTTGCTCGTAGATTATTCTTCCATTGTCATTTGGTAGCGCTTTCAAATTGATTCGAGGTAAAGGAAGGTGGATGTCTTGAACGAAGCGATTTTCTGGATTGAAAGACTTCAGTAGAACTCGAATGAACGCATCTTCACTAGCAGGTCTTCGAGGTAACTTCGCCAGGTGAACACTTAACGAAGATCTGTTGGGAGATGTTAAGACTTCCTTTTCGGCAAATGAAACTTCAGTCATGACTATTGATAGTGTAGTAGGGGTCGAAATATGAATCGGGCTAGATAGTTATTGTGAGGTTGTGCAAAAGTTCATCAGCAGTTTTTTATTACCGAAAGCTTTGAGAACTACTATTTCTCGATCAACTTTATCTCAAGCCTTCTTCAATTGATTGTCATTGTTTAAAAATCGATAGAAATGTATTTTAAAAACTTTACAAATTATAATGATGTTAATTATATATACCCAAAGTTTTCAAACTTACTTCTTGGCAGCCTTGACAGCAGCCTTGGTGACCTTACCAGCCTTGTCAGACTTGTCAACAGACTTGATGACACCGACAGCAACGGTTTGTCTCATGTCTCTGACGGCAAATCTACCCAAAGGTGGGTAGTCAGTGAAGGCTTCAACACACATTGGCTTGGATGGAACAAACTTAACCAAAGCAGCGTCACCGGACTTTAGGAATTTTGGAGAGTCTTCCAATTTCTTACCGGATCTTCTGTCGTTCTTCTCCAACAATTCGTCGAATCTACAGGCAATGTGGGCGGTGTGACAATCCAAGACTGGAGAGTAACCGGCCGAGATTTGACCAGGGTGGTTTAGAACAATGACGGTGGCGTTGAAAGAAGCAGCGGCCTTTGGAGGGTCGTTCTTAGAGTCACCGCACACGTTACCTCTTCTGATTTCCTTAACGGAAACATTCTTGACGTTGAAACCAACATTGTCACCTGGCATACCAGCTTCCAATTGTTCGTGGTGCATTTCCACGGACTTGACTTCAGTGGTGACACCGGCTGGGGCGAAGGTAACAACCATACCTGGCTTGATCATACCGGTTTCGACTCTACCGACTGGCACCGTTCCGATACCACCGATCTTGTAGACATCTTGCAATGGCAATCTCAATGGCTTGTCAGTTGGTCTGGAAGGAGGCTCAATGGCGTCAATGGCTTCCAACAAAGTCTTACCCTTGTAAGAACCAGACTTGGTCTCCTTCTCCCAACCCTTGTACCATGGGGCGTTGGTGGTAGGCTCAATCATGTTGTCACCGTTCCAGCCCGAGATTGGGACGAAAGGAACAGTCTTTGGGTTGAAACCAACCTTCTTGATGAAGTTGGCGGTCTCCTTGACAATTTCTTGGTAACGAGACTCGTCCCACTTGACGGAGTCCATCTTGTTGATAGCAACAATCAATTGCTTAACACCCAAAGTGTAGGCCAACAAGGCGTGCTCTCTGGTTTGACCGTCCTTGGAGATACCGGCTTCGAATTCACCGACACCACCAGCAATGATCAAAACGGCGCAATCGGCTTGCGAAGTACCGGTAATCATGTTCTTGATGAAATCTCTGTGACCTGGGGCGTCAATGACGGTGACCATGTACTTAGGAGTTTCGAACTTCCACAAAGCGATATCGATGGTGATACCTCTTTCTCTCTCAGCCTTTAACTTGTCCAACACCCAAGCGTACTTGAAAGAACCCTTACCCAATTCGGCGGCTTCCTTCTCAAACTTTTCGATGGTTCTTTTGTCGATACCACCGCACTTGTAAATCAAGTGACCGGTGGTGGTCGACTTACCGGAGTCGACGTGACCGATAACAACAACGTTGACGTGAGACTTCTCTTTACCCATTGTGTATGTGTTAGTTAGATGGAACTTTCAAGAAAAGAATATCAATATATGATAGAAGAGAGATAAACTGTCTTGAAACCAGGGGTCTGCGCTCCTGGTCTTTTATATGCTGATCTGTCCATAGAGCCTATGCAATATTTCTATAAAAAAAAATTTTTTTCAATTTGCCACCGTGGGGGAAGACGCCGGCCGAAGTATTGAGAGCAAAAAAAAGAAACGTCCTAGGCGGGACGGTCGTTCTCTAGGCAGAGATTTCTAGGCTCACCAGCCTGTCCATTAGTGAGAGTTAGGCAGGGCGAGGCTGGGTTAGGCGGAAACCAGGCTGGAGCTAGACAGAAGCTAGGCAGAAGCTAGGCAAGGATTCTGGCAGGGCTCTAGGCCGAGCCTCATCTTTGGCTGCACGCTCGTAACTTGACGCACAATGTTCGCAAATGGCAAAGTTCGAGAAGATGGGGGTAACTGTTTCGAGCAACGGCAGGCGATGGCGAAAATGCAGGGAAAGTTTGATTTTTTTAGGAAGGTGACAGAAAAGTTGACGGGTGGCTGGGTTCGAGCAGTCAAAGGTGAGATTTGATCTGTCATGTGATGTGGTGGGGGTGCTAGGGCCGTTAGCGATCAGGGTCGTAACCGTGTATAGAGAGAAATGTGGCATTCGCGAGCATAGCGAACAGGAGAGGAAGTGGCTTCACGACCATATATTATTGTACGCTTCCAGATCTCAGATATCTCACTCAATTGTGTTTTGTGAGCTTCAAGATCTCACATACTCCCCTTAAGTGTGCATTGTAAGCTTCAATCTCAGATACACGGCTTCAGTGTGCATTGTAAGCTTCAATCTCAGATACACAGCTCAAGTGTGCATTGTAAGCTTCAATCTCAGATACACAGCTCAAGTGTGCATTGTAAGCTTCAATCTCAGATACACAGCTCAAGTGTGCATTGTAAGCTTCAATCTGAGATACTCCCCATAAGTGTGCATTGTAAGCTTCAATTTCAGATACACGGCTCAAGTGCGTATTGTAAGCTTCAATCTCAGATACACCGCTCAAGTGTGCATTGTAAGCTTCAATCTCAGATACACCGCTCAAGTGTGCACTGTAAGCCTTAATCTCAGATACACGGCTCAATTATGCTCCAAGATCTCGAATATCTCACTCGATTGTGCATGGTGAGCTTCAAGATCTCACATACACCGCTCAAGTGTGCATTGTAAGCTTCGATCTCACATACACCGTTCAAGTGTGCATGGTAAGCTTCAAGATCTCATATACTCCACATAATTGTGCTTCAAGGTCTCACATACTTCACTTGATTGGGCATTGTACGCTTCAAGATCTCCTGGCACTATGCCCGTGGCGCCGTTGGGCAATTACTCGCGGGTAAATTAGATATTATAGCATCCACCAATTACTCGCTGACGCACCATGATACTCAATTGCGAGGCAAGAGGAAAGTACGATCCCCTACAACCACCGTAGATTATAAGATGCCAATTTTTTTTAACCGTTGCATATTTTCTCCGTGGTTCATGAAATGGACTTCTAGGGCATAGGACTCCAAAAAATAAAGAAGGCACGAGCGGGAGCAAAAGTGTGGGGCAAACACACTGGTGTCTTGGACGCATAGCCTTAAAATAATTATCAATAAATCTTGATAGCCAAAAAGCGGCGGTTGCAATTATTGACCAATCTCGGTATACTGAAAGATCATTGGCGCTTATATGTTCTTAAACGGCATAAGGTGTTCGCGTACGCAGACCCGCCGCAACCGCACTGATAGTTACGCGTTGTAACAGGATGCAGCCAATAGAATTTGTGTCATCTACTAACGCCTTGAAATTTGTACTCTCCTTCAGGTGTGATCTTTCTAGATTGTCATCAGATTGGATACTTACCTGTGTCCAAAAGATGTCCCGAAAAGCTAATTATGCTATGCGCAAAGACTCCCAGGCAGCGCAATTTGATCTGGGGATTTCGCATTACCTTTACATTTACGCCGAAGACCCTGATAGACTGCATTTTTTTTTAATCTTCTGCAGCACGCGTCTGACTTCGGACTTCGCAGCTTTTTCCGTAAAGTACCACCAATCAGCTCTCATAGTGGGGCGGTACTAAAGATGACAGCAACTGAGATTGCCTTCATCGACAAGCCTTTAATATTGCTCCTAAAAATGCAAATGGACACGCTAAATTAGTTTTTATTAGAAGCTGGATAAGTCTTTACGTGAGATACACTGAAAAAGCATCAGTGTTTATACATTTCTTGGTCGGTCGGATGCGCCCATCTTATCAATTCATACATATGGCAATTCTAATAGGATATAGCCGGCTTTCTGCCGTTCCACCGCGTTGCGAGTAGAATCATTGCAGTAGATGATATTTACAATATGTTCAATATCACTTCGTACTATTTTGACGTAAATTAGGTTCCTACAATAACATCTGCCCAGGTCTATTAAAATAGCTACGTATCAGTATTACTTATTTCTGAAGGCGTCAAGTTTTGCGGCGCCATCCAACTTTGTAAAGTGTTAACAAACAAGAGCCGCGGACCATGGCTAAATGCCCAAAAAAAAAGTATACCCTTCAACATTAAGCAGTATACGAGAGCGAAACATTTCCACTAGCTAAGTTTTCTACCTCTACGTAGCTTAATTGAAACTTAAAAACTCGGAACACTGAAAAATTAGCCGTGTCAAGACATTTTCCAAACAGCTGAAATCGAACAACTTACCTAACCATATAAACAAATAGGGTTCATCCATTTTCATTACAAATTCCAATATCGACCTTGGAATTTGACCTTTGCGTTTGACCACATTACAATATAAAACTGTATTAAATTAATTTTGGGCTTCGGTATGTAAAAGCACCTCACAGAGCATAGTCACCATCTCATTCCATTATTAAGCATGCTCACCAATCAATTAAAGTCTTATTCCTATACATCATGGTGGATTGGTTACCAACGATCAGTGGCAGCAAGTTGAGTGATGATAGACAGAGCGCCACGCGTCATATAACCAATTACACAATGAGCCCTTATCGGTTGTCACTCGTCACAAATTTAAGATTTCGGCCAGAGCTGAGAAATACTTTTTTCCTTCCTCATCCGAAGCAACCTTTTTGAATTCGAATGTAGTTCCAGAAGTTGCGTTTACTGTTCGGCATTGTACATCCTGACCCTTTTACTTGTCTCAGACTGATTTCCAATTTGCTTCTAATACGTTTCCAGGTTACTTATTTTCAATAAGAATAGAATTTCTTGATCGATGGAACTTTCTGTCAACCCCTTTTTCCTTCCGGCCAGGCACCTTTGACAGCGCGGTATAAAATGATGAAGGGAAGACTTAAGGCCTGAGAAACTTAAATACTATTCGTACTTAAGCCATCGCAGCTTTCCTTCAAGGACATTTATTGCTGAAAAAAAGCTCGACGTTGTAAATAACATGAAACACACTCGCAAGGTTACTTTTTTCTTTGCATAATTCTTCGGGATAGGGACTCGCTCTTACCTAAAATGAAAGCAGCTCTTGTTACGAGGCAAGTATGTGCCTACAAAATCAAAGCACTTTTGATGTATTTAGATTTCTACTTATGTTCGCAGCATAACATCTGTCATTGAGCTTTCAGGCTCAGTTTGCGAGTGCGATCTATGTGGTCAATTTCTGAAAGGTTGATGTGGAGGGTCAATCATCATCTAGCTCAAGGCAGTAATGAAATAGCTGACACCGATTCACGCGCATATTGAAACGCACATCTATTGTTTTAGTGATGTGTCTTGTTTTCGACTTTTCCTTGCTCGGCGGAAGTAGGACCTAAGTTCATCAAGCGAAAAATGATTACATCATGTGGGGTCTAAGCTAGGTGAAGGCCACGGAATTGCAGGTTTCATATGAGTCAAAAAATTGGACCTTCCTCTTAACGCTCGTTAAGGCCATTGTTAAAAAATTTCTCGGTTAGCCATATGTCGAGGGCAATTGAAGAGCTGTTATCCACCTTTGTGTAGCCCACAATAAGAAGCGGGGGTCGCCTGCGTTCAGCTGCTAGCGCTGGTAGCATCGAGGTTATCTAAAAGCCTGTTTTGGGCCTCAATGTCTCTAACCAAAGAGTCGGTGCTGGGATTTCGGTACTGAGGCGAAGTGCTTAATTTTATACCGGCATTTTTGGCAGGTGCTCCGAATCGGAATACATTCTTAAAGACACGTCTCCAGCTAGAAGGACGTTCAATGGTTTCCCAATGTGGTCTAGCATCTATCACGGTGGATTCGTTATTGTACCGCAATCTTGCGCGCACTCTGCCATAAAACCAGCGTCTACCCCACTCCACAAGGAAAAAGACTAAGAAAATTCCAAAAAATATGCCCAGCACATTGACATCGTTACTCTTGTGGGATGTAGGGCAAGCGTAGATGCTTTTTACCTCGAAAAAATAGGAACAATTATGCAAAGATCCCACAAAATTTATTTGAGCTTTGGTCGAAATTTCCTTGTCGCACACAAAATTCAGAATTGATGCGCGCCTATCTACACCATTGGGACACATATCGCCATTTTCGTAAGCTAATGTTAGCTTTTTGCCCATAAATCGGGGTGTCGTCGCAAAATCACCAATTGAGACCTCTTGGTGTTGGTCGGGGTCCACGTAGTAGGCGCCAGTTGAGTTCGAAACCGAATCTTCGTCCGTTGTAGGACTAGAACATATGCCTAGCGTAAAGTTGAGGTTTACCTCCCGCGAACGGACCATCCATCGCGTCTTTTCCCAGTCTTTGCGGTCTCTGTTGTGATCAACTTTATGAAGGTTATTCGGGGTCGTAGAAAGTTGGGACAGGTCTATGTAGTTTCCTGTGAGCGGATTCATCACGGCACAAAAGAGCTCTTTGTCGCCTGAACTAATATCAGAGCTCGCGGCGTGCCTATTGACCATTTTTTTGATGTCACTACGGAAGCCTTTGGACTCGCCAGCACTGATGATGCTGTGTTGAGTTGCAAATGTTGATGATGGCTCCAATTAGCTAGGCATACTAATGATACAACTCCGAGAAACGCTAGCACGATCTTTTTGTAGGGTATGAATATCATCAGTCGGTACGTTGAGCAGTTGGATAAGCGAGGATTAGGTTAATTTATTTAATTATCTTATAACTAAGCATCACTTTAAAAAAACATAATTACCACAAGAGATAAACGTCTTTCATTCATCCAATATGTGCTGTTGTTGTGTTTGCTGTACCGTATCTGATCTCATACTATATGTTGTCGCCTTCTTTCTGCCTCCGGTGGGTGTTTTACTGAGAAGTGGATGTTGCTCATCAGACTTCTTACTAAACATTTTGTTGACAATGTTGGGGGTCATTCCTGGAATGATTCATGCTTTCTACTATATAACCATTACAAGTCCTTTGCGAAGAGAGGAAACGAGATATTACTATCAAACTGGATGGGAAGATGGCCATCGGAATGGGCCTCAAGGTTCAAATAGCACCCGTGAACAATCCGATAGAGTTGTGAGAGATCAGCCCTCGCCTGTGACACCCCTACTTCCTCACAATGACAAGGCCAAATCTCCATCAAATGCTCCTCCACCATACACTGAAACCGTATGAATTGAAATATCATTCCTTCTTTGTTTTTAAACATGCTGCGATATCATAAAATTTCTGGTCAACTGGTAAATTCAAGGATCTTTTGACGGCGTCCGAAAATGTTTACAAGGCAGCAGTTACAACGACTAGGTCCACTAATATTCGCATAATGCGGGTTTAGGTGTTCAGAATGCGACGACACACGTACACTCCAAAGACGTGCAAGATTTAGCGACAAGCATACTTATTTTCGGCTAGTTATGTTATCTATCGAAATCATTTAGGGATCGTCACTTTTAGCATGCCATCTTACCTATGGGTGGTTTCGGGGCTGTACCGGGAAAAACGCACGAGCGGCCTATGATTTTCTGGCTTTCACGGTTTATTTAATGTTTCAGGTTCCCTTGGTTTCATATTTTGATGTAACTCAAGTTCGTCTCACACATACACGAAGCCACTTGAAAACGAACCTAACACAGAATTATTTCTGACTTACTTTATCTCCAATGGTTAAGTTGATTTTCAAATTACCTTATCTGGTAGCTAACAATTAATTTCATGAGGTTTGAGCTCTTACTTAATGACAGTAAAATGAAAAGCCTCGTCCACTATAAGAGGAAGTGGTAATGTGGGCTCGAGGCAATTAATTCGTTTTAATCAAAACAACAATGCAGTACAAAGAAATAAGTCCTTTGTTTATTGACCGCTATGAAATTGATGACCCTAATGAGCTCACGTTCAAAGTTGCAGCTTTTGATGAAAGTTTGGATCCTGTCACCATGTTAGATACTATTGATCTAGGCTTTGAGAAATCTCGTAGTGCAATTACGGGAGGCTGCTACAGATTTGGAAACATCACAAGCTGTTATAATGGGTATGATTTTTATACGGAGGACTTTCATGATTTGATTTGTTCGGCCCAAAAGCCAGCTAAGATCCAGGTAAATTCACTGGACGCTGATAGCACTTTCACTGCCGCTGTTCGGTCTGTGGGAGAGGTAAGGACATGGGCTAAAAAGATCGCAAATTTACGTAAAAATTAAATACACAGAATCGTGCGTTACAACTAGTTCGACGGTATCGCAAAATCTTTGCCTAAGAGTTATTTATCACAAATAAATATGATAAGCACGGTGGAGTGTTTGGACACCGCTAAGGTGGAATAAGAAGGTGTGACTTTGGCAATGACAACGATTAGTTTAGGCCACAATTGACATTGTACAGGGAGGTGGTCATCTTCTCTGTTTATATACCTAACAAACTCATTCTTATCATCCAAATTCCGATATGGTGTAACGGCTATCACACTCCGCTTTCACCGGGGAGACCGGGGTTCGACTCCCCGTATCGGAGTACATTTATTTTTTGGAAATCTAGCTCTCAAATTTTTAAGCTGCTTTATCTCAAAGTCGAGGGATTTTTAGATATCAGAATAGTTTATCTTTAGATTGAAATCTGATATCTTCTGAGTAAGGACAAATTTCGAGCAAGCTATGCCCGATTGTTTGTCGTGGCTACCTTGTCTTTCATCATTCTTTCATTATACTTGAAACCATCGATACTCTCGGATCTTAATGTTTATCTTTAAAAATGACACGTTAGTGCAAGGTGACCAAAGCTGAAGAAGTGGCTGAACGTGTCAAGAATAGCAAGTTGACTCGAAATGCCGATCAGGGCATTGATGTGCAAGAAATTGTATGTGATAAAGCAACGGTCTATTGTGTGCCCATCCCAATGCACCCAGGAATGAAGCTGCTGCAGTTTATATTCAGCTTGCTCAGAACTACGTCATCAGAGCTAATTTGTTGAAAGAGTTGTGTGAACCGCAGCGCTTAATTCTCTTTGTCCAGGTTTCATCAATCACATCCACAAAATCTACAGTATAATTTACATAATCGAGTTCATGTCTATGGATATTCAACTAGGTGATTAAATTTGTTCATTGACGTTATTACCAACTCTATTACCAAACTCTAATTCGGTAATGGGAAACTTGAAAGCCAATAATGAATTTGATTTTTTTTCCAAACTTGCCTGCTTTCTCACCAGCTATAATAAAACCCTGTGAAGTTCAAGTGCGATGGCGTTGAAATCGTTTAGTCCTGTCCAGGCCAGCAGAAAGGTTCAAAAACGTACCCAAAGCGACGAAATCTTGGCAAATCCTTAATGTCATTTCTGAGTTTAATCTTCCTGAACAGTCCCGGTTGAACGACAACCGCGGCATGTGGGGTGTACGTGGGGGCAACGCCCACTCATAAGGGGTGAAGCGGCTTATGTGCGTATAAGACTAAGTAGGTACAAGTGATCTACTTGCTATCCTTGTGATCTCCCAACCACTCCAACATGTAGCTGACATCTTTGGCAACGGTCTTTGCTATCATGCTGTTTTGTACCCATTTGGGCACATTTCCACCAGCATCACTTGTGAGAGCCATCTTCCAGGTGAGTTGCTCGGTTTTCAGGTTGTATTCAAGTGTTTCGACACTTGCGTAGGTAGCATGTGTATGCGCCACAGGGTCATTCAAGGGAGCGTCTGCCACGAGCGAAACGACTATGCTAGTCTCGATATCATTATCGGAGCTTTTGAAAGGTGGAACGACGTAAACCCATTCATTAAACTCACGCGTCGTCAAGGGCTTTCCGAGTTCGTATTCGAGGTTCACTGCTACCCAACCTGAGTCTGTGGTCTCCAAGACCTCGACATGTGTCAAAGTCTCGATATAGTCTATCTCGATGCGTGAGCGAGCGGTCCTATCTGGCAGCTCCCAATGAGAGCCCTCTTTGACACTACCATTTAGGACTTTGACCAACCGCTCGTAGGTTGCGGCATCTAGGTGATGCTCACTCACGCGGCTCAACCAGTATTCCTTTTCTCGATTGGTATAATACGTCTGCACCGCCACTTTATCGGAATCTAGCGTAGGGTTGAGGCCCAGCGTGTTATGATAACATTTGCCTTTCTTCCAGCTCACGCAGATTTGGTCAATAAGCTCTTTTGCTTCCTTCACGATTTCTGCTTGAGTGGTTGGAAGGTCCGCTTTCTTGAACGGCCTGGCGGTAAGTTCAAATGGCATCCGAAAGCTAATTATGCGATTGAATTTGCCTAACTTTGGAAATGAAAGGAACTGTGAGGATATTGGTGAGTAAACATGCTATTGTCAGAATTCATAACCAAATATTTTAGCAAAGGGATGTAATATCAGTTTATTCGTGACTAGTTATCTCAATTTTGACTTTGGCTCTAAAACATCTATGAATCCAAAACGTAACAAGTGTTAATATCCAATTAACTGCACGTATTCTTCTCTTTACGTGCCATCTCGATTTATCAATTTCGAAAGTATCTTACAAGCTATGCAACGAGATAGCTTATATGTTCCACCTATTTAAGTGGGCGGCTATGTAACAAAAAATAAATGCTGCTGGTAACATATATGTAAAGGTTGTCACGGAGCGTTTCGACATCAGATTATTTTGCTGAATATGCATCAACTCGCTCCTATGTGCTTATGCTTGGCATACATCTTTGTAGATCAAATATATTCAGGCGATGAGGTAGGGGCATAAATGAATGACTAAATGACAACCAAATTACTTTCAAGAAGAATAGATGGAATGTATAAAATGGTGCTACATTCCGCAGGCTCTCTCGACTAAGCCCGAGAGGATCGTACCTCGAAAGGCACGAATCAATAACAGGAACGTCCACTACGATTTGAGAAAGAAAAGATCCGTAATTGGAAGAATCGGGAAAATGTCTATATCTGCAACTTCGATGCCGCTAATTATTGAGGTACGTGATAAGCAAACGGGGGCCGAACACTGGATACAACGGCGTTTTTGTTTGATAGGACTAAAGAGGTTAACATTCTTTTCGAATTTTAACCTCATTTGAAGATCAGACAAATCTCGAAAAAAATTCGTGACAAATATTATCGATCAACCCTCCGTCCCGAGAAAGATTTAACGTTTTAAGCTCTTCGAAATCTGAGCAAGGGTCCCTATTCTTTGTTACTGGTCTCGTTGCAATCTTTGAGAAGCGTTCATAGTGGCATCTTTAATCTATCGAAATGGATACGGGTATAACTACTTTGAGACCGACCAAGACTGTGGGTCTTGAATATCGTCGAGGCGCATGGGACGGGTCCTTGGACAGAGACTTGTACAAGCGTTCACAGTCCGCATCTGGATCACAGTCTTCGTCGTCAGCAGAAGCCACTTCTGCAGGATCTGGATGTGTAACATGTACCGGAACCCCGGCGTGTCCAGTGTGCGCTGACGACGAACAATGCGCCCTTTCCCTTCTGCGTTGCGACCAGTGTCCTCAGACGTACTGTGCCAAGAAAAGCGGGTCTTTGGTGTCCAGTTCCGGGTCTTCGAGTGCGGCCAGCGCGACAAGCTCCTCATCTTCGTCCAAATCTCAAAACAATTCTGGCAAGATCGGTGGTATCGTTGGTGGTGTAGTCGGTGGTATAGCCGTTATCGTAGTGCTGTTGCTGATATATTTGTACTCCAAATACTGGCGTAAAAATAGAGCTCGAAACAAGGACGTTTTGGTGGCACACGAAGAATTTGGTGAAGATTACGGTGACGAAGACAATGGACCATCCGGCATGGATGGATCTGGTGCTGGCGGCTTCCCCGATAGCAACCGAGACTCAAGAGGTCTCTACCAAGCGAGAAACAGGAGCTCGGCTGCTACACAGATGACTAAAGCTTCTAATATCTTACCCATCGCATATATTCCTGGTGTTACTGCAGGAAGTCGAAGCAAAAACAAACTACCGTCTTTGCCTCGACATTTGCTACGTAATGGTGATACCAGGTCACATATTACATTGGGATCTTCGATTCTGGGAGGAGTCGACGACGACAACGACTTGGACTTGGAACCTCCTGCAAGCGCTAATACTTCGATTCCAGGCGAGGAGTCTATTTACTCCGAGAAGAACAATGGGAACGGATCGCAAGATGCATTGACTACAGCCATTCGGGCACGGCCAAAACTTGTACAGATTAGTGAAGAAGACGACGAAGAGGAAGAAAAACATGATAGTCAGGACGGCGAAACTGAAAAACGGAACCACAGCGGCGCCGAACAGGTTTTTGAGCATGATGATGAAAAAGAGACGTGGGTGGCTTCTGCAGTGATGCCATCAAGTGGCGAAAGCTCACGTCAAGACGAAAGTCACGATCATGAGGAGGATATGCATTCAGACGACGATGGAAGTTTCATTTTTGACGTTGGAATGGAAGAAAGCATACGCAATGTATAGGGACAACAAAGGACCACACGGGAAAGAACTCTGGTAGTTCTTGAATACGAAATATTAGTTTGTGTAATCATAAAGAAGCGGCGTTTTAATAACTGAAGAGAGCTTCAGTTAACAATTGCCGACATGCAGTATATTACGAGAAACGTGGGTTGTCGTGCACTGCAAAATGATGTGATGCTGATTGGCAAGGGTGAAGTACAAGAAATGAGCGTTTATTGTCAATTGAGATTCCAAAATGTTTTGAAGAGTTAAAACCCCTAGGATGCTGTGATTAGTCGCATGTGGCTGTCATTGAAGGGGGAGGCTCTTTCACTGCAGCATCAGCTTCAAGTAGCACAACTATTCTATGGCTGTCTGATAACGTGTTGAATATTTTACGTTTCAGCGCTGGTGTTATTTAAATTAAGAGTACAGAGATTCAACAGCCATATTTTCTCCAGTTATGAGCTAAGGAATATGACTTTATGGCAAACAACACATCTTACAAAAAGAAGAGTAATTTCCTAAACCTGTCCACGAGAACTTACACAGCTGCAATTGGCTTGTTAGCCTTTAACAATATTGTTTACTTCTCGTTATGAGGATCGAATTCCAATGCAATGCTGAGAATGGGTTCAGGGAACGCTGGCGAAAATCTCAACTAGGTATTACGCCATCGCGATGGTCTTTTCGCACTTAATATACGTCACTGTACAGAGCAGACACACAGTTTATTGCAATTATAGCTGAAGGTTTTCTAATTGTAATTGTGAGATCGTCGAACGGGTCAAAGTTTCTAGCTTTACAAAACAGGTTTCTCATTAACGATGCCACGCATTGATTTTGAGTATTCAATTTTTCAGAATTAAATTTCCTTGTGATGTCAGTTATATTGTACCTGGGGTTTTAACTGTACGTGTATTGTTTATTAGGGATACAAGTAAATATTCACCTTGATGGGGTAACTTGCTCCAGTGCCGAGAGTTTTTGTTTAAGGAATCTGAAAGTTATGGTACTACGCCATCGTATCATTTGTTGAGGTTTGTTGTATAATCTTGGTATTCGGTTTAGTATGCGACGAACAAGGGCCTTCCTCGCAATAAGGTTTGTAGCAGCTATAGATTTTTATCTGAGTGAACTTTACATTTGGTGGTGCGCGGGAGTAAATTATCACTTTCGTTAACGTCTCCTGGAACACACTTTGCCTTGTGCGATTGACAATGACACGTTGGTGATAACGGGTGGGTAAACACACCAACATGGGCAGTAAAGCTACGCACTGGCAAGAAGCGTAAACTAGTGATATAGCCGCGGTCCATTGCGCCGGGGCTAATGGACTCAATACAGCAGTCTAGGCTGGTTAGATTAATTCTCCGGTCTAGGATATATTGACGTGATGATAGTGCCAAGTTGCATAATGACGGAGTGGTTCAAAGTAAAATGAAACAATGAGCACTGAAGAACTGGTATAGACTATTCAAGTGGTATGGTGGTAACTTAATGAACGAAACGGCTGATACAATTGCCCTCACTTGTATCCTTTCGAGAGATATACAACGGTCATCTACAACTCTGGAGGAATAAACAAATGTATTAGGAGCGGTCTCGCCTTAATAGGAAAGAATTACACGAAGCTACGAAGCTTTATTGTTACTTGCACTACTGAGTTTTTCCGCGGATCCCTGTGCTAAGGCGTCAAGACATCGATCAGAATGGGATCTTAACGGGAACCCAGAACTATGACATTGTGGTACAAAGTGATAGCAGCAAAACGAAGCCGATCAAATATTCGCAGCGTCATCCCAGAGTAGGGTGGTTCGTGGGAATTCGATTGGGTAGGGATGTTTAGTATCGAAGCATACCTGCGTCAGTAGTTTGCTGTACTGGATATATAAGTGGTCCATAGCGTGTGGTGTGTGGTGTGTGGTGTGTGTACTTAAATCGCATGGGAATCGGTTTTGGTGGCCCTATGGTATAGCTCAATTTGCATGGGAATCGGTTTTGGTGGCCCTATGGTATAGCTCAATTCGCATGGGAATCGGTTTTGGTGGCCCTATGGTTTAGCTCAATTTGCATGGGAATCGGTTTTGGTGGCCCTATGGTATAGCTCAATTTGCATGGGAATCGACATGTTTTGGTGGCCCTATGGTATAGCTCAATTTGCATGGGATTTTACTTGTCTCCGGAGTTCATGGTGCGTCTACTCCGCGTGGAACCCGGTTTATAGAGTTTGGTCCTTATTGACCAAATTCAAATCTTTGAGATTGCTTGTAATGTTTTCAATGGACATGGCTACGTGAACGAGCATTAGCTGGATTAATATATGCGTGATCTTGTGTACTAAAATTGAATTTGGATGACTGGATGAATATCTGCGTGATCTTGTGTACTAAAATTGAATTTGGATGACTGGATGAATATCTGCGTGATCTTGTGTACTAAAATGGAATTTGGATCACTGGATGAATATCTGCGTGATCTTGTGTACTAAAATGGAATTTGGATCACTGGATGAATATCTGCGTGATCTTGTGTACTAAAATGGAATTTGGATCAATTTATGTCAGGATCCGTGGGCTACTGCTAAGATAGCGTCAATTGCAAGATGAAGACGTGATGGTACAAAGTGATATCATCAAACACTGATCGGTCGATGAATTATTCGATACACCTCGAGTCGAAGACAAGTACAGGGCGATATTCGTTGGTGTATCGTACGATTATTGGAAGCTGGGTAATGGCTTTTATGCCCAGCCAGTGGTGTATATGTGCAAACTAGTTGTTGCACTCGTTGGACCAGCCTCATAGCCGAGAGGATTACGGAGAGAAATTAGAATCTCATGTTTGTTTAATGCATCGTGAACGACTTGTGAACGACTTGAAACAGTACGGCAAGCTACGACGAGCGCACATGCCTCGTGAACGACTTGTGAACGACTTGAAACAGTACGGCAAGCTACGACGAACGCACATGCCTCGATACTTTTATCACGCGCTACAACGGGAAGGGATGAAATGACACAGTCGTGCAAAATGATAGAGAGACTGATCTCATCGAGAACTCTGCTGTGGTCCAGTGCCTGCTGGTTTATCCCTATGTCGAGATCTTGAATTCTCACGTGTGTACTACGTAGGAGCGACCGGTCCAGCAGCTCGATGCTTTGCGGTGAAATTTACAGCGTGAAGTTGACAGCGGGCCGTAGGCTTCCCACTACAAGCTACTTCCCACTACAAGCTTCCCACTACAAGCTATATGCCTCGATACTTTTGTCACGCGCTACAACGGGAAGGGATGAAATGACATAGTCGTGCAAAATGATAGAGAGACGGATCTCCTCTCCACTCTTCATTTTCCAGCTCCACACTCCACGAGTTAGCATAAACCACAGATTCGGATTCATTACAAGCTTTAGTCACCCTCCTCTCGCCTCTCCCCCACCCCCTATTGCTTTTCCGCAAAAAGGAACCCGCCTCCCTTAATTGCTTCGAACCGTTTATGCTCTCTTTTTTTTTTTATTTCTTTTTCGCCAAAACTCGCTCGTGCCCAGTGACGCGTCACGTGCGCCCGATGGTGCCAAAACCCGCGTTCTAGATCTCGCAGGCTTTCTGGGTCCGGATATTTGTCAGTGCGCTGACAATGGGCTTCGAGACAAGCCAGACAAGCAAAGGACACCAAGCAAAGCACGCCAGGCAAAGCACACCAGGCAAAGCACACCGGGTGCTACGACACCAAGTGCTACACGATCCGTCTCCCTGCTACAACATCGATCTCCCTGCCACAAGCCAATCGCCCTGCCACAACCGGCGCTTTCTTTTCCTCCTTCGTCAACCACTGCCTATCGTCTCTTCTCTTCTCTTCTCTTCCCTCGCAAACCTCGCAAACCTCGCAGCGCTCCCACCCCGTGATCCGGCGCAGTGCAAAAAACGTAATTCTCTAGTCCTTTTCGCTGCCTTCTCGCTGGCCCAAGTCACGCCGCACAAGAAAAGACCGCAGCGAAAAAGAAGCGCTCCCGCACCGCAACGATTGGTAGTGGCAGTCGTAGCACCTGCCGTGGCACTCGTCTGGCGTAACACACTGGCTCGAATTGTTGGGTGTGTGTCGGGTGTGCGTATATAAAGGCGCAAGCGTAGCAGGCCTTGTTGACGGTGCACCAATCTCCTGGTCCTCCTCTTCTCTCCCTCCATCATCCACCATGTCCCAATTCACGGATCTTGACAAACTCGCAGTCTCTACCATCAGACTTCTCGCCGTCGACCAGGTCGCGGCGGCCAACTCGGGCCACCCGGGCGCGCCGCTCGGGCTCGCCCCGGCCGCGCACGTGATCTGGAAGCAGATGAAGCTGAACCCCGGCGACCCCGGCTGGATCAACCGCGACCGGTTTGTGCTTTCCAACGGCCACGCGTGTGCGCTGCTGTACGCCATGCTGCACCTGTCGGGCTTCGACTTCAAGATCGAGGACCTGCAACAGTTCCGCCAGCTGGGCTCCAAGTGCCCCGGCCACCCTGAGTTCGAGCTGCCGGGCGTCGAGGTCACCACCGGCCCGCTGGGCCAGGGTGTGTCCAACGCCGTCGGGCTCGCCATCGCGCAGGCCAACTTCGCCGCCACCTACAACAAGCCGGGCTTCACGCTCAGCGACTCGTACACGTTCACGTTTTTGGGCGACGGGTGCCTGCAAGAGGGTGTGTCGTCGGAAACGTCGTCGCTCGCCGGTCACCTGCAGCTCGGCAACCTGATCGCGCTGTACGACGACAACCAGATCACCATCGACGGCGCCACCAACGTCTCGTTCACCGAGGACGTGGCCAAGCGCTACGAGGCCTACGGCTGGGAAGTGCTGCACGTGGCCAACGGTAACGAGGACCTCGACGGCCTGGCCCAGGCCATCGCCCAGGCCAAGCGCTCCAAGGACAAACCCACGCTCATCAAGATCACCACCACCATCGGTTTCGGCTCGCTGCAGGCCGGCTCCCACTCCGTCCACGGCGCCCCGCTCAAGCTCGACGACGTCAAACAACTCAAGACCAACATGGGCTTCGATCCCGAGCGCTCGTTCGTCGTGCCCCAGGAGGTGTACGACCTGTACAACACCCAGATCATCCAGCCCGGCGTCCAACAGTACGAGGCCTGGACCAAGCTCGTGCAGGAGTACTCGGCCAAATACCCAGAGCTCGGCGCGGAGGTACAACGCCGCCTCGCCGGCGACCTGCCACGTGACTGGGAGGCCGCGCTCCCCGTCTACAAGCCCGAGGACGACGCCGTGGCCACCAGAAAGCTGTCGGAAATCGTGCTCCAGAACATCCAGGCCACGCTGCCCGAGATGATCGGTGGTTCTGCGGATCTTACGCCTTCCAACTTGACCCGTTGGAAGGAAGCCGTGGATTTCCAGCCACCGGCCTCCGGCCTCGGCGACTACGTGGGCCGTTACATCCGTTACGGTGTGCGTGAACACGGTATGGGAGCCATCATGAACGGTATCTCGGCCTTCGGCGCCAACTACAAGGCCTACGGCGGTACCTTTTTGAATTTCGTGTCCTACGCCGCGGGCGCAGTCAGACTCTCGGCATTGTCGGGACACCCTGTGATCTGGGTTGCCACGCACGACTCCATCGGTTTGGGTGAAGATGGGCCTACCCACCAGCCTATTGAGACGCTAGCACACTTCCGTGCTTTGCCAAACATGCAGGTGTGGAGACCCGCCGACGGTAACGAGGTTTCCGCCGCCTACAAAGTCGCGTTGACCCACAAGCACACCCCCGCCATTATTGCGCTTTCCAGACAGAACTTGCCACAGCTACAAGGCTCTTCCATCGAGAAGGCCATGCGCGGTGGTTACGTCCTGCAGGACGCTGACAACGCCGACATCACTTTGGTGTCGACCGGTTCCGAGGTGTCGTTGGCCGTTGAGGCCGCCAAGGTCTTGGCCGAAAAGAAAATCAACGTTCGTATCGTTTCGCTACCCGACTTCCACACCTTTGACCAACAGTCCGAGGAGTATCAATTGTCGGTATTCCCCGACAACGTGCCTATCATGTCGATCGAGGTGCTAGCCACATCTGGCTGGGCCAAGTACGCACACGAATCGTTTGGTATCGACCATTTCGGAGCTTCCGGTAAAGCTCCTGAAATCTACAAGAAGTTTGAGTTCACGCCAGAAGGCGTTGCCACGAGAGCGGAAAAGACCGTTGCTTTCTACAAGAACAAGCAAGTCACCTCTCCTCTACACAAGCCATTTTAAAGCACTCGGCTCCACGCAGTATGCGAGCAGTTATATAGTATGTAGATCTTAATTTAAAGCATATCGAAGATGTAAGAAGCTAGGTTCTGAAATAAGTCAACCGATCAAATTAATTAATTAATTAATTGAAAGGGTTTGTTGACAGTGACACGGCGGTACAAAGTGACCGGAACAAAGTGGATCGACGGACTTTTACATGAGTCTTCCTCCTGCCTTGATCCGCTTGACCAGTTTACTATCCTGAAGTCATCGCGTTTGATATTTGTGCAGGTGAAGGAGCTTTTGAAGAATCGACTCAGTTTCGCTGGTTACTTTTGTGATATCAGTGAAATATGCTCGCGAGGAGAAGATGCTCAGGGAAACTTTGGAAAGTGACGCTTCAACTTTTTCATCAATTCCTGAGCTGGGAAATCAAGCTTTGACAAATTCTTCGAGAGTTGAGGGCGATTTGAGCTCTGCAAGCTATACTGATATATTAGCAAAAGCTATGAGACCCGTAAAAATAACCAATTTGAAAGAAGTGAAAACATTCATACCCTATTAGAGCACTACTACAACGCTTCTGTGCAAAACGCAAAAGATTCAAATTTCTAGGTCATCTACGGTTTGCTTATTTATCTTGCCTCAAGGGCTGGTTCTCGAGGCTATGAAACTTGCGCGAAAGTTAAATCAGAACTACTTTCCTGCAAACCCTTTTGTTAATCGCCTGTTCTGTTCGACCCTAGGTCCAAGTCTAAGAAACTTTTAAGGAATAAATTATCAAAACGAATCTCTTGAAGACATGCAAGTATGTGAAGTGCTTGTCACATTAAGGATTGCGGATCTAACCGTCCATTAAATCAAGTGGACATACCCAAAAAAATTGTGTTGACACCATAAAACATTATCCTTTTTGAACTTGGCGGGCAAGAACTACAAAAAGCTCACCCAGGATACGAACATGAAGGCTAAGTTGATAAAAATATTGTACCAATGGCGTAATGGATCAATTGCTGAAGTGAGCTTCTTTTGATTGGCCCTTTTAGGGAAGCAACCATAACTTGGACGTTCTGACGTTTCCGCGACTTTTTAAGCTTACCATGTCTTTTTTTACATACCAAAATATCTGCGTGTGACGTCAATATGCGCTATTCTTTAGCTGGAAAGTTGTACTCGCACGCGCTTGGTGAGGTTAGGACCTCGATGGTCTCAAGAGATAGATGCTTCAAGTTGAAATTTTGTGAAAGCTACGAAGTCCCTCTAATCCGCGGTGAGTAGAAACCAAACGATTGAGAGTCTAAAAGGCGTGTCGAGTTCCACTCAGATCATCCAGACACAAAGTCGTTCCTGGTTTCGATCTTGAAAGTGAATCGAATGAGCTGGATCAGTTGCATACGAAATACGTTTAAACTTACGTCAGGGCATGCATGACGCACGCAATCTACTGATGAAGATCGTGACATTAATACAAGGAAGAGAATGAAAAAGACCGACACACTGGGCTTGGTGTACTTTGTTTTCGAGTGCAATCACGAATCTGTCAAAAAATAACTTCCGTTGATAACGACCAGTGAATTTGAATCCATATCTTGCACTGCAATAACCACCAAACACAAATCCAATAATCTCCTCTCCTACTATCAGCATCTCACATCCCCCAAAATGTCGAAAGACCAGATCTCAGTAGCTTTCGTTTGCTTGGGAAATATATGTCGTTCTCCCATGGCGGAGGCCGTTTTTACTCACACAGTTAAAGAAAAAGGCCTCGAAAATCGTTTCTCCAATATTGATTCTTTCGGCACTGGAGGCTGGCATAAGGGGGAAAATCCAGATCCCCGTTCTGCTGCTACTTGTCGGAAACATGGAGTACCCGTAGACCACAAAGCCCAACAAATAAGAGGTCACCATTTTGACGATTTTGACTTCATCATTTGTATGGATGATATGAACTTAAGGAACTTGAAGAGATTAAAACCTAGCGACTCTAAAGCTCAGATTTACACGTTCGGGCACTGGAATGCGAACGGTAAATTTAGAGAAATTGTTGACGATCCTTACTATGGTGGTGATGACGGATTTGAGTACAATTTCAAACAGATTCAATATTTCAGTGAGCAATTTCTCGAACAACAACTTTGAAGCGGTGCTTAAAGACATTGCATCTCTTTGTAGTTCGTATGATAAAATTGTATAGAGACACTTTTGTTTTGATTTTCATGTCTTTACCTACTCTCATGACTTTCACCTCACTGGTATTTGTCAAGTATTTGTAATATTACCTCAAAACAAAAAGTTCACTCCAATGGTGCCTACTCTATTGTTACAATGGTGAAAATGCTTTAAATGATTAATTACATGAATCTTATATCCTTTCAAATTCTTCCTCTCGGTAAACAAATTCTGCGCCGCAACGTCTTGCGAGCCACGATTTTTGATAATCAAAATACCTCCAGGAAATTTCCTCAGATTGCTCCATACCAGGAGGGAGTTTTTCTACTTCTTTGTAAAACCAACAACGATTAATTTTGTTAAATTGCCAGCCTCTAATTGTAAGCTCACGAGCTGCCAGAAACTGTTCGTAAGATCCCTGGTAATGGTAAAAAATGAAAAATAAAGCGTCCAGATCGAATTTTGACATAATGCGTCCCAAAGAAGTCCTGGAATAGATATCATTATGCTTAGGATGAATCCTGGTTTGATCTACCGGATCATTTGATACAAGCCTAGTAGTCTCATTAGGGAAAAATATGGACGTGGGATGCGGTAATGAAAGTGTATTGTGATGCAAATGTGGAGTATCAGCATCGAGTGAGTCTGGACAATTCAGTAGTGAGGACTCGAGTTGAGAGGCCATTTCTGCCGGCATTGTTTCGTGAGGTTGCAGCAATGTGCGTTTAGTTTGGAGCCAATGGTCAAGACCAGGATGGAAGAGAGGATTTTGGAATGCAGCGTTCTGAGCTCTGTCCTGTGCTAAAAGTTCTTCAATTTGCTTCGAGATATCTTTAGGAGCTTCGACTGTCGCTGTCTGCGCTTGACTTCGATTTTGAGTCTGTGGTTGGGCTTGCGTATGATTTTGCGTTTGAGTTGGATTTGGTAATTGAGCTGGATTTGGTGTTTGAGCTTGATTTGGTGTTTGCATTTGACTTTGGGTTGTTTGATTCTGAATAGGAGTAGCGCTCCTGTCAGCAAGCTGCGATTGCTGAAGAGCGTCTTTTTTCCCAGGCGAAAACGCTAGATTGGAGAATGAAACGTTTGGCGACGCCGTCAAACTTCTGCTTTTATCTTTCTCTGCAGCTGAACTCGAGGAGGACATGGGTGCGATCTCAACGGACGAGTCTCTTTTTTTTGGTGACCTCTCCGCTTTGGCGGGCCTAGCTGCTTTTGAAGGCGTATCAACGTCCTTACTTTCCTCGCCAGGCTGTATCTCGCACCCGATGTCTTCATAGATTGTGTCGTATTCGATAAAATCCGGATCGTCATTGTTTTCCACGTAATATTGAATATCCTCTTGATATTCCTCAACTGTGTCAGGCTCGAGCTCGTTATTTTGCAACTGCTTAAGAATATTCTCCAGGTTGGTGATATGGAAAACGTGCCTTTCGCATTGATGCTCATCCTCCTGTGCTTCAAATGACTCGAGTTGTTTTTGCAGTTCCTCCAAACAGTCCTGGACGAACAAAAACTGGTCTCTTTTCTTTAACTCCCGAGGATCTTTGATAATATCTGGGTTCGTGAGCGCCTCAGTGGAGAACTGTTTGGTTTTCATTAACTTCTCCACCGATTTGAATCGCTCCATGCCAGACTCTATCAGCCTGCGATTCTCCATCAAAACTTGTTGTTTCTCCTTGACGTCTTCTTTGCTTAGCCACGTTTTGATCTGATCCCTGTGCTTTTGTAGCTTCTTGATTTCCCGCTTAAGATCGCTCTCCAGCTTCTCCCGGTAGGAGGTGTTGGATGCATCTGTATTTTGAAATTTATCGTAAACATCTTCAAAATCTTGCAGACCTTCTTTAACTTTCTTAAGGAGCTTATCAATATCCTGTTGTAACTTTCGCTGCGACATTTGGGCAATTGTGCTGAGCTAGGAAAGCTCTGTTTTGGATAATTGTGTTTCTTCGTGAGCCTTTGGTTGTTCACTCCTAGTCTATCAATCGCTCACTATTCAGCTTGACTACTGAAAGTGTAATTTAAGTGAAGAGGGTAACTCAGTACGAACTTTAAGAAATGCTGTGAATTAGCGACAGAGCTTCGCATACAGCGGGAGATTCGTCTAGACCTGTTGATTCCTCTTTCGAGCTGAATCTGACCACGCATCGATATAAATTTGCTTGAAATTGAACGTTGCGAGATTGAGCCCAACGGATTGAAAGAAAATCCTGCACCTCCAGGGGCCCCAATTTAATCAAAGGCGCTCTCAATGATGTTATTTCGATAGTTCTAGTGTTACTGGGTAAGATCCTCTTTGCTACTCTTTTGTTTTCAAATGGCTCTAAAGATATTTAAAGCGAGAATAAAATACAGTAAGAATCAAATCCTCTATTTCGAGACTCTCTTGAAAAACTCCCACGTAACGACAAATGGCTTGCTGAACCCAGTGGCGAATTATACCACATGTCTCAATGTCCACTCATAAATTCCGATGCTGACCATGGTGCTAGGTATACTCTTCATTACGCCCAGAGTGAAACCACGATATAATGCGCCGAATCCTTCTTTTTCCACAACTTTCAATGCCAACTGTCCAAAATTCGTACCTTTATAGGCACCATATGCCTCATTTCCTTGCGTTAAATGTTGTAACTGCCGCGAGTTGATTATTTGGAGTCTTTTCCGCACCGTGTCGATTGGAAAAACGAGAGTCTTTGAAACCACGCCGGCAATAACACTAGAAGATGACGCTAATAGTTTTATAAACGGCGAGTCCCGATATGAGCTTTCTTCGCAGAATATTTTGACAGTTTCATAAGTAGCAAATATTGAGGACGAAGCCACGCCAATTGATACCACCGCTGACGAAACGCCTTTGAAGAATCCCGGAAGACCTTCATGACGCCATATGTCGAGTGTAGTACCTAGAACTGTAGCGAATGCTCGGTTTTTGTTCGCGATGAAGCGTGTTCGCATAACGTCAAACGGATAGGATGCCACTGCGCTACAAGAGCCGGCCAAAGCACCTACAACGCAAGTATGAATTTGGGCGGGCCATTGATTGGGGGAAAGAGCTTTGTTCAGCGTCGAAAAGGCGGTAAATTGTGTCGAACCGTATAGAACGTACAAGCCAACCCCGGGTATATTTCCCTTCCACAGCGAGCGCAATCCTTCCTCATGTATCATTGATCGTACTAGAGGAATAATTCGTCTATGTGAAATGTCATTTGTCAAGCGCAGTTGTAGTCGGATCTTCACAGTGTCCAAGGGCGCCGTAACAAACCTAGCACTCAATCCAGACAAACAGCCTGCCAATAAGGAATGATGCAAAGGAATCTCCTGACCCTTACGCAGATGGTCTTCACCCATCTGGACGGATGATGACCAAGTAATTTCAAGACTTCTCAAGTTGAATGAAGCCAGCAAATGAAATAATGGTCTATTCTTTATAATCACTGGTTTTTCAGATGCCTGCATACAGATCGACTGAAAAATGCGTATTTCTCAAAAGAAAACGAAAGCGACAGTTAAAGCTGAAATTATAAAGCCTAACTCTTTCTTCAGGAATCTATCAAACAGATTTAGTGCTATTCAAAAACTCTGTAGCTTGACATACTCTTATACTTGCTGAGCAGTTCTTCACAGGAAGAAGTGATAGTTACTTCCGTCAGATGATCTTAAGCTGGCAATCGAGCTACAATATACAAAAAAAACTCGAACTGCTAATTCCAACCATTACCTCCTGTTGAACACATTTAACTTGTTGTTGGGAACGGCGTCTTCGTGTCACAGTGAGGTGAGATCTTATGTTATTTACACACTGAAAGCTTCTGAACTCAGAAGCAAAACAGCGTGCTTTCCAAATTCGTTTGAGTCCAAATCTAATCTAATCTATCTTGAGAACCTATTGTAAGTTTACATTTTCGATGATCCTCATGTTAAGATTGCAACTAAACTAATGAAATACAGTGCAGTCCCACGCTAGGTCGAGACGATAACACCTAGACGCAACGAAATGACTGCTCCTTTCCAACGCTACTAGAATGTTCGAAGAAACACTTTTGCTTCTTAGCGATGGCTTGTCTTGGGCTCTTGGGACATAAAAATGTTATCCGGCTGTTTTCGACTCAAATCGGGAGATGTCAGGTAAAATAATATATATCGAAGCCGCTTTTAGAGACAAGAATCAGTTTTAGACACTTTAAATATCATTTCCCACTCCCTAGCCGGGAGTATGGACGATCATTCAAGTGTTCTCTCGTCTTGCGAGCTTAGTGCTCATCACTTAATACAATTATGTCATCGGAACATATTAGATGTCATATACTCGCGACTGCAGCAAGTTTTCAAAGTTGTACATCTTGTAATGATTTTTATTAAAACTCAATATTTTGTCGTTATAAAAGGAGCCCGATCAGTCATGTAAGCTACATAACTTAACTTGATTGCCAGGGTTCTTTTACTGGAGAGGCTTCATTGATCAGTGATAGTTCTTCGAGCGTATATAGTGATACACAACTGCCTGAAGAGAAATCAAGACAGATGAAAAGTATCAGTACTCGTACGCATTATAGAGGTCATCAAAACGCCACAAGCAAACCGTTCACTCTAATAACCATGCTATTTGCCCAGACCGGTGTATTGGAGCTGGTAGATGGCTCTTGCAAGCTTCAATGCGGTGAAACGACGGTTATGTGCTCAGTCACAGGCCCCATAGAGCCTAAAGCTAGACAAGAGCTGCCGGCACAGCTGGCTCTCGAAATCGTGGTACGGCCGTGCCGAGGTGTTCCCAGCACGCGTGAGAAGCTACTAGAAGATCAGGTTCGCGGTGTCGTGACTCCTGTGCTTGCTCGGTATCTTTATCCCCGACAGTTGGCTCAGCTGTGCTTCCAGATTTTGGAGAGTGGTGAACCTGAAGAGCTATATAGCAGCAAAGAACTAAGCGCGTGCATTAACGCAGCATTTCTGGCACTAGTCGACGCAGGAATCGGTATTCAAGCTTCCTTCGCTAGTGTATGTCTTTCGATTCTTGAAGATGGCCAGAGACTTTTGGTAAATCCGTCTCAAGCCGAGCTGATAGAGTCGCGTTCCACACATGTGCTTGCACTACAACTGGCAGCAGGCGCCAAAAAGGTCGAAAATCTGCTTCTGCTGGAAAGTTACGGGGATTTTGACGAACAAACTTTACTTCAAGTACTACAAACAGGCGAAGAAGCATGTGTTAAGACCGCGCTGGAATTACGAAAGGTGATAGAACAAAAACTCCAAAAAGACTTTGTCTGGCGATAAAAAGCAAACTGCAATACGAACCAGCGAATACTAATCTACCGTTTTGCCGCCTAAGTCGGAAAACAAACATTGTGTATATTAATTAAACTACAAATCTTAACTTAGTACTCGGCATCAAAAACTTTTCACAGCTTTAAACGTTCGAGGTTGGCGATGGTGGCTTCTAAACCTTCGATTTCGGCCAGGGTGTTCTGAAGTCTAGTGTTGTTTGCAGTCTTGGCCTGATCATTGGCCTTTGCCTCATAGTCAGAGCCATTAATAACCTTTTCGACACTTTCCTTAACCTTTTGAGCTTTCTCCAATTTACCTTGGGTCTTGGAAACCTCAGCATCGATGTCGACGTGGCCCTTGACCAAAACGTGAACGTTGATCTCAGGAGTAACAGCCTGTAAGACAGCACCCCCAGGTACTTCAGACAATTTATTCACCACATTGACTTCATCAATAGCCTTGATTAGAGAAACAATAGAGTCCTTTTGGGACGCCGCTGTCTCAAAAAATGCTGCATTGGATGACTCAATGAAAACCTTACCGTTCTTCAAAATACCGTATTGAGCAAGCAAAGAACGAGCCTCCTTAATCGCATCCAAAATCATTTCGTACTCTTTGCCAGCTGTTTGGTTGTCAAAGTCTTTTCTATATGTTGGATAAGAGGCTTTAACGATGGTAGGAGAAGTTTCAGAAGCGCGTCTAGGCAAGCGTTGCCACATTTCTTCGGAGATGAAAGGCATGAATGGATGAATCATTCTTAATGCATTGTCAATCAAAATATACAAAGTGTCTCTTGCAGATTTCTTCTCGGCATCAGTGCCTTCGTTAATCAAGTACTTGGAATTTTCGATGTAGACATCACAAATCAAATACCAGAACTCATAAATACCACTGGTTGAGGTCAAAAAATCACGCTTTTCGAAGGCTTCATTGACAGAGGCCGAGTAATGTGTGAGTTTGTTTAAAATCCATTTTTCAACCAAAGATTCATTTCCAGACAATTTCTCTTCAGCTGGTGGGTGGTAATCATCACCGAGACGTAACAGAGCAAATTTAGTCGCCTGGTAAATTTTGTTACAGAACTTTCTGTAACCTTCGACACGTAGAATATCAAGATTGATGTCACGGCCACCGGTTGTATAGGCACAGAGAGCAAAACGCAATGCATCAGTACCACATTGTGGTATACCATTTGGATAGGATTCTTTCTGACCAATTTTAGCCTTTTCGACTTCTCTTGGGTCTAGGTTACCACTTAGCAACTTAGCGTGTAAGTCTTCCAATTTGATACCAGTTATAACATCCAATGGATCAATGACGTTACCTAACGATTTTGACATCTTGCGGCCTTGCGCGTCACGGACTAAAGAGTGACAAAAGACCTCTTTGAAAGGTACTTCACCAGTCAGCTTCAAGCCTAGCAATATCATTCTTGAAACCCAGAAAAATAAAATATCCCAGCCAGTTTCTAGCATGGAAAATGGATAGAACTGCGATAAGTCCTTGGTCTTATCTGGCCAGCCCAGCGTGGAGAACGGCCACAGACCAGACGAGAACCAGGTATCCAGGACGTCTTCATCTTGTTTCAACGTATACTTAACGTTAGGAAATTTCTTAGCGGCTTTAGCTTCAGCTTCTTCTAACGTTCTCCCGGAAATCCAATATTCGCCATCGATTGAATCATGCTCTTGTCCTTCGATGGTAACAAAGTACACCGGACAACGATGACCCCACCACAACTGTCTAGAGATACACCAATCCTGAATGTTCTCTAGCCAGTGGAAGTATTCAGCCTCGGAAGATTTAGGTGTAATGGTGATTTTACCTTCTTTGACGGCTTTTATGGCCTCTGCAGCCATGTCACCTTGAGAAACCCACCATTGGGGCTTCAACAGTGGTTCGATAATGTCACCAGATCTTGAACAAGTTGGGATGGTCATTTCATTGTCTTCTTGGCCAATAAAAAGACCCTTCTCCTTCAAGGCAATGATAACATTTTTTCTGGCATCAAATCTCTTCATGCCTGCCCATTCTGGGCCACAGTTCTCGTTCAGCAAACCTGTATCTGTCAAGATGTTGATGAACTCCAAGTTATGGCGTTTACCTGTGTTGTAATCGTTTTGGTCATGGGCAGGAGTCATCTTCACGGCACCAGTACCGAATTCCATGTCAACAGCCTCAGCATCGCAAACAATTGGGATCTTTCTGTCCACAAAAGGATGTTGAACAAATTTGCCGTGGAGATGCTTATAACGAGAATCATCTGGGTGCACGGCAACACCAGAGTCACCAAACATGGTCTCAGGTCTAGTTGTAGCAACTATCAACTTTTCATCGGAACCGACGACAGGGTATGCGAAAGAAGTCAAAACACCGAACTCCACTTTTTCATCATATCCAGGAACAGACATTAAACTTTTGCCCTTCACGTCTTTATTATCAACCTCCAGATTGGAAATGGCAGTGTTCAGCTTGACCGACCAGTTAACCAATCTAGAAGCACGGTAGATGATACCTTCCTCGTGCAATCTAACAAAAGCTTCAGTTACAGAGTTCGACAACTCAGGGCTCAATGTGAAGGCTTCACGCGACCAGTCATATGACGATCCCAATTTGTTGATCTGGTTTCTAATTTTCTTGTGATACTCTTCTTTCCACTCCCAGATCTTGCCCACGAATGCTTCTCTGCCGTAGTCGTGTCTTGTCTTTTTTTCATTGGCCCAAACCTGCTTTTCAACAACGGACTGGGTCGCAATCCCGGCGTGGTCGAATCCCGGCAAGAACAGAACTGTCTTACCCTTCATTCTGTTGTACCTAATCAAGGAATCCTGAATAGCGTTAGTCAATCCGTGTCCGATATGTAGCGCACCGGTTACATTTGGAGGAGGAGCAGGGATGCTAAAAGCACCCTCGGGCTTGATTTTTCCGTCCTCAGTAAACTCAGGTTCGAAAAACCCGGACTTGACCCACCAATCGTACCATGAACTCTCAACGTTGGCAGGGTTGTAGGCCTTGAGAGCAGGATCTTCGAGAGAAACAAGGATCTTTTTTTCACCTGGAGCAGTCTTGTCAACGAACTCTGGAATGAACTCCACTTCCTTCTTTTTCTTCTCCTTCTTGGGGGCAGCGGCCTGTTTGGTAGCGGCTTCAGCTTTCTTTGCTTGTTTGGCGGCAAATTTCAGTAGTTTTTCAGCCTTCTTGTGCTCCTTTTCGATTTCTTTAGCACTCTTCGCGCTCCCGTCTTCCTTGAGGGGATTGATGATAATTTCCCCCGTCTTGGGATCAAGTGGAGGCAATTGTTGTTCTGAACTCATAATGCCTGGTTTCGGACTGTATAAACACCGGCGTGACGAGATATATCTTGCAAAGATCAAGCTTGGATAAGCTGGACGAGCTAGAGACAATACAAGCGGTCTTGAGATCCGTAACAGACTACTGTTCATCTATCGTCAACATTTTCACGTCATTGAAGAGACTTGAAACTTACTCGAAGTGAGTGATGCTGGTGGGACGCATTACGAGATTCAGTCATCGCCGTACAGAATAACGTCGAAAATTTTTTGTATTCCAAAGTAGGAAAAATCCCTCTTTGAAAATGTATACTGGTTTAGGAAAGTATCAAGCAACTACCAATATTGGCAGAATTTCCTAATAGGAATTAAAGTCCGAACAAAGAAATAGAAGGACGAGCAAAGCTATATTTCCGTTCTAGGAAGGTGGCTACTGACTAGATGAAATTTATATAACTAAGTACGAAATGAAATACCGAGCACGCTAAAACTAGTGAACATCAAAAATTCAAGAAAGTGGGCACTCTGTTGTCTCCAGGGCTATCTCTTTTTTGATATGATGTTATTAACTAATCGGCAAGGCTTCAGGTTTCTCTGTAGCTTGCATATTTCTTGCCTTTCCGACAGTGTGTAGCACTCTGGACGAGAAATGAAAAATTTGGAGCTAGCCGGCTCATCTCATCTCATCTCATCTCATCTCATCTCGTCACATTGCACTTTTGTTTGACGGTAAACAACACACGGGAGTGCTCTATACAAAAGCTATTAATCCCACTCTCAAGAGACATGTCAAGACTTATAGTCAAAGGACTTCCCAAATATTTGGTGGAAGACCGCTTGAAAGAACACTTCTCTAAGCGCTTGGCCCAAATTCACCAAAATGAAGACATCTCTGAAGCTATAACCGATGTTAAAATCTTGAAAAACAGAGCTGGCGAATCTAGAAGGTTTGCGTTTGTTGGTTTCCGCAACGAAAGTGATGCATTTGACGCTGCAAGCTATTTCGATCAATCCTTCATTGACACTTGCAAAGTTGAGGTTACCGTGGCAAAGAGTTTTGCTGACCCCAATGTGCCTCAGCCGATGCGCGAGAAAAGACGTGAAGCTTTGAAAAGGCTGCGTGAGCGTGAAGACAAGTTGCTCGAGGAAGAGAACGCCAAGAAGCCCAAACAACAACCCCGCAACACGCCCAGAGCCGATCTTGATGCCGAGATCAAAAGCAACAAGCAACTTCAAGAGTTTATCGATACTATGAAACCAAGCTCGAAGGTAGCGTCCTGGGATAACTTGGGCGGTGCCGTAGCATCTACCAGTGACTCACAGATCCCTGACTCACGGCCCGAGGCTCCACAAGGAAACTCTCTGCTGGCGCAGGCGTTGGCCATGAAGTCCGAAGATACTAGTGGCAGAAATGACAACGGTGAGAGAAGAAATGCCGATCAGTTCAAGTTGCGTGAAAACGAGAGTGACGACGAATACACCAATCTAGAGGGTAATCAAGATACAGGTGAAGTAGCAGAAGAAGAACCAACTGTCAAGCTAGATGACTTCAAGGGCGGAAATGACTCCGCGTTTGCTCAGGACGAACAGATTTCTGATCTTGACTGGCTGAAGCAGCGTCGTATTAGAATTAAAGACCGTCCTGAAGGCGCAGCTCTCGACGAATTGGCAGCACCAACTCATGATATTCCAGAACAGGAGACCGAAGAGGCTTTAGATGTAGTCATTGAGCCTGAACAGCAAGAAGTTGACACAACGGAAGAGGAGAAGGTGATAGAAAAGATCAAATCTACTGGCCGCTTGTTTCTGCGAAACATCCTATACACCGCCACCGAAGTCGATTTTAGAAACCTTTTCTCGCCATTTGGTGAGCTAGATGAAGTTCATGTTGCTCTAGATACGAGAACCGGTAAGTCTAAAGGTTTTGCGTACGTTATGTTCAAGAACCCCGATAGTGCGGTTAACGCGTACGTCGAACTGGACAAGCAAATCCATCAAGGAAGACTGCTCCATATTCTACCTGCTGATGGAAAGAAATCCCATCGGATGGACGAGTTTGACTTGAAAAATCTACCGCTTAAGAAACAAAGGGCTTTGAAGCGAAAGGCCAATGCTTCTCAATCTGCTTTCTCCTGGAACTCTTTGTACATGAGTCAAGATGCTGTGCTTGGCAGTGTTGCATCTAAACTAGGCCTGCAAAAATCCGATTTGATAGATGCCACTGATGCAGGTGCCGCTGTCAAGCAAGCGTTAGCTGAGGCTCATGTCATAGGCGATGTCAGAAAGTACTTTGAGTCAAAAGGTATGGACTTGGGCAAATTCGAACAGTTGAAATCCGCCAGTGACCGCGATGACACTGTCATCTTAGTGAAGAATTTTGCATTCGGAACTACTTTAGCAGAATTGGCCGACTTATTTACGCCTTTTGGTAAGCTTCAAAGGCTTCTAATGCCACCTGCTCAAACAATAGCTGTTATTCAATTCCGTGATGTGACAGCTGCGAGGGCTGCATTCAGCAAACTATCCTATAAAAGGTTCAAGGATGGTATTTTGTATCTGGAAAAAGGTCCCAAGAATTGCTTTAATAGAGAGCCAAAAGGAGATGAACTGGTGGATGATTCTCAAGCTAGTGAAAACATTGACGCAAAGGAAGCAAAGGCAACAGGCGAGGACGTCATGCATATTGGCGCTTCTAGTGAAGTCAATGAAGAAGCCACGGATGACGTGCTAGATGGACCAACTGTCTCCATTTTTGTCAAGAACTTGAATTTCTCTACGACTAGCCAGCAGTTGAGTGACAAATTCAGACCCTTCAGTGGGTTTGCTGTCGCTCAAGTAAAGACGAAGCCAGATCCTAAAAATAGCGGAAAAACGCTTTCAATGGGATTTGGTTTTGCCGAGTTCAAAACAAAGGAACAAGCCGTGGCAGTAATTAACGCACTAGATGGTTCAGTTTTGGATGGCCACAGAGTCCAGTTAAAACTGTCACACAGACAAGGTACTGCGACGTCAGCTTCTGACAAATCGAAAAAGAAAGCCAGCGGTAAAATCATCGTCAAGAATTTGCCATTCGAAGCCGAACGTAAACAGATTTTCGAATTATTCAGTTCTTTTGGACAGCTTAAGTCTGTTCGAGTACCTAAAAAATTCGACAAATCTGCCAGAGGTTTCGCATTTGTTGAATTTCTGTTGCCCAAAGAAGCCGAACACGCAATGGAACAGTTACAAGGAGTCCATTTGTTGGGTCGTAGATTAGTGATGCAGCATGCCGAACAAGAGCCCCAAGATGCCGAGGAGCAAATAGCAAGAATGACAAGAAAGGTCAAGTCTCAAGTAACGACCCAAGAGCATGCCGCCATGAGAAACGGAGGTCGCAGGAAAATAGATTTGGAAGATGAAGATGATGAAAACAACGGTTTGAATGGTATTTAGAGAAAATTATAGATAATACTTGTGTAGGTCACCTATCAAAAATCGGATTTTCTAGGTAGGTCAAGGGTCACTTTCGTAACTTTTGAAATGCAGTTGGAATTGACTCACCTCCCTCTTTTCTTGCTCAATAGTTTGTCTGCAAACTTGAGAATCCCATTTGGCTCTCTTTGGAAGTCGTAGAACAAATGCAACGACTCGTCTTCCAAATTGTAGATCAATTCTTTCCTCCGGCTTGAAAGTTGCGACGTACACTTTCGGCGGTAAGCTTTTGGCTTCGTAGACCGTGAACTGCAGGTAATTGAGCTTGCTATCATTTATCAAAGCTCTATACTCTTCGTTATCTGTTCCACTGAATTCCAAAAAGTTCAAGTTTGCATTATTGCTGTATTTTGTGTTGTTGAAGTGAACCTGTCTTTCAAGCGCAGACTCGAACTTGGCAACTAGATGACCAGCAACAGGAAACAGTTGCCTGTGATAATGAATGGAGTTCTCTGAATTTATTTCAAATGCTACGGTCGACATTGCAAATTCAGCTTCGTTCATACGCACGATGCCCGCTTCAAATCTTTGAATTTCTTGATAAAATGGAGCTTCAAAGATGTTGTCGGACGAGATATCTGCTGCCTTCAGCTTTGGCGTATGCTTGATTGGTATCAGCAGACAATGTCCAGAAAAATCCATATTGTTGGTGGGTATGGTAAGTGGGCCCTTGGCTATAGTCAGGTATGCGTATTCGCCGATGTGAATAATTAGATGATCTTCAATCGAAGGGTTACTAAAACAAAATCTGCAATCTTCCGGGAGAATTTGCTTGGGTTTTTTTGTGACAGTACTTTCCTGTAAGGTTTCAACGTCCAAGCCGCGCTTCCTGGATTCTTTTACTTCGTATGGATTGGGCCCAAGGGATTTTTGCAATGCTTGACTTTCTGTTGCAGCATCATTGACATTAAAAGCGTATGCCCATTTGGCTCCTGAGTTAAATTCAGCAATGTTTAGACACCTTGTTATCAGTTCAGAGTTTCCCCATTTAAATGGAGCAGATTCGAGGAACGCATCTTGAGCTTGCGTCGCGAAGTGATATTTTGGTTTTGTTATCTTCAGAATGTCATCCACGAGAGAGTCGTTTTCAGACCCGAAACTCCCTTCTGTGATAAGCGCTTTGCTACAATCTTCTGTGATCAGAACATCTAAACCTTCTACATTCATATCTTCGAAGCTAGTTCGTATTTGGTCCCTATTTTTGGCCAAATATACCCTATCTCCGCTTAAGTAGCCTATTTTCAAACCGTGAGACATTTGGAATAAGCCGTGGCCGTTAAGTAGCGTGAAGTTTGGACCCATAGGATTCGACCCGCTCTTCTCCATCAAGAGTTTAGTGCTGTTGGTGAAAAATGTGGGAAGGTCTAAATGCCGGGTTTCGGCATCTTTTGTGGACTCAAGAAGTTTACCGAGAACCAATGCGCAGTCAAATGGTCCAGACTTCTGATTCAAATTTTTCAGTTTCGATAAAACATCATCAAAACTCTCAACGTTGGTGCGTAAAACAAGACTTGAGTTGCGAAGAGTTAGTAAAAAGAAGATTCCAATAAACCAAAAAGTTTACGAGGTAGGATCTGAGCATACACTTTTGACATATATTATCCAGGATCTCAATGATAAGGTTGGTAACTTTAGTCAATTTAAAAAGTAATGCTCGGTTATTTTGAAATTCCAATCGCTTACCACGTTTGGTCGGTCAGCAAAAGAACCAAAAACTTTTATTGTCGCCGAACAACTTGTGGCTTTCAAAACACCGTCAATTTGAAGTATATCTTCACTATAAAATTATAAATCCATGTAAAGTCTCTTTCAGTGCTGTCTAGAAAAAAAATGCACTTCAGTCCATTATCCCAACCCTAGTAGAACGTTGCAAACGGATCTGCATGCTCAGAGCCACCGTAGATAACGCCACTCGAGCCATTCTTCCCCTTTTTATGCCTATACGTGAACCCCACGAGTTTTGATACGACGGCAGAATCGTCCATCATAGCCGTGAGTTTGTCTTGGCGCTTGAAAACATCTGCATATTTGGCCATATCAGCCTCGCTGCTGAAGTCATCGAAGTAACCGGCATCGATCTCATTGTCCAGTTGAGGAATGAAAGGAGGACTAATATTCCTGAGATTATCAAAGCTGATCTCGGCAAAGTACTTCATTTTTTTTACGTGTTCAAAAGACCGCAGCCTACTGATTGGGTCTGCAATTAACCTCGTGATGAGATCCCACGTCCTATCCGAAAACGCATACCGTCCATTGTCACACCTTGGTCGTTTTAAAACCTGTTTCCAACATCTTAAGTTCTCATATGTTTGATTACTAGATGAACCGCTGAATGGTGTGTATCCTACCAAACTTTCAAAAAGTATGCAGCCAAGGGACCAGTAATCTACCGTAAAGTCATAGTTTTTTGCTTCTAATACTTCCAAAGCCATGTAATCCGGCGATCCAACAGTAGATGAGGCGTAGTTAACGTCCTCGTCCCTAAGCTTCTTGTACATTTGCCTTCGATCATTCATGGACTTCTCCTCAAACTTGGGGAAATCTAACGTCTTGACCTCTTCTAACCTTATTTTCATACTCTCAATTCTTTCCATAGACACGGTTCCGGCAGCTAAACCAAAATCCGTCAATTTGATATGGCCCCGGGAATCGATTAAAAAGTTTTCAGGCTTCAAGTCTCTGTGAGTATAGCCAAGCTGGTGTAAAGCGTCTACAGCGCAAAACATTTCGCTAATGTAGAACCGGGCATGAGGTGCTTGTAAGAATCTCGTGTTAATGAGTAATGTCCGATAATCTCCCCCAGGAACAAATTCCATGGCCAAATACAGACTAGAGGGATCTTGGAATGCGTACAAAAGCTTTACAAGCCATTCAGATCTCGTCGTGGTCAAAATGTCTCTTTCAGTCAAAACGTGGTTTGTCTCATTGAGTTTGATCAATAGTTTCTTGTTCAGAATCTTTAATGCACATATTTCACGGGTATCGCGTTTCCTGGCCAAGTAAACTTGGCCATAGCCCCCCTGTCCTACTTGTGTAATCATTTCGAAATCTTTATTCTTGGGCTTTAATCTACGATTTCTCAGGATCCCTGTCTCCTTGCTCATATAAGATTGCCACTCCTTGGTAAGTTCGTTTCCAGCAATTCCCCGAACTCGTTGCTGTTCTAAGTACTTCATAACTTGCCGAGTACGCTCTCTTCTGCTTATAACATAGTCAAACATGTCGCAGTAATAGTCGAGAAAATACATTTGGCACACATTTACCAGCCTTTTGGTATTACTGGACGACGCCTTACGATGAAAATCTAGTGGCAATTTCTTGGGTGATTGAGTGTAATCAACTTCGGCACTAGGGGTTCCCTCATCTACATCCATCATCGATGCTCGAGATATATTTGCCCCATTAACAGATTTTGTAGGAGATGGTGTGCCGAAATCGCTTCTATACTTTGAAGGTGTACTGGGCTCGAAGTTGAATCTGGGAGAATCCACAGCAGCATCGAAACTCAATTGTCCTATGTTGTCAGTTAAGCTTTCAATATCACGATGACGGCCTTCAGCGTTTCTGGAGTACATTGCGAAAGTACTTTTGCCAATTAACTCTTATCAATCCCAGAATATTATTCCAAGGAAGCTCAAGTCTTTAAAGCAATCAGTTTGATATCCCTCATTCAAAAGCTGTTAATGCTACAATTGAATTTACATTTTTGTAATGAACATTATGCCATGTTTACGTTTTCCAATTAGGGAATATCGACACGTGATAATAATAATAAGAATGCAAGGTATGATCTTGATGAATGTTAAGTCTTTTTCTGCGGTTGTTGACCACTACTGTGTTTGGATTCTTGCATAAGATTCATGTACCACTCGCTTGCGTTTGTTTTGCGGATTTTCTTACCTGATTCGCCAGTGGGCTCCTCAATAGGCCGCTTTAATAAACTCGATCTGTCGTTATTCGCAGAGAAAAATTCATGAGTGTCTTCGGTAGCTGTGGCCAGTCTCTGTTGCATTGGCGCTCTGAGCTTAGCAGTGCCTAGATTTTGGCCCGAAGTTGACGTTGGCGTACGCAACGCATGTGCCATACCCATGCCAATCTCTTCGCCAAAGGCGTCAGTGACAGAAGATTCCTCTCTGCCAAATTCCATCCGGTTTTGTAGTTGTCGTGCGTGGGATAATTGGAATTGCTGCTTATACTTTCGAAATCTGCGGCCGGCACGTTTTTTCTTGGGCTTGTCCTCAGGTATCGGGAGAGCTTTCGTGTTAGAAATATTAGGAGGTTCTTGTATGCTTTGTAGTTTGCTAATGACTTCTTGCCGCCATTTATTTCCAAGAAGGCCGTCGAGACTGGATTTAGAAAAGTCAACACGAGCACACAGCGATACTTTGGCACATGTCATTTTGAGGGCCTGTTTTCGCACAGAAATAGGCTGCTCCTGAATGAAAGCACAATAGTATACAAAGCCTTGCTGTCGTACGCCACTCTGATCAGTATTAGATCCATGACTTAGAACTTTAGACATACCCATAGATGCCAAATTACAACTCGGAATTTCACTTAGTTCTTGAATTCCCCCAGCAGCTGCAATAAGCGCCGCACTGGTATCAGACCCAACAAGCGCGCACATATTGGGTGCTATTTGTGATACGAGAGATGTCACAAACGATTTTATTTCTTGCTGTAGTTCAGACAGCTCTAGAAGCACGTCAACGCACTGATTGAGCAACTGTGAGTCCTCAAACGATAGTGACACGTCTTTTTTGAACCCGGTTTGCATTGCCATCGACAAAACCAAAACCTGCTCGCGACTCACAGCACCCTGAAGTTTATCTGTATCCAAAGGGCCGTCGTCACCTTGCTCTAAGAGTCTGATCAGTTTGGCATAACTCTCTCCCGAAGTAACGATGGACTGCATTTCGGGAAACTTTTGCTCGTACAGTTGCTGCAGCAGCGTGTGCAAAATGCCTACTTCTTGTTGTATCAAAGGTTGCAGCTTGCTTAACAATAATGCTGAGGCGCCGTCTTGCCTCCGTTGCATGATAGTTGCAAGCAACGTTTTCTTAGCATGTACTTGAGAAACGTCGAATATATTTGACGGGTTGCCCCGAGACAATAAAAATGGCTTATAATCACTCAAAAAACGCTCTAAGTCAACTAAAGGATCACTGGTGCCTTCAACCTCTACTTCGCTCTCAACCCCACTAGCAAAATCTTCATCGAGCTCATTCAAAAAATCATTTTCATCCATGGTAGAGAGCCTCTACAAATTGCTCTTGAACTGTCAAGCTAGTTCTTCGTGTCTCAGTTGCCGCCGATGCCATAAAAATGCTTTTTAAGTTCTTTAACGTCTAAAATACCTAGAGGATCATGAGGCAAGCTACTCGTTTAAAATGCCATCAACACTTTTTCTTTGAGAGTTTGGAAAATTTTACGCGCGATGAGCTTGAAAATACGCTTAAATTTGTTCAGTTGACGATCAAAAAGAGCAATAGATTAGGTGGTTGAGGCTCATAAAAGGCTTGTTTAAGTTTAACCGGGCTTTATTTAACACTATTCCTTGAGCAGGACTCGCACACAAAGACTGCTCCTTTTCATTTTCAGTTAAGATCATACCACCATGTCAGACATTGTTGGAATCGAATACAATCGTGTTACAAATACCACATCTACGGATTTCCCAGGTTTCCAGAAGGACCAAAGTGCCGCATGGGATTTAGATCAATTCAAAAACACATTTGACGTGAAAATCAGTTCTCTTGACGAGCGTGAAGCTAACTTCGACCTCGTTCACATTGATACTTCGATTGCCAATGCGTTCCGTAGAATCATGATCTCTGAAGTGCCTTCAGTTGCGCCAGAATATGTGTACTTTTTCAACAACACGTCTGTGATACAAGACGAGGTGTTGGCACACAGAATTGGGCTCACTCCTCTCAAAGTCGATCCAGATATGCTGTCGTGGATTGACCCTGCTTTGCCAGAAGCCGAAAAGTTCACGGATGAAAACACTATTGTGCTTACATTGAACGTCAAATGTACCAGGAACCCGGATGCGCCTCAGAACTGCACAGATCCCAAGATTCTATATCGCAACGCACACATCTACGCTCGTGACTTGAAATTTGAACCTCAAGGCAAACAGCTCACAACTTTTGCCAAAAGCCCTGTGGTTCCATCTGATCCGGACATTTTGCTCGCTAAACTTAGACCCGGTCAGGAAATTTCTCTAAGAGCTCACTGTATACTTGGTATTGGCAGTGACCACGCAAAGTTTTCTCCTGTTTGCACAGCCTCTTACAGACTGATGCCTCACATCAATATTACACAGCCAATTACTGGAGATTCAGCTCAAAAATTCGCTGAGTGCTTCTCACCAGGCGTTATTGGGATTAGCGGCAAGGGCGAAGCCTACGTGAAAGACGCAAGAAATGATACTGTATCACGAGAGGTTTTGAGATATGAGGAGTTTGAGGATAAAGTCAAGCTTGGAAGAGTTAGAGATCACTTCATTTTCAACGTGGAAACTACCGGCGCCATGACTCCAGAAGAGATATTTTTCAAAAGTGTCAGGATTCTCAAGAACAAAGCTGAGTACCTGAAAAATTGTCCCATTTCTCAATAAGCTAAGGGACTGATGCATTGTGTTGTATAGAGTATAGATTTGGGAGCAGGTACATAATTTTTAAGTCAAAAATCATTCATTAAACCAGACTGTTACTATTGGAAGATGGACTAGTTTGATCAAACCTCTCTTGCAAAAGGTGATCAATAACCTCAATAGGGTTCAAAGTCGTGACCAGCACATTGCCAGAGAACCCATCATCTTTGCTACTGTTGGTATCACTGTCGCTTTGACCGCTATTTTCTGCGTCGATTGCCACGTCCTCTATTGGTGGTTCAGTAAAATTGTAGGCGGTAAGAATAAAAAGGCTGAATTGGAAAATAAGAATCAAAACCTCGAGAAAGACTATGTTCATATTGCCGCGAAGGTTGTTGGTGGGGACTCTCTCTCCAATAAATTGTACGAAGAAGGTCCTTCGAAGCTCCCCGCCAACGAGACCATTCTGATTGTCGAAAGGAGAAGGCGTATTGCCGACACCATTTTTGCTCAGCTGGTATTGTCCAATCTTGCTGCAGAAGTTGACAGGCCATATTAGAGCCATTAAGATTGATATGCAATTAAAAGTAAACGAACAGTGAAATAGGAACCATCTCACGTTCTTTTCAGCTTCATTTACAGCTTCTTCACTTGCAGCTTCCGGAGCTAGTCCTGTAGGTGCGTTTCTCACGGTGAATGTCCCTGGCATTGGCGGGTTGCTGCCATTGCTTGCCGCGTTTCCGTTGGCACCTGGCGAGCTTCGTGAAGCGCGGCTTTGTGAATTCAACGATATTCTTCTTAAATGCTGTGACACTACTTGTGATTTTGAAAGTAGAGATTGTACGAAAAGCCGGAAGAAGAATGCAATAGTAGATGATCCATATTTTAGATAGTGTATTATAATGACCGCGCAACCCAGAAAGCACAATTGATTCATCAAATCATATCTAAACGGCTTCTTTTGCGGCTTGGAAACAAAGACTGGCGTTGATTCAGGCATCAAACTTTGCTAAAGGGGGCCTAACGCTTGAATGCAAGCTTGATGAGAGGCTGTTTAACCTTAGTGATTAAAGACTTGAAAGTCTTGCTAGCTAAACATTTCACGTGAGGTATACGCCGTTATATAAGAAAAGTACTAATTAACGGGCAACTGCAAGGATTTGTGATCGTCTCAGAGCCAATCTATTGTACAGGTTTTGATGTTGTAGCTATCTATTTATTGTGCTAGCATCTAGTTAAATTCAAATTCGGTAATAAGTTCATCACCAAACACCGCGATTTCATTGAAAATTGCCTCTTTGTTCAAAATCACCTGCTCAGTACTCACAGGTTTGACGTTGGCGTCCATGTTCACTCTAAACTTCACAGGGCTCTTAAAATTTGGCCTGATCAAACCAGTGATGACATTTTGATCACCTTTCTCTCCGCCGTTAATCCCAGGATAGCGGTGACTCGAGAAGATTATGCTGTTTTTGTACTTCATATTCAGATATTTCACAAGTTGAAAGGAAGGATCCATTTTGTCACTCATCTGTGACAAGTCTTTGGGGAAAGACGATTGCTGCTGGTCCAGATTTTTGAAGCCATTCGTCTCTAGCACACCGGATGAAAGTTTCAAGGGAGTAGGCATCCTGAGCTTAACTACGAAATCGTAGTCCTTTAATGCTGGGGTAAACAACAAATCAACTGTTTGCTTGTTCAAGCCGTGGGTCTGGATTAGATTATAGGCAACCTTTGATAATGCCGTCAATCTCGTGGCAATAGGAAGAGGGATACCGCTGGAATACAAAATTCCGCTTGGATCGCTCTTCGATGCAACGAAAAACTGAATGCCCAAACCCTGGGGATCACTTTTTCTGAGAGTCGTGAAATTACTTTGAATGGCTTTAATCTGTGAAAGAGTGAGGTTATCTCTTAAACTGTCGCTGACTTTGGCATCCAAATCAATTCCGTTGGCCGAGCCGACAGCCGAACCCAATTCAAGTTCCTCTGGTTTAACAAGGTCTAAAATCAAGGGATCTTCTCTCCAATTCCACTGACTTAAAAATTTGATGATTTTCAGAAACCCGTTTTCCACAGAACCTGGGACAAAGTACGGAGCGCATTCAACAAAAGGTTTCATGGCAATCAGTTCGACTAATTCTTCTGGTAGGTGCGTTAGCAGGAGATGACAATCCAGCCATTTTTTGAATAATCTTACTACCGGAGGATACAAGGGATGGCTGTGCGCTAGGGTTTCCAGAGTTCTGTTGTGTCTGGCAGACGCCAAGTACTTTGCGGTGAATTTCAAAAACACTTTCTCCAATTCCGGTTTGACTTCGTTCCGCGCGTTGCTAATGGCTCTCAAATACAACACTTCATCACGTTCCGTGAGCACTCTTATTTTGAATCCGTAGCCCTCTGGAGTCAGGACATTAAGAGTGACAATCTCTAGATTGTAGGGGATTGACTCGTCTCTCGCGAAAAAGGTTTTGTACTCGCTATTTGAGGACAAGAGTTCCTCTTCAACCTTTAGTAAAAATGCAGTTTTGGCTTTTTCAAGAGAAGTTATCTCGTCCGGCCATTTAGGAGAAGACTCAAACTCTAGGATGACATCTTGCAGAAAATCTGGATTTGAATACGCAAATGGGACAGGTTGACACGTTGTCGTGTACCTAAATGCTGGTCCGACAGGCAAGACAGATTTGATCGAAAGCGGCAAACTTAACTTGAACAAAAAACCGGAAAGCGCGTCGAAAGACTTGCGTACGTTGTAAAAACTACCCAAACTCAAAACAGACAAGCTTGAACTAGCTGGGAGATTTGGTAATGGCAACAATTCTTGGAACTGCTTTGATGTAGAGTTTGAAAGCTTGGCATTTTCTGCCAAATGCAATTTGAAGATGTAGCTCAAAATATCGAAAATTACTGGTTCCGAAGCTGAAGTATTCCAAACACAACAGTTCGTGATAGATCCGTCTTTGAAGCGACGTAAAGAGGACTTTTTGCCCCAGAAATTTCTGAACGCCATAGCTTCAGATGTGTTTTCTTCTGTGTTCAGTGGCCCTTTGGTAACTAGCTTTTCTGATTCATTAGGATTGACAAGAACATGAATCTTAATGTTTGCGATATTGGAGCTGCTGTTCGGCTTTCTCTTACTTATTGGGAACCAAGTCTTGTAATTAACTAGTTCGACCTCAAAAGACTTTATTCTTTCACCCAAAGCGATTTTAGCAACATTAGAAATTTTATTGACCACAAAATTTTCAAGACTGACAAATTTTATCTTTTCGGTAGGACCGAACTTGTCAAGTATTACTGACTGGGTCGGTAGGTCCAAATCAAAAGTCATGTCATACTTTATTTCTTGGCATCTGTTCAAGTTAGTCAAAAATATGTTTGAGAACTGGTCTCTCACCACGTCGCTTAATAGGCCAAATGTTTCACGGGCATGAATCTGAAGGGCTTGGTAAGACCTTACCGACATTTTAGTTAGAATGTTAACTTTTGTGGTTTTATCGAATATGGTAGGAGTTTGAAAGCCTTCTGCGAGATACCTGGATGTAGGTAAATTTGAAGAAGGACTTAGATCGGAATAAAATTGAAGATGACCTTGAGAACAGAGATCCATTGTGGCCAAATACTTCATGACACCTTTAAAAAGCTGGTAAGATGAGAAACCGTGCAGTAAAATCTTATTGCCGTTTACACCACCACCACATAAAAGCGCACTCATTAATGTGGCGAATTCAAACGAGCCAAAACCACCTAATCCTCCGGAATGGGCTGATTTAGAGGAAAAACCTCTCTGCTTGAGCCATAACTTACCGAGCATGCATGCATCTTTAAACGCTTCTGTTTGTTTCTTAGTCTTGTACAAGAATTTCAAATAATGGTCATGAGTAGACGAGGAGAGAACAGAGAAATTATAAAGTGGAGTCATCGTGTCCTTGTCTTCTTGTACCCTGATGCAGTTTTTATTAGGAAGAAGCTTCTTGGCATCGAAAAAGCCATATGGGAAACCGATTATTATGTTGATGGAGAAATTGGTCTTGTAAAAATTGTATTCAGAAGAGCCGCCAGGTTTGCACTGAAGTCGCAGGATAGGGCATAATGGATCATCATTCAGGTAGTCATAATTGAATTGCAAAAACTCCGATAACTGGTCCTTAGCGAAAAGTACGGAAAGATGATGTACAAAATAAGCCAGATAGACGCTTCTTTTGTGAATGCACCTGAAGTTGAGAAAGTCCTTCTTATCGAAGAGCTCCATTGGCATTGTGAGTAACACGTCAACCGAGGAGCCCTTTGGGTCATAGGTGGCACACTTGAGGGCAAACGAGCCGATCAACGACACGTCGGGGGTCTTGTAATCGAACTTGTATTGAACGGAGGGAGCAGGCTTTGGGTCCGTGAAAGGAACAGAGACAATCTTGCCCTTAAAATAGGACTCGACGTCGGCCAGCGTGGTCGGTTCCCATTCGGGTACCTTTTGGATTGTATCATAGAGCTTGTGCAAAAACTTTTCGACTCGCAAGATGTGTGAGTCCTTTAGCTTAATCTGCTGCAAGAGCTCGTCGATCTGCAGCTTGAAAATATTAGATTTGAACAGTTCAGCGGTGGCTCGCGCTACTTGTACGTCCTGGGCGCTAATCTGGCCCACACGACGCTGCTTCCTTGCTCCATCCTGCTCCTCCTCTGATCCACTTTCGTCTTCGTCTGCGTTGCCAGACTCCTCGTGTACTTCGGACCCGTTGACTTGCGCTCCATTTTCAAGTGCCTCAATCAAGGTCTTTTTGTGGATTGATTTGCCGGTCCCTGACCATGGACTCTCTGTGTCGATAGTGTCAGACGCCCGTCTTTTCAACTGAGCCATGCTAACTGTGAAGGTTTACTAACTGCCCGAAGTTATTGTAATTGTAGTGTCTATGAGAGGTATTTTTTCCGTTGAAAAAATCTACCAGCTCTTTTGTCCACACTCGACGACCTTCAAAGTCAAGATATTAGGGCTTCAAGTGCAAGCTTGAAATGCAATTTAGCCCAACTTTCAGCTTAACAGACAGGCCATCTCGTTTTTTTTCGAAGTTCGCATTAACATTTCGTTAATTTTTCACGCACTGTGAGCGTTTCCACGATGGCCGTCATCGCACCAAAAAAATTTTTCAGATTAATTGTGAGTCTATCTCTTTAAACGAGTTTTCTCGGGATACAATCAGAAGACAACAATTTTCTTAACTATGCTAAAAAAATTTGCCACCTGCCAGAATTGAACTAGCGACCTTTGCATTACAAGTGCAACGCTCTACCACTAAGCTAAGGAGGCTAATGATTGGTAAGTTTTTGTTTCACAAGGCTATAATGGCTAAGAACAACATTTTTTAATGTTGTACAAACCTTTGTCTTATAGCTCCCCTCTCTGGTTTACACAGTATTCAGAGACATTAATACATGTTTTGATAAGTTTCTATCTGCATTTAACACACGAAAGAGAAGCTGTTAGAGACGCTGTTTTCTTGAGGTATTAACGATATAGGCGTTGACCAAGGGCGTTTTGTGTCTAAATATGTAATTCACGTATACTGGAACAATTCCAGCTCTGGACGAATTAGTAGTCTATGAATTCAGAATAAGGACCTGTGATACACTAGATAAACTTCATAATGTCTCTTGATACATCTTTGTAGCCATATCAAATTTCAATCAACCTCTAGAGCATGTCTCGTTCTCGAATTACATTCAATGAAAATACCTATCACTTTGCGCCTCAATGACACTTTACATAACGGGGTTTAAAGCTATTGCTTACAAAGTACATATTTAGTAATTACGAAGAATGTTATTCATAGCTTCATTCTCACCCTCTAGTCTGCTAATGTCTTGCTCAAGACCCTTGATCTTGAGCTCATACTCGTTTGCCTCTACGCTCCGCATTTCCTCGCGCTGTTGCCGTTCGCGTTGTCTTTGTGACAAGAATTGGGATTTGAAGTTCTCCATGTCCTCGGTATACTGACTCACCTCTTTCTTCAGTTTCTCCTGCTTGACATTAACTTTTTCCCGTTTAGACGTAAGTTGAGATAGTTCTTGCTGCAATTTAGCAAGTTTCGCGGAGTTTTCGTCTGCTTCCTTTTCAAGCTTCGATTTTAGCTTTCCATACTCCATTTGGTTCTGAAGATGCTTGTCCTTCTGTTGCAAGTGTTCTTCTTCGACTTGCAACTCTTGTTCGAGTAGCCCTTTCAGTTTGTCCTCCATTGCAGCAAGCTGAGCTTCACTTTGTTGAAGCACTGTCTTTAAATTGTCCATTTTGAACGCACTCTTTTCATCTTGACTTGCATTTTGAGCAATCTTTGATTTCAAGTGGTCACTCTCTTGCCTCAGAGAACTCAACTTTTTGGAGATTTCCTTTTTCGTTTTCTTAACTTTTGCGCGTTCTTCTGCGAGATTGGTGTTTGTTGTCAAGACAGAGTGTTTTAGAGTGAGTAATGGGGACAAAAACTTGCGATGATAATACGAGGGGAAACTAAAATCCAGCGGCTCTTTGTTCTCGCCTATTTTGGCGCAAGTTCGAACCATCATGTCTGCAATTAGATAATCCTCACCCTCATTGAATCGATTGACAAATTGAATGTCATACGAACAAGAGGGAACTAACCCACTTACCACGGTATACTCCTCGCCCATCTTTTCTGATGTTATAGCAGAGAGAACTTGGGACCAAATAACGCCATTGACCAATACGATAAGCTCGCCTTCGAACAGGTTGGTGATATGAAATGTGATTTGTGTTGGGCCAGTGTTGCTGATGCATACTTTGTAGTCCGTTGCCTGTTTGAGTGGCATAAGGTGCAACTGATTGTAGTCATCAGCGGCAGGAGCTATCAATGTCATACAATCAGAAGAATCAGGACCTGTAAATACACTTTCGTTGATAACAGTATTTGATGATGTTGGGCTAATAGGTTGCGAAGTATTTGAGGACACGGAGTTTGACGCTGATGAAGTCACTCCAAAACTTCTAACTTTTCTATTTTCCAAAGTCATTGTCTTGATAGTGGTAAATATTGACCATAAAGGCGGAATCAGATGATGGTTTTTCCATTTGAATAGTTGCAAGATAAAGTTCTCCAAATTTGAAGTAGTGATGAAATACGCATCCAAGTTTCCGTTGCATGGCCGTTCAAGGTCAAGCGACAAGTTAATCTCGAAAAAATGGTTCGTATAGCCCATATCATACGTCTGAGAATTTGATTGGGTAGTGGTGACATTGGTAGTTATTGTTTGTTGATTGCTATCAGAGGGAGAATTCATTGAGAGTTCGGATACGTTATAATCCGATACAATACTACAGAAATTAGCTTTCTGTGCAATTGTATTCGGAACGGACAGAAGAGGCGGTCCGCTAGGCGGCCCAGAATTTATGACGGAACCATTTGGCAATGACATGCCCACATGAGAACCACCGGCTTGTGAATTTTGAGGACTCATTGATACAGATGCAGCGGCACCAGATGCTGAGGGGCGCCTGAGAGCTGCTCGAAGATAATATGGGTCTGTCATGTTTTGATAGAACTGAGACAGTACAATGTGGAATGAGGCAAAATAACGACAAAGTCGTACGTACTTGCTCGACCATTTCGCGAATAGTAGGAGCTTTGGTAACACAACCCCAATAAGCGGGTATCCCGTTGCGATCATATGCCATTGATGTAGAGAAGTATTTTGCACCATGTAGTCAGGCAAAAGCTTCAGATTTAGAAAGGATCCTACCCGGTGGCACAAATTCATTGCTAGCCCATACAGAATAGAACATGAAGTTGCGTAGCTCAAACAATCTCTAGGATCATTGATGAGCGACGATGCAATAATCGACAATGCCAAATTTTCAATAGGTCTAGCAAAATACTGGCTTGCGTATGCTTTGAGAATTCCTGCGAGCACAAGCTCAAGTGCAAAAAAAGGAGAAAAATTGAGAGGAAAGACAGTACTGTGTCTCGAAGTTGATTCGTCGGTATGCAATTGAGATTCATGACCCGAGTTCTGGTGATCGCCGTGAGGTAAAGGGTCCGGTTTGGTGTTGAAGTTTTTTGTGTTTTGGGCGCGCATGCTGCGAAGATCGCATGATTTTGCGCGCGTTGGATTTGAGAGAAACAGTCTAATGAAGCTGGTCGCCAGGAAGTTCCGCGATTTAGTTGTGACGATAAACAACGATAGCAGACATAGCGAAGCAAAATGATTAAAGCTCAAAAATACAACCAGTAATGCAAATGTGTCCTTGAAATGGTGTTCCTGAATGAAATTGATGGAATGATCCACCTGGGATTTGTCTTTTTTCTTGTGCTGCATCAAACGGAATACACAAGCGTAAAGTTAAGCCAAAAAGAGCCCTCCCGATACGGCTTTGCTAGTGAGAAGTTGAGTATCGCGTAGCGGAAAGCGTCTAAAAGTACAGATAAGCTGATTTTCAGCTGGATTCTTTCTCAAAGAATATGCACAATCATTGTGTTTTTCCAGAAAGCGCTGAATTTTCAAGTGTCGCCAAGAGACAAACATAATTGCCTCATTGTTCACGACAGTTTTTCGTGTCAACGATTTCGTACAACGAATTAGTGCATTTCAACTTGGATCCATACCTGCCCGGCCGCCCAACGTACATGTACTTTCTGTGGCTATGCGCTGGTACTTGTAATTTTTTTTTCACTAACTCGCGGAGAAAACATAATATTTTGACTAACATTTGTACAGATCTTAACAGTTTAGAATAATGTGATAGTTTGAACAAACACTTTAGGCATGAATAGGTTCTTGTGATTCACGACTTATTGCTATCGCGTAGTGCTGGTCACTTGAAGCAATACATCATCCCAGACCAGACTTAACCGAACAGTATATACATCTTGTACGAATACATGGATTCACTTATAATGATGGGTACCCTTAGTTTAGCTTACGTGACGAAGTGATTGTTCACAGGTGCTTGGAGCAAACAACTGGAAAAATACTCAATCACTATACGCCAAATTATTCGATAAGACCCATGCAGTCTTGGCGTGTTAGAGACCAATTGTGAGTCAAATCCAAACCTGAGATTTGTATATGCCGGGAGCTCTAAGTAGCGCGAGGAATATCAGCGGCCAATAGTTTCTGACACTGACACCCAAATAGAGCATTGATCACGGAAACAGGTACCGAGCCATAATTTCACCGATCAGTTACCCATGATGTGCCACGAAACGGAGTATTTACAGAGACAAACTTTCACCTCTGCTACCTGTTAATGAGAAATCGCTACCCAATCTACCCATTGGTCAAATCCGGCCTCAACTTCTGGCTAGTGACACACTAGTGTGAAGTGATGTGGCTCGTACAGAGACCCAACAAAAAACCTTCGAGATCAGCGGCCCATGGAATCGATAGATGTCCGCGCTGACTTCTAATGTAGAAAGGAAAGAAACCACAAAGAAGCGATCGCTGGGCGATTCGAACGCCATATCTTAAGATGAATTAATGCAATAGTTTTTACAATCTTGAGCCTTAACCCAACTTGGCTATTGGGTGGACAGATCGCCCATCGCGGCAAAAGATCATGATTTTGTGGAAGCTCCCAAATTTGCCCTTTGAGCTGGTGGAAATTGTGCCTTGCGTTCAAAGGACTGCTTTTTTCAAGATATAACAAGAGACTGAATCTTCGCACCTGAAGCTTCTATAGCTCGATAAGGCTATTTAAGTTGTAAGAGCCTCACAATTTGTTTCATTTATGACACACTAATGTCCTACATGATCACTATCAGAACTTTTGTAGTCATACCGGAATCGCAATTACTTTGCAATTTTTACAACAAATAGCACGAACGAACAAATTATGGCTTTTTAATCGTCTCACTAAACGAGGCTAGTTTGATACGCCACGTAGTTCAAGCAGAGTAGCACAAGAGTAAAACAAGCAGTTTCTAGATTCCGGAGTTTTAATTATATATCCGTATATCGTGATATCGTGTTTATTGATAAGTGTATATCTCAGATCTTTACCCAACACGTTGAAAATATAAGCGCAATACTGCATCTGAATGTTATTTTGCTTAATCTACTTTGGCATTGGTTCTGGCTGATCATAAATAACAAACTGTACTATGACAGGTCCTTCCGTCCCGCAAGGCTTGAAAGTTCTGTATAGTGATTGTTTCGTATATAGTGAGTGACACAATTGTTACTGTTTTGTACGCCTTTGACCAGTTTGTTGACGTAGGAGTTAAGAAACATATACTGCTCCTCAATTGCAGCAGCACCCAATTAACGCGTCTTTCAACACTAGCCTCGCACCAATATGGCATTTTGGTGGAAGAAGACACCCAAGACTGCTTCCGATTATGCCAAACTTCTCTCTGAGCAGTTGAACAAGTTTGAAAATGCAACAACCATTGATAGTCGAAGGAAAGTACAGGATGATTGCAGCAAGTACTTAACGGGTACTAAACACTTTCTGCTAGGAGAAGTAGAACCTGAGCCAACTCCAGAGGCTGTTGACGAACTTTATGGCGCAATTTACCAATTGGATATTCTGCGTGATCTGCTTGTTAATTTGCCAGAACTTGAGTTTGAAGCTCGGAAAGACGTGGCTCTCATTTTTGCAACATGCTTACGACACTCTAGAGATAACAAATTTGTAACGGTGGACTACCTAGTTACGCGACCCAATGTTGTTGCATTAATGCTGCGAACGCCAGAGTTGGCACTCTCTAAACCGAACAGCAGCGACCTTTTCTTGAAAGCTGGTTTTATCATATTGGAAGCTTTGAAATACGAACAACTGTGTCGAATTATGCTTCGCGACCCTCAGATCTGGCTATTTTTCGATTTCGCGAAGGGCGGTTCTTTCGAAGTCAGCACGGAAAGTTTTCAAATCCTTACCAATCTCTTCACAATCCATCAGAAACCGGTAGCCACAGAGTTTTTCAGTCAACCTATAAATCTTCAAAAATTCATTGACAAGATAAATAAACTCATGGCACATGGAAATTATGTGACCAAACGGCAAAGCGTAAAGCTATTACATTCCTTAATTATGATACGGTCATACAATCATTTGCTCACAGCTTATATCAATTCTCCAGATAATTTGAAGTTAATCATGATCCTTTTAAGCGATCGATCCAAAAATTTGCAATTGGGATCTTTCAATATCTTTAAAGTCTTTGTCGCTAATCCTCGCAAATCCAAGCCTATACTGGATATAATGGTGAAAAACAGAGACAAGCTCCTGCATTACTTAATGTCTTTCAATACCGATAGTAAAGACGCCACATTCCTCGACGAAAAAGAATACGTTGTACAAGAGATTGAATCACTACCAAGGCTGGTTTCCCCCAATAGTGACCCTTCTTTAGGAACTTCTCCTTAACATAAAGATTATCAAGCATACTAACTAGCATTTTATATTCTCCAATCAAAATTTACATAATAGTGAACCCCGGTGATCTGTTCGTCTACTAGTAGCTGTCCCTCATTGACACAGTTGTTGAGCGCCTCCATAATGATTCCTACAGTCCATGAGTTAGCATTGTTATCATTCAACTGCTGGCTCAATTCCAGTAAATCCGCACCAGGTGTCGTATTGACGATGTCAAGTATTTTTTTCTTGATGAAACCAAAGGAGTCTCCCGATGATATACACAAGACACGGCCATTTATTCTAGTGAGCTGAAGCTCACTCAAGCCTAACTCGTCAAATTTTTTGCAAGCCTCTCGCAACTCCTGGGGAGATATTAACCCTGAACCGATGCGCATCGCTTTATTGTATAGGGCATAGATATCAACGAGCGAAACCAAAATAACCCCTTCAGCCTTCTTCTGCTCCTGAAACTCGGTCATTATGAAACTATGCAGCTCTCTTGATATCTCGTTAATAAACAAATCCTTGGTTAAAAACTTCTCCCTATCAACAATAAGCAAAGGCGCCTTTTTTTGAGATTCTGTTCTTTGCTTTGTGTTGTAAAGCTTTTCTATATCAGATGCCAGTGCCATTAAATTGTTCAGATCTGACAAGGCGTTTCCTAATATTATGTCGTTATTGATCAATTGATTCTCTTGTGATTTCTCCAAACTTGCAATACCTATGCGGTTAAGTTTAGTTTCCAAATCAAAGATCTCAAGTCGCTTTGGTTGAACATTTCGCCCATTGACTAAGGTTACGCCTTTGTTGTAAACCTTTTGAGTCTTTTCTCGTTGTTGACTTTCAAGTAGTTTTGAAATAGTTTGAGATAAAAGCATACCATCAGACATGCGAAAACTTAGCTGTACAAAAACAGGTTCGCCTTCTGTAAGACCATCCTTTGTTTCTAGCTCTATTTTGACTCTCTTGTCGGTTAATCGCGGAGCTCCGTCCTCCGCATTTTCAATAGGAAGCCTCGTGCCGCAAATCTCGCAATTTCTTAACGACGGGTGGTTGAGATATGTACACGCAGCGCATTCAAGTTCTTCGGTATTTGAGCTTTGATGATCTTCAATTGGCGTAGTATTTATCGAACTTGGCGGCGCAACGGAACTTTCGATCATGTTGTAATCCGGCACAATCCCACAATTTGAGCAAGCAAACGATGAGATATTACTGCTTGACAAGCTAGCAAGAGTTTCATTTTGAGAACCGCAAATGGGGCAGCTCCAAATGGTCTTGTTTTCGAGGGCCATTGGGCCAGTGGGAGAATCATTAGCGTCGAACGATAAATCTTTGAGAAAGATACTCAGTCTTGCAGACTTCCTCAAAAACTTAGATGAATACTCTACGCTTGAAATGTCATCCAGTTCTAGCGATACTGAGTTAAAGGTAGGCCTTTCGTCGTCAATATATATTATTCTTTGCGAAGTAAGGTATATCCTTCCCTTCTGTCTTCCTAATATCTTAGATTTTCCTTGGTAGCAGCCAACTGCGTGCTCCACGTATATATCTTTCTCGTTCTCACGTAAAACCGGTTGGCCCGAAGTGGTAGTTTCGACAAAATTCCATTGTCGCAGGTGCATAAGTTGCTTGTTGCTTGATCTTCATCCTGAAATGTATTTCGATTGATACTCTTACTCAATGTACTACGTAAAAACGTATATGATGCTTTGAGTAAATTGAGTCGAATAGACCTGCTTGTGTAAACATTTCGTTTTGAAGCAGAATGAATACCGAGAATTAAACAAGCGCTAAGAGATATAATGCAGATTGTGAGTTTGAGGTTAAGTTGCTTGTGACTATGCATCGACTGCCTTAGGAGTTAACAACAAGTTTCTTCTCGAGGTGAGAGAGGTCAAGTTTGTTTGAGACTTCCTGAGAACATTGGATTTTCTAGCAATAACGAGTTCCTGAAGTCTTTTCGTCCACAACGGTACGTCCTTCTCCAACCGCGCATTCAGCTCGATTAACTTTTCCTCATCCTCAAGTCTTTGCTGCGGATTAAAATGGCCAAATTCGTACGCACCGTTGCCGTCGAATTTCAACAGATAGTTGTGAAAGTGCCACAGTGTGGTTCTGTGACAAACGGATATTAAAGAAATATTGAGCAGTTGTGCGTGGGAATACATTTCCTGCTCCATCTGTGGAGAGACTGCCGACGTGCACTCGTCAAGTACAGCAAATTTCGGCTTATGATAATACATTCTAGCCATTGCAAGCTTTTGTTGCACGCCAATAGAAAGTTCCTCGGCCCAATTTCGGATTACGTTGAAAGCATCCTGAGTAGAGACTTCGGATTCTTTATTGACTTTGTCCGCTGATGATGCCATGACAATTGACATGTTTTCAGTTAAAAGGTCATCTAATTCTAAGACATGCAAAATTTCAATGAGCTCCTTATCACCATTTGCGTAGTCTCCGCCATATTTGGCATCGAATTTATCCATGGTATCGGGGTAAATCATTTGCTCGCGGAAGGTGAACTTGTTGCCCATAAAGGGCTTCTGAGGAAGGTAGAAGATAGGCTTTTCACCATTTGGTCCAACTCTGGGTGGCATAATGAGTTTCGATTGCTTTTCCGGGTGTGTGAAAGATTTCATGATAGGCCATAAACCCCCTAGAACCCTGAACAGCGATGATTTGCCACATCCGTTTGGCCCAATGATTAAAAGGTGGTCTCCATGTCTCAGTTCGAAGTTCAGTTCTGGTATCAGTAATTGCAATGTTGGTGTAACTAAGGGAATATTAATAAATTGAATCTTGGAGTCATCGTATTCTATCAACGAATCTGTTTTTTCTAAATCGGTAGAATTGTTAGGTACGTCAAGCCTGTTGTTGAATTGATTTAGTCGCAAGGATACACCTCTCAACTGCTGGATACTTTTTTTGAGCTGCACAAATCTACCAACTGAAGACGATGCAGTGAGCAATAATCTTCGGTTGGTGATAAACTCAGCGGTAATATCTTGGCCATGTTGTTTTTGGAAAAAAATAGGTATCGAACATAACGCAAGACCAGCAGCACCCCAGGTGTACTTGATGATGAAAGTAGTGGCAAAGTCATAAATGGAATGTAATTTGAGTTCTCTGTTCAAGAAGATGGCTAATTGGTAGAATTTGTAATCCAGATTCCAAAGCTCCGTAGATTGACCCTTCATCAGAGCAATTTCTTCATTGCTCAAGTGAATTTTGGAATGCAGACTTCTAAAGATTCCCTCCAAATGAGTTCTTTGAATCGCTAATTTTGTGAAGTTTGGTTGAATCATTTTGAGCACCAAATTGCTAACGTGAACAATAATTCCTAACGCAAGGGTGCCCTCACCCATCATGCCACCGTTTGCGCTGGAAACCAACTTAAATGAGCATAGCAGTAGGTCTAGAGTGGGCTTTAGTAGTTGGTTCAGGAGTACCGATAAGTTATAGGAAAAAGCACCAACGTCGCGAGTCAAATATTGCACAGAGAGGTCGGAGCGAGCTAACTCTTCAGTATCGTTGCTTACTCCCACCGTAGAGTTGTAAGTTACTAATTGCCTATCTCCTTGAGGAATTGCGTTGACTGCGTAGAAAGTATGATGCGATGACATGTAACGGTCAAGCAGATGGGTTGATACAATGCGGTTCACTGTCACAGCGCATAAGCGAGTAGTGTAATGGATCAAGGAATTGATGATGCTGGCGGGAATCCCCAAAACCATCCACTGTCCCAAAAGCACTTGTAGAAACTTGCGGTACTCGGCCTTGACCAGTCTAGATACCAAAAGGCCATCCAGCGTTGCTACGCGAAGCGACAGAACCGTACGAGCGACCAAAAGCGTGGCCTGGAATAAAAACAAAGCCATGCATTTCCGGTCTTTGATAATCAGCTTAATCAGAAAGTTTACGCGCGACGAGACAGATTCTGGGGGTATATTCGAACTCAAATCGTCCTTGCGATTTTCGTCGGTCGACTGCGAGTCCAGCTCCGTTTCAGTCTCGTTGCTAGAATCAAGGAGCGCGTTCACTTTTGCCTGTGTAGGCTTCAATTGCGACTGATCCAGCCGGTCTTCGACGCGGGAAACTTTGGGTCTCGCTTGCAGACTCTTGAACATGGCTAAGATAAGCAAAACATAGGTAGTTTTCAGAATCCTTAGCCGATGCCTCTGGTAGAAGTTCAGCATGGCAAAAATCATATTGTTCTTAAAACTGCCAGCTAGTTATTGAAAGTTTATTAGCTATTCCACTCGGTTACAGTTTCCAGAACCTTGGCGACTCAGAATGGTACTTAAAATTGTTAAGATGTAGTATGGTTTCGAAACCACTGTTTTATAAATACGCTCTTCACTTTCCCTTAATAACAAATATATTAATATTACTGACGCTGCGAGTGACCTGTATAACTCCAATACCAGAGCATGTTCGTCGACCATGATGTGATGAATGGAGGGTGGTATTTTAAGAGTGCAATGCCATGTTCGCAAGAGCGTGGCCAGCGGTAGAGCGCAGCCAGTGGTAGAGCATAGCTAGCAATTAATAGTGCGTTGTCTCAGTGAAAAAAAATGATGCGAGGATTTAGTATCTAGGGAAATCGTATTTTTGGGGACTGGTTTTGTGTTCACTAAGGAAAGTCGAAAAGCTTTGAGCGAATACGCTCCCATACGATCATTCATCTGAAGTTTGACGTCGGATGTTGAAGCTCAATTTTAGGAGACTACTTCGAATGATGATTTTTACGAATATCACTTTGTCTTGACGTGACATCGCCCGAATATGATTGAAATGTATAATATCCATAAAGAAAAGATATGCATTGGTGATTTGAAAAACTCCCTATGATGCGTATCGTAGTTCCGCATTCGGTGACTCGCAGGGCTTCCTTTTCGATCAATGCGTCAGGGGTCGTCTGTACACAGATTAGAGGGTGTCTTCGAATACAAAGTGAGTTCGAGGCTATGTGGGGGATCTAGGTGGTAACATGCATTGTATTTGAAATCTCGTTTTTGTAACAGATTGGCTACAAAGATGGCAGGCAAAACACGAAGACCGTTCAAAATTTTACAACTGAATAGTAATCTGCCGTTCGACAGTCTTATCGCCGCATTAGTGAGTTAAAAATCATCGAGGGCATAATTATGCAGAACTCTATCCTACTCAATTTATAACACGCATTTCATCCAAAAAACCGAGGACACGGATGTGGCCATGTTGTTTGAACCAAGGGTGAAACCCCAGCAATACACTAGCGTCACGCGCTTGCTACGCTCGCTTTGCTGCAGAGGTTCAACGCAAAGTGTTTGAGCTACAAAGCCGATCCAGTGGCATCTTCAAGAATATCTTTATCCCTGTCACTTTTTCGCAATCACCTAATTAACATTCTGTCATTCCGGCTGTGCCTGGAAAAAAAATTGGGTGGCTGGTTTAGAGGCGACGATCAAATGAACGCGTAGTATAACGATGACAAAAATAGACGAAGGCTTGCTCGTCTGCCTGTGCGCAGCAACAACGATTAATTGCCCGCAATACAGCAAAATATCGGAAACTCTACGCTTAACAGCTGTGCCCACATCCCACGCGATAATTTATTTTTAGGAGAACTGGCGTAAACTATCAGATCCCGCTTGTCAGGGGATTGAGTTCTTTTAAATTAACTCGGTTCCTATCTGTAAATGAACAAGTAGAGTTAAGGTCAGGAGGCTCAGATTAATAGGAAGAACCGTTGTAGAATGTGTTTCACAGCGCCCACTTCTAAAAAAAACGGAAAATCCGATACATACATATATATATATACAAACTCAACGGTACAGATCAAATCAGATCAGGTTAGAAATTATTCAATACGGATATTTCGTATCAGCCAGAGTTTTCAAGACCATCTATCTCTGACAACACACACCATCTGCTCATCAAACCCTATGGCAAATTGCATAGTTCTCTTTTGTTCGGCGTTCCTGTCGTTTGCAGCTGTGATCCTGGCCTGCGTGGCCTGTGCAGGTTCCACAAAGAATTACAATCCAATAAATAAGATCTTCGAAGCACAATTGGACCTTTCGGGTCTCAATGTTTCCCAAGTGCTCTCAGGCTTGGGCTCTTCTATTCCGTCCTTGGAAGAGCTAGGTTTGCCTTCTTATGTCAACCTTGGCCTGTGGTCTTACTGCCTGGCGAATTCCTCCGGTATCGTTTCCAACTGTACGTCGCCATCCGGCATCCAGCAATTTAACCTCACAAACATAATCTACGACAACATCAATGACAATCAAGTCGCCAATCTGATCACCAGCGTCGCCCAAATCACACTTCCTGATAAGCTGGAAGACAACATGACCTACTACAACAACCTTGTCAAGTGTTGTTTCATCACGCTGATCATCGGAATTATCGCCAGCGGGCTCAATCTAGTGGTGAACATATTACGCTGGATTTTGCACTTCGTGATTATCACTTGGATTTGTCGGTTCTTCGCTCTCATTGCGTTCCTGAGTCTCCTTATTTCAGCTGGGACAAGCACGGGAACGTACGTTTACATTAGACATGCGTTAGCGGACAATTACGACACTTATGGCATGAAAATGAATTTGGGTGTCATCTTTTATGCTTTACTATGGGCCAGTGTAAGTGCTGCGCTTCTGAATTTAATATGCTTGTCGGCCGCCAGACCTAAACGTCATATCTACGACAGACCTATTGAGGAAAAACCGCTACTTTAAAACTGAATAATTCGCGTTCTTCAACATAATTGCATACATAAAATTTAGCATTGCACAAACCTTGTGTATTATAACTGATAGGTTTGTCTATTAGAAACCTCAAATCCATTCAACCGCACTACTCTTGTGAAAGTGCCATGGCTGCTTTCAACGGAGAAGAAGTCCTGGATAAATTGAGTGAATACTCAATCGAGCTCTATCTTAAAACAACAATTTTTTGAACCAGTATCCTCGACGGGCAGCTTTATTCAGAATGAAATTCCATTTCAACTTATTACCATATTCAATTACACAATAATTTTGGCATCCTCAAAAATAATAGACACCAAAGAACTTTTCTTCTCTAAGAGACATGAGGCGAAATTCCATCGCTTGCAATAGCTGCATTACGTTTTTCATCCGATTCTGTGGTGGCCCCAGCAGATGCATCTTCGTCTAGATGCGAAGAATCTTTTTTCCTATTAACCTTCACGAAAAACAGCAAGACAAATGTGATGAACGCAAGAGCAAAGCCAGTCCAGATTAGTCCTGCATAGGCAGAACCAGTGGTAAACATAACGTTGTAGTCATCCGCTTTGGTGTCTCTTTTGATGATGTTGACGAAAGCTGCGACAATAGCACCAGAAAGCAAAGCGAAAATGAATACGAGGAAAGCCAATACCTTAGCGCCAGTTAGCATGCAGAACTTGGATTTGCTGTTCGTGTCTTTCATTAAAGCGACGCACAACATCAAAATGATTAGGAAAAACGACAAAATGATTGTCAACAAATTAAATGCTAAAACCGCACGAACAGCCGGAACATACGATTTTTCCTTTTCTTGCAATTTTCCTTCTAGATACATGTCATTCTTCTGTACATCCAAGGCTTGCATGTACGGTTTGAAGTCCGATTTCTCCAACTCATCATATAAAATATCTCTCAAAACAAATGATTGAACTGCGTGTGAAGAGCTGCATTGTTGTATCTTACCATCGCTTAGTCCGCGACACAGCGTGAAAATTGCCAATCTGTAATGTGAATTTACATTCAAATTGTCCATGACCATTGGCATCATAGTGTCCAACGTTGTTTGTGTGATCTCAGTATCTCCCAGTTGGGTTTGACTCAAGATCTGGAGCAAAGGCTGGAATGCGGTACTGTTGGACTGGACAGCTTGCATGAGCTGCATGACCGATTGAAGTGTGGCTGTCGAATTTTTGGAATCGCCCAGTAAGCTGAATACGGGCGACAAATCTTGAGAGCTTGAAGATGAATTTGAAGATTGCACTGTTTGCAACACATTCAGAGTGCTAGACGAGTTGGTAGACGAATCCAAAATTTCCTGTAGGCCGGTCAATTGAGCCGCGTTGGCGGCATTCGTCGAGTTAGCAAGAGTAGCAACCGAAGTCAGAACCAAAGTTTGGTTGGACGAGTATCTCATCAATGAGGTCAAAGCATTAAAGGATTGATGAGCGGAAGGAGATGAGGTGACGTTGCGTTGTAGCAAGCCCTCTAGGGTTGAGAGCGTTTGATTGGAATCGCGAGTGTTATTAAGTAATGTGCCAACCGCTAGGATCGCAGGGCGTACCGAGTCTGGCACGGAACTGGCCACTTGGGTCAAAGTTGCTTGTGCATTAGAACCGCCAGTTTGCAAAGCGTGGAGCAGAGAAGCCGACATGTCAGCTGAGATATTGGCCGACATCAAGGTTCCCAACGCTCCCATGGTGGCAGTAGCATTGGAAGATTGCTGGAACAAAGAGAAAACCGGCATTAGCTGGGCCTTATCCGCAGCGGACTGGTTCTGGAGGGTAGCAAGAGAGTCCACGGAGGCAGTGGCGTTTTGGGAGTCGTTCAAGAGGCCAAAGACGGCGCGCTGGATTGTGGGATCGCTAGAGTTGGACGACTGCAATAAGAGCGCCATGCCTTCCAAAGTTGCAGATGCGTTTTGTGAGTTTTGCACCAACTGGCCAATGAGGGCGAATTCCTGGGACGACGACGACGACGAATTGCTCGTTTGCGACATCATGGGGGCGACCACGGCCAAAGCGGCCACGGTTTGTGACACGTTGTTGCTGTTGGCCAGGAGCTGCAAGAGCGGTTTCAACGCTGGCGTGTTGGCGACCAATTTCAAAGCGTCAAAAACCGACGCGACCGAGTCGCCGCTGGACTGGTTTTGGGAGGGGCTGTTGACCAGCCCAGCCAGCACCGAAAGCACAGGGCCCGTCTCGGGAATCACCTTAGTGACGTTGATGCGCGAGATGTCTGCCTCACCCATGTACACGTGATTGATGGGCGAGTAGTTGGACGTGGACCCGGCCGTGGCCACGATGGTCAGAATGAAAGTGGTGAAGACGAGCACCACGCCAACGAAAAGCGGTAATTTCCTGGAAACGGCAAGCATGACAAGCGTGCGTGCGTGAGCTATAATGGAATGCGCAACGGTGTGCCAAGAAAATCCACAACCAAGTCTCCCATCTCGCACGCAAGATGCCTTTTTATAGCTTTTTCTCCCCGAGCGAGCAAAAGTTTCGCCTCAAGAGCCTGCTGATCATTCACCGTCGGACAGTTCATCCTGTCTTCTCCATCCTAGTCCTAAGTTTCTCCAACAATTTCCCTTCATCACCTCATCGATGCTGATGCGATGCCGTACTGAAATGTAGATGCACAGAATCTGTGCTGACACACCGGATTTCACCGTTGCAAAAAACCGAAACATTCGAGAAGGCGCACAAACAATGACAAATGCGCTTTTTGGCTTACCTCAAAAGATGCGTAGTTGCCGTAAGGGTCTTCCCTGCTTGTCAGTCAGGTGCCCGTGTTAAAAAACGACTCAAGCGGTACAGAAGGAAATTTTGGAAATTTGGGAAGGTTTGAAAGTTTTGAAAGTTTTTTGCACAGTGCAGTGTGCAGTGTCGAGGTCGAGGCCGTAGTCGTCTGATTTGGATCCAGGTTTGTTGAGCCAGAGTTATACGACAGGCTCGCTGGCTGGCGACAGACCTAGGGCTCGAGTGGGAAAAAAACAAAAAACGAAAACCTAAAGAAGCGAGAACGGTGTTCTGGTTCGCTCTCACAGCGCCATCAGCGAGTCGTCCGGCTTGTAGACCATGGTGTAGTTGAAGCTGGCTATCACGCAGTTGTGGTCGCCGTTGAAAACCCTGTCGTCCAGCACGAGCTGGACGGAGGTGCCGAAGTACGGCCCCCATAGGGGCCGGTGTTTGGCCGTGGGAGCGGCGGCCAAGGGAGCTCCAGGAACCGCGCCCGTGTCCAGCACCAGCACCGCGTCCTGGCCCATCTTGTCCTTGCCACTCTCGTCGAACCGCACTTTGGCGTTCACGCTACAGACGGTGGTGCCGGTGCCCGGGATCACGTGGTAGTCGAGTCCCGTCAGAACGTGCTGGGTCTGCACGACGGCGCGCTGCCAGGTCTCGAGAAACAGCGCGGCCTGAGCAAACGGGTTCGCGTTGACTATGATCTTGCTGGCGGCCGGATCGAAGCATTGCAGAAACGGCGCCAATTGCTGCGAGTCCGTCTCGTCCAGGAACGTGAATGTTTTCTTGACAAAAGCCTCTACGGCTTGGGACTGTCCGTTCATCGCTAGCACAGGTGGTGATGGTGGTCGTGGTCGTGATGCTTTCGAGAGAGATCACTTTTCCAAAATCAAGAATCGCATCATCGCCGGTATTTTTTCAGTATTATTCTTATTGATGTTTGGTCGGGTAACCTCCCTTTTGTCGAAAACGAAAAAATACCAATCTGCAGGAATAAAACTGAACCCCACACCCAGCACAGAACATGAACAATTCGGTTGCCTGCGGGCTTGTGGGCTTCCCAACCGCGGTTCCAGCGACACCCGTAAAGACTATAGTTCCATTACGATCTTTTTGTCACTGTGTACGCGTGTATTTATTGTATATTCCCCAGCATAACCAGCCCTTTTTTTTAAACTGAAATTAGAAGTAGCCTAGCGGAATGTTGACTTTCGAGAACCCGCCTTGTGATTATATCCTGCAATGACGCCAAGCAATGAAAGCAGTGGCCTTGAGTTGCCTGTTGGTAGGTGTGGATTGGATGCGGAAGAGTCCGGCTCATAATTTGTGTGTTTTTTTCGGGCTGGTTAACCTTTAATTTAGGCAATTGCTTCCCTGTCTGAGGTGGAGCAGACCCCAAACAAGATCAGGAATTCCACGCGTAGCAGGCAGCTCCGGCAATCAGGCTGGTCTGATCCGAAAGGCATTCTTCGTGTGTTCGCAGCAAGTGCGATTTACGGGGTTTGGTGTTCCGGCGATATATAAAGCTGCCAGGTCTGGAGAGCCAGCGCGTGGACGGTGAATTCAAGGCTCAAACCCCATCGTCCACAACCGTCCATTCGTTAAACCGTCAACTTTCTTTGACCTCTCCAGTCTCAGTCTTTCGTTTCCCAACCACCCACTCACACATTCCTTCTATGTCCACTTACTCTCGCTTTTTCAATGCGCCCGCTTTCACTTCGCCCGTTTCTGCTGGTCCAGAAACGCACCACCTAAGCCAGACTCGCAGGAAGAGATCCTTTGACGACCTACTGTTACCTTCTTTGAACTTCGAATCTCCTCAGCTATGTTACCATAACAGTCCTTATCTTTTCCAACCATTAGTCGTCAATCCATCCTCCAACAAGAGAGCTCGCACAGCGCCTGCGTCCCCTACCGGGATGGACATCATGACCCCGAAGACGTCGCCGTTATTGACGAAAGTTGACCTTAATACTACATCCTTCACATCCCTCCCCTCAATTTTGAACTACAGCGCTGATTCTGCGTCGCAATCGCAGCCACAACCAAATGATCAGAGCTATGTTCCAGCCTCCGCATCAGTTTCACAAGGCAACTCGTTTAATTCCTTTTATAATCCCTCCTCGATTACACTTGCATCTGCTGATAACAACAATCAAGACGAGTCCGAAAGTGATGAACATCCTCAATTATCCGATACTACTCAATGTGGACCTTTACCTTCGCTCAAGCATTTACAACTACTTCCCAATCCAAAAATCCAAGAGCTTGCTTACCGCTACCCAGACACCTCAGAAAACACGCAATCATGGAGGGAAAGCCTATTGAGCTGGTGTAGAAATGAAAATTACAATGACTATTTAAAAATCACAAAAGAGGTTAGGGATTCTGCCCGCAATTCGCATGCTCCCGGACTCAGTACACTTGCAAACGTTGCCTCTTTGTCACAATCAATACCTTCGATCTTAAACCCTCCAGATGAATTCCGTGACTTGTCTAACACTCTTTCTTATGGAGGTGTAGTGACGCCACCAATGAGCCCTCGTAGCGCACATACGACGAGCAAAAGCTCACCGATCTTTACTCCAGTTATGAGTGAGAAACTTGTGCAGTGTATCAAGGAAAGAAGGTCAAAGTCTCATAAGAAAACCAATAGTTTCAAAGCTCGGGAACTCAAGAAGTTACTCAACGATAGAGATGTTCTGTCCAATGATTCCAGGGGCAGAGTTGAGAAACCCGCTCGCAAGAGGAAGCCGAGCTTGCCTTCCTCACCTCATCAGTTTATCATGAAAATTAGTGGGCTGACTTCTCCTAAAAGCTTAACCAAAAGTTCCACCAAGGTCTCTCCAAGAGGCTCTACCCATGAGGATCTACCTCCCGAATCCACGCCCCTGCGTACCGATTCTCCACCAAGAGCGCACGTATTTGTGTTGAACGAACCTCAAACGCCCACAAAGAGTGTTAACTTTTCATCGGAGGTAGGTCCATCCACTGTTGGTCCCATGACTCAGAAACCGTCATCGCCGAAACGCGGTACGAACAGAACGTGTATTTCTTGTCTATCCAGTGATTCGCCTTGCTGGAGACCATCGTGGACAAGCAAGAAACAAGATCAATTGTGCAACTCTTGTGGTCTTCGATACAAAAAGACGCAAACAAGATGCCTAAATGATTCTTGTCGCAAGATTCCCTCCAAGGGCGAACTTGCTATTATGAAAGCCAATGGTATGATTTCTCGAATCAGCCCCGAAGGTACTGTTACAAAAGGGCTAGGTTGTTTATTTTGCAACAGTATGGTTGAAACCAGGGAATTGCATGAACATCGATAAATTTGCGCAGGTAGCAACAAGTCGTCGACATTGCTTGGGGATACTTTACATACGAATCTAATTAATTACAACAGAGTTGAAACGAAAGGAAGTTTTAACGCAATTATTTTGTGTCTAATGTGTCGCAAACTAGAAGATATCCAATTGGAGCCTTTTGTTCCGCTGTTATCTAAAAAACAGGTTAGCTGTCTTGGCCAACGACATTGTTTTCTTTAATACGTAACTTCAGCTATTTTACTCTGAATTATTGGTACCCAAATCGATAAAGAGGATGAAAAACATTAATTTCGTAATCGAAATCCCATGCTTCATTACACTGCAATTTAAAATTTGGCAAATAGTAAAGTTATTTTGGAAGCTCAGCAGAGCCAGAGTTTAAGCTCGATTCGAAATCACATTTTAAAGCGTCCGCAATTATATATAAAAGACGTTCGTGCCCTGTTTAATTAAGAGCACCATAACAGGTGAAGTAAAATTGGACCCATTCTTCTGCTGAACACTGATTGAGGCTTGCCTATTTTCAGCTGAGTATCTAACCTGCTTTTCATATTTTTCTATTTGCCAACATTAAATCCATTGTTCGCAATAATTAATCTTGCCTCATCGGCATCGCATCGCATGGTGAAAAAATAATTAAAAGAACATAAAAACTACTTTCTCCGCCCGCTATTCTTGAATTACTGCACTTACTGCGAGTTCATGCCTAGGAAACAATGACTACAATCCAAGACGTTAGAACTGAGGTTCCTGGTGGATACAGTGAGGTAGGACACTCCGCTTCAATTAACGTTGCTAGTGGTAAAGCTGCAGACCTTTTCCAACGGTCAAGCCTTGGCGGCGAAAGAGCACACAAATCGATAGCACAAGCCCTGCAGAAGCGTGTAGAAAGCGTCAACCAAGAGGAGTGTGAAGCAGGCGACGAGAATTCATTTTTCGTATGCGATTTGGGCGAAATACAAAGATTGTACACACATTGGCGCCAAAAACTACCGCGGGTTCATCCTTTTTACGCGGTGAAGTCCAATCCTAACAAGCGAGTATTAGAGACTTTGGCTCAAATGGGCGTCAATTTTGACTGTGCCTCCAAGTCTGAGATTGAAATGATACTACAACTCAGCGTTGATCCATCCAGGATCATCTATGCCAACCCTTGTAAAGCGTCGTCTTTTATCAGGTACGCTAAGAACAGCAACGTGAAGAAATCCACGTTTGACAACGTTGAAGAGCTTGCCAAAATCAAGAAATACCATCCAGACTCAGAGCTGCTTCTGCGAATCGCAACAGATGACTCGACCGCGAAATGCAGACTCTCTACCAAGTACGGTTGCGAAATGGCCAACGTGGACTCGCTTTTGGCTAAAGTCAAGGAGCTTGGGCTCAACATGGTTGGAGTCTCGTTTCACATTGGGTCTGGCGCGTCGGACTTCAGCACCTTTTACAAAGCCGTCAGAGATGCCCGCGAGGTCTTCGACCACGCCCGCGCCCGTTTTGGGCTTGAAAATGTGCATATTTTAGATATCGGTGGTGGGTTTCATCTCGAAACTTTTGATGAATCCAGTAGCGCTTTGAACATTGCTCTGGAGGAGTTCTTTCCACCTGAGTGTGGAACTAATATAATTGCAGAGCCAGGCAGGTTTTTCGCTGCATCACCCTTCACGCTGGCTTGCCATATCATTGCAAAGAGAGCCCATAATGACCGCGAATCCATGCTCTACATAAATGATGGCGTTTACGGCAATATGAACTGTATATTGTTTGATCACCAAGAGCCCACTCCTAAAATTTTACACCATAACTCTGAGTTTCATTACTGGGACCAGGAGTCCACGTCTGCTACTCAAAATAGTCACTGTGAAAACAAAGTTTCCATCTGGGGTCCCACTTGTGATGGGTTGGACTGTATAACCAAGGAATTTTACATGAAGCACGACCTCTCTGTTGGAGATTGGCTGTATTTCTCAGTCTTAGGAGCCTACACTTCATCGGCGGCGACTCAATTCAACGGGTTCGAACAAACGGTTGATGTCATCTACGTTAACTCTGCGCAGCTGTGACAGAATTTACATATTGGCTGCACTAGCCCGAAATTTGTAGATAATAGTGTAACAGCATGAAATACTGGACGAGCGTAGTACTTGTCCTTGAATACATATTCCGATCGCTGACCCCGGTATCCAATTGCCGAAAAAATTTATTGACCAAGTATGAAATCTTTAAAGTTTTCAAGATTTAAAGTTTTCAAGATTTGGTAAAATCAAGACGATGGCATAAAGTGATGCTCAAGAATGCTAATGACAGCCTATTTTGCCAAGTAGAGACCACCAAACCTACGGTGGAAAATGTGACACCATTTCCCCTGTTTCAGCAGACGCAGCCAAGATTGAAAGGTGTATCTTTGGATGAACAAAATGAACTGCCGATCCTGTATGGCGGCGGACGAGAGTTTCTTTTGGGCCTGATACCGCAGCCAGGTGAACCGCTGAAGCCGGCAAGTGTTGAGGTTGTGGACCTGTTCGTTTTGAACACATGTCTGGTGATATGGCTGAAATCTCATGATACTGGAGTACAAGTGCCGTACCAAAACATAGTATACCACGGCGTTCATTTGATCGATGATTGTGAGACAAGTGCAGAAGGCCATACGGTGGAGATTGTTCTGACGATTCAAAGAGATCCAATTTTAAATCAACTTTTTCCTCCTCAGGCGATGACTGCTCCGGAAACGTTGCTTGACTTCACAATGTCGACTGTAGAGCTAGTTCTGCGGCCGCGGTACGCGGACTTTGATCGTGTATACAATGAGGAGCTGGAAGATTTGTTTACTTTCAAGCTGTTTGGGCTTAACCGAGGAGATACTTTGGTGATAAATTGTAATAACGCAATTGCGAGGTGTATGGATTTCCACTACGTGGACGAACAAAGTGAGGAAGAGGCAGAGGAAGCCGAGAGTGTTGCTGGAACAGCCGAATTCACTGGCTTAGGAGAGTTTCTCAACGACCAGACGCCGGTGTATCACAACATTGGTGCGGCAGACGATCTTGATGAAGACGACGGGGTCGTAAAGGACGACGCTGATGCCGGCATGTCACTCGAATTTTACGGCAATCAACAGCTGGCGGGTCGCAAGAAGATGTGGGAGAACGACATGGGCATGGATTCTTATAAAAAGTACAAGAGCTGAGGGACGAGCAGCACAAGTGCGGACCCGCACAACAAATTAGCATTATTACGTGAATATAGAAAAAAGGGACTGGTATGTATATAAATCTTAGGTGAAAGGTGGCCTTTTTGACAGAAACAGTTGAGCGTGGCTTGCGAGTTGCTGAATTACTTGGAGATGCCGGCTGGACCTCGATTATTTAGTCAGACAGCGCGAGTAGATGGCCACTACGTATTCAACGAGAACCATATAGGCGTCTTTTCAAGTGTTCAACAAGAAGCTTTGCCCAATGGATGAGGCGCCCAAGAGGCTTTCCCAGGCGCTCAAGAAGCTTTGCCCAATGGCTAAGGCGCCCAAAGAGCTTTCCCAGTTTCCCACCTCGCTGTTTTACTCAGCGCGCAATTGTCTTGACGAGCTTCTCATTTTTCGCAAGGGCTCCGGCATAGTTTGTTACCAAGGGATACAAAAGCCAATTTGACCATCCCAACCCAAATATCGGCCTATTGGTGCCAACTGAAAGCAAGATCACACCGACCCAGAACCAGAACCACAATGCCACGCGGGCTCGAGACTCTCTGAGGTGAACCTATATACCATATCACTACCAACGACATACTTTTCGCATTCACGTCTCTTCCTCCCTTGTCCAACAACTCTCAAAATGGCCCCAGCATGCTCGATCTCGCCGGTTTGACTATCTCAACGACAAGCCTTGGCATTCTCTGCGGTCCTCTCCCACCAAGATCACTTTGCACGGAAGACAAGGCTAAATCCAACATTCCCAACAACGCCAACCACACTGTTCTTATCCAACGCGTTCAACAACAAGCATACAGTCCGAAAACAACCCTTTTTCATGGCAAAATGGACAACATGGTGCAAGCGCCAGCTATCTGTATATGTATATATAATGGAAGGTCAAGTGGCAACGCTTGAGAAAGGTATTTTTAGGTAGAATGGTTAGCGAATTAGAGTATTCCCTTCCCGCACGTATCGCAGTTCCAGTTTCCCAGGAACGTAGTTCGATATCACTCTGATTTGTGAAAGGTATGTTAAACAGGAGAGAGAGAGGAGAGAAGTGAGAGACGAGAGATGGGCGAGACGAGAGAGATGAGAGACACCCAATCGACTGATAAATCGCGGGCAATTGCCACAAAACCACTTCTGGTGCTAGCCTCGCAAGCCTAGCCGCCCAGCTTGGCCGTCGTACCGCGCGACCACCCCAAATCCAACAAAAAAAGCCGAAACCACGTGAAAACCCACGCCCGTGCCGAGTGACAGGCCGCCCAGCGGGTCCCTAAACGGTTTTAGCGGCGAGAGAGCGCCGTTCGTGTACGAAATTTCAGCATGGCATACGCTTCCATTAGCGGCTACCAAAGACAGGGCTCCAAACTCGCAAACTCTGCGATCACGCTACGCATATTTTGGGAAGTTTTTTTGGCTTGTGTGTGCTGCAGTACTGCTGGCGCTATATGCTCTGCTCTGCGTGTTTGAACGTCGCGTTTCTCTCAACTTTTTTGTTGGTGGGTTTTTTTTTTTTGTTTTTTTTGCCTCCCCTTCCCCTTCGTTCTCTGGCCTTTGCACGGAACGACAACAGAACCCAACAATTTGGCCCAGGTCGCGCTGCCAGCCCGTTTTTGGGAAGTCGAGGGATAGTGTCAAATTTCTCGATTCAATACTTAACTTGCAGCTTCTCTTCCACTATCTCTACCTTTTGGGTTTACAACTTCAAGGACACCAGGTACTAACTCGTTAGGCACAGACTTTTCTCATATTTAATCTTCCCACCCGCCAGGTGTTTCTTCGCTAGTGTTTTTTCCCCCCGAAACCAGTGAACAAGCGCACTTCGTTGAATAACTATTACTTTTCAACTACTCAGTGCCAAATATCACCACAAAGCCCCCGCGCTTAGTTTCCGCTTCGAGTTTTCCCCACGAACCGAAACTGCTATCAAAAGTTTAGCCTATCCATTTCCCACAAATTTTATTAGTTACTCCTAATAATTTGCACTATGAGCGCATCCAACAGCACCAGAGCACTAACTTTGGCGCACGGCTCAATTGAGCACGTTCTACCTGTACCAACCGCGTCCTTTTTCCCAGGGTCCCAGTTGCAGGACCAATTCTCTAAGCAATTGCCACAGGTGTCTGAGGGTTTCGTTGCTGACAACGAGCCTTCGTCCCCAGCAGAGCTTTTAGGACAATTTCTCGGCTATGTGGCCTCTCTGGTCGACCCTTCCACTAAGGGCCAATTCGACGATGTTTTGACTGTCGCTCTAGCCGAATTCGAAAATAGCTACCTACAAGGTAACGATGTACACGCGTTGGCCGCCAAGCTTCTGGCCGACGAGGACGTTTATCCAACCACCCTAGACAAAGTCAAAGAAATGATCAGAAACTACTTCAACGCTCGCACTGCGGCTCAAAGACCATTTACAAAATCGGATTCTGCTCTTTTCAAAAGCGCTGCTGCTAAGGAATCCCAATTAGTCGCCATCTTTGGCGGTCAAGGTAACACCGACGACTATTTCGAAGAGTTGCGTGAACTATATCAAACTTACCACAGTATTATTTCTGACGTTATAGAAGCGGCTGCCTTCAGATTGGCGGAACTTGTCAAATCTACCGACGATACTGAAAAAGTTTACACACAGGGCTTCGACGTTCTACAGTGGTTACAGAAACCAGAAACTACTCCAGACAATGCTTATCTATTGTCTATTCCGATTTCATGCCCTATGATTGGTGTCATTCAATTGGTGCATTATGCGGTCACCGCCCGTGTTCTTGGCTTCACTCCTGGTGAGTTGAGATCACATTTGGTCGGTGCTACTGGCCATTCTCAAGGTCTGGCTACTGCTGTCGCCATTGCCGAAGCCGACTCTTGGGATTCATTCTTCAAATCTTTGAGTAAGACTATCACCCTCTTATTTTTCATCGGTGTGCGTTGTTACCAGGCTTATCCAAACACTTCCTTGCCACCATCCATGCTAGAAGACTCTGCTGAGAACGGCGAAGGTACCCCATCTCCAATGTTGTCGATCTCCAATTTGACAAAAGAACAAGTTCAAAAATACGTTGATCAAACGAATGCCCACTTGCCAACTGAAAAGCACATCGTGATCTCTTTGATAAACGGTGCCAGAAATTTGGTAGTTAGTGGTCCCCCACAATCCTTGTATGGTTTGAACTTGACATTGAGAAAGGCCAAAGCTCCAGCTGGTTTGGACCAAGCCAGAATTCCACACAGTGAAAGAAAGCTCAAATTTTTCAACAGATTTCTTCCAATCGCTTCCCCATTCCATTCTCACCTGCTAGAACCCGCTAACGCATTTATTAAGCAGGACCTTCAAGATGCTGGCATGGAATTCAAACAATCAGATTTGAAAATTCCTGTTTATGACACTTTTGACGGTAAAGATCTAAGAGAATTCGACGGATCTTTGGCCGAGAGAATCACTTTGTGTATTACCAAGCTACCAGTCAACTGGGAAAAAACCACAGAATTTAGCTCGACACACATTTTGGACTTTGGTCCAGGAGGTTCTTCAGGTTTGGGTGTTTTGACCCATCGTAACAAGGATGGTACCGGTGTCCGTGTCATTGTCGCGGGCGCCCTTGAGAGCAGTTTGGATGACGAATATGGATTCAAGCAAGAGATTTTCGACGTTTCCTCCAATGGTCTCAAGTTCTCTCCCAACTGGCTCAGAGAATATTCTCCCAAGTTGGTCAAGACCAAGGCAGGCAAAGTTTATGTTGATACCAAATTCTCCAAACTTTTGGGCCGTGCTCCATTATTGGTTCCAGGTATGACTCCTTGTACTGTTTCCCCAGACTTTGTTGCTGCCACTATTAATGCAGGTTACAGCATTGAATTGGCCGGAGGTGGTTATTTCACTCCTGCTCATATGACCGGCGCAATCGACTCGGTTATTTCTCAAATCAAGAAGGGTTATGGTCTTGGAATCAATTTAATCTATGTCAACCCAAGAATGTTGCAATGGGGTATTCCTATGATTAAGGAACTAAGAGATAAGGGCTACCCTATCCAGTCTTTGACCATCGGTGCCGGTGTTCCATCTTTAGAGGTTGCTTCTGAATATATTGAAACTTTGGGCTTGACTTACTTGGGTTTAAAGCCTGGTTCTATGGATGCTATTTCTCAAGTCATCGCCATTGCCAAAGCTCACCCAAGCTTCCCTATTGTTCTACAATGGACTGGTGGTAGAGGTGGTGGCCATCACTCGTTTGAGGATTTCCACTCCCCAATCTTCCAAATGTACTCCAAAATCAGAAGACACTCCAATATTATCTTGGTAGCCGGTTCTGGTTTCGGTTCTGCTCAAGACACCTATCCCTATTTGACTGGTGAATGGTCAACTAAGTTTAACTATCCACCAATGCCTTATGATGGTTTCTTGTTTGGCTCGAGAGTCATGATCGCCAAGGAGGCTAAGACTTCTCCAGATGCTAAGAAAGCTATTGCCGCTTGTACTGGTATTACAGATGATAAATGGGAACAAACCTACAAGAAACCAACCGGTGGTATCGTCACTGTCCGTTCCGAAATGGGTGAACCTATTCACAAGATCGCAACCAGAGGTGTCATGCTATGGAAGGAGCTCGATGAAACTATTTTCAACTTGCCAAAGAATAAATTACAACCTGCCTTGGACGCCAAGAAGGACTACATTATCGCGAAACTAAATTCTGATTTCCAAAAGCCATGGTTCGCCACTGTTGATGGTCAGGTTCGCGATATTACTGACATGACCTACGAGGAGGTTGCTCAAAGAGTGATAGAGTTAATGTACTTGAAATCAGCTGACAAGTGGATTGATGTTTCTTGGAGAAATTTCTCCGGTGACTTCTTGCGTCGTGTTGAAGAGCGTTTCACCAAGGAAAAGACTGCTTCCTTGATTCAATCTTACTCTGATCTCGACCAACCCGAAAAAGTTTTAGCCACTATCTTTGATGCTTACCCAGCTGCCAAAACTCAATATTTGAATGCCCAGGATGTGGACTACTTTTTGAGCTTGTGCCAAAGCCCAACTCAGAAACCTGTCCCATTTGTGCCAGTATTGGATCACAGATTTGAATTTTTCTTCAAGAAAGATTCTTTGTGGCAATCCGAATACTTAGAAGCTGTTGTTGATCAAGATGTCCAAAGAACCTGTATCTTGCACGGTCCAGTTGCTGCTCAATTCACCAATGAGATTGATGAGCCAATTCAAAGTATGATGGATGGTATTCATGAGGGCCACATTGAAATGTTATTGAAAGAGTACTACAATAACGATAACTCCAGCATCCCTGTTGTTGAGTATTTCGGCGGTGAAGACCCAGAAACAGTAAACTTTGACTCCGTGGAAACAAACGGTAAAATCATCTACCGTGCCTCTGCTTCTACCAACGAATCTGAATGGTTCAAGTTATTGGCCGGTTCGGAAAGAAATTGGAGACACGCGTTCTTTACAACCACACGTGTTGTTCAAGACTCGTTCTATGCCAATAACCCACTTCAAAAGGTGTTCAAGCCCACTGCTAACTCGGTAGTCGAAGTTTCTCATCCAAATGATGCTTCGAAGTGCGTCATCCGCTTGCTGGAACCAGTCCAAGGTGCTTTGAAAACAACAGTGTGCTTGACAGGTCTTGTGAACGATGACTTGATCTCGCTACAATTGGTTGAGAATAGGACTATGGATGGAAAACCTGTCGTTCTTGACTTATTGTACAAATACCAGCCTGAAGATGGTTTCGCCCCTATTTCCGAAGTAATGAGTGGTCGTAACGATCGTATCAAAGAGATGTACTGGAAACTATGGGTTGATGAACCATTTAACTTAGACTTTGACCCTAGAAAGACGATTGAAGGTGGTGAAGTTACAATTTCCGCCAAGGATATTGCCGAGTTTACCCACGCTATTGGTAACAAGTGTGAAGATTTTGTATCAAGACCAGGAAAAAAGCTTTTGGCCCCAATGGATTTCGCAATTGTTGTCGGTTGGAGAGTCATTATTAAGGCTATTTTCCCTAAAACTGTTGACGGTGATCTTTTGAAACTGGTTCACATGGCAAATGGATACAAAATGATTCCAGGTGCTAAACCACTACAAGAGGGTGATGTTATCTCTTCCACTGCTGTCGTTAAGAGCGTTGTAAATCAACCAAACGGTAAAATTGTCGAGGTTGTTGGAACTTTGAGTAGGAAGGGCGTGCCCGTTATGGAGGTGACGTCTACTTTCTTCTACCGCGGCAAGTACACCGACTTCGAAAACACTTTTGAAAAGATCACAGAGCCTGTCTATCAAGTCAAAATAAACTCTGCTAAGGATGTTGCTGTTTTACGCTCGAAGGAGTGGTTTCAATTGGACGATGAAGACATTGACTTGCTAGGAAAGACGTTGACCTTTGAGACAGATACTGCCGTGACTTTCAAGGACCAAACAGTTTTCAACACTGTTAAGTGCGAAGGTAAAATCAAAATGGAACTACCAACCAAGGAGAACGTGGAAATTGGTGTTGTCGATTACGAGGCTGGTGAATCCCACGGTAATCCGGTTGTAGACTACCTGAGTAGAAACGGCTCTACGTTGGAGCAAAAAGTTAACTTGGAAAATGCCATTCCTATTGCCACCAAGGAGTCACAGGCACCAGGTACTAATGAGCCATATGCAAGAGTATCTGGTGACTTGAACCCTATTCACGTCTCTCGTCACTTTGCTGACTACGCTAATCTACCCGGTACCATCACTCATGGTATGTACTCCTCTGCCGCTGTTCGTGCGTTAGTAGAAACTTGGGCCGCTGATAATGTTTCATCTAGAGTTCGTGCCTACAGCTGTCAATTTGTGGGCATGGTGCTCCCTAACACACCTCTCAAGACCACCATCCAGCATGTCGGTATGATCAATGGTCGTAAGTTGATCAAATTCGAGACGAAGAACGATAACGACGAAACGGTTATGACCGGTGAGGCTGAAGTTGAACAACCAGTTTCGACTTTTGTGTTTACCGGACAAGGTTCTCAGGAACAAGGAATGGGAATGGACTTGTATGAAAAGTCTGAGGTTGCTAAGACTGTCTGGGACAGAGCTGATGCTCACTTCAAAAAGACCTACGGCTTCTCCATTCTGGAAATTGTGAGAAAAAACCCTACCGAAATGACCATTTACTTTGGTGGTGAGAAGGGTAGAAAGATCAAGGCTAACTACACACAAATGATTTTTGAAACTATTGTCGACGGCGAATTGAAGACCGAGAAGATTTTCAAAGATATCGTCGAGGAAACGACCTCTTACACATTCAAATCACCTACCGGTTTGTTGTCTGCCACTCAATTCACACAACCAGCCTTGACTTTGATGGAAAAAGCATCATTTGAAGACTTGAAATCCAAGGGATTGATTCCAGCAGACGCTGCTTTCGCAGGTCACTCTTTGGGTGAATATGCAGCTCTAGCGTCTTTGGCTGACGTCATGTCTATCGAGTCTCTGGTCGAGGTCGTCTTTTACAGAGGTATGACCATGCAAGTGGCTGTTCCAAGAGATGACCTGGGTAGATCTAACTACGGTATGGTTGCTGTGAATCCTAGTCGTGTTTCTGCTAGCTTCAACCAAGAGGCCTTGAAGTTTGTCGTTCAATGTGTTGACAAGAGAACAGGGTGGCTAGTAGAGATTGTTAACTACAATGTCGAAAATCAACAATATGTTGCTGCTGGTGACTTGAGAGCACTTGATACTCTAACCAATGTTCTCAACTTCGTCAAGGTGCAAAAGATTGATATTGTCAAACTACAAGCCTCTATGTCGTTAGAAGAAGTCGAGAGCCACTTGAGTGAAATTATTGACGAGGTTTCCAAAAAATCCTTGACTAAACCTCAACCAATTGATTTGGAAAGAGGATTTGCTTGTATTCCACTAAAGGGGATCTCTGTTCCATTTCACTCTTCTTACCTAAGAAACGGTGTTAAGCCATTCAAGAACTTTTTGAAGAAAAACATTGTCAAGGAAAACGTAAATGCTGACAGATTGATCGGTAAGTACATTCCTAACTTGACTGCTAAGCCATTCGAAATCACAAAAGAATACTTCCAAGATGTTTATGACTTGACTGGTTCCGAAAAGGTGAAAGAGATTTTGGACAACTGGGAAAAATACCAAAACTGAAATTCTTAAGGCATGTGCTCCAAGCACTAATTCTCTTCTGCCTTTGGTTTTCTAATTCTGACCACATTTATTATGTCTTGCTACCAATGATAGATTTGCGATTGATATACCTTTGAAAATTCTAATGCCATTTAGTATTTGAGATTCAAGTCATTGCGCTGTGAAATTAATTGATGGTACCGGGAAATACCATCCAAACGTATATGCACATGTACATCCTTACAGAGAACAGCAATGATTTTTACTCGCATGTCCTTGATAAGATTGGGAAAACTCATCAAGGAGAATAATATTAGAAGTCTAAGGATATTATAAAGCACACGCGTAATAAGCCTCGGTCAAGTTTTAAGGGAAGAACAATGGCCCAACTTTCATAAATGTATAAATTATACTATCAGATAAAGTTATTTTTGATTATTAAAAATATCGTTATACTTCATCGTGCATGTTTATGTCGCGTATGAATTCGGCGAGCAGGCAGACATAAACGGGACATCAACGTTACAGATAATTTTCTTTTCTTGACAGTTACCAATATACTGTGAAAATAATTCGAGCGCCGTTGCATACAATAAACTCTTTAAAAATGCTATCACTACCGTGGAATATGAAGAATCTAAGTAGCGCAACTTATTCGCAACACCGAACCTCAAAATCTGCAAACTTTAAATGTCGCACGGACACAATAGAGAGAAGATGAGTTTCCCTGTCATAACTTGGTACCGAGACGAATAATGACTGTGCTGTAGCGTTGTCAAAGAGTCGTTAGATAGAAGTTGGGGAGGGCGACTTTGAACTTATAACAAGCAATACTGTCTCTCCCCAAACATACTTATAAATTCCTCAAAAAGTCAATGATTTGAATGTGCACTTGGCTAATTAACATTGATCGAGTACTTTGGTTGAACAAAAGCCAACGATCGTGATTTTTGACGTGCTCAACTGCTCATTTTATTTTTGGTAGAGCATGACAGAAATCTACTGCGGGATCTTTTTTTCCTTGAGAGCTTATATTCCCGATGTCCGCGAGTCAAAGGCCTTGTATACTTTAGAGTGCAGTGTATTAAGCCGTTACTTGATCTCATGCAATGCCATGTCCGAAAATGAATTTATCCATGGTTGATCTATCAGTAGGTCCCCGTTGTCGAAATCAGTAAGTATCTCGACTGATTTGAAATAACTTTTTATTTGATCGTAATCTATGGTGTCTTGCTGTACTTTGTTCTTCTGCTTCCGGCGATTTCGTTTAGACATAAATGGTTTAAACTCCGAATCTTTATGAGCATCATTATGAGCCAGCGCTTGGTTCAGCTTGGCAAGTACAGGGTACTTTTGGAAGAGCTGGAGCTTGGTATACCTGTCTACGTGCTTCACAATATGGTTAGCGAGCAAAATTCGAGGTTCTTCTGCGATCACTATACGTTCAGTGAGATCCAAGGGCGCGTGAGGCAGGAAAAATAGCACTTTGGAGTCATCTTCGGAGTCCCAGGGGGATTTTTCATCAACAGACCAACTTGTTCCCAAGGTTTCAATGAACTTTTTATCCGCATCAGTGAACACTGGATCATACACAGAAACTCTTAAAGGACACTCTTTGTCTTCACCCAAAAGCTCAACTAGCTCCAGAAGCAGCGCTAATTGATAAAGTGCTGCAAATTCCTCATTGAAGCTCCCAATTGCTAAACATCTAATCTTACTAATTTCCCTCGCATGTGGATTTAGCTGCGTAAACAGTATCTTGAGCATTTTTGATTTTTTTATAGTGTCTCTCCGCTCTGAAAGAGAATCCTCAAAAGTGGCGCTGGCCAGCTTAGCACTGGTCCGACCTACAAGTTCGAAATCATTACTGATGCTCTGCTCAGTTGCACTTTTCATTTCTAAGTTTGATGTTCTTTTAACAATGCGATCATGAGAATTTAGCGCCAACAACTGTTAACATTGAATATTCAAAGCACGTGATCCAATATTAATTCAAGTGAAGTTTATAATGGATCTCGGTATTGGAAGCTCTACGCTCACTAGCTGATTTGTTGTCAGTCATAAAATAATTGACGTATACTGTCGTCTTCATGTGCATCTCATTGGTTATTTCGAGCAGCTTCGCTGACTTTACAAATAGTTGAGAGGTAACACGAGCAGACATACAAAATTGCACAGGGTTGTGTTGCTAGTAGCGCGGGAATGAAAAAATACAGTGGTGATTGGTAGTCGGCGTACAAGTTTCATACTTGAGCTTAGCAAAATATAATCTGGAGTAGTTAAGCTGAAAGCCAATTTTTAGTTAAATAATTACGTGTTTCAAAATTGGGAAACAGCACGCTTCAGTTCAAGTAAATAAAACGAGTGTTGGAAATGTGTCTTTACATAGTAATGCACACGCACTGAACCTCTACCACATTTCTACGTAAGCAAATGGTTGATTCAGATAATAATCAAAATCATTCAAAGTCAAAGTTTAGCGATGCTCAAGATAAAGCTATGGGTATATGTCAGAGAAATTTCTGCGGCAGTGCTATTTTCCGTTTTCAGTAGAGTCTCAATTGTTGCCTGTATGTTTGCCTGTCTATAACTTACTAATAAGGTGCCAGATTGGGAGGAACTCAGACAAAAGGCCTGCCTAGCATACCACTGGATGCCAAAACAGCAACCCTTACGAGGGGTGAAACAGTAAAAGCTAATATACGTTCATAACCCTTTCTCCAAGTATTGTTCGAGGCTGCTTCTCTCTCAGATGTTTATCATTTTGTGCCTACACGTCATGGTAATAAAATTTGCAGTTTGGTTCCCCCTTAAAGCAAAACGGTACGCAACAAAGTCGCTTCCCGAGAATGCAGCTGATCCTCAGTGAGCTCAAGTTTGTTCGAAAACAATGGAAGACCGCTCTTCTTGCGACAAAAAAGTACAGAGTGATATATAACGACGAGATCAGAATCGAGTGCCCTGCTCATCAAAGCAGCGACTTAAACCCATCAGTTGGTGATGTATCCTTTTTTACAATACTCAAGCTTTTCTTCAAACCCATCCCACTAGTTAGAAGCTCGATCGAAACTCTATTTCATTACGTGCTATTCTACCTGTGGCCTTGCACGATAAGACCTCGACTCAACGAATAGCTAGAAATAGTAACCAAGACCGTACTACAGGTACAGCCGAAACATACGAACTTTGAGCCTTTCCAAGTCTCGAAACCCTGCCATTCTTGCGTATATTGGCTGTTGTTTACGAGACAACTAGTTTGCTAATGTCACGCTCGCTTCAAGTTGGCTGCCAACACAAATATGAAACTCCACTAAACCCTTATCCCTCCCTAACCTCTCGATGAGGGAAGGAGAGATAACATGGTTAGAGACGATGAGTATCCACCTCTATGTCTACTGGTCAAAGGTCATATGATGCGGAGATATTTTTTTTCCAGGTTTTTCCGGCCGGCGCATAATCAAATTTTTTTGGTGTGAAAAAATCCAGCAAGATGCTATCAATTCTAACTTCAGCTCTTCAGCTTTTAAACTCAGTATTTAGATTATTTCATGTCTCTATTCTTTGGGAAATAGGCATCTATCTACCTCGTTAGAATCTCTATCGCGAGCTTTGTGCAAAAAAGGAACCTGCTTTCTGCTGAAACGGGCGCAATTTTTTTGATACAGGCCACTATATCAATTACGGGTTGATTGCAGAATACCTGCGGGCTTTGAGCGCTTCTTGAGAGACGGAAATTTAGCTATTTCGGACCTGTCATCATCGTACTTTGCTGGGACTTCTAGAGGGAACTTGGACTTTTAATTCCAGCCAGCTAGCGCCTTGATTATCGTTTGCCCACAGTGTGTTCGCTCAAATCGAAAGAACCTTCCTGCGCTTCACCAGATAAAGGAATGCGCAAGTGTAAGGTCTTTGTCGGGAACTCCCACCCAGAACTGGGAAACTTGGTGTGCGAAAGACTTGGAATCGAACCGGCTCCTTGCACGCTAAAAAAATTCGCCAACGGAGAGACCTCGGTTCAAATAGGCGTCTCTGTGCGTGACGAAGATGTCTACGTGATCCAGTCCGGATCTCCAACCATCAACGATCACATAATGGAGTTGTTGATTTTGGTGTCTGCCTGTAGGGGCGGTTCTGCCAAGAAGATCACGGCTGTTATTCCACAGTTTCCATATTCTAAGCAGTGTAAAATGAAGAAACATAGAGGGGCCATTACAGCAAGAATGATGGCGAACTTGTTGATCATGGCTGGTGCTGACCATGTGGTGTCCATGGATCTACATGCTTCACAGATGCAAGGGTTTTTTAGTAAGCCTGTAGATAACCTGTACGGCGGACCTAGTTTGGCCCGCTGGATTCGGGAAAACGTTGAGGATTTCCCTGATGCAGTTGTCGTGTCGAAAAACCCAGGGGGCACCAAGAGAGTGACTGCATTGGCAGATTCGCTCAAAATAAACTTTGCCATGATTCACACCGATCGTCGTCGGTCCAAAGATCTGTATTCGCAGAACAAGAACAAGCATCAGCTCATGCAAAGAAAGCAATCCATGCTGAGAAAAAACAGACCGATCATCAGACCTGGCGAGGAACCTGATGAGGAAGAAAACATCATCCTGACCAATGGAATTCAAACTGCCAGAGTTGTCAAAGGTCATGTTGTTGATGATGACGACTATGTCGAAGAAGAATGTGTCACGGAATCGGAAAACGAATCTGAAGCTTTGTCATCTACAAGCGATTCGTATGCCCTAGGTGGGTCATACGATGCTGTAGACTCTGAGGATGAAGAGGGACCCGAATTTGTTGATCAAGAAAAGTTGATCACCCTTGTTGGTAACGTCAATGGCCGTTCCGCTATTATCTTGGATGACATGATTGACAGACCAGGCTCTTTCATTAGCGCTGCTGAACATCTAGTCATTAACTGTGGTGCGAAGAAGGTCTATGTGGTTGCTACTCATGGTGTATTCACTGGAGACTGCTTGGATCAGCTAGAACAATCTGAGTTCATTCACCAGATCGTTGTTACAAACACTTACCCAATTTCTCAACAAAAACTTCAGAGTTCCAAGAAGTTAGTTGTAATTGACGTATCATCGATTTTTGCAGAATGCATCCGTCGTGACCACTATGGTGAGAGTATTTCTGTACTGTTCGACTCTCTCGCCTCGCTGTGATGCAAGGCGTCTATCCCACTGTACTTTATATTGGAAATCAACAATAAGAAACAATAAGAAACTGGTTTGCGGTTGAATTTCTTGAAATGGCACTTAAATTTGTAAATTATTGAACCCAGTGTTGCAATCACCGGATTGCAGGACATGTCTCAAATTGATACCCGAGGCATTGTACTAACGGAGCATTGGAAGAAAAAATATCGTCAGCGTCCCACTGTCGAGCGGTATTCGCTCGATTGCAGAAAGTGTTGAGGCCCCAGTCTTTTTGACTGACTCTAGCCACAGTATTTTCTCGGGACCCCAATAACGAGCACATAATTGAAGTAAAGATCGAGATATTCTGGATGGAATTTCTAGTAAAAACTTGAGCACGTAGTCGTAGGCTGAGTTGGTCTTGACAGACCGAACAGATTTCTCAAAGTGTCGCGCAAAAATATGGCCTCCTATCATCAGAGTGAAAGACCGTGATTTAATCTGTCCAGTGAACAATTCTTGGCGTCTCGATGCCCAGCTTGCTCTTGTCCAACTCTCGAATAACTTTATAAGCCCTCCAATATTGATCTGCGGTAACTAAGAAATGCCGTTGGTGTCTGGCAGTTCTCAATCTTGCACATGGAGGCAGACTAATGGAAAACAAGAGCTAAAGACTAGAATTATTATTGGTTATTATTGAAGCTAATATAGTATATTTACATGCAGCATTTTCTATCATTTTCCTCCTTGTCATGAGCAACAGGGTTCATGCTGCTAGCACCACCGCAAGTAGTTAAAGGTTCGAAGTTGAAAAACAACCTACCGAACAAGGCACCCAGTAAACAACTGATAATGATGTAACCATTGTAGTACATGAATAGCAGCATGATAATGTAAGAAAGCCCCCATTGGAGAGTGAAGACGCCTGACCGCAAAACATGGTCCAAAACAGTGGGATAGACGTTCATTGAAGTAGAACAACAGCGCATGAGCGGTTCCAATTCGGCAAATTCGTCGCTCACTTTATGGGAAACGTACCAGGTATGAGACATAGTGGCGCCAAGAGCCTTTAAAGTGGTTTTCCAATTGGGCTCAGACACCAGCAACTCCAAGGCGTGTGCAGCGGAATCGCTCAGAGACGATCCCGAAGCCTCGTCATTAGTGGCGGAGCTATTATATTTCGACAACATTTTGAACTTGCGTCTCTTGGCCAATTCAATGTCAAATTGTCTGGAAACTCTATTCAACCATTGCGCGATAAGAACCAGCAAGAAACAGCCGATGCAAGAGCCGGCGAACTTGCCTCTTGTGTCGTTTTTCCACGATTTAGCAATGAAACAGGTGTCAATTGTATACCAGTTCCATAACATCGAGATCTTGCAGGCTTTGGCTGAAGAGGAGTCTCCCCCCATGGTCATTCTTGAGAGCGGATCGTTGGACAACGTTGTAGACATCACAATAATTAACTGACACTGTAACTCGACTTTCCGGACTTTTAGATTACCTAATCAGAATCTGTATTGGACGTTGGCGACCAAATGTAGAATTTAGAATTTCAGTCTCGGCAACATCAGGCTCTTTATATGTCTGAAACCGTGCTGTCCAATTTGCTCGTTAACAGCTTCGTCTATCTTGTATCGGAGATTTGGTCTCATTTCAGATTTTTGCTCAATATGCTCAGCTTCATGGTGCGACCGTGAGCATTTAAGCCAAAGTAGAGATATATGTATTATATGCATAGAATACTTTCAGCGACAGAGATAATATTTTCACAGCTTAGCTATCGTTATTGGGATCCAAATGCACCCCGAGGGGTAATATAAAATTCTCAGATTGAGCAAGTTCGACCGGTCGACTTTCATTTTTTGCCAGAAAGAGATGATTCGTGGGAAGGGGATCTGTGAAACGACAAATTAGGACTAGTAATATTAACAGGGGTAAACTTCTGAGGAAGTATGACTCTGCTGAACTTATTTCTCAATTTTTGAGACACATAGTCCATGTCCAAGTGCTTTGTAAGCGAGATCTTTGGGATGCAACTGATGTAGTGCTTTTCGTCAAGCTGAACCTCCAAGGGGTCTTGTGTGTGACAGCCTGGAGACATCTTGAGTCTTATGGCGTGCGATTTTTGACCAGAGTTGTCAGTACTTTCGTAAAGCTCAAAATTGATCTGCGACAGATAGTCCAACTCTGGAAGCGCGTTGCGCGCTATCCGCATTGGAAGACCACTCTCGTATATGATGTTGAGCAAAGTGTAAATGTGCGATTCCTTGGTGAAGTATGCGACGCATGCAGGCTCATCCTTGGACTTCATACCATCTATATCATTGAGAATCTGTTTTGCTAACGGCAATGAAGTCAGAAGGCCAATGTCTAGTTTTTCACCATCCTCAATACCATACTCTTGAGGACAAATGAAATCGAACAGGACTTTTGAAAGTTTGTAAAGCTCTCGTAATTGCATGAATTTCGGATCGTCGAATTGGGACGAGGACTGCGATGTGTTTGACGTGCTGTCCAACACCCAGCCTAAAGAGCCCACACTACTCCCCTTGCTCGAGCTACCTCCGCTTTGGGAACTGGAGTCAGGGATTTTGAAGTTATTCATAGCAAGAATGTTGATAGGGTAGCGATCAACCAAAGAGTCTTTGCACAAATCCACATTCGCCCGGGCTCTAGTGCCATTTGAAGCAAAAATATGTTCTAGAAACTGCCGATTGTGCAGGGCATCGTACTTCATCGTATCGTACAGCTCTGAAATTTTGGCTGGATCGACCTTTTCCACGCTGACAAACTCTTTGAATAGCTTGTCCCAACGTTCCTTAAAAAGCATAGGGTCTTCTTGGCAGCACCATCTACGTTGCATCTCTTCGACATCTTTTGTCTCAAAGTTGTAGTCCATTACGTGTTTGTGAAAGTTCATCAACTCAACAACGCGTTTTATGACCAAATAAGGCTCTGGCATTTTTGCAGGCCACGCAAATTGTGGTGGGGCTTCTTTTCCCTCCCTCAGTAAGGGCTTCAGCTGCTTTTTTACCTTATCCATGAGGTCTTTCGCGGCATTGCTATCGTCCAAAAGATCCTTTCTGATGCTGATCTCATCGCTGCCCAGTTCATCTGCACCAAAAAGAGCCATTGCCCATAATTGTGCAGATGCCAACACCCTCCTTTCAGATGAAGAGAAGATTTTGATATTGGGGAGAATTTTCTTATTTAACAAGTCGAAATCTTGTCTCATCTGCTCTCCTAACTCAGTAGCTTGGTAACGTGCAGAATGGGTAGGCTCACCACCCCACTTGAGGATAAATTGGACTTTTTCGACCTCCTTTTCTGAGTTCAGAATAGGTTTCAGTTGAATTTTGGTGCCCGGGAGGTCCATCTTCTTCCCTAAGGCATTTGCCAAAACTTTCAGCTTCAATGGATCTTCAGTATTTTCTTCCTGGGCTATCGTCAAAGCTTGCAGAACAACTTTCAAGTCCGAAACGTTTCTGATAACGACTTCTTCCTTATGACCTTTAAGTAACGAAATGAATATTGGCGATCTAAACGAATGCTTAAACTTCTGCTTGGGTGTACGATCTGCGTGCCTAATAACAGTAACTAGACCCTTGAAGACCCATTTCTGAGTCTTTTCCTCTTTTATCATGGGCAAGTTGCGTTTCTCTAGGTCCATTCGCTTCTTTGCCTGTACAAAAGTGTCTCTTAAAATTTTAGCGCATGCATCGTAGTAAGCTGTATTATCTTTGACAAATGAAAATCCGTTGACGTCAATAACATAGCTTTTACCGTTAACACGAAGTAAGTCAAACCCACAGATCATCTGCGAGAAAACCTTCGTCACCCGTTTAGCGATTTCCTTTTCCTCGGGACTCAACTCAGTGATATACCTGATTTCCTTTCCGTGGGTATTTCTGCGCACAATACCGTCCACCACCGGCGACTTCCTCGTTTCAGCGTGACAGAAAGATTCTCCTACAGTATACGCTTTAACGTCTTCAAAATTGTCTGTGTCCATGAACTCCTCATAAATGTAGGATCCGTCCGTCCGTGGATTTACTAAAGCAGGGTCATATTCCGAACTCTTATTTCCAACCTTTCTGAACAAACGTCTACCACCACCCCCATTCTTCGAATGATAGTAAATGTAAATATTGTGATCTTCGCCATCTACAGGCTTCTCCACATATGGCTTAGTCATTTTGACGCCTTTTACCTCCAGTGTATCATCATCAACCATTCGCCAATCGGGCTCTTTGCAGGGTTTAATCTCAACTCCGCGCTCTAAAAGCTTGGCTCTGAGTGCGGCATCGACACGAGGTCCACCATCTCTGCTTATCTCCAACCTTGGAGGAGTAGGAACCTTAGATACATCTAAAAGCTTGAGGCAAAGTCTTCTGTCCCAAAGGGCTTTTTGCATAACCAAATCATTGATGTAGAAGGGTTTGCGATAATTCACGTAATCGATAGCCTTGTTTAAGGGAAATCCAGAGGAAAAGAAACTGACAAGAAAGTCACAAGTAGGCCAGCTTTCTTTGTTTTCATCGAGGATCACCTTGTCGCCAAAAATTATGGTTTCGAACTCACCGTTTTCAATTAGGCGGTTCAAGATATGTCTGCAGGGCTTGGACAGTACCTTTGCGTCCATAGCACAAACACCGATCTTGCCTATCTTTGGCAATTGCGGTCTCCCAAGATTTGCTGAAGGTTTCCGGGAGGAACCTGCTGAGCTTGTAGCAGAACTGGTTGCTGTCTCGGTGCTGGTTTCGATTGCAGAATCGTTGTTCTGGCTCTGGTCAACCGCAGCCTGGGGAGAACCCGAAGTGGAGCTACCAGGGACCGAAGTATTTGGATTTAAGTTTGAGTTACTCTTTAATCTCTGAAGCATGTTTCCTGGGTGGCCGTTGTCATAAGAATTCGTAGGAGACAAACCTGGTCTAGACGACGACGACGACTGCTGTGAATTGATGCTCATAGTTCTGTTCAAAGCCAAGTCGCATCCTATATCGTCATCTACATGCGACTCGTGAGGACTGCCAGGAGGTGGCAACTTCAAAGATGTGTTTTCACTCGCTGAAGTCTTGGGACTGAAACCCTCTAAGATAGGCGCAATTGACTCCATCGCTTTCTTAGTTTTGTTGTTGAGAAGCAGCGGTGACACGGGCCCTTGTGAGCCATGGTGCTTACTGTTGTCACTCATTGTGATGCTGCCTTTCGAAACTTGAGGGATGATGAGAATTCTTATCAGGTTCCGATTTATATGTGTGTGCAGGAAATAAATTATAGAAAGATCCGAAAATTTGTTACGCAACGTGTATCCATCCACTAATAAACAGAATCGTCTTTGAATCGTTCGAGTTTGCGCATTTGGTTATGAACGTATAGCATGAAAGATGATTGGAGCTGTTGATAAGTTTATCTTTTGCGGACTGTAGTTAGCGCAGATATTGTTCCAGTTCACTGTCTTAGTATCGATAATTCTTAGTAGGTTCCCGGGAAGCTCCATACACGACCGCTCTGGATGGCTTCCTCTAAACTTAAGTTGATAAATAAGCTCTACGCTAAGTACCCTTCCGCTTCAGCCACGAAACTCCAGTATTAACCGGTGACATTTCTTACTGTCATTTTCAATTTAAAGATCTTTAACAGGCTTTGAAAGATGCAAAAAAGATATCGAAGATTTATCGAATCTCTACAAGACACATGGTCATGCAATTGGGTTTCTACGTTCCCCATTACATCTCCACTGCTTCATCCGTTCTTGATTTGCAATTGCATATAACTTCATGAAGCTTACTCCACGGTGAGAAGAAAAAGCTCTGATATATGACTACACCATGATATTCTACCACTTCAAATGCCAGTGCTACGATTGATTGACTTACAGCAGCTTGTAAAATGCCGCTGCCCTCTTTAAACTTGATCATTTTGCTCATTGCATTTTTCTCTCAATGTGGAAAAATTTCATTACAACGATGCGATGAGCTTCAACTTATGTTCTGCTTGAAAAAGTATCAAAACGTACACGCACCGACGATGACCGAGACCTACAAGAAGCGTAAGTTCGTGGCAAATGGTGATAGTGCTCCTAAAGTCTCGAGATCAAAGGTTTTGTCACCTTTCAGGATTGTAGGTAACGTTTCCAATGGTGTGCCATTTGCAGTAGGCACTTTGGGTACAACGTTCTACATCGTTACAAGCGTGGGCAAGAGCTTCCAAATATACGACGCCAACACTCTTCATTTACTGTTTGTAAGTGAACATGAGACTGATTCAGCAATAACCTGTTTAGCAACGCATTTTCAACATGTATTTGCCGGCTTCGGGAATAAAGTAGGCATTTACAGAAGAGGGCGACTCGAGCACTTTATTGAGCTACCAGACTCAGATGCTGTCGTCACCAATATCTGCATCTTTGGAGATTTCTTGTGCGTTTCTTCCGACAGAACAGTTTACGTCTATAAGAGAAATCCACAGGACAAATTCGCCACAATTTTCTACACTAAGATCGCCATTTCAAAGCTACAAGGCTCCGAGATTGTGTGCTTAATCCATCTGCCCACCTACCTCAACAAGGTTATTGTTGTGACCAAGTCGAATTTGCTACTTTACAACGTCAAATCAGGTAAGCTACTTTTCACGTCAGATGAATTTTCGGACACAATTACAACTGCTGAAGCTGCTCCAGCTTTGGATGTGCTTGGTTTGGGCTGTGCATCTGGCGAAATTATTCTCTACAATGTGAGAAAGGCTCGTAAAGTGCGCTCTATCAAAACACCTGTCTATGTGTCTTCGTTGTCTTTCAGAACTGACGGCTCCGCTCATTTGGCCGTAGGTGCTTCCAATGGTGACTTGATCTTTTACGATTTGGATCGCCGGTCTCGTATACACGTTTTGAGAAACGTCCATGGGGAGCATTTTGGTGGCATATCAAAAGTTAGTTTCTTGAACGGCCAACCCATTGTTGTTACTTCTGGTGACGACAACCAGTTGAAAGAATATGTTTTTGATCCTTCGTTGTCACAAGGAGATGCGGAAACTGTTGTGCAACCTCCTCGCTTTTTGAGATCTAGAGGCGGTCACTCTCAACCCCCGACGTCAATTTTATTCGCAGACAATCAGTCGCATTTCATTCTCTCGGCGTCGAGTGATAGATCTTTGTGGGGATTCTCATTGCGTAAAGATGCTCAATCTCAGGAGCTGTCGCAGAGACTTCATAAGAAGAAAGATGGCGGTCGGCTAGCAGGTAACACGCTCAAAGAGAAGTTTCCTGAAATCTTATCAATGTCCATTGAAAATGCTAGGCAAGGAGAATGGGAAAATGTCGTGACCGCACACAAGGACGAGCACTTTGCTAGGACTTGGAACCTTGCTACCAAAAGGGTCGGTAGATGGACATTGGCCACCATTGATGATGGTTTGGCTAAGAGTGTTGCCATATCTTCCTGTGGCAATTTTGGTTTCGTGGGTTCCTCCAACGGTGGTATTGGTGTCTACAATTTAGAAAGTGGCTTACCTCGTAAGAAGTACAGATTGCACAAAAAGGCAGTTACCGGGATTGCTGTTGATGGAATGAACAGGAAAATGGTGTCGTGCGGATTGGACGGTATTGTCGGCTTCTACGACTTTAGCAAATCGGCATTTTTGGGAAAGCTGCAACTTGATGCACCTATCACATCCATGGTATATCACAGATCTTCTGATTTATTTGCTCTTGCCTTAGATGACTTTTCTATTATTGTTGTCGATGCTGTTACTCAGAAGGTTGTTAGACAGTTGTGGGGACATACAAACAGAATTAGCTCATTTGATTTCTCTCCTGATGGGCGCTGGATTGTCTCAACATCTCTAGATGCCTCCATCAGAACATGGGATCTGCCAACCGGTACTTGTATCGACGGCGTTCGGCTTGACAGCGTTGCCTCGAACATCAAGTTTTCACCTAATGGTGACTTCGTGGCCACAACCCACGTAATTGGCAACGGTATCTCTATCTGGACTAACCGTGCACAGTTCAAACCATTGCCTACGCGCCAAATTGATGAAGAGGAGTTCGCACAGATATCATTATCTTCTTCATTCGGGAATTCTGGTACATCTGTGCTTGACGGTGCCTTTGAGTCCAACGATACAGATGAAAGTGAAGTAGGTGATATTGGTCATTACAAATCTGTCGACCAGATCAACGGTGACATGATAACACTCTCTTTAGGGCCAAGAAACAAATTCAAGACCCTCTTGAATTTGGATGTAATAAGACAACGTTCGAAACCTGTTGAACCACCCAAAAAACCTGAAAAGGCTCCTTTCTTCTTGAAATTGTCCGGAGAGAAAGTGGGGGATGATGCAGTTGTCCGAGAAAAAAATGAACAGTTTAATGGGGAAGACGGCCAAGCTCAACAGGAGATAGAGAAAAAGTCTACTGAAGCAGAAGAACAAATCAGGAAACACAAGCCTATCGCGACGGCATTTGAGTCAAGATTTACAAGGCTCCTAAGAGAAGGACACTCGAAGCAGGATTATACTTCATTTTTAGATGAGTTGGTGAATCTTTCTCCAGCATCGGTTGATATGGAAATCAGATCTCTGAATTCTTTTGAACCATTTGAAGAGTTGATCTGGTTCTTAGAAGCTCTTACTGAAGGATTACGCTCCAATAAAAATTTCGAATTATACGAAGCGTTCATGAGTTTGTTGCTGAAGGCACACGGAGATGTAATCCATGCCAATAGCGATAACACTGATCTATCTGCCGCACTCAAAATGTGGGGTGCCACTCATACACATGATAAAAAGATAGACGAAATTGTCAAATTTTGTTCCAGCGTAGCTAACTTTGTGTCATCTGCTTAAAACTGCTTGTAAATAACTTTGCATGTTGATTAATATACGACACGCATGCCTCTATAGTTATTCATTTACTTCTTTTGATTTTGCATCAATTATCCTCCATAACTTTCCGGCAGTTATAGTGGGTCAATACCCTCCCATCGTGAGTGCTGAACCATAAAATGATCCCACCGTGACTGCTTTTCAAAAGCTTGTGACAAGCAAAGCACTTCTGTTCTTCTGTAATAACACAATAATTCGCGAGCTCCTTATTAAGCTGCGAAGTCTGATCAACTAGCTGAACCTGTAAAAGGTTCTTTTCCAAACGGACGCAGTTCTTTTTGAGCGAAGAGCTCTCGATTTCTTTTGCCAATATCTGCTGCATGTCTTTCAGAGGTATCTTCGATGGCAACTTCATTAGTATATCAGTACTGTTGAGTTTTGGCCCGAACTCTTTGAGAAAGCGCAGTATTATTCGAGGACCTTGATTATTGTTCTCTGAATCGTTAATCATCATGTCAAACAAAGTGTTGAAAAGCGATGAGCCCACATCTTGATTCTCATGAAAGACCTCGTTGCAGTAAACGGTGGAAAAATGGTAATTTGAGAGCTCTTCGAATAAAATCTTCAAGGATTTCTTGTGTTCTCCTAAAACTTTCAGCGGATATGTTTGGAGCTTTTTGACTAACAGTGCAGAGTCTGTGTTCAAGCTGCCAGCATCGAAAGCAATTTCGAGAAGTCTTAAAACATTTCGTGGTTCGTAACAATTTGTAGAACTCAAGATGGCTTCTAGTTTACGAGCGGTTTTGTGATTGTCAATGTCCTCTAGGTATCTTTCTATCAGCACCATATAGACAGGTTTGTATGTCGTGCCAAAAGCGTCAATGACAAACTCAAGATATCGAATGGACAATTCGCGGTCAAGCGCATCAATATAATCATATACCTTCATATAGTCATATTTCGCGCAATCAGGACTGAAGTTCATGAATATACTTGTAACTATGACAGCAATATTCTCCGGGAATCTTTCCAGGAGCCAACTAGTGTACTTGAAAAGAGTTGTAGATTCTGACCAAGAAAGTTTCTTTAGGTAATCCACCACAAGCTTCTTAATATTGTTCGCCATGTCCTCGGGGTGCACAGATTTTATATCGCTTTCCAACCCTGTGAGAAGCTTCAAAGCAAGCTCATGTTGACCTTTCATGTGGTAGAAGTCAACTAACTCCTGGATTTTCTTATGTTTTGTTAATTGTTCTGCAACAGTCTCAAAATCACAGTTGTTGGGTACCCTCGTAAACGGCCCTAGCATTGAAGGATTGTATTCGAGGTAAATATTGAAAATGGTAGTGTCGATAAGTCTAAGAAGAGATTCGACGCTCTGCTCTTCGTGGTGGTCTAGGAGAAAAAATCGAACGTCAATTTCAATCGTCCTTCCTTTAATCTCCCATTCTGTCTTTCCCTTTGTGGCGATATTGTGAAGATTCCGCCTCGTGTCAGTGAGGTATGGAAGACACCATTTGTTTATTAATGATGCAGGAAGCTCATCCACGAGACTTCTCTTGTGAAAGCCTATTTCGCCAACAATGCTAGTATCCAATAACTTTGAGGCAAACCTCGGGAGGCAGTGACCTATCACCAGTTCAGGAGGAGCCAAAAAATTTATGAAATTGTCGAATATTTTCTTGATAATGAATTCTTGCAACTTAAAGGCTCTCTTAGAAATTTTAGCAGCATCATGAACTCTCCCAGACCATTTCTGGCATCGTTCGAAACTATTAAGACTCCATAGAACATTCATGTCTCGCAGTTTTAGAGCAAACAAATTAAGTGCGTTGTTAAAGTCATCGCACTCAAAACCTTCACACAACGCCAAACGGCTTTTAGGATTGAGAATGGATTCATAGAAAACTATGTTCTTTAATGATCGTGTTATCGTTCCGTCTTCTAGTTCCAAGAGATCCTCTTCCTCTTCCGAGATATTTGACTGGTCTGTGACAATCAATTTGTAGATCTGTAGGTTATCCGCGCTTGTCCAAACGAGTAATGTGGAGTCTTTTGCCTTGACTACCTTTTTTATTCCTTCTTCAATTCTTACATCCAAATAATTGAAGCCATATTGGTAGTCCACAATCCTTATCGACTCTCTATTGCTTAAGAGCAGAAAGTTTGATGATAGGTGTTGCATGTTATCGAATTTTGAGTTGACTTCGAAAAATTGCCGCCACTCGCGCGCTGATAATTGCGGTGACTCTGAGTCTTTAACGAGGACCTCAAACATTTTTTGAGACCTTCCATCAAGCAAAATGACATGTTGATGATCCACAGGCCGAAATATTAGTTTTACCTTTTGAATTTGTCCGCGAGTTTCTCTTGGCTGAAAAAAGCGTCCAAAACTCCCCTTTCGAGAGAGTATAGACGCACTAGAGACAGAAGCAGCATCGGCATTCTTCTGCCATGTATGGTTGCAATGGTCTAACTCCTTCAGAGCGTCATGAATGTTTTGAGGCCAAAGAGGGGAGATAATTTTGGTGAATTTTAGCAAATTAAGATCTTTTAGTCTCCAGTAATAGTTGCCCACATTAGTCGCTATCAAAAACCCTCCTAATTCCATCTCCATTGACAGAATCACCTCATCTTTGCTGCTGAGACTTAGCTCAGAGACACTTGTGAAAGAACGGTCGTTCCACAAAAAAAGCTTCAGCTTCGACGCTTTATTTGGGTAAAGCAAAAGGGCCGTCATTGCTCCACGAGTTTCCGAAGGCTGCTCAAAGACCCAAGCTTGTTTGACTCCTCTTTTCTCTACTATTCTGTCGAATTGGTTCAGGTTTGTGCTGTTTAACAAAACAATGCTTTTCTCACACAGCGCAAAAACTGTCGCCAATTGATGAGAGTAAAGCAGATCTATAATAACAGTATCTGGACCATTATTTTTCATCAAATGATTGTAAGTGTGCGTCAGTTTTAATGAATTGCCTTCATACGAGTATACTAAAACATGCCCTTCTTTGTTAGCAACGAGGACTTTAGATGCTTCAGAGATCGGTAAAATGGAAATTATATCATTATTACTGACTGAAGATACACGCGTAGCTCTAAGCATCTGCAGATTGGCTTCATAATTCTTATATGTCATGTTTGTAAAATTAAACCGTAGATTCCCTTCCTAAACCGCTTCACGCGCACGTGAACACACATCGAGAAGCCTGACTATATATAATTAAAGAATAGATGCTAACGCTAGAATAGCGGAACGACCTTTCGAATAAATTTGCGTTTCACTATTTGGGCAGAGACATTTGGTGATTTGTCTTGTATGGACGTACTGTTTCGTGCGATTCGCCAATATTCGTTAGTCTACAAACAGTTAGTGTGTAGTATATCACCTTGATAAAGCCCATAATAATAATCTGTAGACAGTAACCGGAGTATACTCCAAGTGGTAGATTTTTGAATCGTATTAGTCCGGACTTCTTTTGTTTGGGCATGGATGGAGAATTGATTTCATTCACAAATTTCAAAGTACCTTCAGTTATTCGTACTACCATCGTACCATTTCATAAGTAAGATCGGGACTGCGGACTGCGTTAGATTCGTCAACCTCTTAGTCCCGTTCAGCGGCTTTCTGATAAATTTCTGTATACTATCTGAAGAAATAACACGAATCATCTCTGCGAACAAGCTGGAATCCTTTGCGACGTTTTATTAAATAATACGCTATGTCGTCAGCTATCGCCATTGCATTGATAAAACATCTCTTAGCTCAGCTGGACATTACGATTCGATCTAAAGAAGTAAAATAGTCGAAGAGCATTACAAAACGGCTACGTAGTCTTCAAGGTCGAAATTGGACATGAGTGGGCTACTCAGCCGATGGCACCGAATAAGTTCAGCTGGCACGGGGATGGAATCTGGCAATCGCTCCGCGTGTTCAAAGGTCTTCGAGAATTATTGAGATGGGTGGCTCAACCTCAAAATGATCAACTCGCAACATCAACCTTAAAAACATGATCATTTCATAGGGTTTTTTATCATCCTTTGGATACTATGCTCCATGATTCATGAAAGGCATGTGTTCTCATTCATGTACAACGCGCATACTCAAGCACCAACTGTACAAACTTCATTTTGTAAGCTCCCACCTGACCATCATTTCTGCACCTTCCTAATCTATTCAGTGGTTCTTCATTTTGGATATGGGGTCTCGCAATACTCCAGCTTTACAATTTGGCGATGTTCGCCATATTATCTATGTTGTGGTTTTGTTAGCTAAGACGAGAATAGTTTAATTTGATATGCTCTAAGGTTGTGGCGAGCTCAAAAAGTACCACATTTAAACACAAAAGCCGCGACCTCGGAGATGTCGAAAACCACGCGAGAGGTTCAACTAGAAAAGGATCTCAATAAGATCGTCAAAGCTCATACTGACACCGTGGTTGCAGAAGCTCAAAGAGAAATTGAGGCAAGCCATGCATATATCAACGAAAAACAGCTCAAGAAGCTTATCGAATTGCATGACAACATTTTGCAGGAGAAATGTTCTGTGCCTATGCAAAAACTCTACCACAAGTATAGTCAGAACAGCCTTCAAGAAGGAGATTTACAGAATTGGGCAGAATTAGTTGATAGAGATGTGAGAATTTTGGAGGCAACCATGAAAAGAGTACGAGACAACCAACGGGATGAATGAACAGCAGTGGAATCGGCACCGGATTGGGCGTATTGTAATGAGCGGGGATTTTTTACTAGTTTACATATTAAAGCTGTTGTAAAATATACGGCATTTAAGGAGGAACTCCTAATATTAATCTGGGGTATACTTAACTTTTTCTCTCCTTCAACGAAGCTTGCTCAGGCCAGCCCATTTGCAGCTCTCTCCCATTTCTGTGTTTCCACCCAACCTGCGTTAATCACTTTGATAGCATCTTGCAAGTTCAGAGACCGTTTCAGAGCGATGCTCTCTACTACCAGCTTCCGGTAAATGCGTGCATAGTGGCGCGGAGCAATCTCGTTGAACTTTTCGCGATTCCTTTCTGCTAACTTAGGCTGTGCGTCCTCTGTTGGTTTAACCCATAGCTCCCGTCTTCTTTGCCAAATTTGATCGCCCTGTGCAAAAGGTTCACCGACCTTAGATCGCAGCTTGGCGCATTCTTGTACAGCATCGTAGGTGGCAAATGTTTGTAACTCTTTGGCGCTTGGGTCGTTTTCGCTGTTGTCCATAGAGTCCGGCTCTAGTTCATCGTCTTCCTCGTCTGTGAGGCGCAATTCTCTTGTAAGAGTGACTGACGTACTGCTATTTCTCTCTTCGCTCACACGCTCTCGTAATCCCTGTCTCTTGGGGTCAGCTTCGAAGAGTCCATTTACGTTGCTGCTTTCCTCAGCGGAATCGCTATCCAGCGCTTCTCTCGAAATTTTGTGAAGTCCTACACGGCATTTTTGAAGGAAGTGACGGATGGAGCTTTTCAGAGGTATATTCGAAGACGACTTTCGGTACCCAGTTTTCATTCTTTCGATAGCCCGCTTTTAACTCCCTAGGCTCTTCCTGGAACCGGCACTTTCGGATATACCTTGCGAGCGGAAAGTAAGAAATTGTACTTTTATCTTCACCGCTATCAATTAAAGAATGAATTCCAAAGTGATATCAATCACGTGGTTCTCATCACCACTGAACTGATTTTATTTCATCCTGAGGTTCGATGCTTTGTAATGAATGGTCTCTAGCTGTAATTTCCACTGCATATATCCCAAAGCTTAAGCCGTCGTGTCCAGTAGCCCAGGAACGGGATCTAACGCTATTACTGCTTGTAGACGAATACTTTTTGAGAGGTGGTAGCAGCAACAGATCAACTTTCAAATCGTAAGCAATAGAGCTTGGTGGCAAAGTACCAGTGACATTGTCTGGATTGCTCAAGTTCGCGGGCGTCCGTAGAATCCCTTCGGTGATGTCGTCACTTCCATAGCGCAAAACATGGCAATGTATGAGGGCCAGCAACAAGTCGGAATCGTCTGTATAAATCTGAGTCCCCCATAGCTCATTATTGGCTACGCGGACATTTAGCGAGGGTTTCTGCAAGGCACCGACTATGTCTTCGTGACGCACCTCTACCGTCACTAGTGCGTTGATGTCGGAGAACCCAAAAGCCGGCAAAAACGGACGGGGCATAGCATACTGAGTTTCGTCTAGTGGTTCTTGGTTTGTATCCGGTCTCTTAGAGTCCGCCAGATGCCCCGTTTTCCACGGATTGTAACGATATATACCAATTCGTCTATGGTGATTTCCAAACTTGTCAGCAACTAATTCCAATACCGGCTTGGAATCAATTTGTGCGGGATCGTGAAAGGGTCTGTTATTGGTTCTGGCGTCATCACGACCATTGGCTATTTCTGGCCTTTTGTGGGCCGTTGGCCCTGCAACTTCAGATTCTGCCGCCTTGGACGAGTTCAAAAGCGTTTGTTGCAAATTGTAGATCTGAAATTGTGTTTGGCGATACGCCTCATTGGGATCCACGGCTGGTGCAGCCATTGAGCGACGACAGTTTTTTATTTGGGCAATGTACCGCTTGCTTGTGTCATGATCTGCAATTACGAGCTCTTCATTGATTCGAGCAGAGACATATATTGTTTTTCCAATGGTGTTTGCGTATATAGTGATGAAATAATGGGGTGCCTAAATGGCTAGAGCCAGTGGTTGGCACCATTAGTGGGCTCTTGAAGCGATTTGGAAACCTTGGCCATATCGGCAGCCAAATTTCCGCCATACTGTGCAGAAACTCAGGTGAAACTGTAGTCTCGACTTTTAGCGCCAGCTGCCGCAGAGACCTTTTGACAATTGACGCAGTATCAGACCTCGAACCGCCTAACACGAGTAGGTGTTAAAGCCATTAGATAAAGATTTCCTAAAAAAGAAGGTATAGCTAAATTAACAAATGCTATTAACGGTAATATTCGTACTAGTAAAAGATTAGTACAATTATATCAAGTATGTGATTAATGAAGTATTAAACCTATTAACCCTATTGAAGTAACCAATAATAACGCTTGATTTGTAGAATTTTTGATAAGCTCTGGTCGACTTTGTATCACTCTGCGCTATTCTGAAATAAATTTCGTCTCAACCGTATTGTAAACACAGCATCTATGGTGTAAGAGACGCCGGTGATAGCACTACAATCTACGTAATCAAGAATTTCCCACGCATCGCCATCAGATGTTCAACTAAAGCGTGTTAGCTTCCGCAGTAAACTCTACCGTATCTTGCAGCTTAGTTGAGTTGCTCTAGATACACGAGCCGGGTCTCAATTCTTCGAGGTACTCTCGCTTGAAATATTTGTATGTCTCTCTTTTGACTGTTCGACACCCACACTCTTAACAATTTATTTTTCATTTTTCAAAATAACTGAAAATATGCTTTTTTTGCGTGGGATCATTTTGTGTTTCTCTATCTGGCAGGCAGCCTAGCCGAGAAGCCTCCCTGGAAACTCGCCTCCTGAGCCTAGCACGAGGCTTCGAAGCGTCGTTCTCTCCTACCAGCGAGGTACGGATCCTCCGGGCCCGCTGAGCGCCCAGCGCAGTCCCGCCTAGTCTCTGCCTAGCCTCTGCCTAGCCTCTGCCTAGGCTCCTGCCTGTCTCCCCGTCTCTCTGCCTAGCACTCCACGCTCGAGGCTGGCGCCGACCATCCAATGACTAGCAACACTATGGCGGTAGGGAATCGTAGGCCCGGGGAGACTACCCACTGCACGGGAAAAAAGTTGAATTTTGACAAAACTGATCATTAGCGCTAGATACAGTATTATTCACACGTAGAAGCATCAAGTGTACGAAATGGCCGGTTTGAAAGACGTTGTTACTCGTGAATACACCATCAACATGCACAAGAGGGTATGTGCCAAGTTCTGCGCGGGATATGCGCTTTTCCAGAGATAGACAGACACTAGAGGAGAGAATCGCTGAATTGGATGGACTTTGAGAGCCCAGGAACGCGAATATTGCTGAAACACCTATGTTTATACCAAGCGGCCGTTTTATGAAAGGTCAAGAACGCTGAACGGCGAAACGAGTGAAGTTTTTGGGACAAGCAGCTGGGGTTTTCACGAAACACTCTTGGAGCTGTCTCGGCTTGAATAGGCGCAGTTTCGTGCTGTGGGTTGAGACCCAATCTGTTACATTCTCCATTAAACGCTACCACTCCTCTAGAGGCTGCTTCAACAGCCTCAGACTCAATACTAACTATCAATCACAGTTGCATGGTGTTTCCTTCAAGAAGAGAGCTCCAAGAGCCGTGAAGGAGATCAAGAAGTTCGCCAAGTTGCACATGGGTACCGAGGAGGTGCGTTTGGACCCAAGATTGAACCAGGAAATCTGGAAGAGAGGTGTCAAAGGTGTTCCTTTCAGAATGAGATTGAGAATCTCTAGAAAGAGAAACGAAGAGGAAAACGCCAAGTTCCCATTGTTCTCCTACGTCGAACCAGTCGTCGTTGCCTCCGCTAAGGGTTTGCACACTGTTGTTGTTGAAGAAGAAGAAGCTTAAACTTCCACCGTGCAGGTAGAATAGATTTCCCACCAGAATGACTGTAGTTTAAGTTTTATGTAAAAAACGTTTCAATCAATAATATCAAAACGATTAAATAAGGATCTTGCATAGGCGAAGACGTTAAGAAGGTCTGTCGTCTGAGGTCGGCAAGAATTGGGATTTATCGATCCCACCGAAAAAGTGACCATTTGGCATGTTAACGACAAAAAAAGCCAGTCAGTTGCCTTACCAGACACAAATACGCGGTATAACTACTAACAGTCTTTACCAAAATTCAAAACATTATTAACTATTCTCCCTACCTAAAAAATCTTGCTCTATAAACCTGTTAGTAAATTTAATCCCATATATTTACTATTTCTAATCCTTGAGGTCCATTCAAAGACACATTCTCAGTGTAACTATGACATAAAATACGCCAGCCACTCATCACATTAAAAAACGCCCATTTCCCACATTTTTCAAACCAGGAGAAGCGGGCACCAAAACGGCACCCATTTCAGGCCCGAAAAACGAAGACATGCTGCTCAAAGAGCCACATGGGATGGTCTTAAAAACGTTTCTTGCGGAAACGCTCTGTTCTTAATAGACTGGCAAAAAATGAAACTTATCATCATAAAATGTGGGGTTTGAATGGGCTCGTGGGAGCTTCGTAGTTCAAATGATGCATAAACGGCACATACCTTCCATTGCAATACTTCATAAACCCAACACCTTCGAAACGCTCGTAGGCGTCTGCCTTCTTTCAAACTCAAATAAACAAGAAAGTCAGACTCTGAAATTTTTCAAGATTTTGATATACGTTCTTCAAATGTTACCCGCCATGACCGGCAGCATGATAGAAAGGGCATCTCGATAGAGATGATGCATAGAGTACTATTCGGCTAGCATCTTGTTCTAAGACTCTCATTAGAAAACTGAGGTGTTTTTATGAGTGCCAATGGGGAGCTGTCAACATTTCTGTTAATCAAACTTTCGAAGTGTTCTTGTACTGAATTCTAGTTGCTTCTGCAAAACCAGCTTCTCCCAATCTTTTCAAGACGAACTTCTCATCAAACCAATCTATCAGTTGCGCCGTAGTCTTCATTTCCATTAGTTCGTTATGTAGTCTTTTCTCGAGTCCCATACTCTCGAGCATGCAATGCAAATGATGCAAGAGTAGTTGATGCGGCAGTCCGCCAAATTCCATGGCATAGTGCCAGAACAGCTCCAAAGCACTCCAAGGGCACTTGTCGTGACCAGAGAATAAAGCAGGGTTGTCTAGTAGTCCCCGGACGGCCATGACACCGTCAACGCCTGTATAATCCAAAATATTTTGGAAATCTTGCATGGTAAAGCAATCGCCATTTGCAATAACTGGCACATTTCTGTCCTGGATCTTTTCCGTGATGTATTTAATGGCATCGAGATTGACAGGAACGGATGATCTGGTCGTCCTGGTTCGGCCATGGATGGTAATCCAATCAACACCTGCGTCGCACAAGCGGTTGCACAACGCCACGGTTTGATCCCAATCGTCATGTATTCTGATCTTAGTTTCCAGCCTTACCGTATCGCCATACTTGGCTTTAACGGCAGAAACCATGCTTGATAGAAGCTCTGGATTGTAAATCAGTGCGGATCCGATGCCTTCCCGAATTTGTTCTTTGATCGGACATCCACAGTTGATTCCGATACCATCGCAGTATGGACTTACCATCTCTACAAATCTCAGCAAATCCGTTACATTATTGACGCCCACTTGTACAATCAGCGGAGTGTCGCTGTCGTTGGAACTAAAATCTGCCATCCTTGCGTGGCAGTTACGTACAAACTCTCTTGCTAAAATCATTGGAGTATAAACAATGTCGACGTTGTAGTGACGACAAACCTGACGAAACGGCAATTTAGAATAGCGCACCATGGGCCCAGCGATAGTTACAGCTCTGTTGTGCGTGATTTTCCTTGTCTTGATAATATGCAGAGGATCATTTTTTTTTGTAAGAGTTCTGGCTCTTGGATATATGTTCGACATCGAGTTCCTACCTGACAGAGACGTCTAAAGCGTGAATTTGGCTTTCAAGAAGTATTGTAGGTTGGTTTAGATGTGAACTATACGTAGACGCTGTCAACGTACATGAAAAACTAGTGATGTAGCACAATATACGAAAGGATACGGCGCTATGTATCCATATTTAAATGGCCAAGACGGCACGCAATCCATAGGATATGATACTTCCGGGTGGCACATAGTGACTCTTCTTTGTGAAGTTTTATGCTTTCTGTGGGGGTGTTATATTCATTTTTTCTTTGACACTATTTTCAGGTAGTTTGTAGTAAAATAGTGGTGCGTGATGACATATATATATGTAAACTATGGTTGAAGACCATTGTTCACGTCCTCAACAGTATGACGAGATGATTAAGTATTTCTTAAATTCTTGTTCAACTTGGAAATGTAGCGAAAGTCTCTCTGAACTGTCTATAATGGTTCAAGGCGAGGATTTCTTCAATTCCTTTTGCGAGCAGCGGTCCTTTGCAGATCAGCCGCCTATATTAATACACTGTATCTCAAACGTAGCATAGGATATGTAAGACTTGAAATTGTTTGGTCGTGATGTAACAAGCATATGAGTTAACTTAAAACATGATTCAACGGGTTCGAAAAGCGTGTTGTGAAGCAAACCTTAAAAATGAAATGGAGATGGTATGGTCCTTTAGCAGTTTCTTTCAGATTTCCCATCTGCTAGAAAGTGCTTTCTTCCTGCTATTAGGTTTCAATGTTACAATTGGAAGATATGTATGTTAGGCGCTATAGTATATAGATAGTCGGTGAACATTTCTCATTTTCATTAAGAGGGAGCTCTCTTTCATTGTGCGCAGAACAAATACGCGACTCTGTTCAATCGGGACTTCTGTTGGCTTAGGCAGCTTCTTGTCTGAGTTGAACTTCTCACATATGGAGGTCCAATACGTCGTGAGACCCGAAGGGCATTCGGCATATAGGGCATTTACGCATCCGAGCGGCAAGTCTTTCTTTGCAGCATTGATCACAAAACACATGTCCGCATGTCTTGATGGCGGTATTTTTCCAGTTTTTAGAGCACAAAGAGCAATATACTATAGTCCTAAAATTTTCTAGCTCTTCTGCTATTACGGTGCCATCATGGCCACCATTCGAGACTAGTGATTTGTGCAGCTTAGAGGCCTTCGACTCCGCCTGTGTAAGCTGTAGCTTCAAAGCCTTTGCCTCTGTCTGTAAAGAGTTGACCTGCGACTCTAGCATGGTAATCTGCTCGACAGATTTGCTCTTTTCGACATTTGAAGACTCTACGATTTTCTTTGATTTTGCCAATGCTGAAGTTAAATCCATAAGCTTCATAGATGTGTTTTTGTTGGCATCTAATAGGCGCTTCTCGTTATTTTCATGTAGGTGGATTTGTTTGTTTAAGCTTTCAATCTTGCTCTGTAAAGTGCGTTCAATTTCTTTTAATTGTGCTATCAGTTCATTAGACTTGTTGAGATTCTTGGTCAGGTTTTTGTTTTCAATGAGAATTGAATCCTTTGATCTCATAGCTGCGAAGTATTTCTGATCTGCCTTGGTCTTCTCAACCGTTAATTTAGTAAGAATGGATTCTTGTGCTAATTGATCTGAGTATTTTTTGTGGGCGAGCTGTGTCAGATCCTTAAAAGCATGCTCAAGGTCTTGAAGTTCCTTAGTGAGTGCATCCTTGGAAGTTTCTTTCTGTCTGTTCTCCATATTTTCGATCCGTTCTTTCTGTAGGTCCAGCACTTTTTGCAAGTCGACTAACATTTCGGATTTGGGTTTTTGGTTTTCCATTATTGCCATCTTACCGGCCATCTCATCTCTTGTACTTCTTATTCTGACCAAATCCTTCTCCAGCATTGCATTGTGTTTTTTTAATGCATCTTGGGCGGTTTGAAACTCGGTTGCTAGTTTGTTCGTAAATATTTCTTTGTCCTGGACCAGCTGCTGAAACTTGCTCAAAAAAGCTTCATTGGCGTGCGCAAGCGATGCATTTTCTTGCGTTAGAGTGTCTAACCGGTGTAGAATATGATCCCGGTCAAAATCGTTAGCCGGATGCTGCTCATGGTGAGAGTTGGCAGAAGAAACCAGTTCGGTCCGCAACTTCAAAATTTCCCCCTCGCGTTTCAGTTTCCAGCTCTCTAGATCCTGAATAGTACTTCTGAGGGTTTCTATCTGATCGCCTAGCTCTTGGACTCGAAGTTCATGCTCAAACTGTGGTACCTGATCGTCTTTCTCATCGTTAACTTTGCCGGTCTGGCCTGCGTCAGTCTTCTTTTCGGCTTCATTATGGTTAATTTCGGAAGATTGAGAAGACCCGTGGGGTTCTGAAGTTGCGGTGTTGTCGCTACTTTTGTCGGTTTTCAGTTTAAACACTCTCTTCACTGTTTCGCTATCTTGACGGTCGTAGCGCCGTACCAGCGTCTGATAGTGGTCCCTGACGGCATCCAGTTCTTGTTGTAGCTGTACGTTATGCGTTGAAAGCTCCTGCTTTGTCTTCTCGAGCGCGTGCAGATGGGAAGCCAAACCCGGGTCTTTCGTCGTTTGTCCGACATATCTATCGACTAGCGCCGAAAGCTGGTCGGCCACGAGTGACACATCCGTGTCGACACCTTGAATGACGCTCTGGCAAAGCTTCTGAGCCTCAGGTTCATCAACACAGAATCCGGCTAGTTTAGCGGCCAACACGGCCAGCGTCGCACAAACTCGAGCATACTGTTCACGGACGCCGGCCAGACTCTCGTGGCCCTTTCTTAGTTGCGTCTCGAGGCTTTCCGCGCGCGTGCGGTGTCTGTTCAGTGCTCTGAATAGTGCTTCTTTTTGGAACGCGATCACATCTTTCCTGGTCAATGGCTCCGCGGAATCGGTCAATTTCCAGTCCAGCTTGGCTCTCTTAACAACAGGCTCATCCGACATTGAAGCACCTGGGAATACTGGCTCTCACAAGGTCTGTTAGTCTCCAGTCATAACCTTTAAAGGCTTCATTTCCATAACAAATTTTTTTGGTAGTGCTCATCCGTATCCGTCAACAATGATATGTTGAATCCTTCGACGAGTATTCTTGACAATGGTATACCTTGGATCAAATTGAGGCGTTATAGCTTCTTTGGAAAGCTGTGAAGTAGTTTATTAGCTTACCATAAGCTTGTACTCCTCGACGCCTTGTTTCAGAGGATCTTCAGGACATCTCTTTCATATGTTTGGGTCTAATTTTAGTTGTTTGGATTGTCGGACAGTAAATGATAAAAAAAAGGTTTGGCAAATTTAGTAATTACAGAGGAAAAGGCGAAATATCTCGAGACGCAGCTATCCTCTTGGCCAACGAAGGAGTAGGTTGAGGAGCTGGAGATCCAAAGAGCACACAGAAAGGTTTTCGCGGCCACTTTTGATGCCTAACAAGCATGGAGAATTGCAAAACAAAGACGGAGTTACGACTGCTACATTCATTGAACAAGTTTATAGCACTTTTAGCGCATCTGGAGTCACCTTCGCAAAGCAAGAATGCCGGCAGTAAGAAACTGGTAGCGAACTATCTGCGTCTGAACCTTTTGTCGCCGCTGAGGCAGCTGCAGGCCGTCCCAAACGGTGTCAAACCTCTGGATATAAAGGAAAGGGAATTGCTCGTGCAATGGTGGATAACGCTGCTCAACTTTCTCAACAGCGACTACCGCGGCTTGGAGCAAGAAGTGACCACGCCGCTGCTTGGCATTGAGGTGTGTTCGGTAGCGCTCGAGTGTATAAGTCGCATAATGCCCCTCGTGGGTCTAGCTGCCACATCCAAGGGGGATTTGGACGTTTTCGCCTACCATACGCTACTCGTCGTTCATTTTGTTACCAACAGGCTCATTTTCAACACGAAAAGATGCAAGTCACTTATGTCAAACAAACAAATGGCTCCCTCGTATGTCAAGCAGCAACTTCAATACCACAATCAGTACAACACACTCCTGAACTCATTTACAGGCAAGCTGATAGCTTACGCTTTTTTCTACCTTGATGCAGAATTCCGCTATGACTTTCAAGTTCTGAATTTCCTGGAACCCGGGGTTTGCCCCGTAGAACACGCATTCCTTGCATTTCCCTGGAAGACCAAAGACTTCAAACCGAGATATCAGAGGACTCACAAAGATTCACCAGATACACTGACCGATCAGGATAAGAAGATTTTCCAGGTCATGATTTCTTATTTGAAAAATGACACCATCTTCGTAGCCTTCTATTGGCATTATTGGCATATAGTCTTGAGTTTATTTGCAGCTCATAATTTGAAGACAATCGATACGAAAGCAATTCCTGGTTGTAGGATTCTAATTCGTTACATTAGCAAAAACCTCGACAGCGACCTATCAGCGTTTACTCGATTCATCAAATCCCAAGAAAACGACAACTTTCAGCACACCCGACCTAATGGACATGTTACGCCTGTCACAGGCGAGCAATTGAACAACTTTGTCTTCGTCAACTTCAAAACAATAAAACTCTGGGAATGCGTCAGGACGCTCGTCGGTTGTGTCCACCCAGCCATGCCCGAACTTCTCTGTAACTTTGTTGAGCTCCATGATACTCTCCAGCTCAAAAGATTTGCCAGGATACCTGCCCATGATTATCAGCTGGGTAATCTGATCTATAACAAGCTCCTGCAGTTCATTGTATTCCAGTTCAATTCGATGACACCTTATTTAGTGGCTCTTGATTGGCGGAAGTGGTCTGAGGGACTTACACGCATGCTGAAAACATTGAATGTCAACTGTCAAAGCGTCGCTTTATTGTCGTTGTTCAATATATGGGACTTTATACCCACAGAGGAAGGTTTGAGAGCCGAGATCGCGAATTTGCTTGTAATGAATATGTGGAATCATTTAGCTCGAGATACTTGCTTTGAAGTTATAAGAATTTTGTTTTTCAAAATAGTGGTATTCCGGCTATTAAGCGATACGTCTAGCGACAATAGTTTGACGAAAAACCACCTAGTAAAAAAACTGCAAGAGACATATAAGCAAGCATTGACCATCGCTGATAGAATGCCCGATCGAAAGTTTCGTGAATCATCAAAGGATGCTCTTATTTTTCACATCAACAGAAAATTGATACTTTCGAAGGTTGATGCGGTGAGTGAAGAGGATATTATTAGCAATAATGAAAGCAAAGGAACCGACAACAAAAATTTGGACAAGAGGAAGCAGCTGCCTATACCCTCTGTTCTCACCGCTGCAAGTGTAAGACCTTGTGTCATAATATCAAGAGGTAGATATCCGTTTGATATCTTGGATGAAATGGTTTTGAAGGCCACTAAAAAGGCTGCGAAACAGCAAGGAAATAACTCACATTCAGACCTCAAGGTTTCCAGGCGATTTATGAAAGGCAGCTCTAGTAGTAAAGTCTTAAATGAATCGCTGGTCGATGATAATGATAATGACGACAACGATGATGATGATGACGACAAATCTGTAGCCCGTACCTTTGGGTCCTTTTTTTCTAAGTTTGGGAGCTCGAGCACAAAGACATCTAAGAAAGCTAAAGCGTTGCTGTCTGAACGATTTGCAAGGAATTCAAATTATGACAAGCAGGGGAATCGCTCGGAGAGTTTCTCTAGCTCTGATGTAAAACTTGATAGCGAGTCAATCGATATCATGTCGATGTATACTTCCCTGTCCACAGGCTCTTCTTTGTCGATGAACAAAAGCGAGTCATCTCTAGAGCTGCGTACGGAACACTCCAATCTCTCTATAGACTCTTCGACGAGGCGGAGAGCTGCTACTATAGAGGGCTCGAATGAAACCTTGCCACAGCAGCCTCAAAAGAAGAAAAAGCTGCTAGCCCCACCAGAACTAAAATTTTCTGGAGACATCAATGGCCAAACCAACATCAAATGGTTGTTCCGCCTTGTAACGGCCCCCATTTCAGGCTCTACCACCTCAACTCTGTCAAAAGTTCAACAAGCGAACGACCGCTGGGGGATCGTCAATGCCAAGAACTACGCTAAACCATTGCCCCCGCCGTTTGATAATTTCGATAACACTTTAGATGGAGGTGTTGATGTCTCTCCCTTGACTGCAAGTATAAATGATATTAATCTTTCAGAAGGCATGATTTCAGCTTCAAGAGAGGGTTTTCGTGAAAACAACTTAGGATCGACTCCAGGTGGCGTGCCGCTTCCTGATATTACTATTCTGACACCGAATGTATGGGACAGCGTCTGTACTGATGACTTTGACGACCATACGCTAACATCTGCTAAAAGTATCAAAAAAAGAGAGGAAAACTTCGAATTTCAAAGTTCAGAGAGTGAATTCAGTGCAAGTTTCGCGGAAAGAAATGTGTTGACAATGCGGCATGAGACTGAGCTCAACAAGATGGTCAAACTGATAAGTGTGTTCAATGAAACAGCAGCCGAACGAACAAATTTTACTGACATGGTCCATAGCGCAGATGAAAGAATATTGATGGATTCTGAAATAAGCAGTTTTCGAAGCTCTCAAAATGTTACCAAGAATACGGTAAATGCTCAAATTGAGTACTTATAACATTAAATAATTATAGACACGACAATTTACAAATAGACTAGTTTTTGCGGGGTCGGTCTTTTGCTCGCTACGCAGAATTTTGACAAGAGCCCTATGCAACCTACCACCTACTCCCTTTTTTCGAAAGAATAATCGGTTTTCTTGTTTCCAACACGTCCGGCGCGAAAGAAGCTGATAGCAAATGCTAGCAAGAAGAAGAACGATATGAGAGCATTGAAGATAAGTGTTCCAACGACAAAGGCCAGTTTTTTCCATCTCACCATAAGGTTCCTCAAACTGTGTTAAAAGTTCATGGAGAATGTGAGCAAAGAAGTGTTGGGATCAACGATTAGATTGGCATTTCCTGCGAATTTCAAAGATAGTTCCAAGCTCTTCATGTCGTGCTCTATAAAGATAGGATTATCCAAATGAAAAGAGTTCACTAACTCTTTCTGGACTTGATTTGCAAAGGTAGAGGATAACCTATTGTTTTCGCACAAACTGGGAATATCCCTCGTGTTTGCACAACTAAATATTAGAGTCTTCCGGAATACCACAGATTCAGCCAGCTTTTTTGAGGTCGATACCGATATGGTGATCTCAGCATCCCTTACACTAAGATCAGTGACTTTGTTTAGGCAAAAAACATTGAGGTCCAGATTAACGTTGTACGGAATATCTGCTCTTAGTGGAACATTTTGAGCAAATCCGTTAGCTGCCACATGTGGCAAGATCGCAGTATCGCTGGAATAACGTTCCACATCGAACTGGAACGTGGTTTTAATATTTCCACTCCGATTGCCCATCTCCTTTCTGCTTTCAGAAAAAGGGATGGTTTGTACCGAGTCTGCTGGGATCATCCGCGAGTAGAAATCTTGGAAGAGAAACGCGGAAAGCGGAAATATTACAATCAAGTTCACCAGCATCAGGATGATTGCGTAGCCCCAACATTGAGCCCATCTCAGCGGTAGCGTAACATTTATTTGCATCTGAAACGAGACTGCGAAACTTCCGTTTCTATGGTTAGTGTGTTCGTGATCGCTGTGTCCGAGCTGGATTAGTTTTGAGTAATTTCAAAGGAAGGCGCGTTAAGATACTCAGTGCAATTGTTAGAGAGACCTACCAATCAATCACAGATTTGACCTAAGGATTTGTTCTGTTGTCATTGCATTTGTTTTTATAAGTCAAATATGAAAATTAATCACTACAAAAAACCTGTAAAGTTCAATATATGAGTAGGAAAGCTCGATATTATTACAAATCATACACGTAATACGTTGATTGCCATCAATGCGTGGAATGTCCTCTGTGATATTTGAGCCCGTTTAAATTCTTATATCTTTTACCGCATACCTCACAACGGTAGGGCTTGTCCTTTTCGAACCCCATGCCATCAGGATAAGGTTCGTTACTTTCAGGATCTATGATGCTGAAAGTACCATCTGGATTTTCATGCAGCTTCTGGTTCTGGTGACCATGCAGTTTGTGATATTTCAAACCGTTTTGATTCTTGTACGTCTTGTCGCAGCCAATCACAGGGCACTTGAAAGGCTTGTGCTCTTCATGGTCCATAACATATAATCTCCGCGCAGGATCGTCTATAAACCCAGGCTGTTGTTTGCGTTTGTTAGTTGCTGTCACTGGTACAGTGGTAGCGGCTACTTCGTCTTCTTCTTCGTCGTCACTCATACTGCTATCCTCAGAATCTTGGCCGTTACCCAACTTGGTACGATGAGGCGATATCTTGGAGGCGGAGCCCGTATCCATTTGTTTCCATGCCTTCGCAACATCAGCTGTTAGCGATGGGACTGCTCCCATTATCGCACTACCATCATGAAGGTCATCGATAATGTCTGCGTCCATGAAATCCAAGTCGATGCCTGCTGCAGCGGTGCCAACTTGAGATGGAAACCGGCTTCTGTTTAAAGAAGCATTAGAAGCGTTTCCCATAAGCCGTTGTTGATGTTGATGTTGGTGTTGCTGCTGCTGTTGTTGTTGCTGATGATGATGCTGGTGCTGTAGATGCGCATTTTGCCGCTGATGTTGATTAAAATGTTGTTGTTGTTCTTGATGTTGCTGCTGCTGATGCTGCTGATGCTGCTGTTGCTGTTGTTGCTGTTGTTGTTGTTGAAGTGCTTGCTGCTGCTGCTGAGATTGGAACTGCTGAAGGGTTGAAGCATCTACCCCCTGTTTCGAGAGGGGCTGCATGTTAAGAGAGTAGTTATTGAAGCCAGTTTGCATTTTGTTATTGTTAAATGTACCATTATCAACACTTGGATTTACCATCTGCCCTCTTTTCCCAGATTGTCCTGCGCCCGTTTGCAGGAAAACCTCGTTGGTAGAGACGGCGTCCACCAAATTACCATTGAGATGAAGCTGCTGGACACTGCTCGTTGTATTAGCACCAGAACTATGCGGAACGCCATGTAATTGCTGTTGCATGGCTTGGTTGAGCATTTGGTTCTGTAGTTGTTGTTGTAGATGGTTCTGGTGCTGTTGTGTTTGTGGCTGTTTTGGAGACTGTTGGAACTGGATATTATGATGCTGTTGTTGGTCCGTGAGGGAATGCTGTATATGCGGACTTGAATGATGCGGTAGCGCCTGTGGAGTATTTTGCGGTATCTGCTGGTGAAGCTGTTGTTGCTGATGCTGTGGCGAGTGTTGGCTCTGGTGCAAGTGTTGCAAATGTTGCTGTTGTTGCTGTTGTTGTCGCTGCTGTAGGTTAGGGTGCTGTTGTTGTTGTTGTTGTTGTTGCTGTTGTTGTTGTTGATGTTGTTGTTGCTGTTGTTGTTGTTGACGCTGTTGCTGATCATGGTTCTGTTGTTGAAGCTGCTGTTGATACATCGCAGCCATACGCTGCTTTTTGAGAGCATTGTTGTGGGCCAGCTGGGCAGCGGGACCCGAACCCGACCCCGAACCTGTAAATGCCGAGCCCGTCGTGTTTGGAATACCACCTAAACTAGCAGAATTAGCAGTAGAAGTGGTGGCTGATATATTAGTCATGGAGGATGCATGCGTGTTGATGGTACCCGGCGAGGTTGAGATATGAGCCTCTTCGTAGTGTCTTAGCAGATCATGAAGACCAGGCAGCAGCAGGCCACAGCAAGAGTAGTCCTTGCAGTATTGTTTCTCTAGGTTGGGCAAATAAGCTGATGCTGCTCCTGGAGGCGAAAACGAAGCACCATTACCTAGATTTGCCCCCATGGCCATCCCAATACTATTGCTGTTGCTGTTGCTGTTAGGGCCCTGATAGTTTGTCCCTGAACCGTGTCCCGAGTGCGCTTGAGACATGTGTGCGTGGATCATAACCTCGTCGCGAAGCCATGACCCGATAGTCAACGACCCCCAGGAAACACCGCCCATGCCTTGGGAATGAGCTATTGACTCACGCCTCAGCCGTGCCATGTTCGAGGCGTTGGCTGAAGTTCCCACCTGCTGTGACGACGCTGACGGCTGGCTGTTGATGAGAATCCCTGGAGTGGATCCTGCGTTTGTAGTCGCGGCTGTGGCGGCAGAAGAGACGTCCATAGCTGTTAGTCGGTATTTATAATAAGACTTAGAGATCCTTCACCTTTTCAAAGCTCAAATGCCTTTCTTTGTCAGATACTCCTAGGACTGGGTCTCTACCTTCTTACGCGCGGACAACGATGTGAAGTTTAGGCCTGGTACTCAGTGCTTATGGCGTCTATCTCGTCAAAAAGGGGTCCTCGTATCCTTGGTTGTCGTTCGTCTAGACCGAGATTATCAACTTAATCACTGAAAGTGTGATGAAAGTGTGATTTTAGAGTGATTGAAAGCTGTGAGAGACCTAACGACGCTCTGGAAAAAAAAAACCCGAGTTGCACTGACGACTATTACGATTATTATCAGACCGTGTGAACTTCTCAGCTGTAATGCAAAGGCCTGAGTAGCGTAGATGGAACAGGGTCTCCACCTGATGTGTAGAGAGATTCTTATGCGAAATTCACTTCCACTTAGCACTCCAGGTTCGACCTGGGCGAAAGCACTGGTGAGCTGTATTGCAGAGATGGGCGAGAGTTTCCCGACAGAGAGCGAGACATTTGAGCCCGTGCATTTTGTACGAACGAGAGGCCCAGGACGCCCAAACCATTGGATCAGAGGTTACTCGTTGGCACACTTGCAGTGCGAGCCATTTCGTCAGAACGGTCCATGCAATGCGTCCAGACTGGCAGCGAGTTTCGTGCCGCTGGCGCTGGTGCTAGTCGCCGCTGCTGCGAATTTGGGCTTACAATGCTAACGAATGCGGTAGACGTTTCTGTGGACTGGCTAACGCATCTCCTGAGGAGCTAGATCGCCGGAACCGGTATTGAATGTGAAGTTTTGTGTCCCTGGTTGAGGCCCACAAATAGACCCAGTGGGCCCAATTGTGGGTTCCAGCACCCATACCTCCGTAGAAGGACACCACACACCTCGTTGTTTTAAGCCGGTGGTGCAGGTGAGACATGAAGCAGGCCCACTGTACCGCGAGGAATGACCCTGGAGCAGTTGACGCCAGCCCTTCGCAGGATGTAGTTGACGAGGGACTGAAACACTGGATCGCGGTAAATGTCTAAGTGAATTGTTGCATCCATAAGCGGAGGTAGATGTACAGGTAGTCTTATTCAACTTGACGGGAAGCGTGTGGCGTCCACTCTAGGGGCGACGAAGCTCTGTTCATCAACAGGATTTTCAACAAGAATGGAAATCACAATTCTCAAGAAGTCGAACGATCAACCGAAACACTCTGCTTTAAAGCTATGATCATGTATCTGATCGACGTATCATTCGTAGTTTCTTGCTTCTATTAGTAGGTCGCGAGCTTATGCTGTTTTTTCGGGTATCTCCCGACGAGAAGGTGTTCAACGGTGCAAAATTTGATCGATCTCATAGGGAGACCTGTGTGGTCTCCAAATCATGCGTATTCTTAATCCTTGAGGTGCTAGCAGTGCTTTGCAATAGCCAGTTTAGGCGTGCTTCTCGCTTAAGGCATGCGCGTGCAAACGTTCGTAAGACCATTTTTCAACCGACCAAGACGAATCGTTCCACGGCAATCAATGGCCGCGTTTGCTTGGTCTGTCTGCGAAGGCATGATCTAACGTCTGTCAAAAGCTAAGCTTTAGCTCCTCAGATACACGCACAAAACAGCCTTGGCTTCTCTTGCGCATTAGCCGCCGAGCTGAAATTTGTCAACAAAGGCGAACCTAACAGCATATTCGTTTAGTATTGCCAACTATTGGGACTCAGGGGCTCATCCTCACGTCCACACAACGTATGACAGTCGCTATTCGGTCGTACACAAGGTCATTCGCCATTGGAATTCACGATTTGCCAATTTGTTGTCGTCTCGATTCCAAAAAGTTTTGGAACCTGAACCTGGTAAAGCGGGTGATATTGATCAAAGAAAGTTCGTTATGATCTACCAAGCGGTGTATCAAATGCAGCGTCACGCGTGGTGATGAAAAGTCGTTTTTTGTATGATTTTTATTATATCTGGACTATATCTTCTAATTTGTATTGTATATATTTTGATTCATAAATAACTAAATTTCTATCAGTATTTCCTCAACACTATTAGATACAAATATAACAAAATAACTGTTGAGCTTAAAAGAGCGAGGTCCTGGGGTTGCACTCACATAAAGTGATTTGGTAAAGCCTCAGTGAATTCTTTTCTTCTTTGGTCGTAAAGCAATCAGAGGTTGGGATCTGTTCCTGACGCATTTTTTTCACGCTCTGGTTATATATTCAACGTCGCGATTCAAATGAGTGTTTCACGGTATGCTTAAATTAGTCGTAATGGTTATTTCAATCTTCAAAGTTCTGATAACCGTCGTCGACTGTTTCTGGATTCCATAATGTGGACGCTTGAGAAAAGTTGGCGGCTCATGCCACTTTGACTGAAACGTGATTTGACGAATAAAGATCACAGCATTTGCATTCCAAGTGCTCATTGATAATAACATCAGAATTTCAAATCATATAAACTTGTGCCTGTGCGTGAAAAGCAACAAAAGAATACAATAATGAGACAAGGTAAAGCCTTCAAGGGCCATCAGGAAAGTTGGGCACTACGTACATCGAGAAATAACAACCAGCTCCCAGACCCCGCGTCTCGGTCAGACCGCATCGCACTATTCTGACGCCAATATTCAGAAAGAAATATTGCTTTGATAAATCTGCTTATTCGCTGAATGTAGCCTGGCTCTGAAGCACTTTATGTTTTAAATTCTCGTTTTCGTGTTCCATCATCGCGTTTCTGCGTGAATCCAAACTTTGTTGTAGCCTACGCTCCAACTTCTATAACAGACAAGCATATGTTTGTAATGCACTCCGCTTCAATACAGCACCAGCTGAATTCAGTGGTCGAAACATTATCACTCGTTTGCTAGGCCTAATACTTTCCCTCTTATCGTCAATTTCCATTCTGTCGCAAGGTGTCAGGCTAATTATGAAAATTTTAATATAGCACTTTAGCCGATGAGAAGCGATGACTTAGATAGCCAGATCAAGCATACAAAATCACTGCCACAGCCACCAGCACAAATGTCTGAGAAACGCAATCTCGATATTGAAGCAGGTCATGAACCCTTGCAGGTCTCTAAGAAGCAAGATTCGCGTGGTATTGCTCACATTAAACCAGAATTTATTGTCACGACCAGTGCCACCTCTAGCACAAACACTTATGCCCCTCAGCAGGAAGAACCTGTCTCCGACCGTATGGCTACTGGGAACAGTGGAGGCAAGAAAAATAAGCAGAAGAAAAGAGGCCAAAACAAAAGCCGCAATATTATCCAGATAAAAGAGCAGTACCAATTGTGTTCAAAGCTAGTATTGGGCTCCGAAAACGGCCAAACCTGTTCCTTTGGAGAACAATGCCGTTACGTGCATGACATAAACGAATACCTGCAGCACAAAAAGCCAGAAATCAAGATCGAACAATTTCAGATCTGTCCTGTTTTCGAGACGCTTGGTCATTGTCCTATGGGGTTCAAATGTAGGTTCTTAGCTTCACACTACGACCCAGAAGCTAAGAGTCTGCAACGCAAACCTGAGGAGGAAATAAAGAAACTTTACGACGTAAACCACGAGGTTAATTGTATTACTCCCGACAAGAAGTTGGATCTCATCAAGAAAAGATTTTCTTTTGAGAAGAGCGATTATATACTTGAGATTATTGATGCGATTCAGCAGGAGTACAGAGACGGATTGAATGAGCTCAATCAACGTGAAAAGGCTAGCAAAACTGGCGAAGACGAAACCACTGAGGCTGGAGAAGAGAAGCCTAAAGCGCCACAGGTTCTACAAAGAGAGCAAGAACTGCGAGAAAAGAGACAACGTCAAAAAGATCTATATCTAGAGTTTAAGGATACCAGATATTTCTCTCAAGAGAAAAAGCCCTTGGATCTTAACAATAAGAAAATCGTCTCGCCATTGACCACTGTGGGCAATTTACCTTATCGTCGTTTGATGCGCAAGCTTGGTGCAGACGTCACATATTCTGAGATGGCTCTTGCCGTACCTTTGATTCAAGGCACAAACTCAGAGTGGGCTTTGCCTAAGGCCCATATTAGCGAAATCCCTGGGTTCGGAGTGCAAATAGCGTGTGCCAAAGCGTGGCAGGCGGCTAAAGCTGCAGAAGCATTGACATCTCATGTTCAAGATTTGAGTGAAATCAATTTGAATTCAGGCTGTCCAATCGATCTACTATACAGACAAGGATCAGGGAGTGCACTCTTGGACAACCCTGCGAGAATGATTAGGTGTTTGAACAGTATGAGTTACGTATCTGGGGACGTACCTGTTACCGTCAAGATTCGCACAGGTACCAAGGATGGCCATCCAATGGCAGAGGGTTTGGTCCGTCGTCTAGTCAATGAGACCGACGTTGCGGCGATCACCTTGCATGGGCGTACGAGACAGCAGCGGTATACTAGAAGTGCAGACTGGGATTATGTTAAAAAAGTCTCAGCCACTTTGAGAGAAGCAGAGTCCGAAGTTGAGGAGAAACAGAAAGACAAAAGAGAATCCAAGCTACGTATTCAATTTGTTGGTAACGGTGACGTCAACAACTTTGAGGACTGGTATAAGTATATGGAGGACAAAAATATGGACAGTGTCATGGTTGCAAGAGGAGCTTTGGTGAAGCCATGGATTTTTGAGGAAATAGAAGCTCAGCAACATTTGGACAAAAGCAGTCAAGAAAGATTGGAAATACTGAAGGACTATGCAAGATTTGCAATGGATCACTGGGGAACCGATGAATATGGTATTTCTCAAAGTCGTCGCTTCTTTTGTGAGTTCATGTCCTTTTTCCATAGGTATGTGCCTTTGGGAATATGCGAGAGATTTCCCGTTTTGCTCAACGAAAGACCACCAAATTGGAAGGGCAGAGACGATTTAGAGACTTTAATGGGGAGTACCGACGCAAATGATTGGATAAAATTGAGTGAAATGTTCTTCGGCAAGATGGATGAAAATTTTGTGTTTTTGCCCAAGCACAAAAGCAACTCGTATTCCAATTAATCAACGCGGACCCTTGAGCCAGTTACTCTCTAGATCTGCTTAATTTTAAATGTGAAACGGCTGAGGCTGCTTATAACGCGCTCGCCCTCATAGAGGCCACTCTATCTTTGTAAATTATGATAGCATGAATGGTGTATTCTAGTCTCAACTACTGCTTGCCATTCCAGTAACTGAAATCAATTTTCATATCATTTCTTAATATCGACTTTTCCGGACCCTCTAGCAGTAATTGCTTACTCACAAATTGTTAAACACGACTTTTTAACGCACAAGGTCGGGCTTCTCTGAGACAATCCTTATTTATTTAAAATCACGGCATGCTAGTGCATCTAAATGGAATACATTATTGGTGCTAGTGGACTCCGTCAGAACATAACACTTTATTAGTGACAAAAATAGCCCTACAAGACACGCCCCAGTTGAGCTTGAGCCGTCTGATAATCGTTGTCGGAATCTGTTCAAATTTAGTCTACAAAAAGCCAAGAATTTGCCTACACCTAAGAGGGCCGGGCGTGCCTTCCTCGAAGATCATTGGAATTACAAGTCAAAAATTCCCGCCAAAGATCAATCACACTCTCTAAAAGAGTTTTCCACGAGTAAAACATACAAATGACTTCAAGATTTTTAGGCCTTGTGGCCAAACCTTCGTGCTGATAAATGCAACAGAAACGACAAGGTACGTGGCGTCAGCGAGTGTTTGGAGTGAAATACAGAATTATATTTTTGATCTCGCAGGCTTCCCACAAAATGGCAAGAATTGAACATACCAAAAACAATGCCACGAGGGGGGGTCAGAAGCCTATATTGCAAAAAGGTACCGCAAGATCTTGCTGAGCTCTTCAACAGATCTGTTCCTTCATTTCTTTTCGTTTTGGATGATTGTTTTATTATAGTGCGCTTCATAAATCATTTGACTTATAGTTTACGCATCTTTACAGAACAATCTAAGTGCAGTTAAAGAACTATATCCAAAAGAATTTCAAAAGTCCAAAGATGCTATGATGATAAACAAGGATGGATAACTAAATTAGGCTTATCAAGATAAGTAAGAGAGCAATTGAGGCTAAGCATGGTTTTAAAAGCCTAGAGAAGGAAAAGAGCTCAGAAGTGAATTATGCAGATTCGCAACATGGATTCGATCTCAGACTGTCAGTAAACCTTTCATTACGAGTTGGTATCCCTTTTTTGGTAGTTTTAAAAGAGCATTCTTTGAAAGATTTGGAGGTATTGGGTCTGATATTGTAGAGGGCTTTGAGGGCGCGAAAGAAGTCGGAAACGAGACGAGCGCGGGTTTCCAAAGGATTGAATTTTGAAAGGCCAAAGAGGGTCTCGGGTTATCTTTTGCATGTTTCAAGAGATGAGTATTCACAACTGGCGAATCTTGATGATACGCTAAAAAAAATAGCTCCAAGAGCAATGCACAAATGCAGAGCCCGGAAATCTGTTAAAATTGAAGAAAAAAGAAGCTGATTCTGCAAACACTCCAATTCTTGCCTTGCTATTGTGAATGTGAATTCTTTGGGCGTTGCTAAAGATCAAGGATTTCATTGCGCCCCACGATGTGACAAGAGCGAAAGTACGGAAGTTTTTGATCTGATTGAAGATGCAGAGTCTCGAAGCTCATCAAGAAAACCCGACTATTGCGTTTCAACTGAGAAAATCAAATTTTCTAAGCCAAGAATATGTCAATTATTATTTGCTTCCCGAATTCAAGCATCATTGTGAAGGAGGTAAGGTTCTTTCTCAAGAATCCTGTAATCGATAATACGGACGGTCCTAAGCCCGCTTCCAATACCAAAATTGTTATGCCATTCCCACCCGCTCCTTAGGCGACTCGGAACCAGACTTTGAAGAAGTGGCCTCTGCAGTGCGCAGATACTGAAGTCATGAAAGAGACGATGCGCGCGATTAATATCGCTATCATCTGAGAAATTGTTTGATTGTATCGGAGGAATTGAGAGTGTCGGGTAGAAGTTGCCGTTTTAACGATAGCAGCATGAGCGTGACGACTGTGCACATGCAAACGGAACTCGTGGCTGGGAAGCTCTAGAATATTGATTTTTTGCGGTATATCAGGCGTCGTTGAAGCTCGCTGAGGGCGGGTGGGTAGCCAGAGAGCATAGTCACGCAACAAGGCAAATATAATGTTCTGAGGTGAAGCATGATGAAGACATACGAAATTTAAGCGAATACACATCCATATAGATGATAACGTAGAAGCTCGCGCACTAGCAGTGATGTTGAGGAGCTTTGAAGACTTGGGTACGCAAGAATGGAAACTTGTAAACTGCTTTTGCTACAAAACATACGTAAGGTACTTAGGGTTGGAAGGCATTTTGGTGACTACATGCCTGATTGTAGACCTTCCGCACGCTCCTTAAGGGACTCGATCTGCTTGTTGGCGTCTTCAATCTGTTTTTGAAGGTCCTCGACGTTCATGTTTTCAGGGCTGGATCTATATTGTTCCTTGAGCTCTAGCAACTCCCATACGAGACCGTAGGTTCTAAAAACGGTGAAAGTGAGAAACAAGGTAATGCCGGTGAGGTACATATTTCTTTGAGCGTAGAATTTGCGGCTTTGAACCTCGCTGCGATCACTGACACCGACGGCGGCGACAGTGGTTTGCGAAAGATCAGCGTTGATGGAGTAAACACGATTAATGGTGTCGACAAACAGCAGCAGAATGAACGCAAGAATGCACTTGATGGCAACCTGGACCTGCGTCAGTCGAAACGGCCTGATCAAAGCCATCGTGATGGGTTTGCGAAACTTGGATGGCACGGGCAATGCCAGCAGCAGGAACATGACCATTTCCAGGGATAAGATCCCGAACACGAACGTATAGTATAGGGTCATTGATAGGGTTGCGAAACGTGTGGCAGTGTGTGTGTATGTGAGTAGCGGAAGTTTTAAAATAAAGATGGATTATTGTTAGCAATGTAGGGGAAAGAAAGGACGAGAGAGAGAAGACAGAGAATGAGAATCTGGTAGTTTTGTACGAGTGGAATTACGAGCAAGCGTGAACAAGATATTGAAGGAGCCCCTGCAGAGGGACAAGCGAAGCGATGGGCAATGTGTGTGTGTGTGTGTGTGTGTGTGTGTGTGTGTGTGTGTGTGTGTGTATCACATAAGTAGGTACGGGAGAGACTAAGAATTAAAAAGGTTCGTTTACAGTTATGTTGGTTTTTTGGCTGGTTGGCTTTCAAAGGTGGCAAAGCCAATTCTGTACGCGATAACAGACGGCTATTCTGGTGCTAGTTCGGCTGTGGATTGACAACACGGAAGGATTTGCATTTTGACCAGTAACATGGAGGTTGTCACTTGGTACGTCTGTGTCGTCGGAAAAAAGCCGACGCCGGGGGTATCCAACTCGAGTTATTGTGTTCACGGTGTGAGAAATGCTCTGAATAAGACACGACACGAAAACAAATTGAGGTGCAACAATACGAGAGTCGGTAGTATTGCGGTCCGGGTACTAAGATCGTTATTATTGCAGTCCGAGGTGCTCCAACTAGGAAGTTACCTGTGTCAAAATCCCGGATACTGCCATCCCGGATACTAAAATACCAGGTGCTCCACTTTCGTATGTGCTCTGGAAACCGTATGTGCTCAGGTGGACCACCCCAGTATCATTTAGCTCTCGTCACGTGGTCCTCAAGCATCCGTCGCTTTGAACGAGGGGCATCCGGGTAACTTTACTCGGCTCATTTTTCCCGGGACCGGCCTCGCGTTTCGGCAAAAGCTTTTTCCACAGCAGGAGAGATGAGTTTTTTCGGAGCACAACAACAACAACAACAACAACCTCTGGCCTCACCAAACACAAACTACCATCGAGAGTAATCGTAGACGCTTGTCGGTTCTCCTTCTCTCGTTCGCTCCCGCTTTGTGTCCCTGACTTCTCTCTCTCTCTCTCTCTCTCTCTCTCTCTCTCTCTTCCTTCTCCAGCCGGTCCTCTACTCCACTCTCTACTCCACTCTCCACCCCGCCCTCCACTCGCAAAATTTATCAAAAACCACGGTTTTTCTTTCTTGATTTTTGCTGCGCCGTGTCTGAGACTTCCACACGCGCTGCGCTGGCAATTGTAATTGGTAATGGCTGTCGTGGGTATTTAAGCACGAAGCAATTTGGGTCTGGCGCTCCCGGAAGGAAAAAAGTGAATGTTATTTTGTTTCGCCCCTAAGCGAGCGAATTTCTGTACGTGGACTGCTGGTGTGAAGATCTCAGGCAACCGACAGCGAGCGAGAGCCGAGGAACGAAAGAGCAGCGAAGAGCAGGGTAACCAAGCGTACAGTTGGGCAGCCACAAGCGAGCCAGCAAGCTTACATAACCACCCGTGATACGCGATACGGCACATGACCGACGCAAACGCCAACGGAGATAGCGCCGGCGGCGCTAAGCCGGAGATCGCGGTGAACGGAAACGGCAACGGCAACGGCAACGGCGGAAAGTCGCCGTCCGCAACGACCGCTACGCCGACGCCGGAGGACGAAAAAGAAAGGCCGAAACAGGAGGAGGGCGACGCGTCGCCGGGGCAACCGCAGGCACCGCCTGCAGCGGTGCCTGCAGATCCAACGGCTTCGGCGGCCAATGGCACTGCACTTGCCAACGTCGTCAACAATCCAAACCTCACTCCGGCGCCAGCACCACCGCCGGAACCCGATATGGACAATTTGCCCCAAGACCCGTTGCCCAAACATCAAAACAAACATGCCACCACTGCGGTCAAGGCCGTCAAGCGTCTCAAGGACGCTCGGCCTTTCCTCCAACCCGTAGATCCCGTGGCACTCAACGTGCCACTCTACTACAATCTCATTCAAAGGCCCATGGATCTCGGCACCATCGAGCGCAAGCTCCAGCACAACGCTTACGAGACTCCGGAACAGGTTTCGGCAGACTTCAAGCTCATGGTCGAAAACTGCGCCCGTTTCAACGGCGAAGCGTCTGCAATCGCCCAGATGGGTCGCAACATCGAGGCCAGTTTCGAAAAACACATGCTAGGAATGCCCACGCGCGATGCGCCACCGCGGCCGCGCGTCAAGCGGCGACGCTCCGAGCTAGAGACCCCAGTGGTAATCCGTCGCGCTGAATCCTCTCTCAACGGGAGACCCAAGCGCGAAATTCACCCTCCCAAGTCCAAAGACATTTACCCATACGAGACTGCCAAACCACGTTCCAAGAAACACCAAACAGAGCTCAAGTTTGCGCAACAGGTCGTCAAGGAACTCATGTCCAAGAAATTCAGTTCTTTCAATTACCCATTTCTGGAGCCGGTGGATCCCGTGGCACTCAATTGTCCCACGTATTTCGACTACGTCAAAGAGCCCATGGACCTCGGGACCGTGCTTCGCAAACTCAGTAATTGGGAATACGAAAATGCCGATCAAGTGGAATCCGAAGTGCGTTTGGTATTTAAAAACTGCTACGCGTTCAATCCTGACGGTACTATTGTTAATATGATGGGTCATCGTCTAGAAGACGTCTTCAGTGCGCGATGGGTCGATCGCCCCGTGGTCGCTGACGATGATTCGGATGAGGACGATGAAGACGGTGAATCCGACTATTCCAGTGACGAAAACGGAATTGACGGCGGTGCAGGTGCTGGTGCAGGTGGCGCTGGTGCTGGCGCCGGTGGTGGTGGTGACGACAACGATATTGATGAAAGTCTCATCACCAACCCAGCTATTCAATACTTGGAGCAACAATTGGACCGCATGAAAGTGGAACTTCAAAATCTCAAGAAACAAGAACTGGAACGCATTCGCAAAGAACGTAGACTCGCCAGAGGAACCCGTAAGAGGCGTACGGGGCGCAAGAAATCCAAAACCGATGCCGGGAACGGGCATGGAAGGCGCAAAAAGAATAAGCTCAAGACTGTGGTCACGTACGACATGAAAAAAATCATCTCCGAAAGAATCAATGACCTGCCGGCTTCTAAATTAGAAAAAGCCGTCGAATTGATCAGGAAATCGATGCCGGACATTGGTAAAGACGATGAGGTCGAACTAGACATTGACATGCTGGATAACACCACAATTTTGACTCTATTCAACACATTTTTCCGCGAATACGCTACTCATAGTAATGGCAATGGTACAGCCTTGGACGATTCACTACTGAGTAGGAGTTCGTTGTCTCCAAATTCATCAGGATCCAAGAAGTCCAGCAGGCGGAGAAGTAAAGCCTTGAGCGAACTAGAACAAAACAAACAGATTGAAAAAATAAAAAATAAACTAGCCATATTGGATGGAGCTTCGCCCACTAACTCGAATGCCTTCAGCAACCTTCTTGCGGGTGATGACTCTTCCGATGGCGATGATGATGATGATGATTTAAGCAGCGAAAGTGAAGAAGAGTAAATAAGATGAAGGAGGGATGAACGAAATGTATCTTGACTCAAAAACATAAAGATGATGAAGAAAGAAAGAAAGACTAGAAAGACTAGAAAGCGTGAGATTGTCGCACTAACAACCGTGGCCAAGGCCAAAAAAATATCAATAATACAATAGCATCGCATATCACGAAAGAGGGGATTATAGCCAGACCATCCGCGGCCGAATTGCAGTTGACTGGGTACGTTTTGCTTTCCTCGAGGATCCACTTCAGGCACGCAATCCTGGTGCTGCGTTATTTTGGACCTGTCTCGGCCTTTTTTATTTTTGTTTCAGGCCAATTTCAAAAGTTATTTGAGAGTACATATATAGTATAGCATCGAGGTTGTTGAGGTTTGCATTCTGCAATCCGTAATTGAATGCACACCTCGTGTATTTTAGCACATAATATAGTTGTGAAAGAAAATTAAAAACGATTAAAGCAAGCTATCCACAAATTGCATGAGTCAATAGTTATGTAAAGGGAGGCAACGTTTTTAGCGCAGAGCTAATTTATACCTTTCCCTATTAATGTTCGTGTGGTATTTATGCGAAAAGTCAGAGGTAAACACGAGACGAGATACAAAAGGTAATACTTACGAAAGTTTTACACTTCGACCAAAACAAAAAATTCATCGCTTTTGTAACGATAATATTGAGGGTCTTCTCGTACAAAGAAAAGCTCTAACCAATGGCATTCAACTAAGATATTTTTTACAGGAAAAGACGACATTCAAAGCGTAGTTACTAATTTTGGCCACAGCTCAGTACTATCGGAAGATGACGATTAACACGTGCGACGCCGACCACCCAATAGGAAGATGATCTTGGAACCATCCTCACATCGAAAGCACCTCAGCTTTTGCTCATGTTCGTGCAAATTTCAACAAAGTATACGCAAGTTTGGGAAGGGCTTTCTGTTAAGTTCTCGTCTCGGTTTTTTGAGTGTCAGAATAGAATAAAGTGACCTAAGAGTGAGTTCCAATATGTCATACAGGAAAAAGTCCATTTACAATACGCTCTAACGGCATTAAATAAGCTTTCTATTGCAAAAAATGATGCAGTTAACTTGTCAACATTGATCGAAAGACGGGCGCTTTCAGCAATCCAAAACGGATGATTTAGTAGTATCTCGAGGTGATATTCTCCTATAGAAAAAAACGGAGAGCGTATCCAGCTAACGCTTACTTACTATTGATTTCCTATTGAAGATGTCAATTTAATAGACTATTATTACCCTAAAGTCTTGAATTGGTCGATAGAGTCAAATACTTACAGAAGAAATTTTATTTTAGACCGTATTGAGAAACGCAGGTCGTCTACCATTAGGCTAAGCCGTTTCAAACTAACTCACAAAGTCCTTCTCGGACATTGAAGCGGCGATATATTTAAGCGGCCCAATGTCGAAGCGCCAAAACTTTGTGAGGTCTCGTCGATTGTAATAATTGCATAAACACCGATGATTCAAAGTCACATCGAGAGAGCTCTACTTTCCACATCTAAAAGGCTACGGAGGAAATTGGGCTCATGATCAATAATAATCAAATTAATGATACAAATGTTTTGAACGCAATACAGAGCTACTCGGGGAAATCACGTTAGGTAATAGAGTTCCAGAAAGCCAATAGACTAAAATGCTTCCGCGTGTCGATTCAAGCCATGTTCAGGCATGCTGGGTGTTGACAGCTAGCATTTGTGTCAGATAGATCCTCAGAATCGATATGCTGTTTAACGAAAGAGGTTCACTCTCAAAATCAATTTATCAATATTTGGGTAATTGTAACTTAACAAGAACACGTACAACTCAATAGAGGTGTCAAGTTATGACAGTGCCCAAATTGTCGGTAGAAGAGCTATTCATAAGCTTGAGAGACATTGATAGTGATGGTTCGGAGACCTTTGAGAATTTGACCACCAAAATAAATACTGATGATAAGACTAAAACTATCGATAGAGAGGAGGTAGTTGAGAGATTTCTCCAACCATCAAGCACTTTACCCTGGAGTCTGCTTGATCTATTCCAAACGGTACCAGAAATGAACTTTATGGGTGAAAATGTTGACACTGAAGCTGCGGATTACGATTACAAGGAATTTTTGCAAATTCCAGAGTTGATTAAGAGAACATCGTACCATTTCAAACGGCGTGGCATCGATGGAAAAATTGATACATATCATGAATCTGTGAACCTGGAGGAAGTAACAAATGCCAACGCGTCTAATTCGCTCTCTATTTCGAGGAAAATCGACACCGAAGGCAATAATGTCAGAGGGTCCAGTAGTCAGTTGCCATTCACCCCAGGTGGTTTAACGATGACAGCTTTTGGCCAAAGCCCCGATGTGTCTGCTATGACTTCAGCCACAAAGTTGTTACACAGAGACGCCCAAGGTTTGTTCGACATCCCACAAGGCCTAGACCGCGGTATCATTCCACAAGAGATAAAACACAGTGACTCCAGTCAAATTGAGGAGCTCAACGAATTAAATGAAATTGACAATGAGTTTGAGAATTTGCAAGAACTCACTGATAGTCGCCAGAAAGAAGAAGATATTTTGGAGAAAGATGCCTCCGAACAAATTTTAGCTAACAAGCAACCTGAGAACCCGGATACGGCGATAGATGACTTACTTCCAATAAGTATAGACTTCGGTCGTACACTCCGTAAAACGAAAGATGACCTAGGACGTAAAGAATGGGCCCATGTTGTTGACCTGAACCATAGAATTGACAATTTTGACGAGCTTGTTCCTAATCCCGCGAGAACTTGGCCTTTTGAATTGGATGTTTTTCAGAAAGAGGCAGTCTACCACTTAGAGCAGGGTGATTCTGTTTTTGTGGCAGCCCATACGTCCGCTGGTAAAACAGTAGTGGCTGAATACGCAATTGCAATGGCAAAGAGAAATATGACAAAAACGATATACACGTCTCCCATCAAAGCTCTATCGAACCAAAAATTCAGAGACTTTAAGGAAGATTTGGAGGGTGTGGATGTTGGGTTAATTACTGGTGACGTACAGATAAACCCAGAAGCCAATTGCCTTATCATGACGACCGAGATTTTGAGATCGATGCTATACCGTGGTGCTGATTTGATCAGAGATGTAGAGTTTGTTATTTTCGATGAGGTTCATTACGTGAACGATCAAGATCGTGGTGTTGTGTGGGAAGAGGTAATAATCATGCTTCCTCAACATGTTAAGTTCATTTTGCTATCTGCTACTGTACCCAACACATACGAATTTGCGAACTGGATTGGAAGAACAAAGCAGAAGAATATTTATGTGATATCGACACCGAAGAGGCCCGTTCCTTTGGAAATAAATATTTGGGCAAAGGAAAAATTACTTCCTGTTATAAGTGAGAAAAGAGAGTTCCTCGAATCAAACTTCAAAGCCCATAAAGAACTTGTCGCGGGCAAGAACGCTGCTCCTGGGAAGCGAGAGGTTCCAAATTCGGGTCGTGGACGAGGAGGAGCTACTCGTGGTGGCGGTTCCACACGCGGAGGACAGGGCCGTGGAGGCTCTAGAGGAGCTGGTGCTGTTGGATCAAACAGAAGCGATTTCTTTAAAAGAAGTGGACCAAATAAGAAAACATGGTCCAACCTTGTAAACTTTCTCAAGTCTAAAGATTTATTACCTGCAGTAATCTTTGTTTTTAGCAAGAAACGCTGCGAAGATTATGCTGATTGGCTAGATGGCATAAACTTTTGTACTGGAAAAGAGAGGTCTCAGATTCATATGTTCATTGATAAATCGGTAACAAGGCTGAAGAAGGAAGATAGAGATCTTCCTCAAATTGTTAAGGTGAAGTCTTTACTAGAGAGAGGTATCGCAGTACACCACGGAGGCCTTTTACCAATTGTTAAGGAGCTGATTGAGCTATTATTTGCTAAGGGGCTTATTAGAGTGCTATTCGCAACTGAGACATTTGCCATGGGGCTAAACTTGCCAACAAGAACAGTTGTTTTCAGCGAAATTCAAAAGCATGACGGAAATAATTTACGGAACTTAAATCCCGGTGAGTTCACTCAAATGGCAGGAAGAGCGGGGCGTAGAGGCTTGGATAAAACAGGGACTGTCATAGTAATGGCTTACACGTCGCCCTTGGAGCAAACTTCTTTCAAGGAGGTGGCCTTAGGTGTCCCCACTAAATTGCAATCTCAGTTTAGATTGACATACAACATGATATTGAATCTTTTAAGAATAGAAGCTCTTCGCGTGGAGGAAATGATAAAATACTCATTTAGTGAAAACAGCAAGCAAACGTTATTACCAGAGCACGAAAACAAAATCAAAGCCTTACAGAGTCAGTTGGATAGCATTCAGTTTTATGATGATTCGAATCAAGAAGAACTCGAAAAAGTTTTAGATGCTGCTATAAGGTATAAAGAATGCACGAAGGAGATGATGAGTGAACTTGTTAACGGGAGCAGTGTGTTTCGCGTCTTGAACGTAGGACGTCTTATCCTGTTTAGGGATGAAAACGATTGCGCGAAGCTTGGTTTTGTTTTCAGAAATTTACCAAAAGAAGGTCAAGTTGTTGTTATGACTGTCACAAAACCAAACAAGCTTGAAAATGGTCAACCTAATCATTTACCTTACTTGTCTTCTATCCCAGATTTTGTCAAGAACAATTTTCGACCATTTCAAAAGACTGATTTCTATATGGAGAACATCATGACTGAAAACGTCGAAATGGTGAGTGCTTTCACCTTGGATGTAGCAATGACCGATGTTATGAAACAAGAGCCTGAAGTTCTGGAAAAGTTCAACAATGAAGTGTCACTGATTTTGAGAATAGCCAAAAAGCTGAAAGAAACACAATACGAAAAGAAGGGTAGTCTGAAAATTCATCAAGCAGTTCTAGAACGTGAGAAGATAAAGTCAGAGTTGGCTTCGTTTGACTGCTTTAAATCCCCAAATTTCGCCATTCACTTTTTGCCAAAATATAAGGAGTTTGAGATACAAAGAGAAATAAAAGACTTGTATCACTTAATGTCCGATCAGAACTTGAGCTTGCTGCCTGACTACGAGCAGCGTCTATCGGTATTGAAGGATGCAGGTTTCATTGATCAAGGTCATAATGTCCTACTTAAGGGTCGAGTGGCGTGTGAAATCAATTCTGGCTACGAATTAGTCTTAACCGAGCTTATATTAGACAACTTTTTGGGAGACTTCGAACCCGAAGAAATTGTAGCTCTTCTCTCAGTTTTTGTTTACGAAGGGAGAACTAGAGAGGAAGAGCCACCCATTACTACGCCTCGTCTAACGAAAGGTAAGGCTAGGATACAAGAAATTTACAAGACCATGTTGGACGTATACGAAAAACATCAGGTTCCACTAACCAAAGAGGAGGCAGAATTCTTGGAGAAAAAGAGATTTGCCTTAATGAACGTGGTTTACGAGTGGGCAAGGGGATTGTCATTCAAAGAAATCATGGAGATGAGTGTCGAAGCAGAGGGCACAATCGTGAGAGTCATTACGCGTCTTGATGAAATTTGCCGCGAGGTGAAGACAGCGTCCATTATCATTGGGAACTCTACATTACACATGAAGATGTCTCAAGCACAAGAATTAATCAAGAGAGATATTGTGTTTGCAGCAAGTTTGTACTTGTGAAGTCAGCCTGGTAACCTATTTTTATAATACATATAGAACATTAATTATTGTGCGTGCGCAAGTTAGTGACCGAATACGCCCTTTATCACCGGTCGAGCTACATTGTCTCGCAGTAAAATACTCACGGCATTTTCATCGTTAATCAAGCTGACGTAGCCAATCACCGCATGAAAAGATCTTTGGTCAAAGACACGTTGGATCCTCAACGGCACAACGCTCTCAGGCATCGGAAGGCGAGCCAATCTATCATAACGCCCTCTTATGAAGTGTTTTAGTAACATGTCTGGCGATCTCTTCGAAGCACTCAAGTGGCTCATTTTAGCCTCGTAATTGAAATCAAGCCCACACACGTCCTGCGTGCTTTTTTTGAAAACTTCCAGGAAGCTTCGTAGTAGGCTCAAACGTAGCAGTGAACCTCCCAATATCTGCAAATGCGCCAGCTGGTATGCTTTGCCGTCGGGAAAATTCACGACGCTATGCTTTTTCGGGTACAAACACTTGGAAAACTCTTCGAAATCCCCAAACAAGATACCATACCTATCAAAACCTAGGCTTCTACCCAGTGATTGTAACTTCTCTTGATCTTTAAGTTGGTGTCCGTTTAACTTGGATTTGCTCGCTGTCACGTAAAATCTCTGCCATCGCACTATTCTCGAAGGCGGATTTTGTCGCAGTATCGAGAATGAATTTCTGAGTGCCCACATAAGCACTGCTCCGCACTAAACAACCAATTGGACTTTACGCAGCGCCCAAACTTTGATAGAATCTTATACTTTTTCAGTATCCAAATGATTTCACCGATTAGTGTGTATTCCATTCGAAAATTTCATCTCATCTCATCTCATCGCTTCATCAAATGTTTGATCAAAGAAAAGATTTATAGACTCTCCGCGGCTCGAAATGGCACCTAAGGCTTCTAGCTCATCGAGCAAAAAGAAGAGTAGCTCAAGCAGTTCAGACGAGATCAAGACACCAAAGTTCAAACTTCCAACAACGTTTATTACGAGACCAAGCAATAAGAATGATGACCGCTCGATCTGCAACGTGTATTTAAGCAAGAAGGTGATGAAGGCTTTGGAAATCGATGCTGCAAGCATGTGTGTGGTTGGGAAGCTCAGTGAGAGTGGAGTTGTTGCGATCGCACACCCAGGAGATGATTCAATGCCTGATAATGTCGTACAAATTTCGGACTCTTTGAGAGCAGTTGGTAATATAATTCTCGGCGATCGGTTGGAGCTCAAAAAAGTTACACTGCAGCCAGAATATGCTACGAGCGTAACTTTAGGATCTAGACAAGGCGTGGAAATACCAGCCGCTGCCACGAAAATGGTAGAAAAGTTGCTGGATGAATGCGGCCTTGTCATGCCAGGAATGGTCTTTCCCTGTCGTCGAATTTCTGACGATCTTGAATTGGATCTCGTAGTGATAGACATTAATGATATGACTGCCGAAGACTTACCGAGCATCTCAAAATTGTCGCTTGACTCCGCAGAAAGCCAGGTATTCTACTTGTCACCGCCTGGTATATTTCGTAAAGGATCTACGAGCGTTACGCTAAGTCTTGAAGCTAGCCCACCTATTAAGTATGGTCTCCCACAACCTATCAGCTATAATAGCGTTGGTGGTCTGCGGAAAGAAATTGATGTGCTAAAACGGACTATTGAACTACCACTTCATCAGCCAACGCTGTTTGCAGAATTTGGAGTTACGCCACCAAGGGGAATTTTATTGCACGGGCCACCTGGCACTGGAAAGACTATGTTGCTTAGATGCGTGGCTAGCGAGGCCAATGCTCATATTTTGACTATAAACGGTCCATCAATAGTGTCGAAATACCTTGGTGAGACTGAAGCAGCGCTTAGAGATATGTTCAACGAGGCTAGATTATATCAGCCTTCCATCATTTTTATTGACGAAATTGACTCTTTGGCGCCTAGCAGATCTAGCGATGATTCGGGAGAGGTAGAAAGCAGAGTAGTCGCCACTTTATTAACCTTAATGGATGGCATGGGAAGTTCTGGACGGGTTGTAGTTGTTGCAGCTACCAACAGACCCAATGCCGTCGACCTGGCTCTGAGGAGGCCAGGGCGACTAGATCAGGAGGTTGAAATTGGTATCCCAGACGTCGATGCCAGGCACGACATCCTTATAAAGCAATTTGGAAAAGTGTCAGAGAAACGTCATGAATTGACAGCAGCGGACATACAGCTCATCGCGTCAAGGACCCATGGCTACGTGGGAGCAGATTTGGTAGCTTTGTGTCGAGAAGCAGTAATGAAGACACTTCAAAGAGGTGTCATTCAAAACCTGAGCAAAGACGTTCTAAAAATTACTTTGAGAGATGTAGAGGATGCGATGACAGAAATTCGTCCAAGTGCTATGAGAGAAATCTTTCTCGAGATGCCAAAAGTCTACTGGTCCGACATTGGCGGTCAAAATGAACTCAAATTAAAAATGAAAGAGATGATTCAACTACCTTTAGAGCAGTCTGAATCTTTTCTGCGGCTGGGTGTGTCTGCCCCCAAGGGCGTTCTTCTATATGGTCCTCCTGGTTGCTCCAAAACTCTGACAGCAAAGGCTTTGGCCACGGAATCTGGCATCAACTTTCTCGCAGTGAAAGGTCCCGAGATATTCAACAAATATGTTGGTGAGTCTGAGAGAGCTATTAGGGAAATTTTCAGAAAGGCTCGGGCAGCCGCCCCCAGCATCATCTTTTTTGATGAAATCGATGCTTTGTCGCCGGACAGAGACTCCGGAGGCTCCACTTCAGCCGCCAGTCATGTTTTAACGTCTTTGCTAAACGAGATTGATGGTGTAGAAGAATTAAACGGAGTTATTATTGTTGCAGCCACTAACAGACCAGATGAAATCGATTCAGCGCTGTTGAGACCTGGCAGATTGGACCGTCACATTTATGTCGGGCCGCCAGATTTTGAAGGCAGGCTTCAAATTCTTCAGCAAAAGACTAAAAGTTTCAAAATTGAAGATTCAGAAGTCACACTACAAGATCTGGCCCATAGAACGGAGGGTTGCTCTGGTGCAGAGGTGGTACTCCTATGCCAGGAGGCTGGTCTTGCCGCTATTATGGAGGACCCAGAGACTGACCGAGTTCAGCAAAACCATTTCGAAAAAGCGCTCAATGGTATTTCTCGGGGCATAAATCAAGAGATGCTAGATTACTATTTTGAATTCCAATCACGCAGCGGCATCTCAAGGTAATTACAGCTCGAGATGAGCTATAAAGCTATTGATGTCACTCTGGACGCCACAATTTTTGAATTTGGTGAATTTCAAGTTCCTATATATTTGAGTTCGGACTCTCTTGTGAGTTGGTGAGAGTTGTGGAATGAGCAGGACAATTAACACCAGAAAATTTGTGCGAAATGTGCGAGATGAGCTGGTGAAAACTTTGAACAAAATATCCAACGGGGAGGCTTCTCAAATTTTGGTGATGCAGGCGAAACTGGTACCTTTTCTGAACGGCTTATGCACATTTACTCAATTGACTGAGGCAACTGCAGTTACCAAAATAGTAATAGACGACACAAACTGTCGTGAGACGCTCGAAGAACTGGTGGCTGACAGTCAATGTCAGCTGGTATTTGTCGTGGACGTGAGATCAGATTTACGGTTACCATCGGAGTTCCGTAAGACTATAGAGCTATTCGAGCCTCAAGGTCCTCAAATGGTCTACCTGGCATGGGAAACAGAGCCTTCAAATGTGCAGGGGAAGCTACCTCATTTTCTAAGCCTTCAACTTGATCAAAAAGTGAATGTATATCCATGGTACGTGTTGCCAACCTGTGTCTTAGACGATAATTTGCTAAATACTGGAGTATTGTACAACAGTGATGGCGACAATTTATATCTCCCTCCGATTAAGTCCATGCAAAAAGCTACTCGTAGCATCTTGGTACAGAATTTGTCAAACGCAATACAGGCCGTTCTCAAGGAGACTGGACTGGTTATAACCCACGCTTCTTCATTTGGCAACACCTGCCATGGGTTGGTAGATCACTTGCGAAGAGACTTGGAGAGCAGAAAAGATGAGACCGACGAATTTATTGACGAGACACTATATGGTAATCGACATTCAGGACTACAATGTAATCTCGTCGTGTTTGAAAGAGATATGGACTTACTAACACCTTTATGCTCCCAATTAACGTATGGTGGCATTTTAGATGATCTTTATGAGATAGACGATAAACATCTCAAACATCCACCAGAATTAAGTGATATTGATGTGATATCACTGGATTACGCCAAGGATGAAGTTTGGAATGAGCTTAAATTTAAAAATTTTGGGGCCTTGGGACCCCGACTTAATGAACTGGCTCGTGAGCTGCAGGCAGAGTACGACGCCCGGCATCAAGCAGAGAGTGTGGGGGAAATAAAGCAATTTGTCGAAAATCTTGGAGGACTCCAAGAGCGCCAAAAACTGTTAAAGCTTCACACTGCTTTGTCATCGAAAGTTGTGAGTGAAGTGACCGAAAAAGATGAGGGTGATGAGGAATCTTTCTTCAACCGTGTCATGGAGCTTGAACAGGATTTGATAGCAGGAAATCTTGGCCAGAGATCAAGCTGCGAAAAGATATTAGAGCTTCTGCATGAAGGACATCCACCGTATTCAGCGCTGGTGAGACTCTGTTGCATATTTTCACTGACTAGGAACGGCATTCGTGAGCGTGAGTATAATTTATTGCGAACAGAAATTATAGACGCATGGGGAGTAGACGCCATGTTTGAATTACAAAGACTGGCAAGGGCCGGGATGTTTTTAAGTAAGCAGAACTTCACCGAGCACTCCCTATGGAGTGATTTTGATTCATTTGCTGGTTACTTAGATCTCGTCCCTCAAATAGTTGGCGAGACCGATCCTGGGAAGCCCGTTGAAAACTCATTTGCATATTGCGGGACAGTGCCCATTATAACGAGAGCCATCCAGTTCCTATTCGATAGGTCAATAGTGACCAAAACATTCTCGTCGCAACAGCCGTTCATAATCTCAAGGACACCATCGTGGGGAGGCTTGGAAGAGCTATTTGGGCAACAGTATGGATCTGGCATTTTGCGTGAACAAGTATGGGACCAGTCTGCATCTCCAAGGACCAAGTTTATTGGAAAGCCGGCCAAGAATGTGGCCGATCCGGTGTTGGTTGCGGTTCTAGGCGGCATCACTGTTGGCGAGATGGCTACGTTACAGTTTTTAGCGACTCAGCTACGACAAAAGGACATCCACAAGAGATTCATTGTGATTACGGATGGCATAGTGGGAGGGTCAAGATTAAAGTGCAGTTCGGTGAAGGTTGTGTAGCAGCCGAACACTTTTCTCGAGGCCCAAGAGGGTGCGCAACACATCATTGTTTTGTATCTCATCAGCTGCTGCTGAACGTAATCTTATAATATAATATTGTATTACCTAAATCTCGTATTTGTAGAGGGTTGTAGTGTATCACGCCGATACATGCAAAAATAGTGATTAATGGGCCACCAGACCTTACTTCGATATATCCAACTTTTTGATGGAATCCGTCAACGTCCTTCTTTCCCCAGCGCAGACAGCCGAAATATCCGCGAAACCGCTGCAAGCGCTTCCTAGTTCTCAGCAGCCTTTTCAGCAGCCAAGTTGGCGTAGAAAGCCTCTCTCTTGTTGATCAAGCCCTTGTGGAACCCCCACCAGTAGTAACCTCCCATGACACCACCAATGGCGAAACCGATGGTAAGGTCGGCGATGATTCTCTTTTTTAGAGTACCTGTGATTGGAGTGATGGCAGACATGGCGAATTAGAAGTGATACGAATCTCGAAACCCAACAAGATTCAGATCTTAAATTATGCTGGATTTTGGATTAGTAGCTTGCTAAAGGTTAAGCTTTTTTCCAAATTTTTCAATCAACTCTCTTGCCAGTCTTATGATCGAGAGCCAATCACAGTTCATTATTTCATGGGATTTTTCGATATCTCAGTAAATCTTGGAAATTGATGAAAAATCCTAACCGATGATGAAGCTTTCTTGAGGAAGAAGGTAAAACCATACATACAAACCAGTGCTGAATCATTACCATGCTATTTCCACAGTTGACTAGAGTTGCCGCCAGAGTTGCGTCGAAAAGAGCGTTTTCCGCCACTACCAGACAGTCCGGAGCTCATTTCAAGGAGGGTGTCTACACTAACATCCCAGTTAAAGTGCACAACAGAAAGATCCCATTTGCGTTGATCCACTTCGGGTGGTTTACACTAGGGTTTTTGGTCCCTTTCATTTCTTCATACGTGCAGTTGAAGAAATCCGGTGTTTTGTAGTGGAAACTGGGGGATATTTACGTTAGCCATATAGCATGTACAAGCTGTACCAATAAATGAAATTTAGGAATAAAAGGAGAGCTAGGAGGACTAGGAGTGAGGTGTGAGATGCAATATGCGACTTTGAACTGGCGGCTAGTGTTTTTCTTTGCGTGGAACCGAACGACGACAGAGTGGAGGGAAAAGCTTTTTCGTTGGTGTGTTATTCTTTTGCGTGCGGCGGTGGGGACCAAATCTCTCGCTGGTGCGTTATGTTATTCTTTTTCGTGAGACGACGGGGTCCAGCGTTCCCGCTTCTTGATTTCAATATTTTGTGTGAAACGACAGGGATCAGCTTTTTAGCCTGCTGTTTATCCAGAAATTTGTGCGAGACGACAAAACGAAAGAGCTCAGCTTTTGCGTGAGACGCCGGTATCAACTCTCTCGCTGGCGTGCTATCTTTTTGCGTGAGACTACATAGATCAATTTTCTCGTCGCCGCGTTCCGCTTGTTAATTTTCTGGCGTCTTATGTTTGCTCTGCCTAAGAGTTCACGTTGCGAAACGTAGGACTGAACTAAGCTTGACTGGATTCTAGGATATCAAGAAAACTTCCGTGGCGATTTAAAGCAGGGTTTTGATCGAGTGTTGGGTGGTGCGAAGCTAGTTAAGAAGTAAGTCCAGAGCTTACAAACTGCTGCGTGAATAATTACAAACAGCTCGTCAAACTTCTCAGTGTTGACAAACAGCTCGTCTAAAATTCTCAGAGTTCACACATGCTGCGTCAGCTGAACCAACTCATACTAGTTATCCTGCGAAAAACGTTTCAATCATTAATGGTATTGACTACTTTTTTGATTATAAGCTTCCGTTTAATGTAAGCAGACGGCGTCAAGACACAGCTCGAGTAAACTCCTAACAGGACAATGCATAATCCCACGCAACCATCCTTCGTCGACCTCTTCTACTTAGTAACCTGCTGCCCGACCCCATATCACTTTTCACTTATGTGTCGCCTCACGCACATCACTATACACGAAGTATACTATCTTTGCCCCTCCATCATGTTATCCCATTTACATGCCCTAAACCAGTTCTATCGCTCCCTAGCACTTGAATATCCACATCAAATTATCGCTCTGGGTACGCTTTATTAGTCACTCTATTTCTTGCTCTACGCTCACTATTTAAGTTCCCCTCTTCGACCCCGCTACTACGGGAATTCTATCACGGGAATTTATCACGGGAATCTATCGCTTATTTTATTTAACAAGAAACCTTGTCCAATGGTAACCCTTTACTACAAGGAGCTATGACTTGTCGATTTATTTAAAAATGCCTTTGTCAACTGCGGAAAAAAATAATCTGGCACCAGGCCGTTTATTAAACCGGACATTGATTCCGACACCAAGGACCAGGAAACAAAAGCATCTGAACTAGATCTTATAAGACAGCAACAATTCAACCTACTGGCTTGTAAAAACTCTGTTAATTTTCGGTTCTGTTCATACTATAATGTTTTTCAAGAGATACCTGGCGTCAGTGCGCAAGGTCAAAGTCAAGACTCCGCTGGTGGAGCTTGATGGAGACGAAATGACTCGAATCATCTGGGATCGCATCAAAAACAAGCTGGTGCTACCTTACGTGGACGTGGAGCTCAAGTACTATGACCTGTCGGTCACTTCCAGAGACAAGACCGAAGACGTCATCACCCACGACGCAGCGCACGCGATCGCCAAGTACGGCGTGGGCGTGAAGTGCGCTACGATCACTCCGGACGAGGAGCGTGTTAAAGAGTTCAACTTGAAGAAGATGTGGCGGTCGCCCAACGGGACCATCCGTAACATTTTGGGCGGCACGGTATTCCGGGAACCCATTGTCATTCCCAGGATTCCACGTTTGGTGCCAGGCTGGGAAAAACCGATCATTATAGGCCGTCATGCCCATGGCGACCAATACAAAGCCACCGACGTGGTGATTCAGAAACCTGGAGTCTTGGAACTGGTGCACAAGCCAGCAGACGGTTCGGAGCCGCTGGTAATGCAGGTCTACGACTTTAAGAAATCCGGCGGCGTTGCTCTGGCGATGTACAACACAGACGAGTCCATTCGCGGGTTTGGCCACGCTTCGTTCAAGCTTGCGCTCTCCAAGAAGCTTAATCTGTTCTTATCAACCAAAAACACCATCCTGAAGCAGTACGATGGCCGTTTCAAGGACATCTTTCAGGAACTGTACGACTCTGAGTACAAGTCTCAATTCGAGAGCGCAGGCATTTCATACGAACACCGTTTGATTGACGATATGGTAGCGCAAATGGTCAAGTCCAAGGGTGGTTTCATCATGGCTCTGAAGAACTACGATGGCGACGTTCAATCCGATATCGTGGCTCAGGGTTTTGGCTCTTTGGGACTGATGACTTCGGTGCTTGTCACCCCAGACGGAAAGACCTTTGAGAGTGAAGCTGCTCATGGTACCGTAACCAGACACTTCAGACAACACCAGCAAGGCAAGGAAACATCCACGAATTCAATTGCCTCCATATTTGCTTGGTCTCGGGGCCTAGCCAAACGAGGAGAGCTGGATAACACACCGGACGTTGTGGAGTTCGCACACAAACTGGAAGATGCCACCTTAAAAACCGTGCAAGAAGACGGGATCATGACCAAGGACTTGGCTTTGGCCTGTGGCAACAGCGACCGTTCTGCGTACGTGACCACTAACGAGTTTCTTGAAGCCGTGGAAAACAGGCTCAAGAAGGAAATTGAGAGCGTGAAGTGATGGGCAGCGGAGCCTTCGAGCGCTTTCCTCCCTTCGTCGAGAGCGGGCTGAAGAAAGAACCCAGAGACTGTGGGTGTGGGGGACAGTGAAGCTATTCACCAACTTTTCTTCACTTCCTGCAATATGCCACCGATTGTTATAAATTATATTCTTAGTCTTTATTAATTAAAGTCAAACCAATTTTGCCAGTTCCGTCTTCTTTTGTTTCAATTCGTATTCCCGTTCTCCCTTCTCCAGTAATTCCCACGCCCAGTAAAGCGCATAATAACTACCCACACAAAACATTAGGGATTTTCCCACAGGCTTCGCCCAACGCCTGTAAATTAAAGCATGAGGCGAAGGTTGTGATTGAGTGTTGCGTAGTACAGATGACGCTTTCATTTCTCCACACCAGTACAACTGCTTCAAGAATTGCCTGCCATTTAGATACTTGGACGAAGTAGTTGTTAAAGATGCATTATTTACTTTATTTACAGGTCACATACCACGGGCAACGCTTTTTGAATATCATGGCAGTTTAGAGCTCAATTCCTTCTTGAGCCCTCTCACACACCTCCAAAGCAGGTTAAACTCTTTCTTGTCGGCTGCACCGCAACCCATCCATCTAATCTTGAGTTGGGGGTCCACCACCAAGACGTAGCTCGTGTAGAGATTATTGATTTGCAGTTCTTCGCGGATTCCGAACGACAGCTGATTCCTGTCGGCTAGAAAATAGCGAGAGTGGCGTTCTGTGGGAACTGACGATCTCAGCTGTCCTAGGGCAAGTCTAGCGAAGAGAGCCTTAAGATAATTTTCTGTCAAATTGATTTCCACGATCTGGGTAGTAAGTTTCTCCTCGGATCCGTTCAAGGAGGATTCGTCTTGGAGGTAGTCGCTACCATCTTCGCTCTGGAAGTAGGATTTACCCAGCGAATCCCCAGCCGCGCTGGTGAATATACGCACCACAGACAGCTTGCCTTGTAGCGTGTTCTCGACATCCCTGTTCTTGGAGTCATCCAGGCTGCGACCTTGCAAATGCGGGAAATACTGTGCTTTGTCCTGTTTCCAGAATGACGGCGGGGACAGGAACAACTTGCCCTTGGTTTTGCGGAAAGTGTAAATGTCGTACAGCCCACCTTTGCTGAACTGCATTTCCAATTCACGCGTTCTTTGACTGGTCTTGGCATCGTCGAACAAGTCCCGCACTGAATTGCCCTCTTTGTACCTTACAGATGGCGATGGAGCCTCGCGAAGTCCCACAGGTCGTACCAGTTCTTTGACAACATGCTCTTTGGGCGCTGTGTTGACCAGATGCTTTTGGAAGCGTCCAAGAAAACGCACAGGTGCACAGCTCGAAAAGCAGCGTTTATAAATGGGCCCCATCATCTGGCGGAAGGTCTAGTAGCGTGTTTGCTCAGGGAACAAAGTAAAGATTGAATTTCTTATATGTAAAATGAGAGAGCACTGGTTGTTCAGCTGCGGAAGCGAAAAATTGAAATATAGCACAGGAAACAATTCTGGGGTAAAAAGATGCCGTAAAGACTATCGTTCAATATCTTGAACTCAGCAATAGTAACTGTGAACCTAGCGTCCCATTTCGATTTCTTGTTTGTAACAATTTACTTTCGGAATTATCGTTTTGCCTCAGCCGAAAGGAATGCTTTTAGAACATATGAATATCAAGCACATATTCAGAACACACAGGGCTCAGTGATATAGTTGCAAGTACAAATATCGTAAAATGAACCTTATGTATCGCGGTCTCAAGATTTTTCAACGGAATCCTACATCATTGTTTTCGATCCTCATAAGAGCGAAAACTGACACATTCCTCTTCTTTCGCAACAACACCAGTTTAAAGTGTAAAGACCATGGGTCCGAGGCTTAAATTGTGCCTCAACGAACCTGGAAATGGCCAGTACTACGTTTCTAATGAAGCAATGAGTGGGAATGTGGTTCTAGAACTCGATAGGCCGGCATCAATAATATCACTATCAGTGACAATCCGGGGTACGTCACAAACATTTACCCAGTCTTCGGGCTCAGACTACTTGATGCATACCACTTTTGGTAACAGATCTTGCCATACTCTAGTTCACCAGAAACAAGAGCTGTTTCCCCCTGAGAACGTCAGAGGGGCCATCACGACGTCAAAAAAAGGGTTTCAGGTATCTAAGGGTCTTTACAGTTACGGATTCGAATTCTTGGTGCCTTACTGGCTTAAGTGCTTCAATGACCACGGCGCGAAATCGGCAGGCTTCAACAGAACTCTAGAAGATCCGCGTCTGCCGCCAAGTTTTAATAGTGACGCAGCGACAGCCGGTTTGGTGGACTTTGAGAATTCCTACTACAAGATGGGCTCAGTAACGTACTACATGAAAGCAACCTTGGTGCTGGGAAAGATTGGCTTTCGCCTAACTCCTGGCAATACCATCATTGAAGCATATCAGGGAATCGAATACATACCCACGCCCCGTTGCGACGGCAATCAAGCGCACATATTGCAGGCTAACATAGGGCCTACGCAGAGTTTCGTGTCCAAGAAGACTTTAAAAGTCAATGACAGCTTGGATGCGTGGATCGAAGTCAAGGCGCGGAGCTTGTCTCGTGTTTATCGTTTAGATCGTATGTTTCAACGAGGGTGTCAACGTTTCGACAAAGTCTCCTTGGTGTTAAGCCAACGACCAGTCCAGGAATTGAACATTAAAATTAGGCGTCTTACGCTACAACTTGTAGAAATCATGAATTATCTATCACAGGGCCAAGTCAATGCAATGGTTGGTACTATTCCTCTGGTAGAAACCCAGCTCGATTTAAAGCTCAATTCATCAAAAATCAAAACTCTTGGGAATGGAACAATAGAGTGGCCATTAGAGTTATGCCGCATTCCTGAATTAGCTAACTACAAATTCAATGAGGCTAATATAACACATCGCGGGAATAAAATGTTCAGCTTCGCCTCCTGTAACATAAAGCGAGCATTTAAGTTTTGCCTGTCGTTGGGCCTTGAGATAGACGGATCGAGGTTTGATGCCGAGGTGCTGACAACGATGTGCGATATCGAACTGAGCTCCATCGAGGATCACGAGGAGTTGCCCAGCTATAAAGTTTCCGACGTCCCACCTAACTATACGAATGATTAAGGGAAAACGGGGTCAAAGAGGTGTTACGATTTGAATTTGCTTGTCTTACTTGTTTTGGTTCCCTGCAAGTGGCTTAATTACACAAGCGGCTGACGATCAAAGATATAAGTGTTGCTTGTATTTGTGTTTTTTGATTTAATGCCCTATTACATAGTGTATAAGAGTGTATGAGTCTACTTAGACAGACCATAAAAAGTTTTAAGTTATCAGAATTGAAGATTTTGGGGTATCATGAAATGTGCTTGTCGTGGTACTTATAACAGCATTCCGGCGATCATCAAACCACCAACCAAGCCGGTACCAACTTCAAGCATGTTACCAGCACCGGTTTGAGTAACGATAGAAACGGAGGAGGAAGAGGAAGATGGGGCGTAAGTTGAGATAGAAGTAGTGGAGCTCAAAGCAACGCTGGAAGAGGTTGGGACAGCGGAGCTGGAGAAAGCAGAGCTGGAGGATAAAGCAGCAGAGCTGGAGGATGGAGCAGCAGAGCTGGAGGATGAAGCAGCAGAGCTGGAGGATGGAGCAGCAGAGCTGGCGGATGGAGCAGCAGAGCTGGAAGATGGAGCAGCAGAGCTGGAAGAAGCAGCAGAGCTCGAGGCAGAAGAAGAAGCAACAGAGCTCGAGGCAGAAGAAGAAGCAACGGAGCTCGAGGCAGAAGACGAAGCAACGGAGCTCGAGGCAGAAGACGAAGCAACGGAGCTCGAGGCAGAAGACGAAGCACTGCTGGAGGCAGAAGAAGAAGCAACGGAGCTCGAGGCGGAAGAAGAAGCACTGCTGGAGGCAGAAGAAGAAGCACTGCTGGAGGCAGAAGAGGAAGCACTGCTAGAGGCGCTGGAACTGGCCGAGCTTACTGAAGCGTTTTGCTCGGAACAGGAGCTCTTGAAAGCCGAGTAAGCGGAATCGGCTTGGCCTTCAGGACACGCCGAGTTCAAACAGCTCTGGATGCTGCTGCTCTCATTCTCGCAAACACATGCCACGTCGTTCATAGCGCTGCACGACGACGATTTCTTGTTGACCTGCGCGACACACGCCAATAGACACGCTGGAGGAGTAGCCAAAACGCCAGTGCTGAAAGTGGCCAACGAGATGACAGCGGACAAAGCAAAGGAAGTACGCATTATTGTGTGGGATAAATTTGGCTTTGGTAGATTCGATTCCGAAACAAAAAACGAGTGAACAAAGAGTAGCTGTAAGTGTTAGGTACTCTTGAGAGGTTCTTCAATCAACTAAGGAGATCGATTGTTATCTTAAGGACACTTGATACTTCAGGACTAAGTACAGAAATCTGAATATCTTTCAATTTCGGATCGGAGTGGATGTGTGTGTTTGTTTCAAAATTTTCTTCTTAAAAGTGCAATCTAAGCTATATTTAACTTGCCTCTCGAGGATCACGTGACATAATATTTGACAGAAGATGAACAATTTCAAGTTTTGAATGAGAGCTGTCCTCATATATACTGGGCGAGTTCTAGCTGAATCGGGGCAGCTCGTTCAAGTAGCTGATACATGTCTAACGAGAAGTTTGCATCCTCTCTGCTTGAGAGCACTATCAACGAATTGAAGTACTAATAGCTTAACGCCTGTCTGTTTCGACATTGAGTAGACTAAGGTGCAGCCTCTTGGGACTTGCTCGAGCATGGAGCTTGCTACCGCGTGTCATATATCGCGTGAATATCATACGCAAACTCCTGGCATCTCAGCTGCAGACTGGATCAAATTTGTTACAGAGCCGCGCCCTTGTAATTGACTATGCTGCTGCAACTACTACCACAGATAGAAGCTGCCGTTTGTCGAGGTTTCGTGGCGCCCTGCGTATTGGGCCGGTCGTCCAAGCGTGCGCCTATTGTTGTTGGCATGTATCCTGCAGATCTTTGTCGATGTTCCCCAAGTTGTCTCCTCCTTCGATATCCAGCAATTTATCGAGATTCGCGGTGTCCGGATTGCTGAAGCCTTTGCTGACGGGCGAGTCGCCAAGCTGCTCTAGCTGATCCAGCAACTGCCCCACCTCGTTTCGAAATTTACCGTCCTCGTAGTCTTCTCTTTCATACACCTCAACAACTTTGGTCACAAGCCCCATTTGTTCTCGGTAGCATTCAATCTTATCAGCATGCTCTTCGAGATGTTCGTTAACATCCATCCAGGTTGTAAACTCGGTTTGCATTTCTTTCATCGGCTGATACAAAACCTCTTTTGCGGACATTTGATTGAGCATACTCTGAATTGCATTTTCAACACCTTCTTCGTCTTCATCGCCGTCTCCTTCGACCAATTGTCCTAGTAGTTGCGATAAAATATCATCGGAATTACCCTTCTTCTTTTCCTCCATCAAGTTTGTATCTACTTTTGTACCGCTTTCCTTCAACCGATCAAGCGTATTTGAAACAATATCCTTGAACCCATTCTCGCCGGGCTTGGCACCCTGGTTCGCACTCAGACCCTCTGATTTGCGCGTTGTTCCACTGGACGTTGAAGCTGCTTCGCCCAAAGTATTGAGCAACTGCTTGAAATCCTCTGCAGTTTTTGTATCCTCTTGCGATTCACCGTTGTTATTCTGCATCAATTTAGCAAACTCTCCTTGCAAATCCTCAATTACACCGGCCATCTCTGGATCGCCGTTGCTAATCGATTTTTTAGTTTCATCAATTGGCCCCTGGCCCGAAACCTGTTCCTCATCTAGTTTGGAGGGGTCTTCCAAAAGATCATCAAGATCCTCATAATCATCCAAGTTTGAGCTCATATCGTCGCCACAACGCTAAACTTTGATATGACCCTTTACAAACTTGAAGTGTATTTCGTTAAGATATTTTTTTGGTGTCTTTTGAATTATCAAAAAGTGAACTATATATGAAAGGCATCTTCAAGACCTGTTGAAATCGACCATTGTAATGTCCAGTTTGGAACAACTGCGGGACCAACTCGTCAAGAAAGAGCCTATAACTCTTCTGAACGCAGAAAACGAGGACACAAATGATATTTTGGACGCGAATCAAGTTCTGTTAGGCACTAAAGATCAGAATAATGGACAACTCAATTTGGACAAGGAAACAGAGTTCCAAGTGGATGGCGCTTCTATTCCTTTGCGGGTAGTACTACATTGCTGGCAGCATAAAGATTCGAGCGCAGCCGACTACTTGGCCGATTGCCAAATCAAAAATTTGACTAATATTTCGTTTCTGCAAAGAATGGATTTGATTTCTTGGCTTTCCGGCGAAAGCGAGCATTCCAAATTCATCAACAATGAAGAAAAGCTATTAGCTGCTAAAGTGGCGGAAAACCTGTCAGGTGAATCGGCCGTCGGAGTTGCCGAAGATCCTCTTCTGCAAGAGGCGCTGGCCCACGAGAGGGTTCTTCTCGACCATAATTCGTCGCTTAGAGGTTCGAAACCTACCAATTTTGGGTACCTAATAAAAGAAGCTGAGTTGAAACTGGTCCACTCTCTCAAAGGCTCTAGCAAGTCGAGAAAAGCTGGAGACCGTGGTGGTGTTTCTAAACCTGACACTGACAAGAGATCGGTAGCCAAGAAGGATCCTATCATACTAATCTCATCGGCTGCATCTTCGATTTTCACAGTTTCTAACATTAAACAGTTCTTGGAAGACTCCAAGTACGTTCATCCAAGAGATCTGCCCGGTTCACAGTCCGATGTCACAACTGTTACTAAGAAACTTGACCGGTTTGCCAAACCAATCAAATTCCTGATCGCCAATAATACACGGTTGTTCACTAAGCCAGAATATTGGGATAGAGTTGTGGCAGTTTTTACAACAGGTCACGCTTGGCAGTTCAACAACTACCAATGGTCTGATCCATCCGAGCTTTTTCAGAAATGCAAGGGCTATTACTTTTACTTTGCCGGTGATGTGGTTCCAAAACACGTTGAGCAATGGAATGTCCAAAGAGTAGAGCTGGATAAAAACAAGAGATTTAGGGACGTGGAAGTTTTACGGTACTTTTGGAACACGATCGAGAAGGAACTGGCCGGCCGCGGATACCAATGAGCAATGGTTTCTAAAGAAAATAAGTAAATAAGGGTCGAATCTCGAAGAGAACGCCGTTATTAATGTACAGTTATTTGAAAGAGGTGAATGTCAATAAATTAAGAGGTCAATGCTAAAAATATTTACTCTTGCTTGATATATAAATCGCGACCCAGAGCAAAATGCGCTTTTCTGGAACATAGGAGAAAGGAATCTAATTCGAACACTAAGTTGCGTTATGCGACGAATTTGTCAGAGTACCTTTGATTGATTATATGTCTTTTCTCTGAGATATTCATTTCTAGATTTGTTCAAAGGCCACACGCGCAATGCGTATACGTATATACATCCGAAGACAGTAGACAACACAGATACGGCCTGTAAGAAGGACGCAAACCAACTGTCAGTTACAAGTTTTTCCAAGCAACAACATGAAGACTAAAAAATTAGCTTTGGGATGGGTGCGGTACAAGTTGGATATATGACATCCAATTTTTTCGAATCACTTTGACTAGAGCTACGACACACTGGACTAAGTGTTGGTGTTTTTACGCTCAATTTCGTTAACCAGCTCTGATAGTCTCTTTACATTAAACTGAAATCTCGGCCCCAGTAAAAGAATGTATGCAAAACCGCAGTCACATCACTTAATTATGCACTCGTATCAATGCTTGGAGCACCCGTTAGGGCTGGCCTGCCATTTTTAGTATGTCCAGCCTAGATCAACCTATTGTCACTTTTTACCAACGTGTCATTATTAAAAGCCGACAGACCTGCATTTTTAAGTGAGTAGCAGTGTCACGAAAACAATCGTTACTTCGAAGAAATCTATATGAGGACTCGAGAACTGCTACTGTCGTTTTCCAAATCTCCGGCGACTCGCTTTAAAATTCTAACTAGCATTACGCCCTTATTTGCCAGCGAAGCCAAGATCGAATTTCATGTAAACGTGCGATGGGTTGGGTTTATATAGTATCCGCTTCAAGACCGCGCAATCTCCTTATCGGCTACAACATTCACATCAATATACCTGAAATTGTGACCGAGACGAATTCCAATCTGGAGAGCTACAAAATTAGCTCGCAACTTCACTAGGATGAAAACCAGGCAAGCCATCAAGCTCAATGTGTGTAGATTTCAAAGACAATAAGCTTGCTATAGGTTGAAAAGATCAGGGTGGGCTATATTTCTTGGTCTTGCAAATCGTAAAAGAGTATCTATATAATGAGTATCGATATTACAACGGAAATTCACGATATCTCATCGCATGATGATCCACGGTTATCTATCTGAATCTCATCTGGACCTCAAATGATAAGATAGGGTACCTACTGCCTAATAGGTAACTAAAGACCGATCTTAGCTGGCCAAGTAACATCGCTTGATATTAGCATGCAGGAACCGAGGGCCGAACAGGCTCCTGTACTTTTGCTGTTGCATCGGATCCAGTAAACTCTCCGCAAGCTACTGTTGAAGATGGGCTGCGATGTTTGGCGCATAAGGAGAAGCCCAAGCCAAGAAAAGCCGCACTACAAGCGTATTAACGCGCGATTGACATTATCATCGCAGCTCATCGAGACAAGATAGTTCGAGTACAGGTGTGCTGTAGTGGGGCTCTGACTCTGTTTAGGGTGCGATTATTTGCTGTGCTAGAGATTCCCTATAGTGTCATTGAAAGCTCGCTCGGTATCTACCCTATCAATCTGCCTGCTTTCACGAGGGTACGGCTACAATGGAGAGAGCGAGCCAACTTCCTATTTATACAAGGGCCCTAGTATCCTGGGGTTCCCAGAAATGTTCAGCCGTTGCAAAATTCTCACAACCACCACCCCTCTTCTCGAGCTAACAGCCTCTCATGCCTGGCGAAAAAAGTCCCGAAGACGTCATTCAGCGCTCCAGCTCTGAATTCGACACACCCTCTTTGGAGGAACACAGAAAGACCCAAACAGTTGTCTCCTACAACCGCGAAGACATTGGCAATGCGGATAACGTGTTGTCGACCATACTGTCGCCCTCGGGGCGCGAGGTGAAAGTCACCGGTGACGTCGACGACGCCATGAAGCTGGCGCTCGAATCGCAGCGCATTGTGATCTCACCTGAAGAAGATGCCCGTCTCGTGCGCAAAATTGACCTTTACATGTTTCCCCTCTTGTGTCTACTTTACGCAATCCAGTTCATGGACAAAATTTCAAACGGTTCCGCGGCCGTCATGGGTCTGCGTGAAGACCTAAAAATGCATGGCGACCAATACTCATGGGTCGGCTCTGCTTTCTACTTTGGCTATCTTTTCTTCAATATGGGTCCGGGCCAATATATATTCCAGAAATCCCGTTGGCTGGCAAAGACGCTGGCGGTCTTTGTTATTATTTGGGGAACTTTCTTGGCGCTGCACGCGGCGCCCTCCGTCACTTATCCAACTTTCATTCTCTTGCGTGTTTTGCTAGGCTGTGCAGAATCGATGGTAACTCCCACCTTCACCATCATAACTTCCCAATACTGGAAAAAAGAAGAACAGTTTATGCGAGTCTGCCTGTGGTTTGGCTTCAATGGTCTCGGTGGCATCTGGGCTAATGCTTTAGCATATGGACTCTACACCAGACAACAAACTTACTCCATGGAGGCGTGGAGAATTCTCTTCATCGTTACCGGCATCATCACAATAGTTGTTGGTTTTGCAATCTTCTTCCACATTCCAGATGATCCTTCTAAGGCCTGGTTCTTATCAGAACGTGAAAAATTCATGGTTGTTGAAAGGATCAGATCCAATCAACAAGGTTTTGGTAACCACCACATCAAGTGGTACCAAGTCAAAGAAGCATTCACAGATGTCAGGACCTGGCTGTATTTTATATTTTCCGTGGGTTCTAACATACCCAATGGTGGGTTAACCAACTTTATGAACATATTGATTAAAAACGATTTCGGCTACAGCACCTCACAGTCTTTGCTTATGACCATGCCCACCGGTGCTGTTGAGCTTGTCGTTTGTCCACTATTTGGTTACTTATCTGTGATAAGTGCTAAGAGAAAGGTTCCATTTTTACAGTACAGGTTGAGTTGGGCTATAATTTCTGCCTTAATCAGTGTTCTCGCTACATGTCTATTGGCTTTTGCAAACAGTTCCCCTAAGACCAAACTAGCAGGCGCCTACTTATTATATGTCAGTCCCATCTCTTTCATCTGTGTCTTGTCCATTATTAGTTCAAATACTTTGGGGTTCAGTAAGAAATGGACAGTGTCCTCTATCAATTTGGTGTCCTATGCAGCTGCCAACTTGGCAGGCCCACAAACTTTCATCGCAACCCAAGCTCCTAGTTACACGGGTGCGAAGATCGCCATGTTGGTGTGTTACGCAGGCACTGTTGTGGTTTTAGCCATTTTGTTTGTTATTAATTACAGAGAGAATTTGAAAAGAGACCAAATTCAAGCTGAGAGAGGACCAGACGATATAATCATAGAAAATTTGGAATTCGCGGACTTAACCGATAAGGAAAACCCTAACTTTAGGTACGCTCTTTGATCCCAGCTGAATTATGAACTTATAATATAGTCATGTTGAGAAGTGTGTGTAGGGCGCTCAAATTTAGGTTCGTCCCATCGTTAGTAGAGCTTAAATTGGTTTTAGTCTCACCGAATAATTATAACTTATTGGAGAGTCGGAAATCGTTTTCGCCTTTTGGCGTGAGCTGTTTCCCCCATATGAATTTTGCATTGTGATGGGATGCTTAGTCAATCAAAAATCGGTACAGAAATGCAACGGAGAGGGGGGCTACCTTCACTGAATATCACATATACCTAAGGCACATATAGCATAACGTTTAGACGCTTTTCCTCTCTTCATATATCGCACTGTAAGGTCAAAGAATTGGCCACCTCCGTGGTTTCGACAGCGCTCTTGAATTCCTCGAAGCTCAATTTCCCATCTGCGTCTTTATCGCTTTCCAAAATGGTTCTATCCACAATTTGCTGTAACTGTTCATCTTCCAAATTATTACCAACCATGATCTTGAGCACAATGTACAGTTCTCCGTTGGAAATATAGCCGTCTTTATCAATGTCGTAAATCTTGAAAGCAAACTTCAACTTCTCGTCTTTACTTCCTCTACCACTGAATATCGAAAGCCCCGAAATAAATTCTTGGAAATCTACATCTCCACTGTTATCTGCGTCAAATACTTCCATGATTCTTCCAGCTAAGGGATTCGACGAGACTCCTGGTATTGACATGAACTCAACCTTGTCTATAGAACCAGAGCTATCTCTATCCAATTTCATGAAACGCTTTCTAAGCCTTTCAATCTCATCTCTATCAACTATTTGAAAATTGTTAGCAATACGGTCAGCTGTCCCAAGATATCCAGACCACTTACATACAGTTTGTGTCTTCCAAAAGGTCATCCATGACCTTCGACAATCCTGAGCCCATTGTGTTGACTGGTATTCTTACTCTGTTGTAACTGTAGTGTGGGAATAAGAGCGTTAATATGTAAATTAATGTAGTTAACCTATGCATGTCGTGTTGAACGAGCAAAGCTCAACATAAATATAGAAGTGGATCTAACGACACACACATCCAGAGTATTTGTGTGCCTACTACTTACACGATGTTGACAAAACCACCATCAGGGACGTGATTTTGTTCGTTGGATAGAGCAGCTCGAAAAATAACTGTTATTTTACGCACATAGCGCAATGCTCATTAAACTTTGTTCTTCTTGTCAAATTCGTATTGACTTGCTATGCCACTGCCACCTTGTTCAAGTGTTGCTCCTTCTTCTTCATAGTTTTCAGGCGTGAAATCGCTTCCGAGACCAGACCACTGTCTGTTCTGAAGATGGGCCGCAGATGTAGAATATGTACTACCAATCGTTACGGCTCCCAAGAACTTTTCCACCAGCTCATTCGAGCTCCCGCGTTTATCTTCGCTGGAAGCGCTGATATCTATGTGTTCGACGTTCCGCAGCGGTCTCGAGGTACTCACATATTGACCACTAACGGCATTAAACTCCGGCGCATCGCTCTCAAAGTCTGCCTGAGGCTCTTGTTGACCAATGTCTTCCACCTGCGCTTCCTCACCTTCTTCGAGATCTTTCAAGACTTGCTTAAACTCTACAACCCATTCGCCTGTCCATGTAACCTCTGGATTCAGTGCCATAGTAAGCTCATATGGAGTGATGATTGGTTTCAGAAACTCATTGAATTGATCCAAAATTATGCCGCTTTGACCACAACCCAAAATACACCATACGTCGATGGGCTCAAAATTTGCCAACTTTGCAACATTTGGTTTACCGACGACAAACATGTAATGCTTCTTGCCATTGTCCTTTATAAGTTTGGCAAGGCGGCGTATGGTCTCTTTGGTGTTTCTTAGCGATAAGGTGTTGACTAAAATGCCTATCGTACCGGCGGTTCTAGCCACATGCATGAACTTATAACGCCGCATCATTGATGGAAATGGACCTTGCGACAAAGTATCTTGGCTGGGTTCGTATATCGTTAATGATTTGAATTTGGTGGTCAAAAACAGTAGCCTAGGGGCATCTGGTTGCGTAACGTGAAACAAGCTGTAGTCGCTTTGAAGATCTTCACTGGTTACATTTGCTTCCTCACCACAGTGTAACAAAAGTCTATTTTCTAGCGTGAAAGCAACATTATATGCTGTTTGGCGAGGGCGTCCCACAAAGAAAGCCGAAGGACCTGCAAAGTCAAGGTTGAGGTCAGAGTATAAAATGTTTTGGTAGCCCAACGACTTCAGCTTTTCGTATAGGGTTGCCAAGTGGTGTGTGTAAGGTGCATTGGCCATAAGGACTACTTTTTCGTTTGTGTCACCAAAAGACTGTTGAAATCTAGCAGTTATGTCGTCGAGATTCAGATGGGGTTTTCCGAAACAGTATAAGACGGGCAGTTTTTGAATGGCGTTCAAACATGCATCTCCAAAGTGAATCACTAGGTCACCATTTACATGTTCAGACGCTACCTCGTCTACGCAGCATGCACTATAAGCAGTATCTGCCAATATCCAAATTTGTCTGCCGCCCAGGTCAGAACTGGCGATCTTTTGGCAACAGCCAGACCCCAAATTGTTCTCACAAACAGTCTTTGAGTACCCTTCTTCGTTCCTACCTGTACAACTTACGATTTGATCCTGTATCATTTGAGCAACGAGTGCTGAATCTTGGACTAATGAATCTGGAAATTGTAATGTGATTTTGCGGTACTCCATGTTTTCATTGAGAAACTGTACTATTTCATCAACCATATAGTGCTCTTTAATGAGTACTAGCAGTTCGTCACGGCTACCAGCTTCACGCCCTAAATAGCCATATCTGTCTCTTTTAATGTCACTAAATCGACCAAGATCAAAGGATTCCTCACCTTGTATTGTTGATAAGGCAGGAGGAACTACCGACTCGTCTGTCATTCCTTCAAAAATCGACAGATGATATTAGTTGATGCCACTAGGCTTGAGCGCTTTTTGATAGACTTGGCTGATCGAGATGCGATGAGTTAAGATCAAATATCGTCAAATAATTTTTCAGGAAAACCTAGAAAATTTAGTAAGTTAGCGCTACAATCTTAATGAACCAAAAAGACATCTTGCTGCCCGTCAACGCACTAACGCCCACTAGCTACTGTCAAAAATAAGCCAATATGACAGAAATTAACCTTGGTATTACTTGCGACATGCACGTTCATGTTAGAGATGGGGAAATGTGCGAATTGGTAACTCCCACTATCAGAGAGGGTGGTGTATCCGTGGCGTATGTTATGCCCAATTTACAGCCCCCAGTGACAACACTTGACAGAGTACTCGCATATAAAAAGAAGCTACAGGAACTTGCGCCTCAAACAACATTTTTAATGAGTTTCTATCTTTCCACTGAATTGAGTCCTGAATTAATTCACAAGGCGGCAGCCCAAAACGCTATCCAAGGAGTCAAGTGCTACCCAGCAGGTGTCACTACTAATTCAGCTGCAGGTGTAGACCCTAACGACTTCAGCGGATTTTACCCGATTTTCAAGGCTATGGAGGAAGAGAACTTGGTTCTTAACTTACACGGCGAAAAACCTTCCGTGGGAGAAGAGGGAAATGACATCCATGTTTTGAACGCGGAAGAATCCTTCTTGCCAGCCCTGGAAAAGCTACATCACGATTTCCCCAATCTTAAAATCATTTTAGAGCACTGTACTACAGAAGCTGCGATTAATACTGTTAAAGAGATTAATAAGAACGTTATTGATTCCTCTGACATCAAAGTAGCTGCAACAATTACCGCTCACCACCTCTTTCTGACAATTGACGATTGGGCCGGAAATCCTATCAATTTTTGCAAGCCAGTGGCCAAGTTACCCAGCGACAAGAGAGCTTTGATTGCTGCTGCTGTTTCTGGTGCACCTTACTTCTTTTTTGGTTCAGACTCTGCACCTCACCCACTGAGCAGCAAAGCCAAACACATAGGCGTATGTGCCGGCGTTTATACCCAGTCTTTGGCCATCTCTTACCTAGCGGAGATCTTCGACGCTCAAAATGCGCTCAACAAATTGAGAGCATTCGTTTCTGACTTCGGTATAGCTTTTTATGGCGTCTCAAAAACTGATATCAGAAGTTTGGATGAGGTTATGATCTACCAAAAAGAACAAATTGTGCCCGAACATATTACCAATGATCAAGGAATCGTGGTCGCTCCTTTCATGCCTGGCGCCAAGCTGAAATGGTCCGTTAAATGGTCCAAGTCAAATTAGACTGATTAAGGTAAGTGGGCAATTAATGATGTTACCATTGTAAATATACAGATTTTGTGTTAATGCTAAAGGATGCTGTTCTTCACAGAAAACAAGCATGATCAATTGGTGTCATCCTCTTGGTCGTGCTGATCTTGATGATCTTTTTGATGATCTTTTTGGTAATCATTCTTGCCCTTGCTTCTAGCTCCCTTGATGAAGCCTAAAACTCCATCCCCGGAAAAGTCGTAGCCGAACCCACTGGAAATCGTGAGTGACGCCTCAAAGCCTTCCAACAAAGTCCTCGATAAAGTGTCCGTTGCTTGATAGAAGTAAGGGCCGCGTAAGCACTCAATAAGGGTGGCCTTATTACGGGGCTGGTCTTCAGGCAAGTGCTCCAGCAGACGAAGTAACTGGGGCGATTGAGGGTCCAAAGATTGCACATGGTCGATGATGAGTTGTTTGGTTAAAAAATCATTGATATGTGCGACAGGTCTGATTAAATTAGTATTCGCGAGTACCACAAGAAGCCTTGACAAATGCAAAAAATGCGTACCTACTTACTGATTTGAAGTTTGAGCGGCGTCCATCTCAACGTCTTTATCCTGGTCCTGATCCTGTCCTTCCATATCGTGGTCTTTGTTTGCCTCGCTCTCTTCGTCGTCAGCCTCGGAGCTTAGTATTTCTTCAAACTTTTCGACCATCTTCTTGTCAACATCAGAGAGATCATTGAGCTGTTCTGAGCCTTGATGTTTATCTTGAAGCCAGAAGAAGTACTTCTCATCCGACGAAAACAGCAAACAGAAAACCCGGCCATTTTTAGACGATTTGATATGAATCCACTTCGTCGTGTCTGGAATTAGAATCAGTTCAATCGTTTCAACGTTGCCAGAGGCTACTTTCTCAATTGGTTTCCATTCGAAATCGTAAAACCCTTCAGCTTCCTCAGAATGTTTTACCACGATTTCTCCTTTAATGGGAACGGGAGAGCAAATCTTAGAAGTCTCATCGAAATCAGCAACACCTGCTCTGAATTTGAGTATCTCGGACATCTTACACAGCGATTATTTGAGGGATGCTGTCTGCTGTTATGTTTGCCACCGAACACCTTTTTGAAGTTCAAAAACTAGATTTCGATATGCCAAGATGGTAGAAAGTGATGAGTAAAGAACTATCATTGCAAGTCGAAACATCAGCGCGGAAAAGAAGCGCACATGTGCAACGTCGTATGAAACATCTCTACAATTGTTGCGCACGGTGTACCTGCTCTCAATACTCGGTCAACGATAGGTAATAACTGTTAAATCATCAGTGATGTTAGTGTCAAGCTATTACGACATAACAGTACAAAGTGATATGTAAGAAAAGATTGCTAAGTGATACCCAAGGTCAATGAACAAAGATTTACCAAGTGGTCTGGATTTTACTGATTAATCGGAAAGAGATAAACTGCTCTCCACCCGTTTCTTATTCTCATTTCTCATCTACATCTCCGGATGCGCTAAATACCATTGATTTGTTTCGCGAAAAAGACGCTGGCCTTATCTTGGAAAAGTTTGCGGAGTAATTACCACCTTCATCTACGATTCAGTCCAACGCAATCAATTGTTGAAGAACTTAACAAAAAACGATAATCTAGCTTTTTGTCGCAAAATAAGACTCACTGTAACAATTATAGATTCTAAGTGCACATCATCCAACAATTAAGATCTCTGACACATACAGCGCCATAACGAAACATAGCTCGAATTCTCTTGCTTCCGCAATGATCTGAAGTTTGGACACATTTCCCACATCACCATAGACGTTTGTATACATTTTCTACATCAGAATTCAAAACTCATCACACTCTTTAATAAGTGTTACCTTATCCCAGGCAACAATGACGGCCGAGTTTCCACCTGCCGAGGCTTGCCGCATCGTGGAACGCATTTCTAAAATTCTTATTGCGCGCAGCGAGACCATAGCAGTCAGTGAGGCCGCGTGCGGAGGGCTTTTATCTAGCTATTTAGTTTCGGTCCCTGGTGCGTCACAATGGTTTCATGGCGGTACCATGGTTTACAGTCTTAAAAGCCGGCTCAAGCTGAGTGGCTGGAACGAACAAGACATCCACGACTATACTGGGCCCAGTGTCGATGTGGCTCTGCGTTTAGCACGTAACCTCAAGTTCGAGCTAGGCGCTACTTACACCTTGTCTGAGACCGGATACGCGTCACGTTCCCCGAACTTGAAACCACCGAACGAGGAACAGTCTGTCGGTGTAGTGTGCTACGGGGTTTCCGGTCCAACTGAAGACATTTCTGCTACCCACAATACTGACAGCGAGGATCGATGTTATAATATGCAACAATTTGCTATTCACGGTCTCATGTTTCTGCTCCAGCAGCTTGAAAAATCGCTGGAAGAGGAGACTTTGGAATCAGAGCCCAACCCCAAGAGGCTCAAACCTAACACAAAATAAACGTTCATTACCGAGATACGTTCCTCTCTGTCGAGCACTATCGCATTATGTTATCGAGGCCGTTATACCCTGCGTCCAACGTACACAATGACAAGGACGGTTCTTAAGTTTTTCGTCTCGACGGTCATTTGGTAAAAACGCATCGAAGCATTTCTGGTTGGTATAATATTAAGTGTTCAATCTGTTCCCAATCAAAAAATTTGGCTAGAGAAGGTATCGGTCCTTTCCTTCAGTCTAGTCATTTGCTCCCTTGGACAGCTCAAGGAAGAGAAGTTTGTGGATCACTATGTCGTCGTCGCCAAGATACAAATGGGTCGCCACAGACCGGTTAATTCATGGGAGAATCGTGAACAAGTTTTTACCTCTGAAGAGACACCCTCAGCTAGGACTTGAAAACACCAACTACTCGAACCTGTATCCCGGAGACGAAGTTTACGTGTTTGAAGAAACCACAGATGGACGCTGGTACAGAGGGTACACGTGCTGGCAACCTTTGCCGGAAGACTTCATCAGCCGTCTGAGCTCGTATTCCGAGAAACTGCCCGAACAAAAATTCAAAGTGGTTGTTTTTCCGCAGAAGTTTGCGCATCTGAATCGTGATGAGCAGGTTACCGATCTGCCCTTTCTAGCAGCCCCTGAGAAGAGCCAATTCACGTCCCCCAATACCAATCCAGAGCTTTCCACGATGTTCGACCTGACCAATAGCTGGTCCAAAAACGACATCTTGGAGCTGAACGGCTCTACCACAACTAAGATCAGTCGTCCGCCATTCCCTTATTTCCGTCTTCAAGACTACGACGTCATCCAGGAACTTACCCCCATGCTCTCGCAGCTTGTGTCCCATGTCTACTCCATGTATTCGTTTGGAGAGTTTGAGGTTGCAGTCAGCATGTCTGAGCTTTACTATAAACTCGACGATATCCGGCTGAGATTGCAATACAAACTCACTACTAGGATAGAATATGAACAACTCGTCAAAGACATGTGTTCCATGTCGTACAAGATCGCCAAGTTCATTTCATCAAAACACCTATCCTCTTCAAACCCACAGGTGGAAACGTCAAGTGTTGTTGATTCGTCCGGGTACGGTAGTGTTTTATGTCGAGACATGTACACGGGAAAACTTTATAAGTATGGTGAGACGGATCCTCAACTTCTTGCCACGATGAGTATGCTCACCGCTTTGAGTAACAATTTCCCGAGTGCTAATGTGTATCAACTAAAGCTTCTTCCACTTGAGAACAAGAATTACGATTCTGTCGACTCCACGAGTGTTCTAGTAGACTTCAAAGATGCATTAAGTGACCCTACGGTAAACCCAAACTTTCAAAATCTTTCAGCGATGATGTTTTTGAGAGCCGGTAAAAATACACTCACTGAACCTTTCATCTTGAATATGGATCGTGACGATGTTGTTTCGATGGACAACATCTCTGCTGCACTCTTCAACAATATCCCTCCCAGTGAAATTGATAATAATAAAGTGTATCTGGTAGTGGTATTAACAGAAACTATAAAAGTTCAGCTTATGGCTCCAGAACCTGGTAAAAATTTTAGGAAACCTTTCATTCCTTTCTTGACTGGCAGCGAAAACAGACTTTCTCACGTCAAAAAGGGGTTAGCTGCTGGTGTCATCGATATATCAAGACTTTTCACACGTAAGAAAAAGCATAAATTACCAGGAAACTCTCATCAGTTCAATGTTGAGCTATTTGGCTCGTACTTTCCTACAAGACGGAAAGATAATTACAATCCACAATCGATGGTTAATGTTGCTGCTGCACAGAATGCCGCAGCCTTAGCGAGAAGTGCAAAAAGCGATGAGAACAATGGTTGGGGTGAACTGGTTGACAGAATTATTGCAGACGCTAATAAAGGTATCGCCGTGAATCCAAGAATTTTATCTCTGGCAGTAACTGTTAGAGAGATTACAGGCGACCATGGGTTCTCTAGTGTTCTCAAGAACAATATGTCAGCTATTCAAAGCATCCCAACTTGCTCATATGACACTCTCTCGAATCCAGACGACAGGATTTACTTGACTTTGGGAAGGACCTCGATTTGTGGCTTCAAGACGCCGGACACTAATATTTCAAGCGTTGCCATTCAGATCTCGTCTAGTAATCCTAAAGTTACCTTCAGAAGTGGTATAAACGATGTTCCACGGAAACACTGGATGTTCGTATCGGTTAAACCCGATGAGGTTATTGGAGAAACAATCAGAATCGATGGGCTGGAAGAAATGCAAAATGATGAAACTTTAAGAATATCCGCTTACCTCAATGGTTTCCTAATGGCGAAGTCAAAGTTTTACATCAAGAGAAATGACAAGATAATTCAGTATGCGAAAAAGTCCGTTTTTCAATTGATGTCCACCACTAGCGAGCCTTTGGTTGATTTGGAGATTACAACGGAATACGTCGGCAAGAAGCTTAATGTGGAGCCAGCTGTTCGCAATTTCCTTCATTTCTCATATGATTTCAAAAAGTCCTACTATGATTTTGAGAAGGAATGTTTACAGCTCCTGGCTGATATAAAGGCAACGCCTGTCAAAGAGCTCATCAAAACTTTTGACGCCTTACTCACAAAATTTTTGGATGTTTTCTACGTTGCGAACGTTCTTGAAGGACAGAGATCTTCCGATGAATTCAAAAAAGCATCATTCACCTCTCTAGCCTACTTTTTGGATATGGTCATTGCTCGTCAAGACAATTATAGACACCTGTTCAATGATTTTCTCCAATCCTTCTCTGCACGAAAGTCAGAGCTTCCAGAAGTTGGCGCAAACTTAGTTCTTTTTGCCTCTAAGTTCTTCCGCAACTCTCATGAAGTGTGGGATTACGACGGTAGAGCTTTGTGCCGCGTCTCAGTCTACCTATTCAAACTAGCTGTGCTTCTTTCGAGCCCTCGTGAAAATGACCTACAAAAAGCACTTATCGAATATTTCGAAGGAATATCGTCGTTCTTCCGGTTGAGAAAGGAATCGTCACTAGTGGATCAAGTTCTGATTCTTGACGCTTTTGACGCATGGATTTTAGTGTTGTCTTCACATTGTGAAGCCAAAATCCTTGTCGACGCTTCCATTGGATTGTTTCAAGCATGTCACGACAAAGAGCGCGCCAACGGTATTTATAGGAGGGCTTTGACAGTGAGAGAACAGAAATTCATTTCTGCCAAATACCTAGTTATGCGCCGCTTGATTGACGTTGACACTATAAGAAACAAGTTGCTAAACCCTGAACAAGACGGGCTTTATCAACAAGAATTTATCGCGAAAGTAATAGAATGGTCTTTTGAACCATTTCTGAACTACAGTGGTGAAAACTTGCACTTGACCACCATCAGACTGGCTAACGGTGTTCTGCTCAGCGTTATTCGTCATGCGTCGACAACTGTGAAAAGAAATTTGATTAGACTGGTTCCAACGATTTGCAGGTTCTTTATTTTGGTCAGAAAGTACTGCAAGGAGAAAGAATACTTCAAATATAGAAGAACTTTTTCAAAGCTTTTCCCCATCACTTATCCCTTCGACGAGATTACGGTTGATTCTATTGTACAAGAAGAAATGGTCGTTGAAGTTTTGATTGAACTGGGGACTTTAATAGCCGCTATCACCGAGATGGCCGAGCTGAATTTCAAGGACTCATTATCCTTTATGAAAATAACCGAATTGTGTTCAGAGGACGCGGCTTTCAATTCTGTGTTTTACATCACACAGTTTGCAAGAGAGGATCTTTTAACAATTGTGCACACAGTAAAACTTCTGATGAAGGGCAAATTTTTCCCAAACAAAAAATGGCTCTCCTTGAGTGAGCTATATATCAGAAGTTCTATTTGTCTGTTCAAGCTATGTCAAGAAATTCTTATAAAATACAAAATTCCTGTGGTTGGCTCCGATGAACCCTTGGACATCAAATTGTGGAGTGAGTGGATAAAAATATTGATATCACTTGGAAACCATATTCCCTCGAACCCGACACTACTTGCCGAGCTTCCTAGAAAGGCCCTTTACTTGATTGGCGGCAATTTTAGACGCGAAGTATCGAAAGTATTGGAAGAATGCTGGGACGCACTAGGGCAGGATACTTCTAGGACTAAAATTAGGGAGAATTACGGCATTACTAGGGCTAATGGTTATCAAAACTATCTGGTACGTGCTGACAAAACTTTCGTTAGAGAGATTATGGATTTTACGTTTCAACGTCATACCGACGCTCGCAGGGTCGGCGCAAAAATTATTTGGGGTACAACAGCCAACTGCTGGTTTGCTTTTGGAAATTTGGAGCCAGTTATGCTACAAACCACATCAGAGCTCTGTTTCGCCCACCAATCTGGTAAATTTATTCCCACCCTACATGAATCAGAGAACTATGTGAAGGCGCTTCTCTACACTATACGCTTAAAGAAGGATGACCCAATGTTCGATTCTATTGTAAAGGTTTTAAAACTAGCTCGCGATTTGCTGACTGTTTTGACTGAATCTAGCGAGATTCCGGACGACAAAGAATTTGATGATGACAGAACAGCTCACCAGATAACCATTTTTGGATATTTGCTGGAGGTAAAGAAACCAGACGAGCTTCACAAGCTTGTCAACGACCTTTTCCTCTACAATGTAAAGAAGAAAGACAGTGTTCAAGCTGCTCTGAGTTTAGAGTTATTAGCAAGAACGTACAATTGGGATCCCAATGACAATCTCCTCCCTGTCGGCTTCCCCGCTTTGCCCGAACAATCTTCTTTCCAAAGAAGAGAATACTTGTACAAAGAGGCTGCAAAGTATTTCCACAAAGGTTTAAAGCTTGAAAAGGCTTTGTCCATTTACAAAGAACTGGCTCAAGCCTATGAAAAGATTAACTATGATTTGGTCGGACTGTCTCAAGTCCATGGAAACATTTCAAGACTCTATGGAGATTTGCAAACGGTTGACAGATTAGTTCCCACCTATTTCAAAGTTGCGTTCGCTGGATTTGGATTTCCCACTTCCACGAGAAACAAAACCTTCATTTATGAAGGCCTTCCTTTCGAGCACATTACTTCTATGCAAACCAGACTGTTGGTATCTCATCCTGGTTCGAAGATTGTGGGCACTCAGGAAGAAGCCGAGAATTTACTAGTGAACCCTCCAATCGGTAAATTCATTCACGTTATCGCTGTTGAACCAAGAGTTGAGATATCCGACGCTTTCACAAACAAAAGCAAGAAAGAAAATGCCAACAACAAGATTCGTTTGTATATTGAGAACAGAGACTTGAACACATTCTGCACATACCGTATGCTACCGGGAGCTACCACGGCTACCGATCTGTGGGTTAAAGAATTAACTTACGAGACTATATCAACCTTCCCAACATTGATGAATAGAGCCGAGGTCACGAATACAAGCACAAAAACTCTCTCCCCTGTTGAGAATGCTATCCGGTCAATGCAGCTGAAGATACAAGATCTTACAGGGCTAGAAGACACTTCTTACAAGCTGCTCAAAGAAAATGGAGATTACTCGGCCATTTTCCCAGAGCTATCGAGAAACATTAGTGGTACCATTGATTCTCCAGTTAACGGAGGTGTTTCTCAATATCGGGAATTTTTCACTCAGGCCAATGTGGAGGCTTGCGATGAAAGCCAATTGAGTCTGTTGCGCTCTACTTTCGACGAACTGGCCAACATTCTCAACAGGTGTTTGACACTACACGGTAAACTATGCCACGGCCACATGCGTAAATCGCACGAAATGTTACTGGGCTTGTTTCAGAAGAATTTTGCCGGCGAGATCGGGAGAAACAACATTGTTGTCGGCGAAGGCGACATCGAAATGATGAGCAGAATCACTTCTAATACGACTGACACTGCTAGCCAACAACCTTCGGAAGCCACTCAAGACCATGCGAGTTTGCCCAAGCCGGTCATGTCGAGCGCACAGTCCGTCAACTCTGTCGGATCCAGCACACACGGTGCTGGCTCCGAAAATGCGGATGTAGTGGCCGCTGAATCGCTTTCTCAAGCCTCAGCTGCAACAAAGCCTGCATCCAGAAGTTCGCTTCAATCTTCGAAACTGAGCATGTTTCGCAACGGGATGAACAAGAAATTTGGTAAAAATTCTAAGGCTAAGACTAAGACAAACAATTAAATTGAAGGAATTCTGGCAGCGTGATGGTCTAGCGCGCTACAAGATTCAAACTGGAATGACCACTTTGTGCATATCGTTATATTATATCTCACTTGTAAATGCTTTTATACAGAAATCTGTTCTTAGCGATCAATCACGTTTCTATCGATAGAGTAACAAGCTCTGAAAAAATTTGATATTAAGGCCTCATTTGTCACTGGGGATGTGATACAGTTGTTGTAAACTTGTGAAAGCCAACTAAAGCACCAACTCACATATTTTCCTACAATGCTTTCCTCTATGCTTCGTGGTAGCTCAGTGGCTCTAAGAACTGTTTCCGCCAGATCTTTGGCACGTCCAGTAGGCGTGTCTGCTATGATGTCTCCAATCCGCCTCTACTCGTCTAGTCTAAACAAAGACGAAATTAGCACCAGAATCATCGACGTTGTGAAGGCATTTGACAAAACCACCGCTAGTGCACAGGTGACCAACGAAACTCACTTTGCTAAAGATTTGGGGCTTGATTCCCTTGACACAGTGGAGTTGTTGGTGGCCATCGAAGAAGAGTTCGACATCGAAATTCCCGACAAAGTCGCTGATGAGATCAAGAGTGTTGGTGAAGCCGTCAAGTACATCGAAACCAACCCCGAGGCCAATTAGAAAGGTTTTGAAACCTCTACATGAGGATCAATGTTGATGACCCTGTTTCGGCACGGAGACTATCATTATTCCTCTTACTATTATCCAAACTGACCCTTCCCCAAGTGGCACTGCAGTTCACCATCTTGTATATGTTACTAGTCAAGACCAATGCCGAGCTGCGATCTTACAAGCGCCTGGTGTTGAATATTCTTACGAAATAAATTGATTTAAAAAAAAACCGGTTTGATTGCCACAGATTCTCACGTTACGTGAGGTGACATTGATTAAGAGCACCTCTTGTCAAGTCAGAGGTTCACTACGCTATTGCACTCTTCAAATATAGGTTTTCCCAACTTCTCTTTTTTAGTCTCGTGCATGTTGGCTCTTATAAATATGGTTTTCTGGAAAATCAACTACCCTTTATATAACAACGATAAAGTCAAGTCAATCACTTTCCTGACGCAACGATGACTAGCGATTCTGACCTCAAAACCAATACTATTTCGTCCACTGAAGGCACAAATGATTTAGAAGGCCCTGAAATAATCCCCGATCTCAATACTGAGTACATTAGTGCTGATGTCGATTTAACTGAGGACCTACCAGAAGAGACAGAAGCGATTGATTTGGTACATTTGAGGATCCGTTCAATGGAAGATCTCGAACTGCAAAGATTCAAGCAGTTGAAAAGCCTCTGTCTGAGACAAAATTTGATCGAGAGTATGAGCGAGGTGGACGTATTGCCTGTGGAAACCATGGAAGACATCGACCTCTACGACAACAAAATAAAGCACATCTCGAACAACATTAATAAGCTGGTGAACTTGAAGAGCCTCGATCTGTCTTTCAACAAAATAAAGCACATTAAGAATCTAGAAAATCTCACAAATTTGGAAAACCTGTATTTTGTGCAGAACAAGATCGAACAGGTGGAAAATCTTGAAACCTTAAAATCATTGAAGAATTTAGAACTGGGTGGCAACAAAATACAAGAGATCGGATCAGAGTTTTTCAAGGGCATGGAAAATTTGCAAGAAATCTGGCTCGGCAAGAACAATATTCCTAAACTGCTTAACTTGCACCATTTACAGAGCCTGCGCATTCTATCTATACAATCAAATCGCTTGACAAAAATTGAGGGTCTAGAGGAGCTCTTGAATCTGGAAGAATTGTATCTGTCGCACAATTTCATTAAAAAGATCGAAGGGCTAGAGAAAAATACCAAACTGACCACGTTAGATATCACCTCGAACAAAATCACTAAAGTGGAAAATCTGAAACACCTCACGAATCTCACAGACCTATGGCTTTCTTTTAACCAAGTTGATCAATCATTTGAGTCCCTCGGAGACGAACTCCGCGACCTCCAAGAATTTGAAACGATATACCTTGAAGGCAATCCTATACAAACCAACGCAGGTACTGGATACAGAAGAAAATTGGTTCTGAACCTGGGCCCTGGTCTTCAAAAGATCGATGCCACGTACATCCGCGGATGATCCATACTTTCAAGTCCACGAGGCCCAGCAGTATGGCGTTTCACGTGAGACTTTCGAAGGGCGATATATAGCCACTGATAACGAGTAGGTAAGCTCATCATAGAGTCAAGATAGCATAACATAGTTCTAATTGTAATTCAAGTAAGGCGTAGCATAGCTTTTGGCGATCAAGATGGCCACAGAGGTATTGAAACCAACAATAATCGGCTCTTTAGCTTGTCAAAAGAATTCTTTTGTCAAGAACGATTTCCAAACCGTAGTCTTGAGATGCGAACCAACCCAAAAGACTACTCTTTACGAGGTAGAACTTCAGGACACAATTTTATTTCCTGAAGGAGGGGGGCAACCTGGTGACACCGGTTTCATTTTGCCAGCTGGATCTGTTGAAGAGATTATAGTGTCGCAAGTCGCTCGAAAAGGTCTGCATGCGGTGCACTATGTGAACAAGTTTATAGAACCTGGTTCCAAGGTGGAGCTTCAGGTCAATTGGACACAACGATTGGATTATATGCAGCAGCACACCGGCCAGCATCTTTTGAGCGCTATCCTGGAGAACGAATGGCAGCTGGATACGCTATCGTGGTCCATGGGAGGAACTCCAAGTGACAAAAAGCCCAATGTGGAGCCCAGCGATCTGTTCAACTACGTTGAAATTGGCCGGAACCTCAGCGACGAGGAAATCATTGAGCTCTCGGACTTGTGTAACGAATACATTACTACTAAGGCACAAGCAATAGAGGTGGATCAGCAAGGCTCGGAAGACTGCGATTCCGAAAAGGGTGTCATGAGGACCGTGCGCATTGGAGAATTAGATGCGAACCCTTGTTGCGGAACACATTTACAGAGCACCTCCCAAATAGGTTCCATTCTGATCTCACCTTTCCAAAACAAGGTGCGGGGAAAAAACTCGAAACTCTACTTCATGTGTGGTTCTAGGGTACTCAAATATGCCCGGTTCTCTCACTCGATTACAAGCCGTGCCAAGACTCTGCTGTCTTGCACTGAAGCCGAAGTTCCTCAAAAGATCGAATTTCAGCGTATCGCTTCACAAAAGATCTCTAAGCGGGAACAGTATTGGGTGAAAGAATTTGCCAGCTCTAACCTGGTCTCAATTATACAAGCAGTGGAGCTACGCAAGAAAGGTCATCTTGCAGTGGACGAATTTGGCACTTTGGATGTGCTTGCCCATATTCAAAAGGGCTTAAATTTGGAGATTGAGAAACGCCAAATTCAAGATTATAATATAGTGCTTTGTGGTCGTGAAAAGGCCACCAATTCCGGTGCTATTCTCATCCTGTCCAACTCTGGCACCGAAATTGTTTCTACAGCATCTGAAATAAGCGGCCTTGTTCAAAAGTTGAAAGGTGGTGGTGGGAAGAACGGTGGGAAATGGCAGGGAAAAGTCATTGAGTATGGTGAATTAGAGTGGGATCTAATGGTCCAGTTCTTGTCAGAGAGTTTTTGATGGGACACTGGCGCCAGCACATTTTGTACGGAAATATAGAGAATACTCAAATTGAAGACCCTCCTACTTTCAAACGAATTTACGTTTCTCGAGAGACGTATGTGATAGTCTTGACATTGATTGTAAATCATCAAATGCTTGGACCCAAGAGAACCTTTGCCTGGCGCTTGCTTCATACAACCTCAAGATTAAGATACTGTGCCAGTTGTCGCGTAGAAACAGTCGCCAGTGTATCTCACGAGGTATCCGCTAAGCAGCAATTGTTTATAACGGATCCCATTTCACCTGGATCCATATTCTTTCTTCCGAATGGTGTCAAAATATTCAACAAATTGGTGAAATTTATGAAACTTCAGCAACAGAACAAGTATGGATTTCAAGAGGTCATGACCCCGCTGATATATCGAAAGTCGCTGTGGGAACAATCGGGCCACTGGGAAAATTACAAAGAGGACATGTTTCGCGTGGAGGGCCAGGACCTTGATAAAGAAGAGTATGGTTTAAAACCCATGAACTGCCCTGGTCATTGTGTGGTGTTCAAAAGATTTGCCAGATCTTACAGCGAGCTTCCATTGCGATTTTCTGATTTCTCTGCGCTACACCGTAACGAGGCTTCTGGTGCTTTGACGGGACTAACGAGAGTTCGAAAGTTTCATCAAGACGATGGCCATATTTTCTGCACTCCGGATCAAGTAGAATCAGAGATAACGAAATCATTAGAATTGGTAGACTTATGCTACTCCAAGATTTTTCTCCTTGGGCCAAACAATTCACCTACTCAGTACTCATTACGCCTTTCTACAAGACCAGAACATTATATCGGTGACTCCAAGGTGTGGGATTTAGCGGAGGACGTTCTTCGTGGAATTTTAGAAAAATCTAATAAGGAGTGGGCAGTGAATGAAGGTGATGGAGCTTTTTATGGCCCCAAGATTGATGTCCTGTTGAAAGATCACAACGGAAAAAGCCATCAAGTGGCAACTATTCAGTTGGATTTTAATTTGCCTGAGAGATTTGACCTTAAATTTAAAGATAAGGATAACACATATAAGAGGCCAATAATGATTCATAGGGCAGTATTTGGTTCATTGGAACGTTTTATGGCTATGCTTATAGACTCGAATGGAGGCAAATGGCCGTTCTGGTTGAACCCGCATCAATGCATGGTGATTCCACTTAAAACTAATAACAAAGAAATGGTAGAGAAAGCAAAGGAGATAACAAAGATACTAAGGGGCGAGAACGTACCTATTGATCAGCCCGTGAAAATGAATACGCTTCATTTCAACGTAGACATCGATGACCGTGCCGAGCCTGTCGGCTACAGAATCAAAGATGCAATTATGAGAAAGTACTCTTATCTCATAATGGTTGGAGCCAAAGAAATTGAAACAGGCAAGTTTGCGGTAAGGACTCAAGATTCTAGGGAATTGAGTCATCTAACAGTCGACGAAATTTTTAGCACTTTTGCGGAACTTGAACAAAATTACATGTAGACCTTCAGTAGTATTCCTCAGGACATAGTGTTGAAGCCTGTTACCATTCAAATTTTTCTGACACTGGAGTCCAGTGAATATAGAGGGGATAAATTACCAATCTCGTGAGGCCAAATTGTTTCTGGGAGGAAGTCTCCATTTTCTAAAAGAAACATTTGTCGCTCTCGTATATCAGCTGAATTTAGTTGCGCAAGCTGATCCTCACAACTTTTGATAACCTGTGACATCTTGGCCGCCACTTCCCGTCGTCTCTCTACTTCTGAAAGCAAATTATAATAGCTCTTTTCGAAGTTAGCGTAGAAGTCGAGAAGTTCTCTTGTCTGCCGTATACTGTTCATGCAAGAGATTTTGAACTTTCTTATGAGCTTAGAGATGCCTTCAAAAACCAAAATATATTCCTCGTGTTTTCTTAATTCATTCATCATTTTCATAACAGCTGCTTCCATATCAGCTTTTTCTCCTTCTTTCTTATCGAGAAGTGCATTTCCGTCATCTGTAAATCTTGCGACGTCACTAGCAGCTTCTTTTAATGCGGAGTCAATAGCAGGCAAATCCTTGTCATCGCGCTCGACAATTTCGTAAAGTGATTTACTATCAACCGGTGCCAGCGACCTTGATAGCAAGATACCACACTTGTCAAAATGATCAGTGAAGGACTTGAGGAAATCTGCAAGTTCTTGCTCCAGCTGATCTGCTTCGGCGGTAGACTGTTCGTCCAGCTTCACATTTTCTTCACATTGATCACTGAACTTCCTGTCAAATTCCTGATTCACTCGTGTTAGTCGGGTGCCAACCACTTGGCTCTGGACTTTGCTCAACATGTGCTGGTATTGTTTTGTGATATTTTCAACCTGTTTCTTAATTACGGGTACCTCAGTAAGCTTTTCACCTAATGCATGTGGGGTATCTCGGGAAATAAAGTCACCTAGATGAGTATCTCGTTGTTGCTCAAGAACGTTTTTGATGTTGTCTAGCCTTTCAACTGTCTTCTGGATTTCCTTTTGCCAATGTTCCATTTCATTCACTAAATCAACCAGTACTACGGAGCGCCACTCCTTTTCAATGAGGCTTTCCCCAATTCCCCTTTTCAGCAGTATGGTAGTCAAGAAATCAGTCTGTTCTGAGATACACTCCAAAACAAATTGTAACTTAGATCTGTACTTTTGCCATTCCTGTATCCGAACTTTAAGTAACAATAGCCGATTATTCGACTCATGACATATTGATTGAGCTTGGGTCAGAAATCTACGAGACTTCTCGACAACTCTCTCGATGTTGGTGTCACTCATAGTAAAGCCATCAGACGCTTTGGTAAGAATTGGAAAATGCTATTTTTATGAATTGACAAAGCCTGTGATTAAATTCTTATTGTTATATTTATTACTTCAATTCATTGAATATTGAAATAGAGAAGAGATGGCGCGATGAATAACATGCAGCGCTCATCTATGATATTCCAAGATCCCCGAAGCGATTCTCGAGATTCAACTGATAAACATGATGCATCAACCGGTTCATCGACTGATGCAGCAGGGGATGTGCTTTCGAAACCAATTATGAATAGATACGGTATTGGTGCTAAGCTTCTCTCCAAGATGGGCTACAAACAAGGACAAGGTCTAGGTAAGAATAATGAAGGTATAACTGCCCCAATAAAAACTCAAGAAAGACCCCAAGGTGTGGGATTGGGCATGCCAGGCATGATGACTGCAAAGAGTGAGATAGAGGATTATGATTATGAAAGCTCTGATGAGGATCCCGCGACTGCAGCCTCTACTGGAGTTCAATTCACTAGTAGTAAAACTCTAAACGTCGATGTTGCTAATTTAAACGGCTTGAGGACACTGGGACATCTAAAACTGGCGGCTAAGCTTGAAGATACCATTAACGCAGATCTAATATCATATACTCGCAAACTCGAGATTGGGCGTGCCGTGAACGAGATAGTAAACATTGGTGACAGGGTTGATCGTCTACGGCTTAGACTATCAACTTTAGACACTGAGATCGAGAGTTACTCCAGCGAAGAATTGCAAGTATTGCAACTGGAGCAAATTATAACCAAGCCCGTGCCTATTATCGAAAAAATTAATCTAGCAATGGCTCTAGACAATAGTGAGCTCACAGATAAGCTGGTGGCTTATTTGCTGCAATGTGAATTAAAGAAATACTACGAATCGTGGGACCCGCTCGACTTTGATAGTACTGTCGTAACAATGCTCAATTCGATTGTCGATCTGTTGTCTTACCAAATGGAAAGTATGCAGCCTAAACTCAACAGAGTACAAACGGTGCTATATCGCTTTGTTTTCGAGAAATTGAGACCAACCTGTGAAAGTTTCGAAGTTTCGGAAGAACAGGTCAGCAACATGCTGCTTATTCTTTTGAACTACGAAAGAGTGTTTGATTTTATTAATTGCACCTTTTATATTCTTGAGGCTTACATCATACCTGCTTTGCGCCGTGCTATCGAAAAATGGGAGGTTTGCCAAGACTCCATATCATCCCCGGCTCGCTGGTTCTTTGACTTTGCCGTCTTTTTGAAAGATAATACATACAGTGCACTGGAGGATGAAATTAAAGCTCGATTTAGTAGTTACTGTGAAAACTGGTATCATCGAGAGACACCAATTATGTCCACCGACCTTCGATTTTTGAGAAAAGCACTTTCATCTACAACGTTTGACTTGATAGTCTTCGACAAATTTTTGCCTAGGTTTGTCAATCAAGTATGGAATCGCTATTTTGATCCTCTTTTGAGCTTAGAAGAACCAGGCGACGACTCTTTGGATTACTTTTTTACCAAGTTTCACGAGTGCGAACCATTTTTTTCAAAAGATTGCCTTGAGGTCTTTACAAGGGCGATGTTCAATGACATAAACCGTATTATTTATCAGTGGTTTTGCTTTTCGCCCCGAAATTTCCGCGGAGAATCGAAATCTTGGCTCATTTCAATCGTTAATCGTAACTTTACCCATCCAACCGATATTGATATTTGTGAGATAAAGCGTACCCTGCAGTTCTTAGAAAACCCCTCTACTGAAGCAATTCATAACGAGTCACTATCAATAGAAAAGCTACTTGGCTTGCGTGGGGAAAAGCCAGAAAACCTCAATCTCAGGTCTATTCCACTATCCAAAGTAGCAGTCTCTTTCAGAGATGTGGTTCAGGACTACTGTGATGAGCATGGCATTTTTTTCCGAAAGATCAGTAACAAAAATGTGAGCTTACCAGTAGGGCCTTCTAAGAATATTGTTGTTCCAGTTTTCGACCTTCGCTTAGGAGCAGCGGCATGTGAGGTCGCCATCAATGAAGACGTACTTTGGATGAAGGATTTGCGCTCTAATTTCAAACCCATCTTTCTATGGCAGCTCGGGAATTTCTTGCACTAACATGTTATCTTGGTTGGACAGTGCCTATTTACATGATGAACTATGAACTTTACAGCTGGATTCTTTTTAGTCAAATGAAATCTATTCGTCTTTTTCTGGTGCCTGCTCGGCCTCATTTTTGATGTTTTCCGGACTTAAACCTGTGCCGAAGTCAGCCTCTTGCTGGAGGATTGGAGTAGACTCTTCGGGGTGCATGTGTTTTGCCTCGGGAACCATTTGTGTCTGATCATTTTTAGACTCCATTTCCTGAGCGGCTTGAGCGGCGTCTTCTTCATCCTTTATTTGATCGGCATAGTGCTCTGGGTACTTTCTAAAGCAATCCTGCATGCCTTTGAACTTTTCTATGCAATCGATGCCTTTGGGTTCATCTTCAGAGTAGACAAAACAGGAAAATGCTGCTTTGAACTCTTCACCACATGGGCCCTGGGCCATCCCACCTAGACAGGGGCAATCCCAGTTTATGACACCAGTATCTGGGTCGTACGCAGCCTGAGGCTTAGATTCTCCGTCCTCAGAAGCGTCTGGTGCGAGTTTCGACGTCTCTGACGCCTTAACAGCATCCTCCGAAGGGGATTGTGCCTTCGACTGTGTCTTTTCAGACGTTTCCAGTCCGATGAGAGATCCAGAGGCCAAAAATCCAAGCAGAGTCCCAACAGTCATTGCCGTGGCGGCAGTTCTCAAATGTGTCCGCGAATTTAGCTTTAGCCCTGCCGAACTCGTGAAAAGATGCCTGGAAGGGTTCGCAAACAGCTTCATTTGAAAGGCACGACGCAAGTTTAAATTACCAGAGCGAAACATGATGAACTAAATGGTTGAGTCGTTGTTTATAGAACTTCTAATGTCAAGCGACAATCGAATGACAAAGCTTTGCTTAACCTGCTATTGCTTGCTAATCTTTTTCCTAATACCATAATTATCGTTTACAGTGATGCAGTTATGGATCAACATATACGAATTGCTACGCGATGTATTCATGTGTCACTTTGAACGCAAATGTGATACGTACACTGTGATTCAAGACAAGTTGCCTAAACGAATATATGGCATGTGATCTGTATATCGTTCTAGACGCCAATCAACTTTTGCTGGAGCGAACCCTTCTTGAGTAAACTACGCTACAAAACAATCGACTACATTGGCGATAATCAGCAAGGCCTCAAAGTCAGCAACTCAGCGCTACGTTATGAAAATTTACTATATTGGTGTTCTAAGAAACACTACTGAAAAGGCTTTGGAGCTTTGCTCGGTAAAGGACTTGTCACAGTTTGGATTCTTTGAAAGAAGCGGAGTAGCACAGTTCATGACCTTTTTCTCTGAAACGGTGGCCGCCAGAACCTCCGCTGGTCAGAGGCAAAGTATCGAGGAAGGGAACTACATCGGACACGTTTACAGTAGGTCAGAGGGTTGTTGTGGTGTGCTCATCACCGACAAGGAGTATCCAGTGAGACCAGCTTACACTTTGCTCAATAAGATTCTGGACGAGTATCTCGTCGCACATCCACCCGTGGAATGGAAAGACATAAGTGCTGCAAACGACCGCTTGATGCTCAAAGAGTTGGACATATATATCGCCAAGTACCAAGATCCTTCTCAAGCGGACTCCATCATGCGCGTACAACAAGAGCTTGATGAAACCAAAATCGTATTGCACAAGACCATCGAGTCCGTACTTCAAAGAGGCGAAAAACTGGATAATCTGGTCGACAAGTCCGAAAGTTTGTCAGCCAGTTCCCGTATGTTCTACAAGCAAGCCAAGAAGACCAATTCATGCTGTGTAATTATGTAAAGAGAAATAAGCGAACTGAGCGTGGATAACGTGTAATGAAGAACTGATCAACCACAGACTGACGTTTGTATGACCCAAAAAATTGAGCTGGATTTTAATTCAAAAAATAATCGACCTCGGTGAGGATTGAACTCACGATCTTGCGATTAACAGTCGCACGCCTTAACCAGCTTGGCCACGAAGTCGCTTGTTATGAGTGTGTTAGAAATATGCAAACATACCAGTTTGGCACTTTTGGTATGACACATAGATACATTCACAGTATGGCGTCTAACATGGCAGCTACCTTGCTTTTTGTCCCCTTCCGCTCTAGACTGCATAATTCCTCGAAGATCACTAACTTGTAAGATTTGTCGCCAGAAACTCAAACACTGGAATCGAGGCCTCTGTTTCTCTGGCAATCAAACGTAGCAGATATGCTGAAAAATAAATGACAATAGAAAATTGCCGCAATTATAGTAGAAAAGATCATTGTGGTTTCGGAATCCTCTTTTGAGAATGTTCAAATTATTCACAGCCAAGGCTATAGCTCGACCATGGTCAGGGTTGTATGAAAGATCTCGCTGTCCTAATTATATATACGTTCCGTCAACAGCTAACAGTTTGACAAGTTGATCACATGCAATCAGCGCTTTCATGTTAATAACATAATCTTCAAGTTCATGTCATACGATTGATCCATCACTCTCAATGAATTGAATACTAGGTGTGGGTCAATACGGCACCTTTAGCGCTGCGACAATGCCGGGGCCCAGCAAGTGGGATTATGAAGAATATAATCAAACGAAACCCAAGTTACCGGCTTTGCCGCCTTTAGTCACAACCCATTCAACTCCGGATCGTTCACGCAGGGAAAGAGAGAAGTCAAGATTTCCAATTGGTTGGTCTCAGGTTGACAACAATACAGCGACAGTAAACTCATCAACCAGTCCGATTTTCTCAGACTTCGGAGCTACTTCGCCGCAATCAGCATCCAGTAACAGGAGTAAAAGGCGACCTCCACCTCCCATTCCAGCTGCAAGTGTATCTGCCGGCGACTTGACATTTCCTGCTAGTTACACAAGCCCTTCCTCTCTAAGCACGACAAAGACGCCGGTAACTTCGCCTACTTACAAGTCACCGTTTGTCGGCGAAGAAGAACTAGTAAGTCTTCCGTCGGTTACAAACACCCCTACAAAATGGTTTAAGTCGCCATTTGTCGGTGATTCGAGTGTTTTAGTGGCAGGCAGTTATACCCGCGAGAAAACCAAATGGGTTACTGATGTAAATGACTTTCCCAAAGCCTATAATCAAAATGACGATTACAACATCGACATGATGAACAGCCTTAAAGCACTGCCGTCTTTACCGATTCAGACTCATAAAAAACCAGAATTTGACGCCGGAAAGCTGCATGCTAAATATGGCTCGTCCTCGGATTGGAATCCGACTCTATCTCAGGATGACTACCTCAACAAGCCACTACGCCCCTTCACTAATGAAAGGCGGCAAGGGAATGACACCAGAGCCATTTCAGACAGTATTAGCAGTTATTACTCCAACTCCAATTATGCTTTCAACGACGAAATCGTTCAACACAATAGTTTTGACTCGATTGCGGGAAACCGGCCTCTTCAGCAGGTACCGAGTGTCACTGTACCAATGCAACCCTTTTCTATTGATCAACTAGATGAGAACAAACTTTTCCAATGTTACAGTGTGTCGTTACTTTCTGACGTTTACGAATGGCTGTTGAAAGTGTACTTTGAATGGTTTAATGAGTGTATTTTTCGAAAAATTGAATTTTATCAGATGGTCCAGCTACTTCTAGAGTTCCAGCTGCCAACTTCCTGTGATCAAGATGTAGTTGATTCCAACGTGGATAAAATCATTGAGTCTTTGGTCTATCAGGGCGCTGTGCGCTTCGAAACAGATTCGGAAGATTCCTCGAACGATGAAATTACATTCATCGTAGCAGGCCTAGTTGTTCAAGGTGTTTTTACAAATTTGCTGGCCTGTTATTCCTACGAGGAAAAGCGCTCATCGGCCGAACAACACACGCATTGTTATTGTTCAAGATGTCCTTCAAAATTTATGAAACAATCGAGACCGGTGTTAAAGCTGTCGGAAATAATAAACAAATCGGTTGGATTTTGGAGCGACTATTGGAAACTATCCCCTGATGAGCTTTCTGAAATAAACCCTCGTGAGGTCAATCGTCAGAGCTTTATTTTTGACTTGATAATCTTAGAAGAACGTTCCTTGAATTTGGCACATGCCGCTATCCAGATTTATGGAAAACGTTTTCATTCATCTTTACTGCCGAACGATTCAAACTTCAGAAAAATAGCCTTTGACCTTTTCGAGCCTATGATAAATGTCCATAAAGAGTTTTTATTAACTCCAATTTTTTGGAAATTGAAGTCGCAAGGTAAGTTTATCGATGGTGTTGGCAAAATATACTTGCAATGGTGTAATGCATCACGAGAACTCTACATTCAGTACGCGGAAGTCATGGCCACGGTGCATGAAATAATAAATTGGGAAAAAGATCATGACACAATATTTTCTCAGTGGCTGAGGCAAATTGATGATTCGCCTGAAATTTCAAGGTCTAAATTGTATCATGATGTCATCTTCTTCGGAGGTTTTTTCAAGGCTTTACAAAATATACCAGTGACTCTCAACTCGATTTTGAAAAGCACGGATCAATCAGTTGAAGATTACGAGTATTTGAAGCTTGCCATTGCAGAAGTCGAAAATCTAAATACTATCGTTGATCGTGTTCATGGTAATGCCATTGACCAGCGAAGAGTTATTCGATTCTCTCGGCAATTAATACTTAGTTCAGGATCTAATAGCAGCACAGTTGGTTATGTTAACATCAAAGACGATGGATCTCACACTTCTGCTGTTCAAGACAAATTGAACTTAAGACTCAATGAAAAATCAAGAAAGCTCATAAAATGTGGCACAGTCTTTAAAAAGAGGGATCTTTGGCTCGAAAATAGTCAAGTATATCTCGTCTTGTTGGATAACTATCTTCTAATAACAGAGGTGGTATCGAAAAGCACAGGGACAAAATTTAGGCTAACCGAAAGGCCCATTCCCATCGATTATCTCAGCTTGGAAGCAAGAGAGGATTTCAATTTGACCAAGTATACATCTGGTGGGGTAAGTTCCCCAGAACAATCTCATTTGGGTGCTAAGGAAGTTTCAGAGGGGTATATCACTCCGGTAAAAACTAGTCGGCCAAATTTGCCTAATTCCAAAAGCTTTTCCCCACAACGTTCAAAGTCAACTCAGAACATGAGCCCTATCACTCACAGTAGAAATGACTTGACCGAACATCAGGATGCATCTACGTCTTTCAAGATCAGAAATACTGCCACAAATGAATCGTTTACTTTCTCTACGCACAGTTTGGAGGAGAGGGATGATTGGGTTGCTTCTTTCGGCTCGTGTTTCAAATCACATCATGCGAATAACAACTCGAGGGTGTACGCCCTAACATGTCTAACCGATATGTTCAGTTATGAAGAGGGACAAGCGCCCACCAATTTACCTGTTGCGCATGAAGGTAGTGCCATTGCTCAAGCAATGCGCGCATATTACGGTCAAAACTCACCTACAGAACAGTCTATTGAAGTAGACATTAGATGCACTGTACGATTACCGTTTGAGGGTAGGATTTTCACTTTATGCGCTGTCAACCACGGCGTGTATATGACATTCGCAGATGACTACCACCAGTGGAAGAAAGTATTGTCATTAACTAAGATCACTCGAATGCAGGTAAACACGCGCCTTAACATACTCTTCGTTTTGGCCGACCGCAGGCTGTGTTATTTCAATATTCCTAGTATCATATGTGCTTACTACAGTATAAAGGACTATTTGCATCTTAAGCAATTAACTGGTGTACTACTTCAAGAAAAAGTAGGGTTTTTTAAGATGGCGGATGACTTTGGCAATTTACGACAATTGTTCTTTGAGAGAAAGGGAAAGATCGTGGTTCTCACACCAGAGTTCGATAGGCTAACCAAGAAGCTTAAATTTTTCAAAATATACAAGGAGTACAGATTGCCAAGTTCGACAAATGGCTTACTTTCCGCAGATATTAAGGACATTGTTGTTTTTGCCAAAAGCTTCATTGTTTGCTCCTCGAAAGGTGCCCTTCTGTTTAACGAGTCATTTAATGACGAAGGTCTTTTTTTGCCTAGTTTTCATAATGACAAGGCAGTAATGAGGCACAAACAGCACTTCCCACATCACCCCTTCAAATCTCAGAAAGAGGCTTTGTCGAAAACCAACTCTTCAAAACAAAAAATGGCTGGATACGTGAAAACCGATATAATCAATCGGAAAACGGCTTCTGTAGGGTGCTTTCAGCTGAGCGACAACGACTTTATTGTCATATATGATGAGGCAGTAGTCAGAATCAATAAAAACGCTGAGATACCGGATTGGACTTCCGACATGTTGGTGTTGGATTTTTTTTGTTTAGCAGCTAGTTTCACGGACGAATTTTTGATTTTGTTTGGCGAAAATCTGGTGCAAGTATATGATCTCAATTATGCCGGAATCATTTCAAATGACAAGTTAAGCAGGTTGACACCTGTGCAAATTATAAAAGGCAAAAAAATAAAGATGGTTAGCTCCGACCGAACAGAACCTCCCACTATGATCTTGAGTCATCCCTCGATTCCAGGAAGACAACTAGTTTTGGAATTCAATCGAGAAACGTAATTTTAGGGGGTTGAGTTCTCAGATAAGGCGTTGTTACTTACCATAGACGACGCTGGTGCGTCAAGTCAATTCTGGAAACTCAATGCGGCCCAACATTTGCTGGCCATCATTCTAAGGCAGAATTGAACACTGTCATCGGAATCGCAGGCCACGCTACCTTCTGTCATTATTTCAATACTTATTGAGCGCCGTTGCTCTCAATTCAGAGATCTGGTTAATACTTTACATGGGATGAGACTTTGGCAATTGGAGACTTGAAGGTGTATGGCGCAGTGGAATTTAATGGCGATAAGTGGTCAATTAGTTATCAAACACTTTGCAGGCACGATCAGAGCACAATAGATATCACACATCTAGTAATTTGATGGGTTTCAGGGAAAGGACAGCATCGCATTGTGTGGACGTCAATGATCAAGGTTTTTCTACGAAACGACATCTCAAAATTCATGACGGTGGCCTCGAACTTCCTACCTTCCCTTAGACTGTTTCTCGGTCAATCTGTGCAGATTACGGGATGCTAATTTGAGGATTTATGGAAAGGTGCCTTCGAAAAGACTTGGCGTGATTTACAAAATAAATGGCTTAGCAAACTCGGGGCTCATCAGCAAATCTGCGTCCATGAGATGCACCGCTGCTACTTGGGACTTAGATTTCTCTAGCAATGCATGGAGTAGTTTGCATTCGTATGAAGATATACCATTATATTGATAAATACAATGTATTTTACCGCCTAGGAAGTTATATCCAAAGACTCCGAAAAGTGAAAGATGAATATAGATCTTATCTTGGAGAGTGTTGTGCTCCCCATCATCAAGTATCCAATTTTTTTGGCTGTGACTATAAGCACGTATGTATCGCAGATATCCCATATATGACGGCTTTCACAGAGGGTTATAAAGATAGTATACTAAATCTGCATTATGTGAGACAGTTACACAAACTACAATGTCGAGATACTCTATTTACCTTTGGTAACGTTTTCGGCGCTTATAAATTTGGGAATTTGGCTTAATAAGCGATTCAAGGTGAGAGGAAAGTGGCAGGATTTGGATAGAGTGGATAGCGCGATATGCGTGGTCACAGGTGGTAGCAATGGTTTAGGACTGGCTATAGTACAAGAATTTCTGTCAAAGTTTGTCAACGTGACAGTAATTGTGGTTGACGTTGCTGTTCCCAAAGTTGTACACCCGCGTTTGGTGTTTTACCAATGCGATCTGAGCGAGCCCTCTGGCGTTGAACGCATTCTGCTTCTTCTGAGAAGGAATCACCCAAAAATTGACGTCCTCATTAACAATGCTGGAATTAGGTCTAAATATCAAAATTACCTTCTGGTGCAAAGAGAAGAGGCCGAGCGCGTTTTCCAGGTCAATGTATTTGCACCTATGCGTTTTGTTCAAGAATTAAGTCCAGCAAGCAACGATAAATCACAGTTTTACGCTGTCACTGTAGCAAGTGCTCTGGGCGTATGTGCGCCGGCACGCGCTTCGTGCTATGGTGCATCGAAAGCTGCATCCATTGCATTTCACGAGGCGTGGACTCAAGAGATAAGTTATAAAAACACCATAAGGACACTATTAGTAACACCTGGACAGATGAATACCACTATGTTTGGTGGTTTTGCCCCCCCTAAAGAGTTCTTTGCGCCCCTGGTGCATCCCGAAGCGTTGGCGCGTCAGATAGTCGAACACTGCAGGACAGGAACGAGAGGTGAGATTAGTGCCCCACTGTATGCTAATTTCATGGGTCTCATGCGTGTTCTTCCCTACGGTGTTAACTACTATGCTCGTAAGCTTTCAGGTATTGATAGCTGCCTCCCGACTGAAAGCATGCATTGAAGAGCCAAAGAGTGATTAGCACCATTTTGCTTTGCAAGCGGTCGAAATATCTTCACGTCTAAATATATTTTATGCTACGTAAACCTATAGCAATGATGCATCAATTAGCTTTTTTCACAAGTGCATCTAGCCGCTCCTCTAGCCACTTGAACAACTTGTCCGATTGCAAATAACCCGCTTCATTAAAGACTGTATTGGCCAACAATTTGGAAGTCGTCGAGCGGCCCTTACTATCATTAATAGTCACCTGGTAATCGTAGCTATATTTCTCCATTTTGGTAACCACAGAAATTGCTTTGTCCGCGGAAGAGCCGTTGTATTTGACGCCCTTTTCCACATACTTATTGAAATACCAAAACATACCCGATAGCAGCGCATACAGAGCCACTAAAATCTTTTGATAGAGTAGTGACTCTTCGAACTTCAGTTTCTTGTCCAGCAAAAATGAGATGCCCGCCACGAGCGCTATTGAATAGCCTATAATTAATTTTGTATCGATAAGTTTGAAGGATTGTGCATATCCAAGCCTTTCAAATGCTGAAGGAAGAGCTTCGTCCAGGGTTTGACGCAAATCAGGCGTGCTGTATACATTGATGGGTTTACTCATAGTTGTCAAAAAGGTATTTTTGTAAAGGTGTACCTTAAAAACTATAGTTTGCGGCTCGTTCAACTGTTTGAGAGATTGTTTTTTTTGCTGGAATGTGGTTCAAGGATCGATTCGAACTTTATTTGTGCAAAGCTCACCTTTTATAAATCTTGCTAACGTTTCCCTAGGTGTGAATCGGATGTTGTGTATATTAATTAGGTCAGTTGAGTTATAATTTTTAAATTTGAAAAAAGGTTCGATCATCTGGCATTTACACCTTTAACAGTTGAAGGATACCTTTCTGTAATGGCGAATTAGACCAATGTCTCAGGAAAATAGCGAGGCTACGGCCACCAATTCTAAAGTGCATCACAAACCAAGGCAAAGAGACAAAACTAAACGAGGGAAAGATCATTTTCAGAACCGTGCGAATTCCAATTCTTCGAAATTAAGCAAGCAAAAAAATGTACCTCCTCCTTTTTCACAACAACCAGGCGATGACTTAGAGTTCAATATTCAGGACGAGCTGGTGAGTGGGAACTTTAAGGCGAGGGGTCGAAAAACCCAAATATCTATCAACCACTTGCTGGACTTCCAGCTTCCCGAAAGGGCAAAGGAAGCAGCTCCTGTGGTCGCATCTGCTAGAAGAAATAATAAAAAAGTGGAAGACTATATTCACTTACAGGGCGAGTCATTCATCAACGCCAACTTCAAGTTTTTAGTTGATGATCGGTTTACGTACGAAGAACAAAGTTTGGATGCTAATATTTCCATACCACGAGAGAAAATAGTTCGCATTGAGGTAGTAAAGGGCCAAAGTTGTCCCATATGCCTAACTGAAGATATTGTTGCCCCTCGGATGGTAAGTTGCGGGCACCTGTTCTGTTACACATGTATGCTAAGTTTTTTTGCCTCAGATCAAGAACCTGCTAACGGCGATACGGGCATTTTGCCTAGAAAGAAAAGATACAAGGAATGCCCACTCTGCAGTTCTATTATTCGTAAAGAAAAATCCGTTCCCGTGCTTTTTGTTGAGCCTAACGAATCTCTAGAAGTTCCCCAGGTCGGTCTGTGGGGTTCTTTTCAACTAATGTGCAAGCCCCATGGTTCAATGCTTCCCTTACCTGTAAGTTTGAACCTTAATCCTGTATCACTCGATCATTTTCCTTCAGCAGAGTTAACAGAGCTCGCACCCTTTTCACGAATCATGAAATGCAACTTGCAGTATGCTATCGAGCTATTCAGGAAAGAGCTGAATGACATAAAAATGCAGCATGAGCTTGATCGTGCTATTTATAATGATGACGGCAAGTTTTCCAAGCTTGCTATTGAGGAGATCAGCCAACAAATCAGCTCCTCTGAACTTGCGGTCTCACAATCTGAAGCTACATCCTATGCCTTTTCCCATTTATCTTTGGAGGCTGGCCTGGAAAAGTTCAATGATAAAAATGCTTTCTTCTTCTATCAAACTGCATTCGAGGCTAATACTCGATATTTCTTGTCACCGCTTGACGTGAAAGTACTGCTCACAGCATTTGGGCAGTATTCTGAATTTCCTCCAGTATTAGGGGCACATATTGAGGACATACACTATGGCGCGGTTGTTACAGAATCGCTGATTCAGAAATACAAGTATTTTGGCCACTTGCCTATTGGTAGCGATGTGACATTCGTCGACCTGGATTGGCGCAGCGTTGAAATATTACCCCCTCAAGTATATCAAAAATTTGCCTCAGAGCTCAACTCAAGACGCCGCAAGTCGACATGGAAAAAACAACGCGAAGACAAGGAAAAGCGACGTCATGAAAAGCGTCTTGAGCAGCAACAGGAAGAGTTCTACATGCGAGAGAACGGAAACTCTCCAGATCCGATTGTAGCTCCTTCTTTAATGCCATCATCGTTGCAACATAAAGTTCAACGAGCGTCAGAGGAAGGGTCTGAACTTCAGCCCAGGATGCATAACAATCCACAGAGTGGGCGCCCGTCTTCATCTCGCCTGAAGAAGACAATATGGGGAACCTCCATTCCAACTTCAGAAAATCCAGCTCAAAAGAATCAGGAGGACACAGATTTTGAGAAGATGCTTGAAAATTTGAATCAACAGCAAAATACAAAGGCTAGTGGAAAGAAAAAGAAGCGCATGGTGACGTTGCTGACGTCTAACCCGTCTCGTGGATCATTGTGATGAGTTAAATATAGCCCATTACTTGGGATTGCTCCGTTTTCTTTACTTTGGCATTATGGTTAACCGATGGCGACTCCTCTTCCCTGAGGTACAGATATAAATTGTTCATGAACACGGTAAACATGCCAAGGCTACCCACCTTGCAGCTTGATAGTTGAGGAATTCTTGTTCAAGAGCTTCGAAAACTGCAACAAAGTGAAAAATAATTACTTGGGACTTTGCACTATCATCTTACATGATATGGGCTTTTAAATTTTCAGCAACTCAGTTCGTTGACATACTGTAAATATCCAACCAGTGCACGCCAACCTGAACTTGAGATGTCATCGCTGTTCTTGGTGTATTCTGACGACGACGTCACACTGAGCTATAACTCATATCATGTATACTTATTTTACGATAATGCCGAAACGATTCGAATAGATGTTCTTAATAGCACAACTATAGGCTGTTATTTGAAGCCTCTTGCGTTCGCGACTAACTCTAGAAGCTCGATCTTGAAAGTAGATCATTATTTGCTCGTCACCCCGTACTATACTGGCACAGTGTTCAAGAGTTACCCTTCTGATCACTATTTTCTTAACTTCAAACTACACGTAAACATTGGTGCTTCCGGCGTAAACAACATATTTGGAAAGCTAAACACCTTGGTATCGTTACGAAGATGAGGTATGTGAATGTTCAACACGCATGGCATAGTTGAAATTTTTTCAGTCATAAGCTAACATAATATCTCCTATTGCGTATAGTGGTAAATTTGTAAGGGCTTCAAAATACAGACATGTGTACGGGCAAGTCGCAAAGAAAGAGCGCCAATATGAGAACATAAGAGTCACAAGCAATGCGTGGGACTCTAACCTTATTAAAGCGAACAGCAAATTTCTTGCTGTCAATTGGAACTCCTCTGGAGGTGGTGCTTTTGCGGTGATTCCACTGGAAGAAGTTGGGAAAGCACCAGATCAAGTCCCACTGTTCAGAGGTCATACGGCTCCCGTTTTAGATACTGATTTCAATCCATTTAATGATTACTGCCTTGCATCAGGCTCAGACGATGGAAAAATTGGTATTTGGGAAATTCCACAGGACTACTCGTTCCACAACTACGCCGATTCAGAAGGGGAGCCAAAAGATTTGAAGCCAAGAAAGTTTTTAGTTGGTCATGGTCGTAAGGTCGGACACGTCTTATTCCATCCGACTGCTGAAAATGTGCTTGCCTCTTCTTCTCTCGATCACACCGTGAAATTCTGGAATGTTGATTCGGGAAAAGAGCTCTTCAGTCTGAAACATCCAGATATGGTTACATCCATGTCTTTCAGTTACAACGGTGATCATTTGGCGACAGTTTGCCGGGACAAAAAAATGAGAGTATGGGAAATAAAAGGTGAGAAAATAGTAAGTGAGGGACCTGCGCATTCTGGTGCCAAAAATCAAAGAGTAGTCTGGCTCGGAAACTCTACTAGAATTGTTACTACCGGATTTTCTAAGCTAAGTGATCGTCAGATAGGTGTTTGGGATGCGTTCAATCTCGAAAAAGGCGACCTTGGCGGCTTTTACACAGTGGATCAATCTTCGGGTATCCTAATGCCATTTTATGATGATTCGAATAAGATTTTGTACGTGGTTGGAAAAGGTGACGGTAATATTCGTTACTTTGAGTTTCAAAACGACGAATTGTTCGAGCTTTCCGAATTTCAATCGATTGATCCTCAAAGAGGATTCGCGGCTGCTCCAAGAAGGGCGGTTAGTGTCAAAGAAAACGAGATTTTGAAAGGATTCAAAACAGTCAACAACCACTGTATTGAGCCCATTTCATTCTATGTTCCTAGAAAATCAGACTCTTTTCAGGATGACATATATCCGGACGCTCCGTCTGGTGTAGCAGCACTCACGATAGACGAATGGCTGTCAAACAAGTCAGTCCAAGGGCCTATTTTGTTTAACGTCAAGTCCCTATTTGATGGCTCAGAGCCTGTCTTGACACCATCTTCCGCTGGAAGCTTGGCGTCTGTGTCGTCTGCCCCGACTTCTGGGGCCTCCAAGAGTTCGGAGATGAAGCCAGACAGCGAGAACAAAACCGTAAGTGCGTCATCAGCAGAAAAAACAAGCACAAGAGCTTCAGCACCCATCTCTGTACCAGTCTCAGATGCGCAAATAACGGCGAGCGCGAGCACTGGAATTGATGATGTGTTAAAGGAAGACAAGTCTGTTGACCAGCTTTTACAGAAAGCAACTCAGTTGGATAGTGTCAATGATGCTGAGGATCCATCGAAGCGGGCTTCAACTTGGGATGAGGATGAAGAATTGGCTCCTCCCAAAGCAAATTCTGCGATATCCTCAAAACAAGCAGGCCAAAGTGTTAATGAGGGAAAACACGAAAAAGTCGTAAAATCATGCGCTTTAGATGGGACAGAATCGTCGCAAGCCTTACCCAACGAGAAGACACCAATACCGTCAACTATTGTCGCCCCTGAAAAATCAAAAGAAGCAGACAAAGGCGCCAAGTCTACATTGGAACAAGAAAGCATCTCCGACCCCAAGAATCCAACATCGGTATCACCACCAGCTGCTACTAAGTCTATGGGTTTGAAGCAGTCTGTTGAGAAGCTTTCGGCTCTTGTTCTCCAGCTTGATCAAGTTGTGACCGGCTTGAAACAAGCTAATTTGGATAAAGACACTAGGCTAAAAGCTATGGAGGCAAAGCTGGAGCAACTAGTCCAGAACTGAATACATGCTAGATGTTGAGATGAATAATAGATAGATACTATAGTCAGTAGATAAACATGTTAACGTAATAGCTCCACAGTGGTTCCTCGGCGGCAGTTAGACGATTTCGTATATAGTAAGTAGGAAGGAAGCCTTCAAAAAATTTTAGTATTTACCTTGACTTTCTCTCCAACTAGAACCGAATTAGAACACACATCATACAACCTCTGCGTTTCGTACTTCCTCCGTCAAAATCAGCATTGGGTTTTGAACGATTCGGTTTTGACTGTGTGTATTCTATATAGAGGTATATTCTCCCCTAGCTCAGTGATCTATTGGAAAAGCTGTAGATCAGGAAGATCCTAGTTACGATCTTCGATGAGTTTGGAGGCCAGTAGAGCAGAAGTTCGAGAACTCGCTGCAAAATTCGTGCCTCAGATCAATCAAGTTTATGCTTGTTCTAATCTGAATATTGACGAGTCTAAGCTATTAGGAGAACTACTGAAACTCATTGATAAAATTCCCGAAGACGAGCACCTATTTTGCGATGAGGCTTTCAGATCAGTTTCAGTATTCTGTCTCACTCTGTTTTCCTTCAGCAATCAAGGAACGGTAACCTGGCTAAAAGGTAGGTTCGACCCGGTCTTAGCGAGGTGTAAAGATTGCGTTCTTCACTTCACTCGAGGAAGATGTAAGATGTTACAACACTTCTCGGTGCAGAGGAAGGTGCCACATGAACATGTCACAAAATTCAATAATATTGTCTCGCATTGGAGATCTCAGGCATTGCTACCCGTCATCCAGGGCATATCCGTCAACAACAACACGGGCATCAATTTGAGCAAAAACATTGAAGTGGCACTGTATGAGTGTTTTTGCAACCCGCAGGTTCTCAGAACAAATGAGATACTCAAAGGTGCGTTTGATGCTATTTTCAAGTTTCTTTACAATTCGAACCATTCAATTCTGAGTCATGAAGCAGAAGTGTCAGCTGGGCAACATGTTCATGCAGGTTTAATATTCTGTTGGTTTGAAGGTAATCATGAGGAGGTACAATGGGCTAGAGATTGCTTAGAAAAGTTGAACACAAATCATTTCACTTTTAGTGAGGAGAATTTCACCCAAGATATATTGGAAGAGATCAACGTGCATTTGCTGTACTTACAGAACTCCAGTAATTTCCACGAAGCTTTGGTATCCCATTTTTGGTCCAAATTCACTCCAATTTATTATCTTTTGAGTCCGTCTCTAATTGGGGACTATCTTATTGTTCCGCCAAATTTGGAGTCTTTGCGAATGTCTATTCGATATCCTATAGAATCGATCTACAAATTATGGTACCGCCATTTCGCACACACCTTTCGAGAGAAGCCACTAGGTGTGCTACTCAAAGCTCTAAGAGTATTTTTGGAGAAAATAGGTATTGATTTTTGGGGACTTATTGAGCCGTTCACATTTCACAGTATCCTTGACTTGGTATTTGATAAAAACGTCTTCTCGAATACATTGATTAAGGTGCAGGATATTCCACTAACGTCTCAGGGATACGAGGCTCTTCTTTCTGATGGCGTTTCATTGACAGATTTGGTTTCGTGGACACTACCCTTTTATCATTCCTTGTCACCTCCAAAGAGAATACAGATGGTCAAAAAAGTTTCAATTGCATTTCTTCGCGTCATTTCTAGTCATCAGATGTTGAAACCCATTCCTAAAGCATGTTTGATCAATTCTTCTACAGCCTTATTGAGTGCGGTTTTGGCCGTCACTGATAAGGAAAGGTCGATGCTCTACTCCAGTGAGAGCTTCGAAACAACACTTTTCACTAAATTAGATTCTCGTGCACTGCTGAATAATGATATGGTGTTAAACTTGGTTCTTCAAGCTGCCACTAATCCCGATATGTTTTTCGGGGCCGGGCAGTCAATTAGATCGGTTTCTTATTCTGCTATGAAAGTGTTGGCTAATTGCATTGATTACGACATCCTTATATTGTGCCAAGCATCTTACGGAGTATATCGAGGGGGAAAAGCTCACGATGTCAAAGTCACCACCACTTTGCTTTCAAAAGTTGTTCAGCATCTTGACTTAGGACGATCTCAAGATACTCCACGATTAGCAGCCCTTTTGTTGGCATCCATGCGCAATGTCAACGGCCTTTTGAGGCCCAAAACAACTGATCCTTCAGCGGCCGAGCACAACAGATTCATCAGGCTGTACGTTGATCTCTTAAAAACCCTTCTCGCTAAAATCACTGACATATTACCGTCGCACCTAATTAAAGTACTTACTGATGAGAACGGGTCAAAAGGGTTTTGGTCTTGCATCTTTACCACTGACATTGAAATCTACCAGACAGCAACCAACATCCTTTATGAAACATTTGACGTCGAAGGCAGGTTGGAAGGAATTCAGGAAATGTTTAGTAGAAGTCTCGACAACAGCTTGGAATCCATTGATATGGTCCTATCTCAACTTATGAAGCACGAGTTTTTTGAGCCATGCCCGAGAGCCATAAGAGTGTTAATGGACATCATACACGTATTTTCAGATCCCGTCAATGGCACATTCGCTAACTACAAGTCCATGAAAAATGAAAAAACAGACCAAATGCTGAAAAGATTCTGGAGGCTGTCGTGGGAGTTTTTGAATATGATATACCGTGCAACACTAAAATGGGCTTCAAAATATCCATACTCGGAATTAGAAAACTTCACGAAAGACACTCTCGACACAAGTCTCTCGATGATTGATGCGTTTCGTGAGTTTTCTGAAGCGCTTTTCTCAGGTAATGGAAAAGAGCAATCTGACGAACTTCTTCGCAATGTACTCAAGACTTTTCAAGATATGCTCTACTGGCTAAGACTCAGCGATGAGTATCTTTTGGCGTCCTGCGTGAAACTCGTCGTTAAAGCAGCAGACCTAGCAATTGAGAGAGAATTGAAGTTTGATGATGACTTAGTAACGACAATGGCTCGTTACGCTTTGAAAGCTCGCAAGTTCTCAAATAAGCTTACACCTCAGCAGTCCTCGGAGCTACTTTCGAGGGCAAAGGAATTTAACGAGAATTTGATAGACAAGGTCACAGTTGAGACAGAACTCTATCACAAAGAAAAAGAGAAATTAAAATTGAATAAAGAAACTACCCCACAATCGGCATCATCAAAAGACAGTTCACCACCTACTGTTGCCAGGTCGCTGCCATTAGAATCTAAGGTCGATTTTCTACAAAGAAAAGCTATGTCTTCATCTTTGATGGGCCGGCCCAGGAGTCAGTCTAAAATTACGTCATTTGGAACTTTGAAGCCAGGAATGACACCGAGTGCTCAAGAACAAGCCAAAGGACAACCGACGAAATTGGAACTTGCCAGAAGACAGCTTTTGGCAAATAGAAAAGTACATCCTCCGAGTGCCAACGTTTTTAACTCCAGAAAACCTCAACAGCAACGCAATAACAGAGATGATAGTAGCGATGAAAGTGAAGACGATTTGGAGGATGCCAAAGAGCTCTTTTCCCTCTCTAAGGCAAAGGAGCGTAGCACACCAATTGTGCTAGATATCAATGGAAAGCCTATCAAGAAGGTTGATAATGCTCAACGGAAGAAACAGGAAGAAGAAAACATGAGAAGGAGGTTGAACGTTGATCTCAATCCCTTTTACCGTATGGTTTTGAGGTGGAATTATATCAGTTCAGGTGAGTATCCATCTGATTCTCAGGACTATGTCTATGAAGATGTCAAGGACACTTTCAAGTCTGTCGAAGATTATCAGAGAATTATGCAACCACTTCTACTATTAGAATGCTGGCAAGGCTTATGTGCAGCTAGAGACAGAGAGGATAATAAACCATTCAGCATAGTAGTTGGTAATCGGACAGTAGTTTCGGACTTTTACGAAGTTTACGCTTCCGTCAGTAAGAAAATGTTGATCGAGGCTAACATAACGGAGTCAGACTTGCTTGTTTTGGCCCACTTTCCAACTGCAAGAAATGTAAACGATGTTAGAGCGGACGATTTTAAGAACGCAGAAAATTCTTGTTTAGCCAAAGTTTGGGGACTAAAGAACAGTAAAGGTGACAACATGGACTTAACATTGAGGATCGATAGAAGCCATCAATTTAGCAAGTTCTTGACTTTGAGAGCCGAGATTTTTGCAGTGAAAGTGATGCAAATGACTACTGTTGAAAGGGAATACACCTCTTTGGTCGGTCTTCCATTTTATGATCTTGTAAACCAAATCACAAGCGGGCAGTTAAAAGCACAGCACTCTACAGATGTGAGAGAGATAGAGCAAGTTAAAGCTCATTACAAATTGAACAACTCACAAGCGGAGGCTATTGTGAGTACAGTGTCTTCTGAAGGATTTCACCTGATTCAGGGTCCTCCAGGTACCGGTAAAACGAAGACAATTCTTGGTATTATTGGATACTTTTTGAGTACTCAGAAGGCCTTACCTGCCGGTGTGATCAAACAGCCTATCGACTCCGCTACGGCAGCCACTTCAACGGAGCAACTACTACTAAAACAAAAGGTACTAATATGCGCTCCTAGTAACGCTGCTGTTGATGAACTAGTCTTAAGGCTGAAATCTGGAGTTTTCGACAAGAGCGGGAAATTGTTCTGTCCCAAACTCGTGCGGCTTGGCCGATCTGATGCAGTTAATGCTGCGATTAAAGACCTGACCTTGGAAGAGCAAGTGGACAAGAAGCTAGGCAGTAAAAGCTACGAATTTACAAGCAATCCAAATTTGGAGCAGAATTTGCAAAGCACAATTGGCGAACGGCGACAGTTAAGGAGAAAACTGGATTCGGAGGACGGCTCTGCATTAGGTGAGCTGTCCACAGACGATATCACAAAGATTCAGATGAGCATCAGAGAATTGAGTAGAAAGATCAATGAACTTGGGAAACAAAAAGATGAAATAAGAGAACGAAACTCTGTCAATTACAGAAATAGAGAACTTGACAGAAGAAGAGCGCAGTCCCGAATTTTGGCTGAGAGCGATGTCATTTGCTCCACTTTATCTGGATCTGCACACGACATATTGGCCTCTCTGGGCGTGAAATTTGATACTGTCATTATTGATGAGGCTTGTCAATGTACCGAACTTTCCACCATAATACCTTTACGGTATGGAGCAAAGAGATGCATTATGGTGGGAGATCCAAATCAGTTGCCACCTACGGTTTTATCTGGAGCCGCCAGTAAACTGAAATATAATCAATCATTATTTGTTCGGCTGGAGAAGAAATGCTCACCTCATTTGCTAAACGTGCAATATCGAATGCACCCAGCAATAAGCAAGTTCCCTTCAACAGAGTTTTACAGTGGAAAATTGAGCGATGGGCCAGGCATGGAAGCGAGCAATTCGAGACCATGGCACTCGCGTTCGCCGTTGGGGCCCTATAAGTTCTTCGACATTGCCACTGGTAGACAAGAGCAAAACAGAAAGACAATGTCTTTTGTTAATTTTGAAGAGTGCAAAGTTGCAATAGAGCTGGTTGAAAACCTTTTGAATAATTTCGAAAACACGTACAACTTCACTGGCAAAATAGGCGTTATCTCGCCATATCGCGAACAGATGCAAACAATGAAAAGAGAGTTTAGGAAGTATTTCGGCAATCCCATCATTGCTTATGTGGATTTCAATACCATCGACGGTTTCCAAGGACAAGAAAAGGAGATTATCATTATATCATGCGTGAGAGCAGATGATACCAAATCTGGCGTTGGTTTTCTGAAAGATTTCAGGCGTATGAATGTTGCACTTACAAGAGCAAAAACTAGTATGTGGATCTTGGGCCATCATAGCTCTCTTTTCAAGAATAAGCTCTGGAGAAATTTGATTACGGATGCAAAAGAGAGGAACTGCTTGGAACTGGCTTGTTCCGGCTTTCTTAACGTGAAGAACACAAAGGCCGCAACATTGCTGAAAAATTACGCCGGGTCCCACGACCATATAGCGGGAGACGATTACGATCCGACAGCACCAAGGGCTAATGAAAAGGCAAAGAAAGCTTTCAAGGAGTTCAACAAACAAAAAGAATCTAGATATTCAAACGTAAAGGCCCAACCGCATGTTAAATCGGCGGGTCATACTCGCGAGACCTCAGGAAGCTTGGAAGCATCTGGAAGGCCCTCTCACCATATATCTGATGCAGAGAAGAAGAAAAAAAAAGAGGACATAAGGCCAAAGAGCAATGCAATTCAGAGCCTTTCTGGTACCAAAAAGAAGTCATCAATTTTCGGTGGGCCCTCTTTAGTTTCTGGAATTGAAGAAAAAACAGGAACATCTACTATAAATACAGGCAATACAAGCGCTCTGGGAAAGAAAGCAGTAAAAGATACCGATAACCGAAATCCAGATAGGCAAAAATCTTTGAAGCGTGTAAGATTTGAAGATGTTCCAGATATAATAGGGGACAAGAAAGCGAAACCTTCTGATATGAAAAAGTATTCAAAACTTGAAAACGGTCCCACGATTTATGAGAGCAAAAGAGAGCCCTCAGTGGTCAGACCCGATAGTTCGGATGATTCAGAAACTAAGAGCGGCGTTGTCCAACTAAACAAGTCTACCAGCCAAGGCGATTCGGGGTTCGAAAGCGATAGCGAACATGACGGTTACGATCCATCTTTATCTCCGTCTTTGACCTTGCAGCGGCGTGCGCCCACAATTCCCAATCCTTCAAGAGACATTCATGTAAGTAAAGAGAAGACTTTACATCGTACTTCCTTGGGCTCCGATCCATTCATTCCGAAGCGAAAAAAGCCATTTCACAACAAAAAAATAGGTTAGTTGATAAATCGGCCTAAGTATTTCAACTTCATGAACGCAGATGAAGACACCATTATTCATTCTCGTTTCTGCATTTTATCCAAATTTACAATTGATGTGCCTGGTTGCAAAGACGACCCATTCAAGTAAGTGATATTTTCTCTATTGAGTCCGATTTTTGGTGGTGAACTTCCCGTGATGCTTAAACTCCCACCCAATTCTTTTTGCGGCTTTGATGAGGGCGTTTCTGAACTTCTAGAAATAAGTTCCTCATTGGCACGTTTCAGAATCTCAATTTCGTTTCCAAGGCAGCTATCGAGAATATCAGAAGCTGTCGAGGATAGCGTTTCTTGCAGTTCAGTAACAACTTTGTAAATTTCCTGGGATAAAATTTGCGGGGGCGTATTTGAATTTTCCATTAACATATTCTTGAGTAGCCTTTCTAGGCTATTGATCTTGTTCAGGGAATCATCCCAAATATTTCTAGTAGATTCTGCAAAGCTCAAATCTTCTTTGCACATTTTCAAATTTGCATTTAGAACGTCTTGCCGCGCTGCCAGGTACTCCTTTGCATAGCTCAGTTGATCCGCGCGCTGGTGAGAAGATTTTTCCAAATCGATTTTGTTAAAGCGGGACAGAAGCGAACTGTCTCCGCGATCAAAATCATCAGCAATTCCTAACTTTGCGAGTAGCTTATCCTGTGAGCGATGGACATTTGAAAGATTACTACTTAGAGCTACGACTACGCTGTCAATCTCGTTTTGTCGGCGCTGCAATTCTTGCTTGATGAACTTTTCATCCTTCTTGAAGGCTGAGAGTAAGGACTCTAGCTGACTCATCTCTCGCTGTACCTGTGTTTGGCTTGTTCGCAGCATAGAAACGTTTTGAATTGTGCTGTTTTTATCGACGGTAGCGTCGATTTCTTTCTCAGAGTTTGCAAGGGGTTCATTCCCATTGACAACTGACGTGGTGGATATTCCAACCCTACTGAGGTATTGATTGAGGAAATGGCGATATCGTGTTTGAAAAGAAAATGTTTCTGTTTCAACATTGTCTTCCACCGCATCCTGGTCTTCGTCCTGTTTTTCAAAATGCCATTCTTGCAAGCTGGCCTCTATAGAAAACTCTCGTTGATCCAATTTTTCTAGTTTCCGCGCCTGCTTCGCCAAACGGTCAATTTCTTGCTTGATGCTACCATCGCCTTCATTGGATGTAAGCATTGCATTTAGTTTACAGATATCGTAGAGACATATTCGAATATCTTTTCGCAGTTTGTCCAGCGTCTGTGGATCCTGAATGTCAAACAAGTATCTCTTATGTGCTTGAACGATCGTGTCTAAAAACTCTTTAATCTTCGCCCGTTCGATCAGTATTTCATCCATGAGCATTCTAGATTATTACGCGGTTTAGACAATACTGAGCAGGGAAGGTTTGAGTTTTAGTTTCCTGTTTATTATGCGGTCTTGAAGTTTAAACCCTTCTTCGCGTTCAAGCCCTCACACGTGAGGCTTCGAATCGGAAAGATGTCACAAGATTTAAAGGCATATCAATGTTTGCCGGATGCTGTTTGGGTGCTACAATGATGGTTGGTTTCGAATAGGACGGCTACATGTGCATCCAAGAACCTGTTTTGGGAATTTACGTAGAGTTCGACAAAGAGGGCAATGCCAAAACTCTGGCGTGTTCCTGAGAGGGTAAATGAGCTTGGATGCTGCAGCTGAAGAGACGCCCGAACTGCGAAAATTGTAGAGATTACATGACTCTTTATCGTCTCTCTCTCTCTCTCTCTGATGTTCGAAACACCGAGTGATCTGACGACCACTGGATATCATTTGGCAGAGTACTCAAAAGTCATATCAACAGTATTGAAAAATAATGGCGAAGTGCATAGAACTCACAGATCGATCTCAAATTACTTTGTTCTTTGGGACAGGTCCTCTTGCGCGCTACATTAATGATTCTTGAGGAAAACCAAAACGATAACTTCATTTATTATTTGAATACCTATAGTTTACTTTCGGACTTCAATTGCAGCACCACTGTACTATCGTCGCCCCGTACCTATAGAGTATCATATCTTAAAACATTGGTTACGTGGCAGAACGACAGCTCAACCGTCGATATAGTTCAAGGTCCCTATAACGGCAACGACATTATTGTACTAAGTGATATACCAGATTAGTCTGTGCGGGACGCCCGACCGGAACGTTCAATGTGTGCGTTAAGCGAACTACAGAAACTAGCTAGCATTCAAGTTCCCCAGATTAGAGACGTCTTCTCTGCTGCTTGCTCCCGGAACTGGCCGATTTTTCGTGGCGGTGCCACAATCCGGAAATGCCGGAGGTCAAGATTGCGTTAGGGAAGCGTCGAGTCTACGCTAATGCCGAGCGTAGGCTTCGTCCAAGAATAAGCCAGTATCTCAATGATTTTTGGCAGGCGCAGGCGCTGGCGCGAAAGAAATCGTCATAGTGAGTTGAATCCAGACACTGTAGTAGATGTCAAATAATATCACCATATCTTAGAGACCACCTAATGATAGCAGGTCCACGGAAGTAGTCAAAATCTGCGCTCGAGCTACCTTGGATACGCTAGATTCAAATCATTACAAACTTTGTCATTTTCCATAATGAAATTTTTACCTAACGACCAGATGCAACGAGCTGAAACGGCTGCAAAAAGAAATTTGTTCAAAATTTTTCTTCAGAAAAAAATTGTATAAATTAAATTGAAGAATTCCGGAGAAACATGATGGTCTCTGGATTAGTCTCGGTTTATTCGTTGGGATTCCTTTCAGTGGAATTTGGGTTACTTGGATTTTAGAAATGGTTTCTCTTTCGTAAAGCTAAAAAGTTCTTGGACCCTACTCACCTAGAAGTTCACCTTATATCATCCACAAATATAACAATAATGTCTTTCAACGATTGTTCTAAAGCCTTGGAGTACTTGAACTCCTACGAGGAGAGAGATGGGTTGTCTGCCGATCAACTAATGGACTCCAAGACCAGAGGTGGTTTGACTTACAATGACTTTTTGATTTTGCCTGGTAAAATCGACTTCCCATCCTCAGTGGTCAGCTTGCAAACCAAAATCAGCAAGAAGATCACTTTGAACACACCATTCGTTTCATCTCCTATGGACACCGTCACAGAGTCCGAAATGGCCATCAAAATGGCTTTGCTAGGTGGTATCGGTATTATCCACCACAATTGCTCTGGCGAGCAACAGGCTGCCATGGTCAAAAAGGTGAAGAAGTACGAAAACGGATTCATCAATTCGCCAGTCGTTGTGAGCCCTGATGCTTCTGTAGGTGACATCAAGGCCATGCGCCAAAGATTAGGATTTTGTGGGTTCCCCGTTACTGGTATGTCACAAGAAAAAAGAAAACTATGATGGTCGTAATGAGGCCGTAGTCAGTTTTGTTCATGTTGTGATTGGCTCGACCCGTTCAACTGCACTCAAATGCGCTTGGGATAAAGATAAAATGATGATTGACTAAATTATAATAACTTTCGTTCTACTGAGTATTGATCAAACGATCGTGTAGAAAACATTTTGATCTGATACTTTTGAAAATTTAGCGCATTGAGAACAATTTGCAGTGGTCTGAACAACGTTTCGAAAACAATACTGCAAAGGTCTATACATTACACTGCGATTTCCTATTGTTTTACTAACTTTGATTTTTAGAGGGCGGTACATCGTTAAGCAAGTTGGTGGGTATCGTCACTTCTCGTGATATCCAATTCATTGAGGACAACTCCTTGCTCATCTCCGAAGTCATGACCAAGGAACTAGTTAGCGCCAAGGTCGGTGTTACTTTGGCGGAAGGTAATGAGATCTTGAAAGCTACCAAGAAGGGTAAATTGCCAATCGTTGATAAGGACGGTAATTTGGTTTCATTGTTGTCCAGAACCGATTTGATGAAGAATCAATCTTACCCATTGGCCTCCAAATCAGCCACTACCAAGCAGCTATTATGCGGTGCTGCCATTGGTACTATCCCAGCTGACAAGCAAAGACTACAACTTTTGGTTGGTGCCGGTTTGGATGTCGTAGTCGTTGACTCTTCTCAAGGTAACTCGGTTTTCCAAATTGAAATGATCAAATGGATCAAGGAATCTTTCCCAGAATTGCAAATCATCGCCGGTAACGTCGTAACCAGAGAACAAGCTGCCTCTCTAATTCAAGCCGGTGCAGATGGTTTAAGAATTGGTATGGGATCTGGTTCTATCTGTATCACTCAAGAAGTCATGGCTTGTGGTAGACCCCAAGGTACCGCTGTTTACAATGTGACTCAATTTGCCAACAAGTTTGGTGTTCCATGTATGGCCGACGGTGGTATCGGTAACATTGGTCACATTGCCAAAGCTCTTGCGTTGGGTGCCTCATGTATCATGATGGGTGGTATGCTTGCTGGTACTACTGAATCCCCAGGTGAGTATTTTTTCCAAGATGGTAAGCGTTTGAAGACTTACCGCGGTATGGGCTCGATTGATGCTATGCAACAGACTGACAAAAAGGGAAACGCAGCCACTTCTCGTTACTTCTCCGAGTCAGACAAAGTTCTGGTTGCACAGGGTGTTTCTGGTGCTGTCGTTGACAAAGGTTCTATCGAAAAATTTGTTCCTTACCTATACAATGGTCTACAGCACTCTTGTCAAGATATTGGTGTCAAGTCTCTTGAACACTTGAGACAACAAGTTGACAACTCCACCGTGAGATTTGAATTCAGAACCGCTTCCGCTCAACTAGAAGGTGGCATTAACAATTTACACTCATACGAAAAGCGCTTGCACGATTAAAATCGTGCCCGACAATCTTGAGCATCATCTCCAATATTGAAGTCTTTAACTAGTTCGTTTGCCCTATATATAAAAGATAATTAACAGAAAAGCATTGCTAACATTCCAGTGGTAGGCTCTCCAGCATGTCAATCTTCGAAAAAATCCTGACTTGTTTGCGTCTGCTAATGTCCATGTTTGTTGCCCTTACTGACCTTATTATAATAAGCATCCCTCTTTTTTCCGACTTCTTCGAGTTTAGGCGGTAACCTTTCATTAATTAAATCCTCGCGACGAGCTTTCTCGAAGGTACTAAGGGCTTCTTTCAGTCCCTCCGGCCCGTGCGCTAAAGCGCCTCTAGGTAGAGTTCCAGCGTTGATCGTTTTGAGGTATTCCACTTTTTCCCTTTCCTCTCTTAAAATTGAGTACATTCTAGAAACCTTGGCAATGGCCATGATTTTACTGCGCAACGCTCTTCTTTTTGCTTCGTCGTTTAAAATGGAAGATGTGGGTTTAGGTGTTTTGACAACATCTGATGCGATATCCTTTTCGTGCGAAGAGGCTACTTCGGGTTTTTCGACGTCTTCTTTTATCAGCAGAGTTTCTTCTCCCAGCTCTTCTTCGGTGCAAACATTCAGAATAGAAACCAGCATTTCTGTCACTTTCTCGCCAACAAATGGCAATGACCAAGTAAAGACATCCATAAAGTTTGGAAGCCAGTAGGGGTGGGGAGACATGTTGAATTGTCTTATGTTCATAACATTGTTTGAATATTTTAAAACTGCTGCTTTATTCTTGTAAGTATCAAGGTAATTTGGGGCACTGAAAAGTGTTAGTAAACTCGGGAAACCGAGAGTTTCAGTGTTCTTGTACATCCTATAACCGGCATCTTGAGCTTCGTGTGCTCTGATGATTGAAAGAAGACCAGTTCTTTGTAAGAAGTCACAAGCTGCGTGATATGTGAATGCGAAGGAACAACCTCTCACAGTATTTGGAGCAAATGTACCAACCGACGGATCATCCGCGTCTTCGTCGTAGGTTTCAGTGGGATCTGCCCACATTAAGTCACACATGAGACCACGGGAGGGTATTTCGCGGAATCTGTTCATCTTGTTGATATCATCCAGTGTCTTAAGTTCCGGAGATATTCCACCGTGCACGCAAAAGTACTGACCATTCATAACCGCTGCAATGGGCAGGGCATTGAAAGAGCTGCAGCATGAGTCATAAATTTCGAGCGTATATTTGTGTAAGCATTCACTCTTGAAGGTGAAATACGATGTCAGATGCTTGCACTCGTGATTACCTCTAAGAAGCCAGAAATGATCACCGAAGTTTAGCTTCAAACTGTACAGATAAAGTAAGCATTCGATAGAAAAGGATCCACGATCCACGTAGTCACCCAAGAAAAGATAAGGTGTACTTTCCGGGTCGCCCCCAACCTCGAAGAGCTTCAACAAGTCGTAGTACTGACCATGTATGTCGCCACAAACCGTTACAGGCGCTGGCACGTGTAGCAAGTTGGGCTCCTTAGATAAACATTCGGCGCTCATTTGCAGGATGCGGAGCACTTGGAATTCACTGAGTCGTCCTTCTCGCCTAAAGTGCTCTCTGAGGAAAGCGTGGTCAGGAAGTCCGTTGTTTTGGAAAACCTCTTGATCGCTAGGTAGACCTAATGCCACAGGACGCACTGAGCTGCAAACCCGATCTTTGGTTGAGACTTTGATGCCATTCTCCAAAGTATACATGGAAAGATCCGGTCTTACCATGTTGGATTTAGGATCTTTGGGTTCTCCAGGTTTGTTCTTGATAATCTTTAGCGCAGCATTGATCTTTCTGGTGTTCTCCGCAGCTTTGGAATCAGATTCGGACATCACTGCTTCACCCAACAATATTGGGAATATATCACAAGGCTTTCAAGACAACCTTCAATTGTGTAAATCACTGTGATTGTCGGTGTGTCCCAGTAGTGATTATTCTTATGATGTATTCTTATGATGTATCTATCCATTATGATTTTAACTTTGGCTAAACTTCCACCCCTTCGTCTACAGTGCGTGAAATTTTTCTATATGCAATAAGCTCATCGCGCTCGAAAGTTTACTGAAGACTTGAAGTACAGCAAGTTCATAGGTAGTCTTTTGAAGACAGAACACGACACCAGAATCTCTAGAATTATAGCTCTGGATTGATACTTTATTGGGAAATTTGCAGCATAAGCGCGTATAAAGATGAGTTCTAACTTCGATGCCTTGGCATTTGTTGAAGCCGAGAAAGACAAAGCAAATCTGGCGTTCACAGATGACAAACAAATGGCTCGTTTTGAGCTTGGTGTTTCTATGCTAGTCTACAAGTGGGAAGCACTTGATTTAGCGGTTCAAAATGGTTGGGGAGGGCCAGAATCTGCTGAAAAACGCGACTGGGTTACCGCTATTATTGTTGATTTGTTTAAGACCGGAAGGGTCGTAGACGTAGCCTTGATTGAGGAGACATTATTATATGCCATGATGGATGAGTTCGAGACCAACGTTGACGATGACTCTGCCCTGCCTATTGCAGCGCAGATATTGGAAATCTATAAGCAATGCGATGCTCAAAACTTTTCCAACGTTGAGATGCTTTACGAGGAGTGGACCGAGAAGCAGAAAAGTAAGCAAGCTGATCGCGAAGTCCAGATTGGTGGGGATCCTTGGAACCCAGACGTTTCAGATAATGAGAATGACGACGAAGATGACGAAGACGAATCTGACCAGGACCACGCGCGTTTGGTTCAGGACGATGACGGCGACGTAAATATGGATGATGAAAAAGTGGAGCCAGTAGTGGATGAAGACGGCTTCGAACTTGTCCAGAAAAAGAATAGAAGGGCCCGTAATTGAAATCAAGTACAAAAAGATCACATCATCTCTGTATATTATTATATGAACGGCACGCGCTCTTGTATCTCGTTATATCATTAGTGCATTAAAAATAAGATTGTTTGCCGTGGGTCTTTCTACTTCGTAGATCTGGAGCTTGGAATCGGTCCGCTACCAGCAAATGAGCCACGGGGTGTCCAAGGACGGGAAGTTGCCGGCGTCAAGGTGCCCGCAGTCACCATTATCCCCTCCGGAGCATTGAGGTTTGTGTTGCTGCCGAATCTTAGCTTTCTCAAAAAGTTTGAGGTCATGTCTACTAAACTATAGTTCTCTCTTTCATCCACTTTCACGTCAAAGAGGGTGATTAGCGTACCGACCCATGCATTCGGCTTTAAAAGCCCTGGATCGAGCACGAAAGATCCGCTTTGAGAAGGAGGATTGCCATTGACCACAGCCTCAGCTTCTTCGTCAATCTTCTCTTGTTGAGGCTTTTGAAATCCCGTCCAAGAAAATCGAAATAACGAAGAACGGTCGCTAGATTGGCTTCCCGAGTGATGATGCTTGTTATTGGCCCAAGCAGGAAAGCCCGATCCGACGCTTGGGCTGTTCGGAGCACTGTTTGGGGCCGAATCCGGCTCTTGGTGTAAAAAGAAGGTTGTGATTGAACTGCTATTACTGTTTGTTCTCGACAATGATGAGCCCTGCGAATTCCACCTCTCTAACTTTGGTGTCTGTGGCTGTGATAGAGATTGATGGTTTGCTTGCTGGCCAGTTTCTTGTTGGGAGTTTTCCTTGGCGTAGGTACTAATAAATGGAACGCTGTTAAAGTTGAAAATATCACTCCACACAACGGACAAGTACCAATGAGCGGCCACTTCCCGTGAATCCCAATTCACAGAAAGAGGGCTGTTTTTATGACCAAGTATTTGCGATTGATGAGGCATCGAGCTAGAAATTTGCTTTTTCAATGTACTTTCAAACTTGATGATGTCTCGAAGCAAAGGCAGGTAGTTTGCGCCATTGACGTTGGGTATCGCTGGAAATTGATGATTCACAATTTGAATAATTTTCATGACGAGAGTGAGTGGCTCAGCCCCAAGCCAACTGACGTCAAGCTTCACTTCTTTTCTAAGTTTCAGTTTTTTTCTGAACGTAAGTCCGACGGGCCTCTCGGGTCGAAGAGCCAGCATAACTTCTGTTGACTCTAAGATAGGATCGTGATCATTGTCCGCATACTCAAACAATTCGATAGTCTTATTAGGAGATCCTCGGGCAATTAGCTCGGCTATAGATTCGACTTGTTCGGTTTTCCGGCGCTCGGGTTCAAAAAACATCAATGATTGTAACTGAATCTTTTCAACCAAATCCAAATCTTCGTTGCTGCCTGCATTTACTCCTTCATGTTGCCAATTATATCGAATATCAGAAGGCATACAGTCATCAAAATAATCGTCAGCATGTAACGTCTTTGGCTTTTTTATGTTTCCTCGTTCACTTGAATCGTAATCATAACTGATTTTTTGAGAAATGTCTGCCAATGTCGTAATAAGATGATTTATGACATTTTCATGCCTACAGAAGACGAACAACATGTGTTTACAACCCTTGTAGTTGCTGAAAATACAATTGTTGAAAGCTTGCAAAAGCAAGGCCAACATGTCCAACTTAAACCCAGGCGAAAAGATATATGACCTTTTAGTCTTTTCTGACTTTTTCGAAGGCTCTAACGCTTCCTGTGAGGTTTCAGGACTATCTTTAGTTATTGATTCGTCCGCAAAGCTTGTCAAGTACTCCTCCGATGTCATCTTGGCAATTAACCGTAGCACTGCAACAGACGCAGTGTAGCTGATCCCTGTTACCTTGTTGGACTTGTCAGATGAAAGCTGAACTAGATCCTCTTCTCGCGAATCCTGAGGTATGGAAAGCAAATTGAAAATAATCTCTATCAAGGTTGGATTTAAAACAATATTCTCTTTAACTTGGATGGTGGCCATGCTAGAAAGCTGTATTATGGCAAAATCTCTGTAGGTGAGGCGATCAACATCGCCAACAGATATTTTAAAAGAATTAGGAATCTTGTTGGCGTAGTAGTTGGCATTAAAACAATATTGCATTTTTGATAATACTAGTTTTTTGGACGACAAATAAGTGGCAAATCCGCAAGCCACTGGTATTAATGTCATATGGCACTCTGGAGACTCTGAATAGTTTTTAACATAATAGATGCAAATGAGTATCAACTTGTTAGCGTATTTGTCTGCCACATAATTTTCAAAAGCTCTGTTACATTTCATAAGCTCCCAAAGCAGTACAATAATCTGTAAAGTCGATCTTGGCAAACGGGGTAAAGTGCCTGTATTGGAAGAGCTTTTTATTGTTGTTGACCTAGCCTGCGTGGACCTTTTTGCATTGTTCATTCCGCCAGCAGAATTACTCAAAAGGGAGAAGGGATTGGACTCGATAGCAATAGCTTGCTCCATTGGCCTTTTCAAAAGCGTTACCAAATTTATCAGGACAAATCTGAGATCGAACTCTCTTATCAATGTACTCAAATAAGAAGAAACCAAGTTATTAATCTTGAAGTTCGTCGAGTACAAATTCAAGCTGTACAAGAAATCCTGTATTTCCGTCTTTTGTTTGCCCTCAATGGGACAAATTAATGAAAGATTGAGTAAGTGGACTGCATTTGCGACTAGCGCTTTCCTCAGGGACCTCATATGGGCACTCTTTGATGAAGAGTGATATGAGTTTGATGGATATTGTAGTCCATTATCGTCCTCATTACCGCGGCAAGAACGGCACACAAGGTTGACCATCGATGAAGTGAGACAAATACTGTGAAACTCAGGTATAGACGTGGTTAAAACAGCAAGAAACTTGGGCATATGTTGTGAGTAAAGTTGTTTAGATGACAGCGTAACCAGCAATCGCAGAACTTCGAGTCTTTTAGAGTCCATTCGAGGATTTGGCGGTGTGTAAGTGGTCTCGGATGTGTTGATACCATTTTCCCATAGTAGGAACGATGCTTTGCCCAGATCTTGAATGCCCGGTTTCGTTAAGGGCGCGGTGAAACCTTTTATGAACAACAACTTTACACACGCTTGTAAAAGTAAGACTCCGAGGGGCACCAAATCTTGCGCCTCTGTCAAGACGTGGTTAACGTTCAGTTTAGTGACTCCGGCGGATGTCCTTTCGTCGCACTGCAAAACCTGTGAGCTGTTTTGGTTCCAGTATACCGAATCTTCAAGTGCCTGGTCATGGTCCATTTCAAAAAAGACAGGCATGATCTTGGTTAGTATACGGATACAAGTCAATAACTGGCATTCGCGCGACCGAAACAAAGCCACCGTATCGCAATTTTGAAGCAGGCAGGATAGAACATGTATCTTGAACGCAATAAATCGAACAAAGTTCGTAAAGTTGGTTGCGTTTGAGCGACAAATGAACCTAAGCTCTTGTGACGATACTACGGAATAGATATCGCGGGCCTCTGCATCTAGAACGACGAATGCATCGAAATTGGATGAAAAGGGGTCTGTGAAGTCTTTCCGGACCCATGAGTTTGGGTCATTATAATAGTGGATAATTTCCTGAGCACTCACCGACGGTGAATACAAAGGGGTTGGAAAAGAATCTGCGAGCCGAAATATATGGTCTCGATATTGCGAGAGCTTGGAATCGGATTGGCCCATGCTCCGGGCTTCTTACCAGGTTGTTTTTGTTACTGCAATAGAAATTCTTTAGCTGATAGGGTGAGAGACGAAGAAATTTAGACTTGAAAAATTAACCACTTCCACGAAACCCAGGTTCATGGAGCAAAAAGCATCAATCTGTAGAGAATTCAGAATTGAGAATTAACATTAGTTCTACTCGCCATGCAATAAAGGTCAATTATGTGTGCACAACGCCTGAAGTGGCACGCTCGACACTGTATCTGTGCCAGACAGAAATGCGACAGTATTAATAGCACGCAAAATTTACTCACGGTCCCGAGAAAAATACAGCTGGAAGGCTATACATCGTTATAAACACAGGAGCCGGACGTTGTGAAACTTTCGGAAGGGACGCTTCCAGACGGCCACGCTTGTAACACGTACGAGATCTAAAGTTTGTTCCTTGTAAAATGTATTGTAGATGTAGATGTAGTGAATGTGAGGGTAAAAATATCAAATAATAATAATAATAATAATAATGAAATGCCGGGACCGGGTCGAACAACCGTTAGTGCTGGACGCATAGGGTATGAGAAGTGAAAGAAGCAGAGGCGGCCAAAACGTGGCACCACGCGCACGATGGCGTCGTCAAAACTCCGAAAACATAAAATTTACCAGTCCTCGACTTGCTCGAAGGCCCGCTTGTTGCGCATAATGTCGTTGTCGATGAGCTCGAGTCTTTCGTCGAGCTGGTGCTCCCACATCTCCAGGGAGCTGGAGCTCGACACCGTGCGGGCGTTCACCAGCATGGGCGCCTGCTTGGCGCCCGGCATGGGCACACGCTTGTACACGGGGATCGTGAGCTGCGAGTTGTCCTGTACGGCACAGGCGTCACGTGGTGTCACGTGACCGGCGTCTCCCGGGAGTCCGGACGAGCCGTTTTCGACCTGGTAGCCACGATCCACGGACTGGCGAATCCGCATGCCTATCGTGGAGAGGCGGTTCTGACACTCGTACGATTCGTACTGCGTTTGGACTCCCTGTCCAAGGTGTTTTTTCTGGGGCGATTCCGTCATGTGTGAAACAAAAAAAACGCTGTTGTGGCGGGAGGGGGAGGTTATTTCTCTTAGCTAAAGGGGTGCTTAGAAACAGGTTCTGTAGGGCTTGCGCTGTGTGACGAATAGACGCTTCCAGTCGCTTTCTTGTAGTCCTTTCTCCGTTCTATCTTCGAGTCGGATTTGTAGATTCTGCAGTCGAAAATCACCCAGGTGGTATAAAAATCAGGCCTGCTTATATAGTCCTGAGCCTCCGTTCGTCGGCATGCAATTTAGTACGTACATTCAAGGGAATTGGAGGCCTCGGGCCATGTTGGAAAAATGAAAATTTGTCAAAAAGTGACCACTCTTGGACCGGGTAACGAAAGAGAGCGTCACGTGTGTTTACAAAATCGAAAAGCATCCGTGCATTTTCGGTTTTTGTAAACAAAGGTGCGTGGGTTTAGGGGAGAATGTAAACAAACGAGCACCGGGGGTCCGGGTTTTCGGCCGGAAGGAGAAGGGAGGGGCGGGGGAATGGAAGAGCAGGTTTTTGTGGCCGGCGACAGAATGGTACAGAGTGATGGGAGGACGCGAGGACGCGAGAAGGGTTTAAAAGCCTGCTATGGAAGAAGGAGCCTTCTTTATATCTTTATCTGGTTTGCCATAACGGATCAAGGCGAGTGTGGTTCCAGTAAGCTTGCTAAAATTGTTGTTCGGCTACTGTAGTATGATAGCGTAGGTTAGTAGGATGACAGAGTAAGTTAGTTAGCTTAGATGGTGTTCTCTCCGCGGTTTTCCCGGTCCAATTTGACGTAGCAGCTATACTATTTTATGCGACTGTGAGGTCTGAATTTGTTCTTGTTGAGCCTCTCTGTTCATCGCTTTTATGAGCATCGCGTTTTGTACGATTGTGACACTGTGCAAGTTGGCGCTGTCTATCACGCACATCATGTTATGGACAGTACACGCGGCGAGCCACGCCGATTTCGTCTCGCCCCCCCCCCCCCGGCCCTTGCAGCATTGTAGCCATTTGCCGATATCGTTTGTGAGAATTCAGCAAAATGCGCTAGTTTATTCAAAGCACACTTGTGCGCTTGTTTTATCAGCATACACGTATTGTCAGAAGCCCAATGAGAAGCGCTAGTTTATCAAAGTAAAGCTATGCACTAATTTCATCAGAGCACGCTTATGCGCTCGTTTTATCAAAGCACACATATTGTCTGAAGCCCAATGAAAAGCGCTAGTTTATTAAAGTAAAGATATGCATAAAGTTCATTAAAGCACACTTTTGCCAGATTTTCCAGTGCTATTGTTGCTCGGTAGCGCCATTTGCATAATGAACATGTATGACATAGTAGTACAAAGTGACAGAGCTACCGATGCCATCCAGCATATCCACTCAGATAATGGGGTCTAGACATTGACGGTGCTTAGTGCTTATAGCCAATGCGTTCGAGTAATGGAGGGGAAATAAATATAATAACTCAACTTGAAGCAATAATGCTGTTACATGAAAGATCGGTGTGGAACACCGCCCAGAGCCGTCATTCCAAACCGATGGTTTGTTCTCTATGTCGGGATCTTATGTCTTCACATCTAGAAATACCACGGGGAGATAAGCGGGATCCCAATACGAATAAGTCTGACACACGATTCGACGAATAAGATTAAAATAGTTTGATTGATTTCCACCATTTTTACTATAATTATAAATTTGAGTTGATCAAACGACGAGTTCAGCAACCTAACTACTACGCAGTACGAGCCTCAGCGAGTATTGTGAAGAATGAGAGGGAAGTAGTACTATTGAACTGTACGAGCCACGGCGCAGATATGCCTCTATATTTATTGCTCCCAGTTTGTCCAGTGCTGCAAGAGCATATGGCTTCCCTCTACAGTGGCCTCTTGTTGCCTGCGCTCACAAAAGCGCCATCTTTTCAACGTTCGCGAAAAACCGTGTGCATCCATCAAACCTTTGCTCTCTAGATTCAGCCTCCCAATTATTCTAGCATGCCTTTAGGGAAAAGAGGCATCGCTACCAAGGGCTACACGTTACGCTTTCCACCCGCAGTAATGCATCAAAGATATGCTATCTTCATTGCGTCTCGATCCGCAACATTGTGAACAATTTATTCTAAGTTGAACTAGAAACTGATAATGTTTCGCATCATCTCCCTCTTTTTCGTACTGGTCTGACCCCATAAGAACGCCGTGTGCCAATAATTTCTCTTGGTGATACTGCAAATGAATAAAAACGTACACGTTCAGTAACACAATTGCGTGTCTCAAAGCCGTAGAACATAATTAAGAGAAACTTGTTATTCAGTTGAGTCAATATCCCTATTCTGATGTTAAAAGATCAACATTTCATTTTCATCGCAAAGTGGCTCTGGAGTCGCTCAATCTTTGAGCGTTTGTCACCGCTTTTGGCACCAATTTCAAATACGTGGTCGCATTCCTGTAACGAAGTGCGAACGTCCAGGAGAGAAAGCTTCTGTCTTTTTCATTCTATAAAAGTAATGAGCACTGCGTACTGTTCAAATTTATCCAAATGCTGTATGAAGCGTTTATCTAGAATAACTGTTAGTGACATCAAGCTTTTTGAAAACAGGTCATTGACACAATATTCTTCACTATTACGCTTCGTTCGCTCCATCGAGCACGGCGATGCGCAGAGAGTTAGCTGCTAAACTTGACGTCCTGACTGACCTCGTTGACTTGAAGCTGGAACACATCACCCCTCGAATAGTGGCCGGCGAGGTCAAAGTCGTAGCGAGCTTTGACAATCATGTCCGTGTCTATTTCCGCGCACAAAAGGCCCTCCTCTCCAATCAGTGGCCCCGCGATAATCTCGCCATAAGGGTTTACGATCATACTACCGCCGTTGATGCAGTTGTCGTCAGTGGGCTCCAGACCTGGTAGTTTTCTTTGGCCAGTGCTTTCATCTGCCACGACTCCAAGTCCCATTTCAGTGGCGTTCGTCATTAACTGGACAGCACTTACGACAAACAACCGTCCTTCGTAAGCTAAATTTTGCATTACGGAACGCCAGATCGGTCTCTGGTCGACAGTAGGAGCAACCCACACTTCTACCCCCTTACTGTACATAGCTTGTCTCAGCAAAGGCATCATGTTCTCCCAGCAGATGGCTCCACCAACTTTACCAACCTTCGTGTCAAACACATTTAGGGTGGATCCATCTCCCTGCCCCCAAACAAGCCTTTCTGTAGCCGTAGGTGTGAGTTTTCTATGTTTACCCACGTATCCTACATTTGGGTCGATATAGGCAATCGTGCAATACAGCGTGGTGCCGTCGCGCTCAACGCACCCACAGCATATGAAAGCTCCGGTGGTTTTGGAGAGCTGGCAAAGCTTGTTGATTTCAGGATATTTTTCACCAGCACCTATCCCAATTGCCTGTGCGTGGTAACGAGCATACTCTTCCCGGCCAGAATCCAACCGATATCCTAGATAAGTGCCAAAGTTTGATCCCTTTGGATAGCCTCCCAGAGTGGCCTCGGGAATTACCAACAAAGAAACATTGTTTTTCTTAATTTCATCTGCATATGATAAGATATGATCTAAAGTCGCCTGAGTTCCACCGGGCAGAGTACCCACTTGTAAAGCGGCCACTACCTGCTTTGGCATTGTTTTGGTGCTTCTGTTGAAATACAAGAAAATCTAAGAGCCATCTGTAAGTAGAAAAGTTAATGACTACTTTTTATAGTCGCCTTAAAAAATTGACAAGCATTTATGACTGATCAACAATTGATAAACTCATCATGTAGATTTTTTGCACCGACTATACTCAATCAAATCCCAATTGTTTTTATTATCAGCTTCGACTGGAACAAAAGAGGGAAAAAGCTGCGTTGTGTCATCGATGCAGAGAACAAAAAGTATCAGAAGTTTCGGACTGTGTAGAAGTGAAGAAGGCGGCGATAGTCAGGACCCTGCTTATACTGGAACTGCCCTTGTGTCTCGGCCTTGTAGCAGTTCATTGCAGCTCGCTTAGCTTCGCGGTTTTGGGGATAAGCCATGTCGAACAGTGTGTTATCATGTTGCTTGACTGTTGTTTAGACGAGAATGTCCTTCGCAAGGACTAAGATCTACTGTCGACGTACAAGACTGTTGGGATGCAAGAAATGATGGTGTCAAGTTGCGTAATGACACAATAGTACAGAGTGACAACTCTCGATACTCGACCAGGATGCCGATTCAGACAATGAATAAAAGCGCTGAGCTCTAGACGTTGATATTGTGTAGTGCCTATAGTCATACTGTTCCAGTATGGTTGCGTCCGAGAGATGGAGGCCGGTACATTTTGATTGCTTTTGAACGTTTCTCGTTATCAGCACTTGTCCTCCAAATAATCGTATGAATGCCGATATTTCGTTCCCTATGTCGAGATTCTATCCTTCACATCCAGAAATACCACGGAGAGATATTGACAGCTTACTCAGTCAATTATGGAAGGACTGAATTAAAATAAAAGGAATCTTCCCATCGACGAACGAGACTCGCCTCATAAAAACACTGATGCAATATCGCTGGTACACAAATACGTCATTTTTTAGTATTCTTGCTCCAAAAGAAAACCTCTTGACAAGACCATGAGTACCGAGAAGCACATTGCGCGTCTTGCTTCTCTACTCGAGCTATTCGTGTATCTGAGCATAAATTATAATATGCAAGTTTTTGGAGCAGCGTAAGGCACAATGCCACATGGCTTAAGCCTCAAAACCCTCGCAAGGTACTTGGTTGCTTCTCATTGAAACACAAATGGCTGAAACCATCTCAACCGCTTCGAACGTTTGTCTTATTAGAAAGTGATGAGAAGGTAGTAGGTGCTGAATGAAATACCCAAAGACATGTGTTGGCACTACAATAGTTAACGGCAGATCGGTTGCGGGCAAGGCTTAGCAACCTTGTTTTCCAATGGAAGTTGCAGTGAATGTGGAAACTTTTAGAAGTAAGTGACGGTAGAACCAAGTTATGCAATGACAGATTAGTACAAAGTGATGTACATGAATCAAAATCGCTACACAATATCTGGTCCTCAACGAAGCTGCGGCATACATGTTTTGATGAGATGGCACCCTGCTCCAGCAATTAGAAAGATAGCTAGTCTTTATCTTCAGCTTTTTCATAGTTCATTGAGACGCAATTGTGCCTAGACAACCTATGTGGCACGAAAGATGACATTCCTATAATAGGAGGATCTTACTTGAATCTGAGCATCACGACAGATTGTAAAATATATTAAAAACAGGCGTCGACCGAGTCGTCGGTCTCAAGGATACAAGAAAGAAGACGGATGAGTGGTGGCGGCGGATGAACTGCGTCCTGATTGATACGGAGCATAGTGTAGGCGATGCATACACCGCGGGAGAAGGCTCAACGCCTGATGAGGACCAATATATATCAATTGAGTAATTTACAATTTTCCTAAATTATGCTCTAATCTTGGTCAAAGTGGAGGGAAACGGGGTAAGGAAAGAGAAGAGGATAGTAACTGTGCGCTATTGTAACCAGGCACAGAATAACGCAAAACCCCAAAGTAAAGGCAAGAAGACATGAGTCTACTCATTCTTCTCACGTGACCATATCTCTTCGGAGTTCGGTTGCCGATGGATCACTGTATACTAACTGATCTTTATCAACCTTCGTTCCTACTCTTCTCGTTCATCCCAAGCCTGATATACTTCTCAGCTTTTGGACCCTATAATACACTATATATATATTACTTCACGCGTTGAACCTTCAATACTTTTGACAAACTCCTTTAGAATTGTAAAATGTCACTATCTCTATAACTGTCACTTTACAAGGCTACAATAACGAACTTTTCTCATTTCCTCTATCGACTAAAAAAAGCGAGGTTTTCCTCTATGCACTAACAACAGCGAACTAAGCTGGCATCGAGTGGCACAGGCGTGAAACCAAAGGGAAATGTATAAAAAGGACGGGCCGCCGTGAGCCAACTAGAATTTTTTTTTCACACACGTCAAGAAAATCCAAAGAACACCATCACTCACAGCATGCTTTCGACTAACACGCAACTGTCTTCCAGCGAAACCGTGGACTACGAGCAGAAATACTCTGCACACAACTACCACCCTTTGCCTGTGGTGTTCGAGCGCGCGCTGGGCGCACATGTGTGGGACCCAGAGGGCAAAGAGTACCTAGACTTTTTGTCAGCGTACTCTGCGGTAAACCAGGGCCATTGCCATCCTGAGATCATTGCAGCTCTTGTGGAACAGGCGTCCAAGCTTACGCTGTCATCGAGAGCGTTCTCGAACAACGTGTTCTCGGCGTTTGCCAAATACGTGACAGAGTTTTTCGACTACGAGATGGTTTTGCCCATGAACACCGGTGCTGAGGCCGTTGAAACCGCGCTCAAGCTCGCCAGACGCTGGGGCTACACCAAGAAGAACATCCCTGACAACCAGGCTATCATCCTTGGTGCCCACAGCAACTTCCACGGGCGCACATTTGGTGCCATCTCGCTCTCTACCGACGACGACTCTCGCACCAATTTCGGGCCTTTCCTCGAGAACACCACTGCGAAGATCCCTGGCGGCAACGGCGAATATATCCGTTATGGTGTCGTTGAAGATGTCGAGCGGGCCTTCAAAAATGCTGGCGATCGCATCGCTGCCTTGATTTTGGAGCCCATTCAGGGTGAAGCCGGTATTGTGGTGCCAGCCCCAACCTATTTGACCGAGGTTCAGAAATTGTGTCGCCAATACAACGTTTTGTTGATCTGTGACGAAATCCAAACTGGTATTGCTCGTACTGGTAAGATGTTGTGCTACGAGCACTCTCCAGATGTCAAGCCTGACCTTGTTCTATTGGGTAAAGCCATTTCAGGCGGTGTGTTGCCCGTTTCCTGTGTGTTGTCTTCTAAAGACATCATGCTGTGCCTCGAGCCTGGTTCCCATGGTTCCACCTACGGTGGTAACCCGCTAGCTTCCAAGGTCGCTATTGCCGCTCTCGAAGTCGTTAGAAAGGAGAACTTGGTCCAAAGAGCCAAAGATTTGGGTGAATACCTACAGAACCAACTGCTTGAATTGCAAAAATCTTCCAACGGAATCATTTCCGAGGTACGCGGGAAAGGTCTTCTTACCGCTATTGTTATTGATCCAAAGAAAGCAAATGGCAGAAGCGCTTGGGATCTATGTTTACTCATGAAAGACCAGGGTGTCTTAGCCAAGCCTACTCATGAACACATAATCAGGTTGGCTCCTCCTCTAGTCATCTCCAAGGAAGACTTGGACAAGGGTGTGGACTCTATCAAGAAATCTTTGGAGCTACTACCCAACGTGGAAAAAACCGCTCATTAAGCCCGCGGGTATGATGATCCAATGGCATTAAATATTCAAGAAGAGTTACTACTGGACTGTTCACACAAAGCGTGTGTGTGCAAATAAAGTTATTTAAAATTCATCATATGTATCATAAAATCATTCTGTATATTTTCCTCATCTATCGAAACACTTAGGCCTTGGCAACGTGTTCAACCAAGTCGACAACTCTGGTAGAGTAACCGTACTCGTTGTCGTACCAGGAAACCAACTTGACGAACTTTGGAGACAATTGGATACCAGCAGAGGCATCGAAAATGGAGGAGTGCGAGTCACCCAAGAAATCAGAAGAAACAACTGAGGCGTCAGTGTATCCCAAAACACCCTTCATCTTACCTTCGGAGGCCTTCTTGACAACAGCCTTGATTTCATCGTAAGTGGTTCCCTTGGCCAACTTGACAGTCAAGTCCACAACGGAGACATCGACAGTTGGAACTCTGAAAGCCATACCGGTCAACTTACCTTGCAAGACAGGCAAAACCTTACCGACAGCCTTGGCGGCACCGGTGGAGGATGGGATGATGTTACCGGAAGCGGTTCTACCACCTCTCCAGTCCTTGTGGGATGGGCCGTCGACTGTCTTTTGAGTAGCAGTCATAGAGTGCACAGTGGTCATCAAACCTTCCTCAATACCGAATGCATCGTCAATGACCTTGGCAAGTGGCGCCAAACAGTTGGTGGTGCACGACGCATTGGAAACGATCTTTTCGTTCTTGTAATGGTCGTCGTTAACACCCATGACAAACATAGGGGCGGTGGAAGATGGAGCAGTGATAACGACCTTCTTGGCACCAGCGTCGATGTGCTTTTGAGCGGAGTCCAACTCCTTGAAGACACCAGTGGAGTCCACGGCGATGTCCACGCCCAATTTGCCCCATGGCAATTGAGATGGGTCTCTCTCCTGGAAGACAGCGATCTTCTTACCGTCGATGATCAAGGTGTTGCCCTCGTAGGAAACATCACCATCGTATCTACCGTGGGTAGAGTCGTACTTGAACATGTAAGCGGCGTAATCGGTTCCAATGAAAGGATCGTTGATGGCAACAACTTCGATGGATGGTCTCGAGAGGGCGATTCTCAAGACGATTCTACCGATTCTACCGAATCCGTTGATGGCAATTTTAGTCATTGTGAGTTGGGCGAGTTGTTGTTTTTTGAAGATCTGCGATGTGCAATGGAATGCAGTGCGAGCTATGGAGATTGAAACTGTACAAACGAATTCCTTCTATCTACCAATAAAGCTAACTTATCCCTGTTATTTATACATGTTGTACCAGAATTCAGGATTGTAAATCGTAGCCGGCGCACTGTACCGTCACACAACTTAGATTGCGCCAATTATGGAAGCCTACTGTAGAATCATTGAGCCCTGGTCGGAAGCCTCGGATCAATCAATAAATGCTTCACCCTTTACAACAATTGCCGGCTCGAGCTGGCCACATTTTCAGACGAAGCCTGCACAACTCACGAGACCTCCCTCCGTTTAGGGACTATTGCGTTATTTTGTCAGAACGGCACATAAATGCAACGGAAGCGAATTGGCAACACTAGCAAAGTTGCCAAGTCCAATTGAAGACTGTGGGTGTTACAGACTTTTGGATGGCCTTGGCGCGAATAAATGTTGTTGAGCCGGTGACCGCTAATGAATCTGGAAGTCGTGTGATGCGCCGGCTTCTAAACCAGCATCGCGTTAGGTTCATTCGACAGTAAGTAGGTAGCACATCAAATGATAAATCTCTTGTTCCGGGCCTGGTATCGATGTTAATTACTCGGTAAGAGTACTCGTGGGCAATATTCGTAGAGCCTATAACGCAATGTCGATGTTGACTTTCCATCAGGCAACTTCGATTCAGAGCTTCTTGATTTCATAAGTGCATCATTAGTGGCATCGACAGCAAACCAGTGAGTGGCACAACCACTTTTAAATTTAAGGTACCTTGTTATGAAAATGTCAGTAATTAATAAACATGTCGAATACACGAAATTATTGTTTAGGCTCGATTGTATAACTTTAACTGAAAATCATCAAGATGGAAAAGAGATCGCGTAGAGATATTCTAGACTCAGCTGCCTGAGGCATTGGTTAACAAATGAATAGTAACTGGCGTAGCTGTAGCACGGTGCGTTTCGTGGTTTGCTGATTAGCGAGCCCTCCAGACTTCCACTTGACAAAAACCACGTTCTTAATCCCCAAATAACCTTGAATTGGGCGAGTGGAATAGCGCGGCCTGAATTCGCTTCCATGTGCAGAGTGTGAAGCTCATAAGGCGCAGATTCCCTCGAGTCTTGATAATCAAAGGTCATGTAGCACGAAACATGAATAAACTGTCATTAATACCAAGTTGGATGAATGAACCCTTTTCTTTGGTATGCAATGATCTCGAAGACTCCAGAGTGCGTTAGTTATGGCAAATGCGAGTGTCTCAGAGAAGCTGCTGGCCAATGACCCCCTGCTCAACTCGACAGGGCTGACTGTTGCTAGCGACAATGTCGTTGTAGCTCTTACTGCCGCAATTTCACTGCTGGTGCAAGCGTTTAATGCCATTTTCGCGATAGGAGGGAACATAATTTCCCGTATATTCTGGCAGATATTCAGATTCTTCCTGCTGCGAGTACCTTCGTGGGTGGTATTATCATCCAGTGTGAGCATTACGCTTTCATTCTCAACTTTGGTTCTGGCTCTTCTCTCCATGATGTTTGCTACATATTACGTTCTTCGAAGTCGATTTCTCAATGCATATGTGCGTTTGCAACCTGACGACAATGACGAGAAACTACTCAAGGACAAGAAGCTTCGTGATGAGACCGAAGCTTTGTTCATGAGCAAATCTGAGAGACACGGCAAAAACGGGTTTACCTCGTATTTGGATGAATTTTTAAGCGCCATCAAAATCTTCGGCTACCTCGAAAAGCCAGTGTTTCACGAACTGACAAAAGACATGAAGACTCGCAGACTCGAAGAAGGCGAAGTTTTACTCGTAGATGATACCCTTGGATTCGCCATTGTTGTCGAGGGCAGCTTGCAAACTTACCATAAGGTACAACGTTCACCGAGCCAACTCTCGTCAGATTTTCCAAATTCGGCAAATGTCAGCGAAGGCGGTAGTGAAGATGAACTTCCTTCCGACTGCGACGCATATACTTTGAATGGTGAAAAATATCAGCTTTTGAATACTGTTAGATCGGGAACCCCAGTATCTTCCTTGGTCAGCATTCTTAAACTCTTCACAGGCAGTAGCGATCAAAGTCCCTTAAATAGTTACGTGGGAAACTTTCCATTGCGTGACGATTCTCATCGCAACCTTCTGTCACCTTTTCTCGATTCTACACTGGAACGATACAAGTCCGATCTTGCCCGTCCGATTAAGTCGCAAAAACCTTTTGATTCAAACTTAGAAAGCGTGGATTCTGAAGCAGCTTCGACAAGTGGTGACTATAATAGGCCAGAAGCTGGTACGGTGCCCGACAATTCGAATACCTACGATAATCTCTTACCCGATATTATTGCTTGTGCTTCCAATGACTGCACCATTGCAATTATTCCGGCATCCGCTTTTCGCAAATTGACTTCAAAATATCCTCGCTCGGCCTCTCACATCATTCAAATGGTCCTCACAAAGCTTTACAGAGTGACATTTCAAACTGCACACAGTTACATGGGACTCACAAGAGAGATCATCAACACTGAAGTAGTGTTGAACAAATCTAATCGCTTTGAACTACCCTACTACCTTAAAGAAGCTGCCATTCGTAAAATAAAGCAGCAAGAAGCACTGCAAGCGGGGACCAAATCCGATAATGCGGTTAACTCAAGTAGCTCAAGATCGAAAATGACGGACAGCACTGGAAAACCCCGCAAAACTCCCCACAGTTTTTTACAGAGTCGCGGGTCCCGACATGTCGTTTTAGATTCCAGGGATCATTTGAACCCCGGTGACTTACTGTCAAACGTTCCTCTTTCCCGTAAAGAAAGTCTGGGCATTCGTGGCGCTGCTGGTAGCTCCTTCTACCAAGCTGATAGTGCAAGTTCTGCGAAGAGTGCCTTAAGCATGAAAAACCCATCTACTCAAACAGGCGCCCAGCTTCCTACGTTGTCGTCACCTATTGATCAACCAATCCAAAAAAATAAGAGCCTTAACAGTACAACAATGAGTTCTGCCAACGAAGACGATGAAATTCGTGCAAGAACCTTTTCTGCTGTGCAGGAAGAAACCGAAGAATCGTCCTGGCGAATTGCACTTGTTGAAGGTATGTTTTCTTATCTTGGTATAACGAAAGAAAACATTCTACCTACAGCAGAAGAAGACAGCTCTTCTGCAATTTTTGGTAGGTCTTCTGAGATGTCACAAACGCCATCATCGCAAATGGGACCTCCCTCTGCATTGCGGTTGCTATCTCCAGACCAATTTATTACTAGAAGAAGATCTAAAATCAAACAAAAGCCAGTCTATAAGGAGGACGTTCCATATAATATTGATTTTGACACGGTAAAAGACGAATTTGCCCAAGGTCTCCAAATGATGTTTATGCCCGAAAATTCTATCTTAGTGTCGCAAGATAGCTACAATAAAGGACTTTACTACATCATATCAGGCACTATAGAGGTCATCTGGACAAACGAAGAAGACAGCACGGAACACGTTTTGTATCTGGTGAGACCTGGAGGAATCGCTGGCTACTTGGCGTCATTGATCGGAAGTAAGTCTTTTGTCACACTCAAGGCTAAAACTGACCTTTATGTGGGATTTCTACCATCTCCCTTGCTTGAGAGGCTCTGTGACAAGTACTTCATGATATATTTGAGAGTCGCTGAGACTTTGACCAACTTCCTGAACCCGAAGATTTTGAAACTGGACTATGCTTTAGAGTGGATTCATCTTGATGCCTCAGAGATCCTTTTTCATCAAAATGATCCTGCAAACGCCATCTATGTTGTACTAAGCGGAAGATTGCGTCAACTCCATCAATCGGATGACACTGATCAAGATTCGGCGGGAAAGAAGAACAGAAGGGAGCAGTCGCGTGACAATCCCAAAGTTAGAGCTATTAGAGAGTATGCACAAGGCGAAAGCTTGGGAGAAGTTGACGTTCTGACGGCGATTAATCGATTATGCACAGTGGTAGCGCTGAGAGATACAGAGTTAGCTCGTATACCAAGAACTTTGTTTGAGCTATTAGCTGTTGAACACCCTTCAATAATGATCCGAGTAAGCAGATTAGTAGCAAGGAAGCTGCTACAACAGCAGCGCGGAGCCCAGTCACCAGAATCTATGAAGAACGTCAAAAACTACAAGTATGATTTCAATCTGCTTATACCACCTACTGAGACAACGAAGGGTTCCGTGATCAATTCAAATGGGGGCGATCAAACCCCAATAGATGGAAGCAGTAGACACAGCTACCGCACTCTCTCCATCTTACCAATTACTCAAGGCCTCCCTGTGGGAGACTTCGCATCAAAACTGGTAAGCGCTCTCAAGCAGGTGGGCATGTCAACTATTGGACTTAACCAATCAGCTACATTGTCGCATTTGGGACGCCATGCCTTTGACGGTTTATCCAAATTAAAACAATCAGGGTACTTTGCAGAGCTGGAAGAGCTTTACGATACTGTTGTATACATTGCTGACACACCTTTGAGTTCAACCTGGACAACGACGTGCATAAACCAAGGCGATTGTATTTTACTGCTTGCTGATTCAGCGATGTCACCAAACGTTGGTGAGTTTGAGCGTCTAATCCTAAAATCCAAGTCAAATGCCAGGATAGAATTGATACTATTACATTCTGAAAGATACGTGGAACCAGGGCTTACCCACAAGTGGCTCAAAAACCGAATGTGGGTCCATTCACATCACCATGTTCAATTTGCGAATTCAAAGTACATCAGAGATCAAAAATCCTCGACAGAGTCTATACCAAGTTCCTTGAATTTTATCGAAAGTCTGAAAAAGAGGGAACGCTTCAACGCTATTACGAAGCAAACCCAAGAAAACATTTCTCGATTACTACCTGACTCTCTAAAAAATACGGTCGAAAACCTTTCCTCCAAGTACATCAATAAGAAGCAGCGGTACTACACACCGGTTCACCCCCACAAAAATGATTTTCTAAGGTTAGCTCGAATTTTGTCAGGCAAAGCCATCGGCCTTGTGTTAGGAGGCGGTGGAGCTCGAGGCATCAGTCACCTTGGTGTGTTGAGAGCTATCGAGGAGCATGGCATCCCGATTGACATGATTGGAGGGACGTCAATTGGTGCGTTTGTGGGTGGGCTTTACGCGAAGGAGTGCGATATAGTTCCCATTTACGGGCGGATGAAAAAATTCGCTGGTCGTGTGGGGTCCGTCTGGAGGCTGTTGACCGATTTGACATGGCCAGTCACTTCATACACCACTGGCCACGAGTTTAATCGGGGAATTTGGAAGACGTTTGGCGACGTGCGCATTGAAGATTTCTGGATTCAGTTTTATTGTAACTCCACCAATATCACTGAATCCATACAAGAAATTCACTCCACAGGGTATGCATGGAGGTACATTCGAGCCTCAATGTCGTTAGCAGGACTTTTGCCGCCAATCGAGGACAATGGATCAATGCTCTTGGATGGCGGGTATGTGGATAATTTGCCAGTATGGGAAATGAAGGCCCGCGGCTGCAACACAATTTTCGCTATAGATGTTGGGTCTGTGGACGATAGGACTCCAATGAGATATGGCGACTCTTTGAATGGATTTTGGATTGTGTTCAACAGATGGAATCCGTTCTCGGAGTATCCTAATATTCCAAACATGGCAGAAATTCAAATGCGGCTGGGGTACGTGGCATCTGTAAATGCTTTAGAAAAGGCTAAAAACACGCCAGGGGTCATCTACGCCAGACCTCCTATAGAGGACTACGCGACGCTAGATTTTGCCAAGTTTGAAGAAATCTACCAGGTTGGAACTGCATACGGCCACGACTTTTTCCAAGAACTGGAGAACCAAAACAAGATGCCCAAGATTCCAGGGTCAGAATCTTGTGCAGACGACCCAGAGTTTGGACAAGCCATGCTGAATAGGCGCAATAGTGTCTAAGCTGCTGCGAAACAGAGGGAAAGAGCAGATTATACCCAAGATCAGCCATCGTTCAATCTTACAAAGAAGACTCTTTCGAGCCAAAATTTCACACAATAGTGCTAATCCCCAGACGTTTTTACTGATTAAAAACCTACTTATAGTACACAGCTGACAGCTCCTATTTTTGTTTTTTCGTTTGGCCCACCTAATTGTCTTCTTATTCGGCCGGCGTAGTGATCAGCGTCACAGAGTCTCCCCTGACAAAAACCATCTCTGAGCCTTTGGTGTTCGACTTCAATTCACCTTCTACCAGTTCGTATATCGTTTCGGTGGCATTTGACAGCACTATGTTGCAATGTGAGTCAAATGCCTGTAGAGTACCTGTCATTTCCCGGGCTCCGCGCAGCTTCACGAAGACTTTCTCATCTAGATTAAGCTTCAGCAAGTCTAAAGGCGTGTCCATCGACATTGTAAGCCGGCTATCAAGTGAATATCTGCTGTAAGGGTTTGAGTGATTCTCTACCTCTAATAATAATCAACATTCTGACAAGATTAGCGCAGTTGTAATTTTTTCAATAGTGCAAAGTGTCAAACCTCTGAAAGTCCAGCCGGGTAAGCACAAATTTTGGTCTAGCAAAGAGCTTTCTTTGACACCTCAAAGAACTACCTCTAACCCTCAAGATCTGCGATGGAACCCGCAGCGCTAGTTTCGATCAACCTTAGCTAGCTCAGCTCCCCCCAGCCTCTTCTACTGAAGAATCAAAGAAACAAGCCAAAACCAAGCTAGTTCACCAAAAAAACAACTTGAGAATGAGTTTTACGAATTCAGGCATGTTAATACGAACTATACACATGCCTTGGCGCAGCGGATGCGGTGCATTAACAATACCCAGTGAGATCCTTTAGTATTAAGACAAGTTTCACGTGACCGTGAAGAAGACATCTCCCCGTGAAAAATTTCAAGAAAACTTCAATCTGCACGACAAAATCAAATTCGGGTGATTGTTAAGTGTCTCAGCGACGCGTTTCCCTCCGTAACACGTTCTTTCAAGGATCCACATCATTATAGATGTTTTCTGTCAAACGTGGCTTGCACACCACGGCCCTAGCATGTGCCAGAACCAAATACACGAAACCTAAGCCCAAACCTAGATTCAGGCGCAATGTCAGAAGCCCCACGCAAACTACACACCACAATAACAATTTGAGTGTCACAGCGCCTATTCCACCAGCTGCAGCTAATATTGTCACCCCTGATGACCATCCTCTGTGGCAGTTTTTCGCCGACAAAAAGTATTTGCGCAAGTTCGACGAGCTCGACAATGACTCCAGACCATGGGCCGTTCCAGAACTGAGAAGAAAGTCATTTGATGATCTTCATTCACTGTGGTACACCTGTCTGCGAGAGAGAAACGTCTTAGCTCGTGAAAATCATTTGCTTAAGAATGACATGGGCTCCAACCAAGACTCGTACGAAACCGTGGCGGAGAAAATCAGAACCACTATGTGGAGAATCAGACACGTCATCAGTGAACGGGACTGGGCTTTTCAAAAGGCGAACCAGGAACTTGGTTCTCAAAGAGAACAGTTTCTCAAGGAATTTGAAAACGATTTTCTGGAAGCCCCTGCTGCAGAAGACGAGGAGTCTTTCGAAAAATTGGCCAGACTGCAACAGAGCATCTTCGGAATTAGCGAATACATCGACGAGAATACTGTGGATAGATCATTTGTCGATGGAATGAAATATGTGGCAACCTTGAAACTCAGAAAATTTGCATCCAGACAAAGCGAAATCCTAGACCTTTTGGAACAATCTGAACATAGCATACAGGATGCTGGAGAGGCTTTTGTTCTGTTTACCGCGGAAAATACGGAAGCGGCTGTCAAAGAAGCTTGTGATATCGTCAAGGACCTAAGGGCGAAGAATAGCTCGGTTTCGCGCTATGAAGAACTAGAAACGGTCGGCGACTATATAAAGCAACTAGCTGCTTCCCAAGTGGAAAATAACACCTCTTCCAGTGCATGAACCTTCAACAACGAAACTCACTAATTGAATAAAATTATTACTCTAAAAATTCCCTGTATATAGCATAATTTCAAAACTCGTATCCAATGTTTTTGGTCGATTTTCTCCTAGGCCTTCCTGTGATGCTGTATTCCACTTCTTCCTCAAATGGTGTTGCTTGACTCAATTCTTTCTTAATTATAGGTCCCGCAGTCACCGTTTCAAAAGTCTTTTTTTTGATTGATAGCTCCTCTTCGTCAACTTCGACTTTGATATCAAATTCCAGCTTCCGTTTGATTGTAAAACCTTCGCTAGTAGCCCCGCTGGTCTTGCCAACTTCTTGCGCGAATACAATTCCCTGAGCCCAGCCAGCGTAACTTCCCCATCTTTCTTTGAACATTGACCGGATCAGATCGAGTTCATAATTAACCTTTTTACGCGTGATTGGCAGTTCTCTGTACCTCACCTGAAGCTCTTCAACATCTTGTTTTTTAGCATTAAACTTGTAGTCCCTCAGTGCGATTCTTGCTATATGTACATCCACAGGCACTACGTCGTCCATTTCTAAACCTGACAAACAGACGCAATCTGCAACCTTCGGACCAACGCCGCTGAAACCCATGATCTTTTCACGTACCTGCTCGTACTGTAAATGATCCCTCCAAGACTGTAAACATTCGCTATCTGACATCTGAAGTCGCTCTAAGGCCATTTTTCGAGCAGTAGCTATGATATACTTTGCTCTGTAACCGAAACCAAGCACCCGCAGTGCCTCTTCTGAAGCTCTTTGAGCAATTTCGTTGCTGGTTGGAAATGAATAGTAATCGACGCCATCGTAATTTCCTATCAGGTTCCCAAATTCGGTACACAACGCGTGGCACATCTTGGTGATTCGGGATATATTGTTATTGCTCGAGCAAATATAGGATACCAACGTTTCCCACGGATCCTGACTCAAGATGCGTACTCCGCTGGGGCTTTTATTGATGAATTTGGAATCTCGTAGAAGCCACTCATTTTCGTAAAGGGAACCCAGTGGTACTTCTAGTCGGAAATAGCGTGCCAAAAAGTCACCCAGAGCGCGACACTCATTATTCCCAACCGCCGCATATTCTATGCAGTCTTCTTGTTCCTGTTTTACTACTATTATGCTGAACCGATCATCAACTCTCATAGTTGTTGAATATTGGCCTAACTTCTCATGAAAAATCCATCGAAACGCTTGTCCGCACTGCAAAACATTTTTCAGATACAATTCACCCGCCTTGAACCTTAGTTTTCGAAAATGAAGTATACTGGGGGCTATCATGGATTCTATATCTAGAGTCATATATTGTCAGCTCATCGAATTTCATGTCACATCGCTATAATGATCTAAATTAACATTTTCAAATTTCTGATCTTCACCTCACAGAAACGCGAAACATTTTAGATTATAAAATCTTGGTGACCTGACTACTACAAGCATTTTTGGCTTTTACTTGCTGTGCAACCCATTCTAATGCTGTATTGATCTTCCCCAGCAGTGAGTCTTGAAATTGAGTAAATTGTCAAAACCTCCATTTGGGTACAATTTTATGAGTTCGACACTTTGTTCTTCGCTTCGATTAAGGTTTCAAATACAATTTAGAGTTAGCAGAGTAACACTAAGGTATATGAAGACTAGTGCCACATCTCCTGCGTTTCAACGTTGCGCGAAGCGTGTAAAAACTTGGGACACTAAAGAGTTGTGCCATCTTCTGTCAGATTCTGATGGGTGGGACGATTTGGAAGACAGCCCGAGTAAAGCAATGCAGTGTAATGAAGCTGCTAAAACAAATAAAGCCATTGATAGTGATGATGACGACATGTTGATCATGTTTGAGAAACCCGTGGCGAAACCTACCTCCTCTACAGACAATAGACGTCAACTGGATCAGTTTTTACAACGAATCTCTTCGCGAAATGGATCTACTTTGAATCTTACCGGTGAAGCCAACCAGCCGCTTCCTCGATACCCTTTTACTCCTGTCACACATGATTCTTTGTCACACCCAAAGACGAGGACGTCGATAAACCAAGGCATAAGAAGCTTCGCCACAAACGCCCCGTTGAAGAGTAAAAGCACTGAGAGACTTGGCTTTGCAGCATACGCTAAAGAACAGAATGTCTCTAATCAAAGTGCCGCACAGCCAGTGGAAGACCCAAGCGTATCGCCGTCTTTCGAAGAAACCGCATGCCAATCTCCTTCGATTTCTACCGATGAAGACTTTGAGCCAAGTTCAACAGATAGGAAACGACCTTCCAGACGATCTAAGAACCATGAGCTTGTTTTTCTGACGCAAAAAGGAGATCGCGAAGGCTCCGAGGAAGTTGCATCGAGAACCAACAGCAATATTAACAAGAAATTGGTTCAAGGTCTTGTCTTAAGTGAAGAGCAAGAATCTGTGATAGAGTTGGCAAAGCAAGGTTATAATCTTTTTTATACCGGTAGCGCTGGAACAGGGAAGTCTGTTCTTTTAAGGGTTCTAATCAAGACGCTACGAAGAAAATATGGCGCAGGAAGCGTGGCAGTAACAGCATCCACCGGGTTGGCTGCTTGCAATATCGGAGGCATAACTGTGCATTCTTTCGCCGGGGTTGGACTGGCAATTGGAGATGGAAAAAGTCTCTTGAAGAAGGTGAGAAGATCCAAAAAGCATGTCGTCCGTTGGTCAACAATATCGGCTCTTGTTATAGATGAAGTCTCAATGATTGACGGTGAGCTTTTGGACAAATTAGATTATATCGCAAAGTCTTTGCGGAGAAATCAATCGCCTTTTGGTGGAATTCAAGTAATTTTGTCGGGCGATTTCTTTCAACTCCCTCCAGTTAACAAAAACAATGAGGTAAAGACCAATTTTGCCTTTCATGCCGAAGCCTGGAAGGAGGCCATTGATGCTACAATAATGCTCCAAAAAGTTTTTAGACAACAAGGCGACAGTGCCTTTGTGAAAATGCTCAATGAAATGAGAATGGGAAATATATCACCGGAAACTGAGATAGAATTCAAAAGACTGTGTCGTCCGCTTCAGGACGATGATATAATACCGGCTGAGCTTTACAGCACTAGGAATGAGGTAGAAAGGGCCAACATTTCGCGACTCAATGGACTTCCTGGAGGGTGTCACACTTATAACGCCATTGATGGTGGTGACATGAAAGACGAAGCAACTAAGCAAAAACTGCTTTCAAATTTTCTAGCTCCTAAAGAGCTTAAGCTTAAAATTGGGGCCCAAGTTATGATGATAAAGAACATGGATGAAACATTGGTTAATGGTTCATTAGGTAAAATAATCGACTTCATTGACCAAAGAACCTATATGTTTTACGAGAGAGTCAGAAATGAGCCCGAAATCGAAACTTCAGAGCTAGAGCTTATGCGTCAAGGAAAAGTGAAGATGAATGATCCACATGATGATGATGATCTTAATCAAAAAGTCATTAGAAAGAAAATGATGAAGGATTCTTTTTGCAAAGCTGATAGCCAAGTGCCTCATGAGAAGTTGGATGAAAGTATCTTTGATTTTCTACTTACAGCTACGAAAGACCTCAGCGACAGTCAAAGGACCAATATTGAAAGAAAAAAAGTACTGTTGGAGGAAATACGCGCAAGCTCCAGCGGTCGTAAGCTTCCCTTTGTGAGGTTCTTGACACCCGACGGTTCATCAAGACTTGTTCTGGTGCAGCCCGAGGACTGGGCTATTGAAGATGAGCATCAAAAGCCTCTCGTCAGTAGGATTCAATTACCTCTGATGCTTGCATGGGCACTTTCTATTCATAAGTCACAAGGCCAGACTCTTCCCAAGGTCAAAGTAGACCTTAGAAGAATATTCGAAAAAGGTCAGGCCTACGTTGCTCTTTCTAGGGCCGTTTCGAGAGATGGACTCCAGGTTTTGAACTTCAATAAAACGAAAGTGCAAGCACATGAAAGTGTTATGGAGTTTTACCAGACACTCACATCAGCATATGAAGCCAAAAAACGATTCGTTGATCCTAAGTCTAAGGTACACACACGATCATCCTCCCCCAAACCTGCTAAACGAACAACTTCCAGAGTTCCAGAGGAGCGGCAGGACCGAATTACTTCAATGCTACTAAGCAAAAATAAGAAATCCTCAAATGAACTTGATCTTGATGCGCCGGAGAGGGCACGACGTGTGAATGCTAACGCTGACCTTCTTAATTGATAAGTGCTATCTGATGACTTGTATTTAAATGCTGTGTAATAAGCTTGGTACCACATCAAAGCAAGTGAGAACATCACTCTTGGCGCAACTTCTCGTTCACTTTCACTTAAAGAGATGTTACATGTCACCTCCAGTTACCCACTTGACGCTGCTTGACAGGAAATTTGACGCACTCGGAGAAGCTTCGTCTAGCATAATTGTTTTAAACTCAGCAGTGAATCTTCCGTTCGCCAACGAGTAAGGATCATTGACGAGATCTCTACTAGAAAGTTCCAATTCTAGCCCGCTCCATTGAGAAACAACAGCTTCAAGCTCATCCTGAGGACAAATATGCAGTAAATTCTCAAGGACCTCTAGCTGCAAATATATCACTTCTGTCGGTATTTCGCTGTCAGACCATGAAGGATCGAAGAATTTTCCCACCTGCAAAATGGTCGACCAATATTTCTGACAGTTGTGTCTCTTTAGTAAAGCTTTGGTTTCGCGAACGGCAAATTCGAAGTCGAAAAACGCTAACGAAAATTCGATATGCAAAACGAGAATTCTCGTGAATTCCTCGTAAAAATTAGGTGATGGGTTCAATTCTAGGCCAACATACAGTCCCTTGAGAATATCGAAAGTTTCATCGACATTCTTGCGAAGACTTTCGTTTAACTCTAGAAGCTTTGATATGATATCAAATGGTTGTGTCCCCAACTCTAAAAGAACTGAAGGCTTGAAAGGAAGCCCTGGAGAAAGTCGTAATGAATAACGAGACAGTCGGTCAACGACGCTTAGTAAAGTTGAAAGGTGCGCATATTTATTTTTGGGTAAAAGGTCCAAGATTTTTCTCGCGTTCACCATATCGGGTCTATGCTGACCCCCGTTTGATGCAGAATTGAAAAAGTTCCAGAAAAACTTCAATAAAACCGTGTCCTCTATTCTGATTCGAGAGGCCGCAATGAATTGTTCCAATACATCAAACTTTCCAAAGTCCAGTAGAGATTCCACAATGATGAGTTCCTTAAGCTTTGAATCTAGCTTGCCGAAAATAAAATCATTTTGCATGAAGGACCCTAACTTTTCCAAAACTTTGTAAGAAACGTTTGATCGAAGTAATTGTTTGCACGTTGTCGAGAAGCAAGACCTTTGAGCTAACTCGGTGTCTTCTGTGAGCTTTTTGATATCCTTAAGATTAAAAATGCGCAACAAGTCCATTTGATCTGAGTACTGGGTTAGCGTCGATACGTCAACCTGATCTTTAATCACGATGTCATCTTTCACTGAGGATAGAATCAAGTGATGTTCGTCGAACAAGTCAAGATCTTGCAGTGAAGTTAGCGATCGTCCATTTTCGTATAAAATTGAAACCACTTGATGCTCAAATCGAGATCGGAAGTCTTCAGAAATTAAGCCCAGCATTTCGAGGGATATCATTTTGTAGATGTTGTAGTTTGATAAAGAGTCCAATGGGAAGTTTTCTTGGTTGAAAATAATCTCCAGAAAAATGTCAAAACTGTTGGTATAATTCAAATAAGGCATTATCTCGTAGGTTAGTACTGCGCGGTATGTTGAAATCTCATGTGTAGCTATGGATTTCCAAATCATGCCTAAGACTTCGAATGAGCTGCATGACTGAAAGTCACTTATCAACATTGATACTCGGCACCGCTTATTAAAGTGGCCCAAAGGTTTGACAATCCCTGTTACCCAAGCCAGAAATTCTTGGTATTTATCCACGGAGAGTCGGCACCACAGGGATTTGTAGAACATAGGGTCACCCACAGCTGTGTTGCAGGTTAATACTCGAAGTTTGAGGAAATTGAAACGCCAATTAGAATCCTCAATCGTGACGCCAGTTTTCTTAACCCTCGAATCGACATATTCCTGCAACGTGCATCTTCTCTTTTGCAATGCCTCGGGATCCATTTGCACAGCACTGATGAGCTCATCATCCCCTTCGATGAGAGACTCGAGTAAGCCTACTTCCTCTGACGTAGCTTGCCCTAGATGCACCAAAAGTCTCCCAAAATTCGCAGGTTCATCTAGCTCTGGCCATAACACACAGATTATACTTAAAATGTCTGCCAATCGTAAGCGCTTTTGAGACAACAGCAATTTCTCAATGCCACTGACATTTGCTCTTGCTGCAAGGAAGCAAGCAAGAATATACAGCTGGTGGTCAAGCATTGATCTCAACGTTCTCACACACTGTGTATTAAGGTTTTTCTAAATTGTTAGATATGTTATTCATATATTTTGAAATTTGAAAAGTGACACTCAGTTGTCCAACTATCGAACGCATTGAGCTGAAGTGCTGAAAATGAATGGATCTAGCGACGTCAAGACTGTAGAGAAGCGCCTGGCAGTTTATAATCCGGATACGCAGCTGAACGTCTACTTGAATGCAGTTTCAGAAGTCTCTTCTTTGTGTTTTGCCGCGTTGATGGGTAAACTGGAAGATAAACACGAATTAAGTTTAGACAAGATCAGGGAATGGAGGAAAGACATTACACTAAAACGCACCGATGCTGAAATATACTTGGAGTCCGAGAAGTTGAAAGTCCAAATGGAGGGCGTAAGCGCCACAGAGAATATTGATGAAATCAAGTTGCAAATGGATAAGGACCTAGTGAAGATACGACAAAGAAATGAAATCCTGCGACACCGAAACGAAATGCTCCGAGCAATGAACTCACATATTGACCTGGTCAATGAAGAACTCGAAGACATGCAAGGAGGGAGATCAAGATTGAGCGCGAGCCAAGAAGAGTGGGAAGAGCAGTTGGGCGCCAAAGCGGTTGCAACAATGTTACGCGCCAATATTTTCAAGAGACAAATAGTAAAAGTACGAGATGGCGAAGACACCGAGTATGAACATGAGGAGCTGTCAGTCTCATCAAACTTTTCCAGAAACACCGAGGACTTAAGAAGAACTAATGATTCTATGAAGGGAAGTGTTCAAAGGCTGCAGTCAGAATTAAAGGACTATCAAAGCAAATGGCTGCATAATGCAGGACTTTTCGACAAGATCGCAGATGTTTTGAAAGACGAGCTTACAAAAAGAGACCTAATCATACCAGTAGGGCCCCGTGATATGGAAAGTGATGAGCGGAAGGAAGGGCATAATGGGGAACAAGACGAAGAAGGCGACAATGAAGACGAAGATGACAACAATGGAGTCGAGATAGATGAAGAAGACTGGGAACGGGGAGGGGACGACGATGAGGAGGAAGAAATTGAAGGCACCGAAGGTACCGAAGGAGACCACGACATGGACTCCGTATTGCGCGTGAATAGTGATGAAACCTAACTGACGATTGTAATCAAGTAACGTCAAAGGGACTGTTCACAACTCACAATGGGTTGTAGTCGCTCGTAGTAACAATTAGTTTTATTAGCGATTTTATAAGACAAAAGAAAGTTTACTACTCTCCGTTTCGCCAACTCTATCTCGCTTTTCTCTTCAACTCGCACTACTATGATAAAACTCGTTTAGCTTTAAAGATTATAAATCTTTGATATACAAAAACCAACTTAGAAATTAATACTTTATGTTGCGTTTTTCTTATAATTGCAAATTTACACAGTTTCCAAGATTTCGTCCTTGAAACCGGAAGCAACCTTCTTTCCCTTTTCTTCACTAGAGGCTTCACCGTGCAAGGTCATCAAAGCACCCAAGTCGAACTTTGGTTGTTTCAACAATTTAACCTTTCTGATGTGAACATTTTGCAATGGGAAAATGTCCTTGGTAGCGTTTTCGATTTCCTTGTTGATGACTTCTGGGATCAACTTGGAGGTCAACTGAGCCAAAGTGGAGTTTTGCACCTCTCTGGTCAAGATCTCGGAGATGACCTTTCTGATGGCTCTGATGTGGGACGATTGAGCGTAACAGGCCTTCTTGACCTGGTTTTGTTGTCTTCTGGTGAAGGCAATGGCGAACACTCTCAAGACGTAGTCGTCAGCGGTTTTAACGGTGACGTTGGCCTCGATCAAAGTTTGCCATTTTCTAACCATGGATCTGTACTTGTCGGCGGTGAAGTCTAGACCGTGGAAGTTGGTCAATAGGTTCTTACCTTGGACTTCGTCGACTCTCAACTTGACCTTTCTGAAGGAGTGGTCTTCAGACCCTTGTAGGTCAGCTAGACACACCTCAACAACTCTGCCCTTCAAGTAGTCAGAAGCGTTCTTCAAACCGGTAGACTTGTTAACCAAAGTCTTACCGACGTTTCTGTTCTCGAAGGTAGAAGGGGCCTTAATGTCGTACCATTCCTTTCTGGTGAATGGGTCGACGACCTTCTTCTTCAAACCCTTCTTACCCTTGGATAGTCTCTTGTTCTTACCAACAGCCATTGTGATTTGGGGTGTGATTACTGAGATGTGAAGTAAAGCTATGGCAAGTGTTCAAGTTGTGGTGAATTTTGATGAAATGGTTAATATTGCAAGAGTCTAGTGGAACTCCCAGCGAGGACCACCATAGAGCTAGGCAGAACGTAGGCTGAAACCACGCCAAGACTGGACAGGGGCTTAGTGAGAGTCCCATTGGAGTCTCAGTCCAGTCTCTGCCTAGCCACCGCCTGGTGGCCTCTGAGGCTCTGTCTAGCTTCTAGGCTGCTCTGAAGAAACATTTTTCAACCCACGCGAAAATTTGGACTCACGAATCCAAAGGGTTTTGGAAATTTTTCACCGAATTTTTCTTAAAGAATATAATTTTCAGACTGCACGGATTTTAATCCTAATATTTATGAAAAGCAGTCACAAGAAAACGTTATAGATAACGTACGTCATTGAAAGTGAGATATCTATGTACTACGCGATGCATTATGCTTACAGGTATATCAATGGGTCAGAATAATATAAAGTGATGACCAAATCGTATTTTTGAGATAGCGAGTCTGGTCTGGCGCTGCCGCTCGTCTGAAGTTCTTAGACCTCAGGATCCGTTGCAATTTGCAGTTGGTACATGGTTGATGCTGACGGAGATCCACCAAAACCGAAGCTCTAGGTTTGAGGAAATGCGCAAGGTAATAGAGTTCGTCTCCTTTTGCTTGTATACATTTTAGTGTAGCCCGTAAGCGTGTCAGCTCGATAACATGGGCGTTGGTGATGTTGTATTATGGTGTACTACGACTTCGAGTTTCATGCCCTCTCACCACGTGCCGTAAACTAAGCTGCGTAGCTTAGCAGAGTACATTACTTCGTATAATTGTCGCTGTAATGCTTCACTAGAAGGACCACACAATCTCCACTCCCCCGGCAGAGGCACCATGTACCGCGTCTCAGAAGAAAGTCAGATTATTCCGCTGAGCGAAAATCTGCGCTCGCTCTGATTTCTTCACTTGTAGCTACTCGCGGATTTTGTCATGCATATCAAGCCTAGGATAAATTCCCAAATTTTGATGTTATGTTCGAAGTAAAGCTTGGCCCGAAGCGACTACCTTCATCTTCATATCTGTAATAATAAACACTCAGCAAGGCTGCTGTATATGAAGTCTATGCCTCTTGTTCTGTTACTAAATGTCAAATAAAGTGCGGTCCTCTATTCGGAGAACTGAAAGTGCAGAAATGAAAGAGCTATTGAGCAGAATCAGTTTGTTGCATATCCAATGGGCACGATACGCATATAGTGACCCTGTATATTTGGTACTGTTTTTTTCTTTGATCTTCCTTTGCCTAATAGCAGTAACACAATTGCAGAAGAACCCTAATTTGGCAATAAACAGTTTTGAATTGAGTTGAGCTTGGGATAGAAAGATAAGTAACTGGCTAAAAAGAACTAAGAGTGGCAATGGTGCTCAATATTCAGTTCGCTAAATCTAAACATACCTCGATCCAAAGAGTCGGGCCTTTTGTAGCATTACCATGTCTATACAAAGGCTTCAGCAGGCTGGCTAAAAAATAATTTACAGCACGGCGCTACCACGCACCCTGCATTTAGTAATATTTCCTGTTAGGTTTCAGAAGTACCAGGCGTGACAGAAGGGCATTACTATGTGCAACGTAGAAAGAAAGTGATTTCATTAATATCACATTTTGATGCCAGACACCAAATTCGTATTACCGCCTACATCGAATTTAGAACATCATGATGTAACCTTTTCTAAGGCTTGCAAAGCTTAGTAGTGATAACTGTGATCGGCGTTTTAAAAGGGGATACGCTTCGCGATTGTTCCAATGGTCGTGTTCTCTGAAAGTGTTACGACAGCCGAACTGTAGCCTGAATTTCTTCTCACGAAGATACCAACTTAAGCTATATCAACACAGCGCTTGCTCATTCCTCTCTTAGTGACTTACATCGTGGTGTACCTCGAGCTTCTAATTTATCAACTGCTCTATGTCACATAATATTTTGAGACATGCAACACCGTACTTGAAATAATTTTGTAGCATATTTATTCAAACTGTTTTTAGCCTCTTAGCGTCATTTAAATACTTCAAGCATCTCACAAACATTGCCGAAGATTCTAGAGCTAATCCCATTCCATATTTCATCATTTAATCGTCATTATCGCTATTTCGTTTGTTAAGAAAATAAAGGTTCTTCTCACATCTTATAAATAAAAAATCACGAACGCAAACATTACAATATCTTCAGTAGCAGCCCCTCGTTACAGTCCGCTTTTGATATGGCTACTGAGATACCGTCACTTCCGCACCCGAAGAACACATTTACCATCAAAATCGGGCTCATAGGGGATGCTCAGGTGGGAAAGACATCTCTCATGGTCAAATATGTGGAAAATGTTTTTGACGAGGAGTACACACAGACGCTGGGCGTTAACTGTCTCAGCAAGAAAATCACATTGGGCTCCGCCGATATCCTGTTTTATATCATGGACTTAGGTGGTCAACGAGAATTTATCAATATGTTACCGCTAGCATCAGAGGGCGCTAAGGCCATAATCTTTCTCTTCGATCTCACCAGGCCGGAAACTCTCAAGTCAATTAAGGAATGGCACCGACAGGCTACAGGCTTTAACGAACAAGCAGTTCCTTTACTTGTCGGTACGAAGTATGATCTTTTCGTCAATCTCGACCCCGAGTTTCAATCTCAAATTTCAAAACAGAGTATGCGTTACGCTCAGGCAATGGATGCACCCCTCATTTTCTGTTCTACTTCGCATTCTATTAATGTTCAAAAGATATTCAAAATTATCATCGCAAAACTCTACAACCTCACCATGCGTGCCTCTGAAATTAAACAGATTGGCGACCCACTGCTCATATACAAATACTTGGGTGGTACGCGCAGGTCCGCTTCCGCATCGTCCAGCTCCTCTAGCACTTCCACTTAGTCATTATTATAATCAAAAATCGGCATTAATTTATTCAGCTTCTCTCAGATAAACTACTCTATTACTTTCATACTTCTTCGACCCTTCCGATTTGTATTTTCGTTAGGATGGAAAAAGGCACATCACTGCTCTTCAAAACATTTTCATGACTTTATCCTGTTCTAAAGCGCACTTGACATCTTCAATCGGGACACTAAACTTAACTGCGCTCAGGCGCTCATTCTTAAGATTCTGTCTGATGATAACACCCGCCTCAATCAATTGGTTCACCAAAAACTCCCATGATATAATTCGAAGCTGCTCTAATGTCAAGTCTCGGTCTTGGTTGAAAAGTACGCGCTGCATTTCCACAATATACTTGTTTTTTCCATTTGCATCGATGGATAACTTTATTTCATCCACAATATCACCCAGTGGCTGTTCTTGACTGCCAGTTTTCCTAATCAGGCTCACCATTGCATATAGGAACAATTTGGTCGTAAATGGTAAACTGGCTAAGAAAATTACAAGAGGCGAGTTCACCGATTCATTCAACGCTTTCATGATATGAGCGATTTTAACGTACTGTACATCGTCCTCATTGAAAATAGACCGAGATTGTCCATCTTGTGTCATCCCTTTCGGTATCCCGTTCGGCAACCCATCATATCCATAGCCATTATGTTCCATGTATTCATGTTCAGCGATCTCGACAGCTCTTTTGCAGGCTTTAAGTGCTCTTCTTGCATCACCACTTACACTAGCAATTTTTCTGGATGCAATTTCAATGGCGTCTGGAGCTATTTTCAGCTTCACTCTAAGCATTTTACTTGTGTCAACATCGGGCTCCTTGTCATCATCAGTAATGATGTAAGCGCTTCCGTTTTTGGAGTTAACGTAAAAGTAGCTTTCATCAAGTCCCTTTAATCGCAGGTTAATAATCGTCTTCAATTCATCGTGGTTATAGCCCGTAAACATGATTCTGGTGAAACCAATTCTAGATGATACTTTATTGCCCAACTGCCTTTCCGGCAAATCCATTGTGTTGGCCACTGCTACTACGATTAATTTGGCATTAGAATAAGTCGTCCAATTGAAAAAGTTGTAAATGACATCTTGACTCTTGGTCACTAAAGCATCCAGTTCATCTAGAAGCACTAAAATTGGTTTTTTTTTGTTTTTGGGCACTTTGTTGAAATAAAACTCTAAAGATTCCATGGCTGCTCCAGAGGTGAGTCTTTCGCCAGAAATTTTATTCCATAGCACCTCATAACTGTCGGTAGGCTTTATCATCTTCAGTCCATTTATTTCAACATATTGAAAGCTAGGAAGTTCCCTTTGCTCGACAGACTGTAATAGTTCTTTTACAACCTCTCGCACTGTCAAAGTCTTACCAACACCAGGAGTACCTGCAACGTATACTGTCGTTCCTGTACCTGCTTCAATGGCGCTGTATAGACTTAAATAAATTGAAGCAAATTCATTTTCTCGGGCAGGTAGATACTCGTCAAAGTTGGCTGCTTTCATAATCTCATCTTTACCGTGAGAGGTGTAGAGTTGTTGCTTAACTTTGGAAAAAATAGTTTCTGTCGTGTGTTGTTTCTTCGGACTTCTGAGCCTGTTTTCAATTGCTGCGACATCCAAGTCTATCTGATCTTGATTAAATTCTGCAAGCTTTGTCAAGTCGGGGATGTCTTCGGGTCTTTTGAATCTCTTAGAGAAAGGAGTATATGCCTTCTTTGCTCTAGAAACATTTTTCTTCGTATATTTCTTTATGCTAGCTGACGTTGAATCGCTTGTTCTGCTCCTTTTAGGAGAGCGAGAAGTCTTCCGTGAATCGGCCAATTTGGCAGCTTTGCGCGAACTTTTAGAGCTTCTTGTAGAAGACCTTTTACGAGTCCCAATGAATGGTTCTCCAGTTTTTTCTTCTTCTTCTTCTTCTTCTTCTGCATCCTCATCTTCATCCTGGTCCTCGTCTTCATCCTCATCTTCATCCTCATCTTCATCTTCATCTTCATCCTCATCCTCATCCTCATCCTCATCTCCGTCTTCGTCTTCATCTTCATCTATCTTGTCATTCTCTTTCTCTTCTTCTTCTTCTTCTCCTTCATCTTCATCTTGCTTCACCCCTTTTGCTTCTTCTTTTCCTCCCTTGCTCGGCTTTTTCAAATCAATATCGTAAAGATCATCGTCGGAGCTCATACTGGAGGACGTTGCCTCATGTAATGTGAATGGTTTCCTTATTCCTACCTCTAGACCCAATATTTTGAGCTCGTCAGTAGCGTCATCATATTCATCTGATTCCTCACCACTGGAGAGTTCCTTATCATCTGACTCATCCTCCGATTTTTTTGATTTGGGCTCCTGTAACGGGCTCTTGGCAACTTGAGAAGACTGGGAACCTTTTGAGGGCGTACTTTTTTGAACTAGTGCAACCTCTTTTGTCGGCTTTACAATTTTTCTTTTGGCTCTCAATCGAGACTCATGCGTCGTCAACTCTTTAACATATTCGTGAGAGGCTTTAGGTTCCCAAACAATCACATTTTTCTTTATGTGGTGAATATCAATTTTACTAAAAGAGACACCTTCGGGCTCACAAGCAAAACGGACTGAGAACTCATTTTCCTTTAGGTTATTAATCGTACTGGATTTACTATCATCTGCACTTAACACCGTTGCTTTAGCTATGAAATCCGAAAGGTAAACTTCTGTAAGTTCTGCCGTCAAGCAGAGTTCATTTGAGCTACAGGTTTGTTTGAAAAGTTCAGTAATTTGCTTGTCGCTCATCTCGTACAAATGTGTACCCTTTGGTAGAGCTTTGGGGCCACGGGCTCGTAGATAATCGCCAGGATCAAGTTCAAAGCTTTCCAGATATGTGAATGCCCAGACCTCTACCAGGTGGTTTAGGGTATTCAGTCGAATTTCGTGGACCATATATACAGAAAATGAATCTGTCACCGAGTCCTTCATCACGATTGAGTCACCGCACCCGAATTCGACGGAATCGCTGATTCTCTTGAGTGAGATGTGCTCTCGCTCGCCGCTTTTTTCACCCCTTCTGCGGATGCGTCTTGTTTCCAGATTGTCGCCTAAAATAGAGCCCTCGCTGTCTCTTTTAATAATCTCCCATCCTTCGAGCTCGTTCTGAGTTCTAGGTGTTACCATAAGGGGCAATTTATATCAAATGGAAAGGCGCAATTGGTTGTCAATACAACTGGTACGCACTTTGTTTTGAAATAAGTACCAGTATCAACTTGTTTTGACTTACCGTTGATGTATTGTTTTGCTTGCCCCAACCGTCAAAAATGCTATGGAATTAACTATCCCTCCATGCTGAGCAGTGAACTCTCCGACAAGTTCGGTACCCGTAGTAGCGTAGTTTCGACGTTAATGAATAGTCCACTTGTCTGAAATTCAACAGATTTAATATATTTGATATCTGTGCGTTTCGCTTATTGAGTAAAGGCTCATGGAAAGACGCGCTTATGGGTGTGCTGCGAGTCCTTCAAGCCCGCTCTTTTAAGCTGACAAACACTCGCATGGCAAAACCACTGCATTTTCCATGAACATGTAACAGAATAGCTTATATGTCCATCTTTCTTCATGTCACTGGTAAGCAATTTGATCTATTAAGTGCCGTGACAGTACGGTAAGAAGTGATAATTGATAATGGCTACATAAACGAGTGACACCTTATGGAGTTACCATAGCAGTGATTATATCTATTGAGGCAAGCCTGGTTCAACGATAGAAAGCTGGCTTCTTTTTGTGTGTAGCTCTTCCATAATTGATTGAGTAAGTTTATACGTAGATGAAGGTTGTGAATATCTCTCCATTGTGATGTGAAGGATCTCGCCATAAAGAATAAATCATCTGTACTCATACAATTTTTTGGAGGGCGACCTCTGACAATGAGAAAGGTTCTAAATCGATAGTTAATGTGTCAGCCTCCATTCCTCGCACGCCAAACCTCCAAAGCAATAACAGTGAAGCAGTATAACTATACGAACTATTCGACACAACGTATAAACCCAAGCGTTCTGACACTGTCTAAATTGGTATACTGGGTCGAATATCAGATCTGTCACTCGATACTATTGTGTCATGAGGCAACTTGGCAATGTTTACCTTTCATCCCAACGATGTTTGACGTGAATTAATAGCAGCAAGATCCAGCTCTTTATTGTTGTGTCTATTAGTTTTCTTTCCCGGGAGGCTCTTCCACGATTATCTGCACCAATTGCGGGTCAGATGTCGTAAGAAAACAAAAAGCACCTGAATCTTTTCAGCTTCAAAGTTCGAAGATTTGGTTTCTGTATCGTTTCGTTCGATTTAAACGACTAACCAAAAACTTCACGTCCCGACATGCTTTTTTTAATCAATTGCAAACCTACGGGGTGACATTCTGGTTTAGCAATTGTCGATTTGGGAGATGGTGATCTTCTCTCCAGCACATGCATATATTTCAGCGTGAATTCTTAAAGTGTCTGATATTTGAGAGGCTCTAGAATAGTCACTAAGCTCCGTCAGCCCTGCTTCTTTCTCTCATAGTGAGATCTTACCTAACTTATCATATATGGGGCGCCTAACTTCGATATAACGTGTATAGTTACACCTTAGTTATTACTTTCTTTACATAGATGCCCCACACATAAACATTTCCAGCACTTATCAGTTTAGATTCTTGATGGCCTCAAGAATCTAGCGGGCCGATTTGAAATGCTGATACACCGCTTCGGTAAGGTCGTGGTCAAACCTTTCGAGAATCTGAGCGCTTTAGACCGCCTCATACAGCTGTTAAGGCTTGGATCATCAGTGATGGTTATCATTTTCACGGCCCTCCTCACTTTGGGCGCCTTGGTTTCCCCTAGTAAAATATACATGGGCAGAATGAACAGTTCTTCAGCCAATATCGCCGATGGCTTGTTCCAGGTCTTGACGCTGTCTGTAGAGGAATCTTTTGCCAATTCCATAAACAACGCAGTTGGGCTTACTACGGCAGAAATATTGATTTTGACCGAGTACACAGCCTCACAGGTCAAGTATACACCCCAGTACATTGTTTCATCTCTTTATGGCTGGTGTCGTGTGGACAACAAAACCGCTGGTGAGAGAGGATCAAAAGCACAAAATTACACTTCATGTACTAAAGTGGGTTCAGACTACATCTTTGACTATAGGAACCTCATGGAAGAAGTAGGCCTTGATGTGATTTTGGACTTTGCATACAGCACTTCTGGAAGTGACTACTACGAAGAGGATGCTTCCTATTCGCATTACATGAGTGTTAGTAAGACAATGAAAGTTCGCATGATAAATCTACTGTACGTCGTTGGAGTTAGCCAAGTGCTGATGCTGACCTTTACTCTGTGGTATTACTCGATAAAAGGAAGATCTCTCAATCAACTGAAAGAGTCGCTGATGACTCACATAATATCAATGCTTTCGCTACTTGTATGCATATGTGCATTGGTAAGTACCATCTCCTTGGTCTATTTGAATCTTCAAGTCCGATCAAAAATAAAAAGTGAACTTGATGTACTCGGCATCTCTTATCACTTGGGTAGTGCGTGGTTTTCCTCACTCTCTCTCTTAGCCTTTTTCTCATGCGTTTCCTGTGCAGTTTGGTCGGGGCTCGTATGGTGTATTACTGACCAAGGAATACTTGATGACAATTCATATGAGCTAGGTATACTTGCGTCTACAACTCAAAGCATACAAGAAGAAGATCCGCTCAAAAATACAGACGTTGATCTGAGCGACTTACCAAAACCTTCGATAATAAGGGCAGGCACCTCGCAATCAAGACTTCTGGACTCGAATTCTTTAGAGATATTGAGGCCTGTCGCTACATCTAGGTCGAACTATTCTTTCGCGGAACAAAAAGCCGTCGAACCAAGATCAGCATTTAATTTGTAAAACTTTGACGTATTACGTCGAAGACAACAGGACAAATAACCCAAAACTATAAGAACAGGTTCGAAATTGATTATGTTTCTGCAAGTTTTATAGTGTTAAACTAAACTAGGTTCAATGCGGCCAAAATCTCTATTCAATAAAATGAAGAGCCCGCTTCTGGCATTTGCGACACTAGCGTGCCTCTGGTTTTCAATACTCATCATATTGTTCAGTTTGGTACTCCTCCATTTGCCGAGTGTATCCTGTACTTCTATAGGCGGACCGCGGTTTTGTGTTCCTCAGTACAAAATCCAGTTTTTGGAAGTTCCAGATGGCGATCAAGATCTTCTGCTTGGAGCCAAAGATTTGCTGACGCTGCTATCTTACGTTGCAGTAGATCTAAACTCAAAAATAAGGCCTGCAGTTCCGACTGACTATGATGACGTTAACCTCGTCAACACCTTCAACCCTTCTAACACCTTCAAAATCAACCATTTGGGCTATTGCAAAGAACAGCCGGGCGTGAAGAAAATTCCAAGCTACTGTAGCGATAATGGCAATGGGCTTGAGCTAATTTCAATGCTGGTCAGAGACGTTGGCGTTCAATTTGGAATTACATCTTCCAAGAATCCTCGAATCATGGGAGATTCATTTGTGTACGCGTTCAAATTAGGACTACGTACCTTAGTGGAGTCCCGTAGAGGAAATCCAAAATCCGGGAGCGCTTTCTCAAAATATATCCCTAGCGAGTCAAGTTCACCGCCCTTGGAAGGTGATCCAGAAAGCTTTAGCCGGTGGAGCGGAGTTGCAGGATTCTTGTTGCTCATGCAAAAATTCTGTTGGTCGATGAGCTTGATCAACCTAGTGGAATTCTCAATGTGCATTCTCGTTATTGTTTCCACCATAATAATGGCTCCTGCAGCTCTCACGGGGAGAAAATCTAGCAACTGGCATATGGTCGATGAATTTGGATGTCTTGTCCTCAAAATAATTCCAATGCTAACAGTAATTGTTAGTTTTCTCGGGGTTTTCTCCTCCAGCCTGTTTCACGCGACGTTAATTAAGTCATCTGCAACATACGGACTTTCGCACAGATATTATGAGCTCCAGATTGGAAGTGGGTTTTACTTGAGTATTGTTAGACTGATCCTTGAGTGTGTTTTGCTCTGGCAGATCTTGAAATTTAACAAACATATAAAGAAGGTGGAACATACCTCAGGACTAAGCCCCGCGGTGGTTGAGAACTGGCATAAGGATCTAGAAACGGATTCGGTGTTGTCCTCAGGTATCACCGTTTAGGCTCAAACCCCGCAAAGAGCTTGATTGACGATCTGGCTGAGCTGTAAAGTGCTTGTTGTTTCCTGAAGCACTTCTTTCCGGCGCGAGAAATCATGGTTTTAATTCAAGCTATGGACGATAGTGATCTACAGGCCGTTACCAAAACGTGGTCTGAGACGAATTCGAGCTCGGAAGGGACTCGCAAAAGCACCTTTTAGTACGCTGAGAGATGATGAATGTTAATAAGCCAAGGTCAAAGTACTACCGGAAACTCTGAACGCCTATTTCATTGTGAAGACCTGTATTTGGAGGAAATCTGGCATATCGTACATAGCTTACAGAAGATAGAGTGGCGAGTAAGACATTGGCTGGTCTTAACATTGTATAGCTGAAATCATAAAAGTGAATCAGCCCGTTGGCCGACTTTCTGGCTAACAATAGCACTGTATACGTGCCAGTGTATGAATCTGTGATAGATGCCTTGCGTTTAATATAGGTAAATGGCCTTTGAAAAAGTAGACAAATACGAGACTCAAAACCGTAAAATATTTGTATTTGAAGCACCTATGGCAGGGTTAAGGACATTTGATGCGTTTCGTAAGTAACCAGTACACCATTATAGTACCCTTCAGAGCAATTAAGGAGGCACTGTTCATCGTTCGAACAAAATTTATACTAACAAGTTACATAGCCAAAACGGACGCACAACATGTCAAAAAATCATCAAAAGGTGGCTTTACTTCAATCCTGACATATCTTTTCCTAGCGTTTATCGCATGGAGCGAGTTTGGGAGTTTTTTTGGTGGATATATCGACCAGCAGTATGGGGTCTCGAATAATCTGCGAGAGACAGCGCAAATAAACATGGATATCTTTGTGCACATGCCGTGCGAGTGGCTGACTGTGCTTGTCCAGGACCGTACCGGTGACCGTAAGCTTGTGCAAGAAGAGCTGTCTTTGGAGGACCTGCCTTTTTATCTGCCTCCTGGTACAGTAGTGGACGGAAGAAACGAAATACGATCTCCGGGCCTAGACGAGATTTTAGCAGAAGCGATCCCTGCAAAGTTCAGAGAAAAGTTGGATTTTTCAGGTGTCGCTGATGGTCAAGAGTTTGACGGGTGCCATATCTTTGGATCCATTCCTGTCAACATGGTAAAAGGTAGTTTGCTGATCACTGCGCGAGGCTACAGCCTTGGGGACTTTAGAAGGACTCCTCCAGATCTCATTAACTTCTCTCACGTCGTCAATGAGCTGTCTTTTGGCGACTTCTACCCGTTCATCGATAACCCACTTGACCAGTTAGGAAGACTCACTAACGATCCACGCACAAGCTATCACTACCAGACCTCCGTGGTTCCCACAACGTTTAAGAAGTTGGGTGCCAAAGTTGACACCAATCAGTACTCACTCAGTGAGAGCGAGTACACAGTAACAGAGTTCAACATGCGAATTCCTGGTATCATGATCACCTATAACTTCGAGGCTTTATCAATCACCATCAGTGATGAGAGAATTTCTTTCTGGCAGTTCATCGTCAGACTAGTGGCCATCCTATCATTCATTGTTTACACGATATCCTGGACATTTAGGCTCACCGATAAGGTTCTGGTTCTGGTTCTAGGTCCTAGATGGTCTCTTCGCTATCAAAGTGATGGTAGACAAAATACCGGTATTTTGGAATGATCACTTAGCATTGTACATACCACATTCTTGAAATTAAAGTTATAGATTCAGCACAGAGAACAAGCATCAGCGTACAAATTGTCTATAAAGGTACATGGTTATGGATAATAATGCCGTCAGCACGAAGTCTCGTGTTGATCAAAGTGCTGGTTCTCTCAGCAGAGAGAATTGTGGTTTGGAACATTTAGCCGCCGAATGGCAGAAAAACGAACTGAACAAGAAAATGGTGCGCGAGGACATGATGAAGCAGGAAGTACTTCAGCGACTAGACCGTATCACTGAATCGATTAATGCAGACTGTAGAAAAACGACAGTAGGGTCTGACCACGCTCCGGTGAGTCGTTTGAACTGGGATGAGTTGTACGAGACTTCTGCGAATGTAATGGATCTATACACCAAAGAAGTCGACGATTGTTTAGCTGAGCTCGACAAGTTTTACAGGGTGAGTAGATTGTTTTTGTTTCGCGAGCGCGAGACGCTTATTGTGTGACATTGCGCGATATACTAACTATGAAATTACAGAAACAATACCTTTGGCAGGAGGCTGCATTCACCATCGATTCACATCGCGGCGCAGCACGAATTGGCGTATCTGAGTCCTGGGTCGTAAACAAAGAGACACATTTGGAATACATGAGGCAAGAACTTTCTTCCTCAGCAAGGGTGATCAAGAAAACGCTTGAAGAACTATCTCGAAAATAGCAGCCTACATATGATTTCATGCTAGTGATCTCGTCTGTCTATTTTCACTTGACCGCGTCCTCAGGTTTGGCCAAAACGCGAATTCTTACCACCATCACTCTTTGAGAAGGCTTTTTGACCTAGCTCTCCCTGTTGTATCTTATCTCTCACATCCAATCAGTGTTGCATCATGAAGAAAGATATTTTTCAGATATCCATCGTACTTGGAACAAAGTAGCTAGCTACTCTTGCCCCCTGGCAAGGCTATAGGCTCCTATCCCAATAATTATAGTGGGCTCCTGGACGAAAGCATGCCTCTGTCAAAAAAACTGTTTGAACTCGAAAATCTTACCAGCACAAGCATTCGTTGCGAGGAGTCAGTCGCTGTATACTTTAACTATCTATTCAACTTTTGGTTTCTTTGTAGGTCTGCTGTCGTCCTCACCCTCTACCTCGCTGTCGCTAGCCGGGGCGTCCGAGTCAAACTCTTCCGCCACATCATCCTCGGAGCTGCCATTGAAGTCCTCGTCTACTGATTCGTCATCCTCGCCTGCGGAGCCCATGTTTATGTCTTCATCGCCACTATCGGATCCAAGTGCACTCTCGAGTCTCTGTTGGGCTTCTTTCTCTTCGTTTTTCACTCTCAAATTTTTGGATTTCAAAAAGCTCTCGAGCAACTGTTGCTCTTCTTTCGAAATATTGGCAAATGTGGTAGTCCCACCATTTGCACGCAAGATAACTTCTAGATCAAAGGTTCTAGCGGATGTAGTTGTTTTACCCGCTCTTGAAATGTTGACCATGCTAACTTCGCTGAATGGCATGTAAATTGTAGGTTTCGTTAGAAATAGGAAAGCATTGTCGAGCGGATACAAATGTCCTTCATTAGCTTTGAGCGAGCATGATACAGCGCACTGCTCGTATTTGGACTTGTATTGGCCCGGAACTATGACTCTGCGTCCTGTCAAACCTTTCAATACATGGCTTAGAACAACGTGCGTCTGGGCGTCGTATTGTTTCATGAGCTTGTCTTTGTACAACTCCTCAAACTCTTCATCTTCGACATTGAGCTGGACTTCTGTCTCTTCAGTTCTCTGGAATTGCATCACCAGATATGGGTAAGATGTTTGTCCTTGGCGTAATGGAGGTTCGATGGACAGTACCATCAAATGGTGAATGTCGTCAGCTTTGGGCAAAGAAAAAATCCTTTGAATTTGGCGCTGTTGCAGCTTATATTCATATGTTTTACCTCTGAGTCTAATAGAGTTTTTGTAGATGTCAATGTCGTAACGGCCTCTTGGAGTCGTGAAGAAGACGTCTTGAAATGATACAATGGCATCCCCTGAGACCTCGCCAATGTCAGCCTTCTCTTTAAGTTCTTCGTAGAATGATTCCGCGGTAGATTTTTGTTCTTTTTCCGTTTCCACGCCCTCTTGGTCTTCGACCTTAGGTTCGTCCTCCTTTTCGTTCTCATCTCCCTCTTGTATCGTGCCCGGTACATGGAACCTCATTTCCACAAGCTCATCCCCAGCTGGGTTATAGTCTTCCTTAGCGAGATCGAATTCAACGGCTACTTCAGTTTTTGCAGTCAGGTTCGTGTTACTGATATGCGCATATGGAATTTCGAAGGTAGGCTTCCCATTGTATGCGAAAACCATTTCGTTACGGGCCATGTCGGCTTTACCCCAATTCCAGCCACGCATTGAGTGCTCTCGTTGCTCAACCTGCACATTGAACCTTCTTTTGAAATCATTTTTGACCAAATTGAAATCCTCTTGAGAGAATCCATCCAGTTGCACCACACCTTGATTTTTTGTGTTTATTTTCAACTCGTAGCCTCTACAGCCTCTACTCCAGTGTACCGATGCCAACTCAGTGGCGGGAAGTAACAAAGGCGCCTTCTGCTGTCCCGCTGTAGATCCGCCACTATTGGAGATCTTCCATCCCAGCCCAGAGTCCGCAATACGAAATCTTCCGTTAGACTTTGACTGATTGAGATAGATACGTTCAAAATCAGTGCTCATAACTGGTTGCGGTGTCAAGGAAACTTATTGATCAAAGATTCAAGAAAGTCAGAGTTGATAGTTAAATGTGCGCTCTTCGTTGATATTTGATATTGACAATTTCAGAACTTGGAAATTCAACCTCTCCGGGTAATAACTTACTGGGACGTAATGTTAGAGAATTCTTGGAATAAGTAGCTTAGAGGCCGTCGAAAATCCTGCTTCACTGAGCTTATCTGTTACTCTCATTATATCATCTATTTTGGTAAGGTTTAGCTGAGCCTACAGATCTTGAAATAAATCATAAATCTTCGCTATTTTAAGCTATAAAATCATAATCGTTCGCCCATATTCATCTCTACATATATATAAATTATATCTACTTTGTTCGTGGGCTGCGCGGGCTTCACTAAAGCTGTGTGTTTTTCCTTTTCGCGTCTGTCATTACACGCTCTTTTGAACACCCTTTAAGAATTCAACAAAGCCGATAGCGCCTGGGTCTGGAATTTCAGTTGAGTCACTCACGTAGGAAGCTCTACCGAATTTTGCCTCGATAGACCCAGTGGATTTGGCACCCTTTTCGGCGGCTTCGATCGCTTTAGCAAAATCGTTCGACGACGCAAACTCCTTGACGAATGGTTCTAAAGCATCAACCAGCGTTGAAGCACCAGGTCTAGCCTTGGTGTACTTGTATAGAGTATCCAAGGCGATGGTCATAGCTTCGGACAGCATCTTAGGGTCCACCTGGTCGTCTTTATTTTTGACAACTTGAATCAGTCCGTGCGACAATCCTGAAATCATGATGGAATATAATCCACCCGAAGTTCCGCCCATATAACTTTCAATGTGATCTGAGATTTGGGCCAAAGCCTGTGACAGATAGGTCCTGTCGAGGCCTTCCAAGTTCTCGGTGATACCCTTGGCACCAGCTACCAAAGTGTACCCACAGTCACCGTCGCCAACTTGCGTATCTAGTTTAGTGATGTGAGGTTCGCTCTCGATAAGTTGATCTGCGCCTGATTTCATCATCTTGGCGAAATGATCGAAATCAAATTTTCCAGCAGGCTTGACCTTAATTTCGTCTTTGAGTTGCGACTCATCAACTTCTGGTGCCTTGGCATCGTCGTGACAAATATGTGGCCAGCCTGGAGCATCAGTAGGAGCCCTCAAGAGCTGCAAGACACACTCGACCTCTGAAAATTCTTTTTTGAGCTGCTTGGAGGCCCGGGAAGCGTTCAAAAGTGTAATGCTGAAACCGTCCATGCCGAAAGAAGTCATCAAGGTACCTGTGATGGTCTGCACAGGGGTAATGTCGTAGTTTTTCTGCAAAAACTCTGTGGTCTTGGCAGCAATTGCAGAAATGACAAAATTTGAGACACCACCAAGGTTGTTGATTAGCAAAACTACTTTGTCATCCTTCTCAAAGTCCACGAAGTGTCTGTCCTTATCTTTAGGGTCCAAAAGCTTGGGCAACATGTCCTTTTCTATCAACTCCTCGGTGTTTGGCACAGGCTCGAGCACTTTGACACCAGGTTCATTGTGAATACCCATTCCAAGCTCCATTTTGTTTTCGTTGAGTTCAGTCTCGAACTTACGGCCTGGTACTTTGCAATGGTCCAGAGAAGAACCAATGGTGACCAAGTTTTCGGTTACGATCTCGGCGACACGAGCGGTCCCTTCGAGCCCATGCTTGTCCGAGAATTTCTCAGCAAACGCACCGGTGATCTTGTGCACCAGCACCGTTCCGGCAAGCGCTCTGCGACCGACCAGACCACCCTTCTCTCTGCCAACGGCGACGTCGTCTCCGACGACAGCCACTTTACAATTGATTCCCAAGGCCCGCGCGCGTTCCGCGGCAAGCCCAAAATGCAGCACATCGCCGGTATAGTTCTTCACCACCAGCAGAACACCGCTGGACTGACTGTTGAGCAGTTTGATACCGTTCAAAATCTGCTTGGTCGATGGACTGGCAAAGATGTCACCACATACGGCGCCACCCAGCAGGCCCTCTCCCACGAATCCTGCGTGGGTAGGTTCGTGGCCACAGCCACCACCAGAAAGCACTGCGATCTTCTTAGGGTCTGTCTTGCGGAAAAACACGTTTTCGTGCTCCACAAACGTCAATTGAGGGTTTGCCAACGCAAATCCCTTCAAACTGGCTGCCAGCGGTTCGGAAACTTCGAACGACTTTACACCTGGCATTCTTCAATCTTTTTGTATGATTATTCGGTAGAAACTCGGGCAATTGCAATGCGTATACCTCAGTAAACTACTTGCTGATCTATTGCTAGCCTTCAACTGCTTCCTTTGTTTCGAAAACTCTAGATGTTTATATACTTTATAATCGGTATTTGGTAATGTTATAAAATGGACTTCCAATTTGCTTGTCGGTACTCCGGCTACGTCATTGAGAGATTTTGACATATGTCATTGTGCACGGGATCATCTTCCGTATTCGAACTAGACACCATCCGAGACCTTCTTGTTGTATTTGCAGTATTAGGCCTGCGGGTTGTACGATTATTCTTATGGCGCCATATTTATGCCATCCAATTGCCAAGCTTTTTGCCAAGCTCCGCTTGTCTGCGTGTTTTTAGGAGTTGGTTTGCTTCGGAACTCGAATTTCCTGTTCTTGATAGCAGCAACCACTGGTTTTACCCCGGGTTAAAAACGGTTACTGGTCGCAATTGTTCAGTAATAACCCGTGGTATCATCTCTTGTAATCCTCATCGGCAGCAATTTGGCTTGGTAGCGTTTGTTAGTAATTGCGATTCGACCAGGTAAAGGTCTCGGCTGGTGCTGGAGGAAGCTGTTGGTTTTCGTCGAATGACGAACGACAACGTGGTATAAAGTGACAACGTGGTATAAAGTGACAGAGCAGCATTTCGCTTTAAACGATCAAAAGAGGGAATGCGGTGACTTCACACAGGGGCGTAGTGGCCCGCCCGTATTCGGGTATGGTTTCGTTGGTGTGCTCGAGGATTTGCGGCTGGGACAGTTAGTTGGGAGATATGTCGTACCATTATGGTACAAAGTGACATGGCGCCAGAGAGAGAGGTAATTCTACACGGCACAGACTCTGTAGGCCAACAGGGATTTCTGGTACTCGGCCTACGATCACACTACTACAATATCTGCACGATTCGATGCCCGGTTCCGATTCGGCATTGCCATATCTTCAAGTGCGCTATTTGTTTTATTCAGCTGGCATAGCTCTTATTTGGCTATACACGCGAATAGACTGGCTGTACGAGAACTTTCGATTTTGACCAGCTTGGGTGAACCGCCACGCCAATGAAAAGGGTCGGCATAACACTGGAAGCACAAAAGACAGTTGTCAAGAACACCGAACCAAATTTGCAGCGGGTACTTACAGCACAAAAAAATGGATAATTGTATCAATGGCTGTGGTGTAATGCTTTAATATAAGTTCGATGCCCAAGATCTGCAAAAATCATGGAATAGTTATGTATCGTCGATTTTATAACAATTCTAGAAGCTGATAACAGTGCCAGCGTGTTTGTTGCTGAAACGAATTTAACTTCAACGAGTTCGCCTTAGGCGAAAGCGATCGAAAAAGGAAAAAAAGAACTCAGTCGATCATAAACGATCATCATTCAAATCACAGCTCACAATACCATACATTCACAGTAATGAGGATTGACAGGATAACCCACAAGCATTTCATATTGCGTTGTTTATAATCCGCAAATAGTATGCAGGCAATTTAATATGTCCATTGATGGAAATATACAAAAACCCTAGGCGAAGTCGGCCTTATGTGGAAGAACAGAAAAATATTTGGTTTCTGCCACATTACTATCGTGCTTCAATCGCGTGCTCTTGTTTAGGCCGCACCTTTGTGTTCGCAAGCGAAAGGCATCGTATGAAATCCTCCAGAGTAACACTATGCCCGATAAAAAAGGCATGGAAAAGCTCAGCAACTCATTCCTCTCTGTTCCATATATTCGTAACGCCTCTCATAAAAATTTATCGGCCTCGACATAGTTGGCAGGAAAGTACCCTCTTTGTTTCGTTCGTATAGCTTCACCATACCACCAGCCCGGATCGCTTTTCTTGACTACCTTTATTACATCACTGCGGTGAAAGCTCAGGTCTCCCAAGTTATGGCCTTCATCCGAGGACGTATAGTTGTACAAGGCCGTCGCGTAAAGCGTTGGGATAGTGCCATGAACAGCACTGTCTCGAAAATGTACTTTAGCGCTTTCTTTAGCCGAGGAAAGTGTGGCGTGGTACAATCGATCAAACTTAGTGACTTGGAAGCCACGCATATGCACAGTGACGTGGTCAAATTCAGCGTGAAACTTCGCCACTGTCTCTGGAAGTGATAACAGACCCTTGTGAACAATGCCAGTTGGCTTCTGTGGGAGTTCCATGGGCGTGGCAGAGGCTGCTGCTATTAAGTTAGTTTCATCGATCCCACTGGACGACAGAAACTCATCTGCTCCATCCATCATTTTCATGACCTCATTGTGACACCCAAGGTTGCTGTAAAGAGTGAAAGCTATTGAGTAAGAGGTCAAAATAAAACTGGCGCCCCATTGTGCCAGGAATCTCCCGAATAACTTGAACAATACCTGCAGCTCGATTTTGATGGTTGCAGTAAGGGATTCGTACTTGAGTTTCTCCAGTTCGAGATCTCGCGCATACCGCATCTTATTGCGGGCCTGTCGAGGGGGCATTTTTTTTCGTTTCTTAGCGTTTGATTTATTGTACTTTTCTGTGTAGCTTTTCAAGTCCACAATGCAAAAATCTCGCTCTTTTAAAATGCATTCAATTTTCAAACACAGCTGCGTCAATTTTACCAAAGGTTGTCTCAAGCTTTCGTCAACAAATTTCAAATTTGCCTCGATTCGCCCGCGAACAGCTTCCTGTCGGCTTCTAAACCTACCAATATCATGCTTGCTAACAAACTCCACAGCATCGCTTTCAGAAGAGCCAATCGTAAATGGTTCCAACGGTGAGCTTAACGGTCCTTCAGAAAGTATATTGTTTATCGCAGCACCGGTTGCCATAGCAACGGTAGTGCTCATCGCAGCAGGAGACCTCAAAGACCTTGCAGCTGTCCATTTCCGAGAGTTGTTAAGCACGTATTCGAATTGGCTAGAAAGGGCAAGAGATCTTTCCACGAAACATCTAATCCCAGTGGAATATTTATCGCAGTTTAGCAACAAAACTTTTACAAGACACTTGAGTTCTTTGAAGTCTCTATTGACCTCATCGAACACCGGGTCTTGCACTGGCGTGCCTGCGCTAAGTTTTTGTCTGATGATTTGTGGTTTTCTGTGCACGCTCCTCTTTAAGTGCACGAAGTCCTTATCATTGACAAATTCTTGTACTTTGCAGCGAACCTTTCTCTCCACTACCATATCGATTATGTTTGTAGCAGCAATCGATCTTTTCTTGGTTCATGATAGTGGGATTGTTGTTGTGTTGTTGTTCATCCGTCGTTTTGATACTATTTTTCATATTTGTGACGCTGGCACGCTGACGCCGAAAAACATTTCGAGGCACTAAAAAGAAAAAGATAAACTAAGGATGGCCCGGATTTGTGCCTGGCCATGCTAGAATGAATCTCGGCTTCTGTGGTTCAGTTTGGGAACTATCATTCTCGAAAATCTCCTGAAAACGTGCTCGTTCTTTATCATCATGTTGCCCTGAAAAGATGATCGAGCATTTCTCTTTGTAAATGTGTAGAAGTTGAGTAAAGGACTCAATCAACTTGCTCTTGAACCTGGGGTCAGAAAACGTTGTTCTCAGTAACTGCTTCCGCAACTTGGTCACTGCTTTATATCGTGTCGCGATGGTCTTATGGCCTGGCTTATTACCATGCACTGAAACATCGGCTGGGTTCAGCAGCACTAGTGACGCATAGTAAAGCATGATGTGAACATGAAGTGGTAAGAATTGAATTATCCCTCTTATATCATCATCATCTGTTGCTAATTTTATTAGTGAATGGGCAGCAGATCGGGATATTTCGAAGGAAGCGTCAATAAACTTCTCTATATCATCATTTACTGGCTCTGATTTTTTAGATGAGTGCCAAACGTTAACGAGGTCCTTCCTAGCACCATCGAAAGTTGTAGATTTGGCACTTGCCAATAGAGCTTCGGCGTTTATATGCATTCGAGCAAAGTTGTAGTACAGCAGTGTTGACTTCAAGCACCATGAATCGCTTTGGAAGTCTATATTTTGCAAAGTGATTGTCCATGATATCATCCATTTGTCTAATTTTAAATTGCTTTCCCAAGGAACACCAAAGTTCGAAGGGTGGAGCAGTGCCATTGAAGCCTCTAAGGATTTGTCGTATTGCAGTGTGCTCGTTTGATTGTTAGTGAACACAGACTCCATGGCCATATGGTACTCGACTTGGCCCAAGAGCCTTAGCTCACTTAGCGAAATCTCAGATATGGGCATTTTTCTACATTCCACTTCATTAAGTAACTCCAACTGTCGGTTATTTACCACTTTATCTTTAGAATTGTGGTTTTCATTCAGTACTTTACGAACTTGAGGGTTCGGCATTTTATCGATGACATTTTTTCGAGAGTTCTGAAGGAGAGTTTCTGATCTCTTATATATTGAAGGACTTTTGTGAAATGTAAGATTTTGATTGCCATCGACGATGTATAGCAGGTACCAAAGCCGGTGCAGGGAGGAAATATTATGAGAGGAAGCGTCAAAACTCGGTTGGTCAAGCCTATTAATTCTAGCCAATTGTATAGCAACAGAAATGAACATTTGCCCTGATTCCAGCCATAGCGCTCCGATAATAAGTCCTAGAATTACGTTTTCAACTTGATCCGCAGGAACCTCGCGTATCAAAGACTGGGAAGCATAAAAATCCAAATTTCGCTTCAAAACTTCAAACTTCGATGCCAGTTTAGGATGATGAGAACACGAGACGGTGCATATTGATAGTAGCAGAAGAGGTGACGTTTGCCACAATTGATGAACATCAAGCGCCCTCACGTCATAACCAAATAGTTGAGCAACAAAATTCTTAATAAACGTTTCAAAGAGCTCTACTGCATCATCTTTAGTGAGAATCTCAGAAATGCGAACATCGTCGCAATCATATGGCCCAGTTGGAACGTACCCATCTAATTGAGTCTCGATTTCTGCAACAGTCGTTATGTTGGAAGGCCGTGGCAATTCTAGCCGTTGACTTCCATTAATTTGCTGCTGTAGCAAGTCCATTTGTTGCTGTTGTTGGGACTGGCTGGTCTGGAGAATGGACAGCACCGATTCTAAAGCGTTCTCTAAAGTGCTTATTCGGGAGTCCACGCACTCATTCCAATTCGATGGACGCTGAAGAGCTTGGTTGGGCAGTAGCTCTAAGTTAGGTTGTGGCACAATTTGTTGTAAAGGCTGAGGTCTTCTGGTCGTAGTCCCAAGGTCGTTGAGCGCTTGATCCGAAAGATAGCATTTTAAGTTGTACTTTGCGCATCGCTCACAAGGCAAGGAGTCCACATAGTGGCATTTGACTTTACTTCTCTTACAGGTAGCGCATGGTCTTGTACGTGTTCGGCTTTCGTTAAGGGCCATCGGCCACGGTCCATGTTAGAAGAACTATTTTACTTTATGCAAGCTGTGTGCTTCATCACTATATAAAGTTCTACTTATTTTCGTATGTAGATATGTATTAGTGAGAGCGCTGAGATGTGAGAGCTGTCAAGCTTGACGTCGGGACCATACGATTGAATAATCCTAGATTAGTAGCGAGCCAGATCTTGACCCTCTGGTCACTACTTGGTAGTTTGTTGTTTTTCTCACCACGCTAAACCTAATGTTCGAGTCGCTGTCCTAAACTATTAATCAAAAATAATATTACAACTCTTCGACGAGCCAAAACATGAGGATCAAATAAACTTTGCAGCATTCGTTCATGAAAGCCTAGCCAAGTACTAACAAGTTTATCAATATCAAATTATGCTGTCTCTATCTAAACACAGTGATGTGTCTGCGACTAGAGGGAAGCGTGATCAATTTAAGTGTTTATAGTTGCAGTAGTCCTTTACAGTTTCAACAATTGCTTGCGTGGCGTAATGGCAACGCGTCTGACTTCTAATCAGAAGATTGTGGGTTCGACCCCCACCGTGAGTGTTTTATTTTTTTTAAAAAATCAATAATCCAACGAATATGCATATGATCAAAGCATGCTGTCTTCAATACTTCGCTCCTGAAAACGTTTCCTGTGCGCTCATTGTTATCGGTATGGTAAAACAACATCTAAGTGCATTTTTTGGGCATCGTCGTCTTTACTTTGTATGTGGAAAGGTGTACAAGGACTTGTCGTACGCAAACAAAATAGTGCATTGGTTTGTTCAGCACAGATTGCCTGTCATGCCTGTGACACCAACTGGAGGCGAAGTAGATCTTACCACGGACACTACCACGCAAAACCGATCGAGTTTAAACAAGCTACCTATTTACAAATCCATTGGGGAGGGCCTGGCCAAATTTCCAGCAAAAGATGCGATCGATGGCATCAGTGTATGCTTTGTAACTCCTCCACAAATCACGATGTCCATCTTGCAACAGCTGGAGACAGACAAGGTTTCAGTGCAAAGTGTTTGGTTTCAGCCAGGCTCTTGGGACCTTAAGTGCGTCAAAAGGGCAGAGCAAGGCTTGAAGATCGAAAGTTCGAAAATAATCAACGACTGCATTTTGGTAAATGGAGCAGCCAATGCCAGTACAACCGATCTTCCTTTTGAGGCTTGAAGACTTTGGAATGTCACAAAAATTGACTGCTGCACCCGGAAGGAGATCAAAACATTTTCTTGATAAGTCTTTTCCATCGATGGAAATCATTGAACTCGTTTTGATCTGGCGGTCCAACGTATATATCTACTGCCGGCTCCGTCTGACTCTGAGGCGGGTTTTTCTTACCCATCTCGTAGCACAGCTCACCTAAGCTGAGTAGAAAGTACTCAAATTGGCTCGAGCATCCATATTCCGCGTCCTGCTCACCAGTGCCATTGCCCTCGATAACTAATTTATACTCGCTAGACATCTTGGAGGCTATAGTCCATGTCTCCGAAGAGCCCCGGTTATTGTCTCCCCCATGAGAGAGTTTCAGTGAGATTGTAGAGTCGGGACCAGGATTCGCGCGTCTCGAAGAGCTATCCTCAAGCCGCCTCCCAGGAGGTGTGTTAGGGTGATGCTGCTGGCGTTCATTCATAGTGAACCATGCTCGGAGTTCTTTAACGCACTCGTCTACTCTCAGGTTTAGGGTGTCTGAAAGCGTGGTGTTTTTGATGCTTTCTACCACGGGAAATCTACAGTGTGTGTCTTCACAGTCCATAGCAGGGACTATGCAATTAACTATTCGATGGAATAATATCGTCGATAGCACTCCCTTGAGGTGGATGACGTGCTTAAGAGGTGAAATCCCATGCCGCATCTCTTCTAGGGCCATTTTCGATACTGGCAGCTCCACGTAAAATTGCATGCCCCCAAATTCAGACTCGTGGCTTCCGGTCCTCTCGTTCATATCTATTTAGCCAGTTAAGCTAGCAAGTTATTTGCATATTTTAAGTACCTACTTTTCTGATCTAAAAATGACAGACAATTAAGTGAAATAAACCTGGGGAACAATAACTTTCCCGAACGTAATGACAGTCCCTGACCAACTGCTCAAAAAGATTAGAGAAGTCTTAATCCCTACTGATACGTTGGATGCTTTAGTGGAGCAAGGATTGCTAGAACTGCAGAGTAGGCTTGAAGAAAGCGATGTCTCGATGCTTGCGTGCAGAGTGGTAAAGCACCTGGAATTGAAAAGAACAGAAGTGGGCAGAGTGAATATCGCAATGGATCTCGGTGGCAGCTTTGTAAAGCTAGGGTTCATCGATACCAGAGACCACCATGTTATGATGGGAGAAAGTTTAGCATTGGAACGGAACACAGTTGACATCCAGTTCTTTCACTGCATTGTCAAATGGATATGTCAGAAAGTTGCAGACTTTATTTCTGAGAGTGATGTCGATCCTACTACGACATTTGTTCTGGGCACGACTTTCAGTTTTCCTCTAAACGCTAAGGGCGAGATTACTACCATGGGGAAGGGCTACGTGATGGCAGATCAAATTAAAGGCGTGAGTGTAATGCAACTTCTGCAGCAGCAGTTCAATAAAGTTTTGCCATTTGAAAACTGCAAGTTTAATATATTAGTTGGTGGTGTAGTAAACGATAGTATTGCAGTACATTTAGCCAACACAGCTACAAACCGAGGAAGTGACATCTCTTTAGTTCTGGGCACTGGAATCAACGCTTGCTTTTCTTTACCTGCTGTGAAGATTCCTAAGAAGAAGTGCACGGGTAGTACTCTCGGCAATGGTTCCGTGCTGATTAACTCTGAGATCGGGTTCATGGGAAAGGGTTTCATAAAGCTAACGAGATTTGACCCAAGTTGTAAACCTTTCATGCCACTGGAGTACGTAACAGCGGGAAGATGGATCCCATTGACTTTATTCAACATTCTACAATACTACAATCTGCTCCCTGAAAATGGCAGCGACCTGCAATTCGACGGAAAATTGATATGTCAGATAGTGAACAGATCTGCAACGCCTGTATTTGGTGAAGATCAATCAACTGTTGAGTGCATTGCAGGCTTGCTAATAGAAAGAGCAGCAATCTACGCGTCTGCTGCACTGTTAAGCATTTTCAAGTTCAAAGGGACCAATATTGAGAAGGGGGTGCGCATCGGATATGCTGGATCATTTTTGCACCACTGCGATATCTACAAGGATTTGATAAAGAAGTTCAGTAATGGAATTATTGAGCTTGAATTTCTTGAGCACAGTAACCTGATCGGCGCTTATGTAAATGCCCTGGAAAAATGATGACTCATAAAGATAGATCCTCAAACAGCAGGCAAGTATATAAGTCATCAACGAACAGAAATTAGAAAGGTAAATTCAATGTTAGAGGTATATACTCAAATGAGAAGTCGCCAACCAGCGGTTTTCTTTCATTCAAAATTAAGAATACAAAGTTAACGTCATAACAAAACCATGGTATCCTTCCTCGGCTGCAACATTCTTATCTGTTGAGTTTAGTAATAGCAGCTGCTGAGGTGCTCATAATTTTATCCAAATCTGGCCCGCTGGGGAGAGCCATATGACCACTAGAGTAGACGCTGGCGACAGAGCCCAAGTCTTCCTCGTGAGATGTTCTCAACCTTTCCAGCCTTTCCTCTTCCATCACTTTGTCCAAGGACCAGTATCTCCATAGAAAAGCGAATGCAAAGAGTGCACCAAGAACGGCCAAGACGGCGAATGGGGCTACCAGGTGAGGATCAACCAGCGATGGTGTCACAATTTCTGCCAAGGCTGCCGACAGAGCAGTAGTGAAAAGGAACAAAGCCATTACAAAACTTTTCATTTGAGGAGGGGATCTTTCGAAGGCAATTTCGTAACCTGTGGTCATAGCCAAGCATTCACTGAAACCCGAAAGGGCATACTCAATCGCTACAACCCACATAGAAATTGGTGATTTTTCTTCACAGGTAGTAGCATAATTTCCGCATGGTGATGTGTTGTAAATGGCTTTTTGAATGACCGCACCCGCTACTTGCGATAAGGCAGCTACCATGAAACCGCAGAATATTCTATAGGTGGGTTTGAAATTAATTTTGAACCTACGCATCACTGGATAAACGATCCAATCGAGGATTGGCATGAATATGATAATGCACAATGGGTTGAAATTGCTGATAACATCATTAGGAACACCCTTAGAGGTCATTGTGGCCGTCTGGGAGTTTATCATGGCAGAAATACCATTGTCGTTGATGTTGTAAATCACATAGTAGAGAAAAATGGTACATGCACTGATTGTGATGCGGGCGTCTTGAACTAAAGCTTCTGGATAGAATCCTGGCTTGTTTTTCTTCCAGCCATCTCTGCCCATTTTTCTCAAGTTCGACGGCTTAGCATACTCCCAAAACTCGTTTGCTCTGTACCTCTTCCACCAGTTACCCTCGAAGCTGACTTTGAGAACTTTCATGCAATCTGCCACCATAGATTTCCCTGAAGGAGGATCATCCTTGATGTGACGCCTTAGAAGGATTAACACAACGGGCATGATCATATACAAGACGAGAGGAATGAGAAACCCAAGCCAGTAGCCAATGTCTCTCGCAGAATAACTGGTTGCAACCGCCAAGAAACTACCAACGTTAATACTCCAATAGAAGGTCATAGTCATTCTCTGCAAACTCGAATCACGATCGATTATGACCCGTTCACCAGAATCTAAAGTCTTCACAACGTCAGTCTCATGTGGATACTGTGAAAGCAGAGTAGGTAACAAGATTGGTTTCACAAAGGAGGTGGCGACGGCTAACAGGATAATGCCGATAACACAAGGAGCCAATGCGGCCTTACCAGAACCCAAAACCGATGGAATAGCACCGATAATGAATAAAATATGGGAAATCATCCCAACATAAACACCAATCCACAGCATTCTCATGCGGCTCCAGTATTTATCTGCGATGTAACCAGTGAAAAGCGGAAAGCAGTAAGCCAGAAAGGTAAGCAACAGATTGAGTGCAGTGGAAGTCTGAAGACCTAGCCCAAGAGCGCCTGCAGTTAGCGGGGAGTTTGGGGGTGGAGCGCCAGCACCGTTTCCACCCTCAGGAAGCGGTTGCTGGATGAAATTTGAGAGCAGATTACCGGTACCATAATAGGCGGCTCTTTCCGAGAACTCGATTAAGCAGATGAAGTACACGTACCATTTAGGGTAGCCCAAGATTCTGCGCAGCGTGGTCTTCTCTTCTGAGGTAGGTTCGGGCAATTGAAAATCGTTTGAGAAGTCTTCAGAGTGGCCATCGACCTCAGTGATATCCACCACGTTTTTCTCTAGGTTGGAGAGCTTGTCAGACGCCATGATGTACGAGAGATACTTTTCTAAGCTCCGAATCAGAATCTCTTTTCAAACAACATGAAAGGTCTCCATTTATATACGTTTCGAGCAGGATCAGCAGGCTCTGGGATACCTCCTTGTTCGAGCTGGCGAGCGCGTGTGCAGAACACGATGGACGAGCCTAACTTTGAGATAAGAACATGATCCTCACTGTGAACTTATTGTGGACTCACCGTGAGCATACGCCAAGATAGCTCCACTAACGTGGCTCTTGCATCGTAGCGTCTTTGACTCCTATGGCAGCTTTTCTGCCGTGTGAGATATGTGGCAATTCGATAGCGATAGTGATCATATGCGCCAACGTACAGGAAACATAACCTAAATCCCAGAGTAGCCAAGGAGATTGCCCATACACATCTACCTACATGCACATGGCCCCTGGCACAATCAAGGCCAAAAATCTGGCGATGCAGGTTCGATTTTATCTTTTCTTTGTTTGCCGTTCGAGAGAGCGGACTTTTTTATCGTCGAGTAGAGACACTAAACCCTTGCGGCTCTACATGTCCCGCCTGGCCTTGACGACAGCGAAGGAATTTGTCTTCAAGGAACGAATAAGGCGTATCTGAGACAATGCTCGAGCCATAATCGATTCCGAGATAGATAAAAACTTCGTTTGGTGCCGTGAGTTTGACGGTTTGCAAAGAAATGTTAAGTCTGCGAGACCTAGCTCAAAGCATTTGGTTCATGACAAGCTACAAGGGGCTGCTGTATGAAATCAGAGCAGGGGGTGACACCAACACAGGGTGCTGTTGACCAGAGCGCACATAGAACTCATCGATATCTTGTCGGGAAAGAAATGTAACTGATTCATAGTAGTCACTGGCAACGAAAACGACGACAGCGATGCATTTAACGACCCAATAATCATGTCGCCAATGTTAAACTCAAAGAACTTTGGATTGAGGTCAAGCAAGGCCAGGATAACGGCAGGAAGTAACGATAGTGGAGGAAAGGTCAAAGAAAGGTACCGGTTTCTTTATGCTTTTCCCCAGGGGTGGTTTTGCTGGAGATGCTCGAAACCAAGCGGCGATCTATTTAGGCTACGCGCCAGTATTGGAGGGCTATGAAGAAAATGCTGTTCTTGAGTGCCTGGACGTGACTTTCGTGTGCACAGTAATCTTTAGTAGGCCTATGTGTGCTATTCTTATAAAACACATTCACATTTGCGGGGTTCTTTGAGAGCAGCACCACTCCAACACAATCCCAAATTCATTGTAAGGGTAGTGCGCAATGTCCTGCTTTATTTTTCGTACGCCGTAAAGAGCCTGTTCAGCTCACCTCACAAGCTACAGGCCGAAAGGTGCATTGTGGTTTCGAAACGTACTAACTGCACGATAATTATTACACATGTAAGCTCAAGTCGCCCTTTGGCGATCAAGCATAATCTGATTGAATGATGTTCGCCTGCTATATCTATGTGCTCTAATTTCTTAGTAAAATAAGTTCCGGAAAGACGCCACCAGTGCGTCGCCATCGTTTCGTTGTATACCTACGAGGCTCGGAACATCTGTAGTCGTATTCAAACATAACTGCGCTTTCTAAGTCAAGCTGGGCTATTGAGAGATGCTTAGCTCCGAAGAAACAGAATGGTATTATCCAAAATAAGCTTAGTATTAATTTTGGTCGAATCTCTTTTTGAATGCCCCGATAATATACGTGCTCACTTATCCAGTTTCGGATAGCGGACGGATACGAGAAAAAATAAATCAGCATAGCTGCACTGCAACTCCGCGAACTGAGAAGGCCTGTTTGCAGTCTTGCAATTCCTACTGTTGTCATGTAGACTTGACATAACCAATGTAAGGGTACCGATGCTGGAAAAACTCGAGCCATTCATCTACGCGATGAAGACCTTCTGGCGATAGCCCACTCAGGTCACTGCTACATGGTTCTCGAAGGCCCTGCATACTCCATAGTCTATAACTGAACGCTCGGGAACAATCAGTGCCTGCAAATCTGTGGTAGGCTCCGCGGGGCCCATATAACCCGCTCTTGCGCGAAACGTCAAAAACATGGCCCTCGATTGCCAAAAGAACGGGCGTCTCCGGGTTCGAGCCATCAAAGGTGTGCAGCTGCTCGAGCGAAAACTCTAGCGGCAAAGTTTGGCCATCCCAAAACTTTGGAATTTGTCGTAAAGTTTCCAAACTGCGGGATCTTGACCAGTAGTTCCAGGTCACTGAGTCAGTCATGAACTTACCTGCAATGAGTCCCAGCAGGACTAGCCCACCGACGATTCGTAAGACGTCCAGCCACGTAAACCGAGTTCTAGCACCATTGTCGTCTTCGTCCAAGATCTCGTTGTCATTGGGAAAAACTATCGCCTTCTCGTAAGTAGCACGTTTGCGAAGCATGAAAGACTAAGGATAAGGGTCAATGCGTCTCAAGCTGAGCGTTCGAAGCCACTAGCTTGGTTTGTTTTATGTATTTCTCGCTGAACAGTGAAGGTTAAACGACCTGAGAGATTTAATAACAAGAAAATAGGCATGTTTTCTAATAGTCGCTTCGAGGATTAGTTGTAAGAGCAAGATGATTTTCATGCAATCAGTCATCAGAAGAGTGGCTGATCAGTATGAAGGGTGACCAACATGGTGCTATAAGGTTGGTTGAGGAGCTCATATCATATCGGATCCAACAAATTTTGGTTTTGCTGAAGAAAGTGACGGGATATTGTAACGTGATCGCGAAATGACCGAGAAGACTAGGATCGTTGAGAGACGAGCCATTCGTAAATCCAATCTTATCAGTAGAAGGAACATGCGCCCCTGAGCAGAAAAATATCAAAGCTCGAACTCTTCTACGACATAATGGCCCCGTAGAAAGCATGTACGGTTTTTACGCTTTAGGTCTGGGAGCATTTGTTCGGATCATTATCGCGCTCAACGCACACAATAGTAATATGTAGCATTTTGCCATATCATAGCTCTTGTTCAACACCCTCTCGGACAAAGCTCTCTCGGCATTCAATATTTGACTGATTGCTTGAGTCTCTTTTCAATCAGCTACCTAGAAATCTAGTCAATCGTCTACTTGAATATCATGTTAAATTTAGAGTCGAATATCTATCCAATTAACTACTCGAAGGAAACCGGCCCGTATTTCATGTTCTCCAGGATTTCGACGTTTTGGGACTTTTAAATGCAGGCTAAGAAGCTTTACCGGCTTAAACGCCAGTGTGAACCGAAACGATTTTGAGAAGAGCTGGTGAACTGAAACTAGTGGTTAGCATCGCTCCTCACGCATTGATAAGGTTTACAGAACAACAGAGTTCCCCATTACGGTGCGCGGCTTTGTAAAAAGGGCGTTTTAAAGAATAGCTACAGCCTCTGGATCTAGATATCTGGATCGTGCACTTTGTGGAGGGCGCCTCAGAACGCTAGTGTGAGACAACATGCGGGCCTTAAAGGCCAGGCGTCGCAGCGTAAGACGAACATCGAATTTGTCGCGACAGATATCGCCAGTGGCCCTGGATGAGGCAATATCAGCCGACGAGACCAAGAAAGGCGGGAGAAGCTCATTAGTCTCGGGACAAGGTGGACAAACTGCAGCTCCCGACAGCGACCACAATAGCAACGACCAACCAGATACGTCAGACGCGTTGGGCTCCGAATATGATCCCAATCAAGGCAATTTTGCGAACTCCATGCCCAAGCGAGTTCTTGAAAAGCTCATGGATTTTGCACTTTTCCAAAACGCCCCTCGGACGTTCTTCGTCGAGGTCGCACGGAGGCTTCAGCTCATGACTTATCATGCCCAAGACCACATCGTGAAGGCTGGTGAGCCGGCCAAGGCCATGTATTGGATCCTCAGGGGCTCAGTCAACGTTACTTCACCTGATGGCGAAACTGTGCATGCACAGCTACTCGAAGGCAGCTATTTCGGGGAAATAGGCATTCTTTTCAACCGATCTCGAACGGCTACTATCGTAGCCAAGACCAAAGTCCTAGTTGGAGTTCTCACCGCGGATAATTTCAACCAAATTTTGCCTGACTTTCCGCAAGTCGAGCGGCAGATTCGCGATGAGGCTCAGGAACGACTGGCAATGCAAGACAAGAAGAAAAGATCAGGAGTTACTAGTCTACTCACTGCGAATATCGCGTGGAACAATAATGGTGTTCATCCTGCCCCAACACGTGCTGCTGAGATAATACGCTCACCGACTCCAGAGTATGGGCTACAATCGCCATCACATTTAATTTCTACAGAGGTGGTAGATGACTCGATATCCATAAGGCAATTTTTGAAAAGCTTGCCACTATTCACCACTCTGCCGGCAGAGATAGCCCACAGATTGGCACTATGCGTCGAAATTAAACAAGCAGAGCCCTACGAGTACATTTTTCATTCCGGTGATATAGGCACTAATATCTACTTCATTGTCAGTGGCGAGGTGGAAGTCTTGACCCAAGAGCTGCCTTGCAAGGATCAGGAGCAATCGCCAAAAAAATCCCCGAGATATATGGAAAAACTTCTGGCAAGACTCGGACCAGGTCAATATTTTGGAGAAATGGGGTTTTTAGGCTCCATAAGTAATGACCGCGACAAGTCTATCAGATCTGCTGACGTGCGATCAGTTTCGTCAAGCACTCTACTAGTACTGACGGGCGAGACTCTCAGACAATTCTGCGAAAGCTACCCAGTGGTCAAACGAGAAATCACTAAAACAGCCGATGACCGTGCAAATCGTAATTTAACAACATATCAAAAGAAGCAAACTGAAGCGCAGTGCTTTCCAGTTGAAGAAAATGCAACTGGAAAAGAGCGATTATTGAAAAGACCTCGCTCTCAAAACTCTACACAGCCCTCCAAACCCAACCAGTTGAGTTCCGTACCAGCACCTGCTCCAAGCAGCTTTCCATTTAATGCGAAGTTTTGCTTTGGTGAGACGAAGGGTCAACCAGCCACCCCTCCTTCTTCCGCAGCACCTGTCACATTATCACCAGACAATCTGATACCCTGTAAGAAACCATGTTACGTGCCTTCTCGTTCTGTGTCACCAGCTACTGGCCCTTCTAAACCTCTTGAGCTGGAAACTCCACCAATGAACCCAAAAACGAACTCTAGTGATTCTTTCAAGATTCAACAACCAGCCCCCCTCAACTATATGTCCCATCGTAAGCGTACCAGGCTGTTGAGCTTGGGTGGCGGACCAAACAGAAGAAGAAATTCAGTGTTGAGTGTTGGACCTCTACCTGATCGCATTTTACTGAGATGCTTCCAATTCCTCAATCTTCCCGAGTTAATGAAGCTTCGGCTTGTTTGTAGAAGATGGAGGCAGCTACTCTATGTTGCTCCTGGACTCTTTGATACTTTGGATCTTACACCGTGGAGTAACTCGATAGATGATAAGTCACTGACTGAGATTACAAACTTTGTGGGGTCTCGTCCCAAGCTCATAGACCTTTCAAACTGTTTTCATGTTACCGACGAAGGTTTTTCGTACATGATCAATGAGATCGGTATAGAGGGTCAACTACGCGTCATCAAGATGAAGAGCTGTTGGGAAATAAGCGCTATGGCTATCATGGATATAGGTGCTCCTTTCATTGGCAGTTTGATTGAGGAAATCGACTTAACAAATTGCAGGAAAGTTAAAGACGACGTCATACAGAGACTATTGGGAACGAATGATAGCAGGCGAACTTTAGTCGGCGGCCCTTCAAACGCTACCGCCGACCAGAATAGTTGGGCATATCCACTGGACGAACCGATAGAAGGAATGGAACTATTTGATGTTGACGATAGCCAACATTTGAGTGTGGGCTGCCCTAACTTAAAGGTTCTAACCCTAAGGCATTGTAAATCTTTGACAGACTCTACTCTCCATCACATCGCGCTTTACACTCGTCACATCTTGAACAGCTTGGATCTTACACGCTGTACGGGAATTACTGATGTTGGATTTTCATATTGGGGATATCAAAGCTTTGCAAACTTAGAAAAATTGGTTCTTAGTGAGTGCATCTTCTTAACGGATAATTCAATCAGGTCAATCGTCAGTTGTGCAGGAAGGCTTCGTGAGCTTTATTTATCGTTTTGCTGTTCTCTTACAGATGGCGCATTGGAAATTTTATGTCTAGGCTGTCCAAATTTAGAAGTCTTAGATTTAAGTTTCTGTGGCAGAGCGGTAAGCGATGTTTCGCTCTTAGGTTTGTCTATGCATCTCAGAAAACTGCGGCGGATTATATTGAAAGGATGTCTGAGAGTCACTAGATCTGGGCTGGACTCGTTGCTTGGGGGATTTACTTCCTTGACGTACATCGACATTTCTCAGTGCAAAAATGCACACATGTATCAAGGTGGTATTGAAGCCACCAAATTCCAGCCCACTGGTAAATCCAAAAGCGTCTTTTTAACGATGGAGGACAATAATGATAGATGCGTGGAAGTGATTATTTGAAGCGAAGGTTTAATATCATACCACCAACGTCTTCGTGAAATGCAAATCAAGTTGCGATCAGTGCGATTCGCAAGCTTCGACCCTCAAATAAAGTTGTAATAGTATTATATAAAAAGTTCGGAAATTTTAACATTATTTACATTCTCGAGATTTATACGGAGTATATATTTTGTTGCATTCCTGATCAGTACACCGAGATGTAGTTGTTGATCTTTTCTCTTTGGTTTTGGGCAATACATTCTGCGATCCAGGTGATGTTTCTAACTTCTTGCTCCTTAGACTTCATCCAGGCCCAGATCGTGCTCACAGTAAACTGCTGGGTGAAAGCGTCTCTGCACAATTCCATTTCCATTCTGTAAAAATGATCTTCCAAATTACCGGATTCGAAAATACCACGATACTCATAGACGCTGTCAACGACGGATCTAACAGATTCAAAGTCAGAGCCGGTGTTTGCCAATTGGTGCGATCCTACTGGATAAAGCTTACCAAAATCAGGTAAGAGATCACGTTTCATGTCAGGAGTAATTAGGTCACCACTTTGCAACGAGTTCAAAGAGATGTTGATTGCTCTTCTGTCGGCTTCAAAGCTGAGAAGCGACTGAAGAATCTCACGAGCTGGTTCACCAATTTGAGTTGACACAAAATCATAGAAGTCGGACAAGTAAGCTTTGTACAATTTGTTTCTAATAATTTCAATGTTCAAGTCGTCCAATTCATCAGCGGCGTCAAAACAGTCTCTGAAGTAAGGAGCCAAGGGAGTGTCGATCAAAACAGTCTCGTACAAAGACTCCAAGTCGGTTGCCACGGTCAACGTGGGCAAAGTGTCGAACCAACCTAGTGGATGACAACGGGGCAAAATTTCGGCCTTATCGCGGTCGTGAATAGTTCCAGTGATCATGAGAGCAACATTGTCAATCATGTAGCCATATGTGATGTAGTCGAGAAATTTCCGGGTCACGGAACTGGTTTGGTCCCGTATGTAATTGAACTCTTCGTAGAGCTTCGCAGATGCCGTTTCTTGAATTATCGACGTCGTGAGAGCTTCCGAGGGCACTGAAGATAAAAAGTTGCCATAATCACTGGAAGACAATTGCAGCTTGAGATCCTCTAGGGTGTCGCACTGCGTCAAATTGATGTACTGATTACTAGTCAAAAGCCCGTTTCTGTAGCCTCTGACGAGACCTTCGACAAACCCGTTGTCCACATTGAAAAACACACCTTCCATAGCGAAATTGGGTGTTCAGTCTGTAGCTGTTGATAAAGTCCAACTAACCCGAAGAAAACAGTCCGGTGTAACAGGAACCAATTGAATGACGGTTTATAGCGTCAAGGCTTGCGTAACGAGGAGATATGATCTTAGATAAGCAGCTAGGAGTGCCGGAAACAATTGTTAGGCCACTGGTAGTAGAAATCTGAGCTTCAAAGTCTTGCTTTTAGCGGTTCGATTTACTTATTTCGGAACGATGTCTTCGTTAACTCTGTTCGGTTCTATATATTCAAACAGATAGAGGGTTAGCCCACGTTAAATGCATTTTGTACGAAGTCGGAGATTAAAGCTTCATCGTAAAAAATTATACAGTCATCACATGGTGTTTACTCGTTCAGAATTACATCATCATCGTTGTACATCATGATGAACGTACGTGGTAGTGCTAAACAGATCACTGCTTCTTTTCCAACTGAACTGAACCCTACAACGGCAACCTGGAGCCTCCAATTCATCCTCCAAGGCTACATGGATGCTCTAGATGTACTGTTAGATGGATTTGATACCTCGAAACATGATCCGAAAGAAGTCGAGGATTTTTTAATCACAAAGTTGCAGTGCAAGGACTCTTACGATGCGTATTTCTCATCCCAGCCACTGCCGGGAAGTGTTGTGGAAGATATCGCAGAGATTGAGGCTCAAATATCAAAACTCGAACGCGAGTTGAGGAGCACTCTCGTTGAAAGTAAGGAGGCAATCTCCAATGTTCTCTGCAATGAGCCCGTGGAACCACAATTGGCGTCTATGCTCGCCCAGATCGATCAACTGTGGGAGTTGGAAAACCAGGAGCCCGCCAGAAGCACGCAAGATCAATATCAAGATCTTTTTACGTCACTGGAAGAGCCAGTGGAGGAGCCTGTAGATGAACCGCAAGAGGCCGAAATTGACGAGTTCCATGCGGCTCTTGAGAAGCTGAAATCGCATGCTTCCGCTGACAATTCCAGCTTAAACAACAATCACAATAACCTGGCGCTCGTTTTGACCAACTGGAGATCTATCAACGAGCTTCTAGAGCTCCCGACGCTTACGGCAACGTGTATCAAGACAGGCCACTACCAAGAGGCGCTATTGTGTCACTCGCATATACGGAGCCTGGCTGAAAAGTTCCCGACCGCCAACATAATTCGCCACATTGCTGACTCAATTTCCCATGAAATAACCACAACTATGCTACACGGGCTGGTAAAGATGCTGCAACAAAACATAAGTGCCAATCCAATGAAGAAGATACTGATGTATCTCCTGTCCATCCCTCCGTTTTCAAACAATCCACAGGTTTTGATACAAGTGTTCATGAGCATGCGGCACAAGTTCGTGTGTGCAGAAATGGACTCCTTTCAGATCACAGAAATGAGCAATGACACCATGCGCGAATTGCTGATAAAACGCAAGATTGAGGCTTTTCGTGAACATGTTTACAATGCTTTGGCTATCATAAAGTCTCAATCTGAGCAGTTTGATCTCAAAACCCACGAATCGCCCAAGATTTCCATACCGCTGCTCCAGGAGCCCAAAAAACCTGCAGCAACTAACCCACTCACCCTGTTGTTTGTTGAAACCTGTTGTGACGCCTTGTTATCTTCGCTCAAGCCTTACAAAACATCGCTTTCGGTATCAGTGTGCTTGCAATTGGTGTACTGTTCTTTCCGACTTGCGGATTGCAACCCAAACTACCACCATCTGTTCGTAAACAAAATCAGCGAAGCCGAGCTCTTCTCGACAGCCGAGTTGACTACTGCCATGGACAAAAGACGTGAGTTGGCCAACAAATACTACTAAGGCAAGGGTCTCCCGCTGAAGAGCAGAAAAAGTCTACGATAACTAAAAGCGAGTTGCAAACGACCTAAGGTATAACTTGGAGCGTGACGTTTTCCTCAATACGACTGATCTCGTTAGTAGTTGATTCCGGCTGGGCATCCTTTGTCACATTATGTGATGTATAATTTCGTACGTAATACAAACGTTCACTGCATATTTGAAAAAAGTCCCAATGTCAAGAATTCTACGTTACGTTCCCTTAGCTAAAACAAGCGTGCAAAACTCCATCGCCAGAAGAACGAAGTACAGAACCATTGAGGTACCAACCATGGCTAAGAACGTGGGCACTTTGCCTGTAGACTCGAATATCGAGTCCAAAGAGGCCAAAGCTGGCGGAAACCTGGCTCAAAAGGCATACTCTGAGATGGGTGGGGCTAAAGCTGAAAAGCGGCGCTCCACGTCATCATATGCCACTTCCGGCAAGGAAATTCTAGTGGCTTCCAATGCGCAAGGTATCATGAAAATGCCTGTGCCAAACGAATACGGTACTGTGGGCCCTGCGCCGATGGAGATCACTGACCCTAAACAATTTCGGACTGCTCCCTCCAGGGACATCAACTTGCACGACACCAGTATCGACAAAGCCGCCTATGAAGAGCGCGAGCGTAGTATCCAGAAGATGCGGGAGACCATTGGGCAAGACCGCTCGTTCAATGTTTATCCGTGGAAGTCTATCGGAGGGTTTTTCGGTAGTGGTAGCGGACCTGCCAGTGCCGATGGTGACGTTGTGAAAGCTTATATTACTGAAAAGTTCTATAACGACATTTACTTCAACATGGCCGGCATTGTGGGAACCTGCTACTTTTCGTGGCTTTTGGCACACTGGAGATTCTCGTGGTTGTCGCTGTTTTTTGTGTTCTTCTGCGCTGCGTCAGTGTATCGAAGCGAGTTTCGCCGGTTTAACAGAAATATTCGTGATGATCTCACCAGAATTGTGGTGGAGGAAACGCTTTCGGATAGAAAGGAGTCAACTCTCTGGTTAAACTCGTTTCTATCTAAATTTTGGGTCATTTACATGCCTGTGCTTTCACAACAGGTGAAAGATATCGCCAATCCGCAGCTAGCAGACGTTGCACCAGGCTACGGTATCGATGCAATTTCACTTGACGAATTCAATCTTGGCACTAAATCCCCAACCATCGACGGTATCACGTCTTACACCAAAAGGGGGAAAGATACCGTTGAAATGGACTGGGAATTTTCATTCACGCCCAGTGACGTTTCGAATATGACTCAGAACGAGGCTAAAGAGAAAATCAACCCCAAAATAGCCATGGGTGTTACGGTCGGAAAAGGTTTCGTATCAAAATCCTTGCCCGTACTAGTCGAAGACGTCAACTGCAAGGGAAGAATGCGCATCACTATCAAGTTTGGCCATTCTTTCCCAAATATCAAGATTGTCTCGCTTTCTTTGATGGAGCCCCCTTTCATTGATTTTGCATTGAAGCCAGTGGGAGGAGACACTTTGGGTTTGGACATAATGTCATTTTTGCCTGGTTTAAAGACGTTTGTCAAGACAATGATCAACTCGAACGTGGGTCCTATGCTTTACAACCCTCACACGTTGGATATTGATGTTGAAGAAATCATGGCTGCTCAATCTCAAGACGCTATCGGCGTTGTCGCAGTCACCTTACATTCTGCCGATGAATTAAAAAGCTCCGACTTTCTGGGAAACACGGTCGACCCATACGTTACTCTCACCACAGAAAACGGAAACATTGGTGAGACTACCATTCGGACCTCTGTCAAGTCTAATATCAAATCTCCTCGTTGGAACGAGACCAAATATGTTTTGATTAACAGTTTAGAGCAGAAAATGTTTTTCACTTGCTTTGATTTCAATGACATTCGCAAGGACACGCTTATTGGCAAGCTCGAGTTCAATTTGGCAACGCTACTTCAGACTCCTTCTATCACTGACCAGAGTTCGAAGTTGACGTCCGGAGGCCGCACGAGAGGTACTTTGAATTATGATCTCCACTGGTTGCCAGTCATAAGCGAAGAAACAAGAGCTGCTAAGGAAGACATGTCAGACGCACCCGAAAGAGCAGAACTAGATGACGACACTGAAGCTGAACAATCTGCTTCTGACGTTGGTATTTTGAAGGCTACTTTTCACAAGGCAAAGTTTTTGAAAGCTCTTGGCTCTTTGCAAGGAGCATTGAGCCCAAGTGCGCTAATGATGATCGATGGAAAAGTTGTGAAGAAGTATAGAACATTACGTCGCATTAATGAACCATCGTGGGAAGAGTGTATTGAAGTGCTTGTTCCTTCAAAGAAGAATTCCGTCCTCACGATTAAAGTTTTCGACGATGGTATGGCTGGTAAAGAGCTCCTTTGTGAATACTCCTCTTCGATGTCGGACATTTTGAGTATTTCTGAAGGCGGACAAACAATGCTGGCTGCATCTCCACAAGGCGAGTTATATCTATCAACCGTATGGAAGCCTGTTGCTATGACTGGATCGTTTGCACCTGCAAATTCCATGCGTGATCCTCTCGGGGTTGTCAAGCTGCACATAAAGGATGGATTGATTGATGAGCAGCTTTCCGGTGTAGGTGACATTGATCCATACATTACGGTTTCACTCAATAAACATGTCACGCACAAAACTCAATACATTCCAGATAATCGTGAACCCAAGTTCAATACTATAATTTATGTCCCAGTTACATCAGAAAATCAATCTATTCTTTTGAAGGTCATGGACTATCAAAAGGTGGGCAAAGACAGACCTGTTGGTTCGTATACTATCCCGGTATCTAAAGTTGCGCAGAAAGATCCAGAGACAAACAAATATGTACAGGTTGAGAAGGCTCAACCTGCTCAATGTAGACTATTGGGCAAGAATATGGCATTGACTAAGAGCTACATCAACGTCGACATGTCGTTCATTCCAGTTACTCCAGTTTACAATCCGGATGAACTATCTAAAGTCGAACAACTGGAGGCCAAAATTAAAGAGAGAAAGGAGAAGTTTAATAAAGAACAAGAGGAAATGAAGAAAGCCATGGAGGAGCACCCTGATCAATACGAAGTTGTTGAAGTTGAAATTGAGGATGAACAAGAGAAGAGTCTAAAGAAAAAGGAAAAGAAGACCGTTGAAGAGCTGTTGAGAGACAACTCAGGAGTCTTGGATTATCAGATTCTGAGTGGCAAGCTTTCAAAGCGTTCTGCTCACTTGCAAGTACTCTTTGATGATCTTGCGTGCCCTACCTCTACCTCATTAAAATCCAAGAATGAAGAAGTTGTTCCAGACAGTGGCTCATGTTTCATTCGTGATTTGAATCATAGCCGTATCACCTTCAGACTATCGAAGAAGTACGAAGCGAAGGATTTGGATGACATTTTGGGCGAGGAATCGTTCTCGGTGAAAGAGCTGTTGAAGAAAGGTCTCAAAGCACCAACTCTTATTAAGGCAAAAGGTTCCGAATTAGAAGTTCGCTTTTTCTACACGCCTGCTAAATTTCAATTGCCTGCCACTGAATCTATCGAAGATACGGGTTCCCTAAAACTAAACGTGATATCGGCTGAGGGTCTGCCATCTCACGATAGAAACAACAAGTCTGATCCATTTGTAGTCATAAAAGTGGATGGTAGTAAAGTGGGAAAAACAGACGTGATCAAAAAAACGTTATCACCAGTGTGGAATGCTAACGTGGAAGTTCCTATTCCTTCCAGGTCAAGATGCGAAGTTGCGGTTGAAGTTTACGATTGGGATAGAGCTGGATCTAATGATCTCCTATGCTCTACGGTGCTAGATACCAAGATGCTTGTTCCCGGGAAGACTCATGATTTGAATCTGGATCTAGACTCTCAAGGTTCGATAAAAATGAAGGCCACTTTCACGCCAGAGTATTTGTTCCCAGCTCTAGATCCTGCTAAAGGAGGCCTGGCCGTTATGCCCTTCAAAGCTATAGATGGGGTTGCTAACATCGGTGTGGGAGTTGCTGGCGCTGGTTTAGGAGCTGCCCAAAACGTTGCCGGAGCAGGTTTTGGCGCAGCTCAAAATGTGGCAGGCGCTGGCTTTGGTGGAGTTCAGAAAGGTGGCAAATTCTTGAAGGGACTTGGAAGAAAGTCTAAGAAAGAGTCCCGTAGCCAACAAGGGTCAGACGAAGCCACTGAGTCAGAATCGCAGGAAGATGAGAGTAGGCCAAAGGCGTCCAAAAAGTCAATGGACTATGATGTCACGAAACCCAATAATAGCTACGCGGAGGTTAGGCATAGTAGTGACCGTCCGCAGGACACGGCGACTTCACCAAAAAATGGAGAAGGGTCGAGTGTAGTTGGCGCGCCTGGCCCAATACACAAACGTTCCACTTCCACGGCCAGCAGTTTTGCTCGTACTCTGGCGCCAAGCGATACCTACAGAGGTAAAGTAACTGTGTTGGGTGCGGAAAATATGGGCAAAGCTTCTCTACAAGTGCGGGTTTCGTTGGCACAGAGTGGTCGCATAAGGCACATGTACCGAACTGATAACCAAAAAACAGATTCCGAAGGCCGCGTGCAGTATACTGGAGCGTTGTGTGAATTCAAAGCTTCGCCAGAAGCTAACCTGGTATTTGGAGCCGTTGCAACGCACAGGTTTGGAAAGGATACCGAATTAGGAGTTGCACAGGTGAATTTAGGAGATTCGCAAATTCAACAGGAAGGAACGTTATCCTTGAAACTTGGCAGGGGCCATCTACTCTTGAAAATTGAGTATGGAGATACTGAAGTCCCACCTGTGCCCGATATCCCATCCGAGTATAAGACTAAAGACTAGAGAGCAAATAGAGTTTGCTTTGCACACTGAGTGTAACAAATTGTAGGTATATTGTGATAATGTTTTCTAATATTTGAGACGTGCTAAAACGTCGGCGCTCAATGTGAGTGTTATTATGTTATATTGAGTTTGGAGTGAGGCGAGGAAAGCTGGTAAAAACCGTTTTTAGACCAAGCATGTGAGAATATGTATGTCAAGATAGGTAGACAACTTTCTTATGGTTCGCGGTTTTTAGTGGGGACTCTTCTTTTTCCGGGCGGCTTGTTTGTTATCAGCGCGGAACCGTCAAAGCCTGCAATTGATTAAGGCGCATGACGCTTGTTAAGTTAAAGTAGTCAACAAATAAACAGAAAACGAACATAATACTGTAAACTGGGAGTGTTTAGCACCGAGTCTCCCTGCATAACGTTGACACTAAAATAATATCATTTCGTACCAGTGTGTCACAGCGATAAAAAATAGCAAACGAAGGAGTTCCCTGGAATCTCGAGCCGACAAAACGATTAATGCTAGGGTTTCATGGCACTTTACAAGATTCGTGATGCGGTAGTGGAACGAGGGTTTGCAATATCTCGCTTTTTTGGAGACTTTTGAGATGGCGCGAGTGGCCACGTTCCCCTACCCAGTGTAGTGCACTTGCGTTTTGGAAAATTGAATTTAAGCCCTGCTCACTGGAAAGACCGAGGCCAGTCCTCCGCCAATGGTTCTGTTGGCCGTTTCCGCTTGTCGCATCGAGTCAGTGGCCTTTTCCACGGCAACTGAGCTGGCAGTAGACGCGATTACCTAAAGCGCACGCCTTTACCCAGGTCACGTGAGAGACAGCTCTTCGGGGCCTCAAAATATTGACGAATCCAACTTCCACGCCCAATAGCGCCAGTAGCCTTCAACCTTCTGTAAGCATCTCGAGGCCCCAGTAGCTTGTGCTCGCAATTAAATGGCTACCACTCATACTTCAAGCTCATTCGCGATTATTCTCGCTCGTATGCGCTCTACTAATCTATCCAAAAGCTTGCTCCCTTCCGCCGTCTTAAACTACAACAGACTCATCAGTTGTGACTGCTCGTAGCACCCGTACATTTTCACATTTTCAAATTTATTCAAAAATATCTGGAAAATCAAAAAGTGAGTCTGCTAAAAAAGTTGCGTGGGTTCTCTGCCCAAGATTCGATGATTGTTTAGTCTGTTGGAGGTCAGCCCCAGCCTCGTCATCGTCACTGGGCTGTATCCCAGCCCCGCTTTCCGCCTAGACGCCAGCAACTCTGGGCTCCTGTCTGGAGTCTGGTCTGGTCCCATGCTGGGCTCACTCTGCCTAGCCAGCCTGGAGTCGTCCTGGTACGCTGGGCTCGGTTCTGCCTGGACTCAGTAACTCCCAGGCTGGTTGCGCCCGTGGACGGCGACCCGGGAACCTGGGAACGGCTAGGAACCAACTCTGCAAGTACTGGAAAAAAGATGAAAGTTGAAGATATTGGCTACTACCGGCTACGTAGAGGACAGACATAGCAAGCGAAACATCAAGCGAAATGAGTGCCCAGAAAGTATGTGAAAGAGTACAGAAATAGCAGAGTGCAGGGTGGTGGAATAGACCTTGTACATGGAGTAGAGACAGGAGATTTTCCGGGCTCGAGACGTGGGAAAGTTCCGTGGGACGAGAACCAGTGCAAGATCGAAAATTAGGGAATACCAACATATGTGAGACCTTGGCCGTACAAAGCAAGTGTGCGGGTCCCGTTCCCTGGACGGATCACAGATCTGCGAAATTCGAACTTCGAAAATTGCGGATTTGCGGTAAAGCTTAGGTCTCTCCTCCATGTTTCATGTCTCGCATACACTGCACTAGTTATTGCCCCCAAACACCTTTAGGAACACCTTTTACTAACTGTTTTTTTTCCCAGGTTCCAAAGTGGTATCCAGCCGAAGACGTTCAAGTCGCCAAGCAAACCAGAAAGGCTTCCCGTCCTCAGAAATTGCGTGCCTCTCTAGTCCCAGGTACCGTTTTGATCTTGTTGGCCGGTCGTTTCAGAGGTAAGAGAGTCGTGTACTTGAAGCACTTGGAAGACAACACCTTGTTGGTCTCCGGTCCTTTCAAGGTTAACGGTGTTCCTTTGAGAAGAGTTAACTCTCGTTACGTCATTTCCACTTCTACCAAGGTCTCTTTGGAAGCTGTTGACGTTGAGAAGTACAACGTTGCCTACTTCGCCAGAGAAAAGGTTACCAGAAAGCAAAAGGCCGAAGCCGGTTTCTTTGGTGAGGACCAAGCCAAGAAGGAGGTCCAAGCTAACCGTGTCGAAGACCAAAAGGTTGTTGACAAGGCTTTGTTGGCTCAAATCAAGAAGACCCCATTGTTGAAGCAATACTTGGCCTCTTCTTTCTCTTTGAAGAGCGGTGACAAGCCACACTTGTTGAAATTCTAAATCGAAAACCATCTTTAAAAACAAATTCCCCACTCTGCAATTGTTTTTATCTACATATATCTTCTGTTTAGGGTTTCCGCCTAAAGTGTATACAATCCAAATTTCACATCAAGTTTATCAAGAGTAACGGTGGCCGCGGCGCTAATACTGTTGCTGTGACAAAAGTATACTAAAATTTGAGGTACGACATAAAATAATACATTCAAACACTATTGTATCATAAACTTTCATTGTTGCAGGTTTTATCCTCTAGCTTTCATATACTATTAGCGTAATCGCAAAATTATAACATCCTAGTCCCACGACTGGCACAACATCAGTTCTGCCTTTTGTTTAAGATCCCTGAGGGCATTGGTGGCTATTTCAGGTACGAGCTTTCATCAAGTAAATTCATTCGCTCCCTCGACATACAATCGATCACCTAGCAGTTCATCTGTCGCTTATTTAATAAGTGTTGGGTGCTATTACACAAGTCGGCTGCCGTACGTTCCCCAAATTAACCACGGCACATTCAAGGATCATAATATCATGAGAGCTCCTCGAAATATTACTATACAAAAATTAGACACGCGCGTGAAACAAGCACCCGAGGTTGTGAAGTATGTCAAATATACTGATTAGCGGCCCACCCTCGTCGAGCGTCAATTCCTCCATAATTAATTATGACACATCGCGGGATAATCAAGCAACAGTGTATACCTGTTATCATTCATGATTGTCGCTCCGTTCTCCTTCATATTTGTCGTCCTTGAAGTTTTTGATTCGATCCTTGTTCTGAGTTGCCGCTTTGACAATTTGCGCGAAAGCGTTTTGAGTCAAGGCCGATTTCAATTGCTTGTTGTACTGATCATTATTTTCCTCCGGAGAACCAGTGCCTACCGACATATTAGCAAATGAGCTGTTCAAACTGCTGCCAGGGGAATTTTCTTCGATGTCCGAGTCCTCTTCTTCACCAGTCGAATACAATTGTTTCAATTTCTTGATTCTGTTGTTTAGTTTAACAATCTCCACTGCTTCACGGAACTTGCGACGAGCATCAAATTCTGTCCTGATCTCTGGCAACAAGTTCTCGGTCTTGCTTGTCTTACTAACAATCCAAGGATGCCTCAACAACTCTGACGCCGTTGGTCTATGATGAGGATCAACCGTGAGGGCATTAAGAATGAAATCCTTGGCCTCATCAGAAATGCTAGACCAATAAGGCTTGTGGAATGTTACAGGGTATCTGCCCGCCGTGCATTCATCCAGAAAGCCTTCGACGCTTTCGGCCACGAATGGAGAATATCCGCAAAGTAATGTGTAAGTGACAACACCAAGAGACCAAATGTCACAAGGCTTACCATGCCCATCAGTCGTGACTACTTCGGGGGCCACATAACCCATTGATCCCGCGGCCTTGTGTATCAGTTCGTCATCGCTATTCAACTCTTTGGCGATGCCAAAATCTCCCAAGACCAAGGGAGAGTCAGCATCTGTCGTCAAGTATAGCAGGTTTTCCGGCTTCAAGTCACGATGTACAATGTTCCGCGAGTGCAGGTATTCCACAGCATTCAGTATCTGATGTATGATATTGGCAGCATCACCCTCTGTAAATTTCCCTTGCTTTAGAATTCGGTCAAAGAGCTCACCTCCTGTAGCTAGCTGCGTCACAATGTAAAACTTGTCTCTAGATTCGAACCAGTCCTTGAACTTGACAATGTTTGGATGGTCCAACCTTTGTAAAATGGATAGCTCGTCATATAGCATTTGCAGCTGAACATCTTTTCCCTTCAAAGCCTTTTTCAAAAGTATCTTGACAGCTACGTTTTCACCGCTCGAAACTTTCCTGGCTTGTCTGACTACTCCGAAAGAGCCTGCACCGAGTGTGCGCCCAAAAATGTAGTCGATTTTGTTAACGTACGAAGTGGGGTGTCCGCTAATCTTATTGAGCACTTTCTTGAGTGTGTGACCTTCTACTTGATCTGGCTCCTCGGGCTTGGGATGTTGCTTGGCCTCGTGATGGTCTGTTATTCCTGGCAATCCCATTGTATCTCGTTTCTTGCTAGAGCTGTTTCAGCGATGTCGATTGGGTACAAATATTGACTGAGCCTCTATTTGTATTCCGAGACTTGATTGGTCTTGACTACTTCTAATTCACGAAGAGACAACGACTGAATTCACTAAAATAAACTATGCTTGAACTGCTTACTAGAGTCTTTGTTAGTTTAGTATTTACAATACCCTGAATAAGTATTTGGGGGCTCATTTCTTTATTATTGGATCGTGTCATATTAAAAATCATAACTTTGAAAAAGCTGGAGAATTCGTCAACTCCATATTCAATTCTTATGGGCTCAACTTTGAAATTCTGATCCAATTTTACAGCTCATTGATGATCGAGGACTTCTAATTCCCAGATATTCCTTTGCATGTTAGGTGGTGTATTTTCCTTTAAGAATGCAAGCACATTTTATATCAATTCGAAGTTTGAGTTCTAGTACCGTTATAGGTACGCGAGCAATTCTGCATGCTCAAGTACCGATATAGCTAAATTACGGTTGGTCTCTTTATCTCTACACTTGTACTGTACTAAATGTAAGCACGAATCCTGCTGGCTACGTTAAGAAAGATAAATGCTATGGCGGCTGTTCAATGTCAGCACTTCCTTCCATATTTGCGAAAATAGCCGAACTGGTGGTGTCCACCATTGATCGATTCGTTGCACTAGTTGATGATATTTTTTGATTATTTAGTAGTTCGTTGCTGCTCCGGACCCTTTGGGTTAGGGAAATAGAGTATTCCCTACTCAGTTTCGGCTAGGTAATTGGCTTCTTCCTCTTCCTCATCTTCAACGCCCATGCTGAGGTAGAAATAATCGTCGGCATTATTGGCATCTTGGAGAGTTCCCAAGTCACCGGGCGTCATTAGCACCGTGCTGCCCAGACTTTCAGCCCGAGAGTCCCGAGGTGAGCCCGGTACACTTAGTGGGCGCGAGACCCTGAATTTTTTGCCTCCTGCTAGTGAGTTCATGTTGGTATCATTTCCTTCCTCCCCTGCGGCAGCCTTGAAAAGATCTGGGTACGCCCTGCGTAACGCCAGTTGTCTAGCTTTCCCGTATTCGAGGCCCATGCGTTTCCAGTCCAGCAAGTCGCAAAGTCTTTCCGTTCTGTTCCTTTGATTGATTCTCTGTCTACGCGTCTTTTGAACAAAACTTTCCATGTAGTCCACAAGCTGTTCCACAGACTCGTCGGCGTTCTTGAAGCGGCGGTCCACGATGTAGATACCGTAATCCTTGGCTTGATCTTTTTCGATTAGATCTTCCATGTATGCACCAAAACCGGAAAGATTAGTAGTCACGGATGGAATACCCATGACAGTACACTCGGCAGGTGTATAGCCCCAAGGCTCGTAGTATGAAGGGAATACACCCAAGTGACAACCGCGCACAAATTCATCGTAATCGAGGGACAGAATGGGATTGTTAGCGTTCAAAAATTCCGGATGGAAAATGACTTTCACCCGATCGTTGGAATGATTGAATAACTGTACTCTTCTAATCTGGTTAAGGACTGGATCATGAGCATCGTCAACCATATTATGAGTCACCACTGGTGGTAAAGAACTTTCTGGCCGTCTCAGAGCCAGAACTCTTCTTTTCAAGAGAACCTTGTCCGAAGGTTTTAATAGCTGGTCTAGTTCAGTTGGAATTTCTGATCCGACCCCATTAGGATTACGCATGGCGTATTCGAATAAACGTTTTCCTATCAAAGTAGTAACGTCTCTTACTGTGTTTTCAAGTGACTGTACCACAGCTTGACCCTTGAGAGCGTCGACCGTATAGGATTTATTTTTGGCGGGCATAATAATGAAAGCAACGACAGTCATCTTGGAGTTCGCCATCTTCAAGCGATAATTCAGACGAGCCAGAGCTTCGATGAACATGTCAGCACCTTTGTTCCTGTATTCATATCTACCAGCGATAAAGAAATACAAGGTATTGTCCAAGTTGAAATCGTAATGACCATGGAAATGGCCTCTAACAAAATCATCGATCTTCTCCTTTTTCAATGCGTGCAAGTTCTGGAACTCATGGACGGCTTGAAACTTCACGACATTAATACCATTTGGTAAGATTCCATCTGGTTTGCGTTTCAAAAGAAACTCGGACTCATAGGCGGTAATTTGAGATACCGTGGTAAAAACATCTGCCGTGTGAGCAGCTGCACGCTCAATACAGTATCGATGGTAGATACCTCTTTTTCCGGCCTCTGAGTCGACATCAAACTTATCAAGATTGTTGTAGAAATCGACATTGCCCGCGCATAGATAGCGGCCTAAAAGGGTAGCATGAGTTGTGAATATGGTCACCACGTCGATACGGCGCTTGCGGCAGAGCGGCAAGGCCACGCCAGCTAGCCACTCGTGGAAATGAGCAACTATCGCGTGGCGTTGGTCCAAATGTGCAAGCTCTCCAAGAAACCATGCTACCGAGTAGCCCAGCAAAATGGCGTCGTTTGTCTCGGTATCACTTTCAGTAGAGGGAATTCCAGCGATGTCCCATAAATCCGATTTCCATTCGTTCAAGTGGCAGCGAACAGACTCGAGGTCAAACAGAATCACGCGAGGCGCCCCTTCGATCAACCAACGTCCATACACGAAATTGACGCCGCGCGATTGCATGTTTTCCAGCGCTGATCGAATTTCCGGCGTGTGCACGCCGGGCGACTCGAACGTCTGCGGGTCGTGCCAGTCGAGCGGCTCGACCTCTGTCTGGTACGTGGCCGGGTTCAGCGGCCCGATCAGCGTGTACATGTCACGATACCTCGAGCACGTGATCGGTGCCTTAGATTTCAGCACCGAGTAAATGCCGCCGACCCTATTTGCGACTTCTGTCGCGATTTCGAACAGCAAATGGTTCTGTATGTCTCTGGCCATATTCTACGAGGTTTTATGTGTATGAGCGGGTGTTATTCCTGCTTTTTCGGCTCTTTCTCCTTCCAGAGCACTTTTTGACTGCTACAGAGCCTAGTGCAACCTCAACTAAGCGATTTCCTCGACAGTTATGACTGACTTATACCCCCAATTGAATTCTTGAATTGGTGAACATGATTTACCGCCCAAACTGATTGACCCCTCCCCTTTTATATTCGTCAAAACCAGATTCAAAATAATCACCCCTCTCAGTTTTGACCCCTTGTTTTAAATAACCCCAAACGGTCAAGCAAGTTCGTCATAAGTGAGATGTCCGAGAAGCGGATGGAACTAGAACTGAGGATTGGACTGAAAATTCCTACGATTGTTAGCTGCTTGGTCAACGAGCTGCTTGTCTGTATTTTTTTTAGTTAGGAGCTCGAGAACGCCGGCCAAAGCTTATTTTCTGCTTGAAACCCTTGTTTTTGCAGGTTTGGGGGATGGCTGGTTGGGTTTGGGGAAAGGGTTCTTGTCAGGCCATGTGTGGAATTTTGCGAGCTAATTGTCAATTCCAAAAGTATCCGTCCTAGGATGGAGTAAGATTTGCAAACGGGACGTTGTAATAGGATGAGATGAGATGTCGCGAAAGTTGGGACTAGTACTGTCAATCGGGAAAAGGATGAGCCTGAAGTCGTGGTTAAGACCTTTTGAAGAAGTAAGCATGGCTCTTCATTTGAGCAAAGAGCCTCAGGAATAATGACAGTATAGTACAAAGTGACTAGTGGGTGAAGTGACACGATAGTACATAGTGATACGGATGGGCTCTCACTTATTTACCATGGCTGGTAAGTAGCTTTATTTTGTAGCTTTGTTGAGGTGGTCTTCTGCCGCTGTTCTTCTGGAACGGAAAGTATGATATATGATCTCTCTCAGCGCGTTATTCGATAGCACGGAAATTGTGCCACTACTAAACGTTGCGACAAGGCCTTTCCGGATGTGGTTGGCTGCTCACACGGGCAGCACGCGTGCTAGTTTCATATGTTTATCTCTCTATATCAATTATATATACAAGAAAAAAAACCCTTGCTGTCATGCAAACCTGTCGAAAATGCAGTTCATTACTTCATTTATTAGTAGCATAATTATTTGCTGTGTTGCTGGACTCTAAGCCTACAGGGCGCAAGTGAAGCGCTTTTCTTCAATAGTGGTAAAGTTCATAATCAGGGATTCCGCAGTCGCGCTATAAATCTGAGACAATAAGGTTTTCCTCCAGGGAAAAAGTCATGCGTGTGGAATAAAAATACATTCTCAGAAAAAAGAAAGTAGAATCGTCGATGTCTTGTTTACTCGGTTATTGCGCTAGGTCGAAACCGTTTCCAATAGTATCATTAATGTCCGCAGACATGAGCGCCTCGATGGAAGCGTTGTTGTTGTTTGCCATGTTATTGTGGATGTTTCCGTCAAAGATAGGTAGCCCGGTGTCCAGATCGGTGGGAGAAGTGCACGGGCTCAATACGTCAAAACCTAAATTGGTGAATGATGCAAGAGAGTCCTTGGCATCGAAATCTCTAGTCGAGCCACTGGTATCTGCTGTGGCCATTGTATCGGTAGTTGCCATTGTTCCCATGGTATTGTCTCTCGTGGACGGTTGAGAATTAGAGGCACCATAAAAATCTCCCGAATTGTCGTTATGTAATTGAATGTGGCCTCCCAGGTTTGGAGTCATACCCGAATGACCCGACAAAAACATGCGGTCCAAGTCATCCATTTGCGGAGCCACGGAATTTAGTCTATTTCGGGAATAGTTGGTCGCATTGTCAGACCTTTCGCTGTATTTCGATTGCTGCTGTTGCTGTTGATATTTCTGTTGCTGTTGCTGTTGCTGTTCATAGTCTTGTAGTTCTGAACTAGGAGGTTGATCCTCTGGTGTTACCAGTTGTTCGTTTTGCAAATAGGAGGCAGCATGATTCGTTAGGTTCGTGAAGCTGTTGCTGTTATGAATGTTACTCTGGCCTATATTCTTTGGATCGAACATGCCGTAAGATTGATTCAAAATTTCATTGTCATTCAGAGAATTCAAGTCCAACATTAGTTGATTATTGTCTTCGAATTCTCCAGCAGACAAATCTCCTAGTAAAGTATGCGTCGAGCCGCGCGGTAGAGATTCATTGGATCTGGAATTGCCTTGAATGGACGTTGTGGCAGTAGTAGTAGAGGGGTGCATTCCAATTGAATAGACGCCCGAATCATGCGGTTCCAACCCATTTGGTGGGATGTCATCGTTGAAATCCAACTGGAAACCACCGTTATTTGAACTCGAACCATTGGTTAATGATGAGGCAGTGCGACGTGTTTCGCTACTGCGGTCAAAAGAAGAGTCACCGTCATTTCTGAGATCGTCGCTGGGATGCGAGGAGTTTTTGAAACCGTTCAAGTTATTCTCTTTGCCAAATATATCGAATTTAAAATCAATCTTCGGAGAGGTGACTGGATTCTGAGAGACAAAGTTGGTAGTGGCGGTCGAATCGTTAGAATTATTATCCAAGGGAACATTTTTCAGTCCATTGGTGGCCAACGCTATCGATGGATCACTCATGTGACGGAAATGATTCATGTTGGAAGTGCCTCCAGCACCATTGGGTCTAGTGGGTTTACCGACCTTGCCCGAGCTTTGTGGTAAATTAGTGACAGTAGGATTTATACTACCTTTCCTAGACCTGGCCATTGATGTTTTGACAAGCGAATTGTTTCGCGAAGACATTTCGGAGGCCGAATTGATCACGGGGGATGTCGACACCGAATGGTTCAGATCCGTGGGGCTCAATTGTGGTGTAGAAGGGTAGCAGCTAGGTTCCAATTGTAGTGCGTCTTGAATGGAGTTATTGGAATTAATACTGGATTGGGACGCGGCACGGATTCGGCCAGACATTACGGAACTACGACGCTTACGGGCCTCGACACGTTGTGTACATTTACCATCGGAGACCTTAACCTCTTTTTGTTTTTTCTTGTGTTCTTTGGATTTGTTGGGGTCAATGAAGTACTGGGGGAGCAGTACCACGTTGTGAGTGGGTTCGTAACAAAGCGAGCCCTCTTTGAGGAAGTCCGGGTCGTCAAAACAGTGGTAAGTGTAACCTTGAGCCTTGAGTTCTTGAACGCGCTTGTTGCAAGCGTTCATAACGTCGCGATTTTTCTTGGCAAATTCGCTGCACAGCTGGCCATATTCGCGGATGGTGAGTCCGGTGATGACTTTGAAGACACGGTGGAAATGCCAAGGGGTGATGTTGACGAGGTAGCCGAGTTCGCGGAATCCAATGACACCGCCGCGCCGTAGCGCTTGTGAAGTGGTTTCTGCCGGAGAAAGCTTGCTGGTGTCGGAAAGGTCTGAAGCGGACTGCGGGCCAGCGCCGTCCAGAGAATCGTCGCGGTCACTGAGATGATCGCTAGGGTCGGTGGTTGTGGTGGTAGGGGCCGAGGCCGCAACCGAGGCCGGAACCGAGGCCGGGATCTCGGCGTCGGTCTCCACCTCGATGCTGGCGGCCTTGTTGACGGTGGCGTAGGCGATGTAGGCGCAGGCCAGCTCGACGCGCTTCACGTTCTCGTAGTCGAGCTCGGTGATGAGCCGGTTCTTGTAGTAGACGTGGCCGTCGCGCAGCACATGCTTGGCCGAGTCCGGGATGGACGGATTGAGCTGCTGCAGCTCGTCGGAGATGTTGGTGGGCAGGAAATACAGCCGCGACTTGTTCTTGCGCATGGAGGTCCCGGTGAACGCGATGTAGCGTTCGCGCAGGTCCACGTAGTCCTGCGCGGGCACCTGGTAGCACAGCTGGGGCTTGAAGGAGATGGCGTCGTTCACGTTGGACAGCACGAAGTTCGTGAGGTCCAGGGCCACCTCTTTGATGAGCATCGTGTGTGTGTGGGAGGGGGGGTTGACTGTTGCAAGTGGCTGTTGCAATTGGCTGTTTCGCTTCGAGTCGCGGGCACTTGTGTCGCTCGCTCTTTCTCGTCCGTTTTTTCACGTTCGTTCTCGTGCAATTCTGTCGCTCGCTTGTTCTCGCGTTCGCTCTCGTCTACGTGTCCCGCTTCAACACTGCTTCCAGCCTCTTCCCATACCTTAAATGCCCCCCGGCTCTTGTTGGCATCCCGCCCTATTCCTTATATACGTTTTTTTTCCCTTCCCGCCAACCGACCCCGGGGCCGGGTAAACCGAGCGACTTTCAGCGTGCAAATACACACATTTGTGCCAAATGAACCATCTTGGAGCTCTCGCATCGCGGATTCGAGAAGACCCCCGTGTAGAGTGAAGCCGTGGCTACGCAATGAGCCGTCTACCGCTGCGATTTGCCGCTTTTTCAGCTACTCCATGGCCCAACAAGCGTGGATTTTCCGAAATGCTGAAAAACTCATTCGGTACCTGGTGGAAAAGCGAGAGCGAACAGAGGAGAAAATAAGAATGTTTAAAGCGGAGGGAGACGCGCGAGAGATGGACGGTCGAAGTTGGGAGCGCTCGGTGCAGGAGAAGGTGCCAGGCGGAGGGGAGTAGGGAGAGTTGGGAGGGTTGGGAGAGGCGGGAGTGGTCGCCATGGAGCGGGCACGACGGGGTCGAGGGGTCACGTGGGGCCAGGAGGGAGACGCGGGTTGGGTTGGGTCGTTCGGGGGGGGGGGGGGGGGGGGGGGG